TTTTTTTAGATATTGATCTAACCGAGTTAACAGCGACCCTAACATGATGACTGCCATAATTTAAATAAGAGCATTTTATAATTTAGTCAATTTATTTTTTTTTATTTTTATTTTGTTGAAGTAGAGGTTCCTGACAAAGTCAAAAAGTCTTGATGCGAAAAAGCTAATTTAAGTGATTCTTTTAAGCATTTAAAATCAAAAACAGGTCGGTACAGACCCTAACACAAGAGGAGGGTCAAAAGCATTCAAAAATTTGGCTATAGGAGTAGATGTGGTAGAATCACTTTGTCTCTCAAAAGAAGGTTGGGGGTTCAATCTCATGTCCTGTTGTCTAAACGCTTGTCTCCAAATAGTGGCTGTGCTATAAGCAGAGTGTGAATGGTATTAGTTGATACTGATGGGCACTTAGTATGGCAGCCTCTGACATTAGTGTAAGCTTTAACAGTGAAGTCAATTCATATATTTCTGTTAACTATTACGGTTAACTGTCTCTAAGTTAGGCTAAAAAAATGTGTTTATAGAACTCATACAGAGAACCATTCACAAAGTGTTAGCAGGTTCATATTGACATATTTAGAAGTTTAAACGCCTTTCTCTGCAGCTGTTTGTTAGGGTTAGCAGATTATGTAGAATGTGTTCATGAGGTTCATTTACATTTATTTTGAGGTCCTAGCCTCTGATTGGTAAGTGCTGTGACATGTGATCAGGGTTGTCCAGGATGTTGAGTTTTTGGGTCATTTTGTGGGAATGACATGATGGCTGAACTGTAGGTGCCATATGCAGAAGTGGTTAGGTTTGTGTGTGTTGACATCAACTGTCTGGGCTGCACCTTTCATGCACGTCACGAGGGGGTGTGGTCAAGGCGCGATGATTGAATGATTGAATGAATGGACATATAGTCACCTGGGTGCTGCGGCGGCTGCATGGAGAGGGGGTGAGTAGGGAGAGCGTATTTTTTGTTGACCGCTTGATTTAAACATCAAACTAAGCCCATAGATCATCTTGCCTTGCCTTGCCCTGCCTGTCTGTTTGTGCGGCGTTGGAAATAAATGTGAACTCAGTCGGAAAACACGGAAATGGCTTGTGGTTTGTGTAGCGAGTCACCAATGCGGAAGCTCCCTCACTTAGCCTCTCAGTGACTTTGTTTTCGTTCCTAGTCACTATAGTTTGTCAACAAAAAAGGAGTACCAACACCCGAACGGCATATACGGACGCGATCACGCCACACGGTGTCTAACTGCAACGCCAGACTGATCGCAACGTGGACTTCAGACCGGTAGGACTGTATCACTCGCATCCATTCATTCTGTGTATGTTGGACGGAACGCAGTTTGATTACAGCGCATACAGCGCATCCATTGGGGAGCGCTGTGCGTGTGTGAAAGTCCGCTGAGACAGCCTGTCCTGCTCGTTGAGAGTAAATACCTGTGGTGTTTTCCGATGTTAATTGATGTGAAACAATCTGTGGAAAAATAAAACTATGCTGGGTGTATTGTGGATTCACTGCGCGAACCACTGAACTGCCGAATCTCAAAAGGACAATATGAGTGAAGCCATGGAACAAGTGGAAAACAATGAAACTGTGGTTGCTAAAAGGAATGTGAAACTTACTGCAAAAGCATTGGCATATAAAGTGGTAAATCTACAAAATGAACGTAAAACACATGTGAATAAAATAAAAGGCTTAATACCTGCAATGAAAGAGCTGATGAAACGAAAGGAAAATGTACAGGAAGTGAAATCTCAGTTGCAAACTATTACTCAGCTCCTTGATACTGCTATCAACCTGCATCAAACAATAATTCCACTGTTACCCGAGGATGAAAAACTTAAACAGAATGATTGGTTCTCCAGTATTGAACGTTACAGCAGTACATTCAAGGATGATGTGATTCAGTGGTTGGATGAGAATGAACATGTTCTAAATAACGTGGATAATGATGAGGCCGCAGCAACAAAGCATGTGTGTGACCCTCAAATAGATGATGCTTTACAGGCAGCAGCACAGGACACAGGCCCCATCACACCTTATGAAGGTCTACAGGATGACGTGAACCCAAGCGATAGCATATCAAATGTGCAAAGCAAACGATCTGCAAAAAGTGCTGTGAGTGGAAAAAGCTCTGGGAGTGGTAAAAGGTCCAACGTATCAGGAACTTCTTCTGCTCGCATCAAGGCAGAAGCTGATTTAGCTGCACTGATGGCACGGCAAAAACTTTTACAGGACAGACATGCACTGGAAGAGGAGGAGCAGCAAATACGGAAACGCAAGGAAAAGCTCAAGTTGGATGAAGAGATTGCTGCACACTTGGCTAAAGTGAGCGTTCTAAGGGCTGCAAGCATATCTGGTTCGAAAAGTATTACAACAGACAGGTCCAATGCAATGAGTTCCTACGTTAAAAATGAACAAGAAACAACAAAGTTCAATGTCAATGCCACTCCTTTCATTCCTCTGAGGCTGGAAACATCTAAACAGCAATCGAAAATCATGGACAGTGACCCTGTGACAAGGCCTAAATCAGATGGATCGACCCATGCTGTTCACTTTCAGCCTCCCACTTTGAAGAGCCACTTACCTGATTTTAATCCTCTGCTCAATGCTCATAATGATCACTTACATCATGGAATCAGTCTTAATGTTGGGGATTCAGCAAGTCATGGGGAGCAAAACAATGTTCTTGACATCATGAAAAGACAGAATGAAATTACAACACTACTGATACAACAGCAGCAACATGCGCTCTTGCCTAAAAGAGACATCCAGGTGTTTGATGGTGACCCACTGCAGTTCCATACGTTCCTGAGAGCCTTTGAAAACTGTATTGAAAGCAAGTCAAACAGTCATAGTGATTGCCTGTACTTCCTCGAGCAATACACTAGAGGTCGTCCAAGAGATCTTGTGAGAAGCTGCCAGCATATGGACCCAAACAGGGGCTATGCTCAAGCTAAAATCCTATTACAAGAACATTTTGGGGATGAACAGAGGGTTGCTGCTGCTTATATGGACAAGGCGTTGTCATGGGCTCCAATAAAATCAGAGGACGTTAAAGCTCTCCAAGATTATAGCCTATTTCTCAGAGGCTGCGCAAATGCGATGAACGAAGTGCAGTATATGTTCGAAATGGATATGCCTGCTAACATGCTGACAATAATAAAAAAACTGCCTTACAAGCTGAGGGATCGATGGAGGACAACTGCTTGTGAAATACAAGAAAGACGTAACCAAAGGGCTACATTCAATGATATTGTCCATTTCATCGAAAGGCAAGCAAAGATTCTAACAGACCCAGTATTTGGAGACATTCAAGACTCATCACCAGCAGCAAACAGAGGCATGAATCGAACCAGCTTAAAACCTAGATCTCGGCCAAAGGGAAGTAGTTTCGCTACAACAGTGACTACTGTACAGCACAATTACACAGCAACAAAAGGAAGGAGGCCAGACACAACCTCATCAGCCAAGAAAGTCTGTCTGTTTTGTGAGGGTGGGCACATGTTGGAGTATTGCTCTCGAATGGAGAAGATGACTCACACTGAAAAGATCACCTTTTTAAGGGAAAAGGGAATATGCTTCGGCTGTTTGTGTATAGGACACATCAGCAAGGACTGTCGAAAGCGTCTATCATGTAAAGTGTGTAGTTTGAAACACCCCACAGTGCTTCACATCCATTCAAAGGAAAAGGACCCAGTGACAGAAGAAGAACCAGGCGCCGCAGTGGGCTGTGCTCTGGTATCTAATGGGCTGACTGGGGCTGGTGGCCATGAGTGCAAGCTTCCTATAGTTCCAGTATTGGTTAAATCCAAGAAAGGTAATCATGTAGTGGCTACTTATGCCTTCCTGGATCAAGGTAGCACGGCTGTTTTCTGCACAGTAAACCTCATGAACAAGCTCAACCTCTCAGGAAAAAGGACAAGAATCCTTTTGCGGACAATGGGTCAGGAGAAGGTCGTTAACAGCTGTGTGGTCACGGGACTGGAGGTGGCCGGTTTGGACGGAGAGACGTACTGTGATTTGCCCAACACCTATACACAGGAGTGCATGCCGGTGCATAGAGGAAATATTCCACGTCAAAAGGATCTCGAGAGGTGGGCATACTTGAGAGATGTTCACTTACCTGATATCGACTCCGAAGTTGAGCTGTTGATTGGAACAAACGTACCAAGGGCACTGGAACCATTACAAGTCATCCGTAGTGTGGACAATGGACCGTATGCCATCAAGACTATTTTGGGTTGGACTGTTAATGGGCCACTGGGGGGAAACAGTGGTGATGGAATGGATGTTGCGACCGTTAACAGAATTTCAGTCCTGAACTTGGAGGAGCTCTGGCAGCAGCAGTTCAGAACAGATTTCCCAGAATGTGGCTACGATGAGCAACCTGGCCAGTCAAGAGAGGACCAAAAGTTCATGAAGTTGGTCCAGGATTCAGCCAAGCTTGTAGATGGTCATTACCAGATTGCATTGCCCCTGCGAAGCTCCGTGACCATGCCAAATAACAAGAAGGTTGCCGAGCAGCGTGCTCTAAACCTGAAGAGGAGGTTCAAAAGGGACTCGTTATTTCATCAGCAGTACACTGATTTCATGAATGATATGGTCACCAAGGGATACGCAGAGCAAGTACCTTCAGATGAGCTGGCACGTACTGATGGAAGATTGTGGTATATCCCACACCATGGTGTGTATCACCCACAAAAGGGAAAAATCCGTGTGGTTTTTGACTGTGCTGCCACTTTCCAGTCGGCATCTCTCAACGCTCAACTGCTGCAAGGGCCAGATCTCACTAGCTCGTTGATTGGCGTCCTGGCCAGATTCCGGAAAGAACCGGTAGTGATCATGGCAGACATAGAGTCCATGTTTCACCAAGTAAAGGTGCCAAGGGAAGATGCTGATCTACTGAGGTTTCTCTGGTGGCCCAACGGTGACTGCACCCAAGACCTGGTAGACTTTAGAATGATGGTACATCTTTTTGGTGCAACGTCCTCACCAAGTTGTGCTAACTTTGCATTGAGGAAATGTGCTAAGGACAATGAAGAACAGTTCTGCCGAGAGACCATTGAGAGGATTCTGCACTGCTTTTATGTGGACGATTGTCTGGTATCGACGGCCAGTGAGGAAGAAGCAGTGGCACTGTATCATGACCTGGTCTCTGTATGTGCCAAAGGAGGCTTTAAGTTGACCAAATGGATGAGCAATAGCCGTGCAGTGATGGCAGCAATTCCAGGGGACCAAAGAGCTAAGGGCATGAAGGACCTGGATTTGGACCATGACCTGCTACCAGTGGAGAGGGTGCTCGGGGTGCAATGGTGCATCCAGTCTGATGTCTTCAAGTTTAGAATCCTGGTGCAGGACAGGCCCCTGACAAGGAGGGGGATCCTCTCTGTCATCAGTTCAGTATATGATCCTCTAGGAATCTTGAGTCCCATTGTTCTTTCTGCCAAGATCATCCTGCAGGAGCTGTGTAGGCAAAGACTCGGTTGGGATGACCCTATACCACCATCAGCTGCACAGGAATGGACGAGCTGGTTAGAGGAGCTCCATCAGTTAGAGCACTTCCAGGTTTCGCGGTGCCTTAAACCCCCAGACTTTGGTGAGGTCACTGTGGCGCAACTGCACCATTTTACAGATGCAAGTAATAATGGTTATGGTGTAGTGACCTACCTTCTCCTGCGGAATGCATGTTCCCAGATGCACAGCAGCTTTGTCATGGGAAAGTCCAGGGTGTCTCCTTTGAAGCCGGTCTCAATACCCCGCATGGAGCTCACAGCTGCTACAATGGCAAGCCGTCTGGACACCTTTTGGAAAAAGGAGTTGCACATGTCATTAATAGAGTCAACGTTTTGGACTGACAGCACCTCTGTGCTGAAGTACATCAGGAATGAGACTTCCAGGTTCCGTACCTTTGTCGCCAACAGGGTAGCAGAAATACTCAAAGTGTCAGATCCATCGCAGTGGAAGTATGTAAACACCCTAAGCAATCCTGCAGATGTGGCCTCCAGGGGACTGAGGGTTGACATGTTCCTGAGGAACAAGGCGTGGTTGTCAGGACCTGCATATCTCCTGCAACCTGAACGAGACTGGCCTGTGAGTCCAGATTGCTTGGGCGAACTCCTGCTGAACGATCCAGAAGTCAAGGCCAGTGTGGCAGTGAATGCAGTGCAGGCCTCAGAGGATGTGGATGCAACCACTCAACTAATCCATCATTTTTCCTCTTGGACCCATCTGAGAAGGGCTGTGGCTTGGTTTCTCAGGCTAAAAAACATGCTGCGGGGTCTCAGCCAGAAGAGGACATGGACTGACTCTGCGTCCACTCAGTCGGAGTCAGGGAAACAACAAAGACCGTCCTCGGAGCTTGGAAAAGGAGGGTTCAAAGACCTGGCACCGAGAGGTTTCCTCACGGTAGACGAGTTGCAGGTAGCTGAAAAGGAAATCATCAGGTTTTGTCAGAGGAAGAGGTTTCCTGATGAACTCTCTAGTTTGCAGAAGGGCGAAAGTGTGAAAAGGAGAAGTCACATCTTCAAGCTCGCTCCTGTGTTGGAGGATGGTATCCTGAGGGTTGGTGGTCGGTTGAGCCGAGCAGCCTTACCTGAAGACGCAAAACACCCTGCCATTCTGACCAAAGAGCTCCACATTTCAGACGTTCTCCTGAGACACATACATCAACAAGTTGGTCATGGAGGACGCAACTACATGTTGTCCAAACTACGTGAAAGATACTGGATTCCTGGGGTCAGCACAGCCATAAGGAGAATTTTGTCAAAGTGTGTTGTCTGCCGCAGGTTGCAAGCTGCCCCAGGGTGTCAGCTGATGGCTGATCTTCCTGTTGACAGGGTCTGCCCAGACGAACCTCCATTCACCAGAGTCGGTGTGGACTACTTTGGACCATTCGAGGTTAAGAGCCGGAGGAGCATTGTAAAGAGATATGGAGTCATGTTCACCTGTTTGGCAATACGGGCTGTTCATATCGAAGTGGCTCCTTCGCTGGATACAGACGCCTTTATTAATGCACTACGACGATTCATGGCAAGACGTGGCCAAGTCCAAGAAATTCGATCAGACAATGGAACAAACTTTATTGGAGGAGAACGTGAGCTGAGAGAGGCTATCAGAGGTTGGAATCAAGCTCAGATAAATGGTGTTCTTCTTCAGAAGGAGGTGAAATGGATTTTTAACCCCCCAGCTGGATCGCACCATGGTGGTGCCTGGGAAAGGTTGATCAGATCAGTGCGCAAGGTCTTGAACTCCATCTTGAAAGTTCAAAATCTGGACGAGGAGGGACTGCACACTGTCCTCTGTGAGGTGGAAGCAGTCATTAATGGCCGTCCAATTACTAAGGCCTCAACCGACCCTAACGACCTCGAAGCTCTGACGCCTAACCATCTCTTGCTGTTGAAAACCTCTCCTTCCCTGCCACCTGGGCAGTTTCAAAGAGATGACATCTACGCTCATCGACGCTGGAGGCAGGTCCAGTACATGTCTGATTTATTTTGGAAGCGATGGACTAAGGAGTATTTGCCACAGTTGCAGGAACGTCAGAAGTGGACTGGTATCAAGCGCAACTTTGTAGAAGGGGACGTTGTGCTTATTGTGGATGAAACAGCACCACGGAACTCGTGGGTCATGGGAAGGGTTATCCAAACCTTCCCAGACAGAAGAGGATTTGTGCGACGGCTGCAGATCAAGACCAAGACCAGCTCCTTGGAAAGGCCCATAACCAAAGTCTGTCTTCTGCAGGAATCGGATGCCTGACTCTTCCGTTCTGGAAGGATAGTTTGATTGACTTTACTGACCGACAGCACGACATGACTTTCCTCCGTGAAGCTGTGTGTCTGAACTTTTGAACTTTTGAACTTGGCTAGACTTGACTTGTGTTCCAGGAAGAAGAGCACATTGATGAACTGTATTGATGGACTATTACAAGAACATTGGTGGATTTCGTGGTTCGTTTATTTGTCATAGTGTAATTATTATAATGGTAATAATTAGGGGCTGGGTTGTAGGTGCCATATGCAGAAGTGGTTAGGTTTGTGTGTGTTGACATCAACTGTCTGGGCTGCACCTTTCATGCACGTCACGAGGGGGTGTGGTCAAGGCGCGATGATTGAATGATTGAATGAATGGACATATAGTCACCTGGGTGCTGCGGCGGCTGCATGGAGAGGGGGTGAGTAGGGAGAGCGTATTTTTTGTTGACCGCTTGATTTAAACATCAAACTAAGCCCATAGATCATCTTGCCTTGCCTTGCCCTGTCTGTCTGTTTGTGCGGCGTTGGAAATAAATGTGAACTCAGTCGGAAAACACGGAAATGGCTTGTGGTTTGTGTAGCGAGTCACCAATGCGGAAGCTCCCTCACTTAGCCTCTCAGTGACTTTGTTTTCGTTCCTAGTCACTATATGAACAGTAAAAGTGCTGTTAGGAAAGTTACCTGTCTCCATCCTGCTGTTTCTCATCATTAGAATCATCCAACCACCTTACATCGAACCTTCACGTTACATTAGTGTATGGATCAGATATGAATAAGTCCATGGGTCAAGACTGGAGAAAATAATATATGAAAACAGACCTGTCAATTCAGACTAAAAACTAGATTTGAATAATATCACCTTAGATTTTTGAAGGGGAATAAACTCATTATTTTGTCTGCGGTAATTAAAACTGAACCAGTCATGCCCAGATAATCTATGGTGCTCTTATTTTGGTGGGAGCTATTTTGGGTGATGCTTAAAAATGCAACATCTTATTATTTATGATGCTATCTTTTTATAAGAGCCCAACTGACTCTTTGTTTTTTTTTGGTGGTAAACCAATATGACCTCTCATCTCACTGTAAACTTAGTCACTCGACCACACCTGATCCCCTCATCGTCATGTGCCATGCTGTGGCACCTTCATCTAGTTGACCTGCGGAATGCTGGAGCTTTGGCCCCCAGTCGACAGGAGGGTGTTTATCACTGTCTCCGTCAAAGTGAGAGAGAGGGAGAGAGAGAGAGAGTGTGTGTGAGAGAGAGAGGGCTGCAAAACTGCGACAGCAACTCCGCGGTGAATTTAGTGTGTGAGTCATCGCTGGAGGGTTAACTCTTCATCTACCAAGCAGGGAGCGATTGTTGATGTTACAAAACTGCGAAATATTTTGGTAGATGTGCAAGAAAAGACCACCTTTAGTGACATGTTAGTATAACTAGACAATCTGATATACATGTTAGGACAAAATAATCCCAATTACTGATGTTTGCTATATAAATTGGGGCTTCCTTTGAGTGTTTTATACAAAAGCAGGCTAATAGATTCCCTCCTCTGATGGGTGAATGTGAACATAAACATATCGCACCGTCTGAGACCTGCTTTTGCAGTCAATACTTCTGCCTCCAGGCTTTGAAAGCGTCTTCCAGTCAATATGCTTTTACAGATCTCCGCCGGGTAACAGACAGCAAAGTAGGACTATTTTTAAACCAGCGAGGTTTTTTAGTATGCCATATCATAAACCTGAATCATTTATATGGATTTTTTCGGAGCGGCTCTTGCGTGTGCGCTGTGATGACGCGCTGGTCAGGTGTCTCCTCATATAACCAGGGGGAGCTGTCCAAGTGCTGAAAACAGAGGAGAACAAGACCGCCACTGAGGAGATGATATACACCTTCACTGCTGTCTGAGCTTTACTGCCAAAGGTAAGACCAAGATGTCGAACTTGTTTAATCTTTTTAAGCTCATATTGGAAATCATACAATCGTCGATAAGAGGATGGTGTTCGAAACCATCGCTTTACGCAGATTTTATAGCGCCATGTAACAATGGACGTTATCAATACGCACAAACGCACCATCAACAATGGTGGTTATTAGTCGTAACCAAAGAGAAATAACGTCAAAGGATGCTTTTTGATCACGGTTTGTGTCGTTGAGAGGAAATAGGATGCTGAGGTTGCCCATAACAACGCGGGGAGTGACTCATCCTGTGATGTGAATGCATCTCCACGCACGCAACATCGTTTTCAATTTGCGGAGCGAAACTCCCTGATAGCGTACAAATCCACGATCAAAACAGACTCGTTGCTTTCATGAGGGTTTAGTCTCATTTAGCAGAAGCAGAGTTCTCTTGGATTCTGTGTTATTGTGTTGAGGTTCTTCAGTAACATTTTGTTCCTTCTTGATCCTCAGGTAATATAAAGCCTATAATGCTGCATTTCCACCACAAGTTGCCCGCGGGGGGAGCCCTGGTCCTGCTCGCCTTCCTCTTCCATGGATACGCCGTGCAGGCTGCGTCTCTCCCCCGCCGCTACAGGCTCCGAGGAGGGGAAAGTGAGGGGCAGTCGGCTGCCTTCCAGCCCAGCTCCGACATGATGAAAGCCCTGGAGTACATTGAGAACCTTAAGCAGCGGAACGGGGGCCGACCCGAACCCGCGGATTACGATGAAGTCGAGAAGTTCAGGGTCCTGCTCCAGCTCGCCTCACAGCAGGACGAGGCTCCCGTGGACCGTCAGCCTGCCCCCGCCGTGCAGCAGCAGAGGCAGGACATAACCGCTGAACAGCTGATGAAAGCCCTGCTCAGGTCTCTGCAGGATCAGGCTGGGAGGGAGACGAAGCTCACCCCCGCGTCGGCGCCTAGGAACGACCGGCGCACACACAGGCACCGCACCAAAGAAACGGAGGTCCCCGAGAGCGCGCCGGCAGACTACGGCAATTTCCCCAGACCCCACAAAAAGTACCCGCTTATGTTTGAGGATGAGGAGAACACTGACGCCTCCAAGAGAGCCACGGAGGACCTGGATGAGCAGTACACACCCCAGAGCCTCGCCAATTTGCGCTCAATCTTCGAGGAGTTAGGGAGGATGCCTTCCGTCGGTGGCCAGAAGAGAGACGTGTTCGGGGACGAAGATGAAGAGGAAGAAGAGGGGATCAGCCTGAGGAACCAGGCCTATGAAGATGTGGCCGGAGGAGAGGAGTGGGTCCCCGTGGAGGAGAGAGAGGAGACAGAGGAGATGGAGAACGGGAGCCATGAGGAGATGGACAGGGCGCTTGGAGAGCAGGAGGAGGCAGAGAGGGAGGAGATACAGCGTAGGGCAAGTCAGGACCAAGAGGAGGCTGACGATGACACCAAACTCGTGGACTACTACCTGTTGAAGGTCCTTGAGATGAGCGACCAGACCCAGAAGAGGGACAAGACTGGAGAGCAGAGGAAGAGACTCATCCGCCCCTCCATCGTGGATCCCCGGACTGTGAAAGAGCTGCTGGAGCTTTCCTTGAAGCTTCATGTGCCCCCGCAGGACCTCATCGATATGCTGCTCACACAAGAGCTCAGGAAGCTCCACCGTGACCCTCACACCCCCACTCGTTACACCGCCAGCCAGACCCCGAAGATCCGGTACTTCAGCCGCAGACTGCCGCTGAAGAGCAAGCCCGCCAATGAGGACATGGACAGAGAAGACTTTTTGGATATCATTGGCGTGGAAACCATCAGTAACGAGTACCCTGTGGTGCAGAGACCCCTGAAGACCCCATCGGATAGAATCGCCGCGGCGGCAAATCCTGCAGCAAATTCAGGTCCTATCAAAATCCCTCCTCCATCTGGACGCAGGGAGAACCTGTTTTTATCCGAGCTCAACAAAATGCCCCTGAAGCGCCAGGCGGCTGCTGCTGATGAGGACGACGACGATGGAGATGTTGAAGATGAAGTGACCACCTACCTGGCGGCGAAGATCCTCACAGAGTACCCAAACCCAATCGCAAAGAGGGACACCCAGGCGCAGCTGAAGGGCCAGTTCCCCTACGAGCTGTACGAGCGGGCCTTGAAGGACTACTTGGGGCAAGCGGACGCTGAGAGGCAGGTAGCCAAGAGGGAGACCGAGGTGGCCACGGAGGAGAAGATAAACCCCACAGAGATGCAGGGGAAAGAGGAGGTAACGGCCAAGACGTCCGCTCCACAGACCGTCAATGAAGAAGAGGAGGACGGGAAGGAACACCGTGAAAAAACAGTGGCTGGGATGTAGCCTTGCAAGACGCAGGAAAAATCACAATATAGTGTTTATACAGTCTCAAAAATAAAGTTTGGTGGACGTGTTCTAGTTTACAAATTTCTATTATAGAGTTTTAGCTTATACTGTCATCCTTATGAAAACGAACACTTTAAAAAAGTCCCTACTTGCTGCAAGAACATTATAGAAAGATAAAGGTGCAATCAATGCAGAAAAATCGACATCTTCGAAACACTTTGATTGGATGTAAACCTGTCTGTCATCTAATTGCTGATGAATGCATTGGTTAAATCATAATATCACTAAGGGAAACTGAAGTTATTAAAGTTTTGTGATGATGTTGAAGGTTTGTTTACATTAATGTTGTTTGTAAACAGCAGATGTGGGCCTATATTTTCAACTATAATCACCCAAGTATTGGTAAAAACACTTATTTTCATCTAACTATGACACATGTGAATATATCCGTTGAGTATAACGCAGACTGGGCCTGTAAACATAATCACACAGTATATCGACAGGAAAAGTACAGGAACATTGTGAAAGATTTGATCATGAATGAGGTCGAGTGTTGCCGTGGCTCTTGATATATTCAGGGTTAGTGGATTTAATGTTATTCTTATGGGTAATTATTTCCAAGTCTAAACAGCAGACTGTTGCCTGCCTTCCAACCCTTTCATACTGCAAAGCTCTGTATCGTTGGCCTACCAGTGGTTGTGCAATGTATGCTCATTTTTAAACCATTTTGTACATGTTCAATAATGTGTGATGAATCACAGATGAATAAAGCATCAGCTGTATTATTTTTCTTCTTGCTGAGTTGTGTTGCCTTATTGAAAATGCACTATACACCATGAATGGAGCCATGCTGGGTTTAATATCAGTAGTGAAAATAGGGAGATATAAATACATTTCTAATTAGGTTTCTTTATAAAAGGTTTTGTGGTGTTCTTTTATTACAGTACGTCAAATACTGACTAATAACTCAGGGGCCGAATGTTTATCAAAATAGGTTTTTATTCGTAAGACTCAACATCATAAATTGTACATGTATAAAAAGCATCAAAATTCACACCCACACTAGAAACTGCTTTTTAAATGAGTAATAGTTAGTGACACAAATTCCAAACAGGAGGAAAATTTCACTCAGAGTTGTGTTGTTTGACGGTATAAAAGCAAAGTCTTGTCTTTGTTTACACTGGAATCAAAAAGAATCACTTTTTAATATGTTTACTGTATTTTAAACAATCAATTTATAGTTTTCTAAGAATAAAATCATTCCCTGCCAATAAATATTTAAACATAGCTTAAATACAAAAGGAAACACATTTGCATCTTCAACAATTAAAAATGTAATTGACTTCATACTTATTTTCAAACCCTGATCTTCTATTGCTACTTCATTCAAACTCAAAAACGGCAATCAAAGTAGAAACCCTCTCCCTTCTTAATTTTGAGTGCACATCTATGAACAAACATTTAACTTGCTCTCAAATAAAGTTACTTACTGCTTCAGGCAGACAACAAGCAGACATTAAATTTGTCTTCTCTTGAGAATGTTCAGTAGTATCAGAGTTCATCCTTGTTTTTGTTTTTTTCAGAAACGTCTGTGATTCATGAACTGTGTGTTTGGCTCCTGAATTCCTCCCTGCTTTTATCTAAAGTCCTTTCTCCCAGTTTGGTTAAAATGCTGGTTTGCTCATATACTCCTCCATGGTCTGAAAGAAGGCAAAACAAAGCAAAAAATTAGGTTATAAGCCTGTTAAAAAACACATTTAAACACTATTGATATGCACAAGCACAAGCATCACCTGCTATTGAATGCAGAGCACACCAACACAAGGTACGTGACTAACACAAGCACAACATCTAACCTGTCTGTCCATATTCACGGTCATCCAAACAGCTCCACCTCATACCACTCACTGCTGTCATCCTGAAGCGATAATAGTCAAAGTCAAACGAATGAGAAGGCTACGCTGCACACAGTCCAGCTCTTATTTTAAAAGTGTTAGTCAGCCCTGCTCAGAAGCACAAAAGAACAAACCCCAGTTGACCGTACCACACAGAGCCAAGGACCTACAGAGGGGAGGGGGGGGGGGAATAGAAGCATCAGCCAAACCCTAAACCTACACCACGATCCAGGGAAATCCGTCTCTCACTTGCAGCAACAATGGCACAGGGAGAGAGAGACACACACATATATATACACAGAAAGGGGGAAGAAACAGAAGCATGGACACAACTCTATAAATAAAAGGAGCGTCAGCTAATCAGAAGCCTATCAGCCACAGAACAGACAGGCACACCGGGGACTCAGCAGCACCACTGTTAATTGATCTCATGACACTAACTACTATCAAACATACTGGAGCTTGATTCATGAGAAGAGCTTATCAATCTAAGATATTTAAACCCCCACACACAAGATTTTAAACGAAAAATGTCTTGTCAACTATGACACTACAGCCATGCAACACGTTACATTATCACACCACAGATGCAAAAAAGCCACACCTTGTGTTGTGTGTGTGTTGTGTTTGTCGTGCATGAGGGCGTGTGCGAACACATCTCACCTCCTGTAGCATGTCGGAAGCTTCGATGGAGCGGTTCACCGTCTGTTTGGAGGTTTCCTGTATCTCTCCGCCCATTAGAAACTCGTCCAGGATAAAATAGGCCTTCTCAAAGTTAAAGATAATGTCCAGCTCACACACCTGGAGGAGGTATGATGGCGATAGTTGAGATTTTCTTTTAATTAAGACAGTTTTCTGAAAAAATCACTTGAATTAATAATTAAAAATTAATAAGGCATAGTTTTGCAAAGTTTTCAACAACACTATATGATTACACATACAACACTAAGTCCTTAAATCAATGAGCTATAACATTATGACTACCTGCCTAACATGGGTGGATACTTTTTTTTTTTAAGGTCAGAGGTGAAGTAGCTCTGACTTGACAAGACATGGACTCCACTAGATCAAGGAAGGTTTGTTTTGGTTACTTGCACATTTGAGACAGGTTTTGAAAGTCCTATAAATTGAAAGGTAGGGCCTTCTTGTTTGGCACAGTCCACAGAAGCTCAAATGGGTTGAGGGCTGGAGACCAAGTCAATACCGTCTTGTTTCTCAAGGCCACCTTTTGTATTTCTCAGTGGTCCAGGTTTGATGCCCTTGTGCACATTGTAATAGCTTCGAGCATGAACAGTCAGACTGACTGTCTGTAGAGTAATGAGTGTAGCTTAGAGGAATATTCCGGTGTAAAATTAATTTAGGGTCAAACACACCGTAAAACCGAGTTGGACACCCTCTTTATCATTCTTTATCATTTCCTTGAAGTAATAATCACCATATTAATCATTTTGCACTGCAGACGTAGTAGTTTTTCTGCCTTAACATCTCGGTCTGATTGCATTTCCATGAAGAAATTATCATAAATGTTCTTCCTTGAGCTGCGTCACCCCGCAGCAGTCCATGGACTGGCCTGAGGTCTTGCTACAAACAAAGCTGCTGGAAGAGAGTAGGTGAGTTGTGTTTAGTCTCTTTGCTAAAGAAATTAGGCAAAGTTAAAAAGATGTTTGTTTTGGCTTGGACCCTATATGTACTGTTGATGAAGTTAGATGCTGTTCTGAGCATTATTTGTGGCTATAGAGTGGCGTTTTGGTTGAGGTTTGTTTATGGCTCCTCAGACCGCTCTGTGTTATTATCATGTGGTCGATACTAAAGTTGGTATAACAAGAGAAGCAAGCAGTCGGCAATATTCATCTCTCGAGGGGGTGTCTAACTCGGTGTTACAGTGTGTTTGACCCTAAATTGATTTTACGCCGGAATATCCCTTTAACATATCCTACAAACAGGTCTGGTTGTAGCCTGCAGTGCTCATAACCTTATGGCTGATTGGTATGTATTTTAATGTATATATTATAACTGTTGTGTCAAATAAGTTGTAACCTTTTTGCTACTAAATTAATACAAACAGTTTTGTTGTGTACTGTATGTTGCAGAGTGTAGTCTGCAGAGATCAGTGAAGGAAGAGGGAGATTTAGTTTAATTTCCAATTTGACTATGGCTATATCTTGTTGCATAAAACAGATGTTGAGAATTTTCTTTTTACCATGATTTAATCTGCAGATGAGAGAAAGTTAGACATGGCAATAAAACCATCATTTGTTCAACAGTGCAATGTACCCAGAATCAAAACAATACTGTAAAGTAAATAAATTAGAGTGGAACATTTGAATACAAAACTTCAGACTAAACCTGGATTCAATAATAAGAAGGGAAAACACAAGGTTATACATTGCCAAAGTATTTGTCGAGCAGCTCCACATAGCGATGAATGACCTCCAGGGCTAACAGCTCATTCTCCTGATTCTCTATGGCCAAGCAGAAATACAGGCTGGCATACCTAAGGAGAAGGTGACACCAAGAGTGTTTTTTTTATAGCATAAATAAACATATGTTTGAGTAGCAAATCAAGACTTCAAGCAGGCATCATTGTAGACACGAGAAAGACTGGTGGTCTTGCTGCTCAGTAAGTAGATAGATAATCCAACAAGTAGAGGCAACACCCACCTCTTGTAAATTATCTTCAGGTCTTTCCAGTGCAGGAAGTTACAGGAGCGGGGTTGCCGTGACAACACCATGGAGGTCATGTCCCTGATGATCTTCTTCTTCTCCCGCTCTGTCATGGGCGTGAACCATTTCTGCAGTCGCAGCTTCCCCTGGCGGCTGAAGAGCAGCAGGAAGCGCATCTACCAGGCATGGACAATAGCGCAAGGTCAGAGTGGAGATTTATACAAACATTACACGCATACTTGCAAATACGGACATTATTGGCTGCCCTCTAACATGCACAAAGGGTCACCCATGCAGTTATGGTTGTAAAGTCTCATTAAAGAGTAACTTCAGTGGGCAGGCAAAAATGTGAAGGTCATCAAACAATCGAGGTAGGGACAGTTTGAGGTTTCCTTGCCAGTCTTCAGGAGTTGAGTAACGGATGTTTAGAGCATTTCCTTCCTTGGCTTGAAAATAGATTTGGCGACATATTAGAGAAGTCATTTGTCTTTCACCTACAGTATTTGACAAACACTGATGCACTATTTCCTTTAAGTTTTCCTTTTATTGTTTATCCAAGAGAAGCCAGAAGTTTGAGTGGATGGGCAGGGCTTTATTTGTGGAGTTTGTCCTTCTTTAGATTCATAGTCCTTGCATAAAAGATGTTTGTATGGCACATGCTTGGAAAACTTTTCATTTTTTTCTGAATATAGTTTTACTAAAAAAAACATTGCTCCTCTGCTCTTGAAAACCAACAAGAGCAGTGGTCAATTTTTAAGTTAAGTCGCGTGGCACAGCTAATATAAAAAAGAAGGACTTCAAGAGTTTGTTCTTTTCTATTGTAGGTGCTGTTGTTGTCTTCTATCTAAAAAGTGTTCTAGGGAGAATGTCATAGTAATTAATGGCACGGTGCAAGACAAAATACTAAAAAAAAAACATTATACTATAGGGTAGAGTGGGGTAAGATGAGCCATTTTTCATATTTCGGATCACTACATCAAGGCAATCATAGTTTTGTCTCTATCTAGTGTATCTGCATATATTTCAAGATGTAGCAAAATGATAGATATAAAATACGAGTAGGTAGGATGATAATACTGCTCCACAGATATTTCATTGCACATGCTGCATCTGTGGAAAATAAAACTTTAAGATTTTATATTAAAATCAAAATTAAATTATAGTTTTTAATTCTTTGCAAATGTTGGAGTAAAATTGGTTGGGACAAATGCGTACAATTAAAAATAAGAAGCTGGATCTGGATTTCAAAATCACTTTTGCACTGACCCAATATTTATATTGCACTAAAATTACAGCCAGCTTAAAACTACTGAATATAGGGGAGAGTGGAGTAAGATGAGCCGTTGTTCGTATTTCAGCTCACTACATCGAGGCAATCATAGTTTTGTCTCTAACTAGTGTATCTGCATATATTTCAAGATGTTGTGCATCCCTAAAAACCAACAGAATGAGTGTAAACATAACTGTCTTGATAATATAGCGTGCAAAAAAAAAAAAAAAGTGTTCTCCTATGGTCAACTTCCCCCGTGTATGTGGTAAGTTGACCATAGGAGCGGGGTAAGATGAGCCGTGTCCCTACGACCCCCCAATTTCCCACCCAGCCCTCCCTCACCTTCTCTCTCCCTAAATAACAGTCATTTCTTCACATTCATGTGTAATTTTATCGTTTATACACTATTCAACTGGTACAATAATTCTTTTTATTATTATTGCATATTATTTATTATTGCACACATTTTAACAATCTGAACTGAAACTCTGATCCTCTTATCAGACTCCTTTACTCTCTCAGTTGAGTCACTGGCTCAACTTACCCCGGAACTGCTGTGATGACTTTATTAGTCCTCTAAGCTAAAATAGTGGACTTTTATGTTTTAGGTTTTTGACCTCATGTTGTAGCTCATAGATACCACCATTGATGTATAAAACACATTTAAAATGATCTTTTTTGGTCTAAACACAATTCTTATAAAACTTATGACAGACTAAATTCACTTTCAAGAGTGGAAATAAATGTCTAACCCCTTCACCCATGTGCTTCTAACCCTCACAGGCTCCATGAATTGATGCCCATCTCCTAAATATTTGGTCATATGATCAATTTCTTTTACCATTTCAAAGCAACATGGGGGTAGCTCAACTTACCCTTTGGCTAAACTTACCCCACTCTCCCCTACAGGTATTTTAGGCGTGTGTCACCTGAGTCTGGTATGCAAATTGATATGAAAAGCGTTGAACTGCCACCAGGGCAGGTTTTTTTTGACGAAACCTGTTCTGCAGGGGCGGGCCGGTTCAGGAAATGCACACCTTACTTCCGACTGTCACTAAACTGTAGAAACTCACCTTAAAAACTTACACACAGAAGTAAAAACAGCTATTTTAACGCTAATAAAGATGGGATTCATAAGGCGTAAGTGTGACGGTAAATAAAGCACAGGTAGACTTTTAGCTTTTTCCAACAACCTGTCAGCGACAACAGGTGCAACAGGTGAACAGCTGCGCGTACGTTGACGCTGCATTAAGCGAAGAAGAAGAAAAACACTCACCATTTTGATGCTGCGCCAGGTCTATATGAACATTAAACGAAACAAACAAACAAAAAAAGCACTTTAACCCTCACAAGGGGTCAGCTGGTCCGATAACACACATTATCTATCCTTCGTTTGTCTTAACCAGTGTGAAAGTTGGTTAACTCCGCCCCTCCGAGCCGGCGGGGGGAGCGGTGCCTGATGGACGCGTCACCAAACGTCACAACCACTTGGATTGGCTGCTGTGGATATTTGTTGCAGGAATGAGTCCAACAAACAGCCCATCACAGCCTGGGGAGACACACCACGTGACGAGAACAAACGCTGTAATGAATGAGCTCATAAAAAATTAACTTGTGTCACTTGACTACACGGTTGAGCATTTTTTTTCACGGGTGTTATTCCCACGCAGCGTCAGCAGAGAGCAGCAAATGCACCCTCTTCTCCCCTATCGCTGCACAGTGACAGCAGTTCCTCAACCTTATTTGATGAGAAGTTCATTTATCAGGCTGAGACGCGTTTTTGGATCCTTTTCCTCTTGGAGACATGTCTCTGTACCGTAATACTGTGTGGTTTTTGAACGGGATTCACTATTACACAAGGTAAGTAAAAATAAAAATTAAAAACTATCAAATCCTAACTTTTGAGATTATAAAAACCTAGAATAATCAGCTGTCTGCTTTTGTGTGTGTCACATTTAAATTAGAGTTTCTGTCTTGTCTGTTGACTATCTTATGTTTGTCTTATAAAATGCTATGTTAGTTTAAAACCTACAGGAATATAAGCTGATCACCAAATGGCACACACCACTGCACAAGCTGGCTTTTATAAGCACCCACAATAGTTCCTTTGACCGCCTCTGTTTCTTGAGGACACGTACATCACCTGATCCTTCTAGAGCTGGCATACTGTGTGAAATTATTTCAAATTCTATCATTGATCAGTGTATTTCTTTATGTGGCGGTGTAGGAAAGGTTATGAGGCTGCAGCTAAAGACTTTGAGTCCCAGCACCTGAATGTGTCTGTTGTGGGGAGGTCTTTTATGATCACAGGAGCCAACAGTGGAATTGGCAAAGCGACAGCTATGGCTATTGCAAAGAGAGGTAAGTTCTTGTAAGGTGTGTAGGGGAGAGTGGGGTAAGTTGAGCCACCCCCTGTTGCTTGGAAATGGTAAAAGAAATTGATCAGGTGTGACCAAATATTATGAATGGGCATCAACTCATGGAGTCTTTGAAGGTTAGAAGCACATGGGTGAAGGAGTTAGACATTTTTCACTCTTGAAAGTGAATTTAGTCCGTCATAAGTTTTATTAAAATTGTGTTCAGACCAGAAAAGATCATTTTAAATGTGTTTTATACATCAATTGTGGTGTCTATGAGCTACAACATGAGGTTAAAAACCAAACATAAAAGTCCACCATTTTAGCTTAGAGGACTAATAAAGTCATCATAGTCGTTCTGGGGTAAGTTGTTGGCTCTCCTGAGAAAGTAAAGGAGTCTGATGAGAGGATCAGAGTTTCAGTTCAGATTGTTGAAATGTGTTACTTTTTCTTTTCAGAAATACAGCTGTGAATGTTCTGAATCACTTAAAGGCATTCTCATGTTAAAATGGCTTTTTACAAAACAACTTTTTAGCAGTTATATGCAATAATAATAAAAAGAATTATTGTACCAGTTGAATAGTGTATAATAGATAAAAATACACATGAATGTGAAGAAGTGACTGTTATTTAGGTAGAGAGAAGGTGAGGGAGGGCTGGGGTGGAGAGTAGGGGGGGTAGTAGGGATACGACTCAACTTACCCCGCTCTTATGGTCAATTTACCCCATACACAGGGTAAGTTGACCATAGGAGACCACTTTTTTTGGCATGCTATATTATCAAGACAGTTATGTTTACACTCATTCTGTTGGTTTGCAGGGATGCACATCTTCAAATATAAGCAGATACACTAGTTAGAGACAAAACTATGATTGTCTTGATGGAGTTATCCAAAATATGTAAAATGGCTCATCTTACCCCACTCTCCCCTATTACTCTGATAAAATGTTTGATGTTTTGTTTCCAGGTGGGACAGTCCACATGGTGTGCAGGAATAGAGACAGAGCAGAGGAGGCCAGGGAGGACATCATCTACGAGTCTGGGAATACAGTGGGTGTTTTCAGCTTAACTGTGACTGAAGGACAAGAATGAAGAGATGAATCCCATGATTTGTTACAGCAGAGGCTGATACATATCTGGTTGTTATAGGAAGTCTACGCTCATATTGTGGATATGTCAGAGACACGCAAAGTCAAAGAGTTTGCAGAGGACTTCAAGATGCAGTACTCATCCTTAAATGTGTTGGTAGGAGTTGCCGGCTGCTTTGATTTTTTGATAGAAATAGTGATGTTGGTGCTGACTGTATTTTTTCTGCACAGATAAATAATGCAGGCTGTATGGTGCACAAAAGAGAGCTGAGTGCTGATGGACTGGAGAAGAACTTTGCCACAAACACAATGGGTGAGATGGCATTCTGTCAGTCAAAGAGAGCCATGCTGTTTCATCTTAAATAACACTTTGAAACATTTTCCTCCAACTCCTCAGGGGTGTACGTCCTCACTCAGGCTCTCATCCCACTTCTACAGAAGAGTCGGGATCCAAGAGTGGTATAAACACACAGACAAGCACTAACACACGAAAACAAAACGCTCATCTGTGTCATGAGGGCAGCAAAATAAAGCCTCCTCTGTTTACAGTGCTGTAGCGGCTGTTGTCTGAGCACACTGAGCCTCTTTTCTTCCTGCATGTTAGATCACTGTGTCATCAGGAGGCATGCTGGTCCAGAAGCTCCGAGTTGATGACTTGCAGTCAGATAAGGGCCACTTTGATGGGGTCATGGTGTATGCTCAGAATAAGGTAAGAGGTGACAAATGGGTTTGGAGTAAACAGGAAAATAAACAAAAGATTACCACACTACATTTTTTTCTTATATATCTAAAGTTCTCATAACTTTATGATTTGGTGTCTGAAATCTAAGAGAAAACTATCAAGCAGTATGTATTTAAAAAGTCATGAAACATTAGCATTTGCATCACTAATTATAACCCTGAACTTTGACCCATTTTAGTGTAAAATGGGCAAAATGCAGTCATTTTGTAGCAGTGTTTGAATGATAGTTTTGTACCTCGGCTCATGTCAAATATGTGGATACACATTGACTTTATGTGTTAGTCTGGATTTCTCTGCGTAATGTGATTGAGCAGAATCATAAAGACATTAAAAAGTTATCAAAAGTACATTTACTGGATATGTGATTGCTATAGAGGTAGAGGACCTGTTTTTTTTATCTGAGGGAACTATGTGTTGTTTCCTCTCAGAGACAGCAGGTGGTGCTGACACAACAGTGGGCCAAAGCAAATCCACTCATTCACTTCTCTGTGATGCATCCAGGCTGGGTGGACACACCAGGTACCGACCCAATTTTGTAATTACTATCAACTATTGGTGAATTTCGCCTTTATGACTAACATTAAAAATGCACTTTTCACTTTGGTTTATACTGAAATGACAAATACTTAAAAGTGGAACTAGTGGATTTATTTTAGTATAAAAATAATAAGGTGTCTTGGGAGTCTTAGCCCAATAATCACAATACACATGCAGCTTACCATGTTCGTTTCCAGCTGTTGCCACCTCCATGCCACAGTTCCACCAGATGATGGGGGACAGGCTGCGCAGCGTGGAGCAAGGAGCCGACACCGTAGTGTGGCTGGCCTTGTGTCGAGTTTCTGCCAGATCACGCAGCGGGCAGTTCTTTCAAGGTAAACAGCGAGAAATCCACATTCGCTTCATCAGCAGATACCACCTCTGACAGACTGTTTGTGTTGCAGATCGTTGCCCCGTTCCAGCTCACCTGCCTCTGGCCTGGACTCACAGTTCTCCTGAAGATGTTCAGAGATTCATGAGTCAGCTGGAAACTTTGGCCAAAGCCATCCTGTCACAACCTGAGGAAGAGCACAACAGTCCCATGAGCGCCACCAGACCTCAATTTGTTTGAGATAGAAACACTGACACTCCACAATAAACGCCTTTGTTTACATTTTTTTGCAAATTCCCAAAATCCTACTGATGTCAACTCGTTTTAAATTGCATTTTCTCATCCAACATATTTGATAGACATACATACTATCAGGTCAGTGTTGCGAGATTTGTGGGTGATTTAAAAGTCTTAACTGGAATATCTATGGAACAACTGATGTGAAGACAAAAGTTAACCTATTTTCTTGGATGATATCATTTGAAGGTACAGAATGAATGTAAAAACATGACTGGCTATTTGATAATAAACAGATTATATCCTGATTTCTGCTGGATGGGATGTAGCTGTCTGATCTTTTGACCACATACAAATGTCTACACTTACCATGTGCAATACTTACATTTACGATGTGCAGTAGATACATCTTGCCCCTTTGTGCTGGCACTGCTCAAGTTGATACAAATTTGCATTAAATTTTCACAGCGTTTTCACTCCTGCAGATCCTTAAGAATCAAAAAGTATGGACTAAAAACACAGACTGAGCATATATGTTAAAACTGAAAACATAAATGAGTCCCAAGATTTTAGCAAATCGATAGTGTGAAAAACTACAGAGCATCAATACTCATTACTTTTATTTTTGTTTTGTAACAATCCACAGTTTCTGTTTTTAATAATTTTATTGTTTTTATACAGTATTGAAACAAAAAAATAATGTGGTGCATTCACATTTTTCCCAAGGGATTCTTTGCAAGTTTGATCTCTACAAGGGTAAAACAGTGAAAAGCTTGAAGCTGGAGCCATCCAAAACTCTCAGGGAATAGGAAGACTGGGCCTGATTTTAAAATCATCTACATGATTCTTTTTTTTTTTTTTTTGTCTGCGCCAACATTTCATTCCCCGTTTACGTGTGTTTACTGTGTTTTTGTTAGGGACGATGAATCAGGTTCCCAGCGTTTGTCTTTAAAAGAAACTTCCAGTCCATGCGTAACAACAGTCCAAAGAAAACAAACAAATCCTCCCAGACCAGTCTCTTCCTCCTCTTCTCCACAGTCCATTCTACGCAACATAGGTGTACACTTTACGATCTTCTGGCGTCCTTGCCAAGTATTCTCTTTCTATTAGTCCTTCTATACGTTTCTTGATGACCACAGGGCTGGGAAGAAAACGCGCCCGAAGCTGCTGGGTCACCTGAAGACACAAAGTCATGAATATGAGAAAACAGCCTTTAAATTAGATTTCTCTGTTGAACATATAATAGATATTCAAGCCTGAAAATATGGAGCTCAGACACTCGAAAACTACAACAACAAAACTTATTACCCTAAGTTATTCCTATTATGTGAATTCTTACCTCTGCCACCAGGACATTGTGCTGCATCTTCTTTCTTGACTTCATGATTCTGACAATAGCCGCTTCGATTTCATGCTTCCTGTCATCATCCACTTTCTGCCGTGTCTCTTTCCTTTCAGGGTCTGATTCCCCTTGTTTAGCAGCAACTGGGAGAAAAAGTTGTAGGGAGAAGATAAAAATGTAAAAATAATCTCAAGGTAATCTCTAACAAAAAGAAAAATACAGTTTTGAGACAAGAGATCTGGGTATTTTACCAAAACTTTGGTATGTTTTTAAAACTGTAAATGTTGACAAAGTAACCATTCTGTGTTTAAAGAGATGACACAGGATCAAATTTTAGAGATAGTATGACCCTTATGACTTGTAGTATATAAAAAAGTATGTAGAATCATGTTTCAGATCGCAGAGTAAGCCAGACCACAAGTTCTCTATGGTTACTCTATGTGTTGTAAACAAACTCAGCCCACCTGTCTGTATTTTGACTCTGTGCAGTTTGGAAGTAAACTGATCATTGACTGTAAACACATGGCCGCTCTCGATCTCCTTGGACTTTGGCTCCTTGGTGAGAACTCTCTGCGTTGGCTTGCCGCAGGCTAGAGACTGCAGCGCCCGCACTAACTCCCTCTCAGGAATATCTGTTTCCTGCTGGATCTCCTATAGACGGGGGCAGACGAGACGTGATAAGCGCAATTATCGAGAAAAATCAATCATCACTTTGAATTATTGAGTCGAGCCACAGTGAACTATGTCAAAGCCCTCAGGAGTTAAAAGCAGAATGAGATTAAGATAGCTGGATGACAGTTTGTCCCCACCTCAAAAGTGCACTTGTCTCGATTATTGAAGAGCATCAGGATGGTCATCTGGAAGGTGGAGACCTGCAGGATGTGCTTCCGAGTGTTCGAGCCTGTCACCTGAGCACCACCCACACCCACCTCTGAACCGTCCTCCTGCACATGAAGGAAAAGAGAAGGTATATCAAGACTTCACGTTAAAATCTCTTCTTAAGACCTTGAATTGTGTCATATACAGTTAAAAGCATTTCATGAGATCATTTGAGTCTACCTTTTTGATAGCCCCGTAGAAAGTTGCGTTCAGATCCGCCCCGCCCATGTGGTGCTGCAGTGTGAGCTGTCTGCCGCTGTGCTTAGCGAGGTAAAACCTGCCGAGTAAAAGCGAAGTTTAAGATCCATTGAGATGAGTAAAAAATCGAGTCTTCGTATGTGCGGCGGATAGTTTGACAGGTTACCTTCTAAAAACTTCAAACGCGTGTCTGGGGGCAGGTGGAATGGTGCATTTAGGTGTTGCCGACTGTGTGGGCCAGTAGCCAGTTGTGAGGACTCTTACTGTGAGGTCCACGCCACTTAGAGATGCCTGTAAAAGATATGTTCGTGTTTTTTAGAAGTTCTTTCAAACCAGCACACAAAACTTTGTATGACTACAATGCACCTATGATGAAAGTTACCAAAGGTTGTTAAAAAAAATGTTCCTCATTTAGCAAAACTTGCCTCTTCTCTAACATTTTATGCGTTTCTGAAAGGGTGTCTGCCTTACCGATGTGGTTTGTATGTGCTGCCGGAACTCGTCCATTGTAGTGTTTGAGATGCTCATGTCTCGAAACATCCCTTCCAGTTTTGAGGTAAACTGACAGCCACATTCTGTCTGTGAAAGAGGACAACAGAGGAAAAAGAGTGTAAACCCCCTGGTGGAGGCATGTGCAGGGAGCAGTGATAACCAGGATCCAGCTCTATCCTACTTTTTTTTACCTTGAGCTTAGAGATCATGTTCTTCTCCGAGTCGTCTGACACGCTCTTGTTGCTGAGCAGTCTGCGGCCCAGATGCTGCTTGTAGTACCTTTCAAACACGTCCTTCTCCTGCATGAATCTGAACAACACCATGGCCTTGTCTAGGATGGACTCCACCTCCTGTTCTGTCAGCTGATCAGCAAAAAGAAGAAGAGTGATGTGACACTGCACTTGACAAACAGAGAACAGTAAAGGAATATTTTCAGTGTTAAAAGGCTGCTTACCCCCTTGACCCCCTTCTTTAGTTTGTCATCAATAAATAGAGAGAGGTACTCTGGCGAGCGAGAGTTGAGGTTCAGGAAATACTCAAAGTCTCCAGCTATGGTTTGTTTGAAGAGTCTGTCGTTGTTGAAGGACTCGAGGAGGAAACGATCAAATCGTGTTTTCAGGTCCAGCAGGCCCTGTTAGGAGGCAATACAAAAGGGTTGTATAATCCATCAATAGTATGCATTAACACACTTGACTCTTAAGGTGTGAAAGTCCTAAGAAATTCCCTTGGATGTTTGAGTCATTGTTCAACCAGCATACCTGGATATAGTCGACAGGGTTCTTTCCCTCCCCCTCTTCTGACACCAGAGCTTTGCCTTGCTCCCTAAGGTAAGAGCTCATACACTCGCACATGGTTTTAAGGCCATTTGGCACGCGACTGAACAGCTTGTACATGCAGGCCAGGTCTGGGAGAAAGACAAGGCGGGAAAAGGAAAGAGGGACAAATTCAAACTTTAAGGAAAATCCATCCCTTCAGAGTTGACTGAAAAAGGAAGAATCATGAGGACAAGTCTGTTACCTTCTGTCTTGCCATTTTTAAGCATATGAACAAGGCCAGAGTTCTCCATCTCCACTATGGTCTTCATGTGTTTAGAAATCAGCTCTCTCTCCACCACTTTGACAATGGGCTCTTCAGTGGATTTGTCCAGGCAATGCATAACTCGCTCAATCTCCTCGTTGATTCTGGCCTCTACTTTCTTTATGTAGACGCTGGCACTGTTTTCTGCTAGGAACTTTTGGCTCTCCATCTAGGAAGATTACAGATATTGTCCATGTGTTGCTTTATCCCAAAGATGCTTAAGTGCAACACTACTACTAGAATACTACTGACTTACCTGGAAGAATTCTGCTGACATATCTAAGAAAGGGCCCTCGAAATCCTCCTCATACACAGACCTGCCGTCCAGGCCCAGGATCATCAGCATCTGGCAGGCATTTCTGATTGCTCCCCTGCAAAAACAGACAAAAACATGGAATATCTTTCAAAACAAAAATGAGTAATAAAGTCACCAGAATGCTCATTTTTACCAAACACCTGGAAGTAGGCCTTTAGTTACAGAAATATTTCACATCACTTGGTGAAGACTTGCTCCTGCGTACCTGTCTACCACCTCTCCCTTCCTCTCACGGGCGATCATGTCCAGTAACGTCTGTCGCAGGTGGTCTCGGATGCAGCCGTAGCGCACCACCTGGTCCCTGAATATGATGAGCCCGAGGTTGTACACATTCTCCACATTGTTTTGTTGCACATAGACCCGGTCCTGGGAGATGAGAGCAGGATCAAAAAAAAAGGACAAACCAACTCAAGTACGAGAAATTTCAGAAACCATGACAAGGCAGTTAAAACTACTCAATACAGTAGTTTACAACTAACAGTGTGAACAGTGTTCATCCTCCCTCCCTTTGCATTACAGATTAGGATTGTCATGTTCTATGTCAACCATACACAAAAAGAAAAAAAAAAAAAAAGAAAAATATCCCTGACATCTCCTGTGATACTTTTTCTAGGAGCTGGATAAGTCAGAAACCCTTAATAATATTATGTGCAGTCCAACCAACTGGTTTCAAAGCCTTATTGGGCCATTAGTCTTGTAATGAAAGACTGGTAGATGTTTGGGTAGCATGAAATAGACTTGAAAAGACTTGAAAAACAGCCAGTTTTAGTCCAGAATGACAAATAGCCCCATTAGTTAGTTTCAACTAGACCACAAAACTTCAAAGAATCCGTCTGGGTCCATGTTGTAAATGTCATTGCTATTAATTTTCAGTTTGGTTTAAACAGACATCACTTGGTCAGATTTCTGATGTCATGTTTTTGTGCTCATAAAATTTGACTCCCTTAAGCCTCTTCCTTTTACTTAGCTTACTGAGGTTAGACTATATCTAAGAGAAAATACAAAAGTGCGTCAGAGTCAGTTAAATTGAAGAAAACTGTAAGGATGTTTGCAATCATGATTTCTCTCCTGGACCAATGAGCAACATCTCCAAGACTTCAAGTAAGGCAGAGGCCTTCAACAAGGTTAATACAACCTGATAAGCTACACAGACTCACACTTGCTGCAACTCTGTGGCTCTCCTTTAGAGGTCAGCAGCAGCTGACACCAGCAGCAGGCCACACTCATTACACAGAAGTGTAATGCTATGATTATTATGACAGAAAGCCGACTGCCTGGGGTACAGCTCGGACAGGAAAACAGAGAGGATACTACAAAAAAAACCTCAGGAGAGCTGCCTCGGCTCTGTTCTGACTGTGCCATTGTTAAAGCCTACGCTTGTGGTCATCTCAAAGGCTCACTCACAAACCAAAAAAACACTTTCGACTTGCTGCTGGCTAAAGGAAATCAACTAGACCTGCCAGTTTTTCAACAAAACAAACAAATGCAGCAACAGGAGCTCATTGTTAGGCCTACAAACAAAAAACACCACCTTGCAATCAAAGCCCAGAAAAGGATGTACATGAGGGTGGGTCAGAATTTGAAACAGAGACTCATTCCTCAAAAAAATATATTTGTGGCAAATAACAAGCAACATTCTCCACTTACAGAGGCTTTTGTAGAAATCCTTAACCTTTGATCTTTCTCAAACAAAAAAATAACCAACACAACGTCAACGTCCACCTACCATGTACATGAGGATGTCTCTGATCATGACCATTGCAGTTTGATGGTCATTCCAAGCTTGATTCAGCGTTTGCAGAAAATTGTTATTGAGAGAGTTTAGGACGTCTTCCCGTACCTGAAAATAGGAACATATTACAGCGAGATGGAGGTTAAATTATGGTTGCGATTGATGAATACAGACGTTGAAATGTATCATTTTTATGATGCACCACAATCAGACGTGGGCGATCCTGCATCGATGCAACGACAGAGATAATCGATTCAAGCCTACGTCATGTGTGTGTGCAGTGTATTATATTTGTGTGTGTGTTAGCCTTCACTGTGAAGCTAACAGACAGCACAGGAGTAGCAGACAGACTCTGTAAGCAGTAAAAGCTAAGAGCAGTCATATCTTTTAATAACAAAACCACTGTGATTTAAACATTTACTCCCCTTACTACTGGACTCTGTGCCACACACCACTGCTTACTATTCGCAACATCGACTTACTTGCAGTTTTTGCACAATCAGGACTTAGACATGGCTGACCATCTGTGGGCTGGATCTGGCCCACATCAGGCTTGATATTTATTATTTATGCGATGACAGGACACACTCAGTCTGCTCTTCTGCTCCTGTTCATGGTAACAGCCACACACAAATGCTCTGACTGTTTCCTGTTTGCTTAATATATATAGTTATGGGAGACTAAAACAGAAAGGCGGTGCAGGCGTGTGTAATTCTGTGTGTGTCAGAGATGGGGGAGGCAAAGGCTAATGAGAAGATCAAAACCTTTAAGGGGAGAAATGTTGATGCAGTATGGGTTTATGGTGATTTGAGCAGTGGAAAACAACCTACAATAAACACCGCCGTCTACTCTTTGTAATATTTTTCATATATGACAATCCATGAATATTGAGCCTACTTGGTCAGACACAACAAGCAATAAACTATGACATCAATGGTTGATGTGTACTGTAAAGAAAAAATGAAGTAATATCGATGACGAGTTTATCCCATTCTCATTTAATCTGTAGTTATTTGAGGGTTAGTAAACTCCTTGTAGCTCCTACACGTACCTGTAGAGGTCTAGATTACTATACAGCATTGTGATGCATCCTGATCAAATAATCAGATCAAACAGTGAGACCACTGACTCAGATGGAAACATATGAAACTACACAAAAGACCTCATAGCTGCCTGTAAACCGAGTATCTCAGAAATTACTTTATCTCTTTGTGTTTTAATCCTGATCTACTTGATATAGCTAATCTTATTCATTACCAATAGAGTAAATGTGAGCCCGTATTTTGAACAACAAGTCCAAATCCAAGACTTTCCCCTTGGACTCATGTTTTTCTGTCAATGCATTTCAGTGTTGAAAAGGAGTTTAAACCTAGCATGGCTTAGCGAAGCTTGCACTTTACACATAGGAAAAACATGGGTGGCACAGAAGAGTTCATTGTGGATTAAATGTTGCAAAAACCAATGTTGTGTAAAATGAGAGTGGAGTGCCTCTTAGAAACTTTAGTGGAAAAGGAATCAAACACTGAGCTTTAAAAGTAGTCACCAATTTAAAACATATCTCTCACCTATGGTCATCATGGGGTTATTGGCAAATGAAAGTGACTACATTAAGATACAGAGGTTGAATGAATTTCTCCCACAGAGTGGTTGAGATCCGTCTCAGAGATATATCTTATTTTGATTTGAAGTGCCTTAATATACCACAGGGAGAGCCAGGCCAGCACCTTTTGCTTCCAGGTAAATATTCATGGTTTTTCACATTGTGGGATAATGTCTCAAAACACACTTAATGGGACTTAACTTTTGTGTGTGTTAAAGCTACAGACTTTGACAAATATTAAAATCAAGCTTGACAGTTACCATGCATTGGAGCAGGATAATTATGTCACTTTGGAGGATGTCAACAGGTCATCAAGTATGCCATAGTAATGGAATTCAACTTAGGGTTCCCCACACATACTTGACTGCCACAAAGAAGTAACCCTGTATGGTTTTAGTTAAACGACCAGCAACAGCGAACATTCAATATCATAAATTTTAAAATTTGGCATCTCATTTCTTTACTCAGCAGTGGTATGACTCCGCCTCAGCGTCCTCTGTTTATGATTTTCAAGAGAGAGCTGCATTTTAGAGGAAGCGTTTCTTACTTTGTTAATGAGATGCTCTGTGACGACCTCCCTCAGGCCTGTGTACAGTTTCTCCCCATGTTTATGGAGCACCATGGTGTAGGCATTCCTGTACAGCTCCTCAAAGCTTAACCCACTGTTGTTCTTCCTCTGGATTTCTTGGATGGCATTTTTTAGAAGGTCCCAGATGTTGTTAACATACTTCTCATCCATTGTCATCTAAGAGGGGGAGAAAAAAAAGTGTGTTAGGTGAGATAAGTTGATATTGCAGCTTTCTAGCAGACCTAAAATGTTTGGAAAAAAATTGTCAGTGTCGCCCAGAATGTGGTTTCAGTTATTGGTAAGTGTGCCAGTCAGTATGCAGTGTAAGAGAGTGTTACCCTTAGAGTTTTTCCCTTTAACAATATGACCTTTTTTTAAATAAACACTCGCATTGTTGGTATCTCTTATTAGCCAACACTCTAGTCTGTATCAGTATAAAGACAGAAGAAAAAAAACGAGCCAAAAAACCTTTGACCAAATCAAACAAAAATTGAGCAAAAGCTTTTCGCTATTCAGTAATTCTGAATACTAGGGGATGCACTGTTTGTAAAACCAGGGGCAACATTGATACTAATGTTGAGAATAAAAATTCAGAGGCTGCATCCTTCAGAGGACTAAGCCTTCAACCTACACAACATCTGAGGCCTGCACAGCCTGCAACAACTGGCTGTTGTTTGTTGAAACAGGGTGATACTGATAATCAATCTATACATTGATGCTTCCCTATGGAAACATGTTAAATGGCTTTGCCAGACAAGCAATAAGCCATATTTCTGATGCATTTTTCTCCATTTATTTACCCTGCAAAAAGTAGATAGGATCCCTAGATGACTCTGGCTGCCATCAAATAACTTTTTGAATCACGCAAAAGCAATGTGGCGTAACAAAATCAATCATTTTAACTGAAGTAGTTATACAGCATCAAATAGATCCACTTCTAACACAATTTTTCTCAATCAGGCATCATAAAAGGAACTCTGAGATATCAATTGAATTAGCAGTAAGTGTAGATGTAGCTGGAGAGGGCATCATTAAGTTTCAGAGTGAATTTGCTTTGGTTTAGTCGCTGCAGTTTGAAGAGAAAGAGAGGTAACAAAAAAGAAACAAGTGGGCTGACAGCATCATGTACTATCCAAGAAACAGGAATCACAGAGATTCGGCAGTGTGTGTGTGTGAGATATCTTGGCAGTCTACGTTAAACAGAAAACAAAACATGCATTACAAATGGTGCTAAAAACCTGAGCACATGAACGCTGTGCAGTCTTTTTAAGAGACACAACATGAAAAGCTCAACAATCTTGAAGATGGAGATAGTGTAACAGGAGAAAAGGTCTTTAATGAATGAAGATCGAAACAGGATTTAAAACCACTGTTTACATTTATGATCAAATTTCTCCCAAATCGAACCTTAAAGCTGAACAGAAAGTAATATAATTATTCTCAGAGTTAACAGGGATTAGGTAAAAGGAGATTACATTAGCTTTCTGTCAAAAAAAAAGAATTCGCAATATCATCTACTCTCATTCATGAAAGCATTAGTCATAATCAATACTAAACTAATATAACTGCACCAGCCAAAGTGATTACCAAACAGAAGAAAGCATTCAGTTTCACACCTTACCAACCCATTTTTGTCTTGTTTCTTTACATTAACAACACACGCCTCATGAAAACTGAAAAGATTTACTACTTTATATCAGAGGGTCAGTGTATCATTATGCTTATCAATGTCACACATTTAGATAAAGAAGTTATGATAGAGAAGGATTTGGTAAAATAAAATGTAACCTTCGCTTGACAGTTGATCTGTTTATAGATCACAGTATTTATCCATGGCAAGAATTACAAAAGAGGCGGTGGGGTTGAACAATTTTAATACCTGCAACAGGTATGTAAAACCACCTCATAGTAGATTTATTGTTGACTAGCGGGCTGGGCTTGCACTAGCATGCAAACTCAACATTTGAGAAAGGATTAAGTGTGCGCTCACTCGTCTGCTTGCTGACTCACTGTGCCAGACACCCACTCACAAAAACAAGACAACCAAGGGTAGAAAAGGCGTTTGTTCGTTTTTTTCACTGTTAATCTACACAAAAAAATGACAGATATCACCGGGGCTTAAGAATTTACACCAGATAAAAACCTTGACCATCTAATACAACAGTCCATACAATCTACTTTCAGGAAATGTCTTAATTTTCAGTTTTTATTGACATGATCAGGCAGGTGACTACAATACTTTGGGTAGTGGTGGTAAACTGGAATATGTTATTCTGAAAGATACTCCTCATATTCTGTCCTCCTCATAAACAAATATAACCGTACTGTAAGGTTACATCTAGTTTTTTTGCAATGTATATTATCAGGTGTCGCTTCCACCCTCATAATTGTGACATAAATTTAGATAAATATGCAGTGTCCTGATATAACAAAACTTTTAAAAAAGTGGAGGCAAAATTAAAGGGAAGCGCATTCCAGTACAACACCCACAACAACTTCAGCAATTAAGTCACAGAACAGTGACTGCCTGTCTGATCATGCAAAAGCCTCATAAAGGTAGAATTTGTAGGAGAGCTTAGGACTGTGCGATTATTTGATCTAGTCGATAAATTTTAGTTTGATCATAGTGATCAGCTGTGAGCATATTTACTCGATCAAACATTGCGGAAATGTGTGTCACAACAGCCAATTGGAGTCAAGCTTTCCCTGCTCACTTCTGTAAGTTGTCGGAGAAGTAAACAGGAGAAGTAAACAGAATGACTGATCGTGGAGCTAAACGCAGAGCTGAGGGCAGCAAAATAGATGTCAGCCGTGACTTTGAGTCATCCTCCGAAGATGTTATTGTTGAGAAGTTATTCAACGTCGATTGTGTGGCGGTGCCGTGGTTTGGGTATTTCCAAAGTGACGTTAAGTAATTAAGCCGAGGTAAGGTATGTCACCGGTCAGTGCCTCAAAAACCGGCAACACAACAAATCTGTTTAATCATTTGAAGCTCTTCCTGAGTGATTATGCGAAAAGCATGAAAATGTGGGCGGAGTCTGTACAGCCTGTCACTGCTGATGGCACAAGTAACGTTAGCAGGTCAGCTACAACTAGCGGTGCAATTACCAGACCAAAGCAATCAGTCTTATCATTTACATTTACATCATCTAATGTTTACATTTTAAGGCGTCTTCATTATCCCCGAGGAAACAATTTGTTTATTTTGGGTCTTGCATACCTGCAAAAACACTCAGGACTGTAAAGTAGTTCACTGTATTATTTAGAATGTATCTACATTTGTTGTCCTGTTGAGTTAAAAAGGTTTTTTAAATTTGTCTAAGTGTGTCTTATTCTTTGTTATTTACTTTGTATGTTAATAAAATATTGAACTAATCTCTAGTTTCTTTAGTTTTTAGTACAGATGCTTAAAAACTGGCAGTTTAAAGAAAAATCCTGATAATAATCGAGATCGGACGATACAACAAAATAAATTGTGATCTTTTTTTTTTTGCCAAATCCCCCAGGCTTAGGAGAGCTGTTGCATTAGGTTGCATTTGAGTGCCAAAGATGCCCTGGGCTGGACGGAGTGAGGAGAGTGCATATCTCTCAAAATGGCAATAATGCTCATGAGTGGGATTAGCTCAAATAACTCTCTGGGACTAAATGCATTTCAACCCAGTCCTGTTTTTTTTATGTACTGTGTTCAACTAGCAGCTTTGGTGGATTGCTGAGTTGACGACACAATAATGCTCACTGTTTAAGTAACCAGTGGCTTGTTTACGCTCATGTTTAGGCTGAAGTTACAGCAGCTCTGAATGTACATGCTAATGTGTTTATTCCAGCCCACAGCAGCCTGCGCCAACTGTTTGGTGCAATCAGCCAAATGAGCCTGCTGTTGCCCAAGTGTAATGATAGTTTCGGACTGACTGCAACTTAGCAGGGTCAGCTAACATTACCAGGCCTGCTGCTACATTGATAGCTACAATTTACTAGTGTGTCATTAAAGAACTTTCTGCACCTATGCTAACATTAGCTCCTGTCAAACGACGGTAGCTTTTGTTTTTAAATCAAGCAGCTAGCTATCGTTAACTCAACAGATATAGCATGAAACATGTTTTCAGAGCATTTGAACCGCTGACTGCTTGTTTTGTTTGCATGGCAATGACATGTTTTTCTTGTTTGGCCAGCTAGCTAGCATGCACTTGCTAGCATAGACAGCTCTCCTCCCCGGTACTCGAGTCTCACAGTCAGCGTCTCGGAGCTCACAGAGCCGGTAAAGACTTACAGGAAAGGCTCGTATCCTCATCTTGGTGTCCTTCTTGGTGCCGCCTTTGAGGTTGGACATGTTTAGGTAGAACGACTTTCGTTTCTAAGTTGACTTAAAGACTACATGAAAGGCAGCTGCTAGGTTGCTTTCAATGCCAGAAAAGCGGCAGGGAAACTCAGTGACCTCCCTATTAGGAAATAGGTCGGCGTGTGTGTGTCTGTTGTGTTGTTGTCACTCGCTCTCCTCTCAGTGGTTTGTAGCTAATGTTAGCTTGTATGCAGTGATGGCGGACGGCAGTTCAACACTGCGCAACGCTAAAGTCTCGCGAGATTAAAGTCGTACTGACAGGTGCATTCCACAGGTTGATTGTAATCTGCCCGCTCAAATCATGGCAGTTACATGACATTTGATATTTGTAAGTTAAATATTTTACAAATAGTTATGCGCTGTAGACTTTATAGAGCCTTCTCCATCCAAAATATATCAAGAATGTACCGGGGCAAGATATTTATTTCATATCGTGACCGTTTGGAAACACAAGCTTACCCCGTGTTTGCCTTCGGGGTGTTGTGGTGGGTAAGAACTGTTAGACTTTTTTTTATTAGCAGAATACACTTTACATGGCCACTCTATGTCTATATGTCCAAAAGTCTTTGCTACAGGGTGCAGTCTTTGCATATCATTCTAATTTCTGTTTGTACTTTTTCCCAGTCCAACGTTGACTTCGGTCGTTGTCCAACTGCAAGTCCACATGGCTGACCAACAGCTGGTAGACTGGGTATCTTCTCACTGTCATGACGACGCTCTCTGAGTTAGAGACAGAAAATGGCACAACCAGCTGGTGAGTCTTCACACTGAAAAGCTTACACAAACATGGATTTAATGGCAAAACATCGGACAATAAAACTAGCTACTCCAATAGGATTGGAGTAGGGGAGAGTGGGGTAAGTTGAGCCAAAGGGTAAGTTGAGCCACCCCCTGTTGCTTGGAAATGGTAAAAGAAATTGATCATGTGACCAAGTATTTAGGAGATTGGCATCGATTCATGGAGTCTGTGAGGGTTAGAAGCACATGGGTGAAGGGGTTAGACATTTATTCCAAAAAAACATTTTTCACTCTTGAAAGTGAATTTAGTCTGTCATAAGTTTGATTATAATTGTGTTCAGACCAAAAAAAAAGATCATTTAAATCTGTTTTATACATCAATTGTGGTATCTATGAGCTACAACATGAGGTCAAAAACCTAGCATAAAAGTCCACCATTTTAGCTCAGAGGACTAATAAAGTCATGGTAGTAGTTCTGGGGTAAGTTGAGCCAGTAGCTCAACTGAGAAAGTAAAGACGTCTGATGAGAGGATCAGAGTTTCAGTTCAGATTGTTGAAATGTTTTACTTTTTCTTTTCAAAAATACAGCTGTGAATGTTCATAGTCACTTAAAGACATTCTCATTTTAAAATGGCTTTTTACAAAACAGCTTTTTAGCAGTTATATGTAATAATAATAAAAATAATTATTGTACCAGTGGAATAGTGTATAATAGATAAAAATACACATGAATGCGAAGAAGTGACTGTTATTTAGGGAGAGAGAAGGTGAGGGAGGGCTGGGGTGGAGAGTGGGGGGGTAGTAGGGATACGGCTCACCTTACCCCGCTCCTATTGTCAAGGAGCTTACCCCATACACGGGGTAAGTTGACCATAGGAGACCTTTCTTTGGCATGTTATACTATCGTGACAGTTATGTTTACACACATTCTCTTGTTTTGCAGGGATACACGACATCTTGAAATATATGCAGATACACTAGTTAGAGACAAAACTATGATTGCCTTGATGTAGTGATCCGAAATATGAAAAATGGCTCATCTTACCCCACTCTCCCCTTCAGTAAAGTCACAAAAGTCTTTATTTCGTTCTGCATTCTCTCAATATACAGTCTAACAGTCGTATTTTTGGATTACCAATCATTATGCATTATTGGCTAGTTCCTCATTCGAAGTGCTCATTTTAGCCTGTAAACTGCAAGAAATGTAATACAGCACCAAAGTGACACGTAATAGAGGCTAATTGAGTAGATTTTAGAATAATCAATTTAAAGTAAAAGTTTTGATAAGATAAAGGAAATTCATACAAAATAGATATTCATGTTCATAAAGTCGACAGTTTAGATATATTGGATTTAAAAGAGAAATGCTCAAAATTTTTTTCACATGATAAACAGTTTTTATATGTTTATATTGATCGATTATTTAAGAAAATTGACTTTAATTGTCCTGAATATAAAGATGAAATTAATTTGATTACACTTAAGAAAATGAGTCATGCCAACTCATATTTTCACACATTGTCACTCTATTCAACATGTTAAAATAGCCATTGTAATTATTCCATACTTAAATGCATTGTTTAATTTTAAGTTAAAAGTGGTGCCACATTACTCGGATGAAATCATATTGAATGGTACATGCAACTGTAGCTGTGTCAGCATTTCCCATCATTATAGGTACAATAGGCAAGCATAATTTGTGTATTTCATCTACCTTTACTCTTCTCTGTTATAATGGGAAGTGTTGCATTCTTTCGGAGATGAGTAGCAGGCCTCCTCTTCAGGCCCATGTTCTCCAGCTCCAGCTTTCTGATTTCCATCTGCATTGCACTGATCACCTGGATGAGCTTCAGATCACTGTCCATGGTGCTGACCACTAACATTTCATGAAAAGCATCTGAGACATCACATTAGTCTATAAAACCTTTAAAAAAACAGCCCACAGCCTAGATTTAAGTGTAGGAACCTGTAGACCAAACCTGGTTTGTTTTTCTTCCCTTTTTTCCAAAGCTCATTTGGACAGCAAAAGAAATAGGCAGCCAATCAAAAGAAGCGAGCTCCAGTGGTCTGCAATTAGACCATTGATGGTCAGGTCACATGATGGGGAGAGTGTTGTTTTCTTAGTTATCTGATGCCTACCACTTTCCTTCGTCCTGTTAAATATTCATTCAGTCTGTCAACATAAAGCAACAATAGGCACTTGGGAGAGGCATTTGTTTACAACTGCCAGTCTGTGTCAAGGAGAGGGATGAACTGGACCTTTTAAATCTAAGAGAATAGAAAATAATCTTTTTAGTGGCATTAATTAAGTTCTTGTTTTTTCAGTTATGAGGCATAACTATAAGAGAACCAACATATTTTAGCCAACAGCTGTGAGGAAGTAAGTGTTAAATTATGTGTGTTCAGTGCTGCTCTGCTGCTCTCTAGTGTTATCTTGTCCCAACATCATGCTTACAGAGCACCAAGCAGAAAAACATTATTTCACTGACCTCTTCTGGTTGAAAATGTCAATGGACTCTTATTGATCGATAACTTTAGATAGCAGTAATGTTGATACCTGTCCTACTAATGATTACCCCTTTTGGACCTTTTTTTTAGAGGTATTATTTTTTCCATTTGACATACATCGCTAAAAAGACTAAAAAACAATTAAGAGGCAAATACCCCGAAAGATGTAAACATTACAGTGTGTTTATGTCTGTTGCAGACATACTGGTGGCTGAAGAGAGAGACAGCAATATGACCTTCCCTTATTTACTTTGCTGTTAATTTGCCTGAAATGACACTAGACCCTGCTGACCCATATTTTAACTCATAAGTGAAGCACTATAACACGTAGCCTGTTGCCCTGTGTGGTGTTTTGATGGAGCGTTACATACTCTAAGTTCCTCCCATTCCACAGTGTTGTGTGTAAGCTGTTTGTCTGCTGATAACACCCCACTCAGCAACTGAGATAAACTTCACATGCTGCCATACTGACAGCTAACACGAGATGCTGACAGCCTGCATGACAGAAATGCATTGTGGTTTTGGAAAAGAAGACTTTGCAGAGTGAGGGACATCAGTCTAGAGCCATCTTAATGATACCGTTATATTATTGTTGGTGGGCAAATGTCTCTTTCAACTTTGGGAACAACAGGATAAATTAAATCATTTAAATGTTTATTTTTGTTGGACCCATACACCAATAAGCCAGCAGGTGGCGTGTGTTGTGCTGTAAGTGTAACAAAATTAGGCCTAATGTACTTGAGCTTCCCCCATGTGCAAGCACATGACATCCTGCAGCAGCAGCAGCAGGGTAAAGCCAAAGGACAACAAAGTGGTGCATTTGAAAGCAGCTGTAATTGATTTTTTTTGCAAGTGATTACAGAGGCAGAATTTAATACACTGCCTTTGATTTCAGCTCTTTTCATCGCTGCTACTTACTTTGCAAACATGACACCAGAGGCTCAGGACAAATGCGGCTCCCTCCAGAATCCCGCATCATCATTTTTGCCAAGTTGCTGTTGATCTGACGCCAACACCACAAAACAGGACAAGTAATTTAATTTGCCACTGCTGCCGACCTTGAAGCAAGGAATGTAGGCTAGCAGAATCCCAATAGGGAGGCTTTTAGAAAGGAGCTGAGAGAGGGGTCAGGCTTGTGCCTGTAGCATCACACACAGTCTTCTCACCTCTACAGGAATGCTCTTGTCCTTCAGGTTTGCAAATAGAGACTGAGAAGATGGTACTCGTTGTACCTTTATGTAATAAATCGTGATAATGTTACAACTATATTCTTTTTTTAAGTTATTATTTTAGGAAGATTCTGCAGACCACATAACTATAAAAAGAAATTGTTATTGCATATAACCAAAACCTTAAAGCTTTATTCAAGGCTGAGGTTTTAGAGGCCATATTGCGCTCTAAATCTGGACTTTTTCAAGTAATAGAGTTTGACAATTGGCAAGCATGCACTGCTGCTTCATTGTCAAAAATATTGATATTCTTTCTCAAGTGGTGTAGACCCTAGTTGATGTTAGAGTAAACTTGCAATGCAGACATTATCACGACCTTATCTCAGTCAAGATTTGCACCCACATAAACTCTATCGGTCATAAATTAGGATAAGATTATGACTCATGGGATATGTCACACTGAAGTCTAGAAAGTGTCACCTTCCCATATGAGAGGTGCTAAGCAAAACCAAAAGCATAGGAGAAATTAGGACACAGCTGTTTTTATTATGTGAGACATACCGAAGATGACTTTTGGCACCTCTGTCAGTCCTGTTTACATTTCTGAGGGTACTTTGACGCACTGGCATCTCTGTTGATAAGGATACCTTCAAACCTTGAAAACAAACATACTAACATATCTTTCAGAAACTGCTTGGTAATTTTGTGTGAACTGTTTTGTCTTCCTTGACTTGTCACCACAATGACAATGATGAAATGACATTCAGAGGTGAGATCAATTCTTTAATCTCCTGAGTAAAACAAGTGTGCTGTTATGTATGTAACGTTAATAAGGTCCTATATGTAGATACATTTCTGGTCCTATCTCTCAACACCCAGAGCGAACAAATGTACCAATGCCCTCCTCTAGCCATGTGATGTGATGCAAGCTGGTTGTAATTGCAGCCATAACTTGTTGCCCGGTTGAGGTGACACCTTAAATCACCCTGGTGGAAATATCTTGGGTCAGAATTCAATATTGGTCATAAAATCTAAATATAAGACCCCGGGGACTAAGCTGTTTTACAGAGCGCTGCGGTAGCTGTCTGGCAAAAACAAAAACAGGGTAATAGGCCTTGGAAGTTGAGCCTCTGCCTCCTACAAGAGAGTGTGTGCCACTGAGAATATAGGGAGGATATTTGTGAAAGCATAACTTTGGAGAAGCTTTTTGAAAGCCTCTTTTGAATCCCATGTTGCTGGATTCCTCCTTGTCTTCCAGCGTGCTCCGGTTTCAAACAGTGACCTGTAGGTTTTCCAGCCACTCGGCACTGTCTTTAATGACATAGCCCATAGCCACAGTCCCATCCAGCAGCCTTCATTATGACTCAGTAATCATAGGTTGTATTTGTTTTTCTTTTCCTCTCCGATCTCTCTATCTCTCTCACTCTTTCTTTTCCGTAAACCTCCAGGCCTCTCACCCTCTCCGTTTGTTCTCCGCTGAGCAGGACGATTCCAGTAGTGAACAAGAGCCGCTACTGGAGAAAGTGTTTGTTGACTTTTCAGCACAGACTGGTGCTCTGTAGGGGAGCAGCCTGTTATTTATGGCTCAGCTATGTTTGATTGGCTAGGATGAGGTATAATTATGTCTGGCACACAGCTTAGCTAGTTTAAGAATTACAATAGGTACCATGTTGAGTTCACTGGTTGCCATGATACAAAGAGGAGTGACGTATACTGTATAGAATATGTGTTTAATATGAATCTATAGCTCTAATTGAGTCCCTCCTTCTGAACTTACTCTCAGCTCAGTGAAGCATTACTGTACAGTGGACCATTTAATGACTCATCACTGATACATTAGAGTTAATCACCAGCATGACAGTGGAGGTACTTCACAGCAAACTAAAACATGGCCACCAGATAATTGTTTTTAGATAGACTCCAAATAATATGACTCAATCCCTGAAATTTTGATAATGCATTAATGCAGCTTTTTTGTTCCAAAGGTTAGCATTACAGTGCTAGTTTCCATTTTTGTAAACCATGGTGGAGTTATTTGACTGATATGTGATCAGTATTGTTTATTGTTCTGTTAAATTTAATGCTAATGATTGCCGTATACAAAGAGGTCACTTTGGCTTTATATCAGATGAAAAAGATAAAAGTTCTTTTCATACACGAATTAAACAAAAGCAGGAAGTAAAAAACAATGAAACCCTAGAGGTATACTACAAACCAGGAAATGTGGTTATTGTGGTAACTTCAGGGTTAGCTTCAGTTTTTAGTGAGTGGCTCGCTTCTTTAGGGTGTAGATCACTATGGTAACTTGTGCTAATCACCAAACATGCTCCACAAAGAGTTACGATCAGAATGATGTATCATTCAGCAGAAAAAAAACATCGACTGATCAAAGAGCTGGCCTGATTGTGAAGCAGATCAAGAGGGGAGGGGGCAGAGAGACCAGCAGAATACTTAGTCTTCCCTTTAGGAGTTTAAATTTAAAATATTACCGACAAAGGTTGTTGAATGTGCTTTCCTGACATCATTCTTCATCTAGAGACTAAACAGGCACAGATATTAGACTTAAAACTCTGTGTGCCCATCGCTTTGAATCATGTTCTCATACTCATTTTTACAATTTTCATACCACTCCCTTTGATATCATTGGGACTGCAGATGAACTGCTGTCTAAAACCGTCATACGCTCTATAAAAAGTAAATCAGAGCGAAATAACAACTTCAGGGAATAAACAGGAGCATTTGCAAGCTAATGATGGCAAAGTGATACGAACCTTGATTTGTGCATTCACTCTCAGCGATTTTTTCCTCTAATATCATAGTTTACTTTGTGTTTGAAAAATATAATGACCCACTGAAGGCAAATGTGTTCCTGTGTGTGATTGTTCCTCTATTGCTAACAACCCTTCATTTATGTGAACACACTCATGGTTGAAAACAAGCTTCAAGGATCTGCTTAAAATGAGGTCAGTATAATCAGGGTTTGTTGTGTCAGATAACCAAGTATTGGTGTTCTAGGCAACAGGGCTTTTATTTGAATTCAATCTGAATTATTGCAATAACCCAAAGCAATCAGGTGGCTGTGGATGAACAGCCCACTCAGGTTTCTGATTTGTTGTTAATTGTGACTTACCCTCTTTAAAACCGTACGACTGCATGTTATTTAACTGCATCGTCAACCCAGGCTAAACTTAAATACCATCATAAGACTGTTATTGAATGTTTTATTGATGTCACTAAATAGCCTCCAGTTATGAAGCCCCTTATCTAATTGCATGCTGGGCTGATGACAGTAACTGAGCTCGCCATTCACATGAATGATGTCACATGGTAGACGGTTTTCCAAGGAGCTGCAAAGTTTTCCAGTAAATTGCTCTATAAATGGAGGTGAGATGACTGGGCTCTGATTATAGGAGGGGCAAGATAAATAACTCCCAGCAGCTAAGGAGGGTAAGTGAGAGGGGTGTTAAAACATAAAACCCTCTAAAATACTTAAATTTCTCGATGCGCTCCTCCTGGGAAAGGGTATTAATTGAATTAATGGTTGACCCTGACACAAGAGGCATGAATAATTCTTATTAAAAACTACTCCCTAATGGATATCTCCCTTGTAGCATTTCTCTGCACATTATGCAGGGTGGTCGGACAGGGACAGAGACCTTGAATAGACTAATGGGATTATGTCAGTGAATCGGTGTTTGCGGGGGTCATACCAAACTCTTGCAGCAGTCCGTGGAGGCGTGAATTTTGTGCTCCCCACAGGAGGTAGGAAACTTCTTCTCTTCACTGCAGCTAATCCTATTGTGAACTCCATACCATAGTTTATGTAATCACTGTCTCTTTGATAATTCTTGGGCAATAATATCATAAGTAGAAAATAAAAGGATAAGAAGGGAGCAGACGCTCAATGATTAATCCTCATCTAATCCATTTATTTAAAACACTTACGCCGCCACGCTTCATAAAAAGTGACGTGTCTATCATTTTATGAGCTCAGCTGTCTTGCCCTGCCTTACCACTTTAAGTTTTTTAGTCTTTGAAGGGCGCATGTGGAGTTTGACCGTGATGTTTTAATCTGTTTTTAGGAAATGGATTGAAAAGGTAATTTAATCAGTTTGCATAATAAGTGATATTTCATAGTGACAGGTTGATTTATAGTAAGCAAGATGAAACTTCCACACTAAGAAGATGAGTGTTTAGTCTCTTCTCACAGCAGTGGAGGATGAATACACTTCTAGCTGTGTGTAGTTCGTTTCAGAGTAGTCTGTCATTATTAAAGATTATGTGGCGGGGCGTCAGGGCCGAGCTGAGTGCAGAGTGTACATAGTTTAAGTATAGTCTCTCCCGTTTTCCTCTTTTCACACCTGATTACTGGTGTGATTTTATGACAAGCTGTTGCGATTGTGGGCAATGTGTCTCAGTCTTTTACTGGATTTATCTATCTGCTGTAAAGATAAGAAGTTAGTAAAAGTGTCTAAACTGGCAGTTAAATAAGCAAACAACTGAGTGACTTTAATATCTGTGCGCTCTGTTAGATGTTTATACAGCTTCCAGTGTGCAGGGTTATGACTTTTAGACCTTGATAACAGATAAAATGGCGTTTCCCCATAACAGATTTTCCCAGTCACCTCTTTATTTTTTCCCAGCACCTTAGCATGGCTAGGATTGAAGTAGTGCCACTTGCAGACTGCAGTGTGAGAGAGCCCTAAAAAGGGAAGGAGTCTCACTCTGATTCCTGGCAGCTCATGGAGCAGTGGAGGCTAAATTAGGCCTGGTTTCATTGACTTCCATTCCCCTGAGTCCCTGCAGCCCTGCAACCCAGAGAAGGGGAGGCCTCTGATGCTTCCTCAGAGCTTCTCCAGACACTGCCTGGGTAAGCTGAAGTGTCAGATGGAGAGATGATACGTCCATGAGGCTCGAGACGAGTGATTGAATAATCTCGGAATAATTTTCTGGGTAAATGGAGAAGAAACATAAATTACACTAGAGATTTTGTGACACTCTGCATTTCAGAATCAATAAATCACTGGAAGATTAACTGCAATCTGCTATATCAGTGAAGAGCTGTGAGTCTTTGGACTATTGATTTTGTTTGTAAGGGATTTGAATGTGACTGTCCTAAAAAGGGAAGAAGTGGAAATCGGAAAAAAAAGGAAAGAAAATTTACAAGTTTTGAAATCACTGCTCCTGACATAAAAAGATGTGACTCTGTGGAAGAAGACAAAAATAAGTCTTATGAACTTTAAGCAAGCTAAACAATTACTATTATAATTATAGTAATGATCCTTTTGTCCTCCCCGCGAGCTGCGAGTCAACATATTTACCTTTAAATTAACTTTTGGAATCCAAAAAAAGTACAATTCGTTTGTTTTTAATACATTGAAAGTGGACAAATGTCTTTAAAATTACATTGACCATCACACATCATCATAGATCTTCCTGAAACCTTCTCATGGCTGGTATTTTTGAGTTACTTGCTCCAAGTATGTAACATGACAGTAACATTATGTTTGTCCAATAAAACAAACTTATATTTGCTTGATATTTAAGTTGCAATTTGTCTCAACTTTTCTCAATGCATAGTCAGTATGCAAAGATACAGTAATTGATTTGTTAGATTATACCAACTTTGGGCTCCATGCAGTGTTTTGATCCCGGCATGTAAACTGCTCACTTTGTTTTTCTCCCCCCTGCTGATCAAATACCCGTCTGTCTCTGACTCTCCTCTGCTCTTTCTCCTTTGCTGTGCTGTCTGGTGTGATTGACCGTTTCTCTTTCTCTGTGCTGGCAGTAGGAGACAGGTGCTGAGTGCTGCTGAGTGTTGCTGTGTGTGGGCTCCAGGGGCCTGGTTCAACATTCCACTGATAGCTTGATATACGCACTCCTTGGCAGAGGAAGAAAAGAAGAGAATGCCCGCACCATCCTCACAGAGGAGAAATTGAGGGGGGTAAGTGTAATCCTGTGATGGTGTACCTGCCATAGGTGGACTGCGATAACAAGCTGCAGTCCTTTTTTCCCTATATGTCCTTTAACGACAGTCTTGACAACACCACATGATTTGACAAACAGTTTCACTGCTTATTGCGCCGTCTGTAAACTGCTCTAAAGTCACAGGCACTTCCTCTTTTCACACGCTGAGCGCACGCTGGTGTGCGCATAACCATCAGACACAAAGCGCGAACACACTGTTGTGGAAAACGAAGGCGGGGAAAAGTAACAAGGTGACCATATTTGGCTTCGGTAGATAATGCAAGCAGAAGATGCAAATTAGATAAGGAGTGGTTGTCATGGAGACTTGATGTTGCGCAGTGATGGTTCGCTGTAAACCTGACCACATTTGTGGTATGGCCGTTGCCAAGCAGAAGGTGCTATTATGAGAGTGAGAGAGATGAGAGCGAGTGAAGTAGAGGAAGAGAGAAATGAACATGTTGGTTCATCCCATAATGCATTGCGCTGATGTGACCTGTGTTAAAGCAGCTTGAGCCGTCCCAGTGGCACGTCAGCATTAGACAGACACACAGGTAAGCTCTCTGGCTCTAAGATTTCTTTCAGTATAGGGTAAACTTGTGTCGAAAAGTCTTTTGTGTTTTCTCTTGGATTGTTTGATTTTAACATATTTTGATCTGGTAATTAGTTTTGATTGTCAACAAACAAAGTTTCTGTCATATTTTTGTGCAGATAAAGTTTCTCCGCTGTTTGACGGTCATCATTTGCATTTTAATTTGCTAACAAACTTTAGCTGATGTTTGTGTGTCCTCTGACTGTTATCAGGAACTTTTGGATAGAATAAAAGTTTCATATAGTCCGCAGAAGTTATTTCTGCAGGCTGCAGCCAGACAGAGAACAGCTGAAAGCTCAAGTAAAAAGGCCTCTTTGCAAAAGGGTGTTTCCATTCGTTTTCATTTTATCTCCAAGATAAGCTTCAAGCTTGGATGGCGCATGCACAGGCGCACACACACACATACAATAATGTCAGACGGGGACAAGGCGGTGTGCTATTTCCTCTCTGTATTTCAAAGCTGACATCTTGAATTGCACCTGCTTCCCCTCACTGCATTGAAGTGGAAAGAAGTTAAGAGAGTGCCATAAAGTATGCTGCAGGAAAAATCAGACCCCCGTACTTTAGCTATGAGTGGTATCCTGTATTAGTCAGTTAACACATTCACAAGTTTCTCTGTGTCATATTCATTTTTTTACTCATGTGCTGCATCATTAACCCATCTGCTTAAACCATCAATGTAAGTTGTTTTGACGGTTAAAAAAATAGTCTAAAAATCTGCTGCGATGAAACAGAAGACACTGAATGTAGCTCCCCGCTGCGGGCCCTTCTGCAGGCCTGTGTACTGTTGCAGTTGTTGCTGTGATGGTCTGTAATGGGAGTGTAATGTGTATTTGTGGCCTTAGTGATAGATGAGCCGTCAGAGCTTGGCACACAAAGCTCTGGGACATTTCCTCAGTGGAGTGAGAGTTCACATCAGCCAGCCAGTGTCATTTACAGAGGGCTGGGAAATAGCAGAGCGCTGAGATGATAGGGGAAGCTGAAGACGGAAAGTTGCATTCATCAGGGGAGGGAGGGGTAGCAGTGGACGAAGGTGAAGGGTTAGGGTTTGATTGTTGGACAGAAGCGGAGGATCACCCATGCTGGACTGTGTTGGTGTTGGGAATGTCACCGAGGACGATAACTTAGTCTGGAATTTGACCCTCTTTTACTCCCCCAAGTTTCAAGACTTTGAAAGACTTGCGAGAAATGGAAACCCTGTTGTTCTTTTACGACTCGATATTATTAGAAATACTCTCTCTCTCGACATTTTACTTCTGTTTTCACTAGCTGAGTATTCCCCGTGAGTGCTGTGCTTATCTTAATGTGTAAAATTGACGGTATTCCCCTTTTAACTTTACCACACACACCTCTTCCTGTTTTCAGTTGGTGACATTAGTGTGTGTGTGCAGTGTTTTCTCAAGCCCAGTGTGTTGATTCATGTTGCTCTTTGCTCACACTCAAACCGCTCTATGGCCTCAATGATCTCAAAGAGAGCAACGGTCACGCCATCTTCTTATCTGTGAGATAGAAGACATGTGGAGCAGAAGTAACAAAACGGCCGATCTCGCCGTCGGATAAAGACCGTCAAACTAGAAAAGCAGAAGAAGAAGAAGAAGAAGTAGGCTCCTGTTGTGCATTTTATCCAGCAGATGCTTATGAAGTATTACTCATAGAAATGAACGAGTAAACCATGTGGTAGCCGAAAAGCCTGGCTCTACATTTATAGCTCTAATTAGAGAAGGGTTATATGGGTCTGTGGGTTGGGAAAAATAGACAAGTGGTTGTGGTTGTTTGGGGCATATTTAGGGGGATTTGGATGTAGTTTATAAGTGTGAGAAGGTGATGAAAATCTCGACATAAACATAAAGAATGTTAATGAAAAAGAAATACAGAGGAGGAAAAGAGACAGAGACTGAAAGAAGCAGAAGCACTGGCATGCGCTCAGCTACAGCAGAAGAGGGGAAATTCCACGTCAGTGTCTGAGTTTCGCTGAAAAACCCGATTCTTTGGAGGCGTTGCTAATTTGTCTGCTATCGAGCCAGAGACATCAATCATTATGTTTCTTCATTATGGGGTCAAAGAAAACACCGTCTTAAAGTTAGAGAGTGACATGCTGCTTCTATTGATCAGCAGTCAAACTAATTACTCAGCTCATCTAAAAGCACATACTGCGTGTATGTGTCCTTGCAGGGGCAGCTTCCAGGGTCGAAATAGATCAGCTTCCATCACTAATTAATGATGCTTGGAAATAGATCAAGGCATAATGCTTGCTGTTGGAGTTCATAACGGCGTTGTACCTAACACTGACCGATTCAGAGAAAATCGCAGTACGACGTCAATCTTTCAGACGAGACGTACATATTTTGCTCCGTCTGAACACACGGCCTCATTGCACCAGAATAGTGGCAAGGTAAAAGGTTGGCACTGCAGCTGGGGCTCTTACACAGATTGTCACCCGGGGTTTAAGGGCCTGCTGTGTAAATTAGAGATGACTTATCACAGGCTTTGTATTGAACAGAGCAGTGCAGCAGTAGAAACTGGTCCAGAGGGACACGGAGGAGGTTGGAACAAAAAGTCCTCAGTGACTGTTAGAAAAAGGAGAGCATTTTAGTATTTCTTTGCAGGATTAGACATGTATACGCACTTAAACTCAAGACAGAAGGGACTTGTACAGTATGAAGCTTTATCAGTGACATTGCAGGTGTGATCTCAGTAGAAAAGGATCAGCATCAGCACGTGGAATTACCCTTCTTTGAGATAAAAACACACACTGCAGGTCTATTTTGAATATTCCACAAAGGCGGCATTATGAATGCACTTCACTCTCCAATCACATGTAGTGAGTCAAAGACAATACGCAGCATCAGACAGAAAACTTGGCGCCGACACACAGCACAAAATCTATAAAGATTCCTGCAGATGCCAAGGCCACTATCTCCATGGCTACCGGATATTGCAGCATCAGGTCCAAATCAAATTCTTGGAGGCTCCTTCTGCCTCTCCGGCTTCCCCCTGGATGTATGGGGTTGTGGCGGCAGAAGCCTTGAGTCAACAACAATACAAGAGAGTTGGCAGCAGCAGTCGTCTTATTGTTGTCTGGGTTGGCCTTTTTTTTATTACGTGTGCCTGACCTGTACAGAGGCTACAGTGATTGCATTTTTTTGTCGTCTCTTGTTAAGATTTAGAAATGACAAGAATCGGAAAGGTCCGTGTTACACTTTTGTGTTTATAGGACTTCTTATTTGTAAACTCCGGCTCTGTTCAGTGTGCCTGAAGCTGGTGTATGGTTTAGGTTGTGTCATGGCAGAAAGACATTGTGAAAGAGAAAAAGGAAATCCAGACAAACTCTTTGTACATACTTTCCTATTGTTGTTACTTCCTCCACACTCAGCTTCTGTTTCTTCATACCTTTCGCCACTTTGCATGACCTCTGTTTGCGCCCGTGTGACTTATTTCATTCTTTTTCTCCTCCACTCTATTTGCTGTGTTTTCCCTGGTTTCCTCATTCTCTCCCTCCCCTCCTTCCTCATCTTCATTGGAAAGGCAAGGGCAGTGTTGCTGTAACTGAACCAGCACTTCCTGGTGTTGTTTTAAGGGGGCGTGGCCAAGCCTCGAGCAGGGTAGAGAGAGGGAGGGAGAGGAGACTGCAGGATCGGTAATGCCCAGTGCAGTCAGAGCCCCCTCCTCCTTCTCTTCTTCTCCCTCCTCCCTCCTCCACAGCTGTTGCTACTGCCACCCAGCGAGCGCCACTTTTCCTCGGGCAGCAGACAGACGATCCAGAGGCTGGGGGAGTCAGTAGAGACACAGCCCAGTCTCAGCCCAGCTCAGCACAGCCCTGCTCAGCCACTTCAAGAGGCAGGGGAGGGGAGACACTAGCGCACACGGCCAACGCTGCAACGCACATGCACACACAGACATACACACACACTCACACACACACACACACACAGAGTCACAGACAAACACTCCTCCTCTCTCTCTTCCTCCCTCTCTCTCCCACTCCAGCGCTCGGCTCTGCACAGCTCCTCTACTCATTCGCTGCTGATTCACTCGCTCACTTGCTTGCCTCTCCTCTGCCAGTCGCTCTGCCTTGCTGCGCTCTGCCTGCCTGCCTGAGAATGGTCCAGCCGGTGCCTGGGGGTCTGCTGTCGCGGCCTGTCTGAACACACGCATAAACACAGAGTCAATCGACAGGCGGAAGCACAGCACACACAAACCTGGAGAGCAATGTGAGAGGTAAGAGCCTGGATCATAGCCCTCCTCCTTGTCTCATTGGTTTATCTAGATCTTTCCTCCTGTGTGTGTGTGCGCTGCAGTCTTTACTTTCCAAAGTAAGCTCCTGTGCATTTGAGCAGAGGCAGCGATATGGGGATTGTTTGCTCTAGTGTCTCCTGTGTCCGTGTGCCTCCAGTATGTGGGCCACAGGGTTAACATCCATTTGTCACGTCTTGTTTTATAGTTATAGGCACACACACAAGAAGACACATTCTTGGCTCAAAGCAGACAGTCATACAATAGCTCCTTCCTGAGGGTAGCGCTAGTTAGCAAGAAAATTTTGATAGTGTGTGTGCGTCCTTGTGTGTGTGTGTGTTTGGAGGGCCGTGGTTGTTCCAGGAAGCAGTGGAGAGGATCAATAGATCGCCCACTCAGCTTTCATTCCCTTCGTCTGACTCAACATTGGACATGTTGGGAGTTATCCTGCAGGGCTTGCTTAACAAGAGAATGGCACATTCTGCTTCTCTCTTTGCCCCCTTCCCTCCCTTGCTGCGTCAGCCTAAAGGGAGAAGCATGGTTTTGCATGTGTGTTTCTCCGTGTGTGTGTGTGTGTGTGCTGTGTAAGGCAAACTCCCGCCCCACCGCATGTAAATTATGTGTGACATGTGAAGCTGCTGCTACCTTATATGGCTAGCACAGTATTTCAGTACAGTTGGATCTTGCCAAGCATTCCGGGTCGCAGGAGGAGAGAGTGTGTGAGAGGGTGACTCTGTCTGTGGGAGTGTGTGTGCATTACTGTGTGTGTGACTAAGTGAGTGTTTTCATGCGTCTGACAGAGGGGGAGTAACTGAGAGGAAGAAAGTTGAAGAAGGAAAAGAGGGGTAAGAACGAGAGAGACAGGGAGACGGAGACCAAGTAAATGGAGGGATTTTACTTCTCAATGTCTGGACTGAAGTGAAAGTAAGTAGACTCTTACTTAAGTTAGACTTTAGGGAGGAGATTTCCCTATTATGTGTTTGGTTCTTCTGGGAGGGAAGTTTATCTTTGTGGCTAAACAGACTGAAACTGTTTTCTTATACGCATATATCGAATCAGTTTTCGTAGAATATAAAAAGTCATTCATTTCCTACGGAGAGTCCAAAAGCTGTTGAAACAACACCAGGACATTTCAGGTAAAGCTCGGAGATCTTCGTACCAACAGACGTTTCCCCCTTCCTTAACGTCCTGGTCCCTCTTTGTCCCTCTCCTCACCACCTTTGCCCACCCTCCTCCGTCTTGTCTCCCTGAGCGTCCTTCTTGGTGGTGTGTCCGTGGTTGAGGCGATGATGAGGAATGTTGTTGTTTTGACTTAGAGGGATTCAGGGTGGTTCAGACAGTAGCACACACACACACACACACACACACACACACACAAGTGTACACACACATGCAGGCATGCGCAACAAAGACAGATGTGCAGCAGATTGCATTGTTGAGACTTTGTAAAATCCCCATGGTAGCTCCGCTGCAGGTTGACTGTCATTTTATGACTAGCAGTAGCAGGCAGGACGTGTTGCCTGTCGGTGTCATTGTGAAAGAAACGGCTAATAAGGTCAAAGATAATTTCCTCTTTCTGCGCGCTGTTGTATATAGTATGTGTGTGAGCTCAGGTGCCGACTGCTCTGCTTTTATGAGTGTTGCTTATGATCTAGGATCTGCCCTACAGACAGGATTATGTGCATGGCTGAATCTGCGCTGACAGGTTAAGCCTTTATTACATTAGGTATTCTCCTTATGTTCCTACTGTGTTATCACCACATTTCAGCCCCTCTGAGCGACAGAGCAACAGTTTTCACATGGCTGTGGCTGAGTGAGACACTTTCCACTTAAATTCCGAGCTCAGCTTAACTGTTTGTTTTTCTCTGCTGAAGGAGCCAATAATTGCTTATTAGATATCATTTCCCTGTGTCTACCCTTCCGTGTGCTGCACAACAGATTTAACAAGCAGGGCCTTCACCTTATCAAAGCTGTGTAGTAAACTTTTTTTTAGTCCTCAAACATAAGACATATATCTTTTTATGTACATTTTTATTTATTTGTTTTTTATTCCACTACCACTCTACCTCCAGGAAGTTGCAATAATACTACCATGCTGCTATGATCCTTTGTTTTGACCCTTAGTTTTTATTTTTCTTAAACACCATAGGAATAGAATGCTGTGATGTGGAAGCCGAGCAACAACATTTCGTAGTAGAGAGGAATCATTGCTTTCTGTGCAACGACAATAAAGAAAGTCTGAGTTAAAGATTCACATATGAACTCAAGCCTGTCCTTGTTTTTCTGAACCCCAGCTACAGCTTTTACATCCTAAACCTTGTCATTTCTGAAGACCAACAGCTATAACACTTAATAACACACTCCTGCTCCAGCAGCCACGTTCTCTCACTCCCATCCCCTTTCTCGCCACCTTTGTCTCTTTTCTTGTTTAAATTCGATTTGTCGTTGTAGATGTTCGGCACGGTAACGCTAGTCCTCTCTGAAAATTATTCCTTTTATGAAAATGATGACAAACTGTGCGAGTGAAAATTATTCTCTTCCTCCTGTCTTCTATTCAACCTCTCCTTACGTCTTGTTTTACCTCTCCTTCGGTATGTGTGGAGAACTGGCCGCCTATGTCTCACTCTCAGCACATTGACACAGACAGCATAAATGTGAGCCGATGAGCCACTCATTAAACCATAAGGCCGCCATTATCCTCACTGTCCGTTGACTTCACCACATCCTCGCACACACACATAAAAACAGACAAAGATGCAGTGTCGCGCACATTCAGATAGTCTACCCCGCTTAAGAATACTCAGTGTCAGGACATATAAAGGTTTGTGTGTCTGTCTAGGTTTGCATTTGTGTGTCTTGTCACTGCGTGTTTGTATATGTGTGTGTGTAAGCGGCTCTGTCCATGTATGCTAAACAAGAGATCTAATTGTCCCCAGAGGTTTGCTCTCAGAGGAATCAATAGGCATTGTTTGTCGTGCGTTCCTCGCATAAGACTTACTTTCAGAGCCATGCAATCTAAACCAATGAGACATAAATCGTTAAGTGAACATTTATGAGGAGATGATGAAATTATAAGCTGTGCTGACATTCAAATAAACGTGTAATTACAGAGATTTTGTTTTTGCAAACTACTTCGTGGATAATGTATTCATTATAAACCACAATTACAACTAAAATGTAGATATAAAGAAGTGTATTCAGCATTTCTTTTAAATGCAAATGCGCTTTCGCTATTGCCCTTAAGCCCATTAAATGCGGACCTTGCTTGGTGCTAACTCTCGACCAACATGAAAGGTCCAATCATCAAAAGAAACTCTGTTTACTCGGGGATGTATGTGGTGTAGAGGAGCTGTGGTAGATAGAGTAGCAGTACGAGAGGAGAGATCAAGAGACTGCGAAGAGGACATGCTCACATGTACACATATGCACGAGAGTGTTCGCGTGTAGGTGAAGGTCAGCGAGGGCAATATTGACATGCTATATTCTGAGCACATGGAGCAGCAGCAGAGAGAACAGGGGTGTTGCATTTCCTTCAGCGTCCTCGGCGGTGATGACCTGGATCAGCACACTGTCACCCTGATTCCACCTCTGTCAATGTGCTGAAAGCTCTCCTTTTACTTAACAGCAGCAAACCGAACACTTTTCTTGCTACGGCCAGAGCATAAAAAAAAAAGAGAGGTCAGGCTGGAAGCTATAGTCTATCGATTAGGTTTCCATAGCGTTTTCTACAATATTACAAATGCCATATGTGTACTTCATTTGCTAAATCTCCACTCAAACAGCATTGGTTAACACAGGGGTGTGATTATTTGATTATCCCGAATAGAGCCGCCAGCATCTTGTGACCTTTGGTGTTGTGTTTTGTAAAACTAGACTAACAGTGTGTCATTTTTTGAGGCAGTCTTGCCATTAATGTGAACCACACCCTCTCTGTGGTTGTCTCCAGCGCTCAGTCACAATGAAAACTTCGAGACCAGCCCAGGTTCGCAACAAGCAGTCAAGTAAGACATGGTTTAAAACAGCTCTCTGTGTTGAGGGAAACCTCATGAAGTGTGTGAGTGCCATCCATCACGGCGCGCTGTGAAAATCGCTGGCAGGTTTTTTTTTTTTTTCGCTTAGTTTGTGTTTTCAGTGAAAGTGAAGAGTGGATTTCGACAGCGTCTCTTACTTGTTGAGGGCAGATTGTTTTTGTGGCTCATTACCAAGAGAAAGTAAGAGATAGGCAGGATTACTGTTCATGTCAGAATCTGTTTGTGCTGTTGAGGCCTATGCTGCTGTCACATGACCAGAGCTGATGGTTATACCCTGTCATAAAAAGATACACTTCCTCCTTTCGCGGCCATGTTACAGTATGTTTTTACCACGTGTTTTAAGAGGAATTACAGGCACACGGCCTCTCTTTTTTTTTTGCATTCGCCATCGCCTCCCCCCCTACCTTTTAGTGCAGTTGACCTTGCACCAGCTTGCAAGACCTTGGAGTCAGAGGGAGGGCTGTTGAGGATACTGGGAGGGAACGCATACGGGCCAGACAGTCACATTAAGGGCACAAAGTGGAGACAGTTGGGTAAGGTAGAAAGAACAGAAATAGCTGGATAGACTCGTCAAAAGCAGTTTAAATTCAGTGGTTAGAGCTTAGAAGTAAAGCGCATTAAACAGTCATCTTTTTGTATTGGATGCCTTGGAGACAGAGAGCATCAGCAGTTGAAGTGGAATTAGACAGAGGGAGTGGCGAACCAAAAAGAAAGACCACAGAGATGAAAAAAATCAATAAAGGAAAAACGTCCATGTCCAGACACGATAGATCATAATGAGCACTGATTATCACTCTGGCAATGTCTTACACCACACTGCATCATCTTGCTCTCACAGCTTTGTGCTCATCTGACTCTAATAGAAACCATAGAAACAGATTAGGCAGCCCAGCAGAACGCAGGGGGCGTCAGCTTTTTTATACATCAGGTCATCATATTCTCATGTGATTGAAGACAACCCCTGGTGTCTCCTCAGATATATAAAAAAACTTTCTAATAGAGGTCTCTATTCCACCTCATTAGCTGATAGAGAACTTGAGTTTGAAAAGATCCTTCCTCACCTACACTCGGCTTATTACGAACTAAGTCTTTGCCGTATGGTCAAATATGTGTATCATCAAGGTAATGTGATATTAAAAACACAGGCCCTGAAGCATACAGGGTTACAGTGTAAGAAAAGACTTGGCTGACTTGGCATTTCTGCACACACAGGAATAGAAACATGCCCTTAGAAATGTAAACAAAGTAACAGCAAAGTGTTGAATTAGTTATATTACAAAACGAGGCGTTTGACACAGTCAGTCACTTTTGGTGAGATGTATTTTAGGAGATACCGTAAAACTACTGCTTCTCAAATTAGAACCACTTTATTGAATTGATCAAAAGAAGAAGACCGTGTTTGTTAGAAGTAGAGCACGTCGGAGGCTTGGGATATTATGCCAGCACTCCAAAGGTCATCTGTGGCAGTGACACAACTTTTGCAATCATACAGTTCAACCAAGGTGAAACTACGCAGTGTCCTTCCTGTCTCTCTCTCTCTTTCCTCTCTCTCTCTCTCTCTCTCTCTTACCCCTCTGTCTGTCTGTCTCTCCCACTCTCTCTCCCCTTTCCCTCTCTCTCTCTCTATGTAACATTTATCCACGATGCTGGGTCATCATGACCTGATCCGTACTGCTGCAGGGCTCTGATATACCGTGTTGCAGTGTTGCAGTGCTGTAAAGTTTAGAGCATTGCTGAAGGTGCACACGCTGTTCTGGGAAAAGCGATTTCTCTAAACAGGGTGTGGCCGGTTACCCTGAACTGTGTGATAAGAGCAGAGCGGGCCCCCGGGAGCCCCGTCATACAAATTCTGCGCACAAACCCATGTACAATGGGTTTACCAAAAATAGAAACCGCAAGCAAGACTGCAAAATACTCAAGGATAAACACTTTGCAACCCATGATATGTTCGGCGTGTGATAAAAGGAGAATTCGCAAACGAGTGTAATAATAAACACGGTGTAATCACGAGTTCACATCTGTGGGAGATAACCACACTATTGCTGTGATAATGATGAGGTTCTTGTTATTATAAAATGCGTCACAACTTGGAAACAATTATTTCCAAGGATGTTTCACGAAGGTTGCTCGTTCGAAGGGAAAAGTACGGTGCGTTAGTGAGAAGCAGTTCGTTATAGCAAAAAAGTAAGCAGAGAGATCAGTTCAGTCTGTGTCTCTCTTCCTCCTCTAACAGCGAGCAGGTCAGCCCCCTCTTTGCTCCTCCCCCTGCTCTCACCTGGCGCTAAGCCCAGAATGTTGCTGCAACTCCGCCGGCGCTCATTGGTCCCCACTCTCACACCGCTTCGCAAGAAGGGAAATGACTAACCTCTTCTCCCACATGCCCTGCCTCGACTTCCCCTCTGCTTTCACTCTCTTCCTTTCTTTCACCTCTAAACACATTTGCAATGGCCGGTCTCGCTGTACTCAACTGTAAGTGATACACGATTTGATCTGATTTTCCTACATCCACCAGGGGAGGAAGAAGTTGTGAATGGCTGCTTTGTGCATTTCAGGGCATGTATTTGTGTGTCTGTGTGTGGTGTGGCGTGGCGTGATGAGCCTGTGTGCGCACCATGTGTGTTTAGAGTGCAGGGCGGGTGAGCTTTTTATTTGTTTTAGCTGACACCCCTGCATTTCTGACATTTTTACTTATTCTTCAATCCCGCAGCTGCATAACTGAACATTGGCACAAGTGTAGAAAATTCTGCAGGTCTGAACCTTCGACGAAAGTAAAATGAAACAAAGAAATAAACCTGAAAGTTATCTTTGGATGTGTATCACCGGAGTAATCTTTCTGTCTTTGCCTCCTTTCTGTCTCTCCCTCCAGAGGAAGTGCCTTCCCTGATGTCTGCTGCAGCTTTGACCTGCTTCTACAGCTGAAACGTCACCCTCCCTCCTCCCCCCCGCCTCGCTCGCTTGCTGCCACAGTAACACGAGTACAAGGACAGCGACCACACCCTCCTCGCAGCCTGCGCTCCGACCTGCTCGTCCATCCACCACCATCACCATCCACTCCTCGCCTGAAGGCCAACTGCCAACTGCTCTCAACAAACAGACCAGCCTTACCACAGCAGCCCGACACACCACCAGGCCCACGCAGCATCTCACCCACCCTGCCTTTAACCTTCGCCTTTGACCCTCTAAGCCTCCACTCGGTCCTCAGTGTCCTTAACCTTCCTGTTGCAGGCTACACCCAAACTATCACCTTTGTTGCCTGCTTCACTGCACCCAACCAGAGGACTCTGTCGTTCATCCGTTTGCCTCCTTGGCTTGTGAATGTTGCAGAGGAGAATCCAAACCAAGAGCAAATAAATTGTGAGGCAGAGTTGTCTTCAGGATACAAACAGTTCCTCTGTGGTTGATTGTTAAGCATCACCCTGCATCATTTCACTGTGGAGAAGAAGAAGTCCTCTCAATCAACAGGAACTTCCTTTTGAATGTTGCATTTCAACTTTGCATCCACGTATCACAGACTTTGAGACAAAAAACAACGAAAAGACCTAAAGGTTGTGGATTAAAACACTAGAGGTTGTTCATTCGCCCTTGAACAGATTTCACCGGGGAATACCGTTCGCCAGCGTGCTGCCATGGCGATGAACATGGCACATATTCGTGACACAAAGTGGCTGACACTCGAGGTATGCAGGGAGTTCCAGAGGGGCACGTGCTCCCGCTCTGACCAGGAGTGCAAGTTCGCTCATCCGGCCAAAAGCTGTCAGATCGACAACGGGCGGGTCATCGCTTGCTTCGATTCGCTCAAGGTAAGAAAGGAGAAGCAGGTGTGTGTGAACAGGGAAGTCTGGAGGTCACATCTCGGACAGAACAATAAGCAGCTGATAAGGGAGCGAGCACTTTGAATCCGACAAGCAGCCAGACTGAGTATAGGGAGTTATAAACCTGAAACAGTGGTTATCTTCAGTGTACATCACGCTAGAGAGCACCATCTGGACACGGCATGTGCTCCACTTAGTCCCGCCTATTTCTGGTCAGGTGACTGCCACATGTGATCAAGCGAACAAGAGGAGGAGGAGTAGAGGGGTTGCAGCTTTTCAGATTCAGGAAACAGAAGTTAGGTGTTTGTAATGCTGTTCTACGGAACATAAAAAACCGTCGCATGAATTAAACAGCACAGCCCCTCTGGAGGTGATAAACACAGCGGCGTGCCAGCTTTAGAAAAGGGAAACACAGATGAATAGGCCGTCACATGTACAGACTCATATGGATGCCCTGAGCACAACATGTTTCAACAGCAAGAGAGAAATGAGGTGATAGCGTCATCACGGAGCTCTGTCAGACAAACCACTTCCTGTAGTGAGGCCGAGAGGCAGTTAGGAGAGTTTGTATGTGTGTGCGCCGGTGTGGGGTGGTTTCTATATGCACACACAAGCAGAGTAGGGGGCTGATTTGGGGTAACTATTGCAGTAATTTTCCATTTTTAGGCAGCAGCGAAAAAAGCAAACACCTATTTTCTCCATTTCTCCCTTCCTTTCTCACAATCTGTCTTTTTATCGGAGCGCATGATCTCCAGAGACGGGCGGACCCTCACCAAAAGTTTCCAATATTTTTACACACACACATACATGTGCGCACACACAGGTCGTACCATGTGTGTGTTTATCACTTGTTTGTTTTCTGCCCCTGCAGACACCAGTGACTCGTGGTCATTGGCAGTGTGCGATCAGGGCAGGGTTAGGATGAGGACAGCGTGTGTGAGTGGATTCACTGAACGGTGTGTATAGCCAGATGTGGACAGAGGAACATTGTCAGACTCAAGCTTGTGTTCCCAAGTTTCGCCTGCAATACACATAAGTTTGGGCCTGTGTCTGTGTGTACCACATTTGATCATTGTTCATTTACGTTGAGTCCTATTTTGAGATTTTGGCCTTTGATTTTATGAGATTGCCACCATCTCTCCTTTTAGTTTTTGTTGAAAGAACTTGGAAGAGAACAACTTTGCTATGCACAAAGTCAGATTGGACCAAAATATAAGCTGTCACAACCATAAATATTTAAAACAAACCACCTGGTTAAGAAACTTATGAGCAGATGGAGAAAAAAACAAGAGTAAGATTACATTTAGCTTGTTTTACAGACCTCACACTGTTTCACGTTTGGTCTCTGGGCTGAATTGCTTGCTGGTTTGCGACTTGTGATAATAATAATAATGCATCAGGTTTCATAAAGCGCTTTATCAGAGACCCCCAAAGCGCTTTACATTTGATACATCATTCATTCGCTCACACAGTCACACCCTGGTGGTGGTAAACTACCTTAGTAGTCACAGCTGCCCTGGGGCAGACTGACAGAAACGTGGCACAATCATACACCAGTGGAGGACACACACTGGGAGCAAGGTGGGTTAAGTGTCTTGCCCAAGGACACAATGGACAGACTCAGGATAGGGGGAAATCGAACCGCCAACTTTGTGGTTATTGGACAACCGCTCTACCTCCTGAGCTTTGATATAATTTGTGATCTTTAAAAAGTTCAAAGGATACTGTGGAAGTGATATTATTTTCCCTTATATCAGAAATTCATTAGTTCTGAAATAAACCAATAAATTACAAAAATTAGAACCAAGCTATGAGAAACTGGAACCTTAGCACCAGTGTAACAGACCCAAAGTATGAAACACAAATGCTCCTCTTAGTTTGAAACTTGACGACATAACAACACAGTAGAATGTTTGCGGGCAGGCAGAATGATCTCGATATGTTTATACATTGTCATCCACGCTGAGGTAAAGAGCAGCCACTGGAAAAGAATAGCTGGCGGACATATGGAAGCTTTTTGAAGGATGCGAGAGGCCTAATTTAGTAGCCTGGACTCGTTTTCCACTAGGACTCGTGTTTTAATGAAGATGGGTGATACTTTTTTTAACTGTTTGCCCCATTTTTTTTCCACTGGTAATGAAAAACAGAGCAGGTCGCTCGAACTTACAGTGGAAATGGGAGAAAGCGAAAGGGGGCGAGAGAGTACAAGAGGATGGAGGAAATGAGAAGCAGAGGCTATTGATTCATTTGTGTAATGTCTATAGTCCAGAAAAAGCCCATTAAATACAAACACATAAAAAGAGCCGCGCTCACCGCATTAGCAAGGCTTTCCTCTTACACAGATCCAACACCCACATGCTCAAACATCACATGTCCTACTTCACTTCCACTTTGCGGTGGTTAAAATAGGACAAATTTTCAATCTATTTGTCTTACATGAAGTCGCATTGTTCCCAATTACTAGTCTTAGACCCCCCTCCACACACACACACTGAACCCTCCTGAACACATGCACACACACTCTGCCCAAGAGAGAGTATCGGCCTTCTTCTTCTTCTTCGTCGTCGTCTTCTTCTTCTTCTTCTTGAGAGGTGTATAATTAGAACAGGTCTCACATGATCACCAGTGCATAGCTGAGCAGGTCACACCCAAACCCAGTCATTTCCCCAACAGCCACACACACAGAAACACACACTCTCTCTCTCTTTGGCCTCCTTTTTACATGGTTCACACACAGACACACAAAGACACACAAAACATGTGTCCTGCTCAAACCATGTCCATGTTGAGGGAATTAGAGCAGGGAATTGCAATATTTCATGGGAAAATGTACACAACCCTAATCAGATGTGGATCAGATCCGCCTGAAGCAAGACAATCAATCAGAACCATGTTTTCATCAAGACCAAAGGATTGAAACGAAGTTGTTGCATACATATGTCTATGCATTGACAATACACAGTGCATGCATGTGTGGTTGTTCACCGACCTTAAAGTCCCACTCCGATTGTTTCTTTTTTCTACTTATCAGTGGTCATTAACCCTCCTCCTGTGTTAGGGTCTGCACCGACCTGTTTTTGTTTTTAAATGCTCAAAAGAACCACATAAATTAGCTTTTTTGCATCAAGACTTTTTGACTTTGTCAGGAACCTCTATTTCTGACAAAATATAAAAATTAAATTGGCTAAATTACAAAATGCTCTTATCAAAATTATGTCACTTGTCGTGTTAGAGTTGCTGGCGACCCGTTTATATTAGTATCTAATAATTTGTGCAAAAACTACAATCATAAGTGCACTGTCAGGCACCACACTGACAGTCAGATCCTCTTCCAATCATGTGAGATTTAGGAAATTCTCATTTTGCCTGTTTTTCCCTGCACAAAAAACAACATCAGGCATGTCCAGACATGTGAGATCAATTCAGTATAGATGTCTGTGTGAGGGCTATACTGACAAAAAAAGGCCCAGAGGACCACAACAAAAAATATTATAAGCAATATTTTCATGGATAACGAAGCCTAACATGTTAACCTAGAGATGAGAACCACATTGGATGATAGAGAAGTGTTTTTGGCGTAATTTACAGCTGATTTAAGACACGGGTCGAAACCGACCCTTAACATAGTGGGTGTGTAGTGAAAGCTAACACAGGAGGAAGGTTAAGTCGGGATTTTGAAGTTTTTAGCTGTAATCTCATTTCCTGTGTCATTTTCGAGGGCTTTTTTTCTGCAGCGCTTCAGAAGATCATTAGCAATTCGCCTCTGAGTTGTGGAGAAAGCGCTGCTCTGCACACTAGCTTGTAGCCTAACATTGCCGGTGTAGTAGAAGTGGCAGGTGACAGGAGTTCTTCAGCTCTCGGACACTAATGTCTTTAGGCACACGATAAAAGTTAGTATCATAATTAGCTTTCTTACGAGCATTGCAATCCGCTAACGTACACATTTATTCCACAATTGTCCTCTCTTTGTTTCCGAGTGTGGCTTGCAAAGCGGGGCTTCGGGGGCGGAGCTTGGATTTGCTACATAGGAAATCTCACCGTATCTGAACCTGCCGTTTGGGTCTGCCAGAGATTCACAGCGATTTGAATGCAGGAATGCAATTTCGCATTTTCTCGTAATACGTCCTGTAGCATCAGAAAAATGCTATATGAACATGTAAAAAACAAGAAAAACATGATTGTCATCAGAGTGGGTCTTTAAGCTCGGCCTTAACCTCAGTTTGCAGCCTTCTCTGTTGCTTGTATATCTGCCTAGTACAGCAGAGACAGCTCAGCTATGTCAAAGCGGGGTAAATATTTGGAGAAGGATAACAGCTGCCAGAACTCCCTGATTTAAAATAAGCTTCGCAACTTTGTCTATTAATGATTAACCACTGAGCAGACACTGAAACTAAATCAGCTAGATTAATACTCAGCGCTAAATATTTAGATCTGCTTTAATACAAACATAGACGCAGGCAAGATGGCTAAAAAGACAAGTGGGGGTGTTTGATGCAGCCACTGCCTCAAAAAGACGAAGGAGCTTTCAAAATGATACGCTGAGTGAGGAAGTAACCTGCGTTTGACCATCAGTGGTTGTAATCAGCTGTGTTGCTTTACCAGAGCACTCCTTATCAGATTGGAGTGTAAAAGTCAGCTCAGGTTGCAGAGGTAGTCGAGCTGATGCTCACTTCATTAGGTTACGCCAGAATGAGTCTGAAATAATACTCTGGCTACAGTAACCGAATGCCACAGCTCCACCACACCCACAGAGGTAAACTGACAGCTCACTCCAACTCCTTTGCCCTCCTATACTCAAGCCTTCTTCACTTCACTCGTTTCCTTTCCCTAGCCACTTGTTTTTCATTCCCCTCCCGTCTCCTTTTACTTGATATCCCGCTCAGTCTGGTTTTCGCCTCATTTACCTCAGGCCACACCCATCCACTGACAGGACGGTTCACATTACACCCCCCGGTTGACGCATGTACACATTAACTCACAGACACACATACATGAGCGATAAAGTTTGTCTGGGGGCAGCAAAACCGTGACCTCGTGTGAACCCGAGAGCAACGGCAAGTCACTGTTTACACCCAACACAAGCTAGGTCATAAAAAACGAGCTGTATCCGTCTACCATGGGGAACAGTTTGAGCACAGCTTAGACCTTGTACTTTGTCTACCTGCCAGCCTGACACACCCACTGTCATCATGTCTGAGTTCTGAGTAACAGACTAAGTGTGCATGTGTGTGTTAGTGTGCTATATCTGTATTAGTGCTGTTGCAGCAGGTTTCTTTGTGTTACCACACAGTTGTGAGCCAAGATTACATTCCAGCAGAGCAGAGGGCGGTTAAAATACCTCTTATTTATCTCTCTGTGTCTCTATCTCTCTAACTCTTTAGCCGCCTGTGTTCCTATCCTTCTTTCCTCCTCTCGTTTCACCGACCATATTAAGACAGCATGTTTATGTGCAGTAGTAGCGTTGAGCAGGCGGGTTAAGCACACACAGATTGCGAGGTGGTTGGGCAGACAGACATGTGGGGTAAATATTAGCCGCGTTGCTAGTCTACAGTGTTGTTTTTTTTACGATTTCAAACACAAATCAACCGGCCAATCTCTGCGCAGTCGAAGCAACAAGACGCTTCTGCGTGAGTGTGAGCATATGGTTGTGAGTTAAAGGAGGCTAATGTGTATTTGATAATGCTGTCATACACTGCAGCACAGCACTAGAGCACATCAAAGGACACACTGAAAATAGCCACGTGCAGGCACTCAATCATCTGGCAAAACCCTGACAAAACAGCCTAATCTTTTAGGTTTTATTTAGGTTTTGCATTGTCTTATGTTCGACTAAGTAAAAGTGTATTTGTTTCATTTTGGTCACACAGTTTGAAACACAAAAAAAGATTTCCTTCTCCGTTTTCCAACACGTGTAATAACCTTGAAGTGTCTAGTTTCATTTATTCACATCAAACTTTCTCCGGTAGATCCGTGCCAGCACCAGACACAATCCAAATGCTCTGTTTATTTGTACAGATGGGTGAGTCGGATCCAGAGCCGCTCACAGACGTCTGATCCTCACACCGTCCACCTCTCAGGCTTCTCGCCAAGAACGACAAGCCGAAAGAAAACAGCGAGAAGAAAAGGAAATTGGACACCTGTCCACACTATGATGATGATGATGTCAGTATCTGACCAGGACAGACTTGTTTTTCCGACGAAGCTTCCCTCACACCTGTGTTTGGGGCATTTGTTTTCAGTAGCAGCGAGCTTACCCTCTGCAGTGGGGCTATAAATCAGGCACAGACTGGGTTTCTCTTCCTGTGCCGTCGTTGCATGAGATCTCCATCCTAATTGGATTTTTAATGAGATATCTTCTCTCTTTAAATTAAGAAGGCGAGGACTCAGTGATCCATATGATTTACTTTTTACTAGAAGAGGGCTGTTCATATCACATTGCGCCCTGTTTTGCTGTGCTGAGTCTTCTCCATAGCTGATTAAAAGGAGCAGGTTTCCCTGGATAACAGCTGAGTCATATTCAAGGGGCTTCTATGCAAATAAGAGGGATCTTTTACATCTCTGTCTCCTGGTGCTGATGGGTTTATTCTTACGTCTTTCTCACTTTCACGCCAGAGAGATTTCTGCTCTAATCCAGGCCCACACATACACATTTAGACACACTGACACACACACACACTTACTCAGACAGACATCCTTTGGTCTGCTCACTCTCCGGTGTGTGCATCCTCGTCGGATCAGCGCGGCTGTGCGTCTTCTGTGTGAGCTTATGTGACGGAAGATCAACAACAACAGCCCGTCTTTTCTTCTCAGTGTCAGCCGTCCCTGTCCCTCTATCACACTGAGTCCCTTTATGTTACCACCGATACAATGATTACTTCTCTCGCCCCCTCTCCCTGTCTCTCTCCTTCTCTGTCTGCTTTCTCTTTAACATAGACATACCATACAGCCCTGCGTAGCCAGAGGGCTTGTTTGTTTCAGCAGTTAACAAATATTGACAAATCAAAGCCGAATTATACATAATCTAAATTTAAATACTCACATGCATCATCTCTGGCGTGTTCAGGTGATTTCCTTAAATTTCCATGAGTTCATTTGTATCAAGACGTGTATTAGAGACTGATGTTCATTGGAAAAGGTGAATGCCTCGTTTTCTTTGAATCCTTAATGCTGAAAAGGCCAATGTAATTCAGTTCAAAAATATGCAGATTGTACTACTACTTATGATAAATGATTTATAAATGAATAAATTATTAAATGTGAGTACTTTTACTTGCTGCTGCAGGAAAAAATTAACCCTACAGAGCATTTTAACTTGGTTATGATAGAATTATAACTTTAAAGCGACTTAATTCGGGTTAAAAGTGAATTTGCCCAAAGAAATGTTAACAGATTAATCTTTATATAATTAAATATCTTTTAATTCATTTTCAAATTCTCCATTTTTGACAGTTTTTTCCTCTTCTCCCTCTTGTCAGCGTTTTCATACTTTTACATGCAAACCTTCAGTCACCCCAGCTATTATCCTCCCATTAGACGGCTAAGAGAGGAGCTGGAGGGCACAGCTACTCACTTAGACTCTCCTCTCTCAGCACCTTTTCACGCCGCCCCTCCCTCTTGCCAGCTGTTGCGTCCGTCAGTCAAGTTCACCCCATTCCTTATCTGTCTGTCTGTTGATGCCAAAAAGTAAAAGAGAAGCTGCGCGATGACATGCCCGCTGGTGGTTGTGAAAGCCGTGTAAAATGTTAAGCAATGAGGAAACACAACAGGGGTAACTTTCTCTTGTTTTTACTTTTTTATCTTTTAATTTAACAAACGTTCTGTCTTAAACTTACAGTGACAGATAACTACTTTTCTCTGATTTTTAAATGAATGTTTTTAATACTTACTTTCAATAATAAATCTAATAATAATAACACTTTTTATTTATAGGCAATTTTCAAAACACTCAAGGTCACTTTGCAAGGCAAAGTTTGATCTGAAGTGGGAAAACAGTTATCCAAATCTAAACTTTAATATTGTAAATACTTTGTACATGTAAAGACAATTTATTTAGCTTTGTGATGTGACCAAAAATCCTAGTATGGAAGTTGTGAAATCCTAAAGTCCTCAGTCCTCACAAGTGGTGTCTCTGCTTTTTCATGTCTAGATTTTTCATGTGTCCTTGTTTTTTGACCTGAAACAGTCGCACCACCTGAGGTCCAATTAGTGTTAGCCCTAATTAGTTTTGTGTGTCACGCACAGACTGCTGGAGTCTGTTTACACTGCATTGTACTGCACTTCACACTCTGTATAATATTTTGCTGTATATATAACCATGACAAGAAGCATTTGAAGTGCTTTTTGGCGTTTACTGGCAAGTTTACTACGACTGAAACAAACATCTTTCCTCAAGCTGAATTATTTTTTATAGTTTTTTGCTTTACTCATTAATAAGTTAAAGTGATTGATATAGTAGTTAAGAAATATGTTTCAATATTGTGAGTGAAAGTAGAAAAATTAGAAAAATAATCTTTTTATTTCAAACTGGGATGAAAGAAAATGTATTAGGAGAACTGTCCTGCCTTTTAAATGTGCATTAACATACTTTTGAAACAGGCCTCAGACAGAAGTTTTCTTATCCTTTTCACTCTTTCAGATTTTTCCTACTTTTCAATAAAATATAAGTTAAAAAAAATAAAAACTGTGAAGCCAAATAACTCACCAAAATGCAAATAAGGGAGAAAGAGAGTGAATGAGCGAAAGCATCCAGCTTGTGCCAGCGCCAGGGCTGAAGGAGATAATCGCACCCCTAAACAGGATTAGGCCAGTTGACAGTGGGATTAGAGCTGTGGATAGGATTACAGTATGTGAGATCAGATTAGCATAATACATGCCAGATTTAATCTGTTAGTGCTGCAAATAAAATCATCTGCCCGCTGGTTATTACACAGCCTTTGATGGAGGAGGACACTCGCTCTCCGTGAGTCCCTTCAATCTAGGTGTCCCAGAACTGAGAGGGACGTGAACCCTGTGCAGATAATGTTTGCAGGGAGAGTGCAAAGGGCCCGGATCAAAGAGGGTTTGGCAAATAGAAAAGGAGTCACATATATCTTGTTTTTTGTCACATTTGAGGTTTGAAGGTGAATGGCAAAGATACCACTCTTAGGTAGGAGAAGATATTGTCTTTTTAAGAGAGACTGAAGACATCCTAGAGAAAGTATTTGTCTTTGTGTCTTTTTTACTCAAGTGTTCATGGCTACCCTCTCTTTTTTCTCCTTTTATCCCTTACCATGACTGTTAAATCTTACATTTTAGCTACATTCACTTAAGATAGATCAAAACTGATCGGAAATTAGGGTCAAAGTCACTAAATGCTCAACTTTAGGTTTTAAAATGGCCGACAGAGATAAATTTTAGGCTTTGATCCAACGTTTGAGGCCTACATAGTCTGAGAAAAGAGCACACCTCAGTCATTTCAGAAACAACAGCGCACTTATTGACGCCTCGCTGCTGCCTGGACCTTGTGATTTCTGCTCAATGGCTCTTCTCTCTGTCTCCCACTGAAAAGAAAGGCTTGGAGATGATTAAATGAACGTTCCCGGGCCCGCCCCACACACTCACACTGCGAGCACTGGACGGCTTCCATAAAGCGCCGCTCCTCAAATCGATACCTGTGCAATTGCTCTGTTATTACTGATAATGAAAAGCATGTAAGTAAACCTTGTTGGCTCTCAGGAGAAGGGGGTAGCAACCGGACTGAATAGAGACTGAAGAGAGGGAAATCTGCTGTAAATAAAGTCACATGAAATTGTGTTTGTGTGGAGAGATCGAGGAAAGGGAGGGAGGTGTCTGAAAACAAAAAAAGTCCAAGTCAAAGAGGTTGAAGTTTGGACTGTGAGCTCTTGTGTACGTGACATCTGACCCTGCGGCATTTCTGAGAACCAACACCTCCTCAAGTGTGAATAACTCATTGCTGCCCGTGTCAGTCTGTTTGTGTCGCAGGTTTGTGTGGCTGCTGCTGTCTCTAACTCACACATGGTTTTTTCTCACCTGAGACCACTGAGTTCTGCAGCTAGCATCAAATTAATACCGCTTTCGAAACTTTCAAAACCCTCTCAAATTTTCCATGCACACAAATGTACCTTTTATGCGGCCAACCTCATGGCACTCTGTGTGGTCTTTTTTGCAGCCTATAATCCTTGTTCTCTCTGTTGTTGTTTGGTGAGGGTGGTAATGCGTCACCGGGGGCATATTGTAACTATTATCATAGATTAGCACTCCCTCCTCCATATCTCAGTAAGCTGCACTGGTCACATCAGGTCTCTGACCACAAAGCTGTGCCGCATGGATCACTGTGGAATTGTGGCCCCTCCAGGGAGACATAGATACAGTATATGCACTGGGGTAACAGTGTGTTTATGGTGGAATATAGACATGCTAACCACAAAAAAAGACATAAACCTGCTTAGATCTCATATGTGTTCATCACTTTATTTTAATTTACTGCCAATCCAATCCTGAATTAAGTTACTAAAGGCACAAATATAATGCACTCTACTGTAAAAGGGTCATATTGATTTGGGATTTGCTAATAGCTTTTTCTCAGTTTAATGGCTGCTGTTGTACCACATCCACAAGAAATCAATGCAAGTAAACTGCATGTGTCTTCACTGACATTTAGGTAAATCAACTTTGCATGTGATGTAAGATGATCTGCAGATGTATACTGTATGTATTTTATTATTTCAAGGCATATTTGAGTGCACAGTAGACAAAGAGACCAACCACTGGGCCGGGCCCTTTGAGTCTCCGCTGCTCTCTGTCAAAACAAAGCTTCATTCACAGCGTGTGTGTGAGGAGAAAGGGCTTTCATCTCTGCGTATGTTTAGACAGAAGTCACTGGAACGCAGGGCAGAGAACAGAGCAGCGTCACACCACCAACACCCAACAAGACCGAGGCTTACGCCATAACATCACACCACAACAGCAGGGCACAGAAGATAAGACAGCTAGTGGATTAAAAGACACGGGGACATTACAGCATGCAGGGTGCTTGTGCAGTCAGGGCTGATACTTCAAATTAAGGACCAAAAAAAAATGAACGGTAGCTGTTAGTTCATGCAGAAATAAGATTAACAGCAAAAGCACAAATCTGAGCTAATGTATTTGCCCACGGACAAAAAAAAAAAGATGGTTTGACAGTTTGACTTAAAATAATACAAAGTAGAGTGTAATGGGTAAGGGAAGCAAAAAAGCGTTTTAAACTTTCTGTTAAAACTCCAGTAAGGAGTTTTTAAATGAAACATACTAATGCTGCGTTCCAGTTGTTCTCGGAAGTCGGAATTTCCGAGCTCTGAGTTGAAAATTAATCTGGAACACCCCCCTGAAGTCGGATTTTCCGACTCTGGAAGTCGGATGATTCCTCACCAACCCCGACTTGACGACATCATATTCCAAAATGGCAGCACAGTGCATCAACAGTAAAGAGTAACAGTGAAAGCTCTTGTAATGTTTTATTTATTAGCACTCCTGTTTTGTTTTTGTAAAATCAAAAAAGTGGTTTAAGTTGTACTGCCAAACGTCTAACTGTGAACACGGTGCTATGGTGTTTGTAAAAGTAAGTTTGTAAAAACCGGTATCGCTAACAATAACTAACAACCGCTGACAACGGCTAACAACAGCTAATAACCGCTAGCAACAACTGACAACGGCTAACAACAGCAGACAATAGTAAACAACAGCTATCAACAGGCAACTGTAGGCGTCCATCTTGGTTTTGTGACTTGTTAACTGGAAGTCAACTTGGGTGTTGCGCCATTCCCAGCTCCAACATCCAACTTCTGAGGTAACTTGAACGCAGCATAAAATTTTTACTGTTGCATCAATGTGACTCACTGAAGCTATCCAGACAATCAGAAACAAAATCCTTTCTGTGAGGTCATTTTTAATGCTTGTAACCTCTGTGAGGGGCACTTTGGGTCCTCAAACATTTAGGGATATATTACCAAGTGGAAGGTTTCCGGTAATTGAGAGCTTTAAGAATATTGGTTAAGTCTGTCTTTCTCCATCGTCGCTCTGATTTACCCTCTTCATCTCACAAAAACGCACATGCGTAATAACAAAACTCTCCGCTCGCATCATCTTCTCTCCCCTTTAAAGGATGGGATGCAACCCCACCCTGCATTCTTTACACATTGGTTCATTGTTTGTTTAAATCCCACACGGTCACAAAGGCAGGGGAGTGTGGATGAGAGTCAGAAGGGAGAGTGATCAGGGTGGAACATGTTGTTACAACTTATCATCAATCAGACTGCACGGTAGCAGTGGGATTATTGTTCCCTGTTTGGCCTGGAGTCTGGCAAGGCTGATCTCACCAGGAGAAACTCAACCCCCCGCCAATAATACAAAACACAATGTGGACTGAAGTTACAAGAAGGCACGGGAAGTTCAGCTGGCAGCAGGAGTGAGAAAAACAAGGCTGGTTTTACTGAAGAGTTGGCAATATAACAATATGACCTCTTGTTGCATTTTGAAGGAAACTTGGCTTGATAATAAGTTGGCCTTGGTTGTAACAACTGGAAAAAGAATTAAAAACATATCAAGCTATTTCTATGATTCATCATGTACAAATGTGTATATGCGCTTAAGTTATGAAAAAATGATTAAAGCTACTGTGAGGATTTTTTTGCCTCTATATGAGCTACAAATGCAAATGAGACCATCGGTGATGAGAAAGCAAAGCAAAACAACTTTTACAACATATTCTTCTCCAAATAGTGACACTTTTGAATGCAACTTTTTGTCAGCTACAATCATTTTGGGAAAAACTCTCAAAGGAAAAAAAACAAAATTAACCAAAAGTTGCTCATGGGAGCTTTAATCTGGATTTCAAATTGAAATGTAGGCACTTTTTACCCGTTCATAGTCAGTACAGAGCCATAGTGAAGCAGAAAACATATATAATATTGCTTACTTTTTGATTTACACATTTATGTTTTATTTATGAGACATTTTTTTTGTTGCTTAAGTTTCTTATCAGCCTGTGAATAGTGTACATGGCTCTGTTTCTGTGTCAACACTGCAGCTGGTGTCTCCAAACTGGGGATGTGCCGATTGCTATCTGCTACACATAGTTCATTCACATTTCTACCTCAAACAACCTAGCTCCAAAAACATCCAAACTATCCCTTTAAGGTTGTTTGAGTGTGGTGAGATAATGCAACTCTCTGCTCCAGTTTTGCTCCAGTTTTGTTTTTTTTGCTAGAAGAGCAGGTCAATGAAATGAAATGTCAGAGATGTTATCCCTTACCCTGCACTAAAAAAACAAACACGACACATGGCAGATAGGGGCACTCAGGGAATAGTTGTTGCTTTTAAGGCGGTTTGCTTGTGTATTAGTGTTTTTCCAAGTTCATGAGCCTCCGAGCTTTGAGAAGCTTCCAGGAATCACTGCGTTGTCAGAGTGTCTGACAGCTTTGTTGCCATGGACACAGTCTCTAGCTTTGCCTCAAGGCCTCTGATGTCACAATAACAGCCACAAACATGAAGCAAGAGGAGTGGTATCTCCCTCCCTCTCTTCAGTCTTCATCTGTATTTGCATTTCTCTTTCACTTTTCTGCAAGCAATGACCCGAGAAATCACTTCATCTGCAAGTTCTATAATTTCCCCGACGCAGCTCTCACTAGACTCGGTCTCTTTTCCACTCATGCAGCTCCTCCTTCTGGGAGTTCTTTTTTAAGATGTCTAACATGACTGGCTGATTTGATTTAAATCTATTTTATGAGTATTTTGTAGGACGGAGTTGGCTAAATTCAAACTTTCCTGTCGCTTCCCCTAACGCGACCCTCTTACCTTAACACACACCTCCGTACACACAGCCGTTAATCCAGGGGTCGACAGACAGGTTCATGTAGGGTGATTGCAACGTGATCCTTCATGCCTTTGCTGCCCACTCTGCACACACACACACACACACACTATCTCTGCACACACTCCCACCCTCCCTTTGCTGCATGCCATTGTCACTCTCTTGATGAGTGCTATTAGGACCTGCTTCCAGTCCTTCTCACCACACAAACACACACTCATGGCACACTTTTTCCCACTTGAGCTCCCACATCTCTCAGTGCTGCCAGTGTCAGAATTTTCCTGGATGCCAGCTCAGCTTATGTGCGGCATGGAAAGTTATGCTACCGCTAAATCTGCTTTGAATCGATTAGGCGGCCCTTGACATAGCTACCCAAAGTTTGATTAAATTGTGTTTCATTTTATACAACTGAGACATTTGACATTCATGTGCATGTATATTTTCATTCTGCATGAATGATTTGATAAAGTAACAGTGGTATAAGTAACATCCCACATCTGGGATTCTGCATGGAAGACGATAGAGGTAGGAGAAAAAATTGATACATCATAGTATCGCGATATTTTGTCTGGTGATATATCGTATCGTCTCATTTACCAAGAATCAATTTTTCAAATTAATTGTGCTAATATGAAGTCAAATGATAATGGAAAAACAAAATCAGCTGTTTGTCCAGTGAGGTTGGCAGAGGTGACATCATAGAGCAGGAGAAAGTTAGTACAACAAATAAGACAAACATAAAGGAAAGCCAAATGCGAAATTAGCTTAACAGTTGAAAGAATTGTATAAATCGCAATATATTGTATCGCAATACTCACTGTATCGCAAAATGTTAAAAATCGCAATAATTTCATATTGTGGTCGAAGTATGGTGATAATATCATATTGCCACTAATGACGATCATCGCAGTAAGAAACAGAACAGCGACATAGAAGAGAGAAAACATGGCTATAATCCTCCTTGATCCTTAAAGCATTGCTGCCACCTTCCTAATGCAACTTAATCTCTGACCATTTCTGAATGAAACCCAATGAGAACTCGAGATAGCAACGTAAGAGAAGTGGACAAAACAAAATATCTCCAAGAGGCCCCCTCTGCCATTTAAGTGTCCTTATCTCCCCCTCCTCTTCCCCTGCACCTGTCCGGAGCTCTGGTGTCGCTGAAAGTGAAGGAGATGGGAGAAGGGGAATGAAGTCATGACGGAGTACAGAGAGGAATCCCAGTGGGGACAGCTCTGTCAGCAAGGGAAAGCACAGTGCGCCAGTGTCAGCTCAGCTGTGCTAAAGGGCTGAAAGTAAATACACATCCTCTCTAAACTCTGGACTGGGCTGTGTGCGTGACGTCTGTCTGCCACCTGTTACAGGAGCATGACCCCGACGTGCATACATTAATGTGTGTGCATTCCTGCAAGCAGAAGAATGTGTGTGTTTGTGTGTGTGTGTGTGTGTTTGTCCGACTTCTTAGACTCCTCCTCTTCAGACCGAGAGCAGCAGCAGGGTGAGGGATCTCTGTCTTCGATAATTAGCTAAAGGCTTTGACCTCTGGATGACTGCTGATACGATATACGTGGATGATATGAGTGGGCAGTATTTATAGGGTTGGTTAGACGTGTCACTAAACTGAACGTCTGGAGGGCTGCAGCACAGTGTCAGTGATAACTCCCTAAGATGAGCACGCACACACGCACACACACACAGACATGTCCCTGCTGGGACTGACAAAAATAGCAAGTTGTTAACAATTAGTGCTAGACTGAACCCAGACCTAATGAGTGTCTGACATTGAGCTTTCTATAAACAAGGAAGTGTTGGGTGTACCCATTCATTCCAGTTTGTAGATTTTTTTGATGTTTCACTCAGGAAATCATCCAGATCTGCTTGATTTCTGCCATTTTCATATGAAAAAATGTTGCTCATTCCTGCTCGACATGCTTTTTTTCTGTCTTCTTTGATGGAATATATAGACAGATGGAGCGCAGGACGACAACCACCTAATTTATAAAAAGATTAAGGCAATTCTAAGAGTCTGTAGCCAAACTAGCCATCATTTAAGGCCATACTAACATTGCTTTGAGCTTACCCATTAACATTTACAAATGACCACTTAGGAGCAGAGACTGATGGGAGTGTCATCAGGCTAGAGGCATGTGGTGATCAACCTGAAATCAAGAGTAAAAAACAGTTAGCTATACTTTGAGACACATAAATTTCTCTTCCATATCATTTCAGTCTGTCCAATAGTAAATGATCAAACAGCCAGTTTATTCAAAATCACAAATCTCAGCTTTATTGAGGCATTAGAGGAGGATCAGCGTTTAAGATGCACAAATGTTGAATTCACTTCAAAGAGCTTTGACATTTCTGTGTGGATAAAGAGTTTAGACAGCTGACAAACCAGAGCTAAACTCTGAAAGACCTACTTTAGTTTATCTACTAGAGTTTATCAGAGTTAAAGTGAACTTAAAAAGACTCCTAACCAAATCATGAGCCTGTTTCCGAGATACATCCTCTAAAGACCTTCTCTCTGATATTTCATTATGTTCCTGTCCATGAAAGGTACAGCCACCCTGTAAAAGCAGCCGTACATACGTTTAATGCACCACTCTGTTGTTTGTCTTTCAGGGCCGTTGCTCCAGGGAGAACTGCAAGTATCTGCACCCTCCTCCCCACCTAAAGACACAGCTTGAGATCAATGGCAGGAACAACCTGATCCAGCAGAAGAACATGGCCATGCTGGCCCAGCAAATGCAGCTCGCCAATGCCATGATGCCTGGAACGCAGCTACCACCTATGGTGAGAGGACACACACGTATGAACATACCACAGCTACTACCAATGGTGAGACTGCATACATGTAAAAGCTCCCACAAAAACAGCTCCCTCACTGTCTGCGTGGCTCCTGTAGCATTCTGACTCCTCTTTCAGTCAGAGTGTCTCTTTCCCGATCAAAATTTCAAATAAAAGTACACATGATCCACAGTGATTTCACCCCTCTGCTTTTATTTGTTCACACAGCCCATGTTCTCGGTGACACCAGGCCTAGCCACCAATGCCAGTGCAGCAGCAGCTGCAGCTGCAGCCTTTAATCCCTACCTGAGCCCTGTCTCACCCGGCCTGATGCCCCCAGAGATCCTGCCCAGCACCCCAGTCCTCATGGCTTCCAGCCCAACCGTCAGCCAAGTCCCCAACGCTGCTGCTGCAGCAGCCCAGAAACTGCTGAGAACAGACAGACTTGAGGTAAGAAACAAAGTGATGAATGAAGCTGATTTTGGTGCATTATGTTGTATAGAAGCAAAGCGATCTCTGAAGGGGTTAAATCATGATTATTATTTTTTTTCTTTGTGGGGGTAGAAACACACAGGATGATAATGAACAAGATAAGTGCTGTTTAACAAGCCACAAATATTCAGACCCTTTGTGGGCTTATGTAAACTGTCTCTGTAACTTAATTGAAATATTTATAGCAAATTCAAATAGATAAAAATAAAAGCAGAGTTCATAAACTGTGTTGTTTTTTCTGCTCATGAGACAGAGTGCATTCAAGGAGTTAGTTTGGAATTAAGAGTTGTTTACTTTGAATGAACCCGCTCTCTCTCTCACTCGACCTTGTTTAGCACCAGCACACTTTGTACTTTTGTACAGTACGCTCCCCAAAATGCTAAAAGACAAGCACAAGAGATGAGCCTGAACTTGTTGAATATTTATTTGAGTGGGTAGTGCAGTAATGATTTCCATAGCCGCACTGATAGTAAAGCAGCAGCAAACGAACACATTCTTTCTTTTATAAGGAAAAAAAAAAGAAAGAAAAAGAAAAAACATTCGGCGCTCAGAGCAAAACATTTGCTGCAGCAGCATTGCATTCTGGTCTTTCAAGGTTACCGTCGGCACTGAACTTATTGCATCTCCCTCTTCTACTGTGGTTGGTGGTGTTGTGCTTAGAAAGAGGCCTTTGTTCTCTGAATCTGATTTCCAGCAAAATGAAACATTATTGTTGCTGAGCTGAAAACATCTGAATGATATTCAAGTTTTCTTTTTTCTAATAGCATCTTTGTGTGTTAAAGAAAGAAAATACAAAACCTCACAATAAACCTCAAAAATGTGATGAAAGCACTGTTTTCTATTAAATACTATTAAGATCAGAAAGGAGGGCAAATCTAATGTATTATTAAATCCCTCCTCAAATAATGAAGAGAAAATATCAGTTAAAAAATCTCTTTTTATTGTCTTTTTGGTACACAAATTCATCGCAATTCAACCAAACACACTCAGAGCAGGAGACAAGAGTGGATAGCAGATACCCGTGTGCTCAAGCTACCTCTAATTTTCAAAGAAGGTGCTGCCCTCTGCTGTCCCCCACAGAGATTTTTAAACATGACTGAGACTCAGGTTGCAGCAAACACATCACAACAGGAAGCAGGAAGATGCTGCACCAGCTTAAAAGTGACATCAAGGCAGAGAAAGAAGTGTTAGCTTTAAACATTAAGCTCATTCTGGTTAACAGGTTCATGCAGAAAAACACATTTTTTCTCTGTAAATATATCATTTTATAATTCCTTTCGTTTTATGTCCAGGTGTGTCGGGAATATCAGAGGGGCAACTGCTCTCGGGGGGAGAACGACTGCCGCTTTGCCCACCCGTCCGACAGCACCATGATCGACAACAACGACAACACCGTCACCGTGTGCATGGACTACATCAAGGGCCGCTGCTCCCGGGAAAAGTGCAAGTACTTCCACCCGCCAGCTCATCTGCAGGCCAAAATTAAGGCAACCCAGCACCAGGTGAACCAGGCCACAGCCGCCGCAGCCATGGTGAGCAGTCTGTACGCCTATGCTCTCACCCACAGCACAAGATTAGATCCTTTTCAAATCTATTTGACATGAGCCAGAAGGAAATGTTTCATGTTTATGACTCAGTGTTTCACCTCATGGGTTAGTTCTGCTTCTTGTAGGCCAGATTATAGCCTTAGATTAAACTCACTAAGAATAGGATGGTTTGAAAAAAGAAACAGGTAATGGGATATAACTTTGAGCATTTATGGTTTGTCTTTCCTCCTATTTGATGGAAGTTCACACATTGTCTGTTCCTTTTTTCACCTCATCCAAGACTGCAAACAGTTAGCTAGTTCCCCCCTCTCTCTCTCTCTGTCTCTCTCTCTTTTTCTCTCTGTCTGATGGCCTGCTTCTATTTGTGACACCATTGTTTCTGTGCTTCCTATCTTTTACTTCTCTTCCTCTTGACATTATTAAAAAGGATTCATTGTGCTCTCAGTCCTGTCTCTCAGTAACAGCACCTGTGAATAATATAGCACAGCCACACAGTGTTTTTTTCTACATGCTCTTATTGACATAGCGAGGCGGTGAATCATTGTAATGTGACAATGACTATGATGTGCACAGTCAAACAGAAACCTGTAAATCGTGCTTCCATGTATTTTCCTGTCCAGTACGATAACTGAGACTTATTTGACAGTAATGTTTGAATAACATTCTCATGTTATGTTCATCCATGGTTGTGTGATAGTAACTAATGTAGATTAGTGATTACCATTAATTATTGATGATCGTTGAGCTGTCCAGCAGTAGAGCTAGTGTCCACACTGTGCATGCCTTAGTCCTGTTATCCCCTTGTATATTGCATTCCAATGATTTGTTTTTTTATTTGTTTTTGTTTTTTCTCACCTATACCCAAACTGCACTGCTGCCCCCATGATGCACCTCTGCTTGCTGGTTTATGTTAATGCGCTTGAACCCCATTGGCCCATTGCCATCATGTGCTCGCTGCCTGCTAATTAAGACTCAGTCGGCTGTCAAATCACTGAAGCGACCCCTCGACGCAACCTTTGACCTGGTACTATGACCTTTCACCTTTTAGCTTGGCATGTGGCTTTGTTGTAGAGCAGTGTGTTTAACCAAAGATACCTAGCTATTTTTGTTGTCGTTGTCTCGGTGCAATGTCTGTTTTTTCCTCCTGTTGATCTGTCATTATTACTGCTTGTGGTCAAATGATCGTGGCTCTCTGAATTCGGCTCTTCGCATCAAGACACCACCTTTTTTAATTTCAAATTCAAATTCGTGCGAAGGAGCCGCAATCATTTCATCACTTAGAGCTTATTTAACCAAAGTCAGTGAGGGCTAGGGAAGTAGAGCTTCTATACTGGTGGCATGGCTTCAGTCTGCGTCCAAGTCAGTGTTGTGGAGCAGCTCAATCAAGTGTGTGCATGTCTGTGTTACTAGTGCATGTAAAACAATGGATAAGGGTGGGGCTAAGAGGAACAGTCTTTACAATCATATAGGAGTGATCCCACCATAACAGATGATTACAGTTCAAATGATTGTTCACTCCATCATCAAATCTTGTCACTTTTATCCAGACCTCAAGGGTGGCCTCATGCCAAGGTGAGAAATCACTCACAGAGCGTTTCATGTCGTAAATACTGACACCTGGAAACCCCCTTTTATGACGCCTTACTCCTGTCCTTTGGCCTAAGACCATTCTTGACCTTTGTCTGAGAGTGAACCATCACTTAAACATGGCTTACACAGTTTATCATGGAGCTAGCAGTGCAGCCTCCCTCTCTCTGTGCTTCCTACCTGTTCCACCTCTTGTTAGCAGCAGCCTTATTGTTTTAATAGTTAATGCTTGCCTATGTTGCATTTAGTCAGCTCCAGGAAAACAAAGTTAATGATCTAAGTCAGCTTCCTGTTTTTTTTTATAATGGATATATGAATGCTTGTTAGCCAGTCGCTCCAGTAAGCACCATGCTCCTGCTTGTGTAGTACTTGTGTCAGACTGCTGCTTGCTTGCTACTGATGATATGATGATATTGTTGTTGATGTTGTTGTTGATGTTATTGTACACACAAGGATGTTTTCATGCTATTTCTCTGTCCTCTAACATTTGTGCCTTTTTTGTTTTCTTTCCTGTTTTTTTTTGCCTCTTTCCAATACACCCTCTCTCTCTTTCTCTCTCTCTTTTCCACGCACTTCTCTCTCTCTCTTTCTCTCTCTATTTCTGTCTTTTTTTATTTTATTTCTCACTGACCCCCCTTCTGTCTGGCTGGGCAGGGCATCGCCCCTAGTGTCATGGCTCCCCTGCCCAAGCGGGCAGCCCTGGAGAAGGCCAACGGGGCCTCTGCCATGTTTAACACCAGCATGCTCCAGTACCAACAGGCCCTGGCCAGCATGCAGTTTCAGCAGCAGGCTGCTTTCCTCCCTTCAGGTATGGACCCCCAAAGTAAACCACCACTAGAGCTCTGAGCACCAAGAGGAGGCCGGGGTTAAGTCTGTTTTGGCTCCTGCTTAGCTCAAGTGGATCAAAGTGGTAGATTACAGAACAGATTAATTCAGCTGTGCAATGAATTCATATTTGATTATGAATTAAAGAAACTTACTACAAAGTCAAGCAAAAAGATCTTGAGCGAGTGAGGGTCAGACATTTGTTAATAAATGCAGTTTAAAATGCTTCAATAAATTTGTGCATCACGCTTTGTCTGGCATTGCATGGCCACTATAGGAGTTATGCTGCTTTCGAGTTACCTCGGAAGTCAGATGTCCGAGGTGGGAATGACGTCACACCCGAGTTACCAGCATTTCAGTTACAGAGTCAGAAAAAAGCAAAATCGGAGGCGGAAACAAGATGGCTGCATCTGCAAAAGTTATTTTAGCGCTTGTTTTGTCCGTGCTTATGTTGGTTTTGTAGATGTAGCCATCTTGTTTCTGCCCCTGATTTAGTTTTTTTTTTAAACTTGGTAACTGAAACACTGGGAACTCGGGTGTGACGTCATTCCAAGCTCGGACATCTGACTTCCGAGCTAACTCGAACGCAGCATTAGGACTGGGTTAAGACATCTTTCTACCACTAACTGCCTTAACATAACTACACAACTCCTTTGGCAAAACCCAGGAAAAATCGTTGTCTCCATGGCAACAATTTATAGGAATCTTTCCTAAGTTAATAAATGGTTAGCTGCTCTCTTGAGCAACCGTACAGGGGCTTCAATTTAAATAAACGTTTATTAAAAACAGTCACAAACTGTTAGTTAAATAAAAAGAATGAGTGTAAGTTTGAACAAATTAAATATTTAGCTTTCTCATTATCAGTGTTGTTGATAAAAGAACAGATTCTGTAAAATACTATCAGTGGAAGGAAGAACTAGCTTCAGTCCTAGTTTTAAACCATACAAAGGCTTTTTGAGTTTTAGTTAGACACAGATGCCCTGTCCCTTTTTTATGTTGGCCTTTTTTCTACCTAATAAATTAGTCACTGACAAAAGGGTATTTGGCGAGAACAGGTTGTATGTGACTGTCCCTCCAGGTGGAATAAGTGTTAGTATAAAAAAAGAACTGCAAACTAGTGACTTGTTAGACACATCTAAGCATCCTTAGTCCAATCAAACCTGTCTGAATACACATCACTGCTGGGGCTTTGGCTTGGGCTGGGGTAAAGGGGCTGGATGGTAAAGGTTTCTCACGTACGCCTTAGTTTGGCACCGACCAGCAGGCTGCAAAGTGTGGCTTCTGTACATCTGCTTACTTCTGTCTCCAGTGTGTATATAATGTTTAATACTTGATCGTTCCAATCATAACGACACTATCACTCTTGTCGTGTCACTCATTTCGATGCACTGCACTTCAGACAAAAGTTCAGATCCACAATCTCATTCAATTAACAGACTGCTTGATGATAATGAGTTCACCACTTCGCCTTTTTATTCCAACTACTGATGACTGTGTCTCCAGGAGATATTAACCTTTTTTTCCCCACCTTATCTCTCCCCTCACTCTAACGAAAAACCTTGTGATGGGCCTGTTTTGATTTCTCTCCCCTATCCAATCCACTTCCTGTTGCACTGCATGATGGGCAGGCTCAATATTGTGCATGACACCTGCAGCCAGCGTTGGTAGGTTCAAGCTTTCCTTCTTCAGTTACCTGTTACCTTATGTCTGTGACTCGCACGCCATTCAAATACACGATCATGAACTGTGCTGTCTGGTTCTCAAAGGGCCATTTTGAGTTAAATTATGGGTTTGTTGACCTGAGAGTGAAAAAAATTGACGATACTTTGAAGTAACTTTGAAGCATGGACAAAGGTTAACGCAAGACGAGGCAGATTTGTGACATTTTGATGTTGTTTCTGTTCTGATTGACAGCTTATTGTTTGTAATATCAATGTTAAAGAGCTTTATTGTGTTTATCTCTCTGTTTACATTGACTGTTTTTAACACTTGACCACCTTTGTTCTCATGCTCGATCTAAACTTGGCTTTTGGCTTATCTAACCTGAGACCCAGTGAACCTCTTTTAAAAACACTAAACACAGAGGGAGTTCAATTGTAACCTTCTCCCTTATCTCTACTGCCTCACAACGTTTTTAGAGCTTAATACAAACTTGTGTCTGGTGTTTACAGTAAGGGGAACAAAAATAACTTGATAGTTAATAATAATGTGCTTACAAATGGAAATAAGCCACTGCTTCTGCTTACACAGCTACACTGTGTCGCATCAAGTTCTCCCTTCACGACCTTTTTATCCGTGACGGCAGAGCGAAGAAAGGGAACTAGTTAAATTGAATTCCCCCTCCGACTCCCTCGCTCCTCTCTCCTCCTCCTCCTCCCCTCATGTGCTTGGTGTGTGTGTGTGTGTGTGGCTACACTGCACCTCTGTGAATTTTTTTTGCTTACATGATTTTCCCTCCAAAAAAAGTTCCCATGATGCACGGTGGTACTCCGGCCACTGTGTCTGCAGCCACCACATCTGCCACAAGCGTTCCCTTCGCAACTGCCTCCACCAATCAGGTTTGCACCTCTACCGCCTCACTCTCTCTCTCTCTCTCTCTCTCTCTCTCTCTCTCTCTCTCTCTCTCTCTCTCTATCTCTCTCTCTATCTATCTCTCTCTCTCTCTCTCTCTCTCTCTCTCTCTCTCTCTCTCTCTCTCTCTCTCTCAATCTCTCTCTCTCTCTCTCTCTCTCTCTATCTATCTATCTCTCTCCCTCTTAATGCACATGAACGATCTGGGGTTGCTTGTGTCTTACAGCAAAGGGTGGGTTGGGTTACAGGCGGTACTCCCTCTTGTTGGCCTTCACTAGAGTCCAACACAAACTATATTAGTGCAGTGATCGGATGTTCGGAGACTCTTCGCTCCATTATAACTACAGAGATAATAGTCATATGTGTCTTAGTCTATCTTTCACACTGTATTGTATTTAATGTTTGTCCTCATTGTAACCTCGATTCTTGTCCTTTCCCATTTTGAGGACTCTTCCTTATCAAAGTTGACTACCAACGAATACATGCAATTGGTATGTATGAGGTAGTGTTTTTCTTTAACATTTTTAAGAGAGCCATTCGCACAGCTTGTGCTACAGTCGCTATCTGTGCCCTTTTGAGCTTGGCTTTTCATTTTTTGTTTTCTTTTTTTCGCTGCTGCTTCCAGCACATAATGCTGTAAAAAAACAAAAACAAACAGTCATTAAAAAAAGATTCATGACGAGATTCTGAAAGTGAAGATTTGTAACATTCTGATTTCATTTCTGTTCATGGTGTTTTGTAAGCTACATCGCACAGGAGACTTACAAAAGTAAAGGGTTAGCCATCATGCTAGCAGTCATGATCCCAGACCAGTTTTCTGCATTTCATCAAGGTGTGCAGGTCAACAACATGGAGGACTTAGTTCTGCATGGGGGAGCCACCTCACTGACAGTTTACCCCTTGACCCCCCTCATCCACCCCTTCCCTTGAATCCTCCTCTCCCCCCCTGCTGTCCAGCAGTGTCTTTTAATTCCTATTCACGCCCCACATTGCAGTGAAACCGTAGCTGAGTTGCTTTTTCTATCTTTTCATCTTTGCTTTCTCAAAAATTAACTCATCTTATCATTTAAAGACGTTGTTAAAATGTGATTTTGCTGTCGGCTAACGTCCACTTCGAGTGTTTCCAGTTTGGGATCTCCTCTTTGATCTCTTGGTCTGTTTTCTATCCCCCAGATTCCAATAATATCTGCAGATCATCTGAGTAGTCACAAGTACTTGACTCAAATGTAGTTCCTCTCGAGAACAGTGAGTTCCTATTTCAATCCTCACATTGTCTCTATTCATTAAAAAGTCGATGTTATGAATCATTTTAGCTCTGGTTAAAGACGGATTCTGTGGGCACATAAATCCAAATTGTTTAGTCTGCTGCTTTCAGAGTTTAAGAGCTTGTATCCTTTTTTTTTTCCTAAGAGAAACCTGCTATGTCTTTCAGATCAAATGAATGTGTGCTGGCACCGTCCAAGCCAAAAGAGTTCAGCCTTTATGTACATAACCTTCAGAATGTCGAGCAGCGGGACGAAGGAGGGTCTGCCATCTCTCAGCCGGTCCATGACGATGGTCTCATCACACAAGTCAACATCAAGGATGCAACATATGATCTGTGCCATCTTCCCACATATCAACTTCAAGAAGAATTTGTCGTCATATTCAACGTCCAGCAGAGAGAGAGAGCATGAGAAGAAAGAGAGAGAGAGAGAAAGAAAGAGGAGGAAATCTTGGTGCTGTGGTCAGTGTGTGAAACATTACACCTCTGTGTCTGACTAAAGCGAAGCACTCAATGAATTCTAATTATGATCATTACTGCACACACAGGAGGTCAAGAGCGTGGTTGCACAAAGCAACATCCAGTGCTGGTACGTTAGTAGACCAAGATTTTTTCTTTCCTTTTTTTTTTTATTTGTTCTGCTTGATTTTATGTTTTCTAAATTGATAGCCATATTTCATAGTTTACACATGAAATGCAAACACGCACCTTGAATTTGAATTCAAAAACTTTAAAGGCACAATGATTTTAACAGGAGTTTTATCCGCCAAAAGAATTAGGCATGTACAGTATTGTGTTTATAAGGCTTCTAGTGAAACTAGATGTTGAAATGAGGGTCTTGGACATATGAATGTTCTGGGTAAACCAACATACCTGTGTACCTTGAAAGCACAGCCAGGCTAGCTTTCTTATTCTCACCTTGTCATGTGCCATCAAGGCCATACAGCTAAAACCAGAGTGTTATCTCAGCAGTGTTATTTGTTTACCGAAGGTTCAAGTTTTGTATGGCTCTTTTTGTATTGTTCTGTTTGAGAACCTCCATTGTGAGTGTTTTTTTTTTTTTTTTTACTTTTTGTTTGTTTTTTTGTGTCTAATTAATCAGTTTTAGAAGTGGGTTGTTTGCCTTTTTTTAATGTTTTTTTTCTTTTTAATCAAAAATTGAGGGTTTTTCTAAAGTTTGTCATACCTCTTTTCATAGGCTAGAGTTGTTTTTGTTTGTTAGAATTGAGAAAGTCTGTGGACTCTAAAGCCTGGTAGAGGGTGCAGCTTCGATTGAGAGTGTGTTACCATGTTCCCCCCCTCTTTTAAAGAGGAGTGACTCTCAGACTGTGTCTCTAAGAAGCACTGTTGAGCATTGCATTGATGGGAAGTTAAAAGAAAAGACCCAAAGGTCTATTAGGTCATTTAAAAACCACATGTGCACTTCGATGATTGTTTGTCTGCTCACCCTGTTTTAACTTCACAAAGCCATCTTGGGTCAGCTTTCACTTTTGAGGAGATAAAACACACAATTTGTGTTCATTTCTAAGCGAAAAAAAAAAGATCAAAGTCCTCAGTCACTTGTAGATCTGACAACAGAAACCAAAGCACAGTTTTTCTCCCGGTCGTGTTCACAAAACTATTACAGCAGCGTCTCTCAACAGGCTTCAACAATTAAGGAAACATGTTAATCATCTTACAGTCGTCTGTCCACTTTATGATCACTTTCTTTTTCTGTTTTCACAGAGGTGTGTAGTCTGTCTTTACCGATTGTAATGTACCTAACAAAGCCTTAGATTATGATTAATGGGTCACAGCCCGATTAATGTACTTTCAATCACCATGCAGGTAAAGAACACCAATGATGTTTTATAGGTCTCTCACAAACCGCTTATGATCTTTTTTTTTCTCTCTATGTAAAAGTAACAATTACTCTCTTAAATTTCATGTTATGTACTACTTAAGGATTTGAATCTATTTGAGGTATGTAGTTGTAGATTTTCTTTATTTTTGCCTTACTATATATTACTTGACAACAATGATATAGCCGTTGTAGATTTTGAGGTAGTATGACATTCATAACTTTTTCAAACCATATAAAATGATAATGTATTGAGTCAGTTTTAAATATTCACTTCATTCATATAGCTGGATGTCTTTTTCAGTTGGTGTTACATTATCAGATGATTTTGTTGATGAGTTTGTTTTTGATACAAGGAATAAGATCAGTGAACTTCTGAGTAGACAAAAAACTAATGTTTTAACCGACTTAAGGTTTCCTTGTAACATGTCAAGATTATGATTGAAAATATATTGTATGATATATAGATTGCCATGTTTTAGAGTAAAAATTATTTTCTACTGTATCCATTTCAAAAAGATATGTACTTTTGTTTGAATATTTCTTAAGTTTGCCCTGAATGTCAGGCCAAAACGAGCAGTGAGATTGACGGGTGTTTGGATGTTTGGAGGGTAGTGAGATTAGGAGCATGAAAGCAAAGACTCTCTCCGAATAGGGGGAGTCGGAAATGCTGCAGATGATGAGTTCTAACCTAAGGGACGAAGGTTGACTTTTTGCACTTCTGTATATAGTCAAATGAACAGAGAAAAAAATGTGTATCATATTGAGATATTATTTTGAATAAAAAAAGATCTATAATTATAAGGAATTTTGCTAGATTAATTTAAATTCTTAAATTAGAAGACCAGCTAAAAAAAAAAAAAACGCTTGCAGAGAAGGGCACTAGTTTCTTGGCCAATGCATTCAGAGAAAGCTATGCGCTTTTTTGTCTTATTTTCAGTGGTTAGTTTTGCCAGGGAATGTTGCAGGGGAGTAGAAATCCCCATGTCACGCTAACTCCACCCCTCCTGTAGGATTACACAACCAGTGAAGTCCATTTCTCATTTTGTTGGACTTGGTCATGCAGTATTGCTGCTCCCATGGTACAGGTGATACATTCAACTATCAAAATTTGTATTCTATCCTAGTTTGATTTGACTGCATGTAAAAGTACAAACATGTAAACAAAAGATACTGCGTAGATATATAAAGAGAGATAACACTTTCAGAGTACAGAATACACAGTAATATGTTTATTTTTTATCAAGTATACATATAGTAGGTAACATCCACAGCGGGGAGAAATAATACTTCAGAAACAAGTCATCTTATTCTTGTGTGAAAAAATCATTTCCAAGCAGACATGTTATTTAAAGAATGATAAAATATTAGCACTCATCCACCCCGGATACTTTCTCATAGCCATATTATAACAGTTGTCACTGACTCACAGGAATATGTTGTTGCTATCATATCTGTGCTCTCAGCAGGCGAAGGCTCAACACACCAAATGCGTATTTGGCAAATTTAGTCTTTTAAAATGAATGTAACAGTCACTGTTCAACATGTTTGTGACTTGAGGCTGCTGTTTAGTCGCTACAGAACCAAAGCACCATTTTTTCTTCAAACCAGATGTTCAGTCTGCCGGCTGCAACCAAGGTTTCTTCTTCCCTGCTGAGGGCACATGTTCGCTTTTGACTGCTTTTTACCTGTAAGTGCAACCACCAGTTATGTATTTGCTAACAGTTGCCACACAATAATGTACTATTCTGACGTCAGATTTGTTTATGCACATTTTATTGTTGCCATATTTGACTCTTGCTGTATGGATGAAAAAAAAATCTGAATAAAACTATATTTGATTTGCTCATGCAACAGTTTTGTGGTCACTGTGTTGTGATTTCATTCACTGACAATGAACCCTTTAAACCCTTGCAAGTCAACATGCAAGTATTATCTTTTTATTCAGCTATAAAGGGACATCTAGGTCAGAGTGTTATCATGTTTCTGAACTTCAACCTCCTGAACAGATTCTTGTTACCTCGAGGGTTCAGAGTCAGGAGACCGGAGCAGCTCTTCAGAGACCAACGTCAGTGGTGTGAGGATAAATTGATTGTGCTCGGGGCAATTATTCTGAGATTGTGCGCAATATCTGGGTCATAACTGATTTCTGTAAAGTTAAAAAGAAGTCAGTCTGAACTCCCTACATGTCTCTTAATGTATGTATGTGAACATATTAAGTGGTCTTATTTGCTCTTGTTGGAAATAATGATGTGAGGAAGAGCAAAAGTTATCTTCTTACATCACAAAAAAGGCGGATTCAGTGGTTACTAAATCAAGAATTTAATAGAACTCCAATCTAATTTTACTGAAATGATAGAATTATCTTATTTTATTTGTCAATCTTTTGACAAATTGTAAGTAGTATGCATTATTTAATAATTAAGTAGGGTGATGAAAGACTATATCACAGGGCACACACTCTAAACTTGACTAAATGATTTACTCATAAATGCACAACACTGACTGCAGAGTAATGCGCGCTTAAGTTGCACCCATTCAAAATAAATTTTTTTTTTCAAAATGTATCTTAAAAAACTATTAAAAACATAGTGTACATTTTTAAGTTACTGTTTTATCACATTTAGATCTTTAATTGTGTTCTTTTTTTATAAGTCATTATTGCTGTTTTTGATTTTATTTACATTTATATTAACTTTTTAATCATTTTGAGCTTTATTTTTGCTGTCATTTTGATGTTTTGACTAATTTTAATCTCTTATTTTATTGTTCTAATAACATAAATTTGGATCTTTTATTTTCAATCACTGTAAAGCACTTTGAGTCGTATTTGACTTGTGAATAAATAGCCCATAAAAATATTTTGTTAAATGTTTAATTCCTCATTGTTTGTGAATGTCCTGCAAACATCGTTGTCTCTAGGCGTGGATTTAAATGAATGTCAACAAAGATCTAAGGCATTAAATTGTGCTTAATTGCCTGTGATTGGTATTTAAAGGGAGACTAAGTAGCAGAGGAATTTCAGAGGTGGAAGAATTTGAATATTTATAACTGACTGTGAGACTATTTGGGTTACATTTGCAATTCATTGAAATTCATTACAGTAATTGGAAGAGCGCCAAATGAGAAATGAGTCAATATTTCCCAGCAGATCAGATCAGACAGGTCTTTCCTTTAGATGTGATAACAGGGAAATGCTTATTAAAGTGTTACTCCAGTTCCTCCTCAGATAGTAGTATTGGGTGATAGTGAGACACAGTGCAGCTCAAACAATTGTTCTTTTAGGTACTTAAAGGGATATTATGGTGTAAAATTAATTAAGGATCAAACACACTGAGTTAGACACCCCCTCGAGAGATGAATGTTGCGAACCGCTTGTTTCTTTAGTTTTACCAACTTTAGTAATGACCGCACGATAGCAATACACAGGGGTCTGAGGAGCCATAAACAAACCTCAACCAAAACACCACTCTATAGCCACAAATAATGCTCAGAACAGCACCTAACTTCATCAACAGTACATGTAGGGTCCTAGCCACAGCACTAGCCATCAAACATATTTTTAGCTTTGCCTAATTTCTTTAGCAAAGAGACTAAACACAACTCACCAACTCTCTTCACTTGTTTGTAGCGAGACCAAAGGCCAGCCCATTACGGACTGCTGTGGGGTGACACAAATCAAGGAAGATCATTTATGATCATTACTTTATCATTTCCTCGAAGTAATAATCACCATATTAATCTTTTTTCCTCGCAAATACGGTAGTTCTTCTGCCTTAGCGTCTCGGTCTGATTGCATTTCCATGTAGAAATGATCATAAATGTTCTTCCTTGAGCTGCGTCACCTCGCTGCAGTCCGTAATAAACAAGCGGCTGCTGGAGGAGAGTAGTTGAGTTCTATTTAGTCTCTTTGCTAAATAAATTATTCAAAGTTAAAAAGATGTTTGGTGGCTAGTACTATGGCTGGGACCCTATATGTACTGTTGATGAAGTTAGGTGCTGTTCTGAGCATTATTTGTGGCTATAGACGGGTTTCTTGTGTACAAACAATACTAGGTGCACGCGCAACCATGGGGCAAAAACCTGCGTCGGAGTGAACTGATATCAATAAAGATGCCGTATTGTTTGCAAGTTCTCCCTGACACAATTGCAATAAAATGTCATTTCATTGAAAAATCGCTTTGTCTTTCATTGCATTAAAATCAGAAAAACATTTGCTGAAATATCCATGAATTTCACTCAATTTACCAGGTTGTGACGTTGTTTTAAATGTTTCAAATATCAGGAGCAGGGTCGTAATGTCTGCCGATATTTTTTTTTGCTGATCCATGCAGTTCACAGCAAAACAGCTCCTTGTCAACTTTCTCTGCTGACTCCGCTAGTAAACAAATAAGAAATGTCCCACTTTCTGCCCCCAGGCTGCGTGCACATACCTGCGATGACGTTGCACAGAAACCCGTCTATAGAATGGAGTTTTGGTTGATGTTTGTTTATGGCTCCTCATACCACTGTGTAACGCTATCCTGCGGTCGTTACTAAAGTTGGTATAACTAGAACAGCAAGCGGTCGGCAACATTTATCTCTCGAGGGGGTGTTTAAGTCAGTGTTAACATAGACTGTATAGAGCAGTGGTTCTCAAGTCCAGTCCTCGAGGCCCACTGTCCTGCATGTTTTGGATGTTCCTCTGCTCCAACACACCTGATTCAAATGATTAGCTCGTTATTAAGCCATTACAGAGCTTGATAACAAGCTGATCATTTGAATCAGGTGTGTTGGAGCAGGGGAACATCCAAAACATGCAGGACAGTGGGCCTCAAGGACTGGACTTGAGAACCACTGGTATATAGAATGGACGCCATCGGCCGTCTTGCTGCTACAGTGATAGCCACTCCGAGAACAGCAACCTCTGCCAGAAAAGTTTATAGAGCTGTGGACAAACTTTAGAAATTAATGACACAAAACATAATTTTTTTTCCTCCGCTGCTTGTGATGTTGACGTGTAGTTCTTGTAAGACTGGTTTGTGCTCAAATCCTCTTTTTTCTGTACAGCTCCATTTTTAAAAGTTATTAGGGGGTTCAAGTTCTCTATGATTGACACTTGATACAGCCTATGGGTGTACGAAGATTGCGTAGCTCACCTGGAGGATACGCTGTTTGAGCTGAGCGTCATCACAGCAACTCTGAGCGACTCTCCGCCGAATGCGTAAAACGCTACTTCACAATGTTGGTTTCAGGAAGTGGAGAAAAAAACCGAGTGATTACCGAGAGCTTTTTGGCTTCAAATCCGTATACTGGCTGAGGGTGGAAACAAGTTGTCCATGGTATATACAGTCTATGGGTGTTACAGTGTGTTTGACCTTATGCCAGAATATCCCTTTAACACTACATATGGGCTTTCACTTCAACTTAGAGGTTTCTATTTGAGTTTTATTCATAAGTGAGCAGTTAAACAGCTAATCAGGTCAAGAATTTAAACACTTCATTCACTCATTCCATTTAGTCTGCTGGGGAATGTAAATGTGTATTAATGAACGACCTCATTAGCATGCATGTTAATGTACCATCATAAATAGGGGGATAGTGTGCAGTTCAAGAGGCTCTTATTGAGAGCAATGACAGTGAGCAAGTATACAAGGTCAGAGGTCACGCACACTGGGTCACAGACATGCACGCGGCCGCAGTATCTGTCTAGTCATCTGACTGTGGAGAGTTTCGGGTGACGGCTCCTTTAAGAAAGCGGAACTGAACGTCGCTGTTTGACGTGCTGAGGATGTGGTGGGCAGGAAACGCTGTGCAAGAAGAGCAAAAGCAGAGAGACGATCACGCTTCCTAGCAGCATCTACGGTGTTTGCACAATACGGTGCGATCAAAATGCGCTTTAATCCGCCACGCTGATGTCCAGGAGCGGTCGGATCGGGAGTCCGCGGCCGTCGCAGAGGGTTTGCCGGCGTGGGGTTTGAGTGCTTGCCGATCGAGAGGGCAGCATTCCCAGCCTGCTCGCTTTGAAAACATCGGGGCTGGTCAGCGGGTGGTGGAACGAGAACGAGAGAGGGAGAGAGAAAGAGAGAGAGAGAGAAGAGGCTTCGTCGCGGAAAAAGGAGGTGTCTGCCTTTTTTTTTCTTTTCTCCCCCCTTTACACCACCCACCCGGGCCATGAGGGAGTACAAAGTGGTTGTTTTGGGGTCAGGAGGAGTGGGCAAATCCGCGCTGACTGTCCAGTTCGTGACGGGCTCCTTCATCGAGAAGTACGACCCCACGATAGAGGATTTCTACAGGAAGGAGATCGAGGTGGACTCGTCCCCGTCCGTGTTGGAGATCCTGGACACGGCGGGGACCGAGCAGTTCGCCTCCATGCGAGACCTGTACATCAAAAACGGGCAGGGCTTCATCCTGGTCTACAGTCTGGTCAACCAGCAGAGCTTCCAGGATATCAAGCCCATGAGAGACCAGATCATCCGGGTGAAGAGGTACGAGAGGGTGCCCATGATCCTGGTGGGGAACAAGGTGGACCTGGAGGGAGAGAGAGAGGTGTCTTCCGGGGAAGGCAAGGCGCTGGCTCAGGACTGGAGCTGCCCGTTTATGGAAACTTCCGCCAAAAATAAAGGATCAGTCGATGAATTGTTTGCAGAGATAGTCAGACAGATGAACTACACAACAGTTCCTAGTGGTGGTGACCAGTGCTGCTCATGTGTCCTGCTTTAAAAAAACAAAACAACAAAAAGTCCACATCCCAGCTGGACTTGAGCTTCTTTACTTGTCCTGCAGGCTTCTCTCTCTCCTCACACTGTTGTCTTATTGTTGCACACAAACATAAAAATCGACCATGACAACAATCGATCATGTATAATAGTCTGGAAAAAGTGTTTACATGACAAAAGTTACTTGAATGTTTTGGGATTTTTTTTATAGCTTTGTATAATACTTCTCTGAAAATGTGCCTCAATGGGAATGTCTTATTGTGAAACCTAAGAGACATCTGCTTTTTTTTGTTCTGTTCTTCTTCTTCTTTTTTTTAAATGTGTTAATTTTGGTGATTTTATTTTTATTAGGTTGTTACTGTTACATATCCTGGGCCGGCCCGTCTTGTCTTCAGGTGGTCCTGGTTTTGGGATCTTTATGGCTTCAATTACAGAGCAGGAAACTTGACAGTACTAAAAAAAAAAAACATACGCTCTTAAACGTATCAATCACCACTCAAGCCTTTGCACAGGTTATTCAAATCTGATCGACACAATTTATCCCCTCAAAAAAAATCCCACCATTGAAGAGACTGTATTTAAAGCTGTGGACTGTGGTGGAGTTGTTTCCTGACATATTATTTGAGTTTTGTTGTGCTGAAAGTGGTTTTATCATGGATCTTGCACTTAGCTGACGGTGTCCCTCCTCAGTGTGCACAAACAAGGACCATAGTGCATTGCTGTCGCTGCATGGGGAACACCACAACCCCATGTCAAGTGCCTTCCCAAGAAAAACTCCTGTGACTGTGCCAACCGATGAGCCCTTCTTCCTCTGCAGTGCGTCTTGATGGCAATCATAACTTTTTTAAAGCAGTTTTCAGTATCTAGTTTCATTTGGTGTTTAAGTGAGAAAAGCTTCTTCCTGCTGTACTTTTAGGAAGCTGAGCTTGTGTCAGACCAGCTGATTCAGGGTCAGATTCCACCAGGTACTAGTCCCGACAAGAAAAACAGAGAATCTTTGAACCTTGCAGGATTTTGGTTCAGTGAATGGCAAGCCATGTCTGTATTATCTAGAATTTTTCCTTTTCTAATAATGTGACCTTTTTTCTTTTTTTTTTTTTTGGACTTCTACAGTAATTGTAATTCTCCCTTTGGAAAAATCTTCTGCCATCCAGCTGTCAGTTTAAATGACTTGTAATACAAAAAGCATTTTATGTAACAAAGTGTCTGGATTTTCCTTTAGGGGCTCTGTAACATTTGAATGCTCTGGTATACTCAATTTTTAGTGAAGAAGCTTCTGCAGCGGGGTAGGTGTGAGATAGAGAAAAGCTATGTTTATTTTTTTAAATGTACGTGAATAGTTTTGATTCTGAATAATGTGACTGCTCAAAGGACTCAGGATGAGATTTGTCAGCGATAATGTAAAGTGAATCACTGGTTATGCAAATGAGAGACAGGGAGAGCAGAACCCAAACACAAAGCTGTCTGGTAGTCTCTAAATACTCAGACTGTAGCTCAAAACTCACGAAAGGTGACACAAAGTCTAGATTTTAAAATTATTTTTGTTGCTTAAAAAGTTAATCCCTTTAATTCCATTGTCCATGATGTTACCATGGCAACAAATTCCTTCCCTGCGCCCTGTGGCGTGAATCTCAACATTTAAATTCATTGTCAAGCAAAAACATAAGGTGTATTTGTTTTAATTCACGCAACAGTGAACATTTCTAGACACGTTGGGCTTCTGCAGGATTATCTATGGTGACCTTTTTTAGCCTCATTCAGCTCCTCAGTGTCATAACCTCAGAGCATTGTTGCTTTTATCACTACTGCTTATGGTTTGAGTTAGAGACCCGGCGATACACTAACTAGCTCTCCTGCAGCCTCGATTGCAGGACAGGATTTTACTCCGTTTTTTCCCTATCAGATATGATTAAGCCCACATCACATCTGTGCAACAAAACTGTGATTATTTACACCCAAGACCGGCCTGGAGGTGGAAACAGACATTTTTGTCACAGTGTTAACAGGCTGAGGTGAAGCGAAGTGATTTGCTGTGATGAGTATTCAACACAGCTAGGTAGTGATTTGTTTAATAACACATGTTAAGGACAAGATTAGCAAAGAGAGGTGAATAACCCCATCGCACTGCCGTAATCACCACAGACCAGAAGTTCCTGACTGAAGCTCTAGATGAAATGTACCTTCATCAATGGAGGGATTCACTATTTTGTTACTTATTGCAATTTTTTTCTTTGTTTGGGTGATAGAGCATCAGTAAAATACAAGATCTGGTTCTTGGGGACATTAGCAAATATTTCTGTAAATATTTTCACTTTTGACTCACTGTTTATTGAAGCTCTTGTGAGGAGATTTGAGCTGGTCGTGAAACAGACTGATGCCTCTAACGGCCCAGAAAAGCAAACTAGACCATAAACAAGAAAAGTGATTATCTCTGTAAAATTACTTTTAGTGTTTGAAGTGATGGACTGCACACTACTGATACAGCCTTTTTTCATGATTATTAATGAGTGCTAAATTGACAGTTAAAACTTCCTCCTGTGTTAGCTTTTACTTCGCACCGACCATGTTAAGGGTCGGTTTTGACCCGTGTCTTAAATCTGCTGTAAATTACGCTAAAATAATTCCCTATCATCCACTTTAGTTCTCATCTCTAGGTAACCTTGTTAGGCTCCATTATCCATGAAAATATTGCTTATAAAAGTTTTCGTATTGAGCCTCTGGGCCTTTTTTGTCCCTGATACAGACATCTATACTGAATTGATCTCACATGTCTGGACATGCCTGACGAAGTTTTTTGTGCAGGAAAAACAGGCAAAATGAGAATTTCCTGTATCTTGCATGACTGGAAGAGGATCCGACTGTCAGTGTGGTGCCTGACAGTGCACTTGTGATTTCAGTTTATGACCTAATTATTAGATACTGATCTAAACGGGTCAACAGCGACCCTAACACGACAAGTGTCATAATTTTAATAAGAGCATTTTATAATTTAATTTATTTATTTTTATTTTGTTGAAATAGAGGTTCCTGACAAAGTCAAGAAGACTTGATGTAAAAAAAAGCTAATTTAAGTTGTTCTTTTAAGCATTTAAAGTCAGAAACAGGTCGGTGCAGACCCTAACACAGGAGGAGGGTTAAAGAGAGCTGGGTGAGCTTTTTGGTAAATTGCACATGTTCAGGACAAAATCATCAGAAATCATAGTTATTCTTTTTTAAGTGTTGATCAGCTTAATTCTATTTCAATAAATTAGTAGCATTTCATGTTATTCAAACACAAGTCTTACAGACTTGACATATGTTGCAGTAAGCTGTTGGTTGTCCTCTAAATATTCAATGTTTTTGTGAGGATGCCTAGCTGTGAAAACATAGCTAGTATAGCAGCATAACCTGGTGAATAATCGTGGCTATCGTTGCCTGTGCGAACAGAAAGCATCTCAGTCCACTTGTTTGGATAGTGGGTAGGGTTTCCAGTAAGAGTTAGCCGGGGAGGGCTGTTTCCCTTCTACCCGCCGGGTGTTTTGCTGCAGCGTAGAGCACAGAGAAGGCTTTTTCTGTCTGCAGCCCGCTTCAATCAGCATAACACACATACTGGAGGCTGGTATTTGGTTTATCATTCCTGAGATTAGCCAATGAGCTGCTGGCTCAAGTGTTCATTCAGTGAGGAAAAACTCACTCAACTCCCTGACAGCATATAACAACTGGGTGCTGAATACTTCATTAGTGTCCAATACAAAAAACAATCAAAGACATGTCAACAATATTCATGCTATATATGAGGAAAACATTACTTCAGTGAGTCTAGCTGTGACTATTTTCTTCTCTAAGCTCTGGCTGTCAGTTTGAGTCCTTTACTTCCATTTATCACTGCGTCTTGTCACAAGTTAAAGGCTATTATTATTTTATTATATATTTGGCTCTTCCTTTTCTTAAACTGCATATTTTTGTTACATCGGTTCACAAGAGTTTGATATTTCCAAATGTTTTTACAGTTGGTCCAAATGTTAACAGTGAAGTGCACTTTAAAACAAAACATGAGAAGCCTATTCTTGTAAATGTATAAAGATGTGGTCTTTGTTTCTTTTTATATGTTAGTAAATGTATAGATTAGTTTCTCATGCACACAAACCGGCAGCAAATAAACACAGAGTCTTTGTGAGTCACGCTGAGCTCATACCAACTAAATGGAGCCTCAGGTCTGCATAATAGAGCAAGGTCACAATTTCCTCAGCTGCAGTGCTTTTCTTTTTATAGTTTTACATTTTAAACTTTTTATGATTTCGTCTCACTGCATAACAAAGGTAAACATTTATACCACTTTATATGATCACACTGATCAGGACTAACAGTTTCTTCATTTGGAAGAAAACAGGAAAAAGTTCTGGATAGAGTAATGTATGTCAACAGATTCAAAAAAGCAAACAGGTTTGCAGTGGCACATGCCTTTATGTGTATGTCCTTTTCTTCTCTCTTCTCCATATTGGTTTCAGGCCTGTAAGATGTAAGTCATATGCCCAATCAGGGGTATATCTGCATCTATTTGACTCTGAGTGGCGCCTTGATTTCATGCATTTCCTCACGTTGGTGTTGGTCTTTGTGAGGATGCTGCAGTGGTATCACAGGGAGCAGTAGCTCGGCGTATCAGGATTAGACGAGGTGTGAGGTTAATCACGGACAAACATTCATCTGCATTTAAAACATGGAAACATATTCAGTATGTCTTGGTCATATTCTGACATAGCAGTGCTGCTTTCCTTGATAAACTGCTGGGATTTTGCCATTACTTTAATATTTACACCTATAAGATAAAATGACATTATATAACCAGTGCTCATCAGCTGCTGCCTCAAACCTGACACCATGCTTTGCTCGCTGCAATATTACACAAGCTGTTCTTCTATTCATGTTCCTTCTACTGAATTTCACAAGCTGTGAGGCAGTGAAACTCACATAATGAGAGAAACACTCTTTTTCACTAAGTTTATTCTTTGTGACACTCAAGTTAAAAGTCTTTGCGCATAACTACATTAGGTCTGTATTTTACCGCAACCACAACAGACGTGTATATTTGGCTTTTTTATCGTAAAAAGAAAAGGAAGGATGCATGAGAGCACACTTCCTGAGTTGCAGTAGTTCACCCCAGACAAACCCGATGTTAAAACCTGCACACAGTTCCTCTTTACAACCTAGAAGTAGCTGGTTTGCCACTGCCTATCCTCTGCTGGTTGCGCATGACTCAGGATATGACCCCTGCACTGCCAAGCTCGAAGAAGTACAGAAGTTCAGTATTTCCTTTATTTTGTTCAACTTGGACTGACCTCACAGAAAAACTGATATTTGATGGAAAATCACACCTGAAGGTCACTCCACGTCTGCAGCAGTGTATGAACATGTTAGGGCGACATCAGCAGTCTTGTCATATCTTTTGAGCAGAGTTTTGACCAGAGGACAGAAACCACAGAGAGGAGAGGAAGCTGTCAGGCTGTTGATGTGATGTTAGTGTTCCTAAATATACACCGTAAGATCATAGACTGTGTGTAGAATGCACAGCATCTGCCTCCTTGCTGGGTGAAGCCATTCTGAGAACAGCACCCTCTGGTGTTGGGTTGTAGTATAGGTCCTAAATCCTGCCTCTGCCAGAAAAGCCTATGGGGCTGTGGGCAAACTTTAAAAATTTATTACACAGAACAAAAACTTTTCTCCCACTGCTTGCGATGTTGACATGTAGTTACTGTAAGACTGGTTTGTGCTCAAGTCCTCTTTTTTCTGTGCAGCTCCATTTTTCAAAGTTTTTATGGGGTTTATATTTTCTACGATTGACATTTGATACAGCATATGGGCGTACGAAGGTTGCGTAGCTCACCGGAGGATACGCTCTTTGAGTCAAGGGTCATCACAGCGACCTTTCCGCAGAATACGGGAGAGTCGTCCACAGCTCCATAAGCTTTGCTGGAAGAGGCAGGATGTCACCAGAGTGTTCTGTTCTTAGGGTGGCTTCACCTAGCAAGGAGGCAGATGGCGCTCATTCTGTATACAGTCTATGGTACAAAGCTACGGCGCAATGTTGGTTTCAGGAAGTGGAAAAAAACGTGGAATTACAGAGAGCTTTTTGACTTCAAATCCGTATACTAGCTGAAGGCGGAACCAAGATGTCCATAGTATATACAGTCTATTCGTATGACTCAAGTTAGCCTCTAGTTACCAACAGGTAACACAAAGAGTGCAAACAGTGCAGTTAGCTCAGCTCTGTGAAAGCACTTAACAATCAGCCTATTAAATGAGTTTGTTTCATTTTAGCAAACACATTGTTCTTAACCTTTAAACGGGACATTAATTGCTGCAATTATTCATCATACTGTATATATAAGTTTGTATAAGATGACCCATTTTCAAGACTCAATTTTAGATAAAGGCTTTTTGAAGGTAGATTGTTTTATTAGTGCAAAAAAAAAAAAGACCATCATGACAAAGCAAATACTTCAAATTTCTTTGAAGACTTGTTTGTAGTATATTTGAGACATGACAGGTGTAGAAATAGACATAGCTTTCGCAATTTTTTTCAGTAGCACTCTCACACATGCATTTTAAGGCGATATTTGTGGACTTACTCTCTATCTTTGATTTTTTTTATATCTTTAAGCAACAAATGTAGGACCTCTCTGCTGAGTTCATCTCTGAATACGTCTCTGTAAATGATCTAACAAGCAAGCAATTTAAAAATGAAAAATTACACAGCTTTATTTCGCCAATTAACATTTATGTTCACTTACAGAGGGAACAACAAATGCCCAATAAAGGTGCTGTGATTGTTCAGATTATCAAATATCCAGGTGTCGGCGCGGAGCCTCATGTACACCTGGTCTCCCACTTCCAGCTGCAGAGTCATGCCGTTGGTTGCTGTCTCAGGGCGGTTTCCAGCTGGATGGTTGAACACAGTGATCATCTGCTCTCCGTTTTTCATCAGTCGCAGCCCCATCGATTTACTACAGTCATTGTGACCAGAGAAACTGAAGTAATAAACTCCTCTGATAGGAGCAGTGAAGATACCTGACAGTCAACAAAGAGAGAAACATCTTCAGTCAGTTTGAGCACAGGGTTTGTTTTTCTTTCACACTTGATCCTTTTTTTTTTTTACATAAAGAACCATGACTCTAGGAACATATGTAGTTTACCTGTGGCCGGGTTGTATGCCCCTGTGTTTGAGAAGACATTCGTGTAGGTCAGGGTGATTTCAGTGTTAAAAGGTCCAACAACTCCAGCAGCATCACCCATAGATGCTCCAAATGCCACCCTGGTACCTTTTTTAAAATTGAAACAATCAGTTTTTAAATGCCTAAAATGGATAATCCCCACACTAGCTAAACAATGCTTACACAAACACATGTCCATTCTTACCTTGGATTCCTGCCCTCAGATCCTCTAATTGCTTTTTAGTGTCGCTCAGTTCGACCTGGAGCTCTTGTAAGATAACTATGACTTCGTAAAACTTATTGTGGCTCCTTTCTGTGCCATCAGCGCAATCACAAGTTGGATTGATGTCGGATATCTTAGAGCAGTTGACCTCTTGAGCTGGCGGCTCCAGAGACTGGACCTCAGCCACACTAAGGAGGAACAAGGCCAGGACAGCAACTTGGGTCTTCATCTTTCAGTTATGCCCTCTTTAACAAAATCAGCTCCTTGTTATGGGCTTTATATACCACACAAAGACAGAAGTAAGCTGGAGTTTCCCAGGAAAAAAAGGAGAACTGTTTTCTATATGTTTCAATGTTCTCAGGAAAAAAAAATGATTTCAACTATTAAATGCTATTTGAATACCACAACTTGCTCATACAAAAGGATATATATTTTTTTAATCAGCTGTATGGTCTTGACTTCAGGTGAATGCTAATTTTGATGCTAATTTTGATGCTAAAGCTGCTTTGTGTCAGCTGGATAGAAAAGTTGGCAATTTACGAACAATTTTAAGAAGCCATGGTGTTCTATTGTTCCAAAGTGTGAATTTCATGAATGTGGGGGATATGAAAATAACTCATAATGTATCATGTAAAACTATCAAACAAATATATCAGTGAGGAAACAGCTGCTAATGCTAATGTTGGTTGTTATCTAACAGTAATTTTCAGTTTAGCAGCTAGGTCTGCATTTTGTTTTTCTTTTTTCCGCTTTGAACATTGATACCATTTGTTGGACTTCTATACGTCTACTATATCCAACCTGTAACAACACAATCTGACATTACATTAGCATCCTAGCTTCCTATCCTGAGCGCGGTCAGAATGAAATCAGTGTTAATTCATCTTTAAACACATGTAAAATATTTTGAGGTAGTAATTCCTGAAAAATGTCTGATCTATCCAATATACTAATGCCAAGATCTGCAATAAAGTTCTCTATTTAGCTGCTGGTAACGGATACCAGAGTACAGTGATAGAAGTTGTGTCACTTGGTGATACATTGGAGCAGTCACCTCTACATATTGCAGACAATCCTGGTGGAAATATGAAAACATACAAACCTTTGGCTTTTTAAACATAGAAATGCATGTGGTGCATCTCAGCCATGTTCTGCAATATACAGTGCAGCACTGGGCACAACAGTGAGTAGGATTTTAGCAAAATCTCCACATGTGTTGAAATAATATCTCAAATCTAAATGATTTGTAATCTGTACCTTACTAGAGCTGCAAGAAATCTAGCACACTCTTTTGTTTAAACTGCAAATTTCACAATGTTCATTTCAGTTCCTTTTTGTGTTTCCCTGAATTTCACAAGCTTCATGGGAGGCCAAGGAACTCATTTAGTACACAAGATCCTGGCCAATTTTCTATTCAACTTGTATTCTGCAAAGAAATGAACCTGTTCAATCACAAGCCTTTATGCAGACAACCCTGAAGTAAATTTGATATATGGGTATATGTATGAATTTTTTATTGTATAGAAGACAGCAGGGATGAACTAGGGAATGCTTTCTGAGTTGCTGTGCTTCACTTCTTTGATGTATGATATATTAAAATGGCAGTGGCAGCGTTGTGTGCATTTGCTTCATGTGGTTTGGCACCATTGAGATCATATGACATTAATTTACAATAATATTCATACCTGCACATCTCTGGGCCTCCTGGTAAAGAAAGGGCAGCATTTAGTACGTTCTTAATTAATCGCTGACTGACTAGATTATAATGAGGCGATAACTTTACATAGTACACAGGAGCATCAACCCATTGTGATAATTCACACTAGCCTCTAACCCCGGTTGAAGGAATTGGGTCATCATGCAAGAAAAAGTTGAAGTAAAACTAAAACGTAGAGTAAAAGTAGTCTTCCTTCATCCAGAGTTTTGCAATACAAGGGACTGAGGGGAGGGGAGAGGAAGCAGCAATGCAGGAAAAAAAGCAACAAACAAGGTCAAAGCTGAGATTAAATTTGGACAAAATAAAAAAAGCTTACGTATACAAAAAAAGTAGCAGTACTGCTTTTCTTGTATTTCTCCAACCCAGAGAAACCATCTTGTTGTTGTAAATAATTATTTAACAGCAACCTGCTGATGTGCTGGCACTGAAAATACAACCGTAGGATGTTGGTACTGTGTGTGTTTCAACAATATTGCCCTTATTACAATGATTTTTGCATTTTAAACTTCGGTAACCAAGATGTAAGACAAATACGGGGGAGGACAATTGATTTGGTTTTAGATTGAACATGCCTGGTCGGAAAAGCAAGGTATCTCACAAGTGTAAGACAATAACAGCATAAGATAAGACAGCATAGTAAAAATAAAAGTTACCAAATTTAAAGTGATAAAATAAAAGATACAGTTCAGTAAAGGTTGAAAATAAAACTTTGTCGTTGTTTTCTTCTGCTTATCCGGGTCTGGGTCGCAGGGGCAGCAGCTTCAGGAGGGAAGCCTAGACGTAGCCTGGCTGGCCAACCTGTTGCGTGAATCACTTGCCGTTCCTTCCCACAATAGTCTGGACTTCGGCCCATTGGGAGTGTGTATTAGCGATCAGAAAATAACCGGACCAATCAGAGACCGTGTTTCCACTGTTCCCCGAACAACAGGGAAAGGCAGCCCCTGATTGGTCCATGTGTAGATGTGACATCTAACACATGCTGCGGGACTTTTCAAAGCGCCGTTCATTCAGAATGCCGTTAATTCTGCAGTTGACTTTGCAAAATCGGCAGAAATTGTTTATATCCGACGTCTTCTGCGGATATAAAATAAAAGATACAGTTCAGTAAAGGTTGAAAATTAAACTTTGTCGTTGTTTTCTTCTGCCCCCAGACCAAGCGAGAGATATAATCCCTCAAGCTGGTCCTGGGCCAACCACAAGGTCTCCTCTAACAGGAGGAACACCTCTAACGGGAGGCATCCAGAAGGCATCCTAACCAGATGCCCGAGCCACATCAGCTGACTCCTCCCAACGTGGAGTAGCAGCGGCTCTACTCTGAGCACCTACCAAGTGTCCCAGCTTCTTACCCTATCTCTAAGGCTGAGCATGGGCACCCTGAGTTGCAGTACTTCACCCCAGACAAACCCGATGTTAAAACCTGCACACAGTTCCTTGTTACAACTTAGAAGTAGCTGGTTTGCCACTGCCTATCCTCTGCTGGTTGCGCATGACTCAGGATATGACCCCTGCACTGCCAAGCTCGAAGAAGTACAGAAGTTCAGTATTTCCTTTATTTTGTTCAACTTGGACTGACCTCACAGAAAAACTGATATTTGATGGATATGTTAAGGCGACATCAGCGGTCCTGTCATATCTTTTTATAAATATTAGAGCAAAAGTTATTTTTCTACATCAAAACTAATCTTTCACCTCAAGTCTCTCATGTTTTCTCATTAAACAGAAAATAAGTCCTCTCATCTCATAACTTTGCAGTTGGTATCTTCTCAATCAGTCCCGACAGAGCTCCTATCATGTCGGGCTTCATCTTCTTCTAAAAGGCCTCCTCATTTGAGACTGATGTTGAACAACATAGTTTCATTATCTTAAACCTCTGTTGTCATGAATAAAACACACACACACACACACACACACACACACACACACACACACACACACACACACACAAACACTTTGTCTGACCTCAGCGGAAAAAAAAGTGTTTATCATGCAACAAAATGTCAAAGTGGGCAAGTCTTCTTTTGTCCATATTAAGCTTGAGCAGAGTTTTGACCAGAGGACAGAAACCACAGAGAGGAGAGGAAACTGTCAGGCTGTTGATGTGGTGTTGGTGTTCCTAAATATACACCATAAGCTGGGTGCAGCCATTCCGGGAACAGCACCCTCTGGTGACAGGCTGCAGTATAGGTCAGAAATCCTGCCTCTGCCAGCAAAGCTTATGGAGCTGTGGGCAAACTTTAGAAATTTATGATGGAGAATATACATTTTTTCTCCCCCTTGTTTGCAATGTTGACATGTTACTGTAAGACTGGTTTGTGCTCAAGTCTGTGCTCTATGTTCTGTGTAATAAATTTCTAAAGTTTGTCCACAGCCCCATAAGCTTTGCTGGAAGAGGCAGGATTTCTGACCTGTACTGCAGCCCATCACCAGAGGGTGCTGTTCTCAGGGTGGCTTCACCTAGCGAGGAGGCAGATGGCGCTCATTCTATATACAGTCTATGGTACAAAGCTACGGCGCAATATTGGTTTCAGGAAGTGGAAAAAAACGTGGAATTACAGAGAGCTTTTTGAATTCAAATCCGTATACTAGCTGAAGGAGGAACCAAGTTATCCATAGTATTTACAGTCTACTCGTACGACTTAAGTAAGCCTCTAGTTACCAACAGGTAACACAAAGAGTGCAAACAGTGCAGTTAGTTCAGCTCTGTAAAAACACTTAACAATCAGCCTATTAAATGAGTTTGTTTCATTTTAGCAAACACATTGTTCTTAACCTTTAAACAGGACATTAATTGCTGTAATCATTCATCATACTGTATATATATATATATATATATATTTGTATAAGATGACCCATTTTCAAGACCCAAATTATAGATAAAGGCTTTTTGAAGGTAGATTTTAGTGGTTTTATCAATGCAAAAAAAAAAAAAAAAAAGACTGTCATGACAAAACAAATACTTCAAAATTCTTTGAAGACTTTAATGCAACAGAATATGATCACATGCAAAAATGAAGGTAACTTGTAGTATATTTGAGACATGACAGGTGTAGAAATAGACACAGCTTTGGCTCATTTTTTTTCAGTAGCACTCTCACACATGCATTTTAAGGCGATATTTTTGGACTTACTATCTTCAAATTTCTTTGGTATCTTTAAGCAACAAATGTAGGACCTCTCTGCTGAGGTCATCTCTGAATACTTCTCTTTAAATTATCTAACAAGCAAGCAATTTAAAAATGAAAAATTACACAGCTTTATTTTGCCAATTAACATTTATGTTCACTTACAGAGGGAACAACAAATGTCCAACAAAGGTGCTGTGGTTGTTCCCATTATCAAATATCCAGCTGTCGGCGCGGAGCCTCATGTACACTTGGTCTCCCACTTCCAGCTGCAGAGTCATGCCATTGGTTGCTGTCTCATGACGGTTTCCAGCTGGATGGTTGAACACAGTGACCATCTGCTCTCCATTTTTCATCAGTCGCAGCCCCATCGCTTTTCTAGAGCCATTGTGACCAGAGAAACTGAAGTAATAAACTCCTCTGATAGGAGCAGTGAAGATACCTGACAGTCAACAAAGAGAGAAACATCTTCGGTCACTTTGAGCACAGGTTTTGTTATGCTTTCACACTTGATCCTTTGCTGTTCTTAAATAAAGAACCATGACTCTAGGAACATATGTAGTTTACCTGTGGCCGGGTTGTATGCCCCTGTGTTTGAGTAGACATTCTTGTAGGTCAGGGTGATTTCAGTGTTAAAAGGTCCAACGACTCCAGCAGCATCACCCATAGATGCTCCAAATGCCACCCTGGTACCTTTTTTAAAATTGAAACAATCAGTTTTTAAATGCCTAAAATGGGTAATCCCCATACTAGCTAAACAATGCTTACACAAACACATGTCCATTCTTACCTTGGATTCCTGCCCTCAGATCCTCTAATTGCTTTTTAGTGTTGCTCAGTTCAACCTGGAGCTCTTGTAAGATGACTATGACTTTGTAAAACTTATTGTGGCTCCTTTCTGTGTCATCAGCGCAAGGTGGTGGATCAATGGATGGTGGATCGATGTCATATATCGTGCAGTTTATATCTTGCTGCTCCAGAGGCTGGACCTCAGCCACACTAAGGAGGAACAAGGCCAACACAGCAACTTGGGTCTTCATCTTTCAGTTATGCCCTCTTTAATAAAATCAGCTCCTTGTTATGGGCTTTATATACCACACAAAGACAGAAGTAAGCTGGAGTTTCTCCGAAAAAAGGAGAACTGTTTTCTACATGTTTCAATGTTCTCAGGAAAAAAATGATTTCAACTATTAAATGCTATTAATAACTATTAAATACCACAACTTGCTCATACAAAAGGATTGTCTCAACTGCGTTCAAACTACCGCAGAAATGGCTAGAAAGAAGCTACTGAGTTAAGAAACAAAGGTACAGATTTGTACATTGAGGAAAGAAGGATACACATAAAGAGAAATTGCAAAACTCCTAATGGTGTCTAACAAAGGAGTCCACTACACTCTGAAGAGACTAGAGGAACCTGGAAGTTATGATGATAGAAAAAGACCTGGACGAAAGAGAGTTACTACAAAAGCAGAGGATAAACATATTATTGTCACAAGTAAGAGAGATCGGCGAAAGACAGCACCAAAAATTAGGGAGGAAATCAACATAACAAGGTCGAAACCCATATCTCTGACAACCGTGAAATGATGTTTGAGAAAGGCTGGTCTGAAGGGTTGTGTATCTGCAAAAAACACTACTTCATCCACAGAACAAGAAAAAGAGATATGAGTGGGCAAAAGCTCACAAAAATTGGACTTATGATGACTAGAAACACATTTGAACTGCTTGGTTCAAAACGCAGAGTCTATGTCCGCAGACAAACTGGTGAACGTCTGAAAGCACCATGTGATACACCCACAATTCAGCATGGAGGTGGTAGTTCCATGGTATGGGGATGTTTTGCAAGTGATAGAGTAGGAGATTTGTTTGAAGTAAAGGGTATCATGAAGAAGGAACAGTACCACTCCATCCTCCAGCACCATGCTGTTCCATCTGGACTAAGACTTGTGGCTCATAAGTTTGTTTTGCAGCAAGACAATGACCCTAAGCATTCTGCCAAGCTCTGTCGAGGTTACCTAGACAAAAAAGGAAGAGGAAGGTGTTCTTCAAAAGATGGCTTGGTCCCCTCAGTCTCCAGACCTTTCTCCAATAGAGCTAGTGTGGGATGAATTGGATAGATTGGTCAGAAAAGCCCACAAATCAGCAGTCTCTTTTTAATTAACTTAAAAAAGCTTGAAATGCAATCCTTGGAACATACCTTAAAAACTTGTAGAAAGAATGCCTGGTATATCTCAAGCTGTTGTTAAAGCCAGAGGAGGTTACTTTAAAGAAAGCAAAGTCTAAGCAACAATAACTCAAATACCTAATAATTATAGTTAAAATGTCTTCTGATAAGTTACTCTTTACACAATAGTAAGGTTTATTGTGTTGCAAAGTATATTGATGAAACTATGATCTTTTTTGTACAAATCTGATCTTGCTTCCAAACTTTTGGCCTGTAGTGTATATGTATGAACTTTTTATTGTATAGAAGACAGCAGGGATGAACTAGGGAACACTTTCTGAGTTGCTGTGCTTCACTTCTTAGATGTATGATATATTTAAATGCTGCACACAGTCCCTCTTTCAGGAGTGGATAGTTTGTCACACCATGTATCCTCCTTTAGGTGAATATGACATAACCCTGAATTTAACTTCACTAAAAAAACTGTACGTCTAGACATTGGTGAGAAAGTCTAGACATTGGTGAGAAAAGGAGAAATTGGTTAACAGATTTTGTATTTGTGGCAGTGTTGTGGGCATTTGCTTCATGTGGTTTGGCACCATTGAGATCATGTGACTGTTACGCCTCACCCGCAGGCGGCCTTATGGGGCTAACAACTATCCTCATCTTTCGACCCATCAAATTAACAAAACACCTTCAAAAGTTTAACATGTGATTTATTGTGACAAAATAAAAAAATTACAAACTAAACACAAAGCACCCACAACACAAATGAGGCAGCAAGGCAGCAGTTCCGCCACCAAATGCCTCTCCAGACTGCAGGCAGCTCTGGGCTTTTAGACTCTCAGTGCCAGGTGAGTCTGATTGGCACTCAAGTGATTTCACCTGGGCAGCTATGAAGAGACAAAAGGGGAAAAACACACGCAAAACAAATACACAGCCGTAACACCCCCACCCTTAAAACAATGAGTAAATAATTTGTACTACAAAAATAAACACCACAATTGCACACCATAAATCTATGCTGATTCGCATCCCAGCCGCTTCACACTTGGCCACAAACTGCCCCTGTGAGAGCTGAAGGTCACTGCTCGATGAAGCTAGAAGAACCACATCATCAAAAAGCAGTGACACGATCCTCTGCTTGCCGAACTGGACACCCTCCACCCCCCGGCTGTGCCTAGAAATTCTGTCCATAAAGGTTTTGAACAAAACCGGTGACATAGGGCAGCCCTGGCAGAGTGCCGAGCAGCACGTCGCCCCACATAACGAACCAGCAGCAGACGGAGGGATGCGAGCTGATCCCTGCCGGGCCGCTGTCCTCGCGCAGGAGAATCTCATCGCCACAATGTGAATGGGTAAGAAGTGAATGCACAGTTCAATGAGCCAAATTAATTTATTTTCTCCACCAGACGCTCGAGGACATTTACGAGCCGGTCCAGCCGCTTGTTGATCCCTGCGATCCCCCTGATGATTTCTTCCTGCGATTGCAGGACCGCCTCCGTGAGGACCCTTCCACTGCGTCCGGGTGGTCCAGCGGAAGCGCCGCGGCTGGTGGACGCTCCACCGCTTGTCGGCGCGCTGGTGCTGGTGCTGGTGCTGGGGCCGGGGGCCGGGGTGGCCTGAATGCCGATGGTCCTGGCCGACGACTCCGAGCCGGCGGACGGGCTGCCGTGTGCCGGGGCGGACCTTGCGTGTGCTTGTTTCCGGTATGAGTCCCACGCAAGTGTTGATACATGAGGCCCCTGGTGTTTTTTGTGTTTTTCCCCAGTGTTGCTTTTCCTGTGTGTAGTTATTCCTGTTTCACAGTAACATTCTTAGGTTCAGATTCAGAGTTTCCCTGTTTTATTTTGTAGCTCTCTCTTCTTGTGTTTCTGGTCTAGTTTTACTTCCTGTGTTTTCCCTCCATGGTGACCCTCTGCACCTGTGCCTTATTATCTCACCTGTCCCTCGTTGCCTGTTACCCAGTGTGTATTCAGTCTCTGTGTTGCCTGTCTTCTGTGTCAAGTGGCCAGGTTACTGCCCATCAGCTCCAAGCCTCCAGCCCTCCTCCTCCCTTTTAAACCACAGCCAACAAGAGGCTCGTTCTGCTGCCTCCCCAATCCTGTGCACAGCTGCGTTGCGCTCTCTGCCTGCCACACCTAGTGTAGTGAGCACCGACCATACAGACTGCGCCAGGAACCCTCTACACCCCACCTCCATTGGAAATAGCCATGCTTGCCGCCCTTTCTCCCTACAATACATAATGAGGTCTTGGTATTGCAGGCTCTTCCTCTCATGGGCCTCATCACAGCCTTCCTCCCATGGCACTGTTAACTCCACCAGGATGATCTTCTTAGCCTGCTCTGACCAGATGACAATGTCAGGCCTCAAGGTGGTCTGGACAACGGGGGGGAAAGTGAGCCTCCTACCCAGGTCAGCTGACATCTCCCATCCTTGTGCCCCCTGGAGGATGTTGGTCCTAGCTCTCTTCACAGAGGATGTCTGCTCTCCTGCCCTGATGAACTGTACTGCTGGTACTTGTGGCTTGGGTGGTTGCGGTCTTCTCCTGGCCTGCTCCAGGATGTCTGCAATCATGTGGAGCACTTGGTCATGCCTCCACCTGTATCTCCCCTGGGCCAGAGCTGTTTGACACCCTGCTAGTATGTGGGACAGGGTCCCCTTCTTCCCACACAGCCTGCAGAGTGGGTCCTCCCTCAGGCCCTACCTTGCCAAGTTCACTGGTGATGGCAGTGTGTCATACACAGACCTCAAGAGAAAGCTTACACGGAATGGCTCCAGCCTCCAGAGTTCAGACCATGTGACCCTCCTGTTTGGGAGGTCCCATCTGGTCCATGTCCCCTGGGTGGCTAGTCTGACAGCCTTCGACTTCCGTGTTTCCTCCTCTTGGTAACGCACTTCAGCTTGCACCATTTCCCTCCTCTGCTGCACACTTGCCTTCTTCCACTGTGTGAAGTGTGATGTTCCTAGGCCCTGCCGACCAGTGAAGACATTGCCAACGATGTCCCTCAACTGTCTGCTACCCACTTGTGGCCAGTTCTTGTGGTGACTCCGGCATTGCTGACTCGCTCATCTTTAGAGTCTCTGAGCATCATAGTCTCTCTGCACTTGGCCACTTTGAACTCCTCTACCACAGAGGAAAATGGAAGTTGTAGCTGCCCCGACCGAATGTAGAGTCCCACCGCTGTGAAGCTGGGAGGGATACCAAGCCACTGCCTGAGATGTTTATTCACTCTCCTCTCCATCCCCTCCACTACAGTCAGTGGGATCTCATAGACCGTCAGCAGCCACATCAGCCTTGGTAGAAGCCCGTGCTGGTATATCCAGGATTTGAACTTGCCAGGTAGGCCAGATCTTTCAATCCTCCTTAGCCACTCATCTGTCTGCTTTCCTGTGTTGGTGATGTTGTTCTTGTCACTGAGGGTGTCATCATACCACTTCCCTAGGCATTTGATAGGGTTATATCTAGTCGGTAGTGCTCAACCTCCTCCACAAGCTCTAGCTCCTTCCCCGCCAGAGAGGTGATGTTCCACGTTCCAAGAGCCAGTTTTCATAACCGAGGATCAGACCGCCAAGGCTCCCGCCAAGGCTCCCGCCTTGGTCCGCTGCCCAATCCCTCAAACACTGGACCCTTCATGTTCCTCCTGCAGGTGGTGGGTCCACTGGAGGTGGTGCCCATGTGGCTCATTTGGGCTGGGCCCGGCTGGGCCCCATGGGTGCAGGCCCGGCCACCAGGCGATCGCCAATGAGCCCCAACCCTGAGCCTGGCCTCAGGGTGGGGCCCCATGAGGGTCTTCTGAACCGTTCTTAGTCTGACCCTTCACCTAGGAGCAATCTGCCTTGGGAGACCCTACCAGGGACAAAATGCCCCGGATAGCATAGTTCCTAGGTTCATTAGAGCACACAAACTCCTCCACCACGGTAAGGTGACGGTTCAAGGAGGAGTATTAAAAAAAAAAAAAAAACATCTACAGGGTAAATGTGCATATATGTCAAGGAGCTGCTGTGTTTTGTTTCAAGACTCAGTAGCAGCATGATAAAAAGTAAACAGTCTTTCCAACTGCTGACTTCTGACCAAACAGAACTTGAGGGTCCTGTAAAAGTAGCTGGTTTGAAGAGTGTGTGTGATAAAAACAATCTGAGTGATGAAATAGTTATTTTTTGGCATGGTGATACTGTTCTTTGTAATCATAAAGACTGAGAGAGGACCACCTGACCTGTTATGTGTAGAGTACAACCAGACCAACAAAGGCTTTCCTTGTTGTTTAAGTTTTTTTCCTTGTTTAGTATTTCACCTGGTGTTTTTTGTGTTTTTCCCCAGTGTTGCTTTTCCTGTGTGTAGTTATTCCTGTTTCACAGTAACATTCTTAGGTTCAGATTCAGAGTTTCCCCGTTTTATTTTGTAGCTCTCTCTTCTTGTGTTTCTGGTCTAGTTTTACTTCCTGTGTTTTCCCTCCATGGTGACCCTCTGCACCTGTGCCTTATGATCTCACCTGTCCCTCGTTGCCTGTTACCCAGTGTGTATTCAGTCTCTGTGTTGCCTGTCTTCTGTGTCAAGTTTCAGATATTACTAGTTTTTCTGTATTTGGGTTTTCTGTTTAAACAAATTAAAGTTTTTTTTATATTTGCCCTTTCAACTTTTTGTTTAATAAAACATTTGCGTTCTGCACGTGGGTCCTACCTTTGCTTTACATGTGACAAGGACACTGGACACACTGCTGATCATAAAATGTCTTTAGAGGTATAAAAGTTAATTACACTTTCACTTCAATTGCCACAGATGACAGCAGTCGAAGAGGATGTTCTTTTTAACTCTGGCATTTATTAGTTTATTATAGTTATGGCAGTCTTTGACAGTGGCTTTAACATAACAGGTAAGACAAAACACACATGGAAACATAATTAGTATGACAGGATAAGAGGTTCAGGGGAGCACAAAATACAAACATTAAACATGAAAATAGTTAGAGAAAAGGAAAAGAGATAAATTCAAGTTTAGCAAAGTGAAAGCATAATTGTTGAATCAATAGAGATAAAACATTATTAGGAAAGACAGCGCATGGTTCAAATCAACTGTCAACACTGTACTGTATATTCAGAAAAGTTTAATACTGCCGTTACTGAAATAAAATTTCTCCTTCCAAGTGACAACTGATGAATAACCATTGAAATCATTTACCTTCTGCATGGAAAAATGCGCTCTTTTTACATCATTTAACTTTATCTAACTCAGAGGAAACAACAAATGTCCAACAAAGGTGCTGTGGTTGTTGGCATTATCAAAAATCCAAGTGTCTGCACGGAGCCTCATGTACACCTGGTCTCCCACTTCCAGCTGTAGAGTCATGCCATTGGTCCCTGTCTCATAGCGGTTTCCAGTTACATGGTTGAACACTGTGACCATCTGCTCTCCATTTTTCATCAGTTTCAGCCCCATTGGTGTGCTCGATACGTTTACACCAGAGAAACTGAAGTGATAGACTCCTTTGACTGGAGCAGTGAAGATACCTGTGGATAATCAATAGTGTTACATCATACTGGATGTTATTTACCACTTTAGCTGTGACTGTCCAATCACCGGTGATGGACAATTAATCCCATTAACCTTCTTCATTTCTTTGAATATGAACTTTTCTGGGAAGAAATGCTACTGGACAGCATCCATTAAGTTTCAGCACCTGCCCCAAACAGGACAATGTATTTCCTCAACCGATAACCAAGTGAATGTAGTAGTTGTGAATCTACCTGTTGTAGGGTTGTAGGCGCCAGTGTTTGAGTAGACATTCCTGTAGGTCAGAGTGATTTCAGCATTAAAGGGTCCGATATTTCCCACATCACCAAGAGATGCTCCAAACGCCACCTGGTTACCTTCAGAGTTTACACAGAAAAGGGTCTTATTTTATATGATAATAAAAAAACACACAAAAAGAACCACAAAGAACAATACAACCATATTTTACTTGATGTTTTCACTGCTGGTTCTTACATCTCACCTCCCTCCTCAGATCCGCTAACTGTCTCTCAGTGTCTCTCAGTTTGTCCTCCAGCTCTCTTAAAATGACAAAAATCTGGACATTGACATTGTTTGCTTGTACAGCCGTTAAGTATTTAGGGACCTGTGTGGTCCCGCCCTCCTCTTCCTGGTGTTCATGCTGCTCAACTTCTGCACCAATGAGGGACAAGAGGGATACAGCCACCAAAACCACGAAGGTCTTCATCGTTCAGTTCATTCAGGTTTTCTAAACAGCTCTCTCTTAAATAGTCCACACAAAGAAGGAAGTAACTTAGAAAGGACATGGAGTCAAGCTAAAGGCTACAGTCAGCTGATCTTAAGCCAGCCCTCAATCAGCTGACAGTTTAGATGATCGCCCTCTACACATCCTATTGGCTAATGTCAAAATGGCGCCCTATTTAAACTGCTACTCCTGCTTACTCTGCCTGCTGCAACCAATCTGCAACCAACCTCCACCCCAGCTCCTTCTGTTGATGCTGTCTGATTTTTACCAGTGTCATATGTATTGTCACTGATGCTTGCTCTGTTCTGTGGGGGGATTTCAATGTATTTATCTTTATCATATTTATTTGCTGCTGCTTTCTCTGCCTTGGCTTTTCATGTTTCCACGTGAAAGGGAGGGGAGGAGCTCTCCCCTCTTATAGTCGTGGCATTCCATGCAAGTGCATGGAAGGGCAGGGAACTCTCAGAACAGAGCCATACTGCCAATGTAAAAATGTTTGCTTGTAATAAATAAATCATTTTGACTAAAGTGGTCCTGACTGAAGTCTATTTTCTGAAACTTGAGTCAGAGTAAGACTTAAGCAATCAAAAGACATGGATGAGAAAAGGAGAAATTGATAAACAGATTTTGTATTTGTGGCAGTGTTGTGTGCATTTGCTTCATGTGGTTTGGCACCATTGAGATCATGTGACATTAATTTACAGAAATGTTCATACCTACACATCTCTGGGCCTCCTGGTAAAGAAAGGGCAGCATTTGGTACGCTCTTAATTAATCACTGACTGACTAGGTCATAATCAGGTGATGACTTTACAAAGTACACAGGAGCATTAACCTATTGTGATAATTCACACTAGCCTCTAACCCCAGTTGAAGGAATTGGGTCATCATGCAAGAAAAAGTTGAAGTAAAACTAAAACGTAGAGTAAAACTAGTCTTCCTTCATCCAGAGTTTTGCAATACAAGGGACTGAGGGGAGGGGAGAGGAAGTAGCAATGCAGGAAAAAAAGCAACAAACAAGGTCAAAGCTGAGATTGAATTTGGACAAAATAAAAAAAAGCTTATTCACATGAAAAAAAAAGTATCAGCACTGTTTTTCTTGTATTTCCCTAACCCAGAGAAACCATCTTGTTGTTGTAAATAATTATTTAACAGCAACCTGCTGATGTGCTGGCACTGAAAATACAACCGTAGGATGTTGGTACTGTGTGTGTTTCCACAATATTGCCCATATTACAATGATTTTTGCATTTTAAGCTTCGGTAACCAAGATGTAAGACAAATACGGGGGAGGACAATTGATTTGGTTTTAGTTTGAAAATACCTGGTCGGCAAAGCAAGGTATCTCACAAGTGACAGACAATAACAGCATAAGATAAGACAGCATAGTAAAAATGAAAGTTACCAAATTTACAGTGATAGAATAAAAGATGAAGTTCAGTAAAGGTTGAAAATCAAACTTCTACAGGGTAAATGTGCATTTATGTCAAGGGCCTGCTGTATTTTGTTTCAAGACTCAGTAGCAGCATGATAAAAAGTAAACAGTCTTTCCAACTGCTGACTTCTGACCAAACAGAACTTGAGGGTCCTGTAAAAGTAGCTGGTTTGAAGAGTGTGTGTGATAAAAACAATCTGAGTGATGAACAAGATATTTTTTTGGCATGGTGATACTTTTCTTGTAAACGCTTTGTAATCATAAAGACGAAGAGAGGACCACCCAACCAGACCAATAAGGGCTTTCCTTGTTGTTTAAGTTTTTTTTTTCCTTGTTTAGTATTTCACTTAGTGTTTTCTGTGTTTTTCCCAAGTGTTGCTTTTCCTGTGTGTAGTTATTCCTTTTTTCCTTATGTTTCACTGTATCATTCTTAGATGTATTTTAGTCTTTCCTGTTTTATTTTGTAGCTCTCTCTTCTTGTGTTTCTGGTCTAGTTTTACTTCCTGTGTATTTCCCTTCATGGTGATTGTCTGCACCTGTGCCTTTTGATCTCACCTGTCCCTCGTTACTCGTTACCCAGTGTGTATGTTGCCCTTACTCTGTGTCAGACCCTTGCTCCAGTGTTTGATTTATTTCAAGTTTCTGATATTACTAGTTTTTCTGTATTTGGATTTTCTGTTTGAACGAATTCAGTTTTTTTAAATATTTGCCTTTTTGACTTTTTGTTGAAGAAAACATTTGAGTTCTGCACTTGGGTCCTGCCTTTGCTTTACATGTGACAAGGACACTGTACGCTCTGCAGATCATAAAATGTGTTTAGAGGTGTAAAACTTAATTCCACTCTCACTTCAATTGCCACAGATGACAGCAGTCGGAGAGGATGTTCTTTTTATCTCTGGCATTTATTATTTTATTATATTTATGGCAGTCTTTGACAGTATCCCTAACATAACAGATAAGACAAAACACACATGGAAACAGAATTAGTATGACAGGATTAGAGGTTCAGGAGAGCACAAAATACTAACATTAAACATGACAATAGTAAAAAATAGTAAAAGAGATAAATTCAAGTTTAGCCAAGTGAAAGCACAATTGTTGAAACAATAGAAATAAAACGTTTTTAGGAAAGACAGCGCATGGTTCAAATCAACTATCAACACTCTGTACTGTATATTCAGAAAAGATTCTCCTTCCAAGTGACAACTGATGAATAACCATCGAAATCATTTACCTACTGAAATGTCATCTTTCTGTGGAGATAGTGGAGTTACCACACCAGCTAAAAAAAAAGCTATGAAAGCTATTTTTTATTTTCCAGGTAGATGGCAGCCAGCTTGGAAAAATGCACTCTTTTAACATCTAACTCAGAGGAAACAGCAAATGTCCAACAAAGGTGCTGTGGTTGTTCAGATTGTCAAATATCCAAGTGTTTGCACGGAGCCTCATGTACACCTGGTCTCCCACTTCCAGCTGTAGAGTCATGCCATTGGTCGCTGTCTCATGGCGGTTTCCAGCTACGTGGTTGTACACAGTGACCATCTGCTCTCCATTTTTCATCAGTCGCAGCCCCATCGGTCTGCTTGATATGTTATGACCAGAGAAACTGAAGTAATAGACTCCTTTGACTGGAGCAGTGAAGATACCTGTGGATAATCAACAGAACTACATCATACTGCATGTCATTTACCACTTTAGCTGTGACTGTCCAATCACCTGTGATGGACAATTAATCCCATTAACCTTCTTCATTTCTTTGAATGTGAACTTTTCTGGGAAGAAATGCTGCTGGACAGCATCCATTAAGTTTCAGCACCTGCCCCAAACAGGACAATGTATTTGTTCAACAAATAACAAAGTGCATGTAGTAGTTGTGACTCTACCTGTTGTAGGGTTGTAGGCGCCAGTGTTTGAGTAGACATTCCTGTAGGTCAGAGTGATTTCAGTATTAAAGGGTCCGATATTTCCCACATTACCAATAGATGCCCCAAACGCCACCTGGTTACCTTCAGAGGTTACATAGAAAAGGGTTTTATTTTATATGAAAATTAAGAAAAAACACACACACACACACACACACACACACAAAAGGAACCACATAGAACAATACAACCATATTTTACTTGATGTTTTCTCTGCGGGTTCTTACCTCTCACCTCCCTCCTCAGATCCACTAACTGTCTCTCAATGTCTCTCAATTTGTCCTCCAGCTCTCTTAAAATGACAAAAATCTGAACATTGACATTTTTTTCTTGTACATCCGTTAAGTAATCAGGGATCTGTGTGCTATTGTCCTCCTCTTCTTGGTGTTCATGTTGCTCAACCTCTGCAACAATGAGAGACAAGAGGGATACAGCCACCAAAGCCACGAAGGTCTTCATCGTTCAGTTCATTCAGGTTTTCTAAACTGCTCTCTCTTAAATAGTCCACACAAAGAAGGAAGTAACTTGGAATTTACCAGAAAGCAAGATATCCCCATAAAAAACAAACACTTATCAGATATTAACCGATAAGGAAGATGGTCAAAGGTCTCTTTGGTTATTCATTTATGATGTTGCAAAGTCATTTATGTAGATTTTTCTTCACAGTAACATTTCTCTTATTTTGACAGTCTATGTTGGATTTTACAACCTGTGTCACAATGTTATCCATTATTGTTACGAGAGTAAACCTCAGAAAGATAAAAAGTGGAGAGCCAGAAAGAAATGTATAATGTGTATATCAGTGATTAATGTTTTATTATACACTAAAGGTATTCTTGTCCAAGTGTTCATGATCTTATAGCTGGTCCTTGTAAATACACAGGAAGATGATAAGGAAACATTGTAAAGGACTTGTTATACTCCATAAAAATAGTTTCTAAAGGTGAAGGCAACATTTCTGTGGATATTGCTCTCTGGAATCATACAAATCAAGAGCCATAAACCTTGTTTTACTTTATGATGTTCAAGATCAAGCTTTTTCCATTCAGGTTCCTCGACTTTGGAACGACCTCCCTGAGGACATCAGAATCAGTGACGTCTTTTAAATCACTTCTAAAAAACTCATTTTTACAGACTTTATTTTCTGTGATTTAACTTTGTTTAACACTTTTCAATTTGAACTTTATTACTGTATTTAAAAACTTTCATATAGTATGGCTTTTGATCAAAATATTTGTTTGCAAGTCCTCATTCTATGTCCCACCTTTTCTGTCCTTGATCCCATTTGTTTAATTCATTCACTTAGTAATGATGTGTTTGTATCTCACTGCTCCTCATCTTTTTGTATCTGTTTTTAGTTTGATTTGGTGTTTTCCTTTATTTTCCTTTTGTTCCTTTTTTTCTTCTTTTTCCCGCCTCTGAGAATCTGCATTGTCCTCAAAATACTATTATTTTTTTGCACTTTATTTGCTGTCAATCTTTAAAATTTATCTCTTCCTTGCACCTGCAATGCTCTCCACTAAATGTCCCAACATTGTCAGGGAGAGGTATGCACGAATCGGATTATGCAAATTCCTTGACCCGGTCTGCAGACTTTTCTTGCCTGTCTGTGTGAAGTTGAGCTGATTCTGCATGTGAACTCAGCAGGTGATACTCCTCTGCACTCACCTTGACTGTTTCCAGCTCTTCACAGCTCATCTCAATTGCAATCAAAGTTTGAAAACGAAAGTGAGATAAAACCATATCTATAAACTCAAAACTGTCATGTAAAATATGACAGTTGTTGTCAGTGTAGGTCATGGCATTTGCCCATGATGACAAAGACAGCCTTCTACTGTGAGGGTCAGATATTTTCTAACATGGTTTTTGCCTGCAGGACTCAGATTGTGGATGAGTCACTCTGGTCTTGGAGGGAACAGTGAAGAAAAGACCTCACATATCCACGGACTGAAATAGACTAAATACTCTGCATCTGCCTCTCACATTGCACACTGAGTGGGAGGACACAGCAGACACACAGAGGCACTCTCAGCTTCCCCCACATTTAGCAAACATCTTATCTCTGTTCTAAGCCCATCTACTCATACACTTTGAATGGCTGTGTGTATGTGTGTGCGCGCACACCTACTCCCATTTCACAATTTTCTTTGCAAGTCTGTGCCTTTTTCAGATGAGCAAAGTACAAAACGTACAAAAGAGCCTCCAGATTTGATGGTGTTTGATAGCCTCCAATCCAAGTCTTTTCAGATATGGCTGCTGTTTCCTCTCTGTTCACAAGAGGGCAGGCAGGTACAGCTGATCGACAGAGAAGAGGGGACCCACGTGAAGCTTCATCTTTAAGGCACCATATGGATATGAATTTACACTTCTGTTTGAAAGGACACGTCATGTTCCCCCATGAAAGGCTTTCACTGCTCTTTGATCCTGCTTAAAACTTCACAAGAAGTGCTTTAGAATATATTAATTCAGATGATGTTTATAGATGTTAATGCTTAATTTGCGTCTGTAACAGCTCATCTCAAGGTGCAGATCTTTCAAATCTGTTTGTATAATGTTCTTTAATTAAAATATGACTCTGATTAAGTTTCAAAGAACACACAAGCAAAATAATTTCAATTAGATGATACAAAGTTACAGCAAAATGCAAATTAAAAAAGGACGGCATTTTCCTTATTTATCTTTGACTAAATAAGGAGGGCTGTCAAACTCACGAAATGAACACATGTATGAAAGAAAACCTTGATTCTTGAACCCTAAGAAGTGATCCATAATCTGGTTTCCATGTTTTGAAAGCGAAGAAAAAGAGGAATGTGTAACAGAACAGCAGCCGCTAAGGCCAGGAGTAACACATACTTTTTATTTATTTTTAAAACATATTGCGACAAGGGCTAAAATGGAGCGTTGTGTGGAGTGTTGTACAATCAATGAACTGTGATATAACATGTTGAGTACATAACCCTATTTGTCTGAAGTTTGTCGGATAAAACTAGCCTGTAGCAACAAAACTCAAAAGTGTTTTTAGTAAGAAAGATCTCTGCAAATGAGAAGATACTTGTAACAGCGTTAAATGCATCAAGTTTTTAAAATCGATACAGCAAAAGGCTTTCATGTTTACAACTCTCACATATTTATGTGGTCATTTGGATGGCAGAAGCTCTGTGTTATTAAAGGTAATCTAACTCACTGTCATAAAATCAATAAAGGTGTTGTGCTGGTGGTGCAGCTGCAGCGCACATTAAGTCCCCTGGTTAAATATGAATGATCCTGGAGTCACATAAACACTTTCTTTCTGCTTTGCTGTTCCTGTTTCTGTCACTGTACAATCATTTTTCTGCAACTCCAGGAAACTACAGCAGCCTAGCAGAATCAGAACTTGTTCTGCTACAACTTAAATTGGTCGTACATACATACAACAGATGTATCAGGAAGATATTTCCCGACGAGTCGACAGAAATATCTCGCTGGCTTTGTTCAACTCGCATCACAGACAAGCAGGCTTCTCTCACTGGAGCCACCAGGAGCTCAAACAAAGCTGCCTTTGTCTTTTAATTTGTCACTCATCTAAGAATAAAGTTGACATCACAGTCATGGCCCACAGAGATATCCCTGCCCCCCTCTCTGTTAACTGTTAATTTCATTTGTGTGTGTGCCTGTTTGTTTGTCTGGCTGTCTTACCTTTCTTGATGCATATGAGAACTTTGTTTTATACACCTATAAACAATTGTCAGGGCATTCCTGTGAATCTCTCAGTCGGCTTGAGGCATGACAAGAACTCTTCGGCAAACAAATATGGATATGCTCTGTGGTACCGCATGACAAGAGTTGCATTGTACTTACAAGGAGTTGTTTTGAAAGCCAGACTCTCTCCACAGGATGACTAAATATATTGAAAAGGAACTGCCAGCAAAATAAAGTGTCCTGACAACCCGTAAGGGAGAGGGTTGATCCAAAACATGTACCTCAAGGCAGCCTGCAGCGAGATCTCCATGCCCAGGCAGAGAGGGGGGCCAAGGCTGGACCGCTGCCCCAGCTCCATCCAGCAGAGGCAAGGGGCAGGAACCAGGGGGCACCCTTCAAGCCCTACCGGCTGCTTTCCAGGAAGCTTCGAAGCCTGCAGACCTCAAGAGCAGCAGAGTTTGGAGGAGCGTCTTCCTCAGATACGCAACAATTTTTTCCAGGCATCTACCCAGCCTAGTGCCAAAATGGTCTACAGGTAGGATACTGAACTCTGTAAAAGAGCAAATGCATGTGGACCGAGTCTACTGAGGGAGAAGACAGCACAATAGTTTGAGCTTTATTTACACTTTCATTTTGGCTTGTGAACGTTTTCTTAATTGACTAAATTCCAGATTTAGTCAAAAATCAATGAGAGCAAACAGCAGCCTGTTAGTCAACTGTATGATTTTCCAACCACTGGATTATAGTTTCACTTTCCTCAGCTGGGTCGCTCTTCTGTTAAATACCTACTGCTTATCAACTCCTGATAAGACACAGTCCTTCTTAGCACAGCAAGACCCAGCACTAATTCCCCTCTGTGATTAAAACTGTCGTCTAAAGCATGTGAGGCCACCATCAGACACACCGCCATGTCTTCTTCTCTGACTGTGAGAAGACTGAGGATTTGAATTAGTAATGAAGCAGGAGACTAATATTTGATTGTCATAGCAAAGCGGGAAGAGTGGGAGCTGTCAGCAGCAATGATCAGTGAAACCTTTTAATGGAGTGATTTTACCAGGATTGCTGCCTATTTACCTTTTGGTAAAAAAAAAAACAACAGCTGGCCATGATGTGTCACAATGATTACTCTGTCACACACTGATTCGACTCCAGCTAGTTCTAAGAAATTGTAAGAAAACACTCAGTCTATTCTTCAAGAGAGGGAGTTATTGTATATCTGACAGAAAGAAAAAAAAAACACTTTTCAAGACATACAAACCAAAAGATTTAGGGTTAAAACCATGCTAATATCAAACGAGATGAGAAAGGATATTTGCACATTTTAAATTCATTATCGATTTGGTCAAGCAAACCTTTTATGCCTGCATAAATTCTAAATGTGTTTTCATACTACTACTCCAGTAAAAGACTATCAAGATTTCAGTTATTTCAATAAAAATAGAGCCTGAGTATAAACAAAAACTTGTGGCTATCACAAGCTCCCAAACTGGGTTTTTCAGACTAGCAGCAACACGACAAACAGAGAGGGAAGACCTATTTAAGCTTAAAGGGATATTCTGGCGTAAATTAATTTAGGGTCAAACACACTGTAACACCGAGTTAGATACCCCCAAGAGAGATGAATGTTGCTGACCGCTTGCTTCTTTAGTTAATACTAACTTTAGTAACAACCGCACGATAGCAATACACAGTTGTCCCAGGAGCCATAAACAAAGTGCAACCAAAACGCCACTCTATAGCCACAAATAATGCTCAGAACAGCACCTAACTTCATCAACAGTACATATAGCATCCCAGCCATAGTACTAACTATCAAACATCTTTTTTAGCTTTGCTTGATTTCTTTCGCAAAGAGACTAAACACAACTCACCTACTCTCTTCCAGCAGCTGCTTGTTTGTAGTGAGACCTCGGGCCAGTCCATTATGGACTACAGCGGGGTGACGCAGCTCAAGGAAGAACATTTATGATCATTTCGTCATGAAAATGCAATTAGACCGAGACGCTAAGAACTACCGCATCTACAGTGTAAAAATGATAATTATTAGAAATGATAAAGTAATAATGACTAAATTAATTTTACGCCAGAATATCCCTTTAAGTTAGCTGCAGGAGAACAGCTAACGTAAAGCCAGTAAACATTTTCATCAAGAAATGTAGCTCTGTTGCTCCCATTGTGGTCCGATTTCTTGCTGCCAATAAAAGGTTGAAAGCGTACATACATTTCATCAATAGAAAATCCATTATTAGTGCCTCGCCATGAGAAATGAATAGCTCCGCATCCACTTCCCTCTATTTTTCAATATCCCCACTATAAGGCCAAATGCCCTCAGGGTAGAAACATAAGGTCACTAGGCATTTGTAGGTTGTCACAACGGAGACTACACTATTACATCAATGTCATCATAAGTAGTCATTTCAGCCTGTGATGAGGTCATGACAAAAGCCTGACTGATAATGATGATGATGGTTATACTGGTTAATGTTATAATGGTGGAAATGAAGATAATCGGCTGTGGGAGCGGTGTTTATGGAGTGATGGTGAGGATGATGGGAAAATGTAAGTGGATGCAAATTGAAGGCTTTGTTGCTGTTGATGAAAGACTGTTATGGAGATGATGATGATGATGATGATCTTGCATTTTCCTCCAAATCCTCCTCACTCTGTCCCCTTCTGTCAGATTTGGAGTCAAGCTCCCTCGTCAGTATTTCATGCATGTATGCCAGCCCAAACTGAGATTTGTAGGGCTTCATAACCGTAACCATTTTGTCTACACGGCGTCGGTATCACCCTATTAGAGCAGATTAAACAACCAATTCCTCCTCTGTGGTGTTGTACGTGCACTACATCACAATGACTAATGCTGTCGGGTCTAATCTGCAGCATAGGGGGAAGACTATAGAAAAGACGTAAGGGAGAGTGTGTGGTGTAAAATGACAATTTGAGGAAAAAAATATGGAAGAGGAGGATGAGAGGAAAGATAAAAAGAGGATGAGAGGATCAGAGCCAAGAGCAGAATGCAGAAGAAAACAGGGAAAGTAAAAAGGGATTGTGGGACTGCTGCAGCAGTGACGTCACTGACAGCTCGGAAAGGTTTTCCCCCATATTTTTCTCTCGTTTTCTCCACAAGCAGCTGGAGCTGATAAGAAAATTATCTGACATTGAATATCTGTATGTGCATTCAAGTGAAATGTACAAGACAAAACCCAGCTGGTTCCAAGTCTGTAGTTATTTAACTTAGACTCTTGTGAAAGTCTGAAAATCTCTGTATAAACAGATGCGGTGTTTTGAAAGGTAATAGGCGATGCTATCAAGCTATGCTAACAGATGTTTCACACTGTGGGAGTCCAGGACACAACTATAAATCAGTCTGCTGTTTCCAGAGTGCTGTGTCATGATTGCTCGTGTATTTCTACATGTGGGTACTCGCTTTGAGAAGGTTTTAGTTTCAATACCAAAGTTTTAACACGCTTTTAAAGGTGACTGGAGCAATTAAAGCAGAGAGATTTGCCTTAAGGTAAGAGTGATATCACCCGTTGTGGGTTCCAGCAGAGACTGAAGAGAGAGCTCTAGTTGCTGCTTTTGACTGACACACTTTAAATCGGATCAATGGGGAGGAATCGTCAGCTTGGAGGTGCATGTGACATTCGAGAGATGATTGAAATTTTGTCCAACTGTGCAGTTACCTCTCCAGAGTATCCCAGAATGAAATGATCAGGCCAAAGCAGGGTTTGCCTGCAGGCAGAGCAAATGTAGAAAAACAGGCCTGAGATGGTTTTTCTTCAACTTTGTTTTGTTTAAAGGTGCACTCCACTGATTTCATGCATAAGGATTAGTTATCTTAACCAAGTCACATTATGGAGAATTTTTTAATCAGTCTTTTCACTCTTGATTATTGAACATATAAGAAAACTCTGATAGGCTATTAAAGCAAAGATGCCCTTAACATGCATTCTTTCATGTACTCAGCAGGGGGCAACTTCACTGGTTACATAGAAAGACTAGGCTGTAAAAATTTGTCCACATCAGCATTTTCCAAATACATTCAATTGTTTGTTTCTTTGGTGAACCTCGTTGTTCATTTTGTAAGCCATGTTTTCTCTGTTACGGGAAGATGTGCAGCAACATGCGCATGTCGTGCTTGTCAAATCTGGTTTCGAAAAATAAGTATTTACAAAGTGTAGCTACAAAATGCTGGCTCTGTCTGCTTTTGATTTACAGCCTTGTTTCTTAACTGTCACAAAGAGACTAAATACCAGAGTCTTTCAATCGCTCTTTCTCCTGCTTTTACTCGTGGTTTTTAAGCTGTACCTCTTTAAGGAGTATATGTCATTTTCTCGTGTTCAGTATGGAATGAAAGAAAAGATACAGGTTGTGATTTTGCATAGAATTTCATAAAATGGCATGAAGTTAGTATGTGTTGTTTTATCTTTTATGTGCCCAAAGGCATTTTGAGGCATTTATAGGCTGACAAAATAACAGCTTTTCAAATGAAGCTTTTAGAGCTCCCCCTGGTGGCTGGTTGCAGCACGTGTCTGAAAGCCAACCTCCTCCATTCTAACAGATATAGCACGGGCCAAAGTAGGAATCAAATTACATGTCTGAGTAGATTAGATTAGAAAGAGCTGATGTGATGTCATGACTGACAGCTCTGTTGACTAATGTGACACTTACATCGTTCTTCTTATAGCTTCACTTCGCACAAAGGGGGAGAATGGAGGTGTGTCATCCATGTTTATATTCAGTCAAAAGCAGTTTTACATCTATAAAGAGATTTGAGGTGTTTACAGCTGCAATAATGATTTATTAATATCTTTAAAAATCTGATTGTTGCTCTGACTGACCCAAAAGCCAATCCTGGCATTAAAAATGGGTGACTGATTTTTTTATTTTTTATTTTTCAACCAGCGTCTTTGTTATCAAATACAATCAAGAAGGGTTAAAAATAAAACTGTGTTTTTGCCTGGAGGTTTCTGATTGTTCAATGAACCATGAAACCCTGCATTGTCACATTACAGCTCAGTGGGGGAGGAAAAAAAGATGCTGCACCGCCTGAATGCTGTTTTTTTTCTTCTTGATCTCACTGTGCCACTTACAGTAACATCTGCTCTGAGACGATAGCGTCAGTATAGGTCCCCTTGCACTTCTTTGAGACCGTGTTGAACCATGGCATGTTTTTTCCCCTCATGTTAGAAGGCATGAATTAATCCATTTATCAAGTGGTGAAAATAAGGTAAAAAAGTACACACGACATGATACTTGCATGGCAAAAAAAATGCTCCATAAACTGTCACCAGTGAAGTGAAGTGTGCCTGTTACTTTCCCATGTAGGTTAATGTTACCAGCCACCATATGCCATCTTTATCATTCTGCCCGAGGGAAATTTCTGTTGGTCAATTAACACACACACTATCTCCTTGCCGTCCATTCAGAATACACCTTTTCTCTTTCTTTCTTTCTTTCTCTCTCTCTCTCTCTCCTCCAAGTGTGTGGCGCCCCAGTGAAAAAAACACTGCAGTTCTTTCAGCCTGTCAGTCAGAGCCAGGAGCCTATACACACACAGCCTCTCTCCCTCATTCAGTGCCTGACTCCCTCTCTCTCTCTCTCTCTCTCACTACACACTCAGCACGCGCTGCTATTTGCCTCCTCACTGCATCCGACCTCTTCTTCCCTGAAGTGAGGTACCATGCATCCTCCTCTCTCCTCCTTCTCTGTGCAGCTCATCTGTTATCGTTCCAGGACCTTTTTATCCATCAGCGCCTTCGTGCTGCAAAGCCTGGGACCATAAACAACTTGATTGAGGACCTCAGAGACGGGATAAGGCTGTTTGCCGGGTGTGAGGACAGCTGCCGGAATTGCTGATGCTTCTCTTGTCTGGGATGCGGATCTTTGTGGGACCTCTGCTTGCTGTGTGACACCATTTAAGTCCTGACAAAGTTTCAGTAGGGGACACATCGGTCAAGAATCCCATCCTTGCCTCTCACGGCGCACTGTGTGTAAGAACATTCGCATCAGTCAATATGGAGTGATGAGTTGGAGTTGGAAAGTAAGTGGAAGCAGAAAAGATTTGTTTGATGAAAGCATGACCTTATTTTTAACACGTGTGACAGAAGAAGTGAGAGTGTATTAGTGTCCAGATGTGTCAGTGCAGTGTTACTCCGTCTTTCAAGGTGTTTGACTGAAAGGTTTAGTCTTTCTTGTGGGAGAGAGAAAGGCTCCCTCGGCTCAGACAACTCCTGGCTGCTTAACAAAACTTCCCATATGCCCTAAAGATAAACTCATTAAAAAAGTTTGAGCTGGACTTTGTAAACAGATAGAGGAATCGGAGAACAGATTTCAGGTGGTAACATAAAAATATAAATTGCAGTATGTAAGATGAGATGAGGAATGTAAAGCAAAGTTAGAGCTTTCTCTTGCTCTCTTGCACCTTAACCCCCCTGCAAAACCTCAAGTGCTCTCCTCAATTGGGTGACTCCTTCCACGACTCATCCTTCCTCCTCTCCTTCATCCTTCTCCCTACATGTCCACCCTCTCTCATAACTCCAGGTGGATTCATCCCAGCAAACGCTCCCCGGCTCAAGTCCTAACGCACTGAACGGGACCTTTTATGATCTTGACAGAACAACAGCTTGAGATTCTTCTACCGGAAAGGACTGATCGACCTGTGTCAACAATTATTCCAGTCTGTGATATCCATATGAAATTTATGAAGATCTGGCCCGGCTCAGTAACTTTTAACTTCACATAAGGACAACAAAGACAATAAACAGAGGACGTTTATGTTGTTTAGGGGACACAGATAAAACCTTGTTTGTCTCTGAGAAGCTCTAGCAGCCTTTGGAAACAGTCATGCAGGTGTCCTTTGCATGCACGGACCACGGGCTGAAGGCCCCGCGTAATGGTGAGCACAGCAAGCAGAACGCCACAAGCCCCAACACAACCAGCCAGGCCCGGGCTCGCTTCCGTACTGTGGCCCTGATCGCTCGCAGCCTGGGCTCCTTCACCCACCGCTACCACCACAACCTCAAGGAGTCTACAGCTAAGCTCACGGGGATGAAGTACCGGTATGTAAACCGTGTGGGAAGGAGGTGTGTTCCGTTTGGTTAAGGAGAATAAAAAGGACAGAAATAAAGTCATGTAAGAATGAAAGTGCGAGATAACACTTAAAGGAGACAGACCTCCTCAAATGAGCTCATTTACAAGAGCCCTGATGGAGACAATGAAGATATAAGAGCAGTGACAGGTGATGTGTGGGTTGGCTGAGTCTGAGTGTGTCTGTGTGTTTGTGTTGATAAAGACAAGATGTTAATTTATTGGCAGCTCGATGCAACTTTTATCATAATGAACAAATAACAGTTAACTAAAGACTGTTGAAGTTATTGGGAATGCTTAAACCTTTACATATCAACACCTGAATTTAACTGCTTATCAGAAAGACATTTTTGTTAAGGTTAAGATAGATGAAAATATTGAAAACGTGTTCTTAAGTTTCGAGTTTAATAAGTTTATGAGTTTAAAATCAGTGGATGGTTTTTAACTCTGTTTTTAATGCAGCTAAAAGGTTTAGAAAAGCAGATGCTATCCATCTGAAAATCTATTTAGTTCTAACAATAGGAATGGATTTTTTCCCCCTGTATGTTTGTCGCCACTTTATTATTATGACAGGACTGAGAAGAAACACAATAACAGTTCAATAGTTTAAGAAAATAAGCCATAAATTTTCAAATTCACACTTAAATAGCACAGATATCAGATAGCAACAAATCAAATAAATATTACCCTCCTTTTTTACAGTTTACAGGAAGTCTACGTTCATGACTTCTGGTGTTTACATATATTGCCCAAAGCGCCACATTCATGCATCAGAGTATTCCTGCTTTCCTAAAGCAATTTAACAACACAGGCCAATACAGTCTCAAAGGTCCTTGAACCACAATTCTAATAATGGAGTACCCATACTCTGCCACCAACGCAGCATCATAGCTCATCTGAATTCAACAAATCTGATGTTAAAAATTTAAGTTTGTTTCTGTGAGTCAATGAAAACCTCAGTTCTGATGTAGTTTCATCAGGACTCTTAAAAGCTGTCTTCTTCTGGCAGTACTGATGCGGTTACCTGCTGATATTTGTCTGATTGGCTGCACCTGAATGCTCAGCCAACAGATGGTAGCTGAAGCCTGCGGTACTTTGGTGATATTTTTATTCCATTTAACAAAAAGTTCATATCACTTTTGACTTGTGGACTGAACCACCTGGGAGTTTTTTTTTTTAAAGTGAAATGTGCCGTAAAAAGCACTGTTGTGTCATTAATGTCCATCATAGCAGAAGCAGGAAGATGCTATGACAGCGAAATTACAGAGTGCTAAAAGGGACAAAACAGCACACAATAAAAAATATGTAACATGCTAATTCCAGACCTTGATCTCATTGTGAAAATGGAAAGAATAACTTTATTTATAATGCACCTTTCAAAACCGAAGTGGCAAGGTGCCATGCGTGCAAGTATCAAAATAGAAAGGATAAAAAAAACAAGCAGAAAAATACTAGCAAAAAAAGAAGCTTGTTATATGAAGAAGCCAAAACAACTGCAATGAAAAAATGTAACAATAACTCACCAGCTGTAGTGAGTGTGTTAAATCAGAGACAATGAAAGATGATATAAAAGAGGACACAGACTTGGCTTTACTGAGATCCACAATCAGAAGATTTCAGAGCTCAATGGCTTGAACGGTGAAGGCTCAATCACCCTGGGAAACAAAGTTAATTTCAGGAACAACAAGCAATTTCACACATAAAAGATCAAAAAGACAAAGGTGGAACCTAAATAAATCATTTTTTTTAGACAACACATGGTTTTTAATGTAATCCATCCAAATCTGAGGGAAAAGGGTAAAACAAGTGTAATATAACTTTTTTCAGTAGGATTCCTACAAACAAACTCTGAACCAGATGGTTGAGATCCTATCCGTAAAAAAGGTCTCAGCAGGTTTTATATCATAAAACTTTCTCAGACTCTTGTGCTGTTAGAAATGGAGTCCCTCAGGGGTCTGTCCTGGGTCCACTACTGTTTTAACCTTACCTGGCACCACTAGATCAGGTTTTCCTTTCTATTCTAATAGCTGTTGCAGGTAAGAGATGCCTTACATCTACACTTGAGATCTGTCTGACTTCTGTTTAGAGCTGGATGTCTTGATGGCTATCAGATCAGAAGCTCTGAGTTATCTATATGATAAATACTCTGTCAAGGGATGCGCTTGTTTTTCATTGCTGTAACACAACCGAGAATCTTGGTGTTTTTTTCTTATCATCACATCCTTTTGTTTGCCTTTGAAACAAAAGGAAGGTGACAAGAGTAGCCCCCTTTTTCCACCTTAGAAACACTACCAAGATAAGATCAACCCTGATGTTTAATGATGTTGAGATTCTCAAACAAGCTTTTTTTCCATCCGGATTACATAGCTGCAATGTCCCTCTGCTGGGTTTATAAGTTTGAGAGATCTATACTAGATGGTTCAGTATGCACTGGGCTGTATTGTAGCCAGATCACAAAAGTAAGAGTCCACTATTCTAGTCCTGACCTATCTTCATTGGCAGACTTTTATACACTGCTGTTAACATGAAGCAAAACAAACAGCAGTCTACCCTTGTACTTGACTGACCTAGTGAACCCATATGTGCCAGCTAGGGGCACTTGTCTTTTGATTGTCCTCAAGGTCAGGAAAAAGTCAGCCAGTGAGTGGGCTTTGTCGTCCCATGCTCAAGCTCTCTGGAACAGTGTACCTTTGTGTTAGACGAGCGTGTTCAATTAGGGTATTGAAAGGCGTTGTGAGGAGATCTTAACAAGTTGAGAAACAGACTGAAACTGATTCTGATGTCTCTAAATGACCTCTAAAAGGAAACCAGATTACCAACAAAGCCAATAATTTATCTACTGTCATTTGTTATTGCTTGTAACTACTCTGAGGGAACAGAGAACAGACCAGATAATTGAGAGCAGAGTGAGGAAACAGCCTTTTATTAATTTCCACAGCAAATATTCACAGTGAGTGATAAATATCACTGTTGAAAGATAGCAAGATAAGGGATTTGTCTTAAAACCCTACTTTCACATGTACACTACAAGAGATAGGAGGTATCACCTTGTCCACAGGAGTGCCACACCAAAAGTTCCTCACAGCAGCTTTAAAGTTAAGCTTAAGAGCCACATGTTTACTGTTGTGTTTGACTTTTGGATTTATTTATATTGTTGTGCTGTTTAATTAACTGGCTTATTTTGGTGTTATCAATGTTTTTATTGTTGTCACCTCTTAATTCTTTTAATCTTTCCAAAGTGCTTGGGCTGAAGTGCTCTACCAATGGTTTTATTTTTATTCATCATAAAATTACCAAAATGTGCTTTAACCATTTAATGCCTGAAACCACAAATTATGGCCAGAAAGCCAATTTTTTTGGAGCTGAAATGTTTACGTCACCTATTACTGAAAACCAACAAAATCAAAATGTCCTTAAAATTTTACAAATATATTTATTGATCTTGTTTTATACATCAGATGTTTTTGGAAACTGATAAACCACAAGAGGACATTTTTATCATGTACAGGACTGTATTCAGGTGTTTATTTTAGTCATTTGTTGATCATACTGACTTGATAGAAGTATCATTAAAGTGTATATCAAATATACAAAAGGCATTAAAGGGCTAAAAACAAAAGTATGCAGTTGACGTAGCTCTGGCATACACTCCACATAGCTTGAAAAATGACCCCCCTGTGCTTGTTCAGTTGCTTCAGCATCATTTTGAGCCTGACTGACTGAGCATCATGCAGTTTTTCAATAACTGGCTGTCACCGCAAAGAACATTCTGGGAAGTGTGACAGTAAAGTCGAGCAGAGTGGTGCACTCCAGCTCTGTGTGTGTATCTGTGTGGGAGTCTTAACTAGGCTGGGCCGAGTAAACAATGCACTCTTATCTCAGTGAGTGGGCTCTTAACCCAGACCGCAGGAGCAAAATAGTAGCTTCCACCTCACACTGCTGGTTTACAGGAGAGGGTGACATCATCACTCAGTGTCAGGACGGAGAGACGCGGCGAGAGAACGAAGGGATGATGGAAGGGTGGAATAAGACCGAGGAGATGAAAGAGAGCGACAACAAAGAAAGACGGAATAAGTGATTGAATGGGAGAGCAAATTCAGGGCTTACAGGTCATCTCACAGAAAAAGAGGCAATTAGCAGAATCTGTGCAGATTGGATGCAAAGCAGCTAGATGTGATAAGTGTCTGCTTGTCACCCAATCTCATCTCGTTTCCATAACAACATTGAAATGGCTAACTTCAATCTGTTCCCGGCACCAAACAGGCCTGATGACTCTATTGTGCAAACTGTTTCAGCTTTTTGCAGAAAGACTTTTTCCCATTAACTGAGATGATTAATTTTGAACAAGCTATTGTCCTTTATTCAGCTCCATCTTTTCACCTCTTTTTTTGTTTTTCACAGCTGCAACCTCTGCATTTTTCTAGCTGTCACATTGAAGAAGTGCAGCACTGATGCAATCCACATCATTTCTTGAACTTGAGGTTTATTGGTTTGGGTTTCCACATGAAGATTTGCTCATCCTTGTAGCTTCTCTAAAAACAGGTGGAGGATATTAGCAGTAAAGCTTCCTCCAAGACATCAGCAAATCCCCTAATTTTCCCCACAGACTGGCAAATATTGGATAAATCTCCCTCTGTAGCATTCTCTCTGTGGTCCCTGTTTGTTTAATGCAACAGTACATCTCTTTATTTTCCAAGTGTATGATTTAAAAAACTACCTCAGATTTTTTTGATGTGGAATCTCCTGAGCTGATGTCAAGTCTGTTAATAAAATTGGAGCAAACTCTGAAGTTTTCCCTGCACGAACAAAAGAGAGCTATCTTACCCTCGCATGTGTTTGTGGGCGTATACGTTGGCACATTGCATTACATACATGAGTGCACGTATGTGCATGTGCGGCGTTGATGCTCCTCACTGTGAACATCCGAAGGCGTAGCAAGTTGAGGCAGAAGATATGCTGTGCAGAGAGAGCAAGCGAGTGAGCATACACTAATAATACCTTCATCCGCAGCGTTTTTGTTGTCATGGTGATCCAAATATAGTGTAGTTCTTGTTTGTGGTGTCCCCGTGTTGCAAACCTCCAAGACTGTTTGACCTTTTCCTACTCTTGATATAATACAAACCCACAAACAGGGCACAAAAATAAGTGATTTAACCAAACACGCTGTTATTGTCAGCTTCACAGAGTATTTCTGCTTCCTGGTCGGGGCTTCTGGTTGAAGTTCAGAGTGGTCATACGGCAGCAGAAGGCCTTGACAGTCCAGGAGGTTCGAGGCAGATTGTGCTTAGTTGATTCAGAGCTCTGCTGCTGATTGGTGTGCAGAAATCCCTTCTGTTGGTTTCTTCCTTCTGGCTTATCAGTGGGCAGCACACAGAGAGAGCCACTCTGCTGTGTTGACATCTGTGTGTCAACAGTGTAACCAAAGCACTGCAGAAAGCAGCGTTTGTCTGTGCACACACAGCAAGGAGCAAGGAAGGTAGCAAGGAAATGCGGCTCATTTCAAGGTGCTCTTCTCTTACACACAGTTTGAGCCGGATGAAAGTTTCTCAAGAGTTTTCATCCTGTTTGTTTGTGTGAAGTAGCCTCACAGCAAATGTCATTCTTACTTTCACGGATGACTCTGCTGTGCCTGCAGCATGAATCTTTAATTAAAAATCTTTTTGACTTTGAGTCTGTGTGTTTAATAACCAACAGGCTATCAGTAAAAATACCGGTGTGAGTGAGATTTTCCTAACTCTATCATTTCTCCTGAGTCGTCCAAATACTTGATGATGAGAGATTGAATTCTTCTGCTCTGATGTACCTTTTTTAGAAAAGCAGGAAGCAGATTTTTTTTTCTTTGAATTCTAAAAAGGTTTTGTCATCAATTGTGCTCAAAATATCACATTGAAATCACTCAAATTGGCTTTCCGGGGCAACATTAAGGATAAGCATTAGGTCAGCAAAAAAATCCGCTGTACTCTTTGTTGAATAGATGAGTGGGTTCAGTGGTTTTGGACAAGGTGAGTGTAGGCTGAAGTTTTCCACAGCTTCAGTGGGGACGCAGGCAATTTGCCTGCATGTCCACAGAAAAATAGATTTTTTTATGCCGCCGTTGCAGTTGTCAGGGTGCACCATTAATCATACTTTACATCTCGCAGCTATCCGTGTAGTTCTGCAGATGCCTGTGTTTGTGTGCGTTTATTAGAGAAAGACCAAATAATCAATTGGACTGATTAATCAGGCTAATTGATAGCATTTTGAAATGTCTGGTATTGGTTTATGACCACTCTCACAAGGCTGATTGAAAAGATAAACAAATCAAATCAAATCTGCAGACTCTGCAAACAGTCCTGTTAGTGTGACTGCTGTTGAGCAATGTCCTAAAGGTAATTTCACATTTTTCTACATCCTAAATGACCTTTTATAAAACCAAGAACAGTTACTGACTCGTGTTTAATGTAAATTATGCCATTTAGAGTTTCTTAATTATCAGTCATGTACTGAAATCTAGCACATAATCCAATTTTTTTTTGAGTTAATCAAAAAATCATCTTGGGGGTACAAACAACAACAACAACTATGTGACTTCAGTGTTATTTACTGGCCATTGAAGGTGGGGTAGGCAAGATCTGAGGAAGTGCCAGTGTTACATGTGCATCTATAGAATATGCCACACTAATATGTATTTTCTCTGAGGCACTCCTGAGGACTCCTTTGTGGCACTTGCTGGCCTCCATATGCTGGCTCCACCAGATAATTGAGCTGATCACCTGCACCTGTGGGCAGTCCATAAAAGCCAAGGGAGACTCTTCCACACTCTCTCTCAGCCTGCAGCCAGACCAGATATGTTGTCCCAGCTCCCATACATTCCATTGTTATTTTGAGATCTTGTGAATAAATGCTTTGGCGAAAACTTTGAGTCGTTTCAGATCCCTTATGTTGCTTCCCCTGAGCCAGGGTCGTAACATATTGGGGGCTCGTCCCGGATTGATTAGGGATTGAAGCCAGATTAGTTGAGTTTGTTGTATTTCCCCTAGACTGGTAATTTTTCTTATTTCATTGTTGAGCTGTTCAAATCATGTGGTCATGTGCTGCTTTGTTCCTCTCTTCTGGTGAGCATGTGGTGAGTATAGTTTTGAGTATATCAACATTATGCATATGTAATCTTCCCTGGTTGGGTTAGGAGGGGCTAGCTGGGCCGATTTATATCGTCCTTCAGCCTCTCATTTGTTATTTTTCTTTTTTATTTTTGGTGGCAAACTCTGAGGAGGGACTGCATCAGACATTGTCAGTATGTCTGGTGATGGTTCGAGCTCGGCAAGCCATTGAAGATAGTCCGGATTAAGCTTAAAATAGGTAGGGAACCAGTGGGGGTTTACTTTGTTAATATACTTGGGGCTTGCTTGCTTGTTGTGCTCCCCAGTTAAGGTTTTGATAAGTTAGGTAGCCATTTTGTAGAGAGAGATTTTGACCTATAGCTGCTTCTGCTGTGTTGGACACTTTTGAGGCCTTGAGCCTATTTGTCTTGTTTGTGGGTGACCTGTTGTAGCTAACTTTTTTGTTTAGCTTGAATTAGTGCACCCTCTGAATAGTTGCTTGACAACTTAACCAAAGATCAGCTTTTAAAACTTGCTGAATATTATGAAGTCACAATTTGTAGTAGTGACAAAAGCTTAAAGAAGAGCACCAGAGATGCCCTTAAGGCTGCTTTGATTGAACATGGCATTCTTAAAGCTACACCTTTGTCTCCATCTAGAAGTCCACCTCCTCAATTATCAGATCCTTCTATTGAATTAAGACTTAGATAATTGGCTTTAAAAGAGCTAGAGTTGCAGGAAAGACAGAAAGATAGATTGCTAAAACAAGAGCAAATGCACCTGGAACATGAACAATTTCTTAAAGAAATGGAATTTAAGCATGCCTCACTTCTACACTCTGTCCAGGTTGAACAATCTAGTTTTGATGTAGTCAAACACATTAGACTCGTTCCTCCTTTTGTTGAGAAAGATGTTAAAGTATTTTTCACATTTCGAACGTGTAGCTACCATCTCAAAATGGCCAAAACATGCCTGGACTTTACTTTTACAAATTGTGTTGGTAGGAAAAGCACAAGAGGCTTACTCCTCTTTGAGCATTGATGATAGTGTGGACTATGACAAAGTTATAGATGCAATATTAAAAATGTATGAGCTTGTTCCCGAAGCTTATCGTCAACGTTTCAGGAGTATCAACAAGCTTGATCAGCAAACTTATGTTGAGTTTGCAAAAGAAAAAGAGACGCTATTTGATAGGTGGTGCAAATCCCAAAATGTGGAAAACAAGGAAGACCTTAGACAACTCGTGTTGCTGGAAGAATTTAAAAACTGTCTTCCTGAAGCTGTTTGTGTTTACCTTAATGAACAAAAAGTAATGACTCTCGACCAAGCTGCAGTCCTTGCAGATGAGTTTATTTTGACGCACAAGCTTAACTTTGACAAAGAACAGAATAAACGGGGAGAAATCTTGAATGTAAACACTACCCCTCCCAACCAGTTTTCCCCTCAGACGCTCCTGCTCGCTCGTATTGTTTTAATTAAATTCAGATATAATGCAGATAAATACAAATGGGGCCCAGTCAACATGAAAGCAAAAAGCATTGGTGTTACTGTAGACGCCAACAGACTACCAGCAAACACAATGTTTGCAGGAGTTCTACAACTAGCGTAAAATGACCTACTCCAGGACCCGAGAAACAGTTTAGCAGCGCTACAACACAGAGCAGGTCCTGTTTGACAAAAAACACTTCTGTTGCAGACACTTGGCTTACTTTGTTAAAGCGGTTTACCTGTTCAGCAGAAAGGTTCAAGGGTATTCCGCCTGAGTCTTTGGTATTTACTTCGTTTTATTGCTTGTGTTTTCCGTACTTTCTGGTTGGTTTCTACTGTCCGATATTGTAGCATGCTAACTTTGTTTGGGCTCGTGAACGTTATTCGAGGATGTGGAGTGTGCCTCACAACATGAGGGAGCAGCATCTGCCTTACAACCAATCAGGTTGGGGGAGACGGAGAATGGCTTTGTTTACAGTCAGAAAGAGCGGGCCACTCAAAAATTTTTAAATGTTGACTACAAAGACATAAGAGAACTCAGCGATATTGGTATACTCCCAAAGGTCATCAATAACTAATCGCTATTGACTGATATTAAAAGCTTTTTTGTATACACCACAAAAAAGATGCTTCTTTAACGAAATCCTGCCTACTCCACCTTTAACTGACCTGCTCTTGAATAATTCGCATCAACATCCACCGTTGAAAGAACAATATCTGTAGATCACTGGTGTTCATACAGGCAAATGTCTTCATGCAATCTCATCACTGCATTCCCATAATGCATTTTTCCCCCTGGAGATATACTTCTGCGGTCTGTATCCAGCTCATTTTTTTGCCCTATTTCCAGCATACGGCCAAAGTCCAACATAAATATTTTTTACACTCCAGCATCATTTGCCTCTTCCCCGTTCTCGGCTGTTCTGCTCTGATGTGTAGTTTCTAATAATATGAGCCTGGTTGTTGCAAAACAGCAGCAGGCCTGAAGTATTGAGCTTCACTCTGCTTAAAGACCAAACAAGCCCCCAAAGGATCAGAGCTGCCAATCTCTCAGTTTAAGAGCCAGGATGTTTGCATGGGCTTTGCATTTTAATTAAAGGTCACAACTTAAACGGTTCTCAGTACAGCTAATGGTTTTATAACAGCGCTGCCTTGCAGATGCATTTTTTTCCTAACAGGGTCTTTGCAAACAGATTGTAATCATAAAGATAACCGGTGATGAATCTAAAACAAAACCCTGCTGTTTTTGGTGTAGTTATGACCTCAATTACAAAAACCATAGATGTTAGCTTTGTGCATAAATCTTCCCCAGTCCTCACCTTTCTCTATCAAAATCATCAACTTTAATAAAAACTTTAATGATATAACATTTCTCAGAACAGGGCTGCAAAGTGCTTTAAGTGTATTAGTTCTATAACAAGAAATTAGGGTTTGTTATCATAAAGCACTGATTGTTTATAACTATTGATTTAACTGTTGTTTTAGATACGCCATTTATCCTCTATAGTTTTGACCTCTTTAATTTGATCTGCACCACTGAACAGAAACTAACCCTATGAGAAATACCTTGACATACTTTTTTTATCAGGACGGTATAAAGGTTCTCAGTTATCTTATTATGTTTTTTTCCCCCACATTGGCAGGCTCTCTTAAAAATTGTTCTGAATCAACCACTTCAGATCAGCCCACACAATTTTCAATACAGGATCAACCCACAGGCCTCTAGCTTCAGCCATGTAGCCCTGCCTGAAATACAGTTTCCAGATTTTTATTCTGCCTTCGTTTCTATACGTGATGTGGAATTACAGTTTGGTAAAGACATGAGCGTGCTTGTGCATTTCTGTGTATAATGCATTTTAAAATAGGGAAGGGTTGAAACAGAGTGGACGTTGGCCCTGTGGAAAAACAAAAAGAAAGTTGGATTCAGACTCTGACTCTGTATTTTGCACACTCACTCACTCACTCACAGTGTCCAAACATGCGCAATGTGCAGGACCCTGTAGGGAGCTGTCATTTCCTATTTCCTATTCTGTGTCATATAGTATTCTTTATCTGTAGAGGGTGTTTGATCTGCTCAGACTTGGGGCTTAGACTCCTCAAGCCTCTGTCTGCTGCAAGTTTCTCCCTCTCTTTCCAGTCTTTATAGCTTTCTTTCTCCGTCTTCCATCTTCCTTGTTCAGCTGTGAGGCCTGTAGGCTTCATCAGTGATTTATTCATTTCCCCTAGAAACTCAGCTACAGCTTTTCTTCCACACTAAATCTATTTATTTTTTCCCTCAAACTCCCCTACTTTCTATCCACCCACGCGGGCCATGCCTTTATTCAGAATACGACCTGTACTCTCTCCCCTGCACTGAATTATTTTGATAACAACATCATGGCTGTCATCAGGAGAGTGGTGGGAAAACAAGGAGGTGGGTGTTGTCTAATCCCTCCGCCCATTAAGGTTGGTTTGTGTGGGTTTCCTCAGTCTACATTAATCCCCAGCCAGTGAGGACTTTTATCTGTTTACTTACAACCTTGAGGAAAGTGTTAGCTGACAAATATTGATTCCAACAATCCAATGTAGGGAAATAAATCACAAGGAATGCCCGGGTGTGACTTGAGAGCACAAGAAACACTTTCTAGGAAAACCATCCTCCCACAATAGGAGGTCATTCCTGCGAAGATTGCAGCACAATAAATCCACCAGATGTTCATTTTATTTCAGCTGTGGACCCGCTAAGAATAGCAGCATCTACATGAAGAAGCAGCTTTGCAGGATGTTCATAAGTGGTGACAGGTTTGTGTGGGGGGGCGTCTTCAAATGACTCATTTGTCATTTTACTTCCAGGCTTCTTTTGGGCACCATCCAAGCATGAGGGGCCGAGAAACTCTCTGGCTTGCAAAGTTGATTACGTTGGAGCTTGCATAGACATTTTGTCCTTTACTTGGTGTGTTTATTTTATAATTTACAACTTAACTCACAGAAAATTGTCAGCCTTTGCAGCCCATTTTTTCTTCCTCGTTCTCCCACTGAGACTAATTTTCTCTTTACCATAAAGTTGCTCACTTTCGCTCCTTTGTTGCAAATGACATGCAGTAATTTCCTGAATCATTAGCTTCCTAAACTATATGCCTCTGCTGTCACTCGTTCTCCAGCCCAGGACAGCTCTATTGAGTCACTATAACAGGCTGTGGGGTTAATTATCAGGTATGGCCCATGCTGTTGCTTCCTAAGTCCACAGAAAGACGAGAATATTTTTAGAAATCTGTTGTTCGTCTCCTTTTCTTGAGACGGCATGTATTCATTTAGAGTACCGAACTGCAAATTTAGCTCATGGAGGATCTCCAAACACAGAGCTAGCTCTTTTTTTTCCAACAGGCAGCTTTATTTGGAACTGGAACGTGCCTGCGAGCTTGTTTTTTTGTTGAGATGTTGTGCATGAATGAGCCACTGTAAAACATGAAAACAGCGTCAGTAACGACTCAAGGGACATGTACGTACGTTTCAGATCTGTTCCAGGCATAAAGCAGCTGATTTACCCAGGATGACTGGGATTAAATCTGGCCCTGAACACTCTTAATCATATGCTTGGTTTGTCCTTGGTAACCCCTCTGACCGAACACACACTGATTCAGACTGAAACACACTTCCATAACCTACAATATCAGCCCCTCCCCCACACTTTCATGGATCAGAGCTCCCACTCCATAATACATCAGAGAGACGGAGGATATAATATCCAAACTCCTCCACCATGTCACAGACAAGAAGGCATCCCACGATTTGCGACTGCAGAGACGTGTCTCCTTAATTTCCCTGTCATGGTATTATCAGCGTCTTAATTACATCATACATCAAAGAATCCTTAAATTTATCGAGTCACCCCAAATGTTAATATGCTAACACACTCCTCTGTGTGTTTCCCTCCTTCATCATGGCGGCTTCTGACTCAGTGACTGATGCTTCCTCATGTCAAACACCTAATTGAATTGGCTGAGGGCACAGTTAGATAGCACAGGCTCGGATTAGTCGGCATTCATCTTGACGGGCACAGGCCATTAGTCGTCGGGCACGAGAAACTGACTGCTGGCACTTTTTACGACCTCATTTGTTGTAATGACTGAATGCTTGCAAAACCAAGCAGAAGAGGAAAAAAAGCCTACAATTGGAGGGTCATTTCCATGTAAAGAAATAAGTACTTGGACATATTTTCCTCTCCAGACTAAGTGCTTTTGATTTTGGCCTTGTTGAGTCTGTCACAGTAATACGTTTCACTTTCACAGTATTTTTCTCTATTCGCTGTTTTCAGACCCCCCTAACTCATTTATCTTTCACCCATGGTGAAAAAGAGAACAATCTGCTCCTGGTGTTCACCCCATTGTTAAGTCATTAAACGTTTGCACCACATGAGCTTCCCCCCCTCAGTTGGCACTGACTCCGCACAGATTGTAAAATGTTAAGTGGAGGGCTAAGAGTGGAGGGTGGTGGGGAGAACTTTGATGTCTTCGTTTATCTTCTGTGGTGGTAATGAGAGTTGAAAGTGCTGTATTGAATTGGGGTGGACCAGCTGGATGTAAATTAACTGTTATGGAGAGGAGAGGAGGTGCACTGTTGCTCATTTAATATAGGTAACACTGCAGAGAGACAGAGTGAATGTATGAGGAGCTATCTCTGCTGATAGGATAAAACCCGCACGGATAAAGCAAACATAGCTGTCAGCATTGTGTTCATTTTCCTCCCTACAAGGATAAACGCAGGTCAGCGCAGTACAAACCTGACAGCTGAATCAAACTGCAATTTGATAGATTTGGTCATGAGAAGAGTATTTTCATTTCCCTCTGTGTTCATAGATCAAACAAACCATCCTCTCCACTTTAATCTCCAACCAAAATTGAAGATGTGTTCAGAGTGACCTCCATAGTCAGTGATTCTCCTCTCTTTATCCTCAAGAAACCAGCAACCATTGTTATTAATACACCCTGCAATTACAATTACAATTGATTCTCCTCTTTGACGATATTGCAAACTCCGCAATATCAGAATTGCTGTGGGCTATTTCATCTGAGCTCGTCGACCTATGACGTAAGAACAGCATGAATTTTAAGCTAAAAATCATTGTTCCCTCAAAGGAAAATACACGGGGCATAGTGATTGCAATCACATTTGACTGATGACATCTTGAGCCTTTAAAGCGCTGCTGTTTTTTAAATTCCTTCTCTTTTTTTTTCTCCTCTCACAGGAACCTGGGGAAATCTGGGTTGCGTGTCTCCTGTCTGGGTCTCGGTGAGTACGTTTAATTAGCATCAGAGGCAAATGTCTAATGATTTCATAAGCATCCAAGAGCAAACTCAATCCAAGTGTGTGTCTTTGTGCAGTTTGTGTGTGTGTGTGTGTTGGGAGAGGATGTAGTGCCAGCAAAGAGGGAATAGCAGGAGGGAGATAACAATTTGCTTCTATGATCTCAGCCCATTCTCATGCATGTTTCATACGCATGGAGAGTCATGGGAGACAACACAAAGCTGTTAGAGTAGTGCTAATATTTCCTCTGTTAATATTTAATCAATACCACTAGTTTCAGCAAACAAGTTGCTCAATTACCCCACATATGCAATACACACCATGAGGGTAAACACACATTCATCTGGATAGGATCGAGTCATTTAGTAAATCTCTGGCGCCTGTGGTTGTGTGTTTGTGCTGGCCCTTATCTTTAAATGTGCATGTGCTTGCTGGAAGTAGCGCGCCTCCGAAGACAAGATAACTTGACAAAGCGGAGCAACGATACAGCAAAGCAGACATTCATGCACGACGAATGATAGAAAATCTGTAAATGGCTCAGCTAATTATCTTGGTGGTGATTTTTTAAAGATTTAGCCACACCGCATTGAGCACCAGAGAATAACTGAGAGCCAACCATCCTTCAGCGAAAAAGTAATTAGTTTCAAATCCCAGTATTGGCAAGTCTCAGCCCTGTGTTAGTGCCCTTGAGCAATACATTGATTTCTGTTTGTTTCTTCTTTAGGAAAAGAGTAGAAAGAAAGAAAGAAAGAAAGAAAGAAAGAAAGGAACAGAGAATTCCACTGTAAGGATGAGAAAGACTGCTATAGCATTTTTGTGTGTGTGTGTGTGTTTGAGATGATATGTTTATTTGCTTTCAAGACTCAGATGAAGACTTAAAGACATGTCAACAAAAATATGGGGCGCCAAATGTAAAAGCCACTTTTTAATAGGTGACATTTTGTGAAGATTTAGCTCACTTTTCTCACATTTAGCTCATTTTTCTTTCATTTGTGACCGAAATTCATGTACAAAACCCAATTCCATTGAAATTGGGATATTGTGATAAACGTAAACAACAACAGAACACAATGATTTAGAAATCCTTTTCAACCCATATTCAATTGAATACACAACAAAGACAAGATTTTTTATGTTCAAACTCAATTTTTTTTTTTTTTTTGCAAATAATAATTAACTCAGAATTTCATGGCTGCAACACATGCCAAAGTTGAAAGGGATTTGCACATCATATTATTCTGTTTTTATTTACGTTCACCACAAATTACCAACTTCAGTGGAATTGGGTTTTGTAATACAGCATGTTTTATTTGTTAAAAATGTGTAGACATGAAAAATAAATCTAAATCTAAATGTTTAATATAAATGTAAATCTTAAATATAACCCTTAATCTAAATCTAAATGTTTAATATAAATGTAAATATTAAATATAAATATAAATGTTAAAAAGCATTTGGCGCCCCACACAAAACCCCCTCTTTTTTCCACACTGTTATACACAATAGACAAATACACATCACACAGATTATACATTGAGGGCCTATTGTTCAGCTTTGAAGATACTCCCTGGTGGGTACTGTAACCCACAGACAGAAGCAACTGTTCCCTCTCTGGTTTACAGCCTCCACTCAGTGTTTGACATTTTTTAAGACAAGCCTTAGCAAGAAACTACCTTAGAAATTTTTCAAAAAGCTATTCCTCAAGAATTTGAGAGCAACAGAAAATAAGGCAGAGGCTGAAGAAGAATATATGTTTAGAGTGTTAATTGCCAGCGGAGGAAAATCAGGTTGAGCCCACACTAATCTGCCTCTGCTGCTGGTGCTTTTGGTTCCAGATTCAGAGCCGCTGCTGCATTACTTCTCATTAGTACAAGATGACAACAAGCAGCATGAGAACAGATCAGGGAATGGAAAAGTCGAGGAATATTTTATAAGTTTAAGCAAAAAAACTGTGCTCAGTCTGCACTGTTTGGATAAGGAACAGATGCTGTTCCTGCTTTTTTCATACTAAGAGTCATATTATTGCAGTCTGTGCGCACAGTCATGTGTGGAAATAGTAGAGGACCTCAAATAACCTGATACTAATTCTTACTCCTGTTATAGAGGTGTTAAGTGATAGCGCCAATACTGCTGTTGCTTAACAAGTCTCTTTTAGCCTCTGACAGCTGACAGGTGCTGTCTGTCTCTCTGAACCAGCCTGTTTGAGGCTGGAAAGAAAGAGGAAAAAGGGGGGCAAGACCAAAAGATACCGTTCTCTACAGAGGCACAACCTTTATGGAGCTCCAGACATTAACTAAGAAAAAGCAGCATGAACCAGATCTGCAGGATCTGCATCAGAGCTTTCATTCTCATACGTTTGCTTCAGCAGAACAGTGATTCCTTCAGACGTCTGTCATCCTTGTTTAGAGATGTGAGGCTGTTGTTTTATTCACAACTAGTCAGTGTAGTGTTCTCTGTCTCTGTGTGTCACTGCCTCAAGTGACAGAGTCAAAAGGTATGGTCGAATTTAACAAATTGAGCAGCTTTCACTGTCTGTAGCTACACACCTCATGCAGTTGGCATTGGGTTTGGGGAGAAAAGATCATTTCAACATGTTAAAGCAATTCAAGGATGATTTATGCCATAGCCTTTGTGTAGTAGAAGGAAACAATGCTCAATGTTAAACACAATCAACATGAGTTAATGAGCCAGAGTTAGCCTGGAGGGCAAATTATAGGCTACACCATTCTCAAAAACAAGACAAACACACAGTAAAGATTGAAAGGGAATTCACTGTACCTTCATCTCCTTGAATAATTTAAGGGCTGGAAATAGACTAAAACATAAATCTGTGTATATTATACAAGCTACATAACAGAGAGCTGTCAGTCCAAGGACCTAAGATTTTATAAGTAAGCAGCCCTGCTATTACAATGTTGTCTGAGTCTTTGATGCAGCCGTGGGGCTGTTTTGGGAAGACGTGATCTGCTGAGGCACATGTTGATGTTGTTGATCACATTGTTAAGTCGTGAAAAGCTTTTTTTCTGTCAAACATCAGCCTAGACAGCAGTATCATCAGCATGAAACAGCAGGCTAGACAACAATGTCATCAGTGTAAAACTTTTACAATATCTTTACAAAGTCTCCTCCTCTTATCCATCTATTCCTCCATTTATTCATCCAGCAATTTTCTTCTGCTTATCCAGAGCTGGGTCATATCGCTCCATATCTTTCCAGCCCCTCCTTGGTGGTTTTAAGATGTTCCCAGGCCACATATAAACTCTAAAGCCCCCTGGACCCTCATTTCTGCTGCTCGTATCCAGCACCAGAATGGCATACATTAAAATTTAAAAACCACTTTTTAGAAGTGAGTTTGAGGGCGCAGCAGTGGACCATGGTTTATGAGAGGAACACATGCATCTCTAAGAAGTAAATATTGCCTAAATGTACATAAGACAACAATAGTGGAGAATACAAGAGTATATGAACCAGCGTGTGGACATGGCATTAAAGCTCTGCTGCACCAACAGTCCTAATAATAGCTGAATCTAAACAATTATGTCTAATATTTTCAACCTTTTTGTGTACAAACTAGTTGATGCAATTTTTGACTGAAAATTGTCGACAGAAGAAACTCATCTGGCAGCGACTTCTCTCTGACATTTGGATGTGATGGCTCTGGAACAAGGGCAGCCTGTCATGGGTCCATGCCAAAATGTCAGCCATAATTAATGACTAACCAAAGTAATTTGTCAGTGTGTTTTAACATGTTATTTGTCTTGCATGATTCATTTTACTTAACTTTCACTGTGATGTCTCTCTGACAGGCACATGGGTAACGTTCGGGGGTCAGATCTCTGATGAGGTAAGATGTTTTGTCAGATCCATTATAACCCTGTCAAAGATTGTGAGCAGATGTTTGCTTTCATTATTTTGGACCTTGCAAATACCACCAGCAAAAATCTGTTTCCTTTAATGTGCATACCCACCTAGCAACAGACGGCTGTTAGACGTCTAGTTTTTTTTAGACCTAATTTCAAACATCTAGATTCTGTATATTTTTAGACGGAATTTAGACGTTGCACTTTAACCCAGTATTTGATAACCATTTGTTTCAAAAAGCAACTGTGAGTTGCATAACTGATGTTCAAGTACTTAACCAAAATAATTATAATAGCCGTTGAGCAATATACAGTGTAGTATAGATATCGCCCAGATTTAGAATTGGTCTAAATTTATACACCTGAAAAACTTTCATTTTTAGACCTGTGGTAGCCTGATTTTAGACCAGTCATCTAGTCTACATTTAGATGTTTATTAGACCCCTTTTAGACCAAATAATGCTCACAGTATAGAAAGCAGCGCTGCTCAAACTTCACCTGCTTAAGCTGAAGTATCCTTACTCGAGCATCAGTTTGCTATCCTATCATGGTTATTTTTCTTATTTAAGCCTTTATTTAACCAGGTTAGTCACATTGAGATTACAAATCTCTTTTACCAGGTATAGATAAGATAGAAATGATCCAGCTCTATAACAAAGTACAATCTCATAAGCAACTCATTAGCATGTGCTGTACTCTGTCGTGTAGCCTGTTTAGCTAGCTCAGGAGTGCTCAGCTTTTCCAACCAGAAATCCAGTTTAACAGTTATGACTCTGCCGGGACCTACAAGTCCACGTTCAACATTTCAAACACATAAAGTTGTGCACACAGATGCACATACATCCATCTGTATTGACTACTAACAGACCTACCATGTTATTTAATATAAATACTCCAAACAGAGAAGTCCAGAGAAGTATGTCTCTACTCTCGTGAACCTGGGGCACACACTCTCCATTTCTTCTTACAATGCTTTGCTGTCCTCCAGAGACTCCTTATGGTAATCCAGAATTTATCTTTAATGATATGATGCTGTCATTACATCCATGGCGTTAGGCCAGGGGAAAACTGAATGATGTGCCGCCAGCTAGTCCTTTGGCTCTCACTCTAAATGGGTTGATAGAGCTGGTTGAGGATGGAAATTAGCCTCATAGCGTCCATGCATCATCTGAAATACTGTTCCAAACTGCCCTCCTTAATTTGGCATGGCCACACTTGTAATACATCCAATACAGATGCACTTCACATTTAGAGCTATCAAAAAAAATTATAACACCCTGGTGAAAAAAGAACCTTTTAGCATCAGGCACGTTCATGTTTTGGAAGCTAACCAGTTGACTGACAGCTATCCGCTACCACTCACGCCAACATGTTCCTGCTATATTGCTAGGCGGTGTGCCCAGAGTGCCTTTGCCAGTAGTCAGAAGAAAAACTGTGATGTGTTTAAGTCAAAATTGTTTTTTTTTTTGGATATTGTTTTGAAGTGTGTCTGACAGGACATAATTGTATGCTGACAGAGAAACAATAAAACAAATTTAAAGATAGAGAAAGCTGGAATTGTGTCTAAACTCCTCACAATTGACTTGTAATCAGTCTGTGGTTGACTTGTCCAACTCAGACTGTATACTGAAGAGATGATTGACACTTGAGAGCAGTGGGAGGGCGCTGTGTTTGAGCTCTAAACCAACACGCCCCCACCATCCTGGAGCAGAGATAACAAATTTTATATATTTGGTGATTTTTTGAATCATTCAAATTTGGCTTGATGGGTAATGACACATTTTCTAGTGATGTAAAATCTTAGAACAAACGTCTTTTCTCTACCTTAAACGGACTTAAATTTTGGCTCTTACAAGACCAAACAGTTCGGCCCTGCTTCTCTCTGTCAGGAGTGATTAAGTGGAAGTCTTTCTCTAGCGCCTGGGACTACATCTGAAACACACAGGGACACAAATAAACTCACAAAGAAAGAGCTGAGTACAGTAAGTGAACAACATCCTAACGAAATTGGCCTCCCCATGTATGGCTCTAAATACTCTACAGGCTCAAGAAGTAGGTCAAAAGAGTCTGGGAAATATATTGAGCAGTAAACAACTTTAATAATCAGCTTGCAGCCTCCACATTTTTCCTTATGATTCATAGATCAGGAACAAGTACATTTACAACCCTTCAGCTTCTTCAGGGGATTTCTTTGCATATTCTTTATGGCGTGTAAATTTGAGAATATTTACTATCTTCTACTATAACACTCTCAATGTTAAAATCACTTTTCTTGTCTGTGTCAGGTGGCCGAGCAGCTGATGACCATCGCCTATGAGAGTGGGGTTAACCTGTTTGACACTGCAGAAGTCTACTCCGGGGGGAAGTAAGTGATGCTTCTGATTTGTTGCTGGTCTCATTTTCAAAGAGCCCTTTTACAATCTTATCAGCTCTTGTGATAATAAGATGAAAAATGTTAACAAAGCTCGGTCCCAGACCCGGAATCATTCACCCAAAGAGGCCAAAAATGAGACAAGGCCATAATTCTAAAGTCATTTACATAATCTTTTTCCTCACTGGAGGCTCCCCTTCATGTTCACCATCCAATCCAACTTTATGGGCCCAGACATTGTCCTGCTGAATAATGCGAGACACGCTGCAGCTGTATGGAGATGCATATTAATTCAGGGATTACTGGTTAAATCCAGGCATACAGTAAAAGAAGCGTTTACATTTAATCTTGTTCTAGTTCTCATTTCTTAATCAGGTATTCATGCTGCAGATGTGTGCCAGATAACAGACACACTTACATGTTCTTCGACAAAAGGCAGCCTGCAGTGTAATCTCATCATCTCATTGTGTATTTTTATCTTTGTAGAGCAGAGATTGTCCTGGGAAACATCATCAAGAAGAAGTGCTGGAGGTAAAGAATAGCCCTTTAAGATTTGAATGCTTTCAATGATTAGGATTTTGATTAGGATGTGCAGATACATGACTATTGAATCAGCCCAGACATATAACTTAGCTTTCCATATGTATAACACAGGTAAGAATCTTATAGTAATCGTGACTGCATCTATCATATATCAGGAGAAGAAGTTAAATCTGAGGTTAAACATGTAAATATCTCCAGATTTGCATTGGGAAAGGCCAAAAATATTGAAAATGAATACAACAAGAAAGCTTCCCTAGCGACACTGTGAAGCTGTAATAACACTAGCTGTGTTAACATGGGCACAAATAATCGGAATAAAAAATGCGTCATGTAAACATTCCGATTGGAAAATTTTGATACAATTCGGCTAAATCGGAAAGAGATTGTATTCCGATCAAGAGGGGTGGTTTATGCCGATCGTTATTCTGAAATGCGTCCATGTAAACATTTATTCTGATCGTGACTCTCGTACCTGACTCGGTCTTCACTCTTTAGCCTTTGGTTTATTTACTGAGGTCAGTACAGGAGGTTTCATTATTAACACCCTGGCATTAAACACAACTGCAGACGATACTTTTTTTTTTTGTAGGATGGAAGGGGAAAGTCCCGCCTCCTTCACCTCTGATTGGCTAGAAAGCTGGAAATGTCATCTCAAGCCAAACGCGGGCTGTCGGCTCTGTACATCGAACAGAACATTACAGAACATTATCGCACTTCTAAATCTCCTAACCCTAACCCTCATCCTAATCCTAACCCTAACCCGACAGACAATGACGTTTCACAGCCATCAGGAAAAACCAATCGGAGCCCAGCACTTCCAGCCACTCAGAGGCGAAGGGGGGTCCGGTAACATAACAAGACGTACATATAGCGTAATTATGTCACATCTGCACGGACAGAGCAATCTTTGACAAAACAGTAAAATAAGCATGCAAGGGCGTCACCTAGTGACAACATTAAACAGGGGGGAAAACTCCTGAAGTGAGCCACTACCACGTTTGTTGGTTTGTTGACAGCACAGGTGTCCATACAACTCTTCTTTTGCGGTTGTTTAAGCGAAATCAGACAACTTTGTGCATGTCCAAATGCTTGTAATCTCAATATAATTTGGAGCATAAATAGGCATGTCATGATCGGATTGTTTGATTTTGCACCCATATAAACAGTGGATTCAGATTATCCGATCCCTCAAATTTTATATCAGATCAAAAAATTTTGCACATGTAAACATTGCTAATGTGGTGGATCAAGCTCAATGATAAAGTCAATCAGGCAAATATAATGCTCAGTGATGATGCTTGTTTGTTATTGTTTTCCACTTAAATGTATATGACATAACACCAAACCAGCTCTGTTTCAGGTATTCAACACTGTAAAACAAAACCTTGTGAGACCGCAGTAGCTCCCTTCAGCTGTTAGTTTCTGCACTGCTATAAAACATCAGAGTTGAACATCCATAAAGCATGAACTGCCACACTGCAGAGATAACAAGCCTTGGTTATACTGTGTTTTACCCTTCTCCCAAGCCATCTCTTTGCCTGGCTTCACCTCAACTCTGAATCCATTTGAAATATTGATCACCCAGCAGGTGGGATTGTAGAGTGAGGGCTTTTGTTAGGGTTCAGCAGCGAGAGCTCCCCTCTATGACTCCTTTCTGTAAATAAGTTTGGAAAAGGAGCAAAGCCAGTGTGCCGCTTTGCTGTGCAGGATAGTAGGTAACCAAAGGAATCATACAACAAAGAAAAGCACACATGCTTTTGCACACACTGACACGTGCAATCATGTGTGCATGCAGGATTGGATATACTGACAGTCAAACACTTTAAAAAAAATCTATTTCACAGTCCTCTTTATGGCTTTTTGATGTGTCTGTCCATCATCTCTTAGGAGATCCAGCCTGGTGATCACCACAAAGCTGTACTGGGGTGGAAAGTAAGTGTCAGCATGTGTGTGTTTTTGTGCCTGTGTCCAGCATATGTGTTTGCCTAATATGTTCAGGTTATCTAACTGATGACAGGCCGTACATTAAACTGTTCGCCTGCAGCTGTAGAGCGTGACATGGGATCAAACATTTTGAAAAAACCCCAAAGCTCACAGACATGGAGGATGCACTCAAAAATGACAACATGGCCATTTTATCAACCCATCATGCTTTCTTTTTTCATACCCCTTCCTCAGCCTCCTTGCAGAGCTGCCAAGAGACATATCTTCTGCTGTCATGCTGAAGTACTCTGCTCTCAATCTGCTTTAAGCTGCTTTTCCACTCAAAACGTTTTTTGGCTCCACTTAACTCTGCTCTTTTGGAGTTGGTACCCGTGCTTTTTCTACTACAGATGTCAAATACCTGCCTAATAGTTGTGTTCTGAGCTCAGCGTTAAAGCTCATGCACTTCAACTAGATTATTTACTTATTGACACATGTCCCCCCATAGCGCAAAGTTTATCCATTCCCATTACCTCTGATTCAAAAATATTTTAAGGCTTTTACTGAAAAAAAGAAGAGGCAAATCCACAAGTGCATTTACCTTCCTCTTCTGGTTCTCTTTTCTGATCCACATCAGTAAAAGTAAAACGAAGGTGACTTAAGCTCATCCTCTTAGACTTTATCAGTCGCACTGCTGGACAGATTTAAAGAACAACTTCTTCACTTCTTTCCAACTTATCTGTGAGGCTTCCTGAAAGGTCTGTTAACCCTTTCCCTCCAGACACAGAATAGATTTATTTAGTAACTCTAAAAGGTGGGGTAGACAGGATATGAGGAAGTGCCAGATTTTTGAGGAATCTTGACTACCCCTTCCAGCCAGTTTTCCTCTTAGCTCCTCCTCTCCCCTCCGTCTCTGTTCCAGCAATCCCCACCCACAAACAGATGCTCCTGCTCGCTTGAATCGTTTCAATTAAATTCCGATATTATGCAAATAATTACTCCAGATAATTAAAAATGGGGCCCAGTCAACGTGAAAATCAAAAGCATTGGTGCTACTGTAGATGCCAACAGACTACCAGCAAACAATGTTTGCAGGACACGCAGCAGGTTCCGTTTGACAAAAAATCAATTCCGTTACAGACACTTGGCTTACTTTGTTAAAGCAGTTTATCTGTCCAGCAGAAAGGTTACAGAGTCCATAAGATCCCGAAGCGTCCCCCATCGTTTATGCTTCATTGACGTTGACCCGGCTTTTTACCTCTTGTCCAGTCTATCTTCTTTTTAGGCGCTTGTTATTCCGCCAGAGTCTCCGGAATTTACTTTGTTTTCTTGAATGTGTTGGCAGTCGTGGTCAAAGGAGGATTCAGACACTCGTCTGTACTTTCTAGTTGGTTTCTACTGTCCGATGTTGTAGCACGCTAACTTTGTTTGGGCTCTTGCATGTTATTCAAGGACGTGGAGTGTGTCTCACAATACGAGGGAGCAGCATTTGCCTCACAACCAATCAGGTTGTGGGAGGTGGAGAATGGCTTTGTTTACAGTCAGAAAGCGCGGGTGGCTCAAAAATTCTGAAATGTTGACTACACAGACATAAGAGAAAACAGTGATATCGTTATATTCCTAAATGTCATCAATAACTAACAGCTATTGACTAATATTAAAAGCTTTTTGGTACATAGACCACAAAAAAGACGTTTCCCTAACGTATTCTTGCCTACCCCACCTTTAATCATAAATTTGAGTAAAAAGTAGGAGCACACTGAGGGGAAAACATATTTTTTCTATTTGAATACATTATCCTAAAGCCCTGCAGTCAAAACAGAGGAGACAGCAAGAGGAAGTGTGAAGCTAAAATGCAGAAAACTGAGCAAACAGAGGAAACTAGTGGGGGGAAAAAATGCATGTAGACGAGATGAAATGCCAGCTTGGGGAAGATCTGAAAATGTCTGAGTAAACACAGGTGAGCTTTCCATTAGATCACAGTTAGCACAGTTTGGCAGATGTTCATGTTACCTGCCAAAGAGACTCACTGTTTTGCGTGACTTTAAGCACTTTTATCAGAGTTACCTATGTGTCATCAGCTGTTAGCAAAACACCTCAGAAACTTCATGTCCTACAGAAAAATATAGCAATAAGGTGGTGGAAATAATTCAGCATTTAGCTCCTACTGAGCCAGATATTTCCCTCAGGGGTTGGTGGAGACCTTAACAGATCTGAAAGTAGTGTGAATGATGCCCTACATTAGTCAGGAAGGCTAAACTGGGTTGCAGATTAATACTCATATTACTCTATTTATGGGATTTATAATGATAAGTATCTAATACGCCAATTTCAAACTTGGTGGTCTCAACAACTTTAAAAGGCAAAGCAAATTTTGTACTGCAGCTTATTTCACAGCTCTCAAGGAAATTGATGAATGTGGTATTAGTAAGCCTATTTAACAGCATTCAGCTACACTTGGCTGGTTCAATAAACCCTTTTACTGTGTGAGATGATGGGCAGGAGGGTTGTTTGTCTGGGTTTAATCTTTCAGTGTGAACAGAAAAAAAGTGTTGGTCAATCATACAGTTGGCTTGTTACAGAAACTCATCACAACAAAAAGTATAGCATGTGTAGCTATACAGTTAATAAACATATATTGGAAAAAGACATGGGAGACTAGCAATAAAACAGCTAAGAGAGAGTGCCTCTTAGTCATATGTTTAAAAAATCTCACTACTAGAATAGCAGACGTTATAAAAACTGTTATATGGACTTCTCTCTTAACTCTACTACAAATGAAGTTCTTGAATTTACAACTGTATTTACCTAAAAGGACAAAACTGCTGACACAAGAGCTTAATATTGGTGTAACAGAGTGGGGCTTCACACAGTGTTGGAGCGCTGCAGCAGCACTCAGATATACACAAACTCACACTGCGCCGTCGCCTCTTTTCCTGTCTTCTATGTTGGCACGGTGGTGGAATGACTTCATCCCTTCCTCCCCCATGTTTTACAATTAAGACAAGGTGTAACAGAGCATTACTCCCATCTTGAGTAGGAAACACAAACTGACTGATGCATTTACCTGAAAGAAACCATTTGGTAACACTTTACAATAACCATGACTAATAAATGGTAAATAGACCATTTATAAATGGAAAGCAGATAGTTTATTAATGTTTAATCATCATTTATAAATAGCATATAGACTATTAATGAATTATAAATTTTATTATTTTAAAACCCGACCCTAACCCTAACCCAAACTTTACAATAACCATCTTAGTAATTTTTATAGGTGGTTTAAAAAAACACTTATTAATCATTTACAAAGAGCTACTGACACACATTTTAATCTAGATGTTTTACAAACAATAATTAAACCCTATATAAACCTTTTATAAATAGTCCATTAATAATTGATGAAAATTATTAATCATAATTTCATTGCTTGTTAATGGTAAAGTAACCATTAACTTACATTAATAATGTTTTTAAATGATGATTAAACATTAATAAACTATCTATTTACCATTTATAATTTATGGTTATTGTAAAGTGTTACCAACCATTTTCTGTGTTTGATCAAACTGGTTCAAAATCTGATCATAGAGTGTTAAAAAAATTTAATTTCAAAGTAATAAGTTTAATAAAATTAAAGAATCCCATTTTAATTCAATGAAGTGAAAGATCCCATTCACAAATAATAGATTTAGTGTTACACTCCAGTCATAAACACCATAATACACATTTTGCATTGATATTTTTAACTGCAAATCTCCAAAGTCATGCTAACTAGAAGGCTATTTGCAATCCACTTGTCATCAGGGTAGACAGCAACAACATGCCTCAAGTGTATGCCCACCTCACAGATGCACAGCACAGTTTGTTCTATAGCTGCGGGCACACTGCAGAGCGTCGAGTGGGTGTATTTCTTGTCAGTGATTTGTTGGTAGTTGGTTATGCAGGATCTTGTTTGGCGTGTTTAATGATCTGTTCCAGTACATGAAGTGGTGTGTTTGAAGTCATATGTGGATATGTGTGTTTATAGCCCTCACTTACTGTCCTCTCCCTCCTGTTGCAGAGCAGAGACAGAGAGAGGCCTCAACAGAAAACACATCATTGAAGGTAACAAGTCGATTCCTCCTCCTCTGTTTTGTCCTTCACATCACCCCATCACTCAGAGCGCCGCTGCACTCCTCTAATCTCCCTCTTTTATCTCTTTTCCACCCCATCTGTGTGTCTCTCTCCTCTTTGATTTTTCTCGGTAAGCACACCCAGCTGAATTTGAAAGTTGTTTGCAAATGCTACATCAGACCTCGACAGATGTTTTGTCTTTTCGGTTGTCGTACCTTCAGGGGTGCCCTAGGAAGCTTTTACATCATAGTGTAGTACACATAAAAAAATGTTCTTAAAACACTGCCATCCTCTCTTACTAGAAGCCTCTGAAAGACTTATGGCTCATTCTTATGTGACACACTTTTCACATAGCGTTAGCCAAATCACCCCCACTTCCCAAACAACGCTCCATCCTGTCCACAGCGCAATGCACCTCCTGCAGTGACTCAGCTCTCTCCCACATTATTAACATTCACAGCAGCCTCTGCAACTTTCCCCCCCTGAACAAGTGAGAGAGGGATACAGTTTAGAGGGCCAGCAGGAGAAGGGCAGACCTGTGAAACTGAGACAAAGTGGAAGAAAAAGGAGTGTAGCTTATTAGCTTAAGCCAGTTTGAATTAGGGGGGAATTGGAGGAGCAAGTGGATGAAATGATGAACTTAAGCATTTTCTGTCTCTTTAAAGCATTGCACTGCATAGACGACTAACCACAGGCTTGTCAATAAATCAATTGGTTCAATGAAGAGTGTTGAATTTCACAAGAGATAGTAGAGGTTCTCTTGAAAATTTGCATTTGCACCGTGAGATAATTTCTAAATCTGTCAGGCGACCTTGAAGGACATTTCCCAACTCCTTTAGAGGACAAAGAAATCCTTCAACATTTTCCTCATTTCAAAGACGCTTTCGTAGAACCGCATAATTAAAAGCATTATTCACCACAGAATGAATTATAACCCATTAGAATAGCTTTTGTTGTTTAACATCTTTTCTCGGTTCCAAAAATAGACTCCCTTGTCACAGCTGGCAAACTCCAGTTTATCCACGGGACAGCGGAAACTGCTGGAGATGACGGTGCAGGCTCCGATTAGGATCCATGAAACGGGTGTTTCTGGGATCGTGGGAGCTCAGATGACAGAGGGAGGAATAAGTGGTTAGGATGGTGGTGAGGGGAGCAAAACTCTCAGCTGGGATTAGCAAGCAGTGATGAAGCCTCTGGCACTAATCTGCCATGCACGCTTACATACTCAAGAGCGCAAGAGTGTCTCTCGCCTTGTCCCTGCTACTTTGTTGTCCTCTTTTATTCACTTTTCATCTGCTCTTTTCTGTGTGTAAATGACTACTGATCTGTACACAATAGTTTATTGTTCTATACCCACCACAAGAGACAGTTTTCCACGCCAAGGAGACAGAGATGAGAACAACCTCTCTCTGATCTCTCGTTTTCCATATCATCTTCTCAGCCATAAGTTGTTTGGTTTTTCCTCTACCTGTCACAACAGCATTCATTTATGTCACAAGAATCAAAGTGTGCACAGGTGCAGAGCTTTTCCCAGAGAGATTATCCTACCAACAGATTGAGAGTGAAGTCATTTCAATTCCTCATACAAGTCAATATTGCTGTCATAGCCTCAAAAAGATGTTTGAAAATGCATTTGTTTGTCAATCAGTTCGCTTGAATTAGCCATTTGAACTCTAAAAAAAAGAAATATCTTTGTTTTTATATTTTGACTCACTTTGTTAACCAAATGTTGCACAGCTGTACTGTAATGTCAGCATAAGCCCTCAATTTCCACCGCATCCGGAACGGCTACTATTGCAGCTGATTGTAACCATTCAAGCTAATGTGTCAGTTTCCACCAGCTTCTTTCCATTTGGCTGCGGATTGCCGGACTCCGCAGCTGATCGCAAGAGTTCTATTTTTTCTGGACGCCAAAGCATGCCAGATAAATTCAGCACAGATTAACCTGTGCTGGAAAGGAAGTCAGGCACAGACACAAAATAAAATACTCTGTGTTTCAGGCGGATCGTATTTCACACCATGCAAACGGGCAGGGACGAACAAGTGAAAGGTTTATAGACAGCATTTCACCCCGATAACACCATGGATGAGGAGATGCTAATTTTATAAATCTAGAAGTGGATTTTCTCCTCTGGAAGGACACAATCTATCTATCTTATATGGTTAGCCTATGTGGCTAAAGACAATTCGTTATCACACGATTGCACGTGAGTCCGCGGGTTCTTGTGAGTTCTCGCGATTCCTGCTGTCCGTAATCCGCCACGAAATTCGCCTCACAAATGGATCCGGTAGGAATTGGCGGACAGCGGAAATCTGTGGTCTGTGTTGACTTTGGCGCCCCCTGTGGCCAAATCAGTATTATCTTGTCCTGTACATGCATACATGTAGCTGTAAAAAAAAATTTCACATAATACAGAGGTTGCAGACTGTTAGACAGGTCTTATCAAAACAGAAAACTGAAGGCTTACTTTAAAGTGTCTTGAAATTTAGGGAAGAAAAAAGCACAAAGTCCAGGAAACCATGTGATAAACACAGAAGCAGCTAAAGGGAACATCTACACAAGAAACCAGGACATGAAATAGAGTCACAACCAAAATAGGGTTAAGTATTAAGTTTTCCTTATTTTCTTCAACTGTCTGAAGAAGTAAATCACTTTTCAGTGATAATGGGTCCGTTTATTAGTATTTTAGGTGGAGATTGATGGCCATGAATCCTGCTGGGTAAACAAGACAGAATTTGACAACAGAGCATCACATGTAAGCTTGAATCAGAAGACATGATGGACCTGATGCAGCTGGCAGGCATTGAGTCACATTTGGTCAGCTGTCACTCCGCCATAATTACAAGCATGTTGACTTTAAATCCCTCAGCATCCAGTTCATCCGAGTTTATCTTTCACTCAATATCATGTTTTAAAGGAAAAAAGACACTCTTTAACTCTCCTTTATTGACCTAAGCTCCTAACACTCGTATATGACCCAACTTAACAGGGGTAAGCAATTTGCACAAAGTGCCACAGCAATTTATTGTTGCTCCACAAGCAGTTCGACTTCAGTGAACTTTAACTCCCCTTGGCATTGCCCACTATCAGGGCTGCTGGGAGCTTTATCTTAAGCTGTGTACAAAGTCAGTGAAAACATTCTCTAAGGACCCAGTCTATAAAGCTTTTGTAGACCACTCAGGCTGAACTGACAGTCTCATCTGCTAAGGATTTCCTGTTTGACTTACCAGCTGTTCTCGCCTTTCCCAGAGCACCAAATAGCCCCTACTCCAAGTAACAGGTAGCTTGATGGCGTGACTAAAAAATGTTTCTTAATTTTACAAATTTCATGAAAAAAGTTTAAAACTGTGGATGGAGATGTTTGGTGGACTACAGGCTTGCATGTTGTCACCTTTGCTAATCAGTTATTGATTTTTTTTTCCATTGTTGGCTCAAAATGTTGGCTAAGCATGGCGTCCACCGCTAGTCACAGCTCTGGCTCTAGTTAATGGCCACTGCCACAATGCAAGAATGCTGTACAACCCAAATGTAAACAAACACAGATAAGACTTTTCTTACATCTCAACTATTCATTAGTATGGATTAAAATTTTCACTAGAAAGACCAGAAAATTGTGATTTATTCCACCAGTACAGTTTGGAACAGTTTGATATGCTTAACCCTCATCTTGCTTTTCCACAACCAACTCTACCCTTAAGTACATCACATAGGAAGTGTATTGGCTGCTTGTCAGCTATGGAACAACTTGATTTTCATTTTGGTGTGCATGTTAACAGATCGGACTCTAAACGTGTCTCACTCATTTTTTTTCTCCCATGAGACTTGCAGATCTTGGCCAGAAAATAAGGAAGATTATAAGTTTATGGCTGGGCTGGTTTAGGAAGCATGAAAATATAGTATGGTGGTACTTCTAGATTTCTTTACAAAGCAAAAGACTATTTTTGTTTTATATTTTAGATTGTGGAACGACTCCCCTTGTTTTCGCACAATGCTTTTGTTCTGAGGTCTTATCCAGGACTGTTAGTTGATAAAAGAAAAAAAAGAAAAGAAAAGAAAGAAAGAAAGTAACTTGCAGAGCTCTGTCTGTTCCCCCAACGGAAAGGTTGCAGAAAAATAGGATGACATGGATCAGTTACTTTGGTACCTCTCCAACTTTGAAAGTTCAAACACAAATAATTGTATACCACACGCAACTGAACTGAATCAGACTACTTGATAAACTGCAGGCAACCTGATTCTAGGGTAAAGCCGAGAATTGCTTATCTATGTGTAGGTGTTGGATGAATATGGGAGAATGGAGGCTGATTCATGCGCGCAGTGATTTTCAGTGTGACCAGTGTTGCAATGACCAAAGCTGTCATGGATGACATTTTCTGTTTGCTCGCATGTCAGAATGATAAAGTAAAAATCCTCTGGTATTGGCAGAAGAAGTTGAAGGATGATACTCAGAGTTCATGTGTTTTAGATCTGGTTTTAAGTGTAAATTCATTTTATTGTAAATCAAAAATCTTTCAGTTCTTTTTCGAAGCCACAAATCAAAAACTCTCAATCCTCACGATTCCTATTTACTTCCTTTAATATTTTCCCCTCTCACTTCAGGTTTAAAGGGCTCCCTTCAGAGGATGCAGCTGGAGTATGTAGATGTGGTGTTTGCAAACCGGCCAGACAGCAACACTCCCATGGAAGGTAAGTGATTGCAGGACAGCCAGACCTGGAGGGGGAGTTGTAGAGGGTCGTGTTAGGGACAATGCATGTTGTTCTGTAATATGAGAAGGTTAGAAATACTCACTCAGACTGCTGCCCTCATCAGACCCACGACCTTTGCCTTTGACTTGAGGGGAGTGTCTTCCTCTGACACACACACACACACGGACACCCGTTTCAAGTTGTCTGACTATCTTGCCTCATCTCTTGTCCTCTATTTTAGTCTCCCACTCTACTCTTTTTTCTCTCTTTCTGTCTCTGTGGGATCGTTGGTTTCCACAGGGTCTGTGAGCAGCACTTGCTCCCAGCCCTGACTGTTCTTCAGAAACAGGATTATCTGGACTCCCCGGGGGAAGCTGGTGTATTTTTGGGCTGGTCTCTCTAAATACGAGCCATAATGTGCGTTCTGTTCCTTTTACGCTGAAGTGCTGCCCTTCCCCCCTCTTATCTACTTCTTGCCACCATTTATTTCTACTCCTGCCGTTACTCTTAATTACTCTTCCCTTTGATTCAGCCATTACAGATACTTTGGCTGCTCTTCTTTTCTGTTCCCACTGATGCAGAGGTAGGGTTTCATTTCAAGGATGAGGTCCCCCTGGGCTTACTAAAATATTTTCCAGTTGTTCCCCTTTGCCCCCCTTTTGTCCTCTACTGTAAGCATGCAGACTGTGGGATGCCAGTGTGTCATATTTATCATTGCTGTCTCTGGTAGTTCTGGTGACTGCCAGACCCTGCAGCCAGCTCTGTCAAACCCAAAAGTAACATGTCTCTGGAGATAAAGTCACCTCATTATTGACAGTTGACGTAGATCAGTCCAATCAAACTGATTGATTTATTGATTCAATGACAAAGATGATGAAACAACGTTAGAGAAAAAGACGCCAGATACAAATACAGGCATGACAAATATTAAGACAGATAGTCTGAGTGTGTTTGGCTCTCAGCGGCTGCCCAGCGCAGTCACTCCCATTAATCAGCATAAAACATAGTGCTTGTCTTCTTCATCCTTCATTACAGTGCAGCAAGGCCACAGTCATATATCACCGTGTAAAGGGTCAATGACTTAAAAGCAACTGGAGACTGTTAGTGAGACTGCATGTACATACTCACATAAAACATTGTGGCTTCATGATTTAGCACCAAAACTTCGCAAGTTGCATCCTTTGTGGATGGAATAACAATGCATATGTGATAATTAATATCATTTCAACACCTGTTTCTATTTACTGCTCATGAAACTTGTGTTTGTAGTATATATATATAAAAGATTTACACACTCTCACAAACGTGTTGCTCGTATTAAAATGGATTATTAAAATCAATCTTAAGCTATTCATAACAGTGATGTTGAGCTTAATGAGTGCACACAACCTCTACTACTACTACTACTTCAGTGCGAACTTTTGTGTGGGATTTGTTTTTTGTCCTTGTGACTGTAACAGCTTCCGACTTTGTGTGAAACAGCGTGTCCCCTTGGGGATACAAAAAAGTGATGTCATGGCTGCAGAGTCTCCCTTTGTTAGCATCACAACATTTCTTTCCCGTCTAGTCATCCCTTTCTTTGTGCTTCTTATATCTGCCTCTTACTCCTCATTGTTGATGTGGTTTGTTTCTTTGACTTTTGCCCAGATGGCTCCAGCAGGACTTGGACAAACATGTTATACAGATACCCATCATCCTCTTGTATGACCTGGCTTTTATTCCCAATTGATTGTTTTCTGATACTGATAGAAGAGGGGATGGCCTTAGCTGGAAGTTCATCTAATGTGTTGCCAAAAAGTGTATATCAGTTTGTTTTGGTGCTAAAATGACAGTAAATATGTAGTGAAGGTGCCTCAAGCATCTGCACTGTCGTCATCTCGTTGTCGTAATAGGCAAAGCATTGCCTGCAGAGGCAACCGTCGCTATCGGCACACTGTTGCTGTCCAATCTCTCTGCTGCTCGGTTTTTAAATTTTGTGGAGCAATATGCAGCAAATTGAATCCATTCAATCACAAACTATAAAAATCCCCAGGTCAGGGTGAACAAAGATAGAATACACAGTCTGAGGAAAAGAGATGATATGACAGAATAAATAGACTTTGTGTCAGTCCCTCTGATCAACAGACTCACTGGAAAGCAAATGAAATGGTACTCCTACATCCTACTGAACACCATGCAGTCAGGACATTTCTTCAAGTGACAGCATATCACCTCTCTCCTCAGCAGTAAAGAGCAGCATGCAGTATAATCTCTCCCACTCAATTCCACAATACTTATCTTATTGGCCGCACATTCAAAACCTCCCAAGCCTATGATCACAGAGTCCAGTAAGGACTTAATCGACCACTGAAAACCACCTATGGTGTGACATATTGATCATCACACTGTCTGCAAGCAGGAGGAGGATAAACACATAAGTACCACCTTCTTGCAAATCAACTCCTGTGAAAGACACCTAGATAGCCACATAGACAGAGTAGATAACAGTGTTTGACGCGTCTTACTCTCACCTTGGTACATCTGCACAGGGAACCGTACCTGCTAGTTTAATTTCATCCAATGATCCTGACTCAGGGGTATGTAGACCCTAGGAAGATGCACTCTAAAAACACTTGGGTTATTTCTTCAACCCAATTCCTGGGTTTTATGTGTTGAGTTAAATTTCTGGGTTATTTTTCAGATCCATCCCCATTTCTTGGGTCATATGGATTCTATTGTAACCCAATTTGTGGGTTATTTGAATGGGTTAATAATTATGGGTTATTTCTCTGAGAGTAACCCAATAATTGGGTGAGAACGTTGGGCTTGATTGACTCTGCGTGGTTTCTAGGCCTGATGGCAATTAAAGTGACCTGGCGATCTTGTGAACTTTGACCTTGATTTTATGTATATTGTATATCTGTACATCTGCCTGTGCGGGTCCTTCGGCAAGACCCTTAGCGCTATGGCCTACCACATAAACATGAGTGCGTACTGTTGAAAGCCATACCAGCTCAAATAGTACCGGTTGTAGAAGCAAAACTCCCATTAAAAACTCCCCAAATGCATATATCAATTTAACCAAAGATCATGAGTCAAATTTACTCAAAGAGTGGGTTAACTTGACCCTTAAAAGAGTTATTGAGTCAGCCAAAAATTTGGGTTAATTTGAATAACCCAACATTCTGGGTCAAAATAACCCAATAAGTAGTCAGTCCCTTTTCAACCCTGGTGCTGGGTTAAAAACAACCCAAGTTGGGTTCTTTTAACCCTGGGGTTTTTAGAGTGTGGGCAAGAAGGCCAAGTTTGCAGGAGCCTGCTTTTTATATTTAAGTATTCAACACAAACAAGGACTCAACCCAAGTGTCATGCATCACAAAAATTATATATGTATTTAAGCATCAGCATGTCAGGCTCTGAAATCTTCCAAAACTAGTATTTTGATATTGTGACAGTCCTAGCACATAGTATATTGTTATATTCTAATAATAGGAGCTTACCCTAAATATGGTCATAAGCTATTAGTTAATCTTAGCAATTAGCGTAACATACAGTATGAAAAAACACTAAAAAAGTAGACTGTTATCTCATTAGGGAAAATGTTCACTGAAGTAATAAATTAACTCAAGAGAGTATTTATCCCTTGATCTCAAACATAAAATATAAAAATGATGGATGATGCAACCATGACAACACACGCTGCATCAGTGAAACACCAAGAAATACAGCCACCATGTTGGTTTTCTGGACTCATTAATTGGATCGGAGAGCAAGAAGCTGTCAAGGAAAGACAGTCTACAGTCAGGGCGTACTCAGTAGCTGTTTCAGCAAAATTTTCATCACGTTTCCCACATGTGAGCGGACTACGGTGGGCTCATTAAATAAGGAGCTTCAGCTTCAACTTACTGCTAGCTTGGATTTCAGAAGAGAGAGTAGCATGTGACCAACACATGCCAGGTAACATGGAATTACCTGTCATCCCACAACTTATTAGCTGTAACCTCTTCATGGGAAAGAAACAGCAGTCCTGTCATTTAAGCTCTGACATAAAAAAACAATGTATGATTACTGCCAAAACAGTACAGAGAGTGCAGTGTACCTGCTACTTGGTGTACAGTACAGCTATACTAGAATTATGACATTAAAAAAGCTTGAGTCCAGACATGTTGGCCAGTTAGAACCATAATGAAAACAGCCAGTTGTATCCACCTGTCACAGTGACTCCTGCAAAGACTTTATATAATTTAAATGATTTTGTCATGTCGTGGTTTAAGAATTAAACAAAACAGAGAACCCTAATTGCTCAGGAAATAGTCAAAAAAGCACAGGGAATTACAGGAGAACACTGGGAAAAGATGCACTGAACTGAGAAAGAGAGGAAAGCACAAAGACACTAAACACACTGACACACAGGTGTGACAAGGAGAAACAGGTTAGACTGATTGAGGGCAATGAAACTGGAGAGGAAACACAAGGGAAGGGAGCAAAATGAAGCATGAAACACAAGGAGAAAGACCTTAAAAAACCTAACAGGAAGTACTAAATGCCAAACTCACTCTTGGACAATAAAAGCAACTGAAATAAAACAAGAAAGTAAAGGAACTGAGCAAGACTTTAGATAGGGTCTTATAAGAACTTACTCCCTGTGCAGCTCTGACGAGAGAAGGAGGCTAAAGAGACTAGAACTAGTCTTAAACATTTTTATTTATGCTGGACACTAATGGACACTAATTTAAGGCTTTAGGGGAAAAACAGGTCCCCAGACAATTCGGCATCGGCTTCATTTTAGAATACAGCTAAAAGCTAAGTTTACTTCTTTCATTCAATCCCTGAGTTGTTTTTTCAGCCTTTATGCTAATCAGGGAGTAGCTGCAGTTTTGTGTGTACTTCACATACATGTCAGTGGTTTCCACATCTTTACAGTATACAGTGATCTCATATTTATGACGGAGTATTAGGGCCACATTAAGAAAAAAAATTCGACTTTGAGATTTAAGACTTAATTTTCGAGAATAAAGCCATTACTAACGAGAATTAAGTCATCATAAAGTAACTACTTATGAGGATAAAGTCGTACTAAAATCATTACTTACGAGAATAAAGTCGTAATAAAATCATTTCTTACGAGAACAAAGTCATAATAAATTATTTACTTAGCTATGATAATAAAGTCGTACTATAATCATTACTTACGAGAATAAAGTCGTAATAAAATCGTTTCTTATGAGAATAAAGTCATAAAAAATTAATTACTTAGCTACGAGAATACAGTCGTACTAAAATCATTACTTACGAGAATTAAGTCGTGAGAAAGTTATTTCTTACGAGAATAAAGTTGTAATAAAATCATTATGAAACTTATGATAATGTGGTGCTGATGTCCAAAAGATTAAGTATCTTCTTGTTTGAGAAACCGATATTAAAGTACATTTCCATGAAGTGCTCCATGGCTCTCATTTCAACCGTCATCTTAAACAGCAGGTTTGAATATAAGGACTTTATTCTGACTTTACTCTCGTAATTGATTACTTTACTACGACTTTATTCTCGTTAGTAATGACTTAATTCTCGTTAATTAATCTTAAAGTCTTCAATTTTTTTTTCTTAGTGTGGCCCTTATACTCCGTCGTACATGTTTATAGGGTAAACTAGTTCATTTTTTGCCCTACATGCACACATCACCATGTGCATGTGCCCACAACTTCTCTCACATCATCCCACTTGAAAAGCTGCTGTGGGTTTATATGAGTGGGGTGTTGATGGTGTGCGCTGCATGTCTCACCTGAGCACCCAATCAGTGTGGCTCAGTCTGTTGTGTGTGTTGATGACTCACCGCAGTCTTATGGAGGAAAACTTTATGTTGAGACGGGCTTATAGGTGAGCCTGGATGTTTCCATGAATCAAGGTGTCATAGTCGGCTCCTGCTATTCAGCTGGATTATTCATATATTCACAAACTCATTTGAACAGTGTGCCTCCCAGGTTCCTGCTTGGTTCACAGTTTTTCCTTCTGTCCAAATCCCTCACTCCCTGCCTCCCTCTTTCCCTTTTGGAGCAGATGTACTGTTATTCCTCTACCCTCGCACCTGCTTCACCCACACGCACACTTGCTCTCTGTCTCTCACTGAGCTGCAATTTGGTCCACAGAGAGAGAGAGAGAGAAAGAACTACCGATGGAAAGAGTTGCTCATTTTTAATCACAATCTGCTGTAGTCTCATCTCTTCACCCTCATGTTCCGCTATTTATTTTTGCCTCAAGAATTCGTGTTGTTCTTTGCAACTTAGCAGATGTTTCAGTAGTGCATTGTCAGTGCAATTACAAACTTAAGAAATCACATTAAACACTTAATCACGTTGTTGTTGTGTTCCTCAGTAATTAGAGAGATTGTGTGCAGCATACAACAGACACCCATTCAAAATAATAGCTGCATTACCTCTCCTTATATTCAATGCAAAAGTCTCCTTTGAGAAAGTACACCCCAGTTGCTTTAATTAGCTGAAATACATAAAAGAAATTGCATTTGCTTATCCAAAGCAGCACCAACTATTACTTTCTTGCTACATCCTCGGCTACAAATACCCAAAGCACCGAAGGGCACCATGGCAGCTGACTTATGCCCCCACAGTTTTAACTTGCTATGTTTTGTTCTTAGAGTACAAGTCCCACTCTGTAAAGGTTGGCTGATTCTTTTCATTTAACCCCTGAAGCGTTTGGCTGCATCAAGTCATCTGACCCCGGCAAAGAAAATCTGCTTATACAAGAGTTTAAAAGGACACAAGGCCTTTCTCTCAAAGAGGCTGAATACATTCAAAGCATCTTTTATGTGCTGGTTAGACCAAAGACTTATTCAGTTTTTTTTTTTCTGAGCACCTTAAAACACTGTTGAAGTCCACTTTGAAAATTTAGATCATTTGATGAAAAAGCCTGAGTCTTTTTTTGTGTAAACAATGAGAAAACTTTAACTACAAACTCTGCCTGTTAGTTATATCTAGGTACAACACTGAAAGTTGACTTTCTGAAAGTTTTTTTGTTTTTAATCTGTTATTTTGGCGCCATCTGCTGTCACTTATCTGTTCTTTTATGCTTTGCTCCTGCAGAGATAGTGAGAGCAATGACACATGTGATCAACCAAGGCATGTCCATGTACTGGGGAACATCCAGGTGGTCTGCCATGGAGATAATGGTGAGTAATAGAAAAAGTATGTTTGGATCAAGCTGAAAGAAACATAAGGGGAAACAGCTTTTCTCAAAAAAAAAGGAAGTACATTAATGATGCGTATCCTATCCCTGTATTTGCAATCATTTGATGACTGTGAATTTCAGAAATCCATAAATAAAAGATTTCAATAGAGTTCCTAAGTGATTTTAAAAAATGGACAGTTCTAGTTAAGATGAGTGGTGCATTAATGCATGTATGTGATAAAGCAATACACAAAAGCTCACAATACACAAATAGAGAAGAAGGAAAGACAAAAAGTTCTGTGTTGGTACAGGTTTTTTCACTTCATTAAAATCTAAACTGTCTCTTTTTATTCCCTCTTCACATTGTGTTAGGAAGCGTACTCTGTAGCCAGGCAGTTTAATCTCATCCCACCGGTGTGTGAGCAGGCAGAGTATCACTTCTTCCAGAGGGACAAAGTGGAAACTCAGCTGCCTGAGCTCTACCACAAAATAGGTCTGTTTCTCAAAAAATTGCCCCTTAAGTCTGTTTGATTTAAGTAGATCTTTTGCTGTGATAGGTTGTGTATCCTGGTGCTTATTAATCATTGCTCTCTCTCTCTTAGGGGTGGGTGTGGTGTCTTGGTCCCCTTTGGCTTGTGGAATCATCACAGGGAAGTACGAGAATGGCGTCCCAGAGTCCTCTAGAGCCTCAATGAAGGTACTGCTGAATTTCTATTGAAAACCTGTCTAGCTAATATGTGCTCCAACCTTTCATTCCTAATTACCAGGTAACAATATATCATAATCTAACTCAAATAATTAATGTCTGACTGAAACAATGATGGTTATATCTTTTGTATTATTGTTTTTCTAGCCATACCAATGGTTGAGAGAGAAAATAATGAGTGAAGATGGAAGGAAACAGCAAGCCAAGCTTAAGGAACTGGCTCATATCGCAGAGAAACTTGGATGTACCCTACCACAATTAGCCATAGGTAAGCACAACATGGAAACCTTGTAGACCCTTAAACTTCTGTAGAGAAAACTTTCAGTTTGTTTCAGTTTTGGTGGAAAAAAATCTCATCCTGTTAATTTTCTGCAGTCAGATCTATGACTCAATGAGAATCTCTGCGCTGGAAATTGTAAACAAAGCCCGTTTCTGCACTTTACAGTTATTTATTCTTCCTGGCACCTCCTCTGCAGCAGCACTTTCAGATATTAAATATAACCGTAAAGGTATAGTCCATCTTATTGCTGATGGTCTGCTTTGCTTTAGTAGGTCATAAAGAGGCATCAGTATTAATTTCAGTCTTTTTCATTGGCAGTAAAAGACCCCTCAGAGGAAGGATAGTTGGATTTTTTTAAGAGGGGTTGTATGAGGTACTTGCCAATAATGAGTGTATTAGCTACAGGGTATGCCAGCCAGCTCAGCCTCTTTGTTGGGAGAGTGCCAGTAGATACCAAAGATAGGCTATCAACCACTGTAGATGGGGTCGGCTCCAACACACAATCTAGCTAATTTTAACAAACTCCAACGTAAGCACTATTCTCAGTGTAAGTGCACACTCTATATGTAAATTTTTCAGTGTTTTAGTCGCTGTCAGGGAGCCCATTTGTTTTTTGCACCACTGGGATTTGTTAAATTAGCTAAATTATGTGTCCTTGTCTGCAGGGGTTGATCCCCAAGCTTGTGTTCTGCTGCTGTGGGCGTCCCCTGTAGCTTAAATGTTTACAAATGACGATTACCCCATACAACCCCAGTTTTAAAAAAAAGAATGATACCTTTGAAGTGTGTATTTTTGTGAAATCAAACACAGAAAATAACATACCAAATGCGGTATTTCTTTCAATGTAGTTTGATACCTAATGATACAAATTTAAGCAACTTCTGAATCTCTCCTTCCCTATTCTTTAGCCTGGTGCCTGAGAAATGAGGGAGTGAGCTCAGTGCTGCTGGGATCCTCCAATCCAACACAGCTAACAGAGAACCTGGGAGCCATTCAAGTAATTTTTTTTTCCAAGCCTTTGTAAAAAAAAAAAACAAAACATCTCAGTTTTTGGTCCGGTGAAACAGCACTAATTGTACTCCCTGTCTACATTCTGTGCAGGTAATTCCAAAGATGACAGCGGGCATCGCCTCTGAAGTGGATCATATACTAGGAAACCGTCCCCACAGTAAAAGAGATTACCACCATTAGAATGGACTCATGTTTTTTTTGTGAACTATGCTCAAACAAGCTCTCAAAGCTCAGTCCTCACAGCCATGGCAGCATAAGTGCGTGCCCAACTCTGCTTGTGTGTGCGTATGACTGTATGTGTGACTGTGTAAAGTGCTCCGCTTGGCTCCACGTCTGTTTGAAGATCAACCAGTGCTCATTTGTAGAATGAGTTACTTGAATAAACATGCATGCTTCAGCTCTAGCAGCAGCCATTGGACTGAACAACAATAAGAATATCAATCAAGATGTTTTTCTTATTGAGTGAAATCTCTCCTGCTCTATAGACTATGGAGAAACAGCTCACTACAAGCTCTTGCAGGGCCGGTGACAGAATTATATACGTATATTTTAAAGGGTGTCCTTTGAAGGCAACATAGGCAGCACTCATGTCCACAAAGTATCACATAAGCTCGAAGCAGTGCAGTGAAAACACGGGGGGATGGTGTTTCAAATTGTAACAAATATCCTGAAAATCAATCTTACTAGACGTTTGTGATGTAGGAAAATAAAAGCCTATGACATGTGAAATTGGACCTCACCCTGGCAGTTTTGATGGCTTGCTAACATTTCCCATTACAGCTGGAGCTGAACTGTCAATGTGATGAATTGTTTCAGCACTGGATGGACTAAAATCTGCTCAAAACGCTGTTGCTAATGCCAAGAGAGCTAGAGTTGAACTGAAATATGTTTCAAAACTTCTGTACTGACTGTTATATAGTTTTCCTTGTTGAGCATTTATGTCAGAATGAGCTTATCTTCTCCTCCTGTTGTATTTTATTTCTTTTCATTTATGTACCGGTACAGCACCTTGTACTTTCCTGTTGTATGCTTTCAACCCCTTTTTATTTATACAATGCCTGACTGTCAGTTATTCTCATGTCTGACTCATTTAATTTTAGTCAGTGTTGTGGCCAAAAGAATTGTGTAGTTAAAGTCCTAGGGGGGAGTTAGTGATTTAAATACAAAGCCATGTAGCTAATAAAGTGTCTAAAAGAATCTCTCCATATGGACCCCTGCTGTCATTGCTCCTGTAACACACTTAGAGCTCACCCGAGATGTCCTAGATATTAGTTTGATACAATGAGAGTCTCTTTTATGAGTCACCTCAGTTCAAAATTGCATTTCAGCGTTATTCATTAGATTTGTACACACAAATAAAAAGGTTATTCTTCTCTTATACGCTTTAAGATAACAGTGCAGAAAACTGCCTTTACTTTCAAACTGCAGAAAACAAGTTGAATCAAAGAGGAGTGCCTGAGTAGCCTACATGGTAATATTTTCAAATGAAAATGATAAAGCTTCATCTGAAAAGTAAACAGCAGTTTAGCTCTGCTTAAATCACATACATTGTTTCTTGCATCTTGCACCTCCATGTCCCCATTTAAGCTCACCTTTGCTAAGCCAAATTCACTCTCAAGACTACCAATATTCTATTGTCATGCATCAATACTTCATAATAGTGTGTCTGTCTTCTCTGAAGGCTATTTTTTTAATATCTCATTAAGTTAGGTGACTTATTTTATCAGGCCAGGTAAATCATTTTGATAGGTACGTCATTCTGTCAAGAAGCCCTTTTGAATTCCTTTGAGATTAGTTCAGAGTCATAAGGAAATAACTTTGTTAAAAATTAAGTAGTGTTAATGGACCAATTATTCCTTCATTCTTTCACTACCTTTCTTTTGTATGATTTTAAAGATAACTCAAAGCAGTTCCTTTCCCCCTATTTCACATTTGAATATTTCAAAACTGAATTTAAAACTATTTTTAATTAAAAGAGCCCTCCAGAGTTATGAGAATAGTTTTGCAGCACATACTTTTTCTCTTCACAAAGGCAAATAGATTTCTAATAAATAGCTTACTTGTATTTACTGTGAAAAGAAATTTGAATGACTTGTAATCACATTACTTTTAAACACAATTAGATCACTTTTCCAAGGGTACTGAATAACTGTGATCAGACTACTTTAGAAGTTTGATAGCACTACATTTTGAAGATTATTCCTAGTTCTTGTCATGCATCTTTTAAAAGAAAATAGAGAGAAAGCAGGAAAGAGAGAGTTGGGGATGACATGTTGCACAGGGCCCAGGGTGGGAGTTGAACCCATGTGGCTGTCACTTTGGTTGACTCTCATATAAACCCCCACACATAATGCATCATAAGCACATTCAGAAAGCATTAGAAATGCTCATGTGAAGCCTGGATCCTATCACTGGCACCTTGACCGTGCTTTGAATCAACACAGTGTAATGAAAAGGTAATGAAATTAAACAAGAGAACACAGCAAAGCAACACTGTGATGTGGCTGTAAGCACTGATGACTCATGGCTGGCAGGTTCTTAGTTCAAAATCCTGGTGGGGACACTTTCTTGTGTAACTAGAATGCTATGACCACTGAATAATGGTGCCTTGGCAATGCTTTTAAATAACCATAATGTACCAAAACAGATGTAATCAAAAAAGGAATTCAAAATGGGATGCAAATGGAAACTAGCTCAATGCTCCTATGTATCTTATAAGTCCTGCAAAGCCCCACCTTTGTGTGGTGGTTGGCAGTAATGCCTCATATTGAACAGGTTCTGGATTTGAATCCTGGCAGGGTCCTTGTTTTGGGTAGCTGGAATAGTCTGGTTTCAAGTTCCTGCTAGAGCCTGTCCTCTTTGTCCCAACACATGGAAAATTAAAGCTCAACAAGCTTTAATTCAAGGGTTACACTGACTAACCAGACAGGATACCTACCCCAGGGGGAGATTCCATTGCAGACTCCAATAGATACCATCACATGAGCACCTTGTGATCACTAACATTGCAGCCTACAGTGCAATTTACACCGCAAAGAGAAAAACATCAACAAAACACTCCAGCAGGCTTACAACAAAGCATGCAGGAATGTGAACCTCATGACTCCCCACAGCTAATACAGAAAAAAGAATATTTAAGTTAAGAAAGTAAGTTTTAGTTGTTTCCGCTTTACACAAACATAAGAGACATAGACACATCAGTCTAGATAATTTAGGACACAACTTCACTTCATGTAAATAGGCTATAGGGGAGAGTGGGTAAGTTGAGCCACCCCAGAGCCAGCCCAAGCCTCAATGGGGCCCTAAGCAAAATTTGATTTTGGGGCCCTCTATTTCTGCCAATATATTGATTGTTGATCATTCACACACCTACTACAGTACAAATTTAGTGCGCCTGATGTTTCTTTACGCATTTAAGGAGGAGGCCTAGGTAATAACATAAATAACACCAATAAAACCATACAAATAATACCAATGAATGACTGATGAATGATGTTCAGGGTGCCACATATGTTTTTTCAATCTCAAAATGTAACACATTCAGCTACAAGAGCAGCCTGGGGCTGATTTTCACAATATTCTAAGTGATAAAGCATTGTGTTTACTGTAAAAGAGTCATCCGTCGTAAGAATCACAGACCTACATCAGCAGCAGCACTAAAACGTTTTTAATTTATTTTATTTTTACAATAATATTTATTTGATCATACAGAAAGCATCACTAAAACATGCAAAAAATAAATAAATAAATAAATTTTTTGGTTTGTTTTTGATTGCTTTTGGGGGCCCCCTACTGGCCATGGGACCCTAAACCGGCACTTAGTTCACTTATGCCTTGGGCCAGCTCTGAGCCAGACCCTGTTGCTAGGAAATGGTAAAAGAAATTGATCATGTGACCAAATATTTAGTAAATGGGCATCAATTCATGGAGTCTGTGAAGTTTAGAAGCACATGGGTGAAGGGGTTAGACATTTATTTAAAAAAAAAAAAAAAATTCACTCTTGAAAGTGCATTTAGTCTGTCATAAGTTTTATATAAATTGTGTTCCCAATAGATCATTTTCAATTTGTTTTATACATTAATTATGGTATATATGAGCTACAACATGAGGTCAAAAACCTAGCATAAAAGTCCACCATTTTAGCTTAGTGGACTAATAAAGTCATCATAGTAGTTGATCCAGTGTCTCACCTGAGAAAGTAAAGGAGTCTGATGAGAGGATCAGAGTTTCAGTTCAGATTGTTGAAATGTGTTACTTTTTCTTTTCAGACATACAGCTGTGAATGTTCTGAATCACTTAAAGGCATTCTCATGTTAAAACTGCTTTTTTCAAAGGACTATTGTACCTGTTGAATAGCGCATAATAGATAAAAAAGACACATGAATGTGAAGAAGTGACTGTTATTTAGAGAGAGAGAAGGTGAGGGAGGAGCTAGGATGGAGAGTGGGGGGATATGTCTCAACTTATCCTGCTCCTATGGGGTAAGTTGACCATAGGAGACCACTTTTTTCGGCATAATATATCACCAAGAAAGTTATGTTTACACTCATTCTGTTGGTTTGCAGGGATGAAGAACATCCTTAAATATATGCAGATACACTAGTTAGAGACAAAACTATGATTGCCTTGATGTAGCGATCCGAAATATAAAAAATGTCTCATCTTACCCCACTCTCCCCTACAAAATACATAAAGAAATTTCAAATCAGAGCACTTTCCATTCTGCACACATCAAGCAATCCCACCACACATCTACGAGGATTTCAGACAACTCCTTTTTATCATAAAGTTACAAAAATTGCCTACTTTTTAAACAGTGCCTTTGTTTCCTCATGTTTTTACTTTGGCTGCGTTCGTGACTTGGTTCTCATGGCAACATGAAGGGACGTTTCCGGTACACTATCCAATGAGCTGTTCGTATTGGCAGACATGATACCTGATTGGCTACTGGGGGGCTCCTCGGCTCTATTCGCTGTGGCTGGCGCTCGAAGCCCGCCGTCTACAAAAACTGCAGTACATAGTAACATTGTAGTCACTTACCTTTATTCGCCTTTTTCTTGGTGAAGAGGTTATATTTTGATAACGTTGTGCACACGTTCCCGCAAGGTCACCCCGGGACAAAGCCGTGCCGGTTTCAGAGGCTTTTCTGCTATTTTAGAGTCAAATAGGGCTCGGTGGCGTTTTGTTTGTAGCAGCAGCAACATTAGCAATGGCTAGTTAGCCACGTACAACAGGGAGGACAACGTTACCTTGTCAACTAGCGTCAACTGAAGCTGCTGTGCCAGCTCTCAGCTAAAACATCGAGTGGCACAGTTTGTCCCTGAAACCTTTGGTGAGTGTTGTATCGCCTCACGCTTAGCAACAGAATTCTCCACCTAACTAAATGAGAAAATCTCTGTTAATATTGTTATTATCATGTAAACCTAGAAATCACTATCTCTGTTGACCCACAGCTATGTCGACTCAGGCTGAGTTTGGGGTGAGCAGAGGCAGCAGAGATAAAGGTGACACTATCTGTGTGGTGCCCGACCTCCTCTCTGATGACTTGGAAAATGACTTCGACCTGAATAAATCTTATCCGTGTACTCAGAGACCACTGCACAAGAAAAGCATTCAGGCTTTGAAACATCGGTACTGTCCAGGTTCCTTGAGAGGTGAGTGTGTTGGTCGCAAAACCCAAAATAATAGCACACTATAATACATATAAGTACATAGGTGATGTTTTCAAGAATTCTTTTGAAAGATTTTTATCTGCAAGTTCCAATGCAGGAGAATGTAGGGGAGAGTGGGGTAAGATGACATTTTTCATATTTCAGATCACTACATCAAGGCGATCATAGTTTTGTTAACTAGTTTATCTGCATATATTTCAAGATGTTGTGCATCCCTGCAAACCAACAGAATGAGTGTAAACATAACTGTCTTGGTAATATAGCATGCCAAAAAAAAGTGAGCCGTATCCCTACTACACTGGCTCAACTTACCCCTGAACTACTATTATGACTCTATTAGTCCTCTAAGCTAAAATGGTGGACTTTTATGTTAGGTTTTTGACCTCATGTTGTAGCTCATAGATACCACAATTGATGTATAAAACAAATTTAAAATGATCTTTTTTGGTCTGAACACAATTCTAATAAAACTTATGACAGACTAAATTCACTTTCAAGAATGAAAAATGTCTAACCCCTTCACTCATGTGCTTCTAACCTTCACAGACTCCATGAATTGATGCCCATCTCCTAAATATTTGGTCACATGATCAATTTCTTTCACCATTTCCAAGCAACAGGGGGTGGCTCAACTTACCCCACTCTTCCCTATTGTGCAAAAGACTGTCTCTGACTTTTGTTAAAGATTGAAAATTATAATTCTAGTGTTAATCAGGGTATTTAAAAACATTACTGTCATGGATTTTCCCTACAGGTGAATATGTGAATGTTTGCACATCTGTGGCAGAGAAAAACCACCAAATCTCCAGCTTGCATCCTTGCACCCAAGTTTCTCCCATCTCCCTACCACATCCATCCAGTGTGTCAGACAAAAGCAGCATAATCAGCCAGTTAATCTCTGGGGAGTTTGACCTGCCTGGACCTCCATCCATCCTCAACCCGAATAAAGTCATCCTCACTGTTGATCTTAAAACCAGACAGGTACTGTGTTTTAACTCAGTGAGAGCTTTCGCAGCTATCAGTGCAGAGACCAAAGCACATCCTGAAAATGTGTTGTGTCTGTATTTTTTCCCCCAAGATTCTGTCTGTAAATGAACAAGCCTGCAAACTATTTGAGTGCACCACCAGTGAGCTGATTGGAAAAGAGCTGTCCTGTGTCGTGAAGAAAACCAATCAGGTCCTGGAAGATGCTTTAGAAGAAGATTTTCTGCTTGTGGATGGAAGTGTTGCAGCGGTGTCTGGAAGAGTGGTATGAAACACGCTCACTCAAAAACATTGCATTAAATACCAAACATTTCTTCCACTCATTCATATACTAAAGATCAATGCAGTCTTGTTTCTGCATATGTGTAATTATGGGTTCTGAGTGTTTGATGTATAGCTTTTCCTGTAGGTGGATGCTGTGACGTCATCTGGAGAGGTCCCAGTATCACTCTCTACCCACAGACAGTCAGAAAAAGAAGACAAGTGTTATGCTGTGATGGATATTGTGGAGAGAATATCAGCCTCCCTCTCTTTTTCACAAGATGTTAGTACATCATTGGCGTTTCTTTTGGAATACACGTTTTTATCTTATGTTTTTAACAGTTTAATATTATTATTGTCTAGTCTTCATATAGATGCCCATGGGTAACTTGAATGTCGTTTCTAGGGCAGAATCTTAACCTGTGACATAACATTTGCCCAACTCCATGGGTACCACCATCCCGATGAGCTAAAAGGGAGGTTTGTCAAAGAGATAATCCCCTCTCTAAAAATCCCCCTCCACAGTAATGCATTGCCCAAGGTAAGCAAACTTTACACACAGAACTGTCCCTCTCAGCTTTCTCTTTTATACATTTTGCTTACAAATCCCTCTTTTACAAATGTACTTCTTACACACTTCAGTAACACACACAAGAAAGCATATCCCATACATTTCATTTCTGCCAGTCTGCCAGCTTTGATTTTACTTCCACTGCTGTCTTTCAGATGCTGAGGGTTCAGAGAGTGTGTGGCAAAGCTAAAGGAGGCTCATCTGTCCCACTGTGCATCAAACTTGAGGGGGCGGTGACATGTGGGAAACCCCAACACCAAAACAACAGGACTGGTTGCACCTGTTCAACAGAGACCCTTGAGAGATCAGATACAGAGGAGAAGCCGCCCAGCTCACCTCTCACCCCCTCTGTGTGCAAGACAAGGAGCTCAAACCCTGAGCACAACAAGAGTAGTCATGAAAGAGGACTATCTGCTGGTGAGGAGGTTTTTTTAGTGAGGGGCTCAATCCCTGGAGAAACTATCATAAATACCTCTGTGTAATTCAGCTGCTGACAGTCTTCAGTGTGAACCCTCAAACATTTACATATTTTATTTACAATGAAAATTACAGAAGCCAGGAGAGATACTGTATGACCCTGATGAAAGAGTAATCTAATGTGGAGTTAATTAAGCACTGAGGCTCAAAAGTAAAGGTACTGGAATGTAATGGACATTGGTCCTCTGAAAATTGTAAATTTCTAATTGGGCAGTTTACAATTTTTTCAGATAAACAAATAAACAATGTTTTTTTTTAGATAGTAAGAAAAAAACATCACTAAAAAGCTGAAAGTAAAGCTGTTTTTAAATGAAATATCTACAGTTACAGTTGAAGCTGAATTGTTGTTGCTCGTGACCCACATGGGAAAGTATTTGACAATGTCATCTATTGATATTATTGTATGGTGATGTATTATTATTCCAATATGCAAAAGAAGGTCTGCAGTAATTAAAAGTCTTGAGCATGGTCTCCAACATAATGTTATTGTTTGTTTACTGTAATCTTGTGGATGTATCATTTATTGTGCATCTTCCCCTTTGCTCTTGCAGAAGTCAAAGTGGAAAGTCTCGTTCTCTCCCCTGTTCCTGCTCTGGAGTACTCTGGAAACATTTGGGTGTTTGCTCCTCTGAGCGGTCTCATCCTCCTCCACCCAGATGGTTCCATCTGCAGCATCCACGACCACCTGGCTCTCAGTCTGTTTGGCTACAAGAAGAACGAGCTGCTGAAGAAGGTTCGCCATCACGACCAGCTTTACACGGTATTCTGGACTGAGCGACATGCCAACTCTCACGTGTGCCAATGCTGTTTGTCATCAACAGAGCATCACTTTTCTGATGCCTGGCTTCTACGAATGGTTGTCAGACGCAGAGAGAAAGGCCAGCTCCTTCACGGATTCTCTGGCAGAGGCTGGTAAAAGTGCAGCCTCATCTAAAGTATCAAGGAAATATGGTGAGATCTCGTATTTCTGATGAGTACAAAATAGCCAGTTGCTAGGATTTGTCTAAAACTTGTAAAAACATAGGGCATAGATGAGTTGTTGAGGGAGAGGCAAAGATATGAGATGAAATTAGGTGAAAGACAAAGGGGCAATCCTTTGGTACAAGAGTCAAACAAAATATCTTAACCACTCTAGTCTCTAGATATTTATAGATTCAGTCTGAAACCTACTTATCAAGGATAAAATAGTCACTGCTGCCCATCTCTAATAAACTTCCAAATTCAAGCACAGGACAACAAGCTGTTTTGAATCCCAGAATTGAGAAATCTCTCCATGTATTCAGGCATTGATGAATTAAAAACACTTAATTTAGCCATATGTTTAATGTTTTTATCTTTTGGCAATCATCTAAAAGAGGGTAAAAAAGACCTTAAAAACTCTGCTACAAGTATTTGGCTTCTGTGTAGCGACATGGTGACTCCTGTTTACAGATGTAATTTCCTAAAAGGACGCATAGTTCCCTCCCCAGATAGAAGTAGAACAAGAAAAATGCAGGTGATAAAATGAATGACATTGTTCTCAGTTTGTCTTTTATTCTTAGTAGTTATTTAAAACAAACACACAGGAATCATGGATTGAAAAATGGTTGTGTGTCATTAGGGTTGATTCCTACTATACCAAATGGTGACACATTTATTTATTTATTTATTTTGAGTCCTCTTTCTTTCTCTTGTTTTACTTTTTAGTTACGCCTTGTGTGATTAAAGAAAAACATTATCCTTTCTTTCAAACTCTTAGACCCGTCCTCACTGGTGGCCGGTGACATGGCCACGGTGAATCACGCCGCCTTGGGAAGAACCCCGACAGGGAGAGGAAGGATCTTCACGGGAACCAGCACAAAGCTGGACAAACAGGGAGCTTTATCTACCCTCTCTCCTCCTGCTGTCACCTCCACACGTGTGGTAATGTAGGTAGCAATCCATACTGTATATCCTCCAGATCTTTATTGGTGACACCTGAATTCTTTGTAAAGACTTCATTTTACCAAGGACATTTGATTGTCCTGGACATGACTGTGTCAAAACCGCACCAAAAATGCTGTTGCAGCAGTCCTTTTAACACCAAACACCTTTAAGTGGCTACATGTATATTTAATGGCTTGGCAATAAACCTGAAAATACAACTCTAGTACAGTCTAGCCTTATACTCTTGCTGTTTATTAAATCCACTCTGCAGGGACTTAGTGTGTCTCAGTGTGTGCCAGGTTTTTGTTGGCATTAGATGTGGTTTAAAGTTCTTGCTTCTAACCTGGGATTTTAAAAAGTTTGGACCTTTTTACTTCACTCTTAAATAATGGAGGCGAATCAAGGAAACCTTGCTGTTCGAAGTAGGGGACAAGGATTCTAGGTTTATGGCATACAAATACTTGTCTTTTGTGCCATCTGCTGGACATAGTGTGTAACTGCATATTAACCCAACATACAGTATTTTTATATATCTTTATGTTGCAACTTGCATTCCTATCTGAAAACATATTTGGATATGCACTTTTTTTGGTAATATTATAGTGGTATATATCTTTCATATTAGAATTTAAGAAAACTCTGAAGAGAAACTAATTCTTTATAGTTGAGTACAACTACAACTTTGATGGTCTTGAGATTGTATTGCAGATAGACATGCAAGGTCGACTGCCTCTACAGTAGAAGCATGCTTCACTCAAAGTGTCCAGGGAAAAATGTGTCTGCTTTAAAGATCAACTCTTATTTTCCCATAATTATCAAAGTTATTCCTGCTTTTGAAAGCTTTATTCAATGATTTTAATTATTTGTGTAAAAAAAAGCCCATTGATTGTGACACTCACCGTGAGTTTATAATTTCTTTGTGACATACTTCATGCCATGATTGTAAATAGGTGTTTTCCTCTTGATTCATACCCTGTAGTTTTAGATGACTTTCTGAAATTAGTCAACAGCAGCTTTAAAGTGTCTTTGTAATTTTGGCATCTCTACTGTGCATACTGAGGCTAATTACAGGTGATATTTGTGATTATTAGTGTTACTAAACCACAATTTTCCCTATAAGTGGTAAGTAAGTAAGTATTTGTATCACCTGGTGAATAATCTGGTTGTTTTCTTTACAAAAATGACCAAAGAAAGGCTTTCTGTGAAATCCTGGTTTGTACATCTCTTGACTTTTGTGCATGATAACTTTTGTGGACTTGATTCATCTTCTATGTTGGAATGGAAACACAAGATGAAGAAAATAATTTAACAACTGTTATCTGCATGGTTTTTGCAAAGCCAGAACAAAAAGAGAGGAGAGAAGACACCTGGATAAGTTGAAAAAAGAACAAAAACATTTAAGATTTGATGTGGCAGGATAGACGAAGCTGATTGGTAATGCTATCAGTGGAGAACAACTGAACCAGAAACTGACCCTGCTGATCCCAGAGTCCAAATTCTTATTGGAGAAACTAAATTCACAACAATAAAACTGTAACATTTCAAATACTGGGGAAAGTGGGCCTATTGTACCAGATGAAACTTGGCTGCCACGGCGTTAATGGTAAAGTTAAGAGCCTGCAATTGCGTGTATCACTGGCTGTCACTTGTTATGTGTGGGCAGATAAAAAGCATCTGTGCTTTTTTTTTTTTTTGGCTGTGTATCGTATGCTTCTTAATACACAATGTAGCTATTCGTCATCCAAAGCGTTTCAGATGTTCAGTAACGAAAGTCAGACAGCGGTGGTTTGAGTCAGGCTGTTGGATTTAACAGACAAATGTCTCACTGTGGCTGCCGTCCAGGGTTTTGATTATCCTCTGGTCTGGATGGGAGTTATGCACTATGTCACAAATTGGCTCCTTTAAAATGTTTGCAGTGGTTGTGTATGTCTGTGGGCGTACATGCACACCAGAGTGCACTTCAGTTTGGAGCCACAAAAAATGTGAAATCTGTTCACTCATCTTCTGTTTATGGGCACTCATAGAGTGAAGGACATGCAGAAACGTTCCATATTTCATTTTATAGAGTGATGGTATAATATGACAGTGAGTATACACAGTGTTACTAGGACAATTGAAAGTCCATCTACTCCTTCCTCAGGGCTGATGACACTGCAGAACTACTGGATCAGGCTGCACAGGTGGCACCCTGCAGTAGCCAAAAGGACAGCACTGACACCACTCAGGCACTCCTCAAGACATTCACCTGGGTGGAACCTCCTGAAGAAGATACATTTTCTGTGGTTTCCACCAAACTGACACACTGTACCCAAGAACAACAAACCCGAAGTGAAGTTTGTCAAGGCAATGTGCCAGCCATCCATATTATACCAGGTATGGGGACATCTTTTTAACTTTGCCTGATTTCTTTAGCAAAGACACTTAACACAACTCACCTACACTCATCCAGCAGCTGTTTGTTTGTTTGTAGCGAGACCTTGGGCCAGTCCATTACAGACTGCTGTGGGGTGACGCAGCTCAAGGAAGAACATTTATGATCATTTATTTATCATTTCCTTTAAGTAATAATCACCATTGTAATCATTTTGCACTGCAGACGCGGTCGTTCTTCTGCCTTAGCGTCTCGGTCTGATTGCATTTCCATGAAGGAGTGATCTTCCCTTTAAGAGAAGAGGCTTTAAGAAAGTATTGAGCATTTTTCCGTGTTTTTTTCTCTTGAATTTTTCACATTTTAGATACACCCAGTAATGGACATGCTGTTAGAAGGGGGGGTGGTCTTTCTACAGAGGCTGGTAAAGGGAAAGTCTCTTGTGCATCTGTCCTCCAAGACTCCAGCTTTGAGGTTATCTCCCTGGAGAGCAGGTGAGAGCACAAGATGCCTTCTTTGACTCACAATCTCATCATCATCACATTAATGCACGTACATGTACTGCTGATATTTAAGCTGATATCTCATTGTTGTTAAAACCAAGCAACAATTTAATAATATTGATAGCAATTGAGAAACAAGGTTGTTGGTAATCATTTTATTGCAATCATTCAGACGTTTTGACTCTGCAAAGTTTATCCTATCCAGTCCTTCTTAGTCACCAGTTTTTCAAAACTCAATTTCCAGGTCTTCCTCTGGTTTCTGTGAAAAGATTGGTGGTTCTGATCCAGGACATATTGGAGACTCAGCCAGCTGTTACCTGGACCTGAACAGCAATGGGGATCTAGTGACTCGAGGTCTAGCCGATCTCAACCTGAGCAGTAGTATAGAGCTGCTCAGTGGCGGAGGATACAATGAAGATAATCAACACTCAATGACATCCTGTGATACGGATGAACTCCTGCGTATTCCCATTCCATGTGTGCCAGGATCCCACCAAGAAACAGAACCTGTTGAAAGTGTGAATGCTGCTGTCGAAGCTGCAGAAGGCTCGAGTGAAGCGCAGCAAGAAAAAGATCAGGGCGAGCAGGTGCCCTGGGCTGCTCTCTCTACAATTCACAAAAGTAAGAGTCAAGAGTTTTGCGGACAAATGAATGAAGAGAATCAGTCCATGACAGACATTCCTGCCACTTCTACTCCCAAGAAACAGAAAGCAAGTGGACACAACCTGTCCTCAGAGGACATGCAGATAGTAGAGGGGAGTTTTGAAAGAAGTGCATACCATAGAGACGGCACCAGAATAGGTTGGTACAACTTTTTGATTTAAATATGATCTACTCTTTGCAAAACATGAAGAAAAAGACTTGAACTCTTGATTTATTTCCAGATGTGCAGTGTGATGTGTGTAGAGCTGACCTCCCTAATGGAACATCCATGTTCTGTGTATGGATGAGTAGACTGGGACAGCAGGGGGCACTGTTGCAAACAAATAAATCACTGCACAACCTGTCAGAAGCCAGTCTCGGAGAGGTCAGTGGTATTAAAAATCATTAGAACACAATACTGTATTTATCAGCGAGGGGTTTAAAAATGTGTATCTGCTTTTCCTGTTTCTGTCTTTAGAGGATAAGTGAGGCCAGTCATGGGGAGGCCCTGCGCTCCACCGTGGACCTGGAGCAGTCTCGAGCCTGTGATGGGCAGTTTGAAGAAGAGTACCAGCCCCTTAAAGCAATGGGAAAAGGAGCCTTTGGTTTCGTTTGGAAGGCTTTGAGGCGCAGTGACGGACAAGAAGTAAGGAAAAAACACCAACGAATGCAAAAGAATGAATCCAGTTTCCTTTCAAAAATACAGTATTTGTACATATAAAACAAAACGTGAAATTTCCGTTGTTTTAGCGATACGTCTCTGCTGTGTCTAAATTTGCAGGTGGTGGTAAAGTTCATAAACAAGGCCAGGATTGTCAGTGACTGCTGGGTAGATGACCCTATGCTGGGACAAGTCAGCCAGGAGATTGCCTTACTGACCCGAGTCCAGCACCACAACATCGTAAAGGTGACTGCAGCGTCTAATGAGAACCTTTTAGGGTACAAAATCATTGTCTATCACGAGTACAGAATACTTAAACTCACTCACCGTGTTTGTGTGTGCTTCTAGGTGCTGGAGGTGTTTGAGAACGGGAGTTACTTCCAGATGGTGATGGAGAAACACGGAGAGGGTTTGGATCTTTTCGAGTTCATAGACATGCAGCCCAGGCTTGACGAGCCGCTGGCTAGTTACATCTTCAGACAGGTATGAACGACGCCAAGAAGATAAATATGATTTTAATCCCTCTGTTTGGTCCATGGATAATTGGATTGTCTGTCTCTTCTCAGCTGGTGGCCGCTGTCTTCTACCTAAGGACCAAGAGCATCCTTCACAGGGACATTAAAGATGAGAACATCATCATCGATAAATGTTTCCACATCCGCCTGATAGACTTTGGCTCCGCTGCCATGATGGTTCCCGGAAAACTCTTCTACAATTTCTGCGGCACACTCGAGTATTGCTCCCCAGAGGTGCTTCAGGGAAATCCGTATGTACATAAAAGCTCATAATGAAGATGCATTCATTCTTTTCTGTTACGTAATATTCCTTCATGATTTTCTTTCGACAGCTGGTTTACACTGAAGAGGACTTATTGTCCTTGCAGTCATGTTGCTAATTTATTTTAAAACTTTACAGATGATAGCAGAATCTAGGTCAAAACCCTGTTTTGCTTTATGACCCATTTCCATTATGATGTGCTGTTTAAGTGTGTGTGTTTTAACAGTTTACAGGTCGTTAAGTTAGAACACCATCTGTGATCGCTTAGTTAACTGATGGATAAAAATCTCCCTGTTGCTGTATTATAGTAATTCAATTACTAAAATTTTTACCTTGTCTGTTTTAGCTACGAGGGTCCAGAGCTGGAGATGTGGTCTCTTGGTGTGCTGCTCTATACTCTGTTGTTTAGTGAGAACCCTTTCTGTGGTGTGGAGGAGATCCTGGGGGCCAAACTCAAGCCTCCGTTCCCCCTTTCTCCAGGTATGCTTCTGCAACAGTTTTTATTGTTGGAAGTAGAGGTTAAAAAAATCAAAACCCCCCCTCTGTTTTTAAAGCTTAGTGCATCTTTGTACGTCACAGAACTGCACGAGTTATTATGTGAGCTGCTGCACCCTGATGCTACTCAGAGAATGACTCTAGACCAGCTCCTGCTGCAGACCTGGATCAGCCAGCCCATTTCCTTGGCGGAGTACAGCTGGTCTGAAGTATTCCCAATATCTCAGAGCTACTGTGAGTACTGTTTAATCGTGCATTTAGACGTACAGTGAACAAAATTGTTTGCACTTCAAATTCGACTAGGCTCTACCGTGTTTTGTTCTTTTTTTCTAACAAAGATTGTTAGTATGGTCAGGTTTGTGACAGAATAACATGTCATTCTTGGTGTATAAGTTCACACAAATAACCTGTTTTAGTCTGTACCTGTATTTGTGAAAATGAAGGTGATGACCAGACTGAAATCAACTTCTCATCGTTTCACAGGCACACCACAGCACCAGGAGCCGGGTCCACAACTGCATGTCACACACAGCTTGTTCCCTGATCAGCAGGATGAGACTCTACCTGATGATGATGAGGAGGAAGAAGATGAAGATGACAGATTGTCAATGGTGGCTTTGGAGACAGAGCTTCAGAAGTACCTCCGTGAGGACTAAAGATTTAATTAAATTGGAGTGAAGTCCAACAACCGTCTTGAATGTAAAGCTGCAGAGAGGACACAGAAGGGAAAAACAGCTTGTCTAGGCAAACTCTTGTAGAGACAAATTGATCTTTGTCTTAAGGATACATAGTTTGTTGGTGATTGTGATTTTTTTGTTAGGATTTGCTTGTTGACAGTGCAGGATTTCTACAAAGCTAAGCAACAGCATAATGATGTTGTAGAGGTTATTTCTTTTATTTATCTGTATTTTATTTATGATTTAGGCTGTATTAGATTTAGAGTATTTAGATTCTGAAGTACTCAGATCACTGTCATTGTTGTTTTCTTTTAAAGTCTACAACCTGGAGTTGTTCACCTCAGATAAATGAAGGGATTTATTTTATTGATCCAGCTTTTAAGTAAATGTTTTACGCTCAATATTTTAATCTTTAATATTGTAATCAAAACTGTAAGTATATTTACAAAATTTATGTATTTTCATACATCAATAAATATTTAATCTGTCCTTTTGATATTCTAAAGAGTAAAGAATGAGAAATGCCCTATCTGTTACAACTATGGGAGTTCTTACTCATAATATTGTGCAAATACCATTGAGTAATGTGAATTTTATTCATCCACTTACAAAAAAAAAATACTTAGAGTGGTTTATGATTTTATTGATTTTTTTTGTGTAGTGAATTTTGAAATATTTTAAGACCCATATAGATGGCCAAACCATATGATTATGACTGCAGATTCATTTAAGATATGCCTCAAAGCAACATTTACTGAAGATCTGAAAAGACTTCATCGCCAAGTTTCTATTTAATGCTCAGGTGAATCACTTGAAACTTTTTTTGTGCGTGTTTGAATATCAGGGAAGCAGTTTTCTTCAATTTTTGACAGACTTTATTTGTCAAACTTGTCACATATATCCCATCAGTGACTTTTTAGTCTTTACCATGTGTTAACCACATTTTTTTTCAAACGGATAAACACAGAGGAATCATTTTTAGAGCAAGCATTCTTCTCAGGACCAACCTTTTTTTTATCATTAATTAAATCATATCAGTTGTAAAAACCAGTATGTCATTATCTTACGAGCCCTGTCTCCAGTTAGATAAAAATGTTTTCGAATTCATATCTGTCCCATCAATAGACTGTATAGGGGAGAGTGGGGTGAGTTGAGCCACCCCTGTTGCTTGGAAATGGTTAAAGAAATATACGGCCCAACTTACCCTACCCTATGGTCAGCTTACTCCAAACACGGGGTCAGTTGACCATGCTATATGCTATATCATTATCAAGACAGTTATGTTTACAGTCTTTCTGTTGGTTTGCAGGGATGCACAACATCTTGAAATATATGCAGATACACTAGTTAGAGACAAAACTATGATTGCTTTGATGTAGTGATCCGAAATATGAAAAATGAGACATTTTACCCCACCCATCCTTACACGGTCCCATCTATAGACTGTACTCTATATACGGTCCCATCTAAATTCAAGCAGAGCACAGCGGAACCTTTCTTTTCGGTTATGTTTAAGGAGCCGGGAGGAAATTTAGGACGGACAAGCATGAGTTTTCGTGTGGCTGCTCGTCAGGTAGGTTGAATCAAACTGTATTTAATCATGACAGTTGTTATACTTTTCCTTCTTGAAACTGTTTAATATATTGTGGTTTCATCTGCTTTGCCGTGTGTTTTAAAGAGTCTTTTAAAAGAGTGACAGCTGAAAAACTCGTTAACCTTCACCGATGCTAGCTAACATAAGCGACTGATGTCGTTTCCAGTAACTTTTAAATTTATGATTTATTTTCTCCTTCAGTTTTCTCACGATTTTTACGTACATACAATTGTGACAGCTGTCTTGCCACAATTAATAACCATAATTTAATCGAGTGAGAAAATGTTACTGTTAATCCTTACCGTCACTGTTTCCTTTTACAGGTTATTTCATGGACTATAAGAGGCACCCCCACCTCTGTGCCCAGTCCACTTCAGTTTGGGACATGCCATCTCCACTGCAGACTCTTCTGTTCCCCCAGCAGCCAAAGCCCTCTCCATCCAGCTCAACAAAACCCCAATGAACGGACCCACCAGTCAAGAGAGCCCGTCACAGAGCTGTCCATCCACTCCCTGCGTGATCTGGGATTCACAGAAACTCAAGCAGAGCAAATCTGTGGTTCTGTATCTAAAATCAGAGGAGGAAACGCGACCAAACATGCTATGTCAACTCTCACAGCTCTGTTCATTTTGGGCCTCAATGCTTCCAGTGTGCTCAAACTGCTGGAAAAGTGTCCTGAGGTCTTCCATGTGAAGGAGTCCCTGCTGCAGCAGAGAATAGACAACCTGCGCAAACTGGGTTTAGTTGAAGGTGAGGAGAACTTCATGCTCAGAGTCACAGTATCAGTGGGATGAGCTTTATTTTCATTACACTGGCATTTTTATGTTCTTTGTTTAGGTAGTCTGCAAAGAGTGGTGGCCTATTATCCTCAGATCCTCACAGTACCTGTGAAGAGACTGAGAAATGTGGTGATGTTCCTCAGAGAGAAGTGCCTCTTTACTGGCAAGCAGGTCACTGACATCCTCAGAGAGAGCCCGGCTGTGGTTCTGGAGAACATGAGTCAGCTGGAGTACAAGTTTCAGGTCAGTGCATTGATCAAACGATAACCAAATGATTGATTGTTTATTATTATTATTTATTTGTTTATTCAAACAGGTTAAAAGAAAAACAAAATGAATATAGCATACAATGTGCTTTGGCAGAAAAACAATTAAAGAGACAGTTCTGTAGAAACATAGATAATCATACTTTGTTCAAAAGGGTGTAGGATGAAGTTGGTAAAACTTATCTAGTCCTAACCCTTTATTGTTGTGTTACTGTAATTTAATCATTCAGAGCATGTGTAGAAATAACAGCACAGAAGAGAGAAAATATATCAGAAAAAAAGGCACGTTGCCTGTCATAAATATAAATTCATGTTTTCGTTTTTCTCTTATATCCAGTCAGAATGTGGTTTATAAAAATAAGTTTGAACTTGCTTAGTGATCTGCAGGTTTTCATCTCTTTGCTGCAGCTGTCCCACAGATTAACTCCTTTGACTGATATACAGTGCATTTTTGTGTTTGCACTGTGTGTATTGTGCAGTTAGTACAAAAACATAACATTTTGAAGTACTTGCATATATTTTGATCAATCATTAATTGTGTTATAAATTTATTAAACAGTATATTTCTCTGTGTAATGCTTATCTTAAAGTTTCAGGCTGTCTTTGAATTAAACAGATAACTCAAAGATACAACTTTGGCCTCTAAAATGATATTTTTAAGACGTTTTGGAGGCTGGATTATGAATCATAAATCAGAATTTCTGTAATTGTAATTCTTGTCACAGGTCTGATTAAATGAAAGTGTTTACTGTAAGCAAGTTGCCTTGTTGTGACTTCAGACTGATTGACATCCATAGAATTTGACCATCATGTTTGAACATAAACATTATGTTTATGACTACAAAAGATGAAGAACAACATCCACACCAGAAGGTTGCTTTCCACAAGTTTTTTTTTCTCATGAGATTCTATGCAAGTACAGTTTTTAATGTGATACCAGGGCTTTCAAGCAGTCTTAAGTTAGATTTTGTATCCTTCACTGTAAAGACATGGATGGATCTCAATTTTTTAAAATTAAATGAAAACAAAACAGAGGTCATTCTGTTCGGTCGCCCTGACCTGGTTCAGGTCCTTGCCAGCTCCCTTGGCTCACTGGCACCGTACATAGCGTCCCATGCCAGGAATCTTGGTTTTATTATTGACGGTGATTTTAAACTTGACAAACAGGTCAGCGCAGTGGTCAGATCTAGCTGTTATCAGCTAAGGTTTCTCGCCAAAGTTAAATCCTATTTAAGCCAGAAGGACCTTGAAAAAGTTATCCATGCTTTTATCACATCTCGTTTAGATTACTGTAATTCCCTGTATGTCGGCATTGGCAAGTCAGAGCTCAACCACTTGCAGCTCATTCAGAATGCTGCAGCTCGTCTCCTAACTGGGACCAAGAAACGGGAGCACATAACTCCGGTGCTTGCCTCTCTTCACTGGCTCCCTGTTAGGTACAGGATTGATTTTAAGATTCTTTTATTTGTTTTTAAGTCTCTGAATGGGCTGGCCCCGGAATATCTGTCTGACCTTGTTAAACTGCGCCAGCCCTCCAGAGCCCTCATGTCAGCTAATTAGGTGGTTTTAGACGTTCCTCGATCCTTTTTAAAATCTAGAGGAGATAGAGCATTTTCTGTCATGGCTCCCTCTTTGTGGAACGCTTTACCCCTGACAGTGCACACTGCTAAAAGCCTTTCCACTTTTAAAACACTTCTGAAGACGCATCTGTTCACTTTTGCTTTTGGGGAAGTATAGCTACTTTTATTGGGTACTTTTTTGCTATGTTTAACAATATTGTTGTTTTATGTTTTTCTATGTTTTATGCTTTTATGGTCTTTATAGTTTTTATTGTTTTTACTGTCTCTGGCTATTTGACTGTAAAGCACTTTGGTAGGCCACTGGCTGTTTTTAAATGTGCTATATAAATAAAGCTGACATTGACATTGACATTTACTATTACCTGCTTTTAAAACAGTTCATTATGTTTGTATGATATAGAGCCATACTGGTTGGTGGCGTGATATGGGAATAAAATGAATGTAAAATGCACTTAATGGTCTTAACTTATAGATTTCCCATTAGACTAATGCTGTGCAGCTTCCCCACAGTGTTTTATAAAACCATGACTTAGAGGTAGCAGACACATTTGAAGAGCCTCTTCTTCAATATATGGTGCTAATTTCTACATTTAAAAAGGACAGCACTAAAGAAATCTGTAGGAGTGCATAAGGAGAATAGTGTGTAGTTGAATAACAATGATCCTTGGTGAATCGGACAAGATTTATGCATTGACTGGCCTGCAGTCAGCTTGCAACAATTTAACAAGCCTTCATTTTTTTATTTAGTTTCAGTCACACGTCTATGGAATAGGCACACTTGAAACTCGTGTTCTGATGGCTTATGTGATAGATGGATAGATAGATAGATGTACTTTATTGATCCCAAACTGGGAAATTCTCTAAACAGAGTTCCCTGACCGGGAATCGAACCCGGGCCGCGGTGGTGAGAGCGCCGAATCCTAACCACTAGACCACCAGGGACAGTTGTATGTGGTAACAGTTGATAGGCTGCAATTGTATGCTTACCTAGCAGGTGGTGGGTGGTAGCTCAGAATGGAAGGACTTTGGCAGTACTTTGATTATGTTTGACACATAGTGAGAACTACTTGTTACACATTTTGACTTGTGTGTACAAGGAATTAAGATACAGCCATTCCAAATTGTCACTGGCCCACCTAAAACTCTCTTTTTCTTTAAGTTGTCTTACTAGATATGCTTATGGACATGTTTCACGACCGTCCTTTTATTTGATATTTGTTTGTAATTATGAGCAGCTTGACCATTTTCTTGCATTTCTAGACTTTTGTGCATTATCTGCAAACTTTAAACCAACAATAATTAATTGGCATACAGACTTTTTTTGTTTAAATGTGTGGACTGAACATTACTCTCTAAAATGTCAAGTAAGTATGAATTTAGGACATTGCTTCATTACTCTTTTCTTGATGTTATAGTTGAATTATGCATGGTTTATTAAAACATTTTTGCCATTTTTTTCATCCAAAAATATGGTCACTTATAATCTAAAATATACAGCATATGTAAATATAATATCCTATAATTTGGTTTTAACACACACCATATAATTCAATTTAAGAATTGGCTTTAGAAGTCATTTTCTGTTTTTTCTTTCACTTGAAATGATGATCATTAACTGCATATATCAACCTCTCTCCACAGTATGTCTACTTCCGCATGGGTGTCAAACAGGCAGAGATGTTGAAGTCCAGGTTATTTCGTTTCACTTTGGATGAAGTACGCTGTCGACATTGTTTCCTGGAGCGCAGAGGCATGTATGAGACCCCGGACAAGAAAGGACAGACCACCATTATCAACCCCAAATTGGAAAGCATCTTAAATGTCAGCGAAGGCACCTTCGTCACAGATGTTGCCATGGCATCAGCGGAGGAGTATGATGTTTTTAAAAAACTGATGGAGAGAGAGTGGCGTGAGGAGGAGCAGCAGATGGACAGCATTGACACTGATCATGATGATGAGGAAGAGGAGGAGGAAGACATGGCGGGTGGTGGAAAAAATTCATATAAGAGGAGAAAAAGGAAATGACAGATGGGAAGCGGATGAGAGAAAATAGACCAATGTAAAGAGGAAACAACATGTCTGTCATAAATGAAGTAATAAAATTCTTCCTTTTAGAGGTTATTGAACTGAGGTGTCTTATTTGTTGCTCTAGAAAATTAACTTAAGACACATGATTATTTTTTCCATGTTTTTTCTGCTGAGTTACAGATAAACATTGTTAAAATGTAATTTTCATTTTTTACATTTTAACAATGTTTATTTTTTACCTTCAAGTTACTCAAGATGAAGTCAAACCTTTCCATTCGGCTTGCTCTTTTAAAACTAAAATTAAAAATTTTAAATGCCTCTTATTTATCTAAGGGGTTTCGAAACGAGCTCTTGCAGTCAATCTGTGCTGAGGATGACTTAAGCAGAAATCTTTTAAAGAGCAACAGTGTGCTGAGAGCCTAAATGGACAAGAGCTCCACTCTGTTACTACGTGACGGTAAAGTGGCCGCGGCTTTCTCCATCTCTATGTTATCCGTATGAGTCAACAAAGAGAGCATCAGATAAGGCTGGCAGACCAGAGGAGATGTACAAAACAGCCATTGATTTATAAAAGCCCTAATCCAAATGGATTTGACATACGCTCAGGTTACTCCATTCTGGACACAAGGTAAGAAAAAAAACTCACCTTTGATCAATCAAATGCTGCTAGAGCGATCAATAATTTGTTGATAAGTATGTGAGCACAAATGAATGTAAGGGATTTTCCATTATTGAGCTTTGGAGCACATGTTAGCATTGTTGAATAGCTATGTTTAATTTGTCCCTTAGAAATATAATTCATAATGATGCTATACTGTATTCTGCTCAATGATACACATTCTTCTAGCTGTACTTACTTATAATTTTTCCAATTGTATTTATGTTATGTCATTTTTCTTACACTAAGTTTATTATTTACTAATACAGAGCTTAATTTGCATTTTGAATATACATGCAAAGCAATACCCAAAATGGGCAAAGTCCATTACTACACATGTGTACATGTTTTAGCAGACAGGACTGTCTTACTTGACCAAACAACTCTACAAAAGCAAATCATTTCCTAGTAAGCGTGGTGGTGTAACAGTTTTTTACTCTGTTATAGACTATAGAGACTCACATTTTCTGGTAACTGTTAAATGGACCACTTTTTGGAAATTTTCTATACTGTCTATAATTTAATTATTATGCATTTTGATAAGGAGTTCAGTAAAAACCTGTTAATTTACAATGTTTTGCTTACAGAAAGCTGCCAGAGGAAATAGTTGGCACGCCGCAGTCTGAGCATCCGTCTAAAAACTCAAAGGAGCAGAATGACATCAGCGGTCCTGATTTCTAACGTCACTCAGGAGTGGGTGGAGAGTCTACGAAGGTGGCATCTCGAGTTCTTTTTCATCCCCACCACAGTTGTCACTCTGGCCACCTTGCTGGCCAACCCTGTGCTCCTGATGTGTATTTGTCTGACCCGCGCCCTGCGTCGGGAGACACGTTATCTGCTGGTGGCCAACACCCTGACAGCTGACATGCTTTTCCTCGTCCTGAACCTTTCCACGGTTATCTGTAATGCAGCGAGGGCCCAGATCCCCTGGCTGCTCTGCGAGGTCATCACAGCTGTCTCTATCACCGCCTACTGCTGTGCCATCCTCACAGTCACACTCATGGTGGTGGACACCTATGCTGCAGTTCGCTGGCCTCTCCATTACCATGATATTTTGCCACCTTCACGCACCCACCGCATATTGGTGGGGTTATGGGTGGTGGCAGCCATTTACCCTTTCACTCTTGTGATCTTGATGGAGGTTAAGAGAGGAAGTCCCCATGGCAACGTGGCTTTGTGTCTGGCCGTCATCTCACTCGGCTTTAACCAAGTTGAAGGCACAATGGGGATCCACATCTACTTCTTTGTCGCAGCTCTCGTCTGCACCTTACTCATTTTTTACTGTTACATCCGGCTCTACATGGTCACAAGGACTCAGGGAATCTGGCAAAACCGTTTCTCCAGGGCCCGGGTCACGCTCTTGGCTCACGGGCTTCTGCTCTTGCTCTACTTCGCCCCTGGCTTTGTTTTCACCATGGAGCTCTTTCTCTTCCACAGGAGAGATATAAGTCAAGATGTTCGTGTTTGGATCAGCACAGTCAATATGTGTGTTTTTATGCTGCTTCCAAGGGCATTTGCCCCGTACCTGTACGGACTCAGGTACAGAGAGATCTCTGACACTCTAATGCAGCTGCTGCACCAGCACAGGAGACTCAGCCAGGTCACGGTTTCATAAAGACACTTATGAGTTTGATCATTTTGTTGCTCCAGTGGAAGATGATCTAATCCTTTTTCGAAACTTTCTACACAAGGCTGATCTGATTACTTTTTCAGAAAGACCAGATTTGAAGAACATGAGGTGTCATGAGACGAGAAATTTACTTCTTTTGATAGCCTATCAAGACGAAGACTTAAAATATAACAGTAAAGCACTCTTTGGAGAATAAGGTTGTTAAATTATTTAAATTTTTTGTTAAATATCCCTTTTCATTCAGTTTTTACACTCTATTCTCCCTTTTCTATTCTCTATTCCTACGGCTGGAGTTATACCCTTGTAAAATATGTAATCCTTTACTTAACAGCAGACAAAACTCATAATTTGGTGAAATAACCTATTACTGAGTATCCAATGCAAACTTTAATCCTTTGTGTAATTTTTCAAAGATAAATAAAGGTTTGGTTGAGGGTTTTGAAGAAGCCGGTGTTGGCCCTTAAGCCAGATAGAAGGCAAAGGTTGTAAGTCAAGCAAAGTGAAACACCAGTCTCTTTATTTTTATCTGAATTGTTTAGACTTCAGCAGACACCTTTAAAAATAGCAGCCCTAAAACAAACCGTGTGCAAGTTGTGGGTAATTACACAGCATATACTTCTTATCAGCTTGTTAAAACCCTCACATTTCCATAAACAATACTTAAGCGCATACCCTCTGTTTTATCAATGTTTACAACAGGTGGTGTTTGCTTCACCACAGTCACTTCACCCTTTTCATTTGTGGTGGGAATAATATGCATCATTACTACAGTGAAAAGTAAATTAGTAGTTTAGCACAACTGGTAACTGGAGTGTTTGCTCTTGTGTATGTTGTGTGTGTTTATTAGAGCACTTCATTATACGCACAAGTGCTGAGTGTGATTGCAGACACTTGTAACTTCTTTCAGGTCATATGAGCTCTTTTACTGCCGAGTCAATCAACTGAAAACCTCCTTTGTTATTTTTTTTCTCATGTCTTACCATTGAGGTATCTGAAGTTCCTCTATTTTCAAATAAACTTTATTTCTCAAATACATATTGAGTCTTAATATTGTGTAAAAGCTCTACTTTATTACCACGGAGCACTTAACACTATCTGTCCTCAAAGCAGTGTTTGTCTGCCATGATAAACTGGACTTCCACGATGATCATTAACCAACAGCTTAATGGCATGGGAGGGGGGGGGAAGCGCATTTAGAAAGATGTGCTAGATGGGGACCAGTCACACCCCCTGGCATTGGGAATTTTGCAGCCTCTTTGCAGCTCTGATGTAATAGGCCTGGAGCTAGGACTCCAACTATGGGGTCATCGGTATCAACTGGGGGGAATAATTCTCATAGTGATTTTTGGGTAGGTATACACCTCTAGTACTAGAAAAAAATTTATAGCGTTGCATCTGTGGTAGCTTTCAGTGTGTTATCACTCAATTTTGACCACATGCCAAAACAGAGTTTTCAAAATCCGAATTAATCATTCTACTTCAAACTGATGGTTCTCTCTTATTAATTGACCCTATCTCTGTGAAAAATGTCAGAATAAAGCCCAGGCTATATGTTGTTCAGTAGAGTTGTTGGAATCAGCATCTCTAGATGTTTTTTTTCTCTTATAAGCAGTGACAACATAGTGACCATATACTGTATGTCTTCCGTTTTCATGAAAGATGTAACACAAAAGTTTAATTTGTACACAACCTAAACATTTTAATACATAAAACATGGTAAGTAATGCATAGGCTAGATATTTCTACTTTATTCCTGCTGTGATTTAAGTTGTCACACTCACACCTGGCCTGAGTCAGTCTAAATGGATTTACATGCATGCATTTACATGTCTCATGTATGCCCCAAAAGCACCAACCATTTAGAGGCCAGTCCAAAAGCAGCATTGCCATCACCCTCTTTCAATGTGCTTTCACTGTGATAATAGTTTCACTGTGATAATAGTTCAGGGGAAAAGGAGTGTTTTGGGCAAATTTTAACGAGTTTTGAGCTCATTTGCGTATTGTTGTCTGGCGAAATTAACATACTTTTCCAACTAGGATTTCATAGGACTTATATTATGTTAGTCTAGACACCTTATAGAAATGATGTATGGTAAAATGAAACCCTTTCTATAGGTTTTTTGGGGGCGTAGTTGTATGTTTTTATATATTGACCCATGTAATTTTCGCCAAGTGTTATAAAATAAAATGCATGATAGCACCCATTTAGCTACCACTGCTGCAATGCTATCACATATTTTCTAACTCTATACATGTATACAATGTCAAAAATCACTATGAGCATTATTCCCCTCAGTTGATACCGACCAACCCCTCTGGCTCATGGCCTATAACTGATACAACATCTAAACAGCAGAGGGACACATTCCTCTGTGTTACAGATCTGAATGCATATGAATGCTCACTTGGGATTAAGCCAAAGTTCTCAAAGCATACACCTGGTGGCAGCCTTTCTACTGCTTAAAGTGTATTACATTGACACAAAAGTCCCTTTTCTTGATATTTAATTTGCAGTAATTTGGAACACTGAGATATCACATTAAGAATGTTGACTGATATCACTCTCATAGAGGTGTTAATTGAGTTTCCCACTGTAATCTCAGTTGGTTTTCCCTGTGGGTTTAGCAGTTGCCTGGAGGCAAAAAAAACCTCTTGTTTATTTATGACCCCTGGTCCATTTTCTGAAGACGGTCACTGAATAACTGATGTCCTATAATATGTTTCGGTATAGGTATTGATACTCTATCCATGCTCTATATTGATGCCAGGTTAACCCCTTCCACTGTACCTGTATGACCTGAGATGGTAATTGGTTTGTGAACGGGTGTTTATGTGTAGGCACATTGCACAGTACACCCAGTCCCTAACAGCGTAAAACTGGTTTATTGATCACATCATGGACCCTTTCAGAGAATTCTGTTGAGAGCTCTCAGAAATGTTTTGCAACAGGGTAAGGAAGTTGTGACATATCCTTTGTTCCGACCTAACTCCTCCTTCCTTCTCACCTGAGAAAAACATACAGCCTTCTGCATTTTATCCTGCTTTCACGTGACCATAGGATCACATTACAGAGATGTATTTGTTATTCATATATTCCCCTATTGGTGTTGGCCATCGTGAATTATGTTCATACACGTTTATTTGGCAGGTCGTTAAGTAAGCTAAATAAATATATAAATTCCTTTGATAATATGTATATTTTGGTATCCACTCGTTGGTCGTATTTGTCAAGGTCTCCCTATAGCCCTTGTGGTCGGTGTTGACGTAAAACAGTGAGTAACGATAAGAAACGCGTGTTATTTTTAAGCATTTATCAACCGCCATCACTGTTTGTTATAAACTTTTCCTCCGCTGAAAGTTCAGTTTGTTTGCAAACAAAGAGGAGCCACGTGGAGAGCGACATGCTCTTGGAAACTGTAGTCTCATTGGGCGAAAAGGAATGGCGAACGTGTGTATTTGAACTCAATTACCCACAACGCATCGCGTTTTCTCTGAAGGGGCGCAGTGGGCAGGATTTTTTTTTTCACAGACAAGTATATATGGGTTCTGTGTTTACTGTTAGCAAGAGAGAGCCCTTTGTTTTTGTCATCCCCTAAAAGTCAAAATGTTCCGGTTGTTCAACAGCCTGCCTTGTTTTCCGTAACTAGTTAAAGTTAGATATTGCCAAAGGTACAAATAGACCTTTCTTAGAAGGCAGAGTTATTTTTATCCCTTATCCTTTTTTTCTGTGCTTAGAAGAGGAAACTTCATCTGGAAACTTCTGCGTAAGGTAACAACTTTTTCTTATGACATGGGTGTTGTTGACGTGTTTGAATGTTCTGTTTTAAACTTTCTCTCGATGTGAGATTTAATTTAATAATTTATGGAGAATAGCAACGGTCCAGCTGTTTTTAACCTGCGTTTTCAAGGCTAACGGTCGGCACGAGGCTGCCTCCTTTGTTTATTTTTAACGGAAGCACAAAGTGTAACAGACTTAACATGTCATTTTTTAAAGAATTAAACTTAAAAATTATATTTACATAATGCTTCATCTCAACATCTTAATATTTTCAAGATAAAAAATACAATATTTTATGCGTGTTTATATGTTTTACGCTTGTTTGTGAAACTTATCCTATTATCGTTCCCATAACTGCAAACAAACACAGTAACACAATATGAAATATTAATCTATCCAATATATTTCTCTGTCGTCGCAGTATTATTGCATATTGCGTGAATTTCTCTCTCCTCAGGGTGTATTAGTCACCGAGTCAACCTGTAATGCGTCAGACACCGCCGGCTAAACCTGTCCCTGAGACTTAACATGACTTCAAGGAGGTGTTGCTGCTGGCAAATAATACACATTAAAAGGTTTAGCCTGCAGAAGGCTGAGCCACAAGGTTAAAAATAACCTGAGATATATGACCTCATAGGAGCAAAGGCTGGACCTGCTGCCAACATCAACAGAAGCAGTATGGTCATAGATAAGAGTCTAGTGTTTAGGTCCTATAGTTTGAGGACTGTAAGCATTTGCTGTTTTACATGTACATATAATGAACAATGTGAAAATATAGGTCAAAACAAGGCACAATTTTTATTAGCTTATTTGTGAATATTATGGGAATGTCAGGTCAACATATATAACTAAAGCAGTGGTTTTTAAGTCCAGTCTTCAAGGCCCACTGTCCTGCATGTTTTGGATGTTCCCCTGCTCCAACACACCTGATTCAAATGATCAGCTCATTATTAAGCCCTTACAGAGCTTGATAACGAGCTGATCATTTGAATCAGGTGTGTTGGAGTAGGGGAAACATCCAAAACATGCAGGACAGTGGGCCTCGAGGACTGGACTTGAGAACCACTGAACTAGAGCATAAAAATGAGATTCAAGGTTATCAGTGGTTGTACTTTCTTTGCACCTGTCGATCAAACACTGGTTATGTAGCGCCTGATAGCATCCCTGCCCCCACTCTCCTTCAAAAACAAACAAACCTGACTGACATGTAGGTTGGCCTTCCAACCGTTGCTCAACCTCCCTCCTGCCTGAATCATCTTCCATCTCACGCAGTTCATTGTGCTGCAGGGCACAACTGTTTCTAAGTAGTGATGGGCTGGAAGAGCTGTTATGCAGATGAGTGTGCTGCTCAGATTTCAGCGCTTGAAACTACTGTTAAGAAACTGCGATGTACCACATGTAGGCGCTACCTCCGGCCTTTCATAAATTATTTGTGGATGTCATGTTTTCTCCCTCTGTTGTGCACATGCTTTGTGGCTTTGTTTGAGCTTTGTTTGTCTGCAGAGAATGTTTTTAATTTGTATTACAGTAATCCAATTACCGTAGGTTCTTCTCCCCCTTATGATTGTATGCCTAAATAGGGGTATAATACTGTATTTCATAGATCATTCTTCTAATGGTACCATGCTTCTTTACTCTGGTGAACTCAAGATTTTAAAAAAAAGTCTTTGTTGTAGGTAGCAGCCATGGTGTTGATTCTTGGCAGACGGATGAACAGGGAGGACTCTGGGATCAGAGACTCACCAGCTGTTAAGCGCAAGGTGATGTCATAAAACCAGTACTTTTCTTTTTTTTTTTCCTCTCACATCTTATTTTTGTTGCAGATATTATAATTTTTTCACATATGGTTTTGTTCAAAGGTTTTTGAAATTGACTCCAAAACCCCAGCTGCTCAGGATGTCTTGGACTTCTGCTCTGGCGCATCCCACTCTGAGGGCATCCTGCAGGTGTTCAATGAGTTCCGCGACTGCCGCCTCTTTACTGATGTAGTGATCAGTGTGCAGGGCAGAGAGTTTCCATGCCACCGCGCAGTTCTCTCCGCCTGCTCTTCCTACTTCAGAGCCATGTTTTGCAACGATCACCGTGAGAGTCGTGAGATGCTGGTCGAGATAAATGGCATTCTGGCTGAGGCGATGGACTCCTTCCTCACCTACGTCTACACCGGGCGTGCCAAAATCACCACAGAGAATGTCCAGTTCCTGTTTGAGACGTCCAGCCTCTTTCAGATCTACACACTGCGAGATGCCTGTGCCAAGTTCCTGGAGGACCAACTGGATCCATGCAACTGCCTTGGCATCCAGCGCTTCGCAGAGGCCCACTCTTTGAAGCAGCTGGCCAGCCGCTGCCGCAGCTATGCCCTGGCCAACTTCTCAGAGGTTGCTCAGCATGAGGAGTTCTTAGACCTCCGCAAAGAAGAACTGGAGGAATACACTGCCAGCGATGAGCTGTCTATCGGCAAGGAGGAAGTGGTGTTTGAGGCCGTGATGAGATGGGTGTATCACGGTGTGGAGCAGCGAAAGCCCATGTTGAAGGCTCTGCTCCACCATGTCCGCCTGCCACTTCTGCACCCCAACTATTTTGTCCAGACTGTGGAGGGAGACCAGCTCATCCAGAATGCTCCAGAGTGCTACCAGCTTCTTCACGAGGCCAGACGCTACCACGTGCTCGGAAACGAAATGATGTCACCAAGAACACGGCCACGCAGGTAACTGAAATGTTGATGTACTAGTTATGAGGAAGGCGACAGGTAATCTAACCTAGATGTTATCAGCTGTCAGAAGCAGGCACTGCGTCATCTCTGAGTTTTGTCCTTTCACAACCCATCTTTGACTTTCGGAGGTAGAATGACGTGTAAGTAATGTAGTGGTGTGACCACATGACTGATGACTGTTTTGTTGTGCACTAGTTCTTTTCTATTACAAAGAGAACACAGGTTATGTTTGATGTTTTCTGCTTTTCCCTCAGCCTGTTTGTCTTGTTGGGTTAAAACACCTCTTACGCATATAATGACTAAGGTGACAGCGAAACAAGAAAATATGTCATTTATTTTGCATTGAGTGGATCTTTAATCTCACATTGTGCCAGAGGTTATCATCACATGAACCTGGTGCTCCCAGCAGTGTTGTTGTTCTTTCGTGTGTGTGTGTGTGTGAATGTTTGTGTGTGTGTGTGTGTGTGTTTGTGAAAGAGAAAAACAGCGAGAAAGACTGAGTGTTATTGTGCTGATCAGACAAGTGTGTCTTTGACCGAGCCTGTGTTTTGAAACCCCATTCTAAAATGGAAATGATAATGAGGGAGGCAGGGCATGTTCGTACACACACTGGTTGGCTGGGAGGAAAAAAAACTGATATGATGCAAGAAACAGCAATCGTGAATTGTTCGGTCTTGTTATCATACCAGCGGCGTAACTCACCTTGCTGATGTGTTTGGGTTCAAAGTGTCCCTGTTCACCTATTTACCAGATGCACTCCCCTTTCCTGCCTTTGTGTATGTCTGTTTGTGTTTGTGTGGACTGGAGTGTCCAGTTGGAGGTATTGTTTTATAAGGGACAAAGGTTTGTGTTGACTGAAATCTCATGAATGAGATACAAAACACACCATATGTCACCCTGCTGTAAAACAAACCACAGCACAGCTGCCCCTGTGTGTTTGACCTGCTGAAAGGGTTAAAATAGGAGCAGCGCTGGTGAACAGTTGTCTGTTATTAATGCTGTGTGGTGTGTACTTCAGGTGTATTGTGTCAGTATCTAGGCAGATCTGCTCAGATCAGCAGGCCAATCAGGCTTTAGCTTAGTCCCCACAATGTCTGCTCCGTTTGCCCTGAGGGCAAAATCTGCTCCTGCTCAAAACAGATGCCTGGCTCTTCCCTTCCTGTGTCTACACCGGGCCTTTTTTTTTTTTTTTTTTTTTCTATTGCGAAGTGTCTCGAATTTAATTAATGGCGTATACATACACACACCTAACCTACACACCCATAGACACACAAACAAAGCTAAACCACCTTTTGGCCAGACTGTCTCTTACATGCATACAAGCCTGTAAAACCACCTTAATCCTTTACCTGTGTCTGATCCACACTCTGTCTCACACAAAATAAACAAAGAAAAGTGGGTGAAAGTGCAATAAAGTGGTGAATGTGAAAGTGGTATCAAGGATTAAGTAAGAGGTTTTTTTTGGATAAGCCACTTTAAGTTTCTGTTAACCTAACTACTACAAAGGTTTGTTATTGTCATCAGATGATCAGACCTGTTGCTGAGACACTGGTATTGCTATTTATGTTTTCCTATGTGTGCTGACATGACAAAAACAACAATATTATAAATAATGCAGAGAGAAGTTGTTGGATGATTTCAAAATGGGGAAATCCCATTTTGTCTTACGGAGCATGTACAGACTCAGCCCTGTCGGTTGCACACATTGCTCGGTAGTGAGTGGGAATAGTTGCCAGTGTTTGATGATAATAAGAAAAACTTGTTATCAAACAAATAACACAGTTATAAGAATTAGCATATCAGTTTCTTATTTTTGTAAAGTTAAAGTAGCAGATGACAAATTACAGTTAGATGAAGTCAACACTAAGATTTTCCATGCATGTCTTTATCTCAGATTACAATGTCACTATTCGTCTAATTAATCTCATTCCACTTGAGCCTTGTTTTGTGCCCAGCTCCATTATATTCAATAGTATGATAATATAAACTATGGTTGATTAGCCCCCTTGTAGGAAGTGTTGTCATATCCAGGACACGGGTTGTGCAGCCAAGTAGAAAAGCTTTGTGAGCATGGAAACTCAGCTTCACTCTAGCTAGCTCCAGGTTTGTTTTTGTTGTACTCAAGATTGACACCTGTATTGTGAAGTGAACTTTGCCTGGAAGATAAGTGTAGCTATTGCTGTGGAAACCCCCTCTCTGCTGCCTTCTCATGTGCAATTTTCTACCTTCTAATATTACAAAAAAAAAAGGAGTGTTGACATGTTTATGTCTTTGTCTTCATACTCTTTTTCGTGGTATAAGTGCACACAGTTGTGATTTAAAACCGTGTCTAGAAATTCAACATTCCAGAATAAGCCGTTTCCCACAAGTTCATGTCTTGTTTTTATTATAACATCAAATGTGTCGTTATTTACCCGCATCATTTAATTTCCCATGTCTCTCTGACACCTCTCCCCCACCCCGCTCTGTGCAGGTCGACCGGCTTCTCTGAGGTGATAGTCGTGGTTGGTGGCTGTGAGAGGGTTGGGGGCTTCAACCTGCCTTACACCGAGTGCTATGATCCAGTCACAGGGGAGTGGAAATCACTGGCTAAGCTACCTGAGTTCACCAAATCTGAGTATGCTGTCTGTGCCCTCCGCAACGACATTCTGGTCTCAGGTAAGATGCAACACAACACAAATGATTGAATCCTGGAGCAATTTCCACATTGCAAGGTCTCTTCCTGAAGCCAGTTTTAACAAAACAATTCAGCTGTCACTTTTGATAAGACTCATAGCTGTCTTGAATGTTACAAAAACCAGTTTCTCCTAATCTGTGTGTAAAGTTTTGGCCTTAACACTCTCCAGGGATGTTGCCTGTGTTTGTCTGTGCTTGACTCGCCATCCAGTCCTCCAGTAGAGTGGCAGGAAAAGCCGTGGTGGCTGTTTGCCCTGTGTTATTTTTACAGCTTCAGCCAGTTGGAGTTGAAGGAAAATATGAGAGCGACATCTGGATAACACTCGAAACTGAGAGAGGCTTTTATTGGCTGGCGCAGTCCTACTCTCTCTCTCTCTCTTTTAGCCACACGTTGAGGTCGCCACCTTTTTTACATCCGTTTGAAACAGCTATCTAGGACCACTTTAAACTATTTTATTTTGTACATCACCGATAGCCTTGGATGTTGTTAATGAGGATGATAAATGTAGAGTTTAGCGATAAACCTCAAACTAAGATATTGCAGCTCTCATTCCCTCCTAGTAAGCAATAAGAACTCATTTTTGCGATGAGAAGTGGCCAAATATGACGTGATCTTCCATTTCTGCAAAACATCTTGATTAAAAAAAGACTTTGGTGTTACATCATTTGTCCCAGCTGATGAGGTCAGGGTAAGAGTCAAACACTGGTATAAACATGCTCCAAAGAAGTCAAAGTTGTTCTTGGATTGAGGGCATGAAAGGTTGAGATTTTTTGCGAAGTTGTTTTCTTGGGTATACTCAGAAGTTCAATTGTGCGTGCAAGGACGGCTCATGCTCAAACATGCTTAATAAGAGCTACAAAACAGCACCGGACAAAACAGCAGTTGAAAGATATTAAAAAAAAAAGGGGGAGGAGGGAGATACAGAGGAGTGAAAAGGGAATCTTCTCCCCTTCAGCAAGAGTCTGCTGCCGTGTTTATGCTTTTTTTTCATACGCTCACTGGGCCAAGTCCTCACGTGTTCGCTATCAATCTACCCTCAAGCTCTGCCTGGAAAAGTCAACATCCCCCTTCCCCCCATCTCTGTGTCTCACACACATTTGAACATACACACTACTTCATTTTTATTGGCTATTATGATCTTCATTGCCGCATATTCTTCTGTTGTTTCTCCATTTGCCCGGAACATTAAATCCCCTTTTCACAGCTTTATTTTTATCTCGCACAAATTACATTCCCACACATACCTCCATTCTGACTGTCTGCCCCTCTTCTCACATTGGGAACTGCTGCAAATACCTTGGAGGGCCTCCAGCCCCCAGCACAGCTGCTCTTAGCTGTGGTCTTAAATAGGACGCTCCACTGAGCATATTAAACCTCTTTGAGTCTTTAGAGCAACAGGGACGCCAACCAACACTGGCTTTCTAATATCCGCTTCATAGTAGTCCTATTCTCAGGTGTAGAATGAACGTGCTGCGAAATGAAAAAAAAAAAAAACCTTCAGGTTACAGTCAGCACCGCGCCACATAAATGATATGTAGTTCAATAGAGCAGCATCAAAGAGACATTTCTTTTCTACCTGACTCCACTCCAGAAAACCAAATACAGTATATTATCTGCTCATAATGACGAGTGTGTGCCTCATACATTACAAATGCTTGCATGTCATAGTCACATTTTCATTAGCGTTAAAACTGCCTACTGAAAGCTATGCATAGCTCCAAAAGCTGTCACACAAATCACATTGTTTACTCCCACAGCCTCTTGTTCTTGAAGGACTGTGATTAGCAACATTGTTGATCTGTGTGTAGCCGAGTGGGACTTGACCAGCGGAAGTTTTTTTGGTGAGAAAATACCGCCTTCTGAAGGTAGTAATTTTTCACAGGCCTTTTAGCTCTCCTTTAAGCATGTGCATTATCTGTCAACATGTTTTCACCATGCAAATCTTAACGCAGAAGCCTCCAGGGCAGCAGACTGTCTGGCTCTGTCCCTATCGAGCAGACAATCAAGCAGAAGCATGCTGCCACTCACTTCCTTCACTTGTCGTCTTTCGTGTGTCTCCTACAGTATAATTTAAAGTGACTAAGCATAAATCACCGTATATTACCTCCCACCAGAAATTTAACCAGGTAGACATGTATAACTAGTGACTTATACAGCTAGATGAGCTTTCGAGTTGGTGCTTTTGTATAGTCAGGATGAAACACGTGTCTAATATCTGTACCCACCTGTCTGGTCTGTCAGCTAGCTAACAAAGAGGAAAAACTTCTTTGTTTGCATGTGAGCACAGAAGTGGCACAGACGTCTTTGTTAATGCTGGCAGGCTTTCTTTCTCTGCGTAACAATCAGTGCCTGTACACCGAAAACATTCAATGAGTAATTGCAATAACATCATGTGATAAATTAGTTTTTTATTAGTTATGTTTCAGGAGATTATAAACGAGAACTACGGGTCAGTCAAAGGATACACTTGCTTACTTCTGGGATACAGAGTTTTAATTAAATAGAGAGGTGTGGACTGATGGCAGATTTATTCTCCATCATTTCCATAATCTATATTTTATTCGTGACAATGTGATCAATTTAAGTCCCAGTGTGAAATAACACAGATTGTCACGGACATTTCTGTTTCTGTAATGAAGCCCTGTTGGTTTCCATGCTGCACCCATACGCCAAGATATACGTCTTCAGAGCTTGTTGTTGGAGAAATGCCAGCAGATCACTGAAACTGGCAGAAAAGTCAAGTATTTTGAAACTTTTGGTCACATTAGTTTATAATGTTTTGATTTACTGCTACATTTGAGCAAGCTTTTGTCTTTTCTTCACCCTGTGTGTTTTGTGATGGTGGTGGAGTGGGATTGGAAGGGGTTATTGTGCGCAAAAGAGGGAGACAAGGCACGTGCCCGGGCATGTTGGATATGTGTCTGGATTACACTGTAACCTGGCAGGTGACTGACTTCTTACAGTACATGTTTGCGCTGAGATAACAGAGACACTGTGTAGTAGTTCTGGTCCTGATTGTGGCATGTTTGCCTTTATAAATATATTTTTTTCTTTTTAAAACTTGTGTTTGTTCGACACCTGTGCATACATGCTTAAACGTGAAACTACGTGTGTGATAATAACCAACCTGCTCCATGTTTGACTCTGTATTTATTTGCCAGGTGAACTCTTAAGACCCAGCTCAGGTCAAAGTCTGATAACACACATACATCTCTGCCCCAGTTAAGAGATAACACACAGAAATACACTCACTATCTAAAGCTGGCTGTTTACCAAAGAAGCCCAGGGATTATTTTTATCCCTCTTATTTACATCAGATTAACTGGATCATGGATGAAAAAAAAACCTTTTTTTTTTCATGCTGAGGACAGTGTTTGACTTTTAAGTCAAACTGAACCCCAAATTTGCCAAACTTTTGTCTTCATGGTATGTTTGTCGTTCTTTGTTCCCAGGTGGTCGTATCAACAGCAGGGATGTGTGGATGTACAACTCCCAGCTCAACCTGTGGATCAGAGTGGCTTCACTCAACAAAGGCCGCTGGAGACACAAGATGGGCGTCCTGCTGGGCAAGGTGAGCAAAGAACATAGATTTATAAAATCTAGAAAGACACATGGAAAGCCCGTAGTTGAGGTTTCTGTGTGAAGGTTTTATTCATAATTCAGTAACATAATACATTTTGAAATGTCAGATCCAGCATGACAGTGTGCTACCTGAGGCTTACCCAAATCCACAGGTATAAAAAACTCTCACATTTAAGTAAGCAGCAGTTTAGATTTGCACACGTGTTCTTGTGGAGATGTAATCTGGGTCAGTTTAAGAAGAACAGGATGACGATGCATACATACACGTTTTCTTTTTTGTTGTACTTTAAGTACAGTGCAAACAGGTTGGACATATATTCAGTACAGAATTACTGTGGAATAACCTGCTGGTAAGGAAACGGTATGTTCCATGAAGCTTTTTGACTCCTTCAGTTCATACAATTCAGTTATGTTCATCATCCACTCTCACACCTGCAGGCATTAAAGAATTTGTTTTTTAACACACCAAAGGCCCTGCATACTCAGCAACAATTCAGTGATGGTATCTGGATCTTAGGAGTCACACCCTTGTCAATCTCATGAAAGAGGCAACGTGAAAAGCTCTCAGGCACCTTTTTGATATAGCTTCTCGCTTTTCTCTCTGAACTGTCTTGTCTAAAAAGGGAACCTTTTAAAAGCAACAGTACTGTATTGGACTAATCTGTTGGTCCCCTCAGGGCTTTAAAATGACGGTTGCCAGTTCACCTCACACATCCTGGATCCATTAGAGCAGGTTCAACAGAAAGAGGGAAGTTTGACTTGAATTTAAACGGTTGTTTAACAAAAGCCCTCAGCTCCTGGAACAGTGATTCACCCTTTATACACATGACAAAGTAGGGCAGGGCGATAAACCAAAAATTTACAGATACCGAAATTTACGACAATAACCAACATCATTTTGCCCATATCAGTATATTCAGTGTCAAAAAAACAAATCAATAAAAGTTGGTTTTGGACGCTGTCCTACGTCGGAGACATGACTCCGCCCCATCCAGTCTGTAACAAAGAGGGAAAGACAGGTGAGGAGATAAAGGACGGTTCAAAAGTTGTACTTCATATAAATTTGAGCTGGTGTGTTTCCTTTAAGCAGTTTCATCATTTTTAGTATTTTTTTCTACTATTAATATCTAAACCCTTAACACTCCTTTGTCTACTTTAAGTCTTTCTGGTGTTTGATTAGACAAGGAGCTCCAGCAGCACCAGCTTGGTTATGAAATTTGAGGATACACGTGAGCTGTCCGTAGATCCTCGATGACTGCCTCCTCGTTTAGGCTATAACTATTTAAAGCCTGTAATACAAGGATGGGTGGACAATCTCATTTGAGGTCAGCTGAAGTTTACTGGACGGGTTCCAGCAATGCACACCTCCAAGTTAAGGACCAGCTCAGTCCAGCATATTACATTTCATGTGTCCCACTGGAACCACATAAGCCTGAAGTGGCCATACATGGCTGCTGGAACCCCTTATAAGCCTGTGAACACACTCTGGGTTTGTATACGCAAGCAAAAATCACACATACTCTGCAAATATATATATAGAATGAATGTTCATGTTCCTGTGGCTTGCAGTCTTTCTCACAAGAAAGAAAGTCTAAGATTATATTAAATATGATGCTTCTAACATGTAAAACATGTAAAACAATGTTCCTCAACTAGCAGCTCAAGTCTTGTTGCGCAATTTTTGCATTTGTAGCATTTTTATTTTAAAGACCAACTTCATGCTTTACATATACTGACCACTTGTAAGACAGTGGCATGTTTTGACTACTGAAAGCTGTCAACTGTAATTACCTGTCATTAGTGTTGCAAAAGAAAGAGCAGCTACGACTGTCTTGGTTAAAGAAGTCAGAGCATAAACAAGGATGACTCATTCTAACACGCCACTCACATGTGCGCACACATTTGAAGAGCATGGATACAAGCACAAGGGAAGTACTTGGAGAGCTTTGAGCTCAAATCAAGTTTTATTTACTTTGGCAGAAAGGGTAATACTCTGTAGGGGTACTTGTCATCTGTAGGAACTCTGATTTAACTTTCTGAAAGTCCGCTTGTGGCCAATCTGTTTTGAATTTTGTATTCCTTCTAAACAAAACCCCAAATTCCTAGTTGCCTTGCCACAGAAACAACAAACACACAAGTACACATTCGAACAACACAATAATGAGGTAATCAGCTGGACGGTCACGCACTGGCTATAAAAGCCATTGATCAAGTCCAGAGTAACCCCATGTGGCAAGGATACAACAGGAAAACATGATGAGTTAACACAACTACAGGTCACAAATGAACTATATTTAAACTCACTTATTGTTCCTTCAGCTGATTTCAGACTCTCATACTGAACTTGCTTGAGGGAAACATATAATGGCATTGTAGAGGATTTGTTAACTAACTTTTAACGTTAATATGTTATGAATAATTCTTAACTTATTTTAAAAGCCAGAGATTACACACAACAAATGAAAGGCAGAGGTAAAATTAATACAGAGTTTCACAGCAGGACAGCATCAACATACACTCGAGTGTATCCTTTTCTAAAGAAACACATTCCACAGAGAACTCCCATCCCAGGAGAGGCTCTTGTCTCTGTCCACTTCCTGTATCTGTCTCACACATGTGGCTTCCTCTTCACTTTTGTCCTTCCTTTCTATCTGCTTATTTTGTAGACTCATAGGAATCACAAGTTAAAAGGCTATTTTCATTTTTATATCAAGATAGTTTCTACCTATTGTAGTTGGTTAGTTGATCTATCATTTTTACCTAGAACTCCATTGTCAGTCATTGCGATCTTATTTTATTTCCTCATGCCGTGAAAGATAAGATACCAGGAACTGCTATTCCCCTGAATTCTCCTGTTTGTGTTATTCTATTGTCAGTTGTAGCTGTCCTCTATCAACAACATACACTTATCTGTGTGTTGAGGATGTTTCTGTCTGTGTTGCTGATTTTCTCCAGTATTCAGCCCTCCCCTCTTCTTCTGAGTTTCCTCATTTAGACTGTAATTTCCCTTTTCTGATGTGCTCCCGTTGAGTGTTGTAAACAAGTTCTGAGCATGTATGCATGGAAAGACCTCAGTGCTGACTTTTACTAAATCAGTGTTGAAGGAATTTGCATGTTCAGTTGACAAATCCAGTGAGCAACCTACTTTTGTTTAACCATTCTTATGTAGACCTTCAGTTTACTCCAGTGATCCACTTGCTCTTTGCTCTTCAGACTAATTTCTTAAGCCGTAAACACGTCATTGTCCTGCATGAAGTCCTGTTAAACTGGTCTTGTGTCCATAGTGTATCAGCAAAAAAAAATAGGTCACATCTTGTTTTCCCCTCCCTGTAATGATGGCAGCTGTTCCCATCTATCATGACTTTTCACTCTGTCTCTTTCCCTCTGTCTTTATGGCAGTCTCTTTTTCCTCTATCCTTTGTGTGTTATTTTCCACCTGAAGTCTCTCAGTGTCCTCTGCCATCTCCCTTCTTTGACAGTGAAATCATTCATCCATCATCTGTATTTGACCTTGCTCATGTAAATAAACCTTGAATGTGCTCGTTCGGTGGTTGGCAAGTGTGTCCTCATAGAGCTGTGAATCACGTTTGGCTTGGCATTTGAAAGACCATCATCGAGCTGATGTGAAATGTGCCTATATTAACACACTTACAGTTTATCATGGAGTATGGAGGGGCTGTTTTATTGAGTGGGTGTCAAGGGTGTAAAGCAGAGTGCCAGTTTCCCCCAACCCTGTCTTCATACCTCCTCCATAAGCTGGTGTCTGGGTATACTCACCAGACAGTCGCCCACTTAGATCCCCCCGGCTGAACTTTAACCTTACTTTGACTTTACCAAATGGAGCACTCCTGAGGAAAAATCACTCACCCTTTGTTACTGAGTGATTTTTTTTTATTTCTGAAACAGCAGTTCCTGGAAAAACGCTTAGCTGTTATTTTATTTTTTTTTATTTCCAGTGCTTGTCACAAAAAAATATGACCGTTTTCCTTTGTTTCGCGGTGAGAAGAGGAACCAGCAAACTCTTCAAAATCAAACCTGCTTCACCTGAAATTACATGAAAGTGGAAAATTTTAAGTGCACTAATCCATCAAAGCCTGTGAAGGAAAAATGCTCATGAAACATTTCTCAACATGTTCACCCTGCCCTGAATTGACTTAGTCTCCTTATGCTACACACACTCACTGGATATTTTTTTTTAATATCCTGTTCAAAACAAACACATAAGACACATAACCAACAGCCAATTGAAGCGGTTGTGTTTTGTTTTTCTTAGCTTGAACTTTTCCGTTGAAAAGGCGGCAGTACTATCAGTCAAGGCAGGTGTTGAATGCAAATATCCATGAACTCATTCACTTCTGTCTTTTTGTTCTCCTTTTTTTTTACTCCCTTCATCTTTCTTTGTTTCTCTCTGTCTCTCTGTCTCCCTGTCTCTCTCTCTTCCCCCCTCCCACTCTCCTTCTCTCTCTTCCTCTCACCTCTGTACTTGTTTTTGCTCCAGACTTTTTGGAGAGACCGTAGCAGCCTGAAGGTTTACAGTTGCATAAGATCAGCTTGTTGATCGGCACTGAATAACCAGTAGTTCTGCCTAGAGTTTGATAATCACATGATGTTCTTCTAGAACAAAGTGTGTGCCAATTGAAATTATCCACCAATCCCTAGTTCTGATTTTTTAGTTCCTTATTTGCCCTTGCTGAGCCATGCTTTGCGCTTCAGCAGGGTGGTATGTGTAACCACACTTTTTATTGTTTGTAGCTCTACAGATCTATCCAGAAAATAGTTGGAGACAACATTCAGTTTTCAAATTTTAAAACCAAAGCAGGAAACTATATTTTAAATGGACAGAGCATTGGCAGCAGTTTATTTTGTGAACACAAATTCACAAACAACTGCTGTGCCTAAAGGTGTTGTTTTTGTTGTCACTGAGGTTGAGGCCAGACTCCAAGGTTCAAGGTCAGCCTCATGGTTTGCTGCTCTGAATGTTTACAAAGAACTGCAAGGACAGTGATAATACTGCTCCTCAGCAGAACTACGTCATCTTCCTTCAACACCTGATAAACTGGTTCTCTCAGTGCTGAGGTTGATACTCTTGGTTATAGTCAGGAAGTAGGGAGCTTGAATCTAAGCATCTGTCTTCGACTCAACATTTGTATGTGTACATAGAGAATGTGGGAAAGTTTGTGTCGCGTGTAAACACAACATGTAATTCCCCTGTAACACCTCAAAGTTTAGGTTCTTGCTTTGTGTAAAACCCCTGTGGTTTATCCCTAATTAAAATGCACGTCTGTATCTGTACCCAGGTCTACGCTGTAGGTGGCTACGACGGCCAGACCCGCCTGTGCAGCGTGGAGTGTTACGACTCCTTCTCCAACCGCTGGACTGAGGTTGCCCCCATGAAAGAGGCAGTCAGCTCCCCGGCTGTGGCCAGCTGTGCCGGCAAGCTCTTTGTCATCGGGGGAGGGCCTGACGACGATACCTGTTCAGACAAGGTGAGTAACAGATGTGTGCTTCCGCTCACTACGCACTTAAATACATAGTGATGAGAGCAAAGGTGCTTTTTGTCTCAAATTACCTGTTTGCAGTGATTATACCTGAGAGAGGCAGGGGACTCTTTACAAAGTAAGACCTTTCAGTGGGTTGTTTAACTAGACTTTTTGATGAGACTTGAGGTTGGTGTTTAAGATGAGACCGTGATAAATAGACCTTTGGTTTACAAGCCAAAGTGTCTTGTAATCCTGTGTTTGTAATTAAAATAAGCTTTAAGTTGAAGCTTTTCATTTTGTGAGGAGAAAATCTTAAGAATTTTTCAGCGAAAGAAGAAAAATACGACATAAAAACTATATTGTCTGCTCTTTACTTAGTTTGATTAGCCCCTGTTTGACAGGCTGGAGTAATAGTACAAAAACAGAAAGAACATTTATGAATGTCAAACATACTTCATCAACATTTCCAGTTTGCTTTTCATGTTTACAGGCAGTTCCTAGTCACCCATTCTTTTTTTTGTTTTTATAAATCCTAATAGGTCTTTCTTCTCTCAAATAATTATTTCCTAGTTGTTATCTCCATACCAAATACTCAGACTGGGCTTTATTTTACATTTTTGTTTCACATCATTGAGTCAGTAACAGAAATGTTTTTATTAAATCAAATGAGAGTAGCATGTCCTGACAAAGCAGAATGAGGCTTATCGACCATTTTTATCAATCCAAACAAAAAACAGACAGAGAGGGACACCAAGCAAAACAATGTAGAGTGAACTAAACCGGTTTTGGTATTATAACGTTCATCATCAGCGTAGATATGCCAGCGGTGCCAGTGCATCATTCGGTTTTTACATAACCTCAGAGATCATGACTTGACACGCTGCAGTAATTTGATATGTAACCAAGAAGTTTGGGTTATTCCTAGGAACCGTAACTTCAGGAGAAGCATTTTTCTCCTGAAGTTTGATGGTAAGTTTGTTTTTTATGTCCATGCTGGCAAGAAAACACACAAGCAGATGACCAGCTTGATTAGATACAGTGCAATAATATCTGTCTGTGTCTGGCTCTGTAGCAGACAATGTTTGATGTCTCTAAATGACCCTTCAGAGGGAGAGTTCAAGCAGACGCCAGCTCTTCTGAACTTCTTATCTCAGCTGTCTCCTGATTTACTCATGCATGTTGATCCTGTATTGTCGTGGTGGAGTCAAAATGGACAGTGTTGTTCATGTACGCTGTATTCAAAAACAACACAGTTTAATAAGAGGCGAATAAGAGAAATGGGTGCAAGAATGATTGAATTTGGGTAAAAACCACACAAGAGCTCTACCCCCCAACAGTGAAACACAACTAATTTAATGTAACTGTCTGTCACAGGTTCAGTGCTACGACCCAGAGACAGACTCGTGGCTACTGCGAGCCAACATCCCCATCGCCAAGCGCTGCATTACAGCAGTGTCCCTCAACAACCTGATCTATGTGTGTGGAGGTCTCACCAAGTCCATACTCTGCTATGATCCTGCAGAGGACTACTGGATCCATGTGGTTCATACCTTCAGCAAACAGGTGAGGGTTTAAGTGCAGATACATAGCCTTTCAAGAGCAAACTGACTTTAATCCTAATTCACAACTTTTAACTTTTGTCTGTTTGTCCTTGAAGGAGAGCTGTGGCATGTCAGTGTGCAACGGCAAGATCTTCATTCTGGGTGGAAGGGGTGAAAACGGTGAGGCGACAGACACCATCCTGTGTTATGACCCGTCATCAGGCATCATCACAGGAGTGGCAGCAATGCCACGGCCAATCTCCTACCATGGCTGTGTGACCATCCACCGCTACAACGACAAGTACCACAGATCCTGACCACAAACCAGCCTACCCAGACCACACACATGGAAGCACTAAAGAACTCAAACTCTTAAAAACATACTCCCTTTAAGTTCACTGCATGCACAGCAGAAATCTACCAAACTGTACTGGTGTGCTACTTTTTTTCTCTCAGCATCATGTAGCAAAACTCATAATGGTTCCCCAAGTTTTTGCTGTTCTGTACGAGAGTTAAAGCTCTTTGTTTAAATATTCAGCTGTTAAAAGCAGAACATTTTGGTATCTGTAGTTTGAGTTAATTCAGACAACTTAGAAAACAATCTAAAAAATGGTGTAACTGCACAAAGTTGGGAAGTAACGGGTAGAAATAGAAAATGGTCAAGAAAATTAGACTGATCTGACAGGCATGATTACCTTCTGAAATGTTAGAAATGGATATTTCATTGAAAAAGTTAAAACTGTACTCAAGTTAATTGGCGCTTTAAAATGAATGTAGGATGATACATCTATGCCAGAAAGTTCTGAAGTCAAGGTTTACTCAATAAGCTTTTCTAGACCTTTTAACTCTATACTATTAGACCACTAAGGTACAGTAACTACTTATTTTGAAGACAGTAGATCAAGTTTTATTTGCAAAATAAGATCATCAGATATGTTTGGAACTTGGGAACTAATTATATCTTCATATTTTGTAAATTTAACTGCAGAGGGAGTCACTGACAACTGATCAGAGCATTGCTACTGTCAATTAGTAATCGTCCACTTCATAACAGCACATTTTATGGATTCGATGAAAAGATATGGGGGAAAAAATCCCAATGCCTTAATTGAGTTTTGATAATGATACAAACCACAATTGAGTCTTCAAAAGTCAGGTCAGAGTTTATTGATATTGCAAAGAGTTGACCAAAGTGCTGTACTAGCTTTAAACACAAAATCAATTAAAAAAAAAAGACAAATATGTTTGATAAATGATAAAAAACACAATAAATAGATAAAGCCAAAAAAAAAGTTGCGTAAGATAAAAGGATGTCAAGCTCTATTCGAATAAAAGCTGACACAACGAGGTAAACTTCCCAACGTTGTGCTTTTGTTGCCATGCAAACTAACCTCCATCTCCATCCCTGCTGAGCTGGCAGATAACACTGATGAACAAAAAACAGTGCCTTACGATAAACAATCAAAAAGGCCAACATGAGAATGAGCCAAGAATCATCTACCACTCCTCTGTTTTTGTCTGATACTGAAATGACTTGATGATAAAGTGGTGAACAGTCAGACCGCTGCTTCTCCACTCTATCAATAGCCATAAGTACAATTTTTCTGTGCCTGTTGACCCAGAGTGAGGCAATCAGAAAAAGCAAATATGCACAGGCTCTGCCAAAATGTTGGAACACGGCCACGATCAGCTCTGACTTCCTTTTTCCTCACATCCCTCTTCTTATCACCTGCTTCCACTTCCCATGTGCATTTCCTCATTTCCCTGCTCCAGCTGTGCCATCACCTCACATATCCTATCCATACTGATGTACCCTTTTTAAGCTTTATTCTGCTCCATTATCATCATTATTATTATTATTACACCCATTACTGACATTTATTTTTTATTTTTTTAAGTTATACTTATTTGTATTTTTTTATAACTAAATGTTTACTGTATTATACATAGCTTTAGTGTGTCTGTTTTTTTAAAGATCATAGTTCATTGGTGTACTGGGCTTGTGGGGGGTTTTAGTAGATGTGAGAAGCCTTTGTAGATCAAACTCGAGGACTGCTCTGAATAAGTGGTGTGCATGTTCGGTATGTGCGTGTGTATATGTGACTTTTACGACTTGGTCTGGATGTGTTAGAGCCAAGAAGGCGTATCAAGGAATTCTAACTTCTGTCAACAGAACCTTTCCCACTCATGCTTGCACCTCTCACCTGTGCACTTACATGTAAACATGTAACTCGGGGTAACCATAGAAACCTCCAGGTGTGTTTGAGCGTATGCTTGTTTAGTGATCAGATATGGTGGCGTGTGTAGCAGTGCTATTCCACGCACAGGCTCTGAACGATAGTGGTTTTGGATGCTGTGGCTCGTGGTCAGTAAAAGTCACCTTTTACTACATTAGGTGTTGATAGATTAGAGACATTGCTGTGAACATAACTGTAATATTTTCTTTGTTTAACTTGTATTTAAGTTTATTTCTTTCTTGGTTGCATATTGTGTTTTTCTGTAACTGAGAGCCCCAATTGTGCACTTTGACAGAATCCTGTTAAATGTAGAATTGTATGATTATGGTTTCCTGTTTTTTTACTGTATCAGTAAATGTTCTTTGCTTTCATGTGACGTATGGAAGAGACACTGAAAGGGCCCTTTAGCTCCTCCTGTTGGTCGCTACCTGTGCTTCTCTGAAGTTTTAACAAAAACAACAAAAAAAGCCACAATAGCGCAGTGTAAAGAGGGGTTAGTGAGTTTCTACTTTACTATCTAGGAAAAAAGCAGCAATTCAGTGAGTTAACTCTCTTGTGTTGCCTAACTTTGAGTGTGTATTCCATCTGTCATTCAAAATGACAAAAACAGGCAGCGGCATTGCAGCTTCAACCATCCTGGAGGCGTTTTCTTAGAAAGATGAGTTCAGGGTCAGAGTTTCTAGTAGCAGCATCCCCGGCTTGGAAAAAAAAACAACCTGAGGCCCACCAACGCTCCTTTGGAGATCAACACACTTTGGGTAACTGACGAGGCCAGCAAGAGGAGGCTCAGGGGCTAGAAAGTTGTCAGGTAAATGAGCGGGAGTTAGACAAACAATGAGAGAGAGAATTTGAGTGTGTGTGCGTCTGTGATTTCACTGAGTATTTACACAACATAATGTTTTGTAATGTTGATTGTTTGATTATTATTATTACCAATGTAGAGGCTTTCATACATTGTTTACTTGGATAAGATTGTGCTTGTTGACTCTTTAATTTGCTTGTTGTGGTGAGTTGGGGGATTGTTTGTTGCTTAGACATTTTGACTCCCAAATGCAAATGACGTGCCTAAAATTAAACTCTTAAGAGGTGATAGTTTAAACCTGAATGGTGGATATTTAATAAGAATGCAGACATAAACCAAAGTGGATTTGATTCAATCCCAAAGGTGTCTTAGAAAGAAAAATACCAATGGATTTAAGTGCGAGCATCCTGGGGGCTTTAACCTGGTCATCGCAAAACGCCTAAGTGCCCTTAAATAGAGTGGGGAATTGAATCTTATTATTTTGATATCAAGTTTTCTTACTGTGTGTGATGTGATATTTTAACACCACTTTCTCCTAAGATGATCTTTGCCTTACTGTGAGGAAGCTTTGGATTTTTGTAAACTGCAGTATGTTAAAATGAAATGGTTGAATTATGTAAAAAAAAAATAAAGTAATAAAAAAATCTTTCAGTATCAATATATGTGTCCTGTTCCATTATTAAAAATGCTGTTTAAGAATTTGACAGTGTATAAGCTAACACGTGAAGACAGAGATTAAAGAGGATTTTAAAGTTGTGTATTTGTGATTGCATGCCGCTTAGGTTTTATTTTTGTATATTTTTTATTAAACTCACTGCAGATTGATGTTGATTTAAAAAAAAAAAAAAAAAACAATCGCAATTGAGACAGAAAGCAGCTGCATTTATTATGACCCAACTGTAAATGGTGCACTGGTCCCCTAACCATAAAAATGAGGAGGATAAAACAGATGTAATTAAACTACATGACTGAAACAACCAACCAAACCCAACCACTCGTTTTAATGAAGACACCACAGATTTCAGATAACAACCAACACTAAGAAATACAGCATGAGCTCTTATTTCCGCCTCTTATGACTGTTAAGCATCATTTTGTCAAGGGATTCATCAATCATGCTGCTGAAGTTTTAATTAGCCATTGTGTTGAAGAGAAAAACTCTATCAAACCAGACGGATTGTTTCAGACTCCGATTGAGCAACTCATGCAGCAGGAGGCATTCACAAGGCTGTGTTTGTTGTGCCTCATACTGTGATTTACAAACTCCATAGCATGGTATGGTCTGATCAAAACCACAAACATTCCTCGAACACATTCTTGTGGCACAATTTCTCTGCATTCACTTCCAGCAATGAAAAAAGAATTCTGAGTTCATCGAGTATACATTTACACCCAGACACTACAACAGTGTATATCAGATCTAATGTCAGACTATCCATTCATCTTGTTTATTAGACATTTGGCACCAACAGAAAACTGTAACCCCACACCCACAGCCATGCTGGTAAAGAAAACAAGCAGCTAAGACTTCATAATGCTCTGTGTTGCATAGATGTAAGTGTTCTGGCAAGTACTGAAACTGAACATGTCAAGCTGACCCACAATGAAACAACTTTTGGAGCTTTTGAAAAATGTATGTGGAGGTTGAAAAGGAGCCCAGAGGCATGCCTAGGTAATTTTTTTTGACTGGTGGTCCAACTAAACCCCTGGCTAATTCAAAGGTGGTATTAAATATGTGAGAACACTCGCAAAAAAATCGATATCATCTATTTATCATTTATATCTCCTCTTATTTATCTGTTAAACAACAGAAAATAAGACCAAGTTTACATTCCTTTGTCAAACTTTTTGACCATACAAAACAACACAACAGAGTAGAAACATAAATCTTAACTTCAGTCTTCAGAGACTCCAAATGTGTGTCCTGTCACAATTTAAATACCTTAACATAGCCAATAAATGTATTTTCGATACTTAGACATCTTGCAGGAGTTTGTAATTTTTGATTGCCAAATTCCTGTCCTACACATGTATCATAAAAGTAGGCATGTGAGGATTTGTCGGCATACTCAACTTCAAAAAAAAGTGTTGCATATAAATTGAAAGCAAACCACTGGAAGCCTGTTGCAACAAATCCAATTAAATTAAATATAACAACACTGACAACAACAAAATCAGACATGAATAAGGGTTTGATTTACAGACAGAACTTAGCAAACTACGTCAAAAACAGCTTCTCTGACCATATACTACATACTTGGGGATGTATTTGCATAGCTGGTATTTGTCTTGTAGTTAGACTGCATGTTTTACAGTGTGCATTTTTCCTTTTTCTGTTCAAGACAAAGAACTAATGATGCATGCACAGAGAGGACTGAGCTCAGCTCATACGCAAGTACAGTGTAGATAATGGTGAGGCATGTGGAGCTGATCCCATTCCTGATCATCAGAAAATTTTCATCAAAAACTTGTTCCCTGTCTTGTCACGTGATGTCTAGTTCATGGAGTGCTAACAGACAGTACTGTCAAAGCATATACATTACAAATTTATGACAACATTAAGGTCAGCCTATAGCCGTCATTACATATATGCTTTTAAAAGGAGTTACTATCAGTGGAGTGATAATTCTGCCTGACTCATAGCATGGCTTTATTGATAAAATCACAGTCTTAAAGTGCTGAAATGGTTATGAGATCCAAAATGCCTGAGGATTTCTTGCGTATTGTCGACAGCAGATCATACAGGTTGAATGAGGTAGGTGTAATCATTAATAGGGTAATTCAGGGTGCCATGTCTGCAATTCCTTGAGCTGTCCTGTCATGTACGTGTGACCTATTTTATCTTATCACCTGATATAATGTTCTCATTTAACATAAAAGATCATTTCAGTTAAGTACAAGTAAACCCTAAGAGCCTGTTAATCTGCACAAGTAACAGTAGAATGTACTTTATTCAAAATGTACTTTAGGAACTTAATCATCACATGGCGGCGGGGTGAAGGAACAAGGATATGTCTCAACAGATTTGTTAAAAAAAGATACTATAGACCTACTTTGACTTGAAATATCATGAAATAAGGTTAACAATTATACCTGCCATGTCAATTTAGCAAAATTTGAGAGTAATGAGATACTTTGACAAGAATTGAAGTTCACTGGTTTGAAGGGGAGACAGCTGTCGAATGAAACCTTTATATGTATTTATGTTCTTACTCTATAATTGATGCTTTGTAGAATGTGGAAAAATACAAGACTTTCAACAGAAAAAACTGAGTTAAATTAGTTGACTTCAAAAACTACAAGTCGTCAAAATACAAGTAGGCCTACATAAAATTCTGCTCAATAAGCCCACAGTAACGTAAATGAATGTATAAAGTCACTTTCATTGGCTGTATTTATACTTTTCTATGCCTGGTCATTTCACATCCTTTTAGTTGTGGACAGGCTTTAGAGTAATGTAAATGCATTTTCTACACTTTAAACAGTAAAACACTCGTCTGTTTTGTAAAACAGTGGTGCCTGGTGGCTGTTTTGTAGATGTGCAAGGCTAACCATACCCCCGTAGCTTTCTTGTCCACATCGAGATCAATTCACTCAAAACAAGTGGGTGGAATAGCGCGGAGGATATGTTCTAATTTATTTACAATACACGCCATAAAGAGAAAGGTGTCGCCGCAGCACAGGCCACTTTAGTAAGTTTCCATTTCAGAATCAAATCTGTCACCAATTGTGTGCTAACGTTAGCATATTTAGCTAGTAGGGATAGCGGTTGCTAAGTGCTACCAGCTTGACTCGGAGCTCTTGAGATATGGTCATACAGCTGTTTTGTTAATATACATCTCAGCAGGCTTTATTGAGATTTTAAAGGGGCTGAAAAACGGTAAACTGTTTTCAAAGGGTAGTGTTAGGTGTAGCTGGTCTGCTAACTATACTGTGGGCATTGGCTAGCGCTGCTAACCGGCTAATTCAATGCTAATCACACCTGGCTAGGCGAGCATGGTTGCTGCTGGGTAATGTGAGCAGATTGATATCATTCTTTGTCTAATTAATCTTATTTTTTTAGGCAGCGATGTCGGGAATAAAAAGGAAAATAGAGGGTAGTGACCCCGACTATGAAGACATTTCGCTGGTCCAAAACAGCAAAAGAAACAAAGTGGTTGAACATAATGGTAAGTCCATATTGTGGAGAAAGTGGAGATGGTACACCTGCTTTTCATAATGTGACAGCTTATAACTGAGTGTACTCTGCTGATCCCAACTTTTGATACATTATTTTCAGCCCGGGAAGCTACTGTACAGAAGATCGAGACCATCATCAGAGAGCAGTTTGCTTTGGAGATGAAAAACAAGGAGCATGAAATAGATGTGATCAGTCAAGTATGTACACGATTCTGAAAACTCTTTCTGTATGTATCACTTTAATCATGTCAGTGATAGGTAAATATGTTGACCATGCATGCAACTTCCAGGTCATTTTGTGTGCTGAGGGACAAAGCATTTAACTCATAGTTTCTCTCTTGTTTTAGCGACTCAATGAAGCCAGGAGGATGATGGATAAACTAAGGGCATGTATAGTAGCTAATTACTATGCAAATGCTGGTGTTGCAAAGATCTCAGAGGTATGTCTTCACACTCAAAAGATAGACATCTGCCATCTGTCTAGGTAGTATCAAAGTAAAGCAGATGAAACCAGCATCTTGTGTTTTTCCCCCTAGCATTCTACGAAGAGTGACCCTGCTGTGCTGAACCATCCAGCCATCCGTCGGTTCCTAGAGTCCCCGTCCCGTTCTTCTTCCCCTCTCAACCAAGGCTCTGAGACTCCTTCTCTGGCTCACTCTGAATCTGAGACCCTCTCCCAGCAAGGAGAAGGAGCTGAGAGGGATGGTGAGGGAGCATGGAGAGAGGACGGCAGTAGGCAGGAGCGCAGGCCTGGGCGCAATACAGGCAAGGTGAGCAAAACCAACAAAGGTTACTGGATCCTGTGGATATTTGATCAAAGGGAGGCGTGTTTAAGATCAGTCCTGCATCTTTTTGTCTTTTATCAGTCCTGCTATTCTTCTTTCTGTGTTGCAGGACACATTTGGTGTACCATCGTCCAGCGGAGCAGAGCAGAGGGTGACCTACCACTCAACTGGAAATGAGGCCTCCAGACTCTATGCAAAGAAGACAATCGTAGTGGGGAATGTGTCTAAGTATGTAACTCGGCTAAAAAGTATTATGAAATCAGTAATATTTTTGGCAAAGCGTTTTGTAGAGCAGGTCTTTCCATTGAAAGGCCAGATACCAAAGTCATGAGTTAGTTTAAATTGGATAAAGTTACATAATATTTCAATGCTTTGTTCTTTGATTTTCTTTATATGAACAGTGGAAAAGGTTTCAGATTATTAACATACCGTTCTTAATTTTACTTAAGAAGGACTGCACACCTCAAACATGTAACTTGATTCTCTTGAAACCTGAGATATGTTTAAAGCAATATGTGTTCAACTAGGGATTTCCTTACATATATAGAGCTGTAGGTGAAATGTTCCAGGAAATAGTTATCAATAAGTAACATTTATGAGACAGCTTTGAGTTGTAACATTCTTCAAAGCTTCTGGAGTCCTTTTAAAATGCGGGAATGGCAATATAGACTATCTTTACATAAATGGCTTTAATGAAAATTTAAGAACAATTGGCTCTGTTAACTGCGTATGAGTATATAATAACTAAAAACGTGCTGTAGACTTTTTTTTTTTTTTAACTGAGGTGCTGCCTTTCCTCAAACAGGTTTGTCTTCAAAATGTCCAACTTGTTTATTCTTTAAAAACCCCAGTCTCAGCTGAATTTGTCTTGTATTTGCATGAATGTTAACTGAGGGGCCAATTCGTAATTGGTTTTCACTACAAGCCCAGTCTTGATGCAGTTAAACGGTACCGTCCTCAAACTTAACCTCCCTTACACCTGAGTTGATCTTGATCAATCACAGTCTCTAGAGACTTCTATGCTCAGGGTAATATAAACCCCAGGTCAAATTCAGGGAGTTTTAGTGACAGGGTCCATGTGTCTTATTCGTACCAAATATCTCTGAGAGTTCTCCTGGATAATTTTGTATGTGCCACTGTGTGTGGATTGTACATAAAAAGACAGATTTAACCCTGACATAACAGTTATGATAAAATATGAGACACAGGATAAGGTGACCTCAAGTTGGCAATCAGAAAACTAACTTCGTTATCTGTCATTATAAGCGTTTCATTTTCTGACATGTCCTTTGTACAATTATCAAGAGGTATTTGCACTTAATGTTCATGTGTGGCTTGTCCTTAAAAATCTTTTCTCTCCTGAACTTTTTTCCTGTCTCAACCTTAATCCTCTGCTCTTCCCTTCGTTACTTTCAAATACGTTTTGGCAAAATACCAAGCAAGAGCTCTAGCTCCTTTACAGTGCTGTCTGCCCTGCAGGCTTCATTCATGTCCTTGTTTTACTTTGTGTGTAAACTCAGAGACCTCTGTCTTAGACAACCCTTATGTTTATGACCTTTAACTTTCCAACTTTGTCCTCTCAACCTCAGGTACATCCCCCCGGACAAGCGGGAAGAAAATGACCAGTCTACCCATAAATGGATGGTGTACGTCAGGGGCTCCAGGAGAGAACCCAGCATTGACCACTTTGTTAAGAAGGTCTGGTTCTTCTTGCATCCAAGCTACAAACCCAATGACCTTGTGGAAGTCAGGTGTGTCCCAGTCTGTTTTTCTACATTTTTGGGTTTGACAAAGTGTGCAAACGCTTTTTGCATGTTTTCTGATAAAGGCGGTGCTTCTCTCTTATCATAAAGAATGCACCTCTCTGTAGCTTTGTGTTTCCCTGGGGCAAAATTAGAAGTGAGAGGCACAAGGTTGAGCTTGTTCCAATAGAGTGTTGCTCATAGACACAATGTTTACCTTCAGACTTTTGTTGTTATTACTGTCGGGAGTTTGCCCCACCTCTTTCCATATACGCATAGTTACAGTGAGTTAGGAAACAACTTTGAATTCAAAAACCTGGATGCATGAAAGACTGTGTATGATCAGCCAGCAATTTAATTGTTACACCTTTCAGATCTGTCTCCAAGTGCAAAATGAGTTTACTCGACAGTGAAGAGCCCACTTTTAAAATCCTAATACAAGCAGTGCCCCCTTGTGGATATTTGATCCAGTCTTGAAACCACAAAGTAGAGTTAGAAGTACAAAAACAATATTTTTTTCCTTGATGACTAACATCAAATGAACCTTGAAAGAGGCTATTGTTAACACAAATCAGTAATAATCATTATCCAGATTGTAAACACACATAATTAGGTGGGGCTTGTTGTGTGAAGGAAAGTGAGTCAGACAAGAAGTCAACTTCAGTATGACTAATCGTGGGCACACCTAATTCACACACATGCTGCTTAAACTCAGACAAACATGCGTGTGAAGTGTTTGCCTCAGCCTGGAGCGCTGAGGTGTGTAGAGAGGTGTCACACAGCCTCAAGTTCAGCGATTTAGATGTTTCATTTGAGTTCTTATCCTCCAAAAGTCATAGAGGATTTAAGTGTGCCCGCTCCTGGCTTCTGAATAAATGATCTCTTTTCTTCAGTCAGCAATCCTTATCCTGAGCTGTAGCCTCCTGGCTGTTACAGCTGACAAGGCAATCACGTCGGTGCATCACAGCGGCTCATAAGCTCCATCTGACTGACTCAAGTCTCGGTTCCCAGTGAACCCCACGCAGGCCTGTTGGTCTCTGCTGACACTCAGCATGGCTTGAATGTTGATGAAGGGATAAATGAAAGAAAGAAAGAGAAGAAAAACTGCATCAATAGTTGAACATATTTGAACAGATGCAGAAGAATCTACATGCACATACTCATGGCCTTGTCTGTGCAGGCCGCCAAATCATCTTCTTTTCTGTGAGCCTAAAACCTCCAGCTTCAAAGGGGGAGAAGATAAGAGTCCTTCAAGTCATTGATTTTCACATATTTCTGATCAAGTCCGAGTTTGTACCAGTGTGAGAGCTTTTTATTTCTCTTTGAAAGTGAGGCCAACTATTTCAATCCAGCAGCACAATTTGATAAAGTTGTTTAAGAAGCTGTGTATGTGTCTTTTCTCTTTAGCGAGCCCCCCTTTCATTTGACTCGTCGAGGTTGGGGCGAGTTTCCCGTGAGGATCCAGATCCACTTCAAAGACCCTCGTAACAAGCGTATCGACATCATCCACCAGCTCAAGGTCAGACCAGATTACAGAGCACATTATCAACTCAGCTTGTTTTTCTCTTGAGTTAGACGCAAAGTTTTTCCATACAATTTTAATTAAGCCTCTTATTGACACCCAATTCATTCTAATATATGTTTTAGACCTTGTATTTTTGCGTTTTTATATTAGAATACTTTATTTATACCCTTGATAAGGACAAAATATTTGCAGGCATATTGTGTTTCTTGAGGTTTTAAACCTGCTTTGTAGGTTTTGGGCTTGTCAAAATTAGTTGATGAGCCAAACATATAAAAATACGTTTTAATAGCAGTTTTTCATCTTTATGTCACTTAAATAACTCATTTTAAGTAGAGCAGTGGCTCTCAAGTCCAGTCCTCGAGGTCCACTGTTCTGCATGTTTTGGATGTTCCCCTGCTCCAACACACCTGATTCAAATGATCAGCTCGTTAAGCCATTCCAGAACTTGATAACGAGCTGATCATTTGAATCAGGTGTGTTGGAGCAGGGAAACATCCAAAACATGCAGGACAGTGAGCCTCGAGGACTGGACTTGAGAACCACTGGAGTAGAGGAAAATAAGAAAATGCTTGGGATCTCCACCATTTTTCTTCTCTTGTTTCTTCACTTCGTCTGCTTCTTCACTGATTTAAAAATCAGTTACAACCATGTGTCAGTCCACCTAAGAAGACCTTTACCACTTATATCTCTTTTATTTATATGAATCATTTTACTCCAAATTCGCTTGACCATTAAATAAAAGCAGGAATATTGTTGTGCTTTGTGTTTGTAATAGTGATGGGATTTATGGCTCTCTGAGGGGAGTCGGATCTTGAAGAGCCGTTTGTTTCAAAGAACCGTTAAAAAGACTGTCCTATTGTTATATTTGTTTAATTTTTAGAAGTCAACCAGGGCTTCACATCCTACCAATATGAACTCTATGGATGGGAATTATTCAGAAATATTGATTATATTGAATTTGGTTTGTCTTTTCATTGTAAACATTCCATAAGGTGGTGCCATATCCCCATACTTGTACAGTGAGATCACTATTTTGGATTTTTCCCTCACCTGAAAACTTTGTGGCACAATGAAAATTATGTGGGATAACTAATAAAAATGAAGACATGATAAAAATGTGAATGCAAAATTGTAAAATCCCACTTAGTGTTTGGGGCACACAGGTGACACATGAAGGCAGCATGGGCAGTTTGGATATCAGGACAGCTTGAAAAACGAATGGCTCACCACTGTGAACCCATTCACATCATTCACTTAAAATAGCCATTCGACTAGACTGACTATCAATCAATCAATGAATTTTTATTTATATAGCGCCGAATCACCGCAGTTGTTATCCCAAGACGCTTTCCAAAAAGAGGAGGTCGAAATCTGATTCAAAGTTAGTTCAGTAAAGGCTGACCAAACGAGAAGACAAAATGTTACAGTTTTTAACCCACAGGAACGTTTTAAATCATAAGAGCAAACTTGTATGCTTTTGAACTACTGTGATTTATAGTTGTGATGGAGTTCTCCGACTGCTCACGTAGGCCTAAATTTATCAGGTTAAAAGATTAAATACAGAGAGTGTTGATGATGACCTCTGTTTTCTTTGCTTTCAGCTTGACAGGACATACACAGGACTGCAGACACTTGGGGCAGAAACTGTAAGTTATAACATTTTGCCCCGACTCCTGCAGTGAGTTATTTATTTTTTTTAATCTCAGGAGCTTGACTCTAACTGTGAGCTATATTTGTTCCAGGTGGTGGATGTGGAGCTCCATAAGAACTCTCTTGGGGAAGACTACCTCCTTCAGCCCTCTTCCTCCAAGGTGACTCGCAGAGCAGCCAGCCCCATATTGGCCACCTCCGTGCCCCAAAGTTGTGAACGCTCCACTTCCCCCATATCACATGATCCCAGTGCAGATAAAGGTACACACTGAAATATATATTCCCTTAGACATGATGCTAAAAAAGCATACCTACATTTTTGTCAGTTGACCTTTACCTGCATTTCTAAATCTGTAACTCTTTCACAGATTGCATAAAATGGCTTCAGATGAGTTTTAATGCGTTCATGAATAATTGTCCATATTCTTTCAGCCTTCAGCAAAGCAGAGACTGGGAGGTCTGCGGGTGGCCAAAGCGCTGGCCTTACCGCTGGTGAGCGCACCCCAACACGACCAAAAGTCAGCGACAGGATCACCCTGGGTTCTCATGGCAACTCGGCATTCCAGCCCATCACAGCAAGCTGTAAGATCGTCCCACAAGGACAGCCCCCTAGCCCTGCTGAGTCTCCTGGGAAATCGTTCCAGCCGATTACGATGAGCTGCAAAATAGTTTCAGGTGAATGTCGGCATTTGGTAAAAAATCACACTGTGATCATCTGGAAAGAATTTGTCATTTTAAAATCACATTCTTTATAAAGGAGATATTGTGTATGTACCATCCTAACATCAGAACTTTAAAGCTCAACAAACTTCGACTTGATTATTTTAATAAGTAAAAAGAATTCAATCACTTCAACAGATTGATGTGCAAACAGAAATACCAATAAGAATCAAGAAAGCTATTACTGTCCAATTCACAGCATTTTACTACAAAGATCATTTAAAACTGTTTCGGCCCATGTAACTTTTCTTTCTCCTGCGTCAGGAACTAGTTTACTTTGAAGAGCTTCATTTTAACTCTACTTTATCAAGAAAAGTTTCCCATGTTCGCTTTTCATCTCATGGTCATCATAATTTCTCCCGCAGGGTCTCCGATCTCCACCCCGAGCCACTCCCCGCTGCCCCGCACACCCACCTCCTCCACCCCTGTCCACACCAAGCAGAGCTCCTCATCAGTGCTCAACAACCCTTACATCATCGTCGACAAACCGGGCCAGGTGATCGGCATGACTTCCTCATCCGCCGCCTCCACAGGTACTCCCACTCCCACTCGGTGTCAAAGTGCCGCTCGAAAATCGGATGTGGACTTGCAGCAAAAATCTAGAAGCGGTGTCTGAGCTGCCCACACAAAGATCCAAAAATGCACTCTGTAGCAAAGGAGATTATGAGCAATATACCCTAGAGTCGTCTCTTTTCCTCTCCCCCTATTTTGGTTCTTTTTCTCTTTGTCTTTCTCTCTGACCCTCTTTTGATCCGGCTCTTTGTACTCATTCCCATCTGTTTTTTTTTTTTTTTTCTGTCTCCTTTTTTGTTCCTGTTTTGTGCTCATAAAGTCTGACGTGTGGTGAGCCAGCAGAATGCATACTGGATGAGAGGTTGCCATGGTGACTGAGCGGCTCTGTTTCATGGCCAGATTAGGAGCATTAGACCCAACACGCAAATCAAGTTTTATTTGCTTTAGTGTGTTACGCGTGTATACCTCCATTAATGAGGTGTGCAGTTATCCAGAAAGATGAGGAATGGAGTGTGACGCTTTTTAGGGCGTCGCTCTGTCATGTAGCGGAGTCATCATACATCAGTAGGTTGTTGGCTCACATCAGTAGCGTCAGATCTGAGAGATTCCACTTAGGTGCTCTTTTCCTCTGGATTGCTAACTCTCTCTCTCTCTCTCAGCCACTCCCACATTCCCACTCCAAAGCACAGCTTAACTAGATCTGGCTGCAGGGCTTTGAGTGCTATTAAGTGATGTTCAGTGATGTTCTATCAAACTGGATAAGGTTATTGTAGGTGTTGTGGCTGACTCACCAACTCAGGGATGAAACAAACTTAAAGCAGTAGGTAAAGAATGAAACTTTGGTGGTGCTCAGCGTAGGGAGCTAAACCTCTTCCTTTAGTACCAATTGTTTCTTTAATGTCTGCAGGAAATAGGACAGGAGCTGCAATCAGCCAAAACAAGTACTGCCCACTAAGATGTGACATATTGTGTAATTTTTGTGCGCATTTACTCCACAGGAAGCCCCTCAGCCAAACAGTCAGCTGCACACGGCACGCGCTCTCCTGCCCCAAAAGTTCACACTGGCACCTTCCTCTCCTCAGGGGTGAAGGTGAGTCGTAGCATCTTTCCAGCGTCACCCTTTTAAGAGAGAAAAGCTGATGACTCCGAGCATTTCTTCATTCTGATCTGTTCCCGCCACTGGAAAGATGGTCTCTCCCTGTGGTATCTGTGTCTTTAACAAAGCAGGGTGGTATTAATAGAAGGCCTGGGTGCTATCTTCAGCAGATGTGAGTGCCTTGGCAAGCAATTTAAATGGGACATCACTCCGATGATAGGAGGGGGTTGTAGAGAGAATTGTAAGGGAGAATTGCAGTTTTGTCTTACTCCGTGTCAATACTGAGCTATAAAATCCCCACACTGACATACCGCCATCGTCCCATCACCATCCACAAAGATTCAAAATGACTTCACTCAAAATTTCTGCTTGATCGCAGTGGTGTGCTCATTGACTCTGTTGGAGCATCTGCTATAACACTAAATGCCAGCGCAGATTGGTACAGATGGGAAAGATAAAAACATCTCCTTGATGAATAAATGATGAAGCTGATTTGATAAAATCTGTTCTGAGAAACAAATCGCTTCTCCTTCTCTCACTGCTCAGCTGCTTGTAGCCTCTTCAAAACAAGCTTTACTGTCAAGTTCTCTCATGTTGGATATTAAACAATGAGTTCCTGATCACGCGGCTATTTTTAAACTTATTATAGCGGCTCCATTGTCCAAAAAAAAACTGTTGATTTAAAGCATTGTATCGACCCCGATAAGATCCTCTCATTCATGTGCACTCTTGTACATTTCCTGTGTAGGTTATTATTAAGCAGGAGCCTGGGGAAGTTTCCACACAGCAGCAGCAGATGGTTTCCACAGTAACCAGCCAGCAGCAACCTACCACTACAGCAGCACACCAGTTTGTCGCAGTGAAGGGAGGTCACATGATCTCCATGTCGGCTCAGAAACAGGCAGGAGGGTCTACAGGGGCCACTACTAGCAAGGTCTCTTTTTCATCTATCCCCAAATGCATATTAACTCCAACCATGTTCTTACTGAAGCACTTAATGTGCGCTGTAATTTACAGTCATTCAAGAGGTACTTTTGGCATTTCTCTCATTTCCAGATGTTGGGCATTCCCGTTAGCTCGACACTCCAGTCTGCAGTCAAACAGGTGGCTATCAGCAGTGGACAGATTCTGGTTGCCAAGGGGAACCCTTCTGTCTCGAAGGTGATGAGCGGGAAGCAGGTTTTGGCTCAGGGAGTTGCTAAAGCCATTGTCAGCGGAGCCAGTGGCATCACCGGGCAGCAGTCTACTGGCAAGGCGGCCGGTGGTTCAAGTGGCAAGAGTGGAGGTCTGAGTTCACACAGACACAGACAGACAAGTTCACATCATTTGTTTTCACATTCTTTACAAGTTTCTGACTGTATTGTAGAGTCTGGTGATTACATAGGCTTGATTTTTATTTATTTGCAACATTTATTTGAATTCCAAGGAGAGAATATAAATTTGTCATTTTGGTTTTAATTTAGAAATGGATGGCTAATTTGTATTTCTTTCTCTGTATGTCCTTAGTCATGGCTACTCTTCAGCTGCCAGCCAACAACCTGGCCAATCTGGCTAATTTACCTCCAGGTACCAAGCTCTACCTGACCACCAACAGTAAGAACCCCTCTGGGAAGGGAAAGCTGCTTCTTATTCCGCAGGGGGCGATCCTCCGGGCCTCCAGCGCAAGTGAGACACTCTACATCCTTTATACATCTTTTAGTGTCGACATTGGAAAAAGTCACTTGATTGGTTCAAATCTATCAAAATCAATCAAAATTTTATTTATAAAATGCTTTTCATACAAAACATGCAACACAAAGTGCTTTACAGTTGATTAAAAACAGTCCAATGTCCTTCTACCCAACAACCTTACCCCCACAACCATACAACCGGCATTCAACAGTCACAACCAAAGCCACACACACACATGCAGAGTACAGATAAAGCAGAGTACAGATGATGATGTACAGATGGTTCATAAATGACACAGTCTAGCACACTTTGCATGTGTCTTGTACCGAGCAGATATGTAGTTGACCGCCTGGGTTAAGCCTACTTCTAAAATGGTGTTAAAGCTCAAATCAGCTGTAGAATTAAAGTTCAGACACAAAACTTAATAAGATAACTTCAACAGATCTCTTTTAGACAGTGAGACAGTGTATTGTTTTGAAGCATCTACTACTTTTGTCTTCTGATTTGTAAAGTCTGCTGTTAGGGCTCACTGTTTATCTTTTAACGTGCAGTCCTTAAATACAAAGGAGAGGATAACAGTAGTGGTGTGCGAAGATGCTTTCATAGACAAAAAGGTTATCGAAAAAGGAAATGGAACTGGAGAAGTGATCCTCTGTTTCCTCTAGCTGACCTCACCATAAGCTGCTTCAGGTGAAAGTACGCTATGTATTAAAACCAGCCACTGGCAAAATAGGAGCAGGTGAGCAGAGTGAGTTTACATTGGTGTAACTTTGTCCTACAGCACTCTGCAATGCTTTCTTTTTGTCACAAATCTTTAATTTTCTGTCCTTGTGCATATTCTGCACTAGAGTAAAGCGTATGTAGCTGGGACGGCGGTTTGAGACTAACAGACACTGACACACAAGTGTGCAGGTGACTCAGTATCCAGGGTTAGTGTCCCAGCCAGACGGCCTTTGCCCTGACATTTCCCCCATGCCTGAAGTCGTAGACAGTAGTATTAAAAATGTCAATGCTCTTGGCTCATCATGAAGTTTCAGGGAGAACGAGAGACACTCTGCTGACTGTGACTTACAGACATTGTGAGCTACTTTACCTCCTGGACAATGAGTCAGTCAGAGTCATCCTTGTCCTTCTGGCTGGTTACTTATTGTCTACTTGGAGCCAGAATTCCTCATGACGTATGATTCTCCTTCAATTAAGATGCAAGAGATTTAGCAGCGTCTCAGTCCTCAAAGTTCTCGTCATAAAACAACATCCCACTGTGTTAAAAAACATGCCTATGTAAACTTGCCTGAATGTACACATGAGTAGTTGGTGTGATATACAGACTAACAGGATTGTTTTCCAAATCAGAGACTGATGCGAATTTGGCTGTCTGTAATTTAGGTCAGCAGTCCCAGAGCAGCTCGTCAGCAGGCGCTGGGGGCTCACAGACCTCCTCCTCCTCGTCCTCTTCCTCTTCTAGCAGTCTGCCTTCCAACCTCTCCTACACATCCTATATCCTCAAACAGACCCCACAGGTTGGTAGAAACACTTTAAACATTGTAATGGACACCTTTAGAACAGTCACATTCACACTAGAAACATTTCTCTTTGATGTCTTGTGTTTATTGTGAGTTTCAGTTTTCTCTGATATATACTTGTATTTCTGCAGCTTATTTTAAGCATTGCATCACATGCTTGATCAAAGTCTGCCAAAATTACTCACATTGTCTTCAAACTGTGTTAAAACAGGGTTTTAGGTTTTGCTCCCGTATGGCATTATAAAAAAAAATGCACACATATTCTGGAAATGCAGTTCCTGCTCCTCATTTTTTTGTTTTCTTGCAGGTTAAGCCTGGTTTGTTCTTAATTAGATACATTACATTACAGCGGCATCGATCCAGCTGTCAGCTTTAAAACCACGCCGTGTCTGCGTTTAGCTCGCAGCCTTTACTGAAGTTATCCGCAGAGGTTTCCACCTTGGATTCCGGTTTGGATCCTGACTGTGTGTTTTTACAATAATCAATCTTTAAGACGCAGAATGGTTCAAAGTGTTTTTTTAATCAAACCTTGCTCTTTGTAGTTAATGCTCTGCAAAAGTTTACGCACTAGTGCACAGAAAGGCACAAATCTACACAGACATTGATCTAGTACAGAGCTAATAGATGCTACACATGTAAGAAGAAATGCAACCAGAAGTACCTCACGGTTTGGGTTCGGCTTCCCCAGTTTCCACCTCTTTATGTTGTGTAGATTATCTTACTGAACGTTGTATTTCTCCCTTAAATCTAATCCTGCTTGTGTATGATACACAGGGAACATTCCTGGTTGGTCAGCCAGCTACAAGCTCAGGAAAGCAGGCAGCCTCCAGTTCAGCCGGTCAAGCAGCATCATCTTCATCAAGCGTCACCCAGCAGGCCATCCGCGTAACAGCCGGCCAGAAGGCGGCCATCCTGGCTCAGGTCAGTGTGAGTAACGAGGCTGAGGGCAGGACTTTTTGTGTCAACAAATAGAAGCTTTTCTGATTGCCTCTGTAGTGTTGGCCTCCCCACTTTTCAGATAAACGAATGTATGACATTGCTCAAGGTGAAACTGTACTTTTAAACTCCATTTAAACACGCAAGTCCAACTGAAACTGCTCTAAATCAAATTTCTCCTGCACTTTGTTTTTTCTGTTCCCTTTATGCCTTTTCCAGTTAAAGCACATTGTCACTAATAGATCCATGTTTTCCCCCATTGTTTCAGACCTAAAATTGAACTATGTGATTTCCGTGATTGACAGGTCGTGGGCAGCTCCCAGGGCGCACAGGTGAAGTTGTCTGACGGCTCGGTGAAGACGGTCACAGCAGCAGGTCACTTATCGAAGCCGGGAACAACAACACTGAGGATGACAGGCGGAGTCATCACTGCCGCTAGCTCCACCCCCAGCTCTGTGAGTGCTGCAGCAGCTGCAGCCAGCCCACAACAGGCTAGTTTACCTGCATTTCTACTTTCAATGAAGGACCTTTCTTTTATCCTTGCAAAGTGGTTATCTTACTTTCACTGGGTTGTGTTAAAAGTCAAATTTACACTGAATCCAGTTTGAAGACACCAATGACGAGCTTTAATATTTTCACAGCTGATTTTTAAACGTCTGCTGTAGGAAATATTCCAGTTGATAAATTGTCTTTTTTTTTTATCTTTTTTTGCTCTACTGGGGTGAATGTATTTGCTGCTGCGCTCTGACTTCATGGTAAAGAGGGCTGATCCAGAGTGAGTGCTTTAAAGAGGTCAGGATTATGTTTGTACCAGAAACAGAAATGTGAGTGTATGAGAGGAAACCCCTGAGCAGTTGACAAGCGCTGGTCTGTGTTTAGTTAATTACAGACTCAGAGTTGATGTCTCAGTCTCATTAACTTAAGAAATAGAAACACAGAAAAAAAAAAAGACTTCCTAGAGGTTTCAGCATTAAAAACACTGAGCTTAACTAGAGATGTTGATGCAAACAGAAGAGAACCTCTTCACTGCATTTACTGTTTTAGAGAAGCTGTCTATTCAGGACTGTTAATTGGACTGTCTGTGAGGGAAATTGAGTCTTTTGTTTTTGGAGAATTCCATAAAACTACTGACCCGATCGACACATCTCAATTTGAGAGCTGCACGGCACTGAAAAACAAAGTGGACTAACACAAGGCAAAGACAGTGAACAAAAACTTGAAAGCCTTTCCACAATGAGTTTAGCTTTTCTCTCCTTTCTAAACATCGCAGTATTTTTAAATGGACTTGTCACAGTGATTAATGCCTTTATAATGAACATGCAGTTTATGTGTTGTGTCTGCAGAACAGTGCCAAATAAAGTAGCTCTGTGAGCGAGTTTGTACACTACTTTCTTTGTAGTTGAGGATATATAGGTTGAACTTTCTTCAAGCTCCTCAGAGGAGTTTTTTTGTCTGAAAGAGACTGAAATGTAATCTCCTTCAAAAAGTAAACAGGACAATAAGCAGCAAGATTGACAGTTGCTACATTTCAAATTTGAATGTCTGTTACTGCTGAGAGGAGGTAGATGTCAGAGGAGACAAATGAAAAATGCAGAAGAAACAGCCCTTTTGACTTTTTTCCTCAGCAAACACTCTGAGTGAGTAACACATCTAACTATAGATGCCTTTAGGATTGACGTCACAGTGACATGACAGCGTTAGGTGGTGGCAAAAAGGAATAAAACTGGAGGCAAAAATGTATCACCACCATCCCCGGGTAGGATAGGCTGTATAGGCGAGCTAAAAGGTCATCTCTTAGTGTTGTTGGTGCAAAAATAGAAAAGTGTAATAATAATGTCTCGAAACAAAACCAGCCACATACCAGCAAAAACAAAGCTGACAAAGACAACTATGAAGGTACAAGAAAAGGACTGGATGAAGTCAGTCATCATTAATATCTTCAAGAGCACACATTTACTGTTAAATTGATAGATAACATGATTAATTTTAAGGGATATCGTCAACCTCTGACCTGATCAGATATTTTAGAGGCATTGAAAAGAATATTGGATTTTTCTTACAATAACTTTGTTGTTAGATAAACACATACAAAGCAAACAAAATCAATAGAGCATCATGAGGAAGTTGGAGCTCTTCTTAGTCTTGGCGAGCATCTTTTCATCTTATCAAACTGTACTTTAGTTTCTTTAAGGAGAGTCAGGGTGTTTCCGTTTATTTGCTGGCTGACAGTGTAACATTTGACCGTGTATCTCTCTGTCCTTTTCAGGCTGCAGACACTGGTAAGCCTTCCTCTCAGCACCACTCTCTCCTGGTGGCAGCAAACCAAGCAGCAGTAATCAGTGCAGCCAAGAGCGCCAGTGTGGCGGCTGGAGGCAGCCTGTCAAAGTCAGCGGTGGCCACCCTGGTGAAAGGAACTGGCAACTCTGCCACCTTGACAAAGAGTGCCGCGGGTTCAACAGGAGCGGTGGTTACAGTCGCTAAGGGCATAACCAACATGCCAGTCATCAGCATGTCTAAGGGTGCAGGGGTAGGGACTGTCGTGGGTGTGCCCAAGAGTGGTGGCACATCATTGGTGGGTGGAGCTTCCTTGGTCAGCAGTGTGGCAGCAGGAGGAGGGAAGACAAGTGCAACTCTGTCAGGTATGAAGAAGAGAGGAAACCAAAGTGTTCTGATCAAAGTTAGAAACACAAGTCCAGCCTCACATTTCTCCTCATCTTTTGTGTGTCGTATTCAGGTATGCTAAAGATCCACTCTGGAGGTTCAAGCTCCCAGCAGACAGTCCTAACCATTCCCGCCAATCAGCTCAAGCAGCTCGGTGTTGGCACTGGATCTGGAGGGCTGCAGACCATCCTCATGCCTGTTGGGAAAGGTGAATACGCCTAAGACAGCATAAAAATATGCCTCATCGCTCAGCTCATTTGAAGTGTCTTTTAAGACTTAAAAGACGTCTGCTTTCCAGAAAGGAAAACATCTTGACCTAAAAATCTAAATCACTTCTTAGAGTAGATAAAAGGCTGTGAAAAGAGCATTTGAATAAAACATGACACAGCACCAGCATTGATCGCTTTGTTCCTGCGCTACATTTTTTTACTTCAAGGTTCTGGTAAACAGTTGCAGAAATAAGGCATGTTCTATCTCAATTGATTTCCAAAGCTTTAGATTATGGTAGCTCACAGCAGATTTATTCAGTTTGCCCTCCTGAAGTTTGATTTGACCACATAAGCTGATTTATCTGAGACTGAAACTCGAACATGCTTTACATTCCTCCCTGCCCATGGTTACTCATCTTCCTGCTCTATCATTTTTCATCTGGCTGTTAAGCTCATTGACCTAATGGACCATTGATCCATCCTTTGTGTTTGTGTTTGTGTGTGTGATTTCTTCCGTGTATAGTGGTGTCTAAAGGCCCAGTCTCAAGCACTGCTTCCCACTCCTCCTCAATCATCCCTGGAGCAGCTGGAGCTGGAGCCACCCCGAGTCCTGTCAGCCGCGCGTCCCCCTCCCTTGCCCTGCCTCTGGCACAAGGTGAAAGAGGGGTCCCACCCACTCCACCCTCTTTCCTTTCTCTCTTAACTCTATCTTTTATTTATCCATTCAGTCCTGATTGTACAGTTCAAGTGATAAAATGCAGTGTGTTTTAGATTTCAACCCCCCTTAACCATATTCAAACAAACAAAATATGTTCATTTTCAGCCTCAAACTTAATCAGTGTGGATTTGTCTAAAAATCTCCCTCTCTGCTGCTACAGTAAAAACCGAACCAGGTGCTGGCACAGCTGTCACAGCTGGTCCCTCGCCCCCTGTGACCACGCCTGCCCACGTGGCCTCTGCAGCTACCACCGTGAAGCAGGAGCAAGGAGCAGACAACACCGCACACGACCTCATCAAGTAAGCCAGAGAACAAATCACCTGCCTCTTTAGAGATCATTGACTGTTAACAGAAAGGTTCGAGTGAGGGAACAGATTTATTTTTTCTTGCTAAAGCATCATCATCTCCATTTTTAACTCAATTCAGTTTTTCAAAGCTGTCACACATTTTTCAGCTTTAATGCAAGGCTTAAAGAGCACTCTATCTCCCCAGCAGCCATTTCAGTGAATATTTTCTGCTAATACACCTGATATCTGTGTTTACCTCCTCAGCACTGAGCACATAGAGACCATGATGCAGCTGCTGACAGCTGTGGTTAAGAAGTTTCCTCTGATTGTGCCAGAAAAGAGTGAGTGAGCTTAGCTTAAATACTCCACTCCATTTCTAAATGCTAATCCGCTGTGATTTTTTTTTTTCCAAGCGTTTTTAATTGTTTGTTTGCTCGTCTGTTTGCTCAGCTGAAGACTCCCATCCGTTCTGCGCCTCTTCGACAGAACAGTATTACTCCTGGAATATTGGGAAGCGCAGAGCATCAGAGGTAACTTTTTGTTGTTGATGTAAGATCCTGTGTGCTTATGCAGATCACAGGCATGTCCTCCACATTAAGTGACTCCAGCGCAGTATTCATACAGACATGGTGCTCTGCAGAGATACAGGGCTTAACACTACTTTTTCAACTTAGGAGCACATGCCCTCCTTGTGAAAAAAGTTAAGGAGCACACAAAGAACTTTAGGGGCACCATGAAAGTCGATCAAATAATGTTTGTCTTATTGGTCGACAGAAGTACTATTATTTAAAATCAATTTAAGGTCTTTTGGTCACATGACATTGAGGCTATTAAAGAAAATGTTCAAAATTTGCCTTTAAATTTAACACAACAATTTTTAGAGGACAAAATAGGGAAATAAAGAGGTGTGTCTTAATGTCCGACCTTAGTACTATTATTTGAAATCAATTTTAGGGCAATAGAAAGGAAATGGAATGGAAGCTATTGAAGGAAAACAGCCTTTTTGAAAACATCAACCGGTAATTTAATGATGGTCCCTTATTCAACACCCGACGTTGACAGCGAGGATGCGGAGTAGATTTAACCGCGCTGCTGTTGCTATTTTCGCATATGGAGAGTGAGAAGACATTGGTAGATCCACAGTGAATGTGCATCGAATATCTAACCTAAAACTAACTTCACCGCTGTATTTACATGAAAAAAACATTTGCTGCTTGGCTGATTTTTTTTTTATGCGCTCATGTGGCCCTAAATACATTTTACAATTAGCACACATTTATTTTTAGTCGCAAATGCGAATGCACTGTCGAGCCCTGAGATAGTAAACCCAAAGACAGACTCTTTGTCTCACTGTTCAGAGAAATTATCACAGTCTCTTCATTTCTAAATGAAGCTGAAAAGTCTGAGACTCAAGTCTGATTCGTGTCGGTGTCTTCTTGAACTGTGCACAGCAGAATTAAATACGCAGATTAAAATACTTCCAAAAAGATGTTTTATCCTCAGTGGTTCATTACTCTTGGTTACTTTCAAAACAGTCTTAAAAATATAAAGTGATCTGATTTCATAAACTCAGTTTTTGTTTGGATAGTTCAAACTGGGGTTTTTGTGCTCAGGGTTTTAATGCAGATTTACAGACTGAATACTCAATAAATAGTACTGACTTATTTAACAGGTTAATCAATAATAAAATCATGCCATCTTGAATATTTAGATGTGTTAACCACAGGAATTAAAAGTATTGGTTGCATTTAAAAAAAACAGAAAGCAGAGTCTTTTGCTTTCCCAGAATTCAGTTTTACATGAAACACTCCCCTGCTTTACATGCATAGATCACCTCCAATAAAGGTTTAATATAACACTGTTTGTTTCTTAGCATTATCAGCAGCTTACCAACACTTACCCTCCAGGTTCCAGTGTGAGGGCGTCTTCAATGCCAGCCATAATTTGCATTGTTTGCAGTTTTGCTCTCTGTGTAATCTGTCTTGGTGTTCTGTGCTGGGTGCCTGACTCAGCAAGCTTTCTGCTTGCATCATGTCTTCCCATCTATCTGGTCAGATGTGTATCTCTGCCTGAATGTCTCCTCTCATCTCTCTTTAATGCGTTCATCAATAGCTCATACAGACCGGCCCGTGTCTCAGCTGCCTTTTTTCTTCTTCTATTGCTATAAAAGGCTCTTAGATCAGCGCAGACAACGATATTTATATCTACAGGTCACTCATTTACTTAGGGGACAGGGAACTCAAAGCACATCAAAAGAGCAGGCCGGGCCTTGACTGGAGCGGCTTTGTGTATGTGTGTGTGTTCAAATTTATGCGCTTTGAGGCTTGGCGGTTATGAAATGTTAATTTCTGTGCATAAAGCATCAATCCACAGCCTGAAACTTTCATATAAATCATACAAGCATCTTTCTGTTGCAGCTTCAACGTGCCGTGGCTGTAAAGCGGGTCGTCCAGGACGTGCTGGACCGCTCGCCTCGCCTACAAGCGCTAACCCCCCCGAAAACAAGGGAGGTGGTGCAGTGGTGCCGGCAGAGAGGCTACACGCCGCCTGACCTTGAGCCCCAACGCCGGACTGAAGACGAATCCATCGAAGACATCCTCACGCAGATTGACAATGAGCCTGGCGAGTTGAAAGTTTTGGGTTGTGTTTATTGCGGGCATATTCGCTTGCTTATGCACTTTCAGATTCTTCTCATTTTGGTTGCGATCAATATTATCTTCAGTGTTGCATGTGTGGGTGTAGCGCCTCTGCAGCTTCCCATTTGTCCAGTAATGGTTTTACAAAGTTCAGTGGCGTGTGAGGAGGCCAGTGTGCAGCTTTTGTGTTTGTGTCTCTGCATACTGTTTTATTCACAGGGACTTCTCATTAATTCTGCCTTTTGTCTGTAAAGGGTGAGAGACTAGGCTTCTTATCTCAGTGAGTCACACTCTCGCCCGAGCCAGACAAAATGATAATTATGCGTCCGTGTTCCCATCATCCCTCCTTCTCGCACAAATATCTTGATTAACGCAGCAATACATGAAGCCGCTCAAAAAACTCCTGATTCAGATGCTCATTCTGCTCCGCTCTCACATTACTTAATGTGAAATTGTGCGTTTTAATGTATGTCCTCCTCTGGTCCGCAGAGTGTCCGACCACCCTGAGCAGCTGTGAGGAGCTGGTGCTGCGGCTGGAGCAGATGCAAGCTCTCCTGAAGACTGAACCGGAGGAGGCAGACGATGAAATAGTCGATATTGTCACCGTCACTCCTCCCTGCCAGAAACTGAAGGTTAAAGAGGAGGAGCAAGAGGCTGACGCCGAGCCCAAGTTCTTCTTGGGACCCTGCACGTCATCCCAGTTTGTCAGTGAAACAGCTCAGCAGGTCAGAAACCTCACAGGAGTTTAAGAAACTGGATTTTGAACAGGAGGTGGCTTTATCCCATCTCTGTTTCTCTCTGATGACTTCTCTGTCTGTTACAGATCGGTGTGAACTTCCAGCCAGTCGAGGTGGAGAAGAATGTGTTTGCCCCCGTAGTGGAAGCCATGATCCTGAAGGTCAGTCACGAAACTAACATCACCTCACTATGACTTCAATGCACACTTGAATAATATGATAAAAAATGCTGTGTGTATGAGATACACTCCAGAAAGTAGGTTTTCTGTGTGACTAATAGAGAGTGTGTGTGTGCGTGCTTGTGTCCTGCAGGCCACTGAACAGTTTGCCAGCGATGTCCTGAGAGAAGCTCTGGCTGGGGCCTATGCCAAATCCCCTCAGAACAGGTCAGCCTCTGTTTTTTGTAAATTTTGTCCTCTCTAACATGCAACCTGCTTTCTGCTCCACTTTTTTTAGACTTTCATTGTATCCAGCATGAATATTCAGTATTTATACAGAGATGAATATTTAAAAAACACACAGCAGTGATTTTTAGCATTGCATTTGGTGACATCATAGGAGGGAAACATGGCGCCTGTAGGATGAGTCAGTCCTACAGTAACAGCACTTTTTCTGTAAACAGGCATTAGAGTGCGCGTCAAAATAAAGACAGTAATGATGGGATTTTTACTGATGTTATTTTAAGAGTGAGTTTTTTTATGTATTAACAACAAAGGGTTCGAGACTGAGTAAGAGGAGGATAAAATATAAAGCCAGCTGAAGCTTGTCGACAAAACAGTTTTATTAGAACTATTAAATGAAACAATTAGCTAGCTGTAACATAGCTAGCTATTAACCTTAAGACTGCTAAAATAAAAGGTGTTATGATTACTTTAAAGGTATATTCCAGCATAAAATTAAGTTAGGGTCAAACACACCGTAACATCGAGTTAGACACCCCCTTGAGAGATGAATGTTGCCGACTGCTTGTTTCTCTAGTTATACCAACTTTAGTAATAATGGTCAGAACAGCACCTAACTTCATCAACAGTACATATAGGGTCCCAGCCATAGTACTAGCCACCAAACATCTTTTTAACTTTGCCTGATTTCTTTAGCAAAGAGACCAAACACAACTCACCTACTCTCTTCCAGCAGCCACTTGTTCGTAGGCAGAGCTCGTCCATTACGGACTGCAGTGGGGTGACGCAGCTCAAGGAACAACATTTATGATCATTTCTTCATTAAAATGCAATCAGACCAAGACGCTAAGGCAGAAGAACTATTGCATCTGCAGTGCAAAATGATTAATATGGTGATTATTACTTCAAGGAAATAATAAGGTAATGATCAATAAATGTTCTTTCTTGAGCTGCGTCACCCCGCAGTAGTCCGTAATGGACTGGCCTGAGGTCTCGCTACAAACAAGCTGCTAGAAGAGAGTGAGTGAGCTGTGTTTGGTCTCTTAGTTTAAGAAATCAGGCAAAGCTGGTGCTGTGGCTGGGACCCTATATGTACTGTTGATAAAGTTCGTTGCTGTTCTGAGCATTATTTGTGGCTATAGAGGGGCTTTGTGCTTGAGGTGTGCATGTGGCTCCTCAGACCGCTGTGTATTGTTATTGTGCGGTCGTTACTAAAGTTGGTATAACTAGAGAAGCAGGCGGTCGGCAACATTCATCTCTTGAGGGGGTGTCTAACTCTTTGACCCTAACTTAATTTTACACTAGAATATCCCTTTAAGCTGTCTTGTATTTTTTGTTCTCGAGTATTAAGAGCACTTAAAATCCGAACTTTGCATTCTTTTGGTTTGCAGGGCTCCAAGAGAAATCACAGCGATGAACATCCACCAGGCGGTCGGCAGCATCCCCACCTGTGACTTCCTCACCAACACACACATGGGTTACCTGTCTAAAGACAACTAAAGTAGAGTGCCACCTAGAGGTGACTGACACCTACAGAGATGTTAGGACTGTGAGCGGCTCTGATTTGGGAAGATTTACAACTGGATGTCGCCCAAGGTTGTGCAATGATTAGTAACGTCTGCATTCAGAAACTTGACCACAGAAGTGCTTTGTGTGTTTCTCACAGCAGCAGAATAACACTTTTTTAATTTTCAAGCTATATTGTAACATTAAACTGTTTTGAGCAGATCCGCAGTGGAGGACTGGGGTCATTATACAAGGTTGTGGTGCTCCAACTCACCTCTGAACAACATTATTTCAGTTTGACTTAGAGGACCTAATACTATTCATGTTTACCAGCAGGGGTGGAACATAGAAATACAGAATCTAGACTCTCTGAAAACATCTCCATCACTACAGACATCCTTTGTTGCATCTCAGTGTAATCTGGCAGAGGTAATTATGGTTCTAAGCGCTGCTGTTTGAGGCGCTTCACAAAAAGGTAACTGACTCATGTTTCTAAACTGCAGACAGATTATGTCACTGAGATCTTCATCAAGTCGGAAATTCAGTGTCTGTGTTGAAGTCTGAGGAGTGAATAATACTGTCATTATGAGTCCAAAACATCGCTCTCAGTATTTATCGTCTCCTCGACACAAACGTGGTCTGACATCTTGTTAAAATGCTTGTAAGTGTCCTCTTTAACAACTGTAACGTATCACTCATATGTAATATGACCAATATGAAATGGGACAGTGTTTCAGAAGCTTTTATTTTTTTATCTGATATAAAGAACTGGTCATATTAATGCTCCAATAACTGTGAATGTGTGTGAATAAACGTGTGAATGCACAGCAGTTTGTGAGTTTGATGCTCAGTGTGTGTCCTATGTGAGCTAATGTTGTGTCGGTTATTTTGAATGATGTAGAGCTGTGCGGTATGTTATTAAGTGGATGATTAGTGTTTGTTTTGAGTGGTTGTGAAGTCTGCTTGACCAAAATAGCACAGGAGAAACCCAAATGTTGTGTCTGAGTGAACCAAAAATATCAATATTCTTGTAATAAACAAAAAAATCTGGTTTCTGAAACATGAATTGTTATTTTTTTAACCTTGGCTTTCTGGTGTTCCTACGAGAGTGCCATTTATATCAACCCATTAAAAACAGACCCAACCGCATTTACAATTTTTTTTTCCCATATCCCCTGCTGCATTGAGTCACCAAAGAAGCTCTTTGTGTTTGTTATACTATTTCATCTCTGATTGCAAACTTTGCTGCCAACTCGTCTATTTTTAAGTGTTCATATGCTGCAAAAACAGCCCATTTCAAACAGTCTCATGGTCAGGTAGTAAAACCCTGGGTTGATTGATATTTAGCTTTGTGTGACTGCTTCATCAGTTTTAAGTGAAGAGCTGCCAGAAACTATAGATCAGCTGGATTTGTTAGTTGAAAAAGGTACAATAATCGGCAAACCTTACCTCTAATGCTTTTGTGGTTGATTGAAATGGACCTCCGGATGACTAGTAACTCCCTTAAAGGGATCTTCCGGCATAAAATTAATTTTGAGTCAAACACACCATAACACTGAGTTAGAGACCTCAGGCCAGTCCATTACAGACTACAGCGGGGTGACGCAGCTCAAGGAAGAACATTTATGATCATTTATTTATCATTTCCTAATAATCACCATATTAATAATTTTGCACTGCAGACGCGGTAGTTCTTCTGCCTTAGCCTCCCGTTCTGATTGCATTTCCATGAACTGCGTCGCTCCGCTGTAGTCCATAATAGACTGGCCCTAGGTCTCGCTACAAAGAAGCAGCTGCTGGAAGAGAGAGGGTGAGTTGTGTTTAGTCTCTTTGCTAAAGAAATCAGGCAAAGCTAAAAAGTTGTTTAGTGGCTAGTGCTATGGCTAGGACCCTATATGTACTGTTAATAAAGTTAGATGCTGTTCAGAGGATTATTTGTGGCTATAGAGTGTTGTTTTGGTTGAGGATTGTTTATTGCTCCTCAGACCGCTGTGTATGGCCATCCTGCTTTCGTTGCTAAAGTTGGTAAAACTAGAGAAGCAAGCGGTCGGCAACATTCATCCCTCGAGAGGGTGTCTTACTCAATGTTACGGTGTGTTTGACTCTAAATTAATTTTATGCCAGAATATCCCTTTAAATACAAAGGAAAAAAGACGTAAAAAAGAGTCAAGAGACACCTGGTAAAAGGGCTAAGAACCTAATTGTCTTTTATTGTATTTTTACTGACATGTTGTATATTTACTCCTTGTCTTCAACAATCGATTTTTACAAAATGATAAACCTAACAACACTTTCTCAAAATAGCAAACTAATAGTATACTGACTAAATAAATAACATATTTTCAAGCAGATTTTCTAGCAACACCAAAGGCCAACATAGCACTCAAAGCATTTAAAGACCAACCACGTCATTCATAACTACAGCAGACTTGACAACAAAGGGACAAATCAGCGTGTGCACACATACAAACACACACATACACACACTCACACGAACAGAGCAGCCAGTTTCTTGTGCATCTATAGCTGCAGAAACAAATTATTTTCTTACATGCATATTCATTTCCATAGCAACAGGGGTAGGAAGGTACACAGGGGTTGTCTATCTGTCTGTACGCTGCAGCTCTGCAGGCTTCACAACATTACATTCCCTTGCATAGATTCTTGTGTTGTGGAATGGACTGAAATCATTCCCCTGTTTATTCCTTTAAAAACTGACACCAATCAAAGAGGAGTGGTTGGAAATATGTCAGATGTTGAAGACCCTGGATCCACTTTGGAAGACAGCAGAGGGGTTTGGAGGGAGTTTGGTCCTCACCAGATGTTCCTGAGACAGAGAGACAAAGGAAGACAGGTGTAACAGCAGCTCTTTAGGAGATCACAGAGATGAAACTTGAGAGAGCAGCAGCAGCAGCAGCTCAGAGTGTGCTCACACTGGAGCCATGAAATAAGAGGAGACTGGTCGGGCTGTGCCGTCAGAAAGCATCAGGACTGCTGTCTAAGTGCCAGAAGACAAGACCATGTTGCTTTCTCCTGCTTAACGTTATTTGTTCTGCTGATGGCAGCCTACCTCTGAGCCTGACCAGAATCTCTCAAAGCTTTGGCTGATAAATAAAAGCGCTGTTATGCTGAGAAACCAAAGAAGGGTCAATAGATACATTCAGTTTTCATAAACAGAAGAATTTTTCTTTCCTGAACAAAAAAACGAATAGCATGTCTGACTCTGACAGGAAACAAAAAGCTCAATAGATAGTTTATCATCATTAAATGTTGCCGGAGTGTAGCGAAAAGAGAAATGCTGGAGCTACAAAATGAGATGAAATAAGGAATAATGTTGAGAGAGCCAGCATGGTGGACACGATGCCAACACAAAGCTTATAACCAAGAAACAGCTGACACTAACTATTGATTTGAAGATGATCTCATTGATTCAAAAGTTATAAAAACAGGGGAAAAATAGTTGTTCTGCAGATTCCATGGCAACAGTATTTACCCACCTCCTCATGTGCCAAATTAGTCAGACTAGCAACCTGTCTCTTAGATCCCATCCCAACATCTTGTCTTAAAACAGTCTATGGCACTTTCAATCCTGATTTCCTCTGGACATAACAAAATGAATTGTGGTGTCCCCCAGGGTTCAATTCAAGGTCCTACACTTTTTGACCTTTATTCTCTGTTACCACTTGGAAATGTCATCAGCATGCATGGCATGAATATGTTATCCAAATATGTTGCTCTGACTTTGTAAAGTTTAATTATTGCAATTTCAGTCTGACTAATGTGTTCATGTGTTTTTTAAAACTTCATTTTCAGTTGGACTGAGGCAATAAATCGATTTGTTAAACACCTAAATACACTAAGTAAAACCTCTGATCTCTTATCTTGTATATGTAAAAGAAGTAGTCTCAACCAAGTACCTAATTTTTTTTGTCTTTTAACAGTGAAATGTATGACTCATTGTGAGTGTTTGTCACGGAAAAGAAATTTTAAAAAGCTGTCAAATCAGTCTGTTGTCAACTACTCCTAATCCACCTCCGAAGCCAAAACTGTATTTCACCTCCCTCGCTGTTTATGCATGGTTTTCTTCCTTTTTCTTTTATTTACTGACAACTGTACAGCCATTTTTCAAAAATCTGAATGTTCATGTTTTCTGAACAGAGTAAAAGTAATATTAAATTTCCAATATTCAATTCAAGTCAAAACTTAAAATATCCCAGCTAGTGCATAAATAAAACAGTTATGTACAGAAAAAAAACAGATAAAAATGATAAAATAAAAGACAAAATAAATGATAGAGAGTAAGCTCAGTAAGCACATATCAGCAAAGATTGTATATTTTACTTTTTGATAATACTGTTGTATGTTACGATGTGTTAGGGTATCTCGTCCTGAGTCGGTATATAAAACCTCACCTCTGCCTCTTGGAGAGTGCATGATCTAGACAGAAAAGTGTAGTTTCCATCCTTTTCACTGTTTACCTGGTAGAGTGCTTTAAATATTGTATTTGCTTTCCTCGCCTTTTTTCTGTGCTGATGTTTTCATATCCCTGCACTCATGATCTGTTTATATCCTCTCTCCTTCAATACAATTTCAGCCCTCGTGCATAAATGTGGAGCGTTGCAGCTTTCATCAGATAATCAGAGCATAAGTCTGCAGAGAGATTGACGCTCTGCTGTCCCAGCACCACTTTGGATGTGACTGTACGGCGCTGTGGGTGGCAGGGAAGGCAGTACACGTTGTTCAGCAAGTCAGATTGGTGTGAGTGCACTCGCCTACTCCCCCCCTCCCACACACACACACAGACACACTTTCAGGCTTTTGTGCACTGTGCAGCAGCCAGGTCTGCCTCTCTCCTAAATTAAATCGGTGCCAAAAAAGACTGCAACCCCATGCAACATCACATTACACTTGAACAGATAATCCATCAACCCCTCCCCCTCCCCACTCTCTCATTCTCCATCACTCTCGGTATCTCATTCCTCTCTCCTCATCTTTTTACCCAATCTTTGTCTCTATTCCCTCAACGTTCTCCGGTCTCTCTGCTCTTAATACAATTCGCTCCTCTCCTCCCCGCCTCTGTCCTGCCAACTTGGCACAGGTTTCTTTCTCTCTGTAGTCTCGGGCAGCGTGGGAATAGGGAAAAGGTCCAAGTGAAAGAATAGGGGAGAAAGTCTGGCTCAGAGAATTTACAAAACGGAGGGGGAACAAAAATGGGAGACAAAGAAAAAAAGGGAACAATGGGATTAGTGGGTAACAGCCGGGGTGAATTTAGAAACTTTGAGTTGGGACAGTTTTAAAGGAAATAAAAGGACTAAAAAAGGTATAATATTCAAGTCGCCTACAGAATACAGATCATGTGGCCCCTTTTCTCTTAATCATTCTGTGTGTGGTTGTTGTTTTCATCCCTCTTTATTGAAGCTTTCTGCCTCTTTGTGGTCAGTTTTCTGATCTCTGTACTTACTTTGTATCCTAGTGTACTCATTTTGAGTGCCTGCGGTGAAATCTGTCTCTTAGGGGTCACTTTGGATCTCTGTCCTTTCTTTTCATCCATTGAAAATTTCATTGCATTACTTTATAGTCGTTTGGCATCTCTTTGTAGTTGCTTTGTGTCTCTTTGGATTCACTTTGAATTTCCTTTTTCTTTTTTGACTCTTTAAAGTTGCTTTGTGTCACTGCTTTGTATAGCTTGATGTCAAAGGGGGCTCAGATTTTCAACAGGTTTAAATGTAAATGTCACTGCATGTCAGTACATTTTAAACAGAAATAACAGATGAACTGCAAATACTGCCCACCTCTGTCTTTCAGGAGCTACTTTGCGTTTCTTAAAGGTCATTTGGCTCATTATCAAACAGATTTAGATGTGTTTTTAAAGAGAGGGAAAAATGATGAGCCCGTCAAGAAGGTCAAAGATTGACAAAGATTACTGCAGAGGCTGAGATACATAACAGTCAGTTTGCGTCTCGTGTTGGGCTGTGATTTGTGTATGTGTCATGCTGTTTTTTGTGCCTCTTTGTAGCTGTTTTTGTGTCTCTTTGTTGTCCAGACTCTTGGCAGTTGTTTTGCATCACCCCTGGTTGCCTTGCAGCTTTTTGCACATGTTGATTCTTCTGTATTTTCTTTCTACCTTTCACTGAAGATTTCCAACAAAACCTTTAGGTCATTCTGTGTATATTTGTAGTTGTACTTGTTTTGTTTTGGTGGTAGATACTTTGTCTCTTAATGATATCTCGCCCTGCGTTGAGGTGGTTTCATGGTGACTTCTACCAAGCAGACTATCAACACCTTCTATCTTTGGTAATGGGGGCACTGGGGCACCTTCTGGCCTCGCCCCTGGGTAAATAGAGAGAAGAGAAATGATAGGGGTTAGAAAGGGAAGTGAATCTTGAGGTTGTACTGTCCCTGCAGCTTTTCTAACCTTTTCAAACTGTTTTAATCTATTGTGAGCAGCATCTCCATCCCACCACTCTGATGTACATTCACAGCGCCGCACGGCACAGGGAGCCTGTGAGCTCTGACAGTACAATCCAAAATCTCAGGAGGGCTGCTGCCTCTAAGCCGACTATAAAAACAACCACGAATTCACCATAACAGGACTTTCCTGCTGAGGTTTCTACTCTGCATGCTTAATGTATTCCCCATTCAGCTGTTTTTTGTCTCACTCATCCCTGAGACACACTCCGGATTATTTAGCCGCAAATCCGTGGGTTTGAGGTTTTAACAGTAGTTCATTCTTTCATTCGACAGCAAGCAATATAACCTCTCAACAGGATGTTTTAAATTAGGTTTGCAGAGTTGAATGAGTTCAACAACACGGGGCTCTCTCAGCGTGCTCTAAACGGTCAATTGTCTGCTGCGTGTCATACAATTAGAGACATCTTTATCTGCGGAGATGGATTTTATCTCTGATGGGTGAAGGGCGCACACAATTTGGCAGATTGATTTGAGTAATAATGAGAATTTCATGGCTGCTGACTCCTTTATCATCAGGAGCAGATTTTGATTTCAGCAGCTTATTTGGGACTTAAGCGTTAAATCTTTTAATGAATAGATAGAAACGCTTTGCTCTAAATGAGGATGCATCGTCGTCTGCTCAGTTTATGGAATTGCAGCACAAACGGTGATTTTCCTCATGGGCAAATACCAGCAGAGTGCCATGACCCTCCCGGTGCAAAGCATGCGAGAAGAGTGGGATGTGCTATACTCAGTCAGACACCTCTGCAGGGGGGCTGGTGAGTCAGTAATGAGTTGGCAGCGAGTGGGAGGATGGTGACCGAGGTGGATTATCTAAGATAGACTTGATTCGCTGCCAGGTTGGTGTGTGTCGCACCAACAGACTGGGGAGTAGCTGAAAAAAAAAAAAAAAAAACCTGCACCATGAAAATGAAAGGGTGTGTGTGAAATAGACAGCAGCACTCAGTCCCACAGCACACTGCCAGCAGCACGTCCCTTCATAATGTGCCGTAAACTCTCACTCCAACTGGGCCAGAGGTATTAATAGAGTTTGTGTCCCACCACTGACATCTCTCAGTTTCACCTCCATCACAGTCGCACAGAAACTGAGAGTCAGAACGCCCTCACACAGCAGCCAATAGACACAAATGTATGCAAATAACTAGAGGGTTATTTTCCTCAAGTAGTTATTCCATAACCTCTGAAATTGCAGGACTGAGGGCACAATATAATGACTAAGTATTTTACAAACACTGAGGTATCCTTGAAAAACTTCACTCAAACTTTGACATTTTATGTACTTTGTTGATTCTAGTTACAACAATGCTACTTGCCAAAACATACAGTATGTCTGAGTCCTATGAATGGGGGAGTGCTGATACAGCTTTTTAGATAAACACTAAAATAAGCTCAGCCTATAATTTCAAATGATTTCTCAAACCTCCTAATACATATGATATCATTGTCATTTCGCACTACCATCCTGAAGATTCAGCTTTTCTCACAAAAACAAATCTTCTAACCTTTCCAGATGAGCGTCACAGTCACTTTTATTGCGGCAGCTGTTGCTAAGCAGCGCTAAAACGGGCAAATCAGCCTGACCTGGCCCAGCTCTGCCCGACCCGACCCGGCCCAGCTCTCTGCAGGGCAGATGGCACAGGAGGGTGTGGGCGGGGAGGAGGGATGGCACTAAACCTTCACTTTGGAGACTCCCAAAAACTGTCTCGTTTTTTGTCGCTGCAGCAACAAGAGAGGGCACAAAAAGGAGGGGAGGGGACGGGTGGGCTTGTCCCCTTACTCAGACTTTATCCCACATTAATCTGGAACATCCTAACTGAACTGATGCGTTTCAGCTTTCTGAGTAAATCCTGTTACCTTCTTGCCCACAGCACTGTTTGAATCCCTCTGTGTCGCTTGTTCTTTATGTGTCACTAAAAATCTGGGTTTAAATACAGAACTGTGAATATTGGAGTGATTCTTCTTCTCTCATCAATTTGCCCCTGGCTTTCGAACAAACTTTTATTTTCTATCCTTGACATTAGAATGAATTACTAGCTTAGTCAGACTCTCTTGACATACAGTAAATTATTTTTACTGTATTTTTGTGGCAGGTAAACAAACTTCAGTCTTCAAAAAAGCATTGACTTTGGATACAAATGACAGGTCTAGATTTCACTGAAGGAAGTTTTCTATGAGACTAAGATAGATTTGAAACAATCCTTTCTAATTATACATGTTATATATTCATATAGAATACATTTATGTTTGAAGAAATCAATTACTCCCACATAGCCTTAATCTTCTGTTATAAATAGATGAACATATATATCTACAGGGTTTTTTTTTCACTTTTTGTAGGTTTCCCATTTCCTGTCTTTTTGTTCTCATCACGCTGTTTGTATTCAGGTCAGAGTGATGAGTGTAGCACCAGCCGAGTGTTATCTAACACAGCACACGGCCTGTTTTAAACAGCTTGGTCACTTGGAGCTGCTCAGGGAGACAATGCTGTATCATTTTTCGGAGACACCCCGACAGCAACAGGCCTTCAGAGAGATGAGTAAAGATGAGTTTAAGGAGGAGTGAGCTGTGATTTTAAACCTGCAGCTCCTCCAGTGAACTCATTGAACTCACATCTGTTTTGGTAACATGCAAAATATGCCTCTTCCGGCAGAAAACGATATTACTTGTGCTTACCTCCCCTCTGCTCATCACGCTGAGCTCAGTCCTCTCAGGCAGGACGCTCTGCGGGAGACCGGAGGGGGTTTGTGAGCCACCGGTCTGCAGGGCAGCAGGGATGGGTGGGGGGACAGCAGCAGGTTGTATATTTGTGCTAGCAGATGGAATGATGTGCTCTCCTTGATGTAGCCCAGTTGTGGACCTGTTGTGCACGTCCCCGCTGTAGGCAGCCTGGTAGCTGGTCTCACGTGGGACCTCAATGGCCTCTGTGCCAGGGCTGGAGTATTGAGCGGGAGGGTTTTTCCTTGCACTTTTGGCTGGTTTCACCCCTGTCCACGGTCTGTACTCCTGTCTGGAAGAAGGGATGCATCATTAGGCTGACAAGCACCATGGGGGCTGTATTCAGTGGAGGCTTAAAGGTTGAATCTGACATGATTTTTAAGCAATGCTTTACAAAGTGAGGCTTCAAAAATGGTCACTTTGAAGAGCATGCACTCTGTGAAAAAGGTCAAAAATAATACAGATTTTTTTTTTTTTTTTTTGCATTTCTATTGAAACACCAGCTCAGGCTATTTGAGGAACAGAGGCATGAAAAACTGAAAGGGCACCTGCTGTACGCCATGTGGCACCAGGTCACAAAAGCTGTAACCAACTTCCCAGTTTTCTAAAGATCATTTCATAACTCCTCAGTTTTTTGTATCACCTTGGTATTCTGTAAAGATGAGGCATTTGCATCAGTAAAGGTCAGCTGATATTGTTTTAGGTGGGCAACATACTGGTTGGAAACCTGGAGATAGGAATTTGGGGCATCTAAAACTTAATTCTTACCCGGGATGCACAGATCCATTTCTTTCACCTCCAATACTGATACAGATTTTTACAGTTTAGTATCAGCCGATAACAATCCAATTCTGATACAGAAAAGCTGCACTGAATTACCTTTTGTTGTAACCTGAAGTTTTACTACTGCCTCTAGAAACGTTTACTGTGTAGGTATTGCAAGTGGCCATGTATTGAAAACAATGTGGGCATCGCTCAGCGTGTATACTTGTGGATGCCACTCACAGCACATAGTATAAAGTCAAACTCATTAGATCTGCCCCTATGCATTGGGCCCATTGTCTAAAATTTTCTTCATTATCGGGACAATACCGATATCAAATATCAAATCGGTGCATCCCTAATTCATTCCCCTTCTGATGAATATTTATGCAACAGCCTGTAGTCAGATTTTAATTATGTAAAAGTAAAACGACAGAACTATCAATACTTTATCAATAACCATGTTTATGATGCTTACTGACAATTTTTCATTGGCATTACTTCAAAGTTTCATCTCAGACAGAAGAAAATACTTTAACTGCAGTTTTTCTGCACCAGGTGGGCATTGCCTCCCTGCCCCCACCAGGGTATTTACACCACTGGATCAGCCAATTTAGTCTTCTGGCCTCTTTTTACTTTTCAAAAGAAATGATCAAAAATGTCTCACTTTTGACTGAATTGCATTTGATTTGATTTTCATTGTTTTGCAGAATATTCAAACTTCATATCTCATTTTTTTTAAATCAGTCAAGAGCCAAACAAAAGGATGTAAATCTAATACTCTATGAAAATCGAATTTGATTAGGAAGTACTGATGACCCCTATCTCCATGCAGGCTTTCTGGGTCATCACTGTACCTCCATGAGCTGTTGTGCCATCTAACGAGGGCAAAGTGGACAGTAGTTTCCCAGCAACCCCCGAGTCCTCTGACAGGTCGACAAACGGGTCACAGAGGGGGACATGTCCTACCTGTAGGAGCTTGTTTTCCTCTCCTCCATCACCTGCTGCTCCCCCCACCTCTGCCCCTTGCCCCGCTCCTCTCTCTCCCCGGGAAGGTAACTGTTCACCGGACTGTCCGAGATACTGTCCGCTCTGCTGCCCCCGTTACTTATCCACGGGAAGTTCTCCTTCCGTGGAATTGGCCACGGTTTGAAATCCTGCTTGTACTGAGTCACGCTGGGGAAAGGAACTCCGGGTGGGTGGTAATCCTCCCGGGGCTTGTAACTGGGATCCTTCCGTGCCCTGAAAGATCCCCGGGTCCCCGAGCCATCACCGCGCGCGTGAGGGGAACCTGCGGTCGCCCGCGGCTCCGGGGTCGAGTAGTTATTCCCTGGCGCGCGCTCTGAGGCGGAGACCTGTTTGGTGACTGACCGCACCTCTTGCTCGGCGATGTCCGAGTAGTTCTGGATGGTGAGCGGGACGGAAAGGTCCGATTTATCGAACTGGTTCCAGAAACGAGCCAAGCAGCACACTCTGCTTATGCACGGCCAAGCCATACTCCCCCAATAACAGTTTGACGAGTGAAGGTGAGAAGAAGAAAAATAAAAGAAAAAAGAACAGAAAAAGAAGAAGGAAACGGTAAAAGACCAAAGGTTACATTCAGACAGAGTACTGGTCGTGTGTGGGGAGAAAACACAGAGTCCAGGAGGAGTCCATGTCAGCAGCAGAGGAGTGCCAGTAGAGATGAACTAGGTCTGTCGGGGACCGTCATTGAATATTCCTCTCACGTGGTCTCTGATAGTGCCTCCACTATGCAGAGGAATCAGAGGAGAGCAAATTATTCTCCGCATCTTCTGCTGGTTCCTCTGTGTCCGCATCAGAACCAACCCTTCATATTTTCTCCTTCAAACCCAGCTCCCCGTGGAAAGAAACTTCACCGAGATGTTTTATGGACTTGCCCACTTGCTCTAACATAGATATTTTTTTGCCAGTTCTACTGAGGGTTACATAATTGTGATGCAGCGTCAAAAGTACAGTAGGATGTACAGAGTGCGTTTGTAGACCAACCAAGGCTCTTGCAACCCAAAACCCTTGCGTATTCAGAAGGAATATTCTTTAATGATTGCTCTTACAATTTTCTATGATGCATCTCTCCTTGATATGAACCATGATGGTCAAAGGGTCTGGTTTCTGTCAAGTATTTCTACTAGGAAGTTTTAAGGCTGCTATAAGAAGTGTTTGGACATTTATGAAATAGACAAGTTCATCTTTTACCTATTATTTTTATTGTCTGAAATTGGCCATCAAAAGTCATCAGGATGAGATTTGTTGTCATGTAAAACTACTCAAGCATTTAGAGGACAAGATGACTTAAGGCAGCCTTATCTAGGGTGACCATACATCCTCTTTTATTTGGACATGTCCTCTTTATCTAGGAGGCTGTCCAGGCTTATCCGGCTTTGTCCGGGGAAGTTTATAAAATCCCTCAAATGTCTGCAGTTTTGTTCGAATAGTTTGATTTTGTGTCACGTGGACTTACTGAGTAAGAAGCGCATAAAAGACACTTGATCCGCCCTGAAAAACTCTCAAAATTAACTTTGTGCGACTCTGTGACTCCGTGACTCTGCCCCTACGTAGTCGTGTCCTCTTTTTGGGAAGTCAGAATATGGTCACCCTACCTTATCCCCAGGCGGCGTCAAACTTGACAAAGACCCAAAGTCCCTCACAGGAGCTTTAAAGTAACTATACTCATTTTCTTGATCATGAGGAAGAATAACTGGCACACATCAAACATTGCGGCATCACTATGGAAAGCAACAGGTGAGGGTGCACCCTAAATGATAAAGTCATTGAAGGTTGACTTCCATTCAGCAGCTTCGTGCTTAGGGTTCTGGTTTTGGACATGCTGATACATTTCAGCTTCACAAGAAAGTGAACATGATGATAATGGGACATGTTTTAAAAAACCGAAAGTAGAGTAAATTTTTTAAAAACACAAGAGAGACTATGTGTGATAACAGCAGGTGTAGCCCATTGACTGTATAGAATAGTCTGAGAGTATATAGCCTACCTCAACCTCATGGGTCAAAGGTCAAGTCCTCAAATTACTGTATCTCCATGAAGCTCTTGACAACTAAGTTGCCCAGTGTTAAAAGGAAAGTGTTCTTCCCTTGTAATCAACATCAAACAGACAAGAACTCAAAATAAGGAGACATGTGACTCCAAAGCTTGACACTATGAGCAAATCATATATTTCTCAACCAAACCACTAAATCATCCTCAACAGTTGTGAGTCCTCCTTTCTAGTGGCATTTGAAATGGATAAAGATACCCTGAAGTTCTCTGGTGCTGAAGATAACTGACTCTTTACCAAACACTGTGGATTTATTGTAAAACTCCAAACATTAAAGCCCTTACTTTCTGAGTTTCTGAGGAGAATTACGAATATGAAATCGAGGGATATGCATTAAGTTGACAGAATGTCACTTGATGCTCTCAGGGCAAAAGAAACTTCCCTCTGTGAGCTGTTCACAAAGAAGAAAGCAGGATTAAACTCTCAGTGAAGCAGCATAACAGTAAAAAAAAAAAAAAAAAAAAGAGAGAAAAAAGCATTTCTTACCAAGAAAGATAAACGGGGACTTCCAGCAAATACATCATCTGAACTGTAAGTTGAACTTTAAGTTCAGGATCTTTCTGCTTTTGTTCACAAAACCGTACTCTCATTGATAGATAGGCTCGAGTCCTGTAGTTTTCACTGTAAACTGAGACGACAGCTTAAGACAAATCGGTGAAGACAGATAATAAAAATGACGACTTTTGATAGATTACCTGTAACACCAACAGCCGGTTATTGTCACTGGCTAGAGAGTAAAATCCTCAGATAACAGCAGTGTGATACTACCATCTACTGGGGAAAGTATGACAGTACGCTCCTTCACAGTGAACTCAATGCTCCCAGTGCTCATATTATGTGTGCGCTACCATGATAAAGCAATTATGGCACAATGAGATCTGTCATTTTGTTTTACAAGACACTTTGCTAAGAAGCTACATGGACATTGCGTTGACACCCACCAAATTAAAAGGAGTGATACAGGGATGGGATTCAAATGGGAATAGTGATTTGGTTACAAAACAAAGCTCAGTGGACATCACCCCCAGCAGCTGGACCAAAGTAAAACACTTAGCATCAAAAAGACAGACATAGACCCTGCAACAGAACCAACTGATCTGAATTACAGACAGCAACTCTATGGGTGGCTGAATAACAGTAAAGTAAGTGAAATTGCTACCCTGAAACTGCAGCATATATTAGTGATGGGCATGGCAGTTCTTTTAGATGTACCGAATCACAAGAATCAGTTCACCAAATAGATTTGTTCAAAAGATTCGTTCACTAAATTACTGAATCATGTAGTGCTTGTCAGGAGAAGCCTGCGACTATGACCTCCTGAACTGATACACAGCTGAACATTTCAGGATTCAGTTCAATTCATAGCTTTTGGGACTGGGAGATGAGAGTGTTTGGCTGTGTTGCTTTGGCAAACAGGTTTGTAAAAATGAACTTGCTTTTATGTCATGATGTTTTAAGTGTACCGTCCTATGGTATGTTATCTATAAGGTCAGCTCAGTAAATTGGTCTCCTGGTCGGATTCGTTCACTGAACGTTTAGAAGAATTCAAAGTGAACATGCACCGTTCCCTCGCAAACTGCTGCAATGATTGGATGCTGTGGGTTTAATGCACTACTTGTTACATGCTGTGTCTTATTGTATGAAAGTTGTGGTGGCAATTTAGCAGTGAAAAAAAGGGTAGTTTTGTCCAGCAAAAATGATTCCAGAGAGTGTAGTTCAATGCATGATTCGTTCACCAAGTGATTCAGGTGTTGGTGCATGTAGTCCCTCTCTCGCCGGCTGCTCGACTGGCAATGCTGTTTCTCACTTCAGTTCAACTGAAGTGAGAAACGAACAAATCACTCGAGGAAGTGATTCGGTTCAGTACGTTCACGTAAAAGATTCGGTTTCTTTGAACGAATCGTTCGCGAACGGCACAACACCAGCCTAAAAATCCGCAATCACATTTGAACATCACGCTTGGCTCCGCCTACATCCGCTTCCCAATAATCACATTCAGACAGATGTAAACACAGCGACAACAGGAGTCACTCAGGAGACGGCCTGACTTAAACTCGGCTTCATTTTTCTTATTTTTGTTGCTGTTGTTGTTATAAGTGATGTCCGCTGTAGACAGCGCACTGTCAGTGGCACATTCAGTGGCTGTCATCTTGTAACACGTGGATTTTTCCACTCAACACCCTGTGTTTCTACAGAGCTAGCGGCGTGAACGAGGAATTTGTAAGTAGCGGAAAACGGTAATATGTTTTTCTCTAGTGTTGTTATTTATTGTGTCTCTATATGAGCTAAAACAAAAAGGGAATTCATTGAACTTTATTCTACCGGCTGCCAAGGGTGAGTTTTCAAACGTGCCTTTTCCGCATGCGCCGTGCACGTTTGTTGTCACATGTACGTGTACAACAAGGGATGTTCAAGAGCGTTACACAAACTGACCATATCACTCTATTGAATTAACTTTTTAAAATTCATACGTAGACAGTGCTAACTCATTGTGAAGACTTTTATCTCACTAGTGATAGTACCGTTAGCTTCACTGAGATGTGGGACTCCTATTACCCATTCTGGTGTTTGAGACACCTGCAACTCATGCTATCAGCTAACTGTGCTAACTATGAAAACGACAAGAAGTATTAATAAATAGTGAGTGACTTATGTTTTTAGTGAAACTGAACGTGTTTGGGTATTGGCTGTATAAAACCAGGTCGTTTCTGACTGAGGTGGGTAAACTGGAGCAGACTTTTATAGGAGTGGCTGATAAAGATTTTAAGCTCACCTCAAACCAAAATGGCTTATTTCCACAAATGTTACCCACTTCACCTTCATGTTAGGATGATTTTCTTTAGCCAGTCATGTCAGCCTTTAGAGCGTGGTGGAGCTGTGTCACTCAAATACCTCGGATACTTTGGTGATAGATTCCTGGAGCCATGGGCTTCTAACAACCACCTTCAATAAGGACCTTGTACCCATTTTTAACAACCCTCAGGCTCCCAAATTATGGTGTGCTTTGTTATTACCCCACATGGATTCTGGGTCTTCAGTCTTTGTTACACTTTTGGCATGATGACGCTGTAACCCAGATCTGCAACCAGTAAAGCTTGTCAAAATTATCATTCAGGTGGACCTTCCATTCTTTCAAGTGTGAACATGGGCTAGGCATCCTTAAAATTCTAATTCGAAAGAATCCAGAACATGTTAATTGTCGTGAATAAACAGTAAAATGGTAGACCATGAGAAATGTCACAATTGCCCAGATTTCCCAGAGCCAAAGGATGAGACATCTTCATGATTATTTTGTCCAAACAGCAACTTAACTTATTTGTAGATTTGGTCTCCGCTGAAGCTATGTGGATCAGGATTATGATATTAAAGCCATAAAATCATGTAGTGATGATAACCATGGAAGGATTAGGTAGGGTGCTGTATTCCAAAATTGACACTATTGTGTTGTTTTTTGCCCACAGAGGAAAAAACAGAGAATATGGACTACTTGCCTGACGACAACTCCAGGTACAAAGATGTTGACTACTGGGATGACCGATACAAGACAGAGCAGTGCTATGACTGGTTGGGCAGCTTCTCCAAATTCCAGCACCTTATAGAACAACACATCAAGAAAGATGACTCTGTTCTGATACTTGGTAAGTTGTTTAATTTCTTCAGATGCGTTTTCAGTTAGTTTGTTTGTTTTTTCGGTCAAGAAATCCTGTATTTACCAAAAATCAAAAGGAAAAAGGAAAAAAAAAAACAAGACAAAGACTTGGTTTTCATTGACATATTGAAACAGGCTGTCCACTTGTGAGAGACATCTCCAAAATAATTTACTTTAGAAGGCCGCTTTATTGTTATCAAGTCATCATCATTGCTCTAAAGTCTACATCCTGATGTTAAAGGCTATTACGCCTGCTATCATTTGTCATTATGGGTCTCGGATGTAATCATCACGGTTGTCAATGATGGCATTAGCATCTCTAATGCTGCTGTTACGTCCCCTCAGGCAGCCATGTGTCTTGAATTGTCTCTTTGGTAGGGTAGTAGTGGAAGAGGGCAAAGTGCCTCTCAATAAACAGGATTCAATAGATTTGAATGTGCAAACATCTCCCACATTAATCACTACTTAATTCAGGCTTATGGCAATCTTAGTAACATCTGGTGATGTTCAAGACTGCTTACAATTTAATGTGTCTTTGTGCTGTTATAAGAATTATATTATTAGAATTTGAAATGATCTGTTTAAAGTTAGTAACAAATATTCAATTGGCCATGCTATGGGCACATTTCAGCCAACACTATACAACAAAATACAAATAAAAAGGTCAAAGTCCAACATCACTTTATCTACTTTTTTATAGGCTGAATTCTGGTGTCCTCACTGAAGTACACGTACCTTTTATAAAAAAAATCTTCTTATGCCTTTTTACAGCTTAAAAGTCTTATGAAACACCCAGCATTTCCTCTTATTTCTGTAAGTTTTTAGTCAAAGGAACACTTCTTTAATCAAACAAGCTGAACCACCATGTAGTTTACACAAACATCCACAGGATGTCACTGTGCTCCTACAGAACATAGCCGCTTTTGCTTGCACTCAGCACTACCTGCAGCACCTGCTTTTAAATGGCACTGCAGCTCTGTAAACCGTGCTGCAAAAACACTTGAGGCATTGAATCTGTGTTTATGAAGTCTGGATGTTAATTGGAGTTATTCAACATGTTTGTATGATTGTATTGCAAGCAGTTTTTGGATATAAGTGGTTCCCTCTTGGTTTAGTATTGATTACAAACTAATGTTACATTGCATCTGTTCATCATTTAATTATTGATTTGCTATTTGTGCAACAATAGCCATAGAAAGTGTTTAGCCAGGGATGTTGATTGTTACGATTATCACTGATGGAGTTACTCTTGATACAATGAAATCAATAGCATCTTTAATGCTATATCAAACACTTCAAATGTTGTAAGGACTTTCTTTACCTTGATTTAATTCTTTAGCTCTACATTAGGACAAGGTAAAGGCAGAAACACAAGCTTCAAAGTCTTTTGTTCCTAGACTGTTATACCTCTACTGAAGCATAGGGGGCTGTGGTGGTCTGCTTTTCTGTTTGGAGCCTTGTTGATGCATGCTCAGAGGAGTTTGCGTGGTGTGTGTCTGTGTGTGTTAGGGGGTTTGTTAAATATGTGTCAGGGAGCGACAGGGCTTCTGCTCTGTGTGTGTGTATGTGGGTAATAAGGGAGGGGTGCTGACAAGGATTTTGAAGTTGGGTATTTGTTGGTCGACAAATGTCCGCACTTGTTTTGCTGCTGTCTCCTTACAGTGTGAACCTCTGGACAACTCATATTCCTGAATCTGTTCCTTGTGAAAATAACTATGCACGCTTGTAAACTGTCTTTGAAATGCATTGAAGGTAAAGTGATCGATAGACAAATGGATAATGTGCTGCCTCACTTTTTCAGTGTGCGTCACAGGCACACCTACAGCAGAGGCGTGAGTGGGCTCTGGAGTCTGATGTACAAGATATCTTCTCTCGCTTCGCTCTGCGCTACTCTACAGCAGGCAACACCAGGGTAGACCACTTTCTGCACGCTGATTTAAACCCAAAGGAGAACCATTATATCGCATGAGAGCACTCATCTCAGAGGGCATCTCTCTCTCTCTCTCTCTCCCGCGCTCTCTTTCTCTCTCGATTTTTCCCTCCTCACTAGATCGCGGAATCGCACGTTTCTGTCACCAGCACGTGTTCACATCTTCTTCAACAACACATGCACAGATAAGACGCTATATAGAGAAGTGTAAAGATGTGTGAACCATCACGTGTTGTGCAGACATGAAGAGCCCTTAAAAGCACTTAAGTAAGACAGCACCTGGACAACTGCCTGCCACGGTGGCAAACAATTCCCAGCTAAACTCGCTTGTCAAGTCTGTAAAACCAGAGAGACTTTCAGCTCATATGAGGTGACACAATAAATCACCGTCACTATAGGGGAATAGGATAAAACTTGGCAGAGAGGAGGGAAGATGTGAAGAAAGACTCGGGGGTGAGAGATGGATGAGAGGTAAATAACTAATCAGGTTTGGACTGCTCAGCTGTCTCAGATGGAGGTCATTTCCATTAAGATAATCTGGCCAGCACAGAGCGAAAGAGAGGGAGACAGGGAGCTACAAGGGAGGGAGGGAGGGAGGGGGGCATAAATGAGGAGAACCAGAGTGCTCTGCTGCATGCTGATGACAGTTTTGATATCTCTCTCCTTCAACAGGGAATATTTTTGCTGTGTTTCAGTTCATGTCCTCAGTTAATCTGTGAAGTTTCACTGCTACAGTCTCTTCACACGCTGTCAGCCTTTGTTGACCTTGATCTCCCCCACCCAACTTCTATCTGCCTGCTTTATTTTAAAACCTGCAGAGATTTCTTCCTCATCACATCATTCCTCCGCCCCACTCTCTCAGTAACCCACTATTGCCTTTAACTATATGATCCATTCTTTGTCAGCTAACTCCTAGTCAGCAGTATTAGCGTGACGTCAAGTAAAACCGCACACAGTCTTGTCTCTGTATGACAACAGTTTAACAATAATCTGAAATGATACCAGAATATGTAAGAATAAAAAATCAAACACTGGTGTAATCTCGTCTATTTTTGGGATTTCATCAGAGGGGAGGTGACGCAACTGAAGTTGAAATAGGATCATAATATACAATTCATTTTGAATCTGTAAGCTTTATTGGCAAGAAAGTTTTAAGAACAATGTCACCGGAGCATCAAAATACATTTTGTGGAAGATTTAGGTAGAACATCGTCACAGATTAAAGTCTGGTGATGGAGGACGTCACATGAAAGACCAGAATAACATCAAGGTGATCAAACAAACAAGAGTTTTGTTGTGCTTCTAAAGCCTGATTTAACTTTTCCTTGAGCGCCAGATCCCATTATCCTGCAAAACAAGTTGTTATCATCATTTATTTGTGTCTGTTTTTATTTTCAGGTTAAAATAAAAGGTTTGAAGAGGATAACTACAGACAGGTTAGGAAATCAGAAACTGCTAAAAGTCGGGCAAACTCATACGTGGCTGTATTGTAGGAATATTATATTATAGGAATTTGTTAAAATAAAAAGAGAATTATTACCAGAATTCCCTTTTTAAAGGAATATTTTAAAAAGTGATTTTCAATTTGAAAACGATATATATTTATTTTTACAAAATGATAGATATTTGTCAAGATATTCACTTGATTCATAGAGAAGAAACACTTTATCCATTTTAACTCTCTCCTCTAATGTCTGACCCACACACTGAACCTGTTCTAATATTACACTGTTGTTGATTTTTTTCATAACAGCACAAAAGTAGAAACAGTATTGATGTTCTCGTCCCTTTGGGAAAGACAAGGTGGTAAAATCATTCATAATAGCTCATCTAGGTTGGAAGCTGACTGCCTACTCAGACACCCACTCCAACCACAGTGACAGGAGGTCAGCGTTGTTGTTTGCTGGCACACGCCGCTGAAAGTTTCCCATTTTGAATCCAATGAAATTTTCTTGGAATAATGGGTTGTAAGTCAGCATGAATTTAGAAGTGAGTTGGCTCTTAAATTAGCCTGCAGTCATGTGAAAAGACTGTTCCAAGAACGCGAGTGAGGCTTGTATTTTAAATGCTACACAAATGACATGTTAGTGAATGTCTTATTCGGTTTCGTAATGTGACACAACCATGCTCAGTTTTAGCTTCATGGTAGGCTGGAGTCTGCAGTGGTGTGTGTCAGAGCAACGCCTCAAGCAAGTCCTGACCCCTCCACCCCACCTGACCTGTATGTGTGTTAGCCACATTACCGAGCATTAACAATGATCAGCCGGGTCCAGTTCCTGCCTCACAGAGCCACGCTCCTTCTTTTACTGCTCGCTCCAGGCTGCTGCTAGTGATGTAATGACCCCACGTCTCCCAGTGGTCAGCGCTCATGCCTCATTCCCCCAAGGCGAGTGCCGATGATGTAATGGCTCAGCTCTCCAGCGGTGAGGGGGATTGAGATTTTTATGTTCCTAATATGTTCTCTACATGTTAACCCCAATGCTCTCTGTGTGGAGGGTAATGACGCCAAACCTCGTCAGTCAGTTTCTGACCACAGGGCTGCCGAAACATGTGTAGGTGAAACCAGTGCTAACATGGAAGAAAAGAGCCTGTGGAGTGCATGCTAACACACAGAATGTTACTCAGGAGGATGTCTACAATTAATTAAGATTTCTCAGACCGTTCACATGTACAGATTTGCCAAATTTCATACTTTTACATCCAAATGATGGTTTCGTCTGTAGGTTTGATGGGGTTTGCCAGTATATCAACAGCCTGTTGGCTGTTTGCCTGCTGCCATCTGGGTTTGTTGTTTTGCCTTGGTATTCTTCCGTGTGTGAGTGTTTGTGTGAGTGTGTGTATTTGTTTATATTTAGTGCTGCGCATTAGTGCTGGTTTTGTTTTTATCACCATAGTAACAAAAAAACACTGGGAATAAACTCCTCCTGTCAGACAGGTAAAATGCATGTAAATCATATTCATACACATTGACTCTCACCATATTTGACCTTTCAGACTTGAGACTCGAATGTATGATCCCCGTGTTCATACCACTTGGCAAAGAAGACTAAAACCCCAGCTTGCTGTCAGCTGCTCTCAGATACATTGGTGTCAGTTTGATTGTCACAGTTTTAAAGGCTGCTAAGGTTTCTGAGGAAGCTGAGCAACTGTAAAAACAATGCTGTTGACGAGGATCCTCTGAGTAAGAAGAAGAGCACATTTCCAACTTGAACTATTCTGTATGAATTATTTCATCCCAATTCCCAAAATCATGTGGACATTCATCATCATTATGCACATTGGATTTTTTTTCCTGTAGTCTTGTCCTGAAGTTGGACCTATTATTTAATCCCTTTGCTGAAATCAGCTGGAAAGTGACACATTTCTAATTGTACCAGCTTCTAAAATCTGTGTTTCTCTTCTTTGAGGGCAAAAACGACAAGAAATATTTCCAGTTTGATCACTAAAATGTTTTTTTTGTCTGTGAGTTCCTTCAGCGCTAAAGATACACAGATCCAGATCGTAAAGGCAGAGTTACACTGACAGGATTAAGCACAAGTTCCTTTAACTTTAACTTGTATCTGCACTCCAAGATGATGTTTTAGAGGACCTAACACTTTTTTTTTCATTTTTCATTTTTTTATCCCTCCCACAATCCCATCCCACTCAAAGGTGAGCTATCCTATGAATCCATAACAGCATGTAAACAGTACAGAATACACACAACAAATACATGAATAAGGAAAATGATAAGGTAAACAAACAAATGAAATGTAAAGAAAAAAAAAACCTTTTCAGTATTAAAATTTATGTCTTAAGTCCTCATTCTGTCATGCTTAATTTAGTTTAAGGTGTCATAGTACTCCTAAGTAAATGTTTCCAGGACTGTGGGATGCAGTTGAATAGTCCAGAAAAGGTTATGAATGACAGACGAGTTTGAAAGCAAAATTTCTATGCAGCTTGCCATCGTCTTTCCAGCCAAGCCAAGAAAGTAATCAGTGGGATGAATTGATAGTAAAATAAAGTCTGCTCCTGCCCTACTGTTCATGCAGCAGACTATAACTGTAGACTGGCTCAACCCTCTTTTAAATGTCCTACATTGCTCCCTCTGTAGCTCACCCACTGACACCATTGTCGTGTCAGTTTGTGGGTCCCTGTGGCTCATGAGGGTGATGTAAGTGGTGATTATTGGCAAGGGAATTGTGACAGACCACGAGTGTGACTGTTAAAGTCAGCTGTTCTGTAACTATGTATGGCGCAGGGCCTTGACTGCAGTGACATTACATTGCTAATAAAGAACATTACTACATGCTAGCAACAATGTACAGTCTTCCCCCCGCCGCTTTGTCTGCCTCCTACATGCCCCGTCTTGCCCATTTATTCCACACACCTGTTGCCTTCTCTCCCCCTCTTATGCGTGCTTCCCCGCACCTCTTAACACTCCCTCACTTCCTCCATTTCTTCTTTGCTTTCTCACCTTACTTTTTCCTTGGCGACTGTTACCTCATTTATACCCACCCTGCCCTCCCCTTTTCCTACTTGTCAGTTTTTGATATCAAAGACATCCACCTGGGTGCCTTGAGCCAGTCTGGTTATATATAGATGGAGCCGAGGTGTTTACAACTGTGCTGGTAGCTGTGAGAGATGCACTTTCCTCAGGAGAGTCCAGCTAACTGTTGGGGGGCTATTACGTTGAGCGATGGCTCATTCAGAAATTGGCCTGCCACTAGAGATGTAGACATTTTTAGGCCAGCTCTCAGCCACTAATGTTTGTATGACATAAGTGTACAGTTTTGTATGCTTGTAATTACTATGTCACTTCATGTAACACACACCAGTGTAACTGTACATCTAGACAGTTAGGCTGTGGAGTAAATTCCTCCCAATGAGCAATAGACGGCTATTAGACGTCTAGTTTTTTCTAGGCCTAATTTCAACCGTCTAGATTCTGTATATTTTAAGACAGAATTTAGACGTTGCACTTTAACCCATTATTCGATAACTATCTATTTCAAAAAGCAACTGTGAGTTGCATAACTGATCTCCAAGTACTTAACCAAAATAATTATGATAGCAGTTGGGCAACATACAGTGTACTATAGATATAACTCAGATTGAGACTTGATCTAAACTTGGTCTAAAAAAACTCCCAGTGGGAGGAATTTACTCCACAGCCTAACTGTCTACATGTACAGTTACACTGGTGTGTGTTACATGAAGTGACATAGTAATTACAAGCATACAAAACTGTACACTTATGTCATACAAAAAAACTCCCATTTTTAGACCTGAGGTAGCCTGATTTTAGACCAGTCGTCTAGGCTACATTTAGATGTCCATTAGACCTCTTTTAGACTAAAAAATGCTCAGTGGGCTCCCAGCACATGCTGAAAGATTCTGCAGGGCATGAATACAGTCTGATGTTTCTTCACGTGTCTTTTTCAGCTCTCACTTGACTGCAAATTATGCCAAAAGGACAATTTTCTCTGTATGTCAAAGCAAAATTAGAGACGAGCAGGATCTGAAGAAACCTATGATTAAAAATGGACAAGGTTGTAGACCAGTGCTGGATTTTCAGGCCCCCAGGCAGCTCCTCATCAAAAACAGACTTAACACTGTAGTGGGAAACACAATGGACTCAAAACCACTTCCAAAAAAAAACAGTGTCTTTGCGTACAAGTCATGCTTAAATCTGCAAATTCAGATAAAAACTGGACAAAGGAAAGAGCATGATCTAGAAAATGCCAGCAACATTCAGAAGTGGTATTGGTGCCATACACATCTGTGAAGGCACTAGTAATGCTAAACATTATAAACGGTTTTAGAACAACATGCTGCCATCAGGTTTATTACATATTTCACCAATAAAATGACTACAGTATAGCTCTGTATGCTGTTTATTTCTCGGTATACCCATGCAGTGCTTGCCAAACCGGGGAATCTACAGTGCTGGCTGAGGAAAGGGATTTCAGTTCAGTGTTAACAGGGAGATCCGAGGTGACAGCCCTCTCACATCCCTTTTTTCTGCAGTGTTAGAAACGCACCCCCACACACAAGCACATACACACAAATACGCACTGACTCAAAATGCTGATGGGATGGAAAGCCACTGGCATCACACAGAGAGAGCGTGGGGCTAGAGTGAGGGATTTGAAGTCAAGAGTTATGTCTTGGCAGATATCAGATATATCAGCAGATGTAGCTGGTATCAGATATGTTGTTGCTCAAGGAAAGATGAAACCTCATTTCTCAATGCAAGTTTCCACATCTTACCTCCTAATGTTTCACCTCCTGCAATCCTATTTTCCTCTCCTTCGGACCCCCTCTCTTATGTGTCTCACTTTAACACACAGACATGCACACACACACTTCCGTCTCACACTTGGAATAACAAGAGTGAGGAAGAAGCGTTTTTGGTGGAGGTAACAGAACCACGAGACGGGCCTCTGCCATTTCACATTTGCCCTTCCTTTGTATTGACTGCAGCCTTTCTTTCCTGTGACTCGGACACAGAATCCATCTGATCAGATAAACTTGCATCAGCTCTGCTCTCCCCGTCACTGTCCTAGTTTGTGCTGGCAGTGCCATCCACCTTTTTCATGGGAACATTTAGGAAGAATACAGTGTTGATTTATTGTATTTGAAGGAGGTCTTATTCTCTGAGGCTGTGACAGGCTCTGTTATCTTTTAAGGGAGTGTCTGAATTATATTGCTTTGAAAGTATGGAAGGGTTTCCATGTTTTTTCGAGTTATAATGAGCGACAATGAGGCAGCAATATTACGTTGGGTTATTTTGGTCAGGAACAAGGTGATGCAGTGATGAATTAAGCTCCAAACTAAATCAGGAGGGGTTGATGTTTTTGTAGTGTCCTCTTGCGCCAAGCGGGGGAACACACACACACAAATACACACACTTCGATATTTTCTGTTGATGCAAACAAAAGCTCTGCTCTTACCTGGATGGGATACAAAGCTGCAGCAGATTAGGTGTGCTGTGTGAATGAAAGGCAGGGTGGATGAATGAATGAATGAATGAATGGCTGCATGGATGGATGAATGAAAATGGAGGTGGAGGAGGGTGCACCTTGAGGCCGATAGACTTGTACCCCTGGTCTTTTCCCCCTGTCTCGGTCCTCCCTTCCCTCCCCTTCTCCTCCGCCTCCTGATTGGCCACTTCGTAATTCATTTTTTTCTCGGGGAGCCCTAACCATGCAGCAGTCAGTAAGTCAGTAAGGGCAACCCCCCCTCTCCCCTTCCCCTCCCTCCCTTCATTTTGCCGCTGTAAGGAGTGGTTCTGTTTATGAATGAGCCTCGGAGCCGCAGAATGTGAATGAAAAATAAGAGCGGCAGCAAGCAGATATGGGTGCTTGAATGAAATGCATCAGAAGATGGATGGAAAATGGTGGATGGAGACCTTAAGGGCTGGATAGAGTAGAGGAGGAGAGCGGAGGTGGTGTGTGGGGCATTAAAAATGAGGATACGTGGGTAATTTTGTTGGAGAAATAGCAATCTATCTGCTGTTTCCCTTTAGAGAGACCGTTTCAGTGTGTGTGTGTCTCATCAGTATGCAGATCAGGGAGGATGCTGGGAAGGTGGATACCTGTGCTGGTGGCTGCAGTGAGCAAATAGGCATCTCCAATACCTCACACACAAACACACTTATGCTTACTGCTTTCTCTGGTAGCTGGTGGTCCGTGCTTTGAATAATAACGGGGTTACCCGGGCAACCAGGCTAGGATGATCGATGAGCCCGGCCCTGATAAACAGAGCACAGAGCGAGTGTGCTTGAGTGTGTGTGTGTGTGTGTCACAGGGTTTCTCAGTGTCGCAGTGGGAGTTTCTTTGTTCTGAGACAATTGGAAGATATCTTACTATCAAATCTCTTCTGACCTGTGATTATGTGTGTTTGTGTTTGCATGTGGGTGCGTGGGGGAGACACAGGCACACAGGATTCATGTGTGGTGCGATTGCTGTTTGTGTGTGGATGTGGAGGTTCATCTTTTTCAGTGAATGAGTCTGTTCTCAATGACACAAAAATACCCTTGGTGAGAGGGTAAGTGCAGGCGTACTGTGGGGGTGAACGCGCGCTCTTCTGACTCATTCACTTAAGGTAATAATACAGCCACTGGAAGGAAAGAGGGTGTCTCACTGTTACTCACCACCACACAGTGTGCAAATTATAAGTTAATCCAACGATTTGAACTGGCCACTTGATCTGATTAAATACGTGCTGCACACAAGTACATTTATAGAAGTGCTGCTGTTGTTGAGAGGGAGTTAGCATGTTCAGAAACACAAAGCGGTTTGAACGACAGTTGAAAATGACAAAGATGGGTAAGAGAAAACAAATACCACACCCAGAGAGATCTTTGCTCTAATTCACGGTCATAGTCTCAAATGTTCTCACACATATGGAGGGTTTTACTTCGACAGACAGGCAAAGACATTTTAATGAAACTATTTTTTACAAATTATATTGCAGAGATAATTTATAAAACAGCTAATATCTGGCAAGGGAACCTTCTTGGCTTCTTTTAGCAGCATCTGTGTGTCAGCACATCATAAGCAGAACAAGAAGTTTATTAGAGGTCAGTCAATGTCAAAGAAGTCATAAAAGTCTTTTGAGTATGTGTGAACTAAACAAATGATAACTTCGACAACAGTGACTGACAAGTGTGATGTCAAAGGTTTCAGGAACCCGAATTAAACAACAAAAAGAAAATGTTATTACTTTTTCTTCTCTCAGGAAGCAATATCCCCAATAAGCTGGATAATCCATCAAATACTGAGTCAGGAGTTTTTGAGGAAAAAAGTCATTCCTGGATAATCCAGAAAGAAGGAAATGTTGATAAACTGACAGACTGTTTTTTGCTGACTGTCAGTAATATTGTTGTCAATGTTGAGAGGACCGGACTCTGTTAACCCCAAATATTAGACATGACTACTGCGTCTGAATAGGTATCATAGACTGTCTAAGAAAAGGCACCATGAGTGTTTACTGAAAGTGACGTCAAATGATTTAGAGCTCCCCCTGCTGAGTTGTTGCAGTAAAGGTCTTAAACAGATAGAACATGGGTCTGTGTTACAGCAGTATAATTTGTTGGTGTCTGTAAAGTTTGGCTTCACTTCTTGGAGTAGGTTAAAATGAAAGCATTTACAGTCGATGACAAATATTTGTGGGTAATTTTTGCGGAATTGTACCTTGTTAATTGTTTCATTAGACTTGTTTCAAGGGTTGTTGCTGCTGGTTGTTGGTCTAAATAATTCATCTTGCATTTTAAAAGGTTTCACTCAATATTCTGTTATTGTTATAAGTGATCCCTGTGTTAGGGCTGGGTGATAAAGCGAAAATTTACGATACAGAAATTTACAACAATAACTGATGTCATTTTGCCCATATTGGTATATTCAATGTAAAAAAAAAAAGTTGGTTTTGGATGTGTGTAGGTAGGCTATGGTCTCATAACCTTTAAGACGCTGTCCTACGTCAGAAACATGACTCCACCCCATCCAGTCCGTAACAAAGAGGGAAAGACAGGTGAGGAGATGGAGGACGGTTTGAAAGTTGTAGCGGCTGGAGCGGCAGCTGAAGTAGACAAAGTTAATGTGGGAAAGGTTGAGCAGCTTGTGCAGCAGTTATCGTCCATTTATCGTTATCAAGGTGAACTGATCAATATATCATGATATTGATTTGAGGCCATATCGCCCAGTCCTACCCTGTGTGGACGAGGTTTGTTGAGATGGAATCTTGGCCACAATCTGAAACGGAGATGGTGCCAGGGTAGAGAGCAGGAAGAGGTCATGACTGGTCATGGATGTCGTTCTTTTACAGGTAGACAAAGAGCAGCTATTGTATTTAAACTGCCCAGGTGTTGTCTCTGTGTGGGAAATACTGAGTAGCACCAGTACAGTAGCTGTGAATGCATAAATATAATGTTAGCCTTCTTGAAACTGTTGGGAAACAGTCCGTTTGAAATTGATTGATTTTCTGTCACAGACACGATGTTCCAACAAACCTGAGTGGTTGCTTGTGGACTCTCAAGAATTTAATGGTGATTGGCATTCACATAACCTTCTCTGTCTGCACTGCACACCTCTGCATCACATTAGCCTCACTCCCTCCCTCGCTCCTCTCTTCCTCTCGCCTCTTCCATTTCTGCCTGTCCTCTCTCTTCCTCCCTTCCTCCCTCCCCTGTTAGAGAGGAGGAGGAGGTGGAGGAGGAGGAAGGAAGAGTAGCTGCTGAGAGGTGCATCTGCAGCCAAAGTCGCCTCTCAAGAGCTGGAGTGTCATCCTGGAGCTCACAGTGCATTTCCCACAAAGACATTATGTCGACCTCAAAGGGGGGTCATCTAAGTGGATTCAGAGATGCGGTGCTCTTTTTGTATGAATGCCAAGAGACAAGCCTCCCTCGCTGTGACAGTCGCTGCACGTTGCAGCACAAAATAGTCACTTCTCTCTGACCTTGTACACACAAATCTGTGATTCCAGGGACAGACTCTGTCCTTAAAAATCAACATAAATCATTAAAATAATGTCATGGACTCTGCATACACATACAGGCAGTTGAAGCTTTTAGAAAATGATCAGATTCAGAGGGCTTATCAGCATAAACAAGTAAACAATGCTGATGTGCACGACGCAGGGAAAATGAAGCACAAATGGCCTTTTTATTAAGCCAGAGTGACGTAGCTTTTAAGTAATCCTGTTATGTTTGAAGGGGATCAGAATTATCTCTATCATAAGACGAGCCTAAATCCCCGAGGTTTTTAAGTGTTTGTGAGATGAGAGATACCTAAGAGCCTCTGCAGCGTCTGCATCAGTAGGTATACTACAGTTAGCTGAGCTATTAAAACTCTGGTTATCTTTAAAGTGCTTCTGTATGTGTATATATTGCATGCCTGCAGAAAATGTCCATGCACACAATTAATTACAAACTTTGCTTACATGTTTGGGACCTTTACAGATACAGTACTACAGTGGTACAGTGGTTGGATGTTTCTCTGCTCCAACACACCTGATTCAAATGATCAGCTCGTTATCAAGCTCTGGAATGGTTTCATAACGAGCTGATTATTTGAATCAGGTGTGTTGGAGCAGGGAAACATTCAGAACATGCAGGACGGGGGGGCTCGAGGACTGGACTTGATAACCACTGTAGTACTATGATGTTAAGGATCTTCGGTAGCTTGTGAGATATAAAAAGAGGGTTTTAGCACTGTGTTCTGAGCCTCAATAGCACCATTAACCCATTATCACATATCTTCTGAGTAGGGAAAGCCCTGTCAGCGAGGTAATGGCTCTGAGTGTGCGTCATCAATGTCCCAGTGCTTTCTGCGCTCTGTAGTGACGTACTGTTGCAGCATGCCTGTTGTGACAAGATTGAGTTACACACTTAAATCACTTGAGAATAGGGAAGTTGCCGGGTAATTTCAGAGCCTTTGTGTAAATCTACAACAAGGTACAAAGAAGCAGGAGATGTAATGCAGTACATGACAGCTCACTGAGAGGACTGCACAAGAGATTTTATTGTGGGGATAAGATGCCCCTAATCCACAGTCAGGGGCGTAAAAAGTCTAAAGACTGGTCTATATTAGTAGTCATGTGGTCTCTGCAGCCTTATGTAAAGGATGGTGTTAAACACTGCAGCTGTCTCACTGAGGTTGATAGGTTTTTAATGCAGCAAGTCCCAGGGACCCATGAGTGGTGGTTTGAGTGGTCCCTGGGAAATTGAATGGGTACTTGGTAAGAAAAAAAAAAGGTTTCTCGAGAAGAAGTGAGGGCTGCACAAGGGTTGTTGGTTTGAAAACAATATCGGGTCTTTTAGGGGGGAGTTTGAACGTTCTCCTCATGCATGTGTGGGGACTTGGAGGGCAAAAACCAATGTAGAATAAATACCAACATTTTAGAAGACTATACTCTTGTTTATCCCCCACTGAGAAGTCAACTTTAAGCTTTAGAGAATTCAAGTCTTATAAATCCCTGTAAATACCATATGCTAACCTCCCCGTTTCTTTTTTTTCCTAACCAACTCTATATCTTTCACCCTGACACTGCGTCACCGTCTCTTCAGAACACATCACTAATCTACTGTCCTCCATCGGTGTAAGACCCCCACTGCAGCTAGGTTGTCAAATACACTGATTGTTTTTTTTTCTTTATTTGTGTGTGTTTGTTTGTCCAATAGGATTTTTTGGCTAGCGCTTACTCTCCATGAGGCGGTCCCTTCCACTCTTACATAATGCTGCTTGTAATGCTGCCGGCACAGACTAACAGACCTCCACCTCTGCATCATCAAGTTAATCGGCGTGTCCGACTGTCCCTTTGAGTCTGTGTCTGTGGATCCGTCTTTTTGTCTGTTTGTTGCTCTACTTTTGTCTGAGTTACGTTTAAATATTCCAACATTTTCCTCTGTCTCTACTTTACTTTCTTAACTGACAGATGTACTCACTGAGTCTGTGCTTGTCTGTTGTTAATTCTGTGTCTGTCTCTTTGCTCTGTTTGTGGACTCAACTTGTCAATCTCTGCTTTATTTTCCTGGCTGTCTGTACATCTTTTCTCTCCATCTCTCACTTCTGATATAGCATGCATAACAGAGTTAGTTCAGCTCCGTCGTGATATTCTTACGTAACTCTACATTTGCCTTTGCGCTCTCCCTTATCTGGACGGCACACACACACACACATGCACACACAGAGGACATCTATTGGGAATCAACATCACAATCTTTTGTCTCATTTTAGTGGGAATATCAGATTTTATATTGAACTTGTAATCTGTGTGTGTCTGGATGGCGTGTTCAGTTTTGTGACGAACAATAAAAACAATGAAAAGTTTGTCTGAATGAACAGCAGAGACTTCTTGTGGCCATTACAACTCTTTAGGAAGTGTGTTTGGTGACTTTTCCTGAATATTTTGTATGGAGTAATAGTGTTGCAATGATTTCTGACCAGTATTAGCAAGTTCTTACTGGAGTTTCTCTCAGTTTCTAATAGATGTTCCTTGTATTTTTCAGTGTTTTGTAGCAGTTTTGCTGAAATTACTTTTAATATATATATATATATATATATTTTTTTTTTCATTTCATCATTTGACATGTTGTCTGTGGAGAGAATGTAGGTTTTGAGTTTGCAAGCTATCAGACTCTATCAACATCTGATACAGTGTCCTCTCCTACATTTTCAGAATTAGGGTTACACAAATTAAGGCCATGTATCAAATAAAGTGGATCTTAATATAGTTATAAATATTCAACTGAAGGGTAAATAAAGGAGTTCCTACCTGATTTGAGGGAGTACATAACATAGCCTCAAAGTAATTGAGAAAACACTTGAGCAAATACTCAAATTATTTCCCGCATGCAAGATTATTTTTGACCCACCCTCTTTGATGTCAGAGTAAAGTCGGCATCACCAAAAACTAAAGTATTGACTTTCTCTCCTAGGGTGTAACATGATAATCAAAGGGGTAGAGGGATGACGCCCAGAGGCTCTGCTTCTCGGCATGATCAAATCACAAGAATGTTTTCTCCAATGTGCATTTTACTGTGTTCCTGCAGCATTTCTGCAGCCTCGCTAAAGTGTTCACTCCAAATAGAAGCAGGATGAAGAATTTCAGCATGTCACTTCTGCTTGGCTGCTGTGCCCTCTACTTTTGATCTCTTCCAGTCACATGCTTTACAGTGGATGTTTTTAGGCAGAAGGGTACTGAAGGGGAAGTGGTGCAGTGATGAGTGAAAAGGTATTTTGAGGAAAAGTCTCACGTTTTAGAGGGAGGATTATGTTGTCCAGTGGTGCTAGGATTAACTAGCGCCATTAGAGCGCCACAGATGACGGAGTGTGCGTCGCCTGTTTACAGTATGTAGAGGGAAATGAGGAGCAGATGTTTTTCATAGCTTTACTGTTTAACTTGAAAATACGCGCACACAAACAGTTTTAAAAAAGAGAACAAAAGGAGAAAAAGAGAGGGAAAAATCTTCGAGGTTCAAGCCTTGTAGTCGGTTTAATGTTCAACTTAACACAATCCCTGCAGTATTTAAACAGGTTAGACTGTATGAGAAGAAAGAGACAAACTAAACCACTATTGCAGAGTCAATTTCTTAGCTTGTTTCCATGGATACCTACTCCCTAAGACGATATTTATTTAAAATCACATTGTTATGCATTAAGTTTACTGTTGGGACGTAAAGAGAGGGTGTTATTTCTGTGCAGGCTTAGTGAGTGGGAGAAGCAACATGGACCACAGCTTGTCATATGTTGGATGCTGCTTGAGTGTTGTTTGATACTAAAGGGAGATTATGAATAGTGTGGGCATTTCATTTACAGTTCACCGAGCACCATCTGTCTCAATTAGACCGGATTTTTACTTCAGCATCGCACCAAATGAAATGTCCTCTTTGACTTTACCTTTTTACCCAAGAGGGTTTTTTTTTCTCCTGCAGCCTATTTTAGTAATTTTAGTAATAGTAATGGTTTGGGTAGAAACAAGAATATCTGTGATATTTATCAGGGAACCCAAAGTAGTGGTCTGTACTACTCCAGAAAAAAAAGCCCTGGTAAAAATGAGTCAGAGCCAGTTACAGCACGGTAATGGTTGCCACCTCACTGAACCATTACAGGCGGGTTAGTGTCCTGATGTGTCACGGGGAGTGTAGGGCAGGGCAATCAATCGAGTTTGGATTTCAATTTGGATTTAGGCTCCCCGTGATTGAAAAGATATGTTAATTGAGATTAAATGGTTACAGTGGTGCCTGCCAGTCTGACAACAGCCACTCTTTTTTCACAGTAGAGCTTGTGTTAGTTTGTTAAACTTATCTAGAGTGAGAAGACAAGTGTGCAGCAACTGGAACTGGACTAGCAAGAGCGATTGAAGACGTTGTGATGAAGCAAAATTTGTGTCATAGGGACTTTATTAGCTGCTACACTACTTTTAGCCGCTCAGAGCTCCGAGTAAGGCTGAGAGAGTGGGAGGGGACAAGTCGGAAACACGGGAGAGAGGTGTGTGGAATACAGCGAGGTGATTGGATGGAGAGGCGGAGTAGGAGATTGACTAATAGGAGCTGTCTGGGATGGATGGCTCCCATTGGTCAATGTTTTTGCAGCCCTGCACCTGCTTGGGTTTTTTTCTCTTCACTTTGTGGAGGTCGCACTATAGGACCATGATCGCTGAATAAACGAGGTTCATAATAATAACCAATCTCTTCACTTGTCAATGCCTTTAAAATGCACTGGGCAAGAATCTAATTATTGGCCGAAGCATGTCCACCTCTGCTACAGTAGGTGGCAACATGCTGTTATGAAGGTTTAACCTGACATGCAAACACTGGTGGTGTGTGCAAAATGCATGGTCCTGTTTCAGTTCCATTGAGGTAGAGAAAACCGATCCCCAACCGCATTATTCAGACATGTTAGTCTGACTGTGAAGGTTTGATTTCAGTACGATTTCATTCTGACTATTCCAGTAAATTGATTTTTTTCAAGTGCATGTAAACATATTGAGTGAGTAATGTGAGAAAGGAGGGCTGTGTGGTCAAGAGTGTATGGATTGGCCGGGTGAGAGAAGAGAGGTAAACTGCGAGGTAAAAGAGAGGTTTATGTTTCCTATATGAAATTTGCCAGGTTTAACTTTATGACATTTGAGATTTTTTTTAATATTATCTATTAAAGTCAGATTTGAGTAAAAAATTACATTAAGATATTTAAATTTTCCACCACATCAAGTCCCTCTCCATTGACAAGGATGCATGGTTGCTGGCTGTCGGCTGGCTGGTGGGAGGAAAACATGCATGCAGTCTTTTTTGTGTTGAAATGTAAACAGGAGTATAGATGCAGATTCTTGTTTTGTTCTGTTCCTGTTAACTCAGATTTCCTTTCTTTAAGCTGCCTTTTGACTTTATCCTTTCTTTTTTCTCCTGCTGCTTCCTCTCTTTTCTCTTAAAAGACTTCTCACGACTCATTTCAGTCGCTCTCATGCCACACATTCTCTGTCTGCAGCTCCTCCTGAGCATGCTCTGTTTCTATGCCGATCCACATGTATCCGTCTTGCTGTCATTACCTTTGGCTCGCAGTCTCTTTTTGCTTTTTATCCCTGGCAACCTCCTCTCATCCTGGGTCCGTAGCTCAGGTTACATAATATACATTGGAGAGAGGTGAAGGGAGGAATGGAAGGAGTGATGAAGAGTGGATGGAGGAGGGGAAGAAGAGACCCGACTGCTCTTCTGAGAAAGTGATGTTTTCGCCTGGCTGATCACTTGATGCTTGACAAGACACAGTCTGGGTCTTTTTCCCTTTTTTGTTTTGTTGTTGTTGTTGTTTTTTTTCAGGACAAGAGATTACAAATGTGAGCACCACATATCCTTATTTTTCTTGCATATTCTTACTAAGGTGTTGAAGTGATTAACTTTCCATCATGGCACGAATGCATGTCTGCTTTGCTGCCCGTCTAGCTCGTTTTTATCTTCAGGAGCTGACATCTGGTCAGCCCATCCTCTCCTCCCTCTTTTTTTCCCTTCCTTCTCTTATCCCCTGATCATCTCATCTCTATCATGATTACACTTTACCTCGCTGACCTGCGATGATGTAACCCTTTTTTTGGCTGCAGACTTTACTAACCCCCCCTTGCAACCAAACATTATACTCTCCCATCATTCTGAGAACTGCCGTCTCTTGGTCTTTAATATCGGCCTCTGCCCAACACTCTTTCCTTTTGGGCCATTTTTTTAAGGTCTTAATCTTGCTCCTAATACCATTTCCCTGCATCAGCTCAGTGTGGGTGAGGGGCAGTGGGAATAAGATTGATGGAGGGAGAGACTTTGGGATTTTTCCCAGATAATTTTGTGCTCTAGTTGTATGATTGTAAGGACTTACAAAGAGATGGTAACACTCCATTGTTGGTGCTGTTAAGTCATGAGTTAAAGGATGATGCCTAATGGCACTTAGCAGCTTTCAACACTGGCCTTTTCTCTGGACATGTTTCAGAACAAGTTTATGTTTCTTGCTGTGCCCCTGGCAGGTTTAAAACATCTGAATTATAGAGCACATTTTAAACTTGTTTGACTCTTTTAAGCAGGACATTGTTATTGTAAGACTTGTTTCTAAGTCATATCAAAGGAACTGTTCACTACTGCTGCTTAAAAGGGGTTTCTACAAGAGCCAGCTGTTGACCAATAAAGCCAACTGGACTAGATTGGGGCTGGGAAAGGTTTATCATGATATATTTTTTCATAACAGTCGATATTGATATACGTCATGATACAAAAAATGAAATTTAACAGTGCATATTGGTGGTCTGTCTTTTGCAGTACAGTAAGCTACTGCATCTGTGAGGTCTTTGTGTCTCTTCGACAGGATTTGTAAACTTTTGCATCGTGCGTGCTCTGCCATGTGGAACTGCTTCAGGTGGTGAAAAAGATTTGAGATATTCCCCGACTTTACGAGAACATGTACTCAACATAATTTGCAGTGCACATTACTCTGCTTCATGCCCAACCTCAAAAAACCCCAAAACCTCCACACCACCAACATTTTCGTGCCAGTGTTGTCAACAATGTCGTCATCTGTTGAGTCTTCCTCTGCATTTCTGCTGGGGGGTGGCTTTCATTTTATTTTTTTCTCACTAACAGTGCTGTCAGCTTCATGTGTTAAAGTGCTATGGTTGCATGTAGCTGCAGCCTGCTACCAAGTAGTTGTTTGCTACTTGGTTCAAATTAAGCACGATTGGTTCAGCGCAGCATGGACCCGGAAGAATTCCCCTTTTTATTTGCTATTGGTATAGTCTACCAAAACATGGCAGAATGCAGAGTTTTGGAAAGCATACTGACCATGTTTTATATTGATATTGAGGGAGATAAATTTTCAATATATATTGTTATCGTTTTATCACCCAGCCCTAAATACTCCTGATGACAGCTGTTTACTTTTTCTAAAGTTGACTCAATAGACAATTTTGAATAAAAAGTTGTGACCTGCTCGTCCGGTACTTTCTGGAAGCACTTGCTTTTGCTTTTTATCTATATGTATCTGTATTGGGCCTTTCTGTCATTACAGGCTGGTTCACTTCACTTCAACGTGATGGCGGCACAGTAAACATTCAAAAGTTTTCCCAACACACACTGCACACAGACCTTCATGAGCCCAATGATGACCAAACCAATGAATCACCTTCGCGTCACGAATCATCAGTCAAACAACTTCCATGTGACCGCATTAGGCTACAGCAGACCACTTGTTTCCGTTATAGGTTCTTATATAATAGTTTCTTATCGAGCTGCATCTGGCCTTACCCTGTACATTTCACACTCCTCTGCTTCATAACAAGACTTAGCAGGAGAAATATGCCCACATGTCAACCTTGATCCTGTATGTGTGAGCACCAGAGCCAGGAGTGCTCAGCTGAGACGAGATGTCAGTGTCTGATAGATTTTAGCAAAATAATTTAGTACAAGAGAAAAAACTGACTGCGGAGAGGTGAGTGATTGGCATCTCAAGCTGTTCCAGGAAAACGGTAGCAGCGGTGTGACGTCTGCGTGGTTAGCATCAAAAGTGTTTCAGATACATACAGTTGAAGACTTACTGAATGTAAAACAAAAATTAATTACCTTTATCATTTAAAGCACATCTGCTTTTTACTAATTCAAACATAGCTGAACCAGGAGTCCCTCTCTTCTAATAAGGGGATCAATCAAAGCCCATTCAACATAACTCATGTGGATGCTCTCTCTCTCTTTAAGCTGACGTACCATGAGATACGTCACAGAGGGAGTCATAGACTAATACATCTTAGATTAATAAATTAGAGGGTAAAACCTTTAAAGTTTGCATGTGGAGTAAAGAGAAAAAGGCATATATTTCCATTTTATGTCACCGTCTGATATTTTTTTTATCAAAATCAAATCTGAACCGGGGACAGTCCCTGTAAGTTTCAACATCAATCAGCCTCGTGGGTCAACAGATGAGGTCCCATGTTATCAGAGGACAGTCTGTGTGCTAACCTCTTTACAGGGACACAGCAGTGTGACATCATCATCCGATCACGCAGGCCGAGTCGATTCACGATTTCGCTTTGAATTTAATTGTCATTGACTGTTGGACACCCCCTGGCCTTGGCATTTCATAGACTTTGCTCGTGAAATCGTGATTTACTGAAAGAGAGAGAGAGAGACAGAGAAGGAGAGAGAGAGAGAGAGAGAGAGAGAGAGAGAGAGAGAGTGTAGAAAAATAAATTATGTCAAGGTTGTTCAGCTGTTTATCCTCCGACAGAGATTTTAATCTGCATCTAGTATTATTTTTTGTACATTTTCTCATACACGTTTGTGTGTGTGTGTGTGTGTGTTTGCATTACTATTCACCGAGGGCAGGGAAGGACAGCAGAGGATGTACTGCTGCAGTACACTGGAATTATGATGAAGTAAAGCTGTTTTATCTACAGACTCGCTCTTTCCGCTTTGTATGACAGAGACTTTGTTTTCCCTTTTGGCATAAGAACGAAAGAAAACCACTTTCTTTGTTTATTCGATATTCAGTAAATTGTATTTCATGCAAACTGATGCTTAACAGCATGGCATGCCCCCTGTGTGGCTGTTTCAGACATTCATTGTCAGGATGAGTTTCTGAGACATTTTCCATCACACGGGAATCAAGCTGATTTTTGCAGAACCTGACTTTCTTTTGGTGGTATAAATGCATTAACAGTTTTACTTGTCCTTTTTTATTTCTTATGATTAGACAGGGCTGGGTGACATGGCCTCAAATCAATATCACACTATATTGAGCAGTTCACCTTGATAACAATAAATAGACGATTACTACTCCATAAGCTGCTCACTCCCTCCCACATAAAATTAGTCTACTTCAGCCACCGCTCAAGCCACTACAACTTTTGAACCGTCCTCCATCTCCTCACCTGTCTTTCCCTCCTTGTCACAGACTGGATGGGGTGGAGTCACATGATGTAGGACAGCATATTAAAGGGACATGAGACCGAATATACAGATTTGGGCAAGATGACGTCAGTCGTTGTCATAAATTTCGGTAGCTCTAAATTTTCGGTTTATTGCCCAGTCCTTTTACTTCTGATTCTGTTTCCTCCAACTTTATCATTTTTTGCCCTAACCTACCTTGAAAAAGTATTCATACCTCTTGAACTTTTTCACATTTTGTCACTCTACAACCACAAACTTAAAGGATTTTATTGAGATTTTTTGTCATAGGCCAACACAACATATTTGTAAAGTGGAACAAAAATGACACATGATAAATGATTTCTTTATCATTTCCTTGAAGGAATATAACCATATTAATAATTTTGCACTTCAGACGCAGTAGTTCTTCTGCCTTAGCATCTTGGTCTGATTGCATTTCCATGAAGAATTGATAAATAAATGTTCTTCCTTGAGCTGTGTCACCCCCGGCTGCTGGAGGAGAGTAGGTGAGTTGTGTTTAGTCTCTTTGCTAAAGAAATTAGGCAAAATTAAAAAGATGTTTGGTGGCTAGTACTATGGCTGCGACCCTATATGTACTCTTAATAAAGTTAGGTACTGTTCTGAGCATTATTTGTGGCTATAGAGTGGCGTTTTGGTTGAGGTTTGTTTATGGCTCCTCAGACCGCTGTGTATTGCTATCGTGCGGTCGTTACTAAAGTTGGTATAACTAGAGAAGCAAGCGGTCGGCAACATTCATCTCTGGTGGGGGTGTCTAACTCGGTGTTGCGGTGTGTTTGACCCTAAATTAATTTTACGCCGGAATATATGTTTAAGCCTCTACGCCTGTAGGTGGATGTCCAGAACTCCAGGTCTATAGAATGCTTACATATGCTTTTAACTGAAGTTTATGTTCATATATCTGTTTGTATCACATCTCCTCTGTTCAGCTGATCTTATTTCTTGTTTGTATGCTCTGAAAATCCAAACATGAAAGTGTGTTTTCTTTTGTATCTTTCAATGATCTAAGCAAATATTAATGACATAGCTGAAAGCTGTGCTGTGATGGTGAAAACCCTCGTGTGAGCTGCATCCTTTTGGTGTGCGTGTAAGTGTGTATGTGTGTGTGTGTGAGAGAGAGAGAGTCTGTCAGCATTCGCAGTGGGTTCAGGACTGGTGCCAGACCCAGCGCTCAGCCTGGCAAAGCATTATCAAAGTGTGTGTGTGTGTCTGTGTGTTTGTGTTGAGATTTGGGACCTGTGCTGGCTCTCTCTCATCAAGTATGCAGTTGGAGTCGACGCTGCAGCAGAGATGCCTAATAGAGAAGGCAAGAGAGAGTATAGAGAGAGTTGGAGAAAGGCTCTGAATACGTCATACCACCCGCTCACTTCCAGCTTCCACTTCTCCTCTCTTTATCGTCACTCTCGCCAATTACTCCTTTTCACGTTCATCTATCTCTGCCTACCCTTCTTCCCTTCTTCCCCTTTCACTCTTTACCCCACCCACTAAATTTCTCCTTTTGTGTCCTCATTCATTGCCTTTTTTCACATTCCTCGCTCTCCAGTCTCCACCAAATTGAATGTCATTCATACCTCTCTCTCTTTCTCTCTCAATTCCCTGCAGTCTGGAGAGAGCTGTTGAGAGTTTCAGCAGCCCTCCTCACACTGCAGGTAGCCTCACAGCACTACAGATACACTGTCACATTCACAGCTCATCTTGCAGTTCCTGTTCCCATGACCATATAAGGACTTCCTTTCAGTGACATCACAGAGTTGGACAGCCTTGCAGGAAAGGTCAGGGACATTTTTTTCTTAAAAGGTGGGAGTTTAATGGTGTTTAAAGGGGGCCTGTTGGGAGATACTGACCACGTATAACTTGTTCTATGCACGCAAAAACATGCACATTTACTTGCACACAAAGAAACACACAGAGGACAACATACATTCAATTCTTTATGTGCTACCTTTTCCAGTGCAGCCATGAATCTGCCCTTAAAAAAAGGAAGTAAAACTCATAATGTCATGTATTAGGGCAGAAAAAGCTCATCCTGGTATTTTATTTGTTCGCACTTTGCAGAGAGAAAGGATTTCCATCAAGGGTTTGTCCTCTGCAAGTATACAGAGACAAGCGCAGACACTCACAGAGAGTCTGATTCCTCTTTCTCACCTCCTCCACTTCTTGTCTCTTGCTTTTCTCATGGACATACAGTTCCTGCTAAACAGGATGTAGTCATGATTCAGAGAGAACAGATCACTGTGTGTATGTGTGTGTGTGTTTGTGTGTGTATTTCATGTTGTACAGTCCAGCCTGGTGCAGCTTTCAGACTCCCATGCCAACGGCTATTTGCAGCACTTTTACTTCCATTACCGTCCTCTACTTTGCCGATCCCCTGAAAGAAAAAGAGAAAGATGCAGTTCAAATACAACTGAGTTTCCTTTATGATGCATTGGGGAAGTAGCTGGAAGACTGGATAAATCAAAGTTTGTGTGTGTATGTGTGTGTGTGTGTGTGTGTGTGTGTGTGTATGTGTGTGTGTGTGTGTGTGTGTGTGTGTGTGTGTGTGTGTGTGTGTGTGTGTGTGTGTGTGTGTGTGTGTGTGTGTCAGGGACTGATGAAGAGTAGAAATGGGGGCACTAGCATATTCCATGTAGCAGCAGAACAGAGAGAGGGATGAAACGCGCAGCATTAATCACCATCTTCATCCACCAGCCTGTCTCAGAGGCTGACTCACTCTTCATTAGCAACTTCACTGCTGTCAGCTGCTCACTGGTGGCCTGAAAGCAGACTGAAAGCCACACTATCATGTCAGTACAAACTACAGTTACTATTTTGGAGCATCTGACAGAAGCCTGAAGTATAACCAAGAAATCTACGCTCCAGATCAGTTTCTGCACCTTTTTTGATTACATGTAGGGCAGTGGGGATTCCACTGAGACAGAATCATACTTCCCTTGTGTTCACAGAGAACCATTGTGACTGTGTATGGGATAGACGTCACATCATTTCAGTTCATTGCTTTGAAGCCAAAGGACCTTTACAAGCATTGGCATAAACATTGGTGAAACCAAGGCATGTCAGGGTACCCACTAGGGGTGGGAATCACTAGTGGCCCCACGATACAATGTTATAATGATACTTGAGCCATGATACAATATTATTGCGATTTTTAATTTTTTGCATACAGTGAGTATTGCGATACAATGTATTGCGATTTATACAATTTTTTTTTCAACTTTTTAGCTTGTTTAGTATTTGACTCCCCTTTATGTTTGTCTTATTTACACTGTATTTTACTTTCATAAAATTATTTTCAACATTAAATATATTTGTTGCACTAACTTTCTCCTTCTCTACGATGTCACCTCTGTCAACCTCACTGGACAAACAGCTGATTTAAGTTTTCCATTATTATTAGTTTTGACTTTATATTAGCAATTAATTTGAAAAATCGATACTTGGAAAATGACACAATATGATATATCACCAGACAAAATTTCACAATACTATGTTGTATCGATATTTTCTCCCACCCCTAGTATCCACAGGGTCTTAAAACGCCTAAAATCCAATAATTTGAATTCAAGGCCGTAAAATATCTAAAATTCACTTAAAATCGCATAAAATGTCTCAGATATGATTTTGAAAGGTCTGTACTGACTCTACTTTCAGATAAATAATGTGCTGTACACATAAAGATTAATTTAAAGTAATGTTAAATATTTCGATTTCCTTTCATATCTTCTGTACTTTTTTGCCAGTGTGGATGTAAAATTGTTCTTAAATTGTATTTATTACAGTCTTTAAAAAAAGTCTTGAATAAGACTAGTTGAAACCTGCAGAGACCCTTGCATGTGAAATGACCTGGGTGGCGCTAACTACCACCTTTTGGCACTTTCACTTTGTATGAAACTGTGATTATAAATAACTTTTAAGCCTTGGTCTAAGAAAAAAGGGAAAATTTGAACAACCATTTTTTTTCCCTTGAAGTGCATGTTTGTCATGCCCATCATGAAATTGCATGGCAAACACATGTTGTCAAATTGTTATCTATTTTCAGTCAATCAAGTATTGAGATGCCCATCATGAAATTGCTTGGTCTGTGTCTATGTAAATTATGGGACACTAGATGATTAAGAAAGAGCTGTTGTCATGGTGCCCTGCATTCTTATCAGCTCTCCTGATGACAGAATGACACTGCAGAGGGACATGCTATTTCCTCCTGCAGGGTTTAATATGCTTGGTCAGCCATAAAGCTCCCACACTGTGCCGGCCCTGGTCTGTAAAACCTGATCCATACTGCATAATCACACCAAGGTCAGGCTACAGAGCTATTTACATACAGACGCAGACTCCTTGAACTGACAAACTCTCCTGCCAACCAGGCAGAAAATTAACCAGCCAAGTTTGGGCCTCTGTGTGTGTGTGTGTGTGTGTGTGTGTGTGTGTGTGTGTGTGTGTGTGTGTGTGTGTGTGTGTGTATCAAGGATTTGTGGTTGTGCGTACTGTATGTTGTGTACTTTGTGAGTGTTTCTGCTAGTGTGTGTTTTAAACTTGATAATACCTGTGCTTTGGCTATTTCATTTTGTCACAGACGTGGTCTTGGTAGGTGGCTAATTGAAAATGCCTTAACTGCTGTTCCCTTCTCTTCCCCCCTCTACACAATAATGTGTGTTGATGCTTGTGCGTTTAGTTGTGTATTTGTGTTCTTGTTCACAGCATGGGTCAAAGCATCCACAAGTGTGAGACTAACTTGGATGCTGAGAAGTTTTTGGCCTCTTGATTCTTACTTTAAGTCAATAGGTAAAGAAAAAAGCTAAAACCTCTGGTTTGTTGTAGTTTCATCTCCTTCTTACAGTCCCACTCCGATTGTATTTTTTTTTTTACTACTGGAAGTGTTATCAGTGGTTTTTAAATTGTGATTATAAAATTTTTAGCTAAAATCACATTACCTGTATAATTTTCAAGTGCTTTTCTTCTGCAGAGCTTCAGTAGCTCATTAGCAATTCGCCTCTGAGTCGTGGGCGGAGACAGCGCTGCTCTGCACACTCCTCTTCATGCTAGGTAGCAGCCTTACATTGCCAGTGTAGTAGAAGTGGCAGGTAACATAGGAGCTATTCAGCTCTCAGACACTAATGTCTTTGTAAGCTAAAATCATAATTAGCTTTCTTACAAGCATTACAATCCGCTTATGCACACACTTGTTCCGAGATCGTCCTCTCTACTTCTCAGAATCTGGCCTGCTGAGGGCGGAGCTTTGAGTTGTGATGTAGAAAATCCCACAGTGTCTGATCCTGCTGTTTGGGTATGCTAAAGTTTCACAGCAATTTGAATGCAGATATACTCAGAAATGCAATTTTGCTCTTAGTTTTCTTATGATACGTTCTGCAGTAACAGAAGAATGCCATATGAACATGTAGACAATAAGAAAAACATGATTTTTATCTGAGTGGTACTTTAGGAGCTGAATATTTTGCAAAAAAAAAGAAAGAATACACATTGACAGAAATGAGCGCTTGGGTTAGGATAAAAAATACGTCTCTGTTTCTTTACTTTTTATTGGTTACAGCTGTTTGCCTGACCACCTCCTCTCTTTGACGCTTACTAAAGCATTAGGTTAAAAATAGTACAGTGCAGCAGTAGTGTTTTTTTTACAACCAGTCCTTTCAATTTTGTACTAAAGAACGTAAAAATGACAATTTTGATAACTCTGATTTATACATGCATATTTCAGAGTGCTGGTGAGGCAGATTAATTGCTTTACCGGAAGGTTTGACAGCACCTGTGCAGATTAAGAATATTGCAGGCATGTTTTTGTACTTAAGCGTAACAGCAATCCAAACACATCTACACACTTCTCACTCTATTTCTTGCTGAATCATGAGTCTTTTCTCTGCTGCTACACCACTGATTGACTGGTGGATTAAAACACTGCCCATCAAACAGGGAGAAAAAAAAAAGCAGAACAGGTTGTGCTTACTCAAACACACATACTCACACACTCGTGCACGAACACACTCACGAGCATGTACTTTCTTGTAGGAATGGGTTGATGGAAAAATAAATATTGGTGCCTCTGCTGGAACTGACTCAGCGAGGCGATGATGAATATCAAGGGGAGAGAGAGGAGAAAGCTGTTGACAGACACAGCTGTTAACACAACTGTGCAAACAAACAGGCGTGGACAGGCTTCTCATGTTCACTGTAAATCATGATCATGACCCTACAAAGGCATTGAGGATAGATGTGTTTCCACTGAGGTTATAGGACAGTATATGCTTTGATTTAGCATTAACAGTTTTGAATTAACAACATTGTGAATGGAGCCTCTGACCTCTGTTTGTGACCGATATTGGTGGCTGACGTTGGCTAGTGTTCAACCAGTAAGAGACTGTTTTTAAGCTGCAGACGGCAAATTAGATGGCTGGAAATAACACATAAGTGGAGGAAGAGGCTTTTAAAATGTGAAGATCACGTGTTACATCAAGGAATTGAATGGTTGGGATAGATCGAGAAATAGCAGTTAAAGGGTTTAGCTGAAACAGGTTAAAAGAATGATGTCTGGAATCCAACAAAAGCAAGACATGACCACTTTATTTGGTACACCTGTTCAATTGTTAACACAAATAGCTAAGAAGCCAATCACATGGCAGCAACTCAGTGTATTTCAGTGTGTGGACGTCGCCAAGGTGGCTTGCTGAAGTTTAAATTGAGCATCTGGGATGACAGAACTGGGAAGAAAGGGGATTTTAATGACTTTGATCTTGGCATGGTTGTTGGTCCCAGACATGCTGGTCTAAATATTTCAGAAACTGCTGCTCTACTGAGATTTTTACACGCAACCATGCAGGTTTGTAGAGGATGGTCCCAAAAAGAGAAAATATCTAGTGTGCGGCAGTTGTGTGGACAGAAATGACTTGTTGATGTCAGGTCAGAAGAGAATGGGCATACTGGTTTGAGGTGATAGAAAGGCAACAGTGAGTCAAATAACCACTCATTACAACCTAGGTATGCAGAATAACATTTCTGAAGGCATAACACGTCCAACCTTGAAGCAGATGGGCTGCAGCAGCAGAAGACCACACCAGGTGCCTCTCCCGTCAGCTAAGAACAGGGAACTGAGGCTACAATTTGCACAAGCTCACCAAAAACTGGACAACAGGTGACTGGAAACATTGCCTGGTCTGATGAGTCTGAATTTCAACTGTGACATCCAGGTGGTAAGGTCAGAATTTAGTGTAATCAACATGAAAACGTGGATCCATTCTGCTTTGCATCAACAGTTTAGACTGCAGCTGGTGGTATGAGCGTGTAGGGGATATTTCCCTGGCACATTTGGGGCCCTTTAGTACCAATTAAGGATTGTTTAAGTGCCACAGCCCACCTGGGTATTGTTGCTGACCACGTCCTTCTCTTATTACCACAGTGTACCATCTTCAGATGGCCATTTCCAGCAAGATAATGCTCCATGTCGCAAAGCTCAAATCATCTCAAACTGGTTTCTCCAATGTGACAATGAGTTCACTGTACTTCAGTGGGCTCCACAGTCACCAGATCGTATTCACAGACAACATCTCAGTACTACTTAGTAGCAGCGAATGCCCCCCATTATAACCCCCCTGTAAAAAACTGTTGTTCAGGACTGCGCACAACATGCTTATTCATGCTTCCTACCTACTTGGTTACCATAATAACCGTTGTTCTAGGCAGTAGCTCAGAAGGCGACAGTAGCTCAGGAGGTAGAGCAGTCGGCCAATAACTGGAAGGTTGGCAGTTCGATTCACCCCTAATCCAAGTCTGTCCATTGTGTCCTTGGGCAAGACACTTGACCCACCTTGCTCCCAGTGTGTGTCCTGCACTGGTGCATGATTGTGAGTGTTGTGTGGTGGTGGTCGGAGAGGCTGTAGGCTCAAACTGGCAGCCACGTTTCTGTCAGTCTGCCCAAGGGCAGCTGTGACTACTAAGGTAGTTTACCACCACAAAGGTGTGACTGTGTGAGCGAATGAACGATGTATCCAATGTAAAGCGCTTTGAGGGTCTCTGATAAAGCGCTATATGAAATCTGATGCATTATTATTATTATAGTCTACACACAACATTCTTGTTCTCATTCATAAAGCGCATGAATCTGGGACATTTCCGTGGACAGGTCATCAAATACAGGGACTGTCCCGGGAAATCAGGGATGTCTGGTCACCTTATGTTAATATGAATAAAAATCTCTGAAGAAGGTTTCCAACACCTTGTTGAATGTTCTGAAAGCAAAAGGGAGTCCAACCTGGTGCTAGCAAGGTGTACCTAATAAAGTGGCCAGTGAGTGTATATAGAGTCAACACCAGGGTACAATCAAGGTAACTTGGTTTCAGAACAATGTAAAGGAGTGTGTTGGTTGTATCCTTACTTACTTACACTTCACTGTGTAGCTGGTTGCTACGTGGATTAGCACTTATCAATTTTAACAGTTTTTTTTACAGTGTGCTTTGTGAATCACCTCAAGCATGTCTTTTATATATGCAAAGCATAACAGCCCATTGAGTATATAAGAGAGGGCCCCTAAGAGCCATAAGTACAAAAAAACCCACATTATTTTTACAATAAAGCAGGAATGATATCGATATGATTTTAGTGAGGGGAATCAAAGTGTTAAAAAACAAGGTCTTTAATGCGCTTGTGCGTTTTTTGAGGACAGATTTGACTGTAAAGACTGTTTGATCATAGGGGATTGAGGGGTCAATGATGTGTCCTTTTGTCCTGAGGGATAAAGGATTTGAGACACTGTTGAGGTATTTCCATCCCTGGAATCAAAACTCTACTACGTGTGACTCACCGATTTTTATAGTAGACAAAATAAAAACCCACTAGACATCTGGGCATGTCTTCTGTCTGTATCACTGACTATAAATGACATGAAATGATGAAGACTGTAGGTTGATGAGCCATGTGGGGTGCGTATGATCTACTGGCAGTTTTTGTGGAGCTTCCTCAGTGGGATGGTCGCTTGAAAATAGAGAGAGGTGGACACAATAGCGACTAGACATCTGCAGGGAGAGTTAATTGTCACTGGAGATACAGATCTCCTCTATTGTACCATGTGTATTATTTTCAGGGAGGATTAGCTGTTGTTGTTGTCTCTGGAAGTATAACAGGCCAAAACATCATTCTGTACAAGGACTGGACTTGCAGTGTCACACCTGACTCATGCTTTGTGTGTGTGTGTGTGTGTGTGTGTGTGTGTGTGTGTGTGTGTGTGTGTGTGTGTGTGTGTGTGTGTGTGTGTGTGTGTGTGTGTGTGTGTGTGTGTGTGCCCCCGCTAGCTCTTTAGTTACACAGCAAGAGCAGATCAAATTGCATCAGTCAGGCTCTTTACCAGACGCTCTCTCTGTCCGACAGTCTGTCTCTTCCACTCTCTCTCTATCTCTCTTTGACTCCTACACTTCATCGCCCCTGTTGCTCTCATCCTGCCCACTTCGTCTGACCCGTGCCCACCCCTCATGTGAGCACTCGATCCATTGTTCTTGATCCCTAGATTTCCACCACGGCTCGGTCTGTTTTTCATTTTTTCAGCTGTTGTTTGACCCCGCTAAGGACAGAGAGGGCTTTATCGCAGCAGTGCTACAGCTTCCACAGTTGAGTGGATTTAGCTTTGAGCACAGAGCGAGGTGTGAAACACTCAGGCTCCCAGTTTTCAGGATTCACGTGCCGCAAATGCTTGACTCATTTGAATTCAAGCAGGGGGAATAACAAGGTTTAAATAGTAATATAAAAACGGGGGTGGGTGGCTTTGAATAAGCGTTAGTTCTGCCTCAAAAGAGAGAAAATATGGCGCTCTACTCTAGCTGCCATTTACTGAGCCTCCGATCCTGGTGCCTGTTGGTGTTTTGGATCAGAGAGATGCTTCAGGCTGCTTGCCACAGCAAAGAGGCACATTCATACGGTGGAGTCCTTCCAAGTATCCTCCATCATTCATGCACACACACACATGCACACACATGCACACACAGGCTCACACTCCATCAAACAGTCATGGGGAAATGCTTAATTATTATTCACTCACTAATTACCTCGTATACCCACTTACATAACTGAGGTTGCTTTGTGAGCGGAGGGAAGAAGAGACTTGTGAGGAGAATTCGCCGGAAGAGCCGAGCTTTTGAAAGAATTTTCAGCTGGCCTCGCTTGCTGATGCAACTTTTCTGGAGCATCTGAAACAGCTTGAAAATAAGTGGAAATAAAGAATATTTATGTCTTTCATACATGCAAGACAAGGCTTTGATCAGATCAGTCCTTACATACCAAATACAGTGAAACATGCTGCATTTCTACATTAACATTCCCTTCATCACTTTAAATGGTTGCAAGCTGATTAATGTGCAAGTTCACACTGGGATCTGAAGAAACAGGGAAAAGGAGAAATGGTTTGTTTATCAAGTGAGAAACAGGAGACATAAACAGGCTAGACCTCTTCACTTTGTCTCCTTTCTTCATCTCTCACTTTCTTGCCTTAATTCTCCATCTTTTACCTCGTCTTGCTTTATTTTATTAGTGTGTCAGCTTCTTTATTTTCACTGTCCTTAATCTTGTGACTTTCTTTTCCTCTCCACTTCATTTTGACCTCTTTTTTTTTCTCCCTCCCGTCTTCCTGGGCACATCTTTCATCCCCACTTAATTTTTATTACTCCTTGTGTCCCCTTTCTCCTCTGTGTCTTATCTCCCTTCATTCTCTCGAAATCCGTCCCCCTCCTTCCTCTTCAGTGTTGAATGTTCTCACTCCTCTGCCTCTTTGTGAAAGCAGGGAAAGCTGTGAACACTTCTCTTGAAAATGTGTATCTTTTGTTGGAAACGCTGCTTAAATGTTTGAGATTGATCAGAACAGAACAGTAAGTTTCAAACAAAGAAAAACACCAAAGAAGGACAGACAGGCGTGCTTGTTAAACTCAGACTGTGTTGAAGTTTGGTTGCTTCTCAACATATATGCAGTACATGTAAAAGTAAAACTACACTTGGATACTCTCTATCATTAAGTATTTGGAGTAGTTCAGTTTTCTAAAGTGGTACTGGTCTTTGTGGAGAATCTGGCCGGGGACCCACCACATAAACTAGATTACCAACCACTTCAGACAGGGTCGACTGTATTTGTCAGTGTCTTTTTTGTTGTCTATTTTTACATCATGATAACTGGTTGACAAAATGACCACTACTTTGTATTGGTGTCTTGCTCTCTATATCTGCAATATTAGCATTAGATCACAGCTGTTTTCTTTTCAAAACTTTTTCTGAATCTTGCTAACATTATTTACAATTCTTTAATGTATTCTATTCGGTTATGTGTAATTCTGTTGTATGTATAGGGCCCGACCGATATGATTTTTTAGGGCCGATACAGATTATTGTGGGGGTGTCTGATTACCGATTGATCTGCTGATTTTTAAAAAAATGTATGAAGTTTTAAAATTTTGTTAATTTAACTAATATATCTACATATTTACTTTTTTTTAAACAAATGGCTGCTTTTGAGCCTTTCAAACACTTCTTCAAAGCATTTCAAATCCTTTTATTGCTAAAACAACTGAAAAAGAATGAGGTATTTTGTGTGAAGTGCAAACAGTTTAGCTATATAAATAAATCAAAATAAAGGTAACTCACGTACATCATAACAAATGAGGAACACTAAATATACTGTAGGCTACTGCTCTACATGCCGACAGGAAGACCGACTGATCATCTTGGTAATATTCCACGTATTTATCGTGAATCAAACTCGGACCAGAAAAGCTTTTTTGACATCATGAAGTGGGTTGAACTGAAAGTGGCTGGATGCTAACATTAGCTGTGGCTAATGGACTGTCAAATATGTAGTTTCATTTCAAATGTGAGCTCATCTCTCTGTTTGTAATCTGTCTGGCTGCTTATCAACCAGTAAGCTATGGGATCACTTAAGTTTATCAGATCATCGAGCTTTGTATAACTTTTGCAAGGTTGTCTGTATTTTTACAGTGTGTCAGTGTGTCTCACCACTCCCTATAAACCCTGCTTCAGTTACTTTTGCCGCGGTCACATGACTTGTCTTTTTAAGTACTTTATTTTGAGCATGATCCAGCTCTAACAATCTATATAGGTCAGATAAATATCAGACACGTGTCTGTGCATTTGTGTGTGTCTGTGATTGCATGCAAATGTCAACTAGTACTTGTCATATAATCAGTAATGCTTAATGAATCAGATAACAGTGAACCCGGACTTAGTGGGAAGAGATAACAAGAGATAATTGGTTAAAACAAGGCCCAGTGTGACACTGTCTGCTATCATTATTGTCATCGCGCACAAACACAGGAACACGTGCAAGCTCCTTACAACCTGACATGGCCACTCACAGTCAAATTTATCACACATTGTGAACAGAACTGCAGCCACAGTTCTTCTCCTCTTGTACTTTAACTTAATACATTTGAATGTAAGTCATTTTAAATAGGGTTCAGATAGTGCTCTGGATGGATAACACTCCACTTAGCACATATTTAAATGTGTATGCAGTGCACACACTCCGACAAACTCAAACACGGACACACACAAAAACAAACGTGCCTCTTTTTTTTTTCCAAGCCCTGACATTTACAGAAGTTGCGGTTGAACTTTGTGAAGCGTCACCAAGGCGCCAGTCTACCCCGGGCAAGCCCGGAGCCTGCAGGGCGTGCACGGGTGGCAGCGGGGGCAGTGGGGGCTTAGTGTTGTTGATAGAGCACATGTGAACATCACCTTTCATAAGTACTGGCCACGGTCCCCATCCTTAATGTGTCTAAACCAGTCTGGGATGGGAACAAATACCCAGCATGCCTCTGACATCATGGAGTTTCCACTGCTGTGCTCGTCTCAGCTCAGAGATAGCAGCTTTGATATTTCACACTGCTGGCCCCCTCGTAGGGGTTCCCCACCCACTACCCCACCTGACCATAGATGGACTGTGGAGAGTCGCTGATTATGTGGAGGGAGGTCATCTGATAGCCCAAAGGTCATATCTCAAACAGTTCATGTTGAGTAAGAGTAAAGGAGCTGGGCTGAAGGATGAGGAAAATACTCAAAAAGGAAAGTTATGTTTAGTATTTGGATATGAGGAAGTATTTTGTATTAATTTTTTTTTAAACAAATGACATGTAGGGTGAGTTGAGTCATTTATTTGACAGTGACCCCATTTTTGTATTGAGTTGTATGTGGTGTCTGAGCTGTGGACCCCCTCCACTAGCCAGGATTGTAGGTCTGGTCAGTGGCTAATGCTGAAAGTTTATAATGGTCTACTACAGTGGTTCTCAACTGGTGGGTCCTGACCCAAAAGTGGGTCGCGAACATGTTCTGGATGGGTCGCGAACAGCTGGTCAAAAAAGTAAATATTTAATGTGCATCTGATGTTTGGCATGTCTTTTATTTTGAAAAATAGCCTATATTGAAAAGCACAAATCATGTTGTAGTCTTCCTCAGTTTCATATTAATGTGGCCTGAATGCAGTAAAAATACATGTCTTTTTTTTTTTTTGTCTTTATTTTGTACAATTTGATATTTATTCACCTTTGTCCATGCTGTTGCATGGTCCTCTTCAGGTTCTTCTGAATATGCTCTGATTGCAGAGATGCATATAAATCAATTTTTTTATTTTGTTGGTCTTCATTTTGTGCAATTTGATATTTTCTGTATATGCAACTTAAGTAGTTGTCATCCTCGGTTTATGTGCTCTGAAATGCACTTTACTCAATAAAATGGGTGTATTTATGTTAAAGATTTGATTCTGTAAAGGTTTTTTGAATAAAAAAAAAATATTGCTTGGTTTGAATTTTATAAAAGTGGGTCCCAGAGTGAGACCAGTTGAGAACCTCTGGTCTACTACCTGGATCTAAACACAGATGACAGCATCTCAAAACATAGCGCAGTTTAGTGGTTCTATTATTCAGAAAAGTCATGTAAAATGTGTCTGGTTGAACTGGGATATTACCAGTGGCAGGAGTAATACATAACCAGCACAGCCATGTGGATGCTGATCTGCAAGGGAGGCAAGTAGTTAGCAAGGTTGGTCAGTCTGTCAAATTTCCATTGACAGGACTTGGAAACTGGTGGCTTTGGAACATCCCTAATTCCAAATACCCTAACGTGTGGCCTCAGTAAACCCTGAGAGGACTTGTGTCATCTTGGAGTTCCATATTTTATCAGACCAAGCACCCATGAGTCTTGGGGAAAAAATCCTCTCTATGTTGGGCAAACCTACCCCTCTGGAATAACAGCCATTTGACTTCTCCAATATCAAACACTTGTATGTGCAGAATTTTCCGGACAAATGTTTACTGCGAGGCATAAATAAGAACTTACGAATGCTTCAACTCGCAAACACTTTACACGTGACACAAGTGGATGACGGATGTCCGGCACAGTTTGTTTTTGCAGATTTGTTATGAGAGGTATGAAACTTTTTTTAAGCCCATGACTTGAATTTTCCATCACACACAAACACACACACACTCACACAGCCAGCAAAACAAGGTGATATGACACCTCTAACTTTAGTCTCCCTCTCTGCCGCTCTGGATAATCCAGTTAGGATGCGCTCTCTGGATATCAGGAGGTTTTATCATATTGCTTCCAGATGGAGCCAAAAAAAAAAAAAAAAAACAGGCTCCACACTGGCCCAGTATCCTGAGCAAACCTCTATCACACAAACACACGTGACACATGCACTCTAGGATTTCCCCACACAGGCGCACACACATTTATACACACCGACTTGCATCAATACAGCACACTCTGGCAGCTTTCTTCCTGTGGCTGTGTATGTGTGTGTAAAGGTCAGAGGTCGCAGAGGGCATCAGCTGATGCCACAGACTTCAAATAAGAGAAGTGTCCTTGATGACAGCCTGGCAACTATAATTGTCGCGACAACCCCAAGGAATGAGCGTGTCATGTGACACCCCCTTCCTCTGAGCTGTGTATGGAAAAAAGAAAACACGTACACACATGCTCACACACGCACGCACAGAGCTGTGTCAGCGGGGGGAACCCTCTGGAAACAATGTGCGGCATGTTTGGGGAATTGGGAGAGGAGTGCAGGAGCAATTTAACCCACTGTGGAGAGAACTAGGGCTGGGTATGAAACCAGGCTGAAGAGCTTCTTTTAACCAGAAGATGTCGAGTGGTTATGTTTCATTAAGAATTGATGAAACCACCTTTTTTTATGGCTGCATCAACCCAATGTGTTACCGTCACAGAACCAAGTTTTGCTAGAGTAGAAAAAAAAATATCAGACTTTTCCTGCATGTGCATTGTAAATAGATTTTACCCAGAAAGCCCAATCTGCTTCAATCATTTTATGCTTTTTCTGACCCCCTTTTTGGAACTTTATTCTTAGTCTTAGCCATGTCTTGTTTTTGTGTATTGCTCCTTAACCTGCAAAGTGTTTTTATTAAAGCTTTGTCTAAATTTTCTTACACACTCTAAGTAAAACTTACAATATCCAAATTAACATGTTGAGTCTTGTTCACTTGTCCTCCAGCTATCTGTAAAGAAAAGGTTCAACCACAGGAGCGATAGAAGCACTGCTGACACTCTTTCAGCCTTGTTTTGAAGCCAACCTCACTGGGAAAGCACTCTGGGGAAGGCATCCCTCTGACAAACACACACACACACGCACACACACACACACACACACACACACACACACACACACACACACACACACACACACACACACATTAGCATGCATAAGGAGCTCACAGTATATCTCTGTTTGATGTAGCTTCTATTCTTGTCACTTTGATTGCTTTTTAGTTGTTTTTAACCGTCATTTGCTGCCTTTTCTCATCGTTTGTTGTTATAGAGGACTGAAGTTAAAGCTTAGGTCTCTTTGTGACCTAAAAGAGCAGGTGGTGACATGAGCAAGAACCCATATGATACGATACATTGCTTTTTTAACACCTGAAACTGCTGTGAGAGGTGTGTTTCAGGTGATAAGATTAACAGAATTCTACTTACACATTTTTTTTTTCACACTTTGCATGACAAAGAATCAAAGAGAGTGATATTATTGAGTAGAGATGAGATTTTTGGAACTTTATTTTTGTAACAAGAATTAAATAAAACAATTCACAGTGACAACAAACGATCATCTATACATCTGTTGTCATTTCTTACAGTGGTGGCCAAATAATCAGCTCCCAAGGTTACGTACACAATCCATTTTTTTTTCAGTATTACAGGAATATTTCTGCTCTCAGATTTGGTGATCTATTATAATCATTCTTTCTATACTTTTTTTAATTTTAATCAGAATATTTATGAGTTTTGTTTTGTTGTTTTTTTTTTTTGTTTTTTTTTTTAAGTGCCATTTTTGCCTCTGCTGCTAATAAATTAAACAAGTATTTATTTTTCTCTTTGCAGTAAGTTGCAGTGTCACTCAAAGAAATTGTCGAAGATGCACTGTCAATTCTGGCTCCATAAATACTTGTGATTACCTGTTTCACCTTCATGTACTCCCTTCTTGCTAAATTTTAAGACAGCTCCAAAACAGGGATGGTTGATGCATGTTACACTACTATCTGATAATAGATAGCTACACTTAATTATTCATTATTCTGATAAAACACTTTAATGAAACCACTCATAATGACTGCTTTCATTTACATATTAACAAGCCTCCACATTCTGACACAGATGGTGGCATTATGTGATCTGCTACTGAGCGCAGGGAGGAAGAACAACAACAAGCACAGCCACAGCAAGAATAAAATTAGCATCAGTGGTGTCAATGAGTTTCATTGCTAAGTAGGACTGCGTATTGTCAAGAACTTCACAATGAAATTTGATTTGGATTCTTAGGGTCACTATTTGATTCAGTGAGTGCTTCAATGTAGATTCAGAAATACCCGGAGAAGTCATTAGGATATATTCTATTTGTTAAGTAGCGATATGTTTATTATTCCATGTTCGAAAATGTTAAAATTTCGATTTTATTCATGTCAACTTTAATCTTGAAATTTTGACTGTAATCTCAAAATTTTAATTTGTTCATCTTGAAATTTTGACATATCACGACATTTTGCACTCTCGAAATTTTGACTTTTAATCTCAAAATTTTGACTTTATTGACCTTCTTACGATTTTTTTAATCTTGAATGCAGTCCCCTGCAGTTTTAGTACCCTAAAAGATCAAGTCTGACAGAGATTTTCTTAATTGATTTTCTTCTTGAGGGTTTTAAGGAAATACAGACTGATGGCAGCTTCATACCAATGCTTCAACCTCACAAAGGTCCTCATACACACACACACAGCTTGACAGGTTACAAACGTGTTGTTATGTGTGCAAGGCTGCTAACAGAATCAGTCTCTCGTGTTCTCACACATACACACTTTTGGAGGCTGGTAATTAGATGAAGCAGTAAGGTGATAACAAGCGTGAGCCTCATGTTTGAAATGGAGGTGTTGATGCCAACGTTTTGCCGGAAGTCACAGCCCCACCTTTCGCACCCTCTTCCCCTTTCCCAGGCAGAAAACGCTAAACACAGATGCACATAAACACACTCATGCACAAGCACAGGCTTTAATAGGAGCAGGGTTATTTAACAGCTTCAAGATCTCACACACGTGAGCCTCACTTCGACAGAAACCGAATATCCGAATCAAAAGAGAGTATATGTGACTCCCCCATGTACTCCTCCTACTTCCGCCTTCCCCTTTTCTTCTTTTGCCTGTCTTCTCCACCCACTCCTCCTCCTCCTCTATCAGCACGATCTATGAGTCATCTGATCCTAAAGGTGAGATGCTGCATTCTGTAGATTATTTTCATCTCCTCTTACAGCACGAGAGGCGATCTCAACTTCTCCTTTGACTCCTTTTATTTCCCTCCTTGGCTTCCATCTGCGTGTCACCTGGCACAAAGCAACCAAGTGGAAACGCTGTTGTTTCTTCTGACAGGTTGTGTACCATCTGAGGTCACATCCAAATAAGCTGCTTTCCCCTTGAACACATGCTGTCCCCTCGGGGTGGGAGGCTGACACCTCTTCTTGTGATTGAGCAGCAGTTTGATCAGCTAGACAAAGTGTGTTTGTGCCTTTCTCCGGAGAGGTGGTCCCTGTTGCCATCATACATTGATCACACCATTGTTGACTCACACTGAACAACATATTGGAGATGAGAGTGATCAGAGACATTTTGGTTCCCGTCTCCACAGCCTTAATCTCCCAACACGTCTCAGTTTCCTTCTTTCTTTCTTTTTTTTCCTTCAGGATGTGGAAACAGCAGCATGAGCGCAGACATGTACAACTCTGGCTACCGCTCCATCACCAACATTGACTACTCATCAGTGTGCATCAGCACCATGAGCGCCAGGCACAGTGACTGCCAGGGTATGACTTGGCATCAGATGGATGTGCGCCAGCTCTCCTTCCCCGATGCATCCTTTGATGTGGTGCTGGAGAAGGCCACGCTGGACGCCATCATGGTGGGAGAGAAGTCACCTTGGGGGGTTTCCCCAGAGACGGCGCATTTCATTCACAAAGCACTCACAGAGGTAAAAAAAAAAGTTCTGTTTATCACCACAAGGGTGTAATACTGTTTTATTAAAACTTTTTTAAGGACCTTTCAGTTTGTTTTGATCTTGCTATGAAAAAAGTGAAACATCGTTTGTTTTGCTAATGTTCTCTCGTAGATTTTCAACAAAGAAAAAAAAATCTCATCCTCTGAACTTTAAACAGCTTACAGAAAAGGGAGTTTTGGCTAAGCAAGGTTAACAACTGTCTGACAGTGTAAACCCGCCAATTAGGGGTGTTACGATTCTACAAATCCTCGATTTGATTTAATTTTCGATTTTAGATCACGATTTGATTCCATTCTCAATGCTTTTTCTTTTTCTTACAGCACAAAGGCCTATGCCATTTCTAGACTAGTCTAGTCTATGATCATTGGTTTTATTCATTACATTTTGTACAGTAAATCTCATTTCAAAAGACAGGCTACATACAAGTGATGCAATTTCCATTATTCTTGTGCAATGTATCACATTAGATAAGTTGTCAAATTCAAATAATCTATTTAACAATCTTGTTTTCAGTGAAGTGAAAACAAAATGGTCTTGTTTGCGCTTTTAGCTTATATAGAGGTATTAATATTGATTTCAATCTATTAACCAGCAAAAAAGTACTTACAGGAGCTTAAAGAGTTTGCTATTGAGTGTTATGATCAAATCAAAATCAGAATCGGCTTTATTGAAAGGTAAGTTCACATACACAAGGAATTTATCTCTGTGTTTAGAAATAAGGATACACTGAAGTAAAAAACAGAAACAAACACAGGAAATGAATGAAAAATATTCAATATGCTGGGTTGGTTGCTGGTGTTAAAGATGGGAATGTCCCCCCATCTGATTTTTTAACATTGAGTATCTGCCTTTACAGAGTCCCAGAGCTGCACACTGATTTTTTTGTTGTTGTTTACAAAAATAACTCAAGTACATCTTATTTAATTCGACTTGTTGATGTAAAACTCATGTTATCTGTTTTAGATCTCTGCTGTATCAAAGAAACAAAACCGGTCTGCATGTAATGCTGCACACTTGAAGTCACAGCAATCCTGTATCAGCTGATCTGGGTCACTTTAAACTGAAAGGTGAAAGACTCAGTTCAGTGTGTAGTGACGGGCCAAACTGCAGAGCTCCAAATGTCTGTTGTAGAACTTAGAGCACTCACATCATGTTTCAGATCACCTCCTGTGTTGTTGCTGTGCAGCTTCTTTTTGTCTGAAATGTAGTATTGAGACAGCAGACACTCATTTTTGATCCAGAAGATGACAAAAACCTGGGATGGTGGTGGTCCAAAGAGATGACCTCAACCACATTTTTTTTTACAATGTTTTTCAGCCTTTTTGCTCTCAAGGATTTATATCCTCTCTTTTAAAGGCAAGAGTTTGTTGCTTCTGCACAGCAGCCTTTTCCATGTTACACTGCAGTGAATGCACTGTATCCTGTTACCATCTCGGGAAAACAGTTTTATTGCACATAATGTTTGTGGCTCTCCATCTTATGGTATTTATTTATTTAATGTTTATTTAACATATATACAACAATAAACTGAATGCTATACATGCAAAAAGACAAATACAGTAGATAATACAGTGGATAGCTAGATGACATGAATACATAAACACTGCTGCAAAATTTAGATCAAACAATTACAAAAGTTAAATTCAACATTAAACATTAATAAAGTGCTATTTTAGTCATGCTTTTGGTACCATGTGACCCTGGTGACTTACAGTAGCCTGCTATAAACTGGTTGCTGTTAAGGTCAGGGTGTTGTGGCTGATTGGTGTCAGTTGCCACACTTTATAAGATGCAGGGTCAACCACAGGGAAATAGGATTTAAACTCTCTTCTTGTGTGCTTCTCATACTGTTAAGCAAAGTCCACACCATCCAGTCTGTGCAGCTCTGTCTTGCACCATGTTAAGTTGTCAATCCTGCTGATTATCTGCATTTTTGTTGAAATCAGTCAGTAACTCTTTCAAGTTTTTGTCAAGAGGATTTTAAGTTTTAAAGTTTTTGTTATTTTCTCTTTCTAAAAACAGTAAGCTTTAATGACTGACATGGCTTCATTCATTATTTTCAAACTGTTTTCAGATGAGTTTTCTTTCCTATACAAGACTGTCTTCTACTTTCTCGAACAGCAGTGACATATAGAACAAAAACATACTTGAAATATTTTCTGTAGATACAATAGTACGGATCCTTCCTGACTTATTCAGTATTGTTCGAGTAATACCCGCCCTTTAACACCCACTCTATGATGATTTGAATGCTCTGCTGCAGTAAGAGTTTATCTGTAAATGACTGTCTGCAGTGAAATCAGTAATGGCGGCACTTTACATTTCCACTCCATCTCCACAGTTGATTTCGTTGACGTGGAGTGCCCTTCAGCTACTGGCTGTGGCTCTAACCGCTGCTGTGTCGATGTGACAATGACAATGTTTTGGCCATTAGCCATGGTTGACCTTGACACACTGAGACAAGAGAACGCTGCTATCAAATAAAGTACTCTGCCTCTGAATGGAAGAGAATTGCTCATGATGCATTCACTGTCACATTTGGTGCACTTTTGAATGTGAGATGATTTAAAGTTTACTTTGTAATTACTGGTATAGTTTAGACTTATTACATGGGCTGAATATGCAATTACTTTTAATGCATCAGTTGTAAGGGTCAAATTGTGTGAATCATTATAATGGAAACAGGTAGAGATGGCAAAGTACAAGGGAGGTGAATGCAAAGTCAGCGGGAATAACAGACTTTTTACAATTACACATAAATCAAACCATCGCAGGGCTTTACAGTAACGTTTAGACTGCGGGTAGATTGTAATAAGACATGCAGTTTATATTTATGCCTGGAAACTGGATGTTGCCTAAAATTTTAGTCATGTACTATTTATTTATATACTGACTTAAAGGGATATTCCAGTGTAAAATTAAGTTAGGGTCAAACACACCGTAACACTGAGTTAGACACCCCCTCGAGAGATGAATGTTGCCGTCTGATCATAAATGTATCATTTCTTTGAAGGAATAATCATCATATTATTTTGCACTGCAGACGCAGTAGTTCTTCTGCCTTAGCGTCTCAGTCTGATTGCATTTCCATGAAGAAATGATCATAAATGTTATTCCTTGAGCTGCGTAACCCCGCTGCAGACGGTGATCGACTCATTTGAGGTCTCCCTACAAACAAGCAGTTGCTGGAAGAGAGTAGGTGAGTTGTGTTTAGAAGTTAAGTTATGTTAGGCTCTCTTTCTGCCTGCAGATTGAGAGGGTAACATTCAAGACCTCCAACTAAGAAGAAAAACTTTTAGACATAAGTACAAATAGCCATAGCTATATGCCTCTTACCTCTGTTTACCAGCAAAGGAACACAAAAACCCTCAACGCTATGATTCAACAAGTTACAACATGGACTATGACGAGGCTATGACCTATATTTGTTGAGCATTTTTCCTGCCAATCATTACTTCATTGTCTTGCCCTGATTTCATCTCCTTCAGCAGCTTTGAATCATGTGCTTTGAGGCTCAAAGTACCCGATGTACCATAAAGCTGTTTTTTCAAGGTAAAGTTCTTGTTTATGCAGCTATATGAGGTCACTTGGTATTGATGTGACCCTTTTCAAATAAAGGGATCTGCATGACGCACTTGATGCATTCATTAAGTTCATGCAAATGTGAAGTCATCCCAGGGAAAATATGATGCCCACAAAAAATCCTCAGTCTAGGGAACTTAAAGGACCTCTTCTCCCAGTGATACTAGCTTAACCGATGTATAGCTGGGCTTGAGCAAACAACAAAGGAAACAGAGGCATATACTGTGCTGTATATGGGCCAAGTTTTCAGAGACAGTGTCTGACAATAGCAACACGCACACACGTGTACAGAAAAGCAGATAATATCTTGGGTGTTTTCCTCTAACAGAAGGGAGTCTTAAAAATGGATCAGTGAGTGTGTGTGGGGGACAGATGGAGGATTTGACTTTGCTTCAGAGGAGAATCTGAACTCACAGAGCACTTTCAGAGCCATTATATGGTATAAAAGTCAAGTTCTCCCCACTCGTCGTCACCTGCTTCCCTTCGCACCCTCTCCTCTTCTCACTTCTGCCTCTCACTTTGCGTTTCCCCTCATCTCCACTTTCATTCCTCTCACCTGCTCAATGCTCGCGGCTGTGTGGAGACGCTAAAGTGTGATTGTGTTCATGTTGTATTTGTGCAGCACTTTGAGCAGCACTTGGAGTGTTCAGTATCTTTATATATACATGTGTGTGTGTGTGATCACAGAGAAGTCAATATTCCTCTGCGGTGTATTTCTGCTCTCGCTCTGTGGCTCACGAGGGTACAGCAGTCACGATTCCAGTAAATACGTGTGTTTGTATGTGTGTTGCCGGGGTGTGGGAGTTGGGTTCGTAGCCTAGATTAATTTCTTGCAAAAAAACAAGAGAGGGGAAAATGAAAGGAGGGAAAAGAAGTGACAGAAGAAACAGCTCTGGGGAAAGAGGAAAATGGCCTGTGTGGTTAAAAGGAAAGGAAGTGGAGAAAGAGGGAGAGTGTTACTGTACAATAACACAGGAGAGGAAGAAAAAGAAGGGAAACTGAGGAGGAGTGGGAGACAGAAACCAAGACTGACAGAAAGCTAATGAGCAGTGCGCCAGTGTGAGACCAGGGGAAAGGCCGGCAAAGAAGAGGGAGAAAGAGAAAGGGTAGAAAAGAGAGGAAGGGGTAAAGCGCACTTTAATCTGGATTTTCATGATTTAGTACATCGAAAATAAGTTACTGGAGCAAAAACCAGTGCAGATCAAAAGCAGCAAGATCTCAGCTCTTTACTAACACTACTTTGCATCAGGGTCCTGCTCAGCTATCAGGGTTCGAAGACGCACAATCACCTGCTCACTGTACATGATCCTTTACACGGAATCATGGAACAATAGGTGCGACAACAAATACAGATTTATTTTTGTTGTCAACACATACACACACAAACAAAATCTCACAGCAGAGGCCGCAGTGCACCGAGGTGTGAAATTTATTTTACAGCCCTGACATGCTCTGTGAATCACTCATACTGTTGCTATGGAGACTCATTCCTTGGATATCATCTCAGACTAACACTTTTAATTGCCAACCTTTAGTCTTGTTTAAAGGGGTAAAGATGAGTACTTGGGCTCATTCAAAGATGACTTTTTAGAACCTAAAACTGTCCAAGCTTATTTTTCCAGTCCCGTGAAACAAAGTCGATTTAGGTTTGTACTTTATAATGATGCTTTATTGATGATTTTTCTGCTTTTGCTCCCCAGCCAGGCAGCTAAAGTGCATAGTCAGTGCACGAACAATGTCCCAGGAGTCTGTAGTTTGTTTGCCTAACAGCCCTGAACTTGAGATTGTTGATAATGCAAGGTCTGAATTTTAGCCAAGTTCACAAGTTTTTCAATTCTGTCTAGAGTCAGTGTTTTAGTAAGAGAGTCTGAACTGAAGCCAAGTCATACAAAGGACGAATTTTCCAGACCTCAAGGAACACCTGTTCAGTGCGGGCCATTTTTTAAAACAAAGTTATCTCATGAGTTTTTTCATGTTCATATAAAACTAGGAGCATCTATTTTTATGTTTAGATCTTATGTTTAGATTCATGGATATACACAGACAAAACAAAAATAGAACAGATCCTCTCAACCATGCCCACAAAAAAGGAAAGGGAAGAGGGGAAAAACACCACATCAAGGTAACAGGTACAACTTACTTAGACAAGAAACAAAGACGTTTTTTTAAAATTAGTTAATTGGGAGAAATTTTTCAAACCCTGAAAATCAGTCTGCTAGAGTCTTGTGGGTCTCATGAAGCACAGACGTAATTTGTCAAAAGCTTTAACCATCTAAAAAAAATGTTACTTTATGCCACAGCAAATCAATACACAGGCACCAGGACCAAACGGCTGATCAAGCCGAAAACTGGTTTCCCTCAGTTTGGACCGCCCACAAGGTCCTTGATTGGCTCTGCCACAGGGCCGCTTTTTGTGTGTGATTGGCTATCCCTGCTGTTAGTGATAAAAAGCCCGCCGGACTAGTGTTCTGCAAGTTGCTTGTAAGAGTCAGTCCGGGAAATTCGCTATTCGCTGATGTAAGTTTACAGAAGGGCGGTGTTTTCCCTCCGTAACGTCACATTCATCGGAGGTATCATTTACATCCCTGTATCGGGTTTGTACTTCCAACCACCTGCTGGCTGTATTGCCTCCTCTGTTACTGTGTGCGGGAGATCTGCTGTTTGCAAGGAAATATGTCTCAACAGTACTCAGCAGTACTCAAGTCACATGTGTCCCTCTCACCTTTGAAATCAAAATTTCGTCCATGCCATGAAGTAATCTTGTGCTGAGAGTTAAGTTAGTGATTATGTTGAATACAGTCCCAACAGAATGAGACAAGCTCTGATGTAAAGTGGAGAAAAACGGGTAAAGAGGTGGAAGTGAGGCAGGCCTGAAGCGTCCTTACTTATGCAAATAGTACATAGCTCTTCAACCTCAAATGATTGAATTGGATGAGTCATAAACAAAATTTTCCCCTTTTTACACAGTGCACAAATCAGGAAATGGAGTATTTAAGCCGGGCTGTAAATCTCATAGTTTATGCTTTATAAACTGATATGACATGGACCTATTACAGGTTATTTGGCTATTAGAGTCTGCCCCAAGTGGACACTTTAGTAGCTGCAGTCATTTGCACTGCCATGGTGGCCCATGGCAGACACCCAAGGTTGCTGTCACGAGGTAAATTTGACATTTATGTTGTAAAGTGACACAAAGCATTTTTATCCTAAATTTACTTTGAAAAATTTAAATTTCATGTTGCCCTCTTTTTCCTGCTGCAACCAGCTCACATTCTAATATTCTTGCCTTTGGAGGTTTTACTTCAGGAGGGTAGGGGGTCTGAGTTGGTTGACATTAAAAAGAAATCAAGAAATTTAGTGTTGAATATGGTGATAAGATTTTTAAGTTCATTCAGTTTCTGACAACATGAGTCTTCTACTCCGAGAGGAATTATTTGAACATGACTCAGTTTAGTTCATTCATAACAGTTCTGTATTTTACAAGCAAACTGTTGCCAAAAAGAGATTTTTTTCCCCGCCTGAGTTTGAGTGTAGTTCAAATATGAGAGGAGCTGGAACTGGAGCTGGGATCCCACTCCTCCGCTAGGCTAATCTATTGGAAAAACATTTGACTGTGCACCCACCAACCCCGTCATGGCAGAGATGTTCCTGTCATGACATCAACCTGAGACACTCATTGACATTGATTGATTTGGCCCAGCTCCTGCTGTGGCGGGTTCTCCCCCAGCTCTATTACCGGGAAGTCTGGATGCCTGCCGGGAAGATGTCCCCATGAGAACATTTATCTTGGGACACAAAAACACACACACGTACACAGGAGCACACACACACATTTACTTAGCCTAACAGTCATGTGGCCATAGAGTACATCAGCCTTTGTCTTAAAACATGTTCTCAGTTTGTGATTTGTGCTTCAAAAACACTGGCTTCAGCCTGTTTGAACTGCTGTTTGAACCTTTTGTACCAGGATAAAGTGGATTACACCAATCCGCTCTATTGTCTCTACGCTTCTCCTACTTTTCACACTCTTTTACTCTTTTACTCTGCTCCATTTTCTTGTGAAAGGTAGGGATTAAAAGAGAGTAATTCCCTGACATTCATTTGATTTCTGCCTTTTTGAACTGGCACTGTCCACTCAAATTAGTTTTTCAAAATAAACTTCAATGTAAATGTTTGTTCAAAGTAATTTTTCGGATTGCAACTGTGAAAATCAATAATAGAGAAAAAGTTTTGATTTTCTTGGAAATATTGATTTGATTTTGAAAAGGTCTCCTGTTGAGATGTTGACACTTAGATTGTCTTTAGCATCACACATAATCTGAATCTGATTCTGGATTCTTGACTTAGAGCAGTGTTTCTCAAGTCCAGTCCTCGAGCCCCCCTGTCTTGCATGTTTTGGATGTTTCCCTGCTCCAACACACCTGATTCTAATGATCAGCTCGTTATTAAGCCATTCCAGAGCTTGATAACGTGATCATTTGAAAGGTGGTGGAGGTTTTTCCAATTCTGACATGATTTCCAAGATGCTTCTGGATGTCCATCTTCACTGGATAAGATGTGTATCTCGTCCTTTTGGTTACTTTTCACTGACCTTATGAAGTTTGAAAATTTCCCCCTCATGACATCAAACTGAATTTGGATTCTGCAGGTACATAAAAGTTTGGCAAAATAAGCAGGTAGCAGTGAACTAAAGTCTTGAAGTCATTAAATATGAAATCTGATTAATATTGATGACAGGTTAAAGGTGGTTTTTGAGTCGCTGCTTTTGTGTTTGTTATCCATGAGCCTTGTATACCCCTCCCTCCTAAAACCTCTCTATTTAAACACAGATATAAATGCTGCTACGGCATTGTCACATGCTATCTGCATTCTTGTGTGCTCTTAAGCATGTTTGTTTGTGTTTTCCAACCTCGTTAGCATAATTTAGTGGATATTTCTGGGGGTTTTGCATGCCTTTACGGTGTGTGTATGTATGTGTGTGTGTGTATGTGCGTTTGTGAGGGGCTTGCCTGAAAATCCCTCTTCTCTGCAGCTCCAGCAGCAGAGAGAAAGTAGAGCAGTGGAGCACACGTGAGGGAGAGGGAGCGTGGGTAATTGCGATTCTGGTTGCGCATGTGTGGAGCTGTGGAGACGGGATCAAAGACGGAGGGCGCATTTGTGTTTGCTTGCAGAGCATTTTTTCAAGAATTTATTTTTACTTGTTTTCCTCCTTGTGAGACTTCTCTGTCCATGCATGCGGGTTTAAAAAACTAATCTCTATATGCGTGCACAGTCACACGCATGTATGTGTGTGTGTGTGCGTGCATGCGTGTGTGTGTGGCAGAGAATGGACTGCTGAGCCTAGGCCTCCCGGCTCTCCAGAGATTTTCACACGGGCCAGGCATGATTCTCTGCACGTGCTCCATCATACACGAACTCGCCACTCACATTGGCAGAAAGACCGCAACACACACAAACATGAATAAATCACAGAATTTTGGTGTTCATCCAGTCATATCTGTAAATACTAGTCATTAGCATCCACCAGCTTTGTAGTTATAGATTGCCAACATGTGTGGAATAATGTGTCTGATCTAAAGGCATCTGTGGATTTAAGAAACGGTTTTTTTTTTTCTCCCTCATTAATGTAGAAATAAGCAAGACAGCATCGATTTTCAGGCAGAGTACAGTCGCCCTCATTAGGATACATTTGCTGCAAGTCGTGATGCACAAAAAAAACCTATATTCCTTATTTACTTCTCAGCCTGTATGCACATTTTCTGCACACATGCCTCTTTGCTCTGTTCGCCGTCCTGGCTCTCTCAGTCTGTTAATCCTGCGTTGGTCCCAGCTGTGAACAGGGAAGCCCCTGGAGCCAGACACAATCCCTCTGTTCCCTTTCACACACATACCCTCCATCCCACTCACTTACTTCAACTCATACAGACCGCCTGTCCGCATGGATATAACGTGTCCTGTAATGTGCTGACATGGGTAAGCAGATGCATCTAAAACATGAATCACTGCTAAATCTTTTAAATGCGCGTCAACACATACATCTCATGCTTTAATACTACCATGAAGCATCCACAACACACTTTGTGCACACGCAGTGGTGTTTGTTTCAAATCCCATAGTTCACTGTCATGTCATCTGTGCACCTGATTGCGGGAGAAACTGTGAGGACAGATTATTTCCCTTTCTTTTACAACACAAACGGTACAATCTGTGCATACGATGGAGATTATAATCTGCAGGGACTACTCTTTCATGCAGTGTATCTGTGTTTGTGTGTGTGCCTTAGCAATAAGAAAAGAGAGAATTATTTTTAAATGACAGGGAAAATGTGCATGATACTAACAGATAAAGAGAAAAGAGAGGATGCACGTTGATATCACAATAAAAAACATTTCTATCAAACATGAAAATGACACTTTAAGTTTGTAAGAAAGAAAAGAAAACAGCACGCAGCATATCTGCACCACTGCAGAGGCACGACCCAAATCAAGGTAAACACGGGTCATGTGCAGAGAAATTCAGACACACATACACTCACGCTGAACGTCCGGCCCAGCTCACCATCGCCTAGGCGACAGGATTGACTACAGAGCACTGTTCCTATGGAAACAACGGATGCCTTAAGGAGGAAGATCATTAATTGGAATCAGAAAATATAGGAGAGGAAGATAAGGAAGACTTGAGACAAGAAGGTGGAGAGGTGGGGTGGTGGTGGTGGTGGGGAAGTTGAGCTCAGCAAAAGGTGTGGTCAGAAAAGCTGTAACACTGAGTCTTTTTTGTGTTCTTATTTTGTCTCTCTCTTTCTGCTCGTTTTCTGTCAGCAGATGTGTGCTCCTGATTGTTATCCAGGTGAGATGAGATGAGTGCAGAGAGTAAAAGAGGTGAAAATCACATTTAGAATTGATTTGTGGAGAATCAATGTAGGCCACCATGAAGTGTAGAGTAGGGTTCCTCCTGTAGACGGTTGGTAGACCACACAAATCTCCCAGGAGTTAATGTCTCTGTGTGTGTTTGTGTGTTATTGACTGGCGGTGTGAGGACTTTTTTTTGTTCATCCAGCCTTTTATCACTGTTTGTTTGTGTGCTGCAGTGTTCCTGACCTTTTTTTGTCTGAAGTATCCCAGCAGCCCTCTGTGATGAGTTCAAGTACCCCCTCATCAACACCACATGTCATAGCTTGATGTGTCCTGTTTAGCTATTTTAAACCACTTTAAAGTTCCAGTCATCGAACCCTTAGCTTTTACTTCATCACAGTATTATTCTGGTTAAAAGACAGTCACTAGTAACTTAACTTTTGAAGTTATTGAAGTCTCTGTGTAACTTACTGGCTACTGTTCAACTGATACCAGTTTGTACCTGATGCGAGCAAGAAATGATTGTCGTAGATATAAAAGGAGATGGAAAAAGAAGACTTTACTGAAAGTAGTGTAATGCTAACTGCTGGCAACACTGGAATTACTGAAAAGCTGGCATCCGATCCCAGAGGTGTTCACTGTGTAGCAACATCTTTGGTCCTGGGTCCTGGTCGTGTGTTGGAGGATTTTTACAACCAAAAATGTCACTTTGCTTCCTAACCTATCAGGCTTTGAATATCTTTGCAGAAAATGTGAAAGGTGTTTTCAGTTTGCTGATACCTGTCTAATGGCAGCAACAATAGGCATTATAAAGAACTGTATGGAAATGACCGTCTTACTGATGCTCTTATTCGTGTTTGCAGATCACATCCAAGCTTCAGTAGCCTACCCCTTTTTTTGTAAGTTTTGTAACCAGGTCAAAACTCTCACAGTAGCTTAGACGAAACCATTTTTGTCGTATCTCCCCCTGCAGTTTGTGAAACAATAAGCTAACCCAGGATTTCCACATCATGCAGAACGGCTCCAATCTGGAACGGCTCCCATCCAGAATGGTGGCGATTTTCGCCATATGCCAATTCCTACCGGATCTGTTTGTGAAATGAGTTTCGTGGCGGATACAGACAGCAGGAATCACTTCTAGATTTTTAGAATCAACATCTCCTCATCCATGGCGTCATCAGGATGAAACGCTGTCTATAAACCTTTCACTTGTTTGTCCCCGCCTGTTTGCATGGTGTGAAATACGATCCGCCTGAAACACGGAGTGTTTTATTTTGAAAAGAAGCCGGATGTTTTACTTTGTGTCTGTGCCCGACTTCCTTTCAAGCATGGGTTAATCTGTGCTGAATTTATTCAGCATGCCACGGCATCTGTAAAAAATAGAACTCTGGAAATTAACATATTAACTTGAATGGTTACGATCAGCAGATACGGCCTTTTTGTAGCCATCCCGGATGTGGTGGAAATCACCAGTAACTGTTTGTGGGCCGTGTCGTTACATTTTAAAGATACTAAGGTGACCAGAAGTCCTTGATTTCCGGGGACATACCCCGTTTTGAATGACCTGTCCCTGGCTTAGGCTGTACCCGGAAATGTCCCCAATCTAAGCATTTCATGAATGAGAAAAAAATGTTGCGTGTAGACTAGAACAAGGGTTATTGCGTGCAGTCCTGAACAACAGTTTTTGGAGGGTTATTACGGAGGGCATGTGCTGCAACTAAGTAGTACCGAGTTGTTGTCTGTGACCACACAGCCGATGCCCAATGCTGCTCTCCAGAAATAGAGGGCCTGAAATCACATTTTGCTCAGCATCCCCCCCCCCGACCGCTGGATGTCCCTGGATTGGTCACCTTAAGATCAACATGAGTGTGCCAGCAGTCTGATAATCAACTGGTATTCAAGAATATGTCCAGAAGACCAAAACTTTTCCTTAAACAACAATTTGAACTCCATCAACTTTTAGCAGGATGGAATTATTTTTGTTCTATCACAGGATATTATGAAGTTTCCTTTTGTTCACGCCCGCAAAAGTTACCAAATAGAGACTTATTTTCCCCTATACATCCTGAAATAACTATTATGTAAGTCGCACTTAAACTTAAAGAAGAATAAATTAGTGTTTATGCAATCACAGGAAGCCACACTTATATTTACATTCTCTGTTTCTATTTAAAAGCCTTGAACCAAAACTTCCCACACTCTGCAGCCTTAAAGGTGTTATTCCCTATTATTGATACAGAGTGTTGGCTGAGTTGACTGTAGTGCCTGGAAGCTTCTTTGATAGGATACACTCTCCCTGTCCGGTTCTGGCTTCGTCCCTATCCTTGCTCTCCTTTGTTCTTCGATCACAGGGAGTCAGAATGCAGGAGGATCGATACAGACACTTTCCCTCATTAAAGCCTTCAAAGTGAGAGCGGAGGGCAAGAGCAGAATGAAGGAGGCACCACTGAATTGCTTAGTGTTTATCTGTTTCTGTTTGTTGAACCATTGGAAATTATATTTGGAGTCATGTGCATCTCTCGCACTGTTTGAGCGCCTTGACGTTTGTTCATGCATGTGTTTGCAAGAGCAGGCATTAGTGCTTCTGTTTGAGGTATATCTCGACGGATAGGACCCAGCCCAAGTGTGAAAACAGCTTTCCTCCACACAGCAAATCAATCAGGCCGGCAGCCAGGTCACTTTCTCTCCTCCCCTGTGTTTTATTTTTTTCTCTTTCTCCTTTACCTGAACCTTTCACCGTCTGCCGAGAGCTGGCCCAAGTCGATCATCTTTTGTCTTCCCGCACTTGGGTCCCGCAGCGGACACTCAGAAGACTCATAAGACGCCGAGTTTTCCTGCTGGCTCAGGTCCACACAATATTATACAGGTTCCATCTCAGGTGACCAGAATGACCTCCTCTCTCTTGAGCTAATGGACCAGAGCAGACAGCTAAAGTAACAGCTATTTGGTGCTTAAAGGAGTGGTCAAAGCAAGAAGAGGGCTCTGATCTGGGCTCGGAAATAGACCTGTGTTCTGCAGGTATGAACAGGTCATGTTTATTATCAATTTTCAGCAGCAGAGGGTTTTTTTTCTTTTATACTCTGCTTTTGCTGAGGAAAGGGTCATGGGGCAAGCATCTACAGACACCAGGCTACAAGCAATTAAAGTCTGACTTGTTCTAAATGACTTTGCAACTAGTGTTTAATAATGGTAATGGTATTCTGGGTGGCGTCACCAAGACTTTGTGAATGTATTATTCTTTCGAGGCTAACCTGCCCTGCTCACTCTGACTCTAATGGGGCGCTCACACCAAGCATGAGAAAAGTCATCTACTTGCCTAATTTGTGCGAATCTAGACGTGTGACTGATTAGTATTTACTTGCTTCAGTACAGTAATTTAAACCTTAACCCCTGCCGTAACCAACCGGAGGGATCAAGTGATAGACAAAGAATTTTTACAACTTACCAGGTAATCGGACCTCCTCACTCACTTGCGTCTATGCGAACTCCTTTTTATTCTGGTTTCGGTAATTGTAAGAAAAGGTATCATATAATTCGGGGCATCCACACACCAACACGATCAGTTTGACCTCCATTATAGATACCAGTGAACAACCGTCTGTTTTCATACTGTACGTCACCCAGCAATCTTCGTGCTGATGAGTCATCGCGACATGTCTATCCGCTCAAATTGAGACATTTGTAGCTCCCGCCCAATTCACGTCATTCGCGCCCCCAGAGCAGCAGGAGCGTCTAATCACGTCTGTGCGTTGGCTTAACATGTAAGTCATTCGCGTGAATGATTCTACCCATGCTTGTGTGGAAACAGTAACTTTTGTATTCTATTTTTTGTGACCTTTAAGTTCAGTCTTCATCCTCTGTTGTCCTTTTCCACCTCTGTTTCTTTATCTCCTCCTCCATATACATCGCCCTTCCCCCTCATCATTATTACTCAGTGTCTATAACCTCCTGAACTCAAGGGCAGAGCACGCCGCCAGATGTGCCGCACAGCTGGACTCCGCCACTTAGACTCTCACACACTCAAACACATGCATATATCCTTGAGTGGACATTGACAGCATCCCTCACAAATCCACTCGCTCACGCAGACAACACAAGCCTCCCTCCAGTTGCCACAGCACCAGATGTCTCTTTAGACCTCTACTCTGTATGTCCTTATATTTTGTTTTTACAGGACTCAGAAATCTGGGGGAGCGCCTCTTTTCATTCGCTGTGAACTGCCTCTTGACAACCCCCCTGATAATTATACATTTATTGAATTGACACCTCCCATGTAGGAAGGAGTGTGATGCTGTGACAGTGACTTATGCATCCGCAACGCTGTGGCTGCCAGCAGCTGTCAGCGGGCTTTTGGCAGACACTTTCCCTCACACACACATTATTGTATATGCAGAGAAATGTCGTTATGGCTGATGTGTGCCAACAGTGTAGAGTAAGAACGACATAAAAGCAATCAAGTCCATAAAAGGACCTACATCTGAATCAATCTGAGCAAGTTAAATGCAAAAATGTACTTGTGATGTGATTGCCTATAAATGACCTTGGTATTATGGTTTAAAATACTTGTTTTAAATGACCACTTAAAGACGTCCTTCACTCTAACAGTGGCTTTATGTCCAGATTGTCTCCTCTTACACACGACTGACTCACCATTAACCATTTTGCAATTAATTCACATTTATTCACTGTGGATAACTTAAGAAGAGAAATTTTTGATTAGTAAACTACTATATTTTAAATATTTGTATTGTGGATTTCAGGGGTCATTGTGGGTTGTGTGTGTTTATGGACTGAAGCAGAGTTGTGTAATACTCTAAAATGATTAATTAATATGCTGTCTTCTGAACTGTCAGACTGTTGCTGCACACTTTCATCCAGTTCCTCGCAGATAATCTGTAACGCCTAAAGATACTGTCTCATCTCAAACAGCGCAGTTTGTCTAATTTCTCCTCCTCCTAATGTTTTTCTGTCACTTTCTCTCCCATTTCACTTCCCACTACTTGATCATATTTTCCTCTTTTCTGCTGCCTGCAGTTATAAAGTTGCTGAGATATATTAAAAAAGCACATTTACACTCTAATAATCATCAATTTTATGAGAGACTCACCCTTAACTTTCTGTCTGTACAGTAAGTTTGTCAATTTTACTTTTTTGTTGTTGTTGTTTGTTTTAATTCCTACAGTTTTAGACATTAAATGATCATTTGGCTCATAATTAATGTCTACGGTGGCCCTGAGGTGCAAAACACAAATCGGCAAATTAGAAAACACAATGACATTAACCATTGTGTTGTCTCTTTTTGTGTTGTCTTTTCTCTTTTTGTGTTGTGTTTTCTGATTTGCCTATTTGTGTTTGGCACCTCAGGGCCACCGTAAATATCAGTAGCCAGTACACTGAATATCTTCTGCGTCATAAGTATTACGCTGTGTGGTAGTGCTATGACCTTAGAGCAAAAAGGTTCCTAATTCGAATCCTTATCTGTTAGCCTGTTCTGCGTGGGTACTCCACACAGTCTAAAAACATGTTTGTCAGGTTAGTTGGTCTCACTAAATTGTTGAGGTGTGAGTATTTGCATGGATAGGCATCTTGGATAGGCTCCAGCTCCTCCTGCAACCCCAAAAGGATAAGTGGTAGAGGTGATAGAGAGGATTTCTGCTTTCTTATCCACAAAATGGGTATTTCAGATCTGCGGATCTACTTATTGATCCAGATTTGATGAAAAGTCTTCACGCTAGAGGAAACTCAAACATTTTGTTCCTCATGGTCAAATATGTATGTGTTGTAACCGTATAAGAAATTGATTTAATGATCTCTGTTTTTTCAGTGGGCGAGACCCAAAAGGACCTGAGAGAGTAACCTTAACTCATGCCGCCCATGCGAAAGTCAAAACCCAAGTTGGGCCACCCCAGTCTCAAAATCTGAATCTGCCCCTTCTTGTTAATGTTGACATCCTAAGTACGTGTACTTTTTGCAGCAAAGTGGACGGATTCACAAGGACTTGAGGTCTTCTGTTGATGGGACAGGAAGGCTAAAGTGAAAGACGAGGACTCAGCTTTCACCCAGATAAAAGTCAGACAACTTCTCAAGGATGGATGGTGTTATCGTCCTCAGTGACGGCCACTGCTTCACTGCCACTGTCTGATCTCATAGCTGTAATGCATTTCCTTATAATACAAAAAAAAAACAACCACAGATAGACAGGAGGAGATGTTAAATACTTCAGCCTGATCTGATTGTCTCTCTATTGACTCGAGGGCACGTGCTGTTTCTGCTGAGCCAAGCTCATGAACAGACAGCACTGTTCTCCCATCAAAAGTCAATACTGATCGCTTATTGGCAGCTCCTCTCCCTCCGTGCTATCAATATAAATAAATATACATTCAGATTATCAAAGAGAGGAGATTTTATTAAACAAAATTAAAATAACAAGGTTGATTCACAAGTTTCTGTTACCTTTAAGTTGGTATGAAGTAAAGCTAAGTGACTGAATGCGTCATAACACACTTCCTGTTTGCACATCTTTGCGACCAGCTGTGTTTATTCTAGACACACTTGTGTTTGTCTCACAGGCGAACTTCAGAAAGTCCGTCTGAACTCTGTTGCGGTTTGTCAGAGCTATGGAGTGAATGAGCCTCAGACAGTGTGAATAAGTGTGCAATCTGAACGTGTGCATGACCCATCTGTGCTACGGTTCTCTCTGCCAGCCGCTGCCCATATTGTCTGTCTCTGTCTGTGGTACACAACACGCTGAAGGCTCGCTGTGTGACAGCAGCAGAATAGACCAACCCAGCAGGCTGCAGTCCAACCTCAGCCAGGGAAAGATTAGAGAGCTAGATGGAGATGAGGGGGGGGGAGCACTGTGTGTGTGTGTGTGAGTGTGGAGGAAGATGTTACAGGAAATCTTCCAGGAGACGGCTTGGTCTGTAATTTCTGGGAAACTTCCCTCTGCCGGGACTTTCGGATACATTTGTCAGACATACATGTCACTGCCTTCCTGATATTTTCTCGCTAACAATCAAATAATGCTTTTTCTTTTTGTTATTCATTTTATCTTTGATTGTGTTTTCCTTTTTTCTTAATAACCATCGCCTAATTTCTTGGTAATTGACCCTTTTTATACAAACTATCTGCAAACAACAAGCACACAAACCTCTTTCTAGATTTAGATTTTTAGACCCGATAGACACACGTTGATTTCTTTGTTAACTACTAGGATTAAGTTTGTTTTAAAATGTCTAAAACTTGGAAAAAAATAAAGCCTCACAAAGAAAGAACGAGTGTAACATGTAACATGTAGTCCATGCTGGTCCGTAATTGCGACCACAAGCCATCACGGCAGTTACATAATGTTTGCTGTACATGTCCAACAGACGTGTGAGATGAATGTCAATGAGGTCCTCCATCTTATTTTTTATTTCTAATGTAGAGTCACGTTCACCATCAAACACTTAAACTTTAACAAATCCCAAACCAAAAACCCCCCAGTCATCACAGGTAAGAAGTTGTAGACCCACTTTAGAGTGATTTTTGTCATGATGAGAGGGTTGTGTTAGTGTCTGGACAGCACTGAGGCGTCAGATTGTTTCAAATTTAAGTCTTTCCACTTTACTTTTTGTCCTTTCCTCCGTGTTTCTGTTGATATTTTTTTCTCTCTCTATCCTCCTCACCTCCCTCTTCCTCTCCGGCAACAAAAAAATCTCTGCCGCCCTGCCTCCCCAGCCTGTTCTAGGGCCTGTTTCCATAGCAACAGGTTACCATGGAAACTAGGTGACAGTGCAGTGCATCCCATCCTGCTACATTGCCGGGCAGGAGGTGCGCAGGAAAGGGAAAGTTTGTTTTGCTGCTCTTCTGTTTACTGAAACCGAAATGAGACAGCGGGTTTGATTTTAACCGTAACAAAGTGAATTTTTAACCAACTGAGGAGAGAAAGGCTTGTGTTTAGTTGTATGTTTGTCATGTACACAATCTTGAAATTTCAAGAAAGTGCTTAAAGCTATTTTAAACCTTACAATCTGATCAGTCTCTACATTCAAAGGTGTGTGTGAATAATTCACAAAGCTTTGAGAATGAACAAAACTCACAGGTATTTTCTAATAATTTAGGCAGTGCTTTTTGTGATTCATGTGCAGCAGAATATCTCATTGCTTTAATATGATCTATACTAATTTTTCCCCCCATCTTCTTCTGCTTTCTGTCCCCTTGAGTCTCTACATTGTGCACAGAGAGCTGGAAATAACTATACCACTTGCCAAATGATGCAATTATGCAGAAATGCCAAAAAATGCACCCTGCTTTTATGTCGCTTCAAATTCAGAAATAGATGAGGAGACCGAGATAACAGCGGAGCAGACAGAGCATAAAGCCCCTCACGTGTATAGAGAGGGAGGGAGGGAGGAGAGCGGGAATGTTTTGCCGTGTTACACGTACAGAGCAGTTAAAATGCTCCAGAGTGCCTCCACTTGCTTCAAACCCTGTAGGACTTCTGTAAGTTTTCAGTAGTCCTTGTCCTGTGAAGCATAGATTCAATAAATGAGGAATACTGGAAAGCCTGACACTGTGCCGGCGTCCGTGTCTGCTGTGGGTTTCTGCAGCCAGATTGTTGCTCCAGTACTTAATTATGAAAAACAACAGCCGAGGGGCAACTTGAATTTTCACAAAACAATGACAGCTTTTTGAATCCAAGCACCCGTCCAGTCCTCATTCAGATGGAGAAACAGAAAGAGGGCTGAGAGAAGAGTGACAGATAAGCAGAGCACAAACAAACAGAAGGTGCGACAGATAGATGGAGCGACCGTGTTAAACCTGCTGCTGAGGTGGTATCAGCTCCTGTTACTATCAAAATGTGATTAAATTTTTTTTTCCAGATTTAAATGAAGCATACTGCAGATTCATACATGACTGCCAGCTGATCTTTTTCAGACTGTGATAGACCCGCAGAAAAACCCTGCATTCAACGTGGCAGTAGAGCTGATAACAGCATAAACATTTCATGTTTTCTTTCCTTGTTAAAGCAGTACTTTAGAGGATCTTTGGGGACTGAAGTGGGCGAGCTGCATCTCTGTCTCCAGCGCTTGAGCTGACCTGGATTCGGGCACGTGACGAGATGCTGCTGTAGCAGTCTACACGCTGAATATTCTGCCCGCAGGATGGACTGATGCCACAAAAATATCTCCCAAATACAGTTCACTAGTTCTCAGCGTGAGACAGGGCACTATTGAGAGTCTGCTGAATTGCTTGTGACATTTTAAGGTTGTGCAAAGCAGCAATCAGTGGTAGATCATTTGTCGTGGTTATTTACTGACGGAGCTAAAAAAGTTAAAGGGAACAAGGTTGGATTTCTTTTTTAGGTAGTTTTTAGCACAGAAATTGTGGGCTGTTGATGTTTTTGGAGCGTGTTTGGTGTGAGGCTTTGATGTGCAGTGTTACTCTCTCTGGCTTTGATGCCGGTGGCAAGATGCAAAGGGATTTGTTCAGTCCCCCTTTGGGATTAGCTGTGGGAAAAGCACTCTTGATGTTATTTGTCATCACTGTCCATAGAAATTAGCTCAACGTGCAGCTGTGAAAATATGCTGTCAACTACACTAAAGGCACATATGACAGCAGCATGCTACTTATTAGCTAGATTTGACATACTCCTAAAGAAATGGATCATTGTTTTATCTTTATCATAGTGCGGGTTGTTTTTCCATCTTATAATTTCTGTTAGCTAAAGCTGTTTAAAACGTACAAAATTGACTTGTGAAACTCATCAATGATGGTTCCGATTTCCTCTTTGTAACATCATGCTAGTCAGCTTGATTTCGTAGTTTTTCGTTGGTTTTGGGATTTTAACCAGAATGCCTCACAGGCCTCTCAGGATGCACTAACATTAAAACACAATATTGACCACAGCAGAAGTCTCTTTTGAGTTCCTCTCTAACATAAAGCCTTCTAGTGTTGACAGTTCAGCAATATAACATGACTGTATTAATAAGGTTTAATTTCTAGTTGAGTATTCTTGCTCTGATACAAATATTTTGATTTAGTCCTCAGTTGTGTCTTTAGCACCAAGGCTTAATCTGAAAGGGAGGTTCAGGGTTTAGCCTTTAAATTTTTAACCTAAAAATAACTCTTATTCTCTATCAAAACAGCAGCTTTTCTATTAAAAGATTATATTCAGGTTTGTAAAAATGAACTTGTTTATAAGTCATGATGTTTTAAGTGTACTGTCCTATGGTATGCTATTTATCAGGTCTGCTCGGTAAGTTGGGGTCAGTGAGTGATTCGTTCACTGAACGTTTAGAAGAATTCACACTGAACATGCACCGTTCCCTTGCAAACCGCTGCAATGTTAGGATGCTGTGGGTTCAATGCACTACTTGTTACATGCTGTGTCCTATTGTATACAAGTTGGTGGCAATTTATCAGTAAAAAAAAGGTAGTTTTGTCCGCCAAAAATTATTCAAGAGTGTAGTTCAACGCGTGATTCGTTCACCAAGTGATTCAGGTGTCGGTGCATGTGGTCCCTTGTTCACCGGCTGCTGGCCTGGCATTTCTTTTTCTCACTTCAGCTCAACTTAGGTGAGAAACGAACGAATCACTCGAGGAAGTGATTCGGTTCAGTACATTCACTTAAAAGACTGTTCTTTTGGTCGAATTGTTCGAAAACAAAACATGGTCTCGCATTTTTGCGCATTTGTCTGAGATTTGAGCAGTTTACATCTTTTTTCTAAGAATATGACAAAATACATTGACCTTGTGATTTGAAACTTTGCATCCATGTAGTATGGACACCAAACTTAGTTACTTTGCAGTTTTAGTTGTTCTTTTTGACGATTAGTCTAGATACTGAAGTACAAAAAAATGGTTTGGAAAAGTCATAAAGTGAGGAGACCTGAACGCAGACTTTAATACAATCTTGATGCAACAGAAAAGAAAAAAAAACTAAAGGCTTATGATGAAAAGTGGCAGCATAACAGGTTAAAAAAAAGAAAAGGCAGAAAAAGAGCCAGATGGAACATTACCCCAAAAAGCAGGGTTAAAAAGGTTGACAAAAATAACTGGCACAAAATGAAGAAAGTGGGGGGTCAGAGGAGATGGACCACCAAATTTACAATTCAACAAAAATAATCACTGTGATAGTTGAATCTGGATCAAAGCTTAATATAACACTCATTTTCCAAATGATGCGCCTGTTGTTTTCCCACGAGTGTGTACTCTGCTGTGTAAAATATACTGTTTGTGGATATCAGCCACTCATCAAACCAAAACATTGAGTCAGAGCACTCCTCCTCCAGCGCACACCAAACTGATCTCACTCTGACTTTCAAGAAACAACAGTGAGCAGTGATGGAGCACATCCATTCAAGAGCCAGCAGAGCCATACAATAAATACAACAATTAACAGGCACTCTCTGTCAACAAAGCTGCTGTAGAGAGATGTAGTGCATATGGCATCTCGCCAGAGGGAGAGGCTGTGAACAGAGTCTGCCCGCAGGCAAACAACCTTTACTAGAGAGAGGAGGATCCAAAAGAGAGTTGTTGGTGTCATTAAAGACGACTGGGATCGTTACTGATAGTATGCCAAGAAGAGTATGCAAATGGAAGAACTTGATGGGGCATTGAGCGAATGGGGGGTGGTGTGTCTTTGCTGATTGATTAAATGACTACTGGCTGGCTGTTGCAGCTCTGAGGTGTTTTCTGGCTTTCACGTAGTTGGTGGGGGTAAGTGAGTGAGTGGAAGTTTTACTGTGGGCAATAATGATAAAGTGACAGTAGTGGGACTGATCACTAGTCATTAAAGGCTCCTGTATTCTTGCTTAAAGCTCCTGTGAGGAGTTCTTGATAAGTCATGGGACAGAATCAAACTTGCAATGATGATGATGCGTCTTTATGATGTATAAAAGCAAATAACAATAGTCTCCATAGTAATTTTTAATGCCTGATACTGCTGTTAGCGGGTAGTTACACTAAATAAACACCCTATGATACTTTCTCCACACTACATATTCACAATGAAGGATACATTTCCATGCAAAAGACAACAGAAGGAGATTTTTTTGTCAAGCAATATCACTTTCACTAGGACCAAAACAAAATACACAACAATATAATGATTACCGTTTTGTCCACAAGGGGCACCAAAGTCAATACAGACACAAAGCTTTAAAAAGAGGTTTACTGAGGAAACAACTGAGAACATTGCTGTGAGACATGTTAAGTGTTTCTGCAAGCTCATCAACTTGGGCATGAAAGCATGAGTGGGTGGGGTTGAAACACAGATACCCATCTTTCTCATGCTTGTATTAGTTTGAAGCACAGGTGGTACTTAAACAGTTAAAGTTAGTCAAAGCTTTCTATTGTGCTCAACGATGATTTTTTTTTCCATCAGTTTGCAGATCACAAACAGTCCAAGCCAAGCAGAGTTGCTGAACAAACTGTTGAAGAAACTTAAAACTCAGAATATTTGACTTATTGAAAGAGGTGCATGATTAGCAGTAGTTGTGAATTACCTGAGTGACGAATCATGACAAATGTTGTCCCAGGCTATTTAACTCTGTTTTAGTTTGACTGTGGTTCCCTCATTCCCCCAAAGGCTAACGATAACACCTGCTACAGTGTTACCATTAGCCATTAGCCAAATCAGTCAAGCACACGCAACTGATTTACTGAATGTAGATTTGTAAGTTTCTCAACCGGTCGCTGGTTTTTACTCCCTTTTACTATTTCATAAAACTGCACAAAGATACACCAGAGTTAAACTTGGAGTTCTTCAATTCAAATCCCTGACTCTGGTAGTAAACAGTGAATAGTAGTAGCAGACCAACTTAACTTTTACCTGCTTCAGATCATGACAAAGCAGTTTTGTTGCTTGAGGCTGGGGTTTCAGCGTTGCTAGAGTGGTTGAATGAAAAAACATAGATAAGATAGATTGTTGGTGTTAATATTGATGTTTGTCATTCCTGATGGTATTGAGTAAACATCTACATTTAACCTAAAATACTCGCTCTTGATACCCATCCCCAGAGAAGACCATTTCATTCACTTCCTCTGTTAATTCTCTATTCTTCTTCCTCATCACATTGAAGCCCATACTTCAGAACACCGTTTTCTTCCTCTTCCTCTCTCTCTCCCTCTCTGTAGTCATCACATCTTTAATTTGGATCCAGTTCCTCCTCTCTCACATAAAGTACAGTCACACTACACTGGGCTCGAACCCATCACTCGTTCCCTTGGGTGTGCAGCTCTGACTGCCTGGCTGTGAAGACTCTAACACTTGCCTAGTGTTCTGCCATATAATGAGACAGTAGAAGCACCATAAAAGAACAGTTTTATGATTTATTTTTTAATGAGTCTCTGCTCAGTTTTGTGTTACGAGTACGAGATGCTTTATGATGTTGGTAGTATAACTGGAAAGAAGAGGAGTCTGGACAGAGTTGAAAGATTATCCTCCTGTTTCCCTTATAGTGGGCAGTTCTAGGGTTTTCACTCACCTTATCCAAGGCGCTTGAACAGGCTGGAGGGTCTATGATTTTGTTCTTTTATGTAATTATTAAAAAAAAGAAAGAAAACACTGTCTGGACTCAAAACGGTGTTAGATAGAGGTGTCTTTTGGATTGGGATACATGAAGTCATAACTTACTGTACAAGAAACCTCCAGAGCATTTCATTAAACTACTGAGATGGCTTTGTTGTTGTAGCAGAGTCATGCAGACCTTAAAACAAACTCTCTGGAAGCATTTTCATTATTTTGATAGGACAGCTGATCAGAAACACGGAAATGTGGGGGTAGAGCCTGGGGATGACATCAAGAAAAGGGAGCTGAACTAGCAACCTATGGGATGTGTGCTGCAACCACTGAGCTGAACCAGTGCCTCAAATCTTAAAGTATTAACTAACACATTTTAGCACAAAGTATTTAAAGGCTGTTGATGGAACAACATGTGAATGGGATGGATGTATTAATGCTGCGTTCTAGTTGTACTTTGAAGTCGGGATTATCGAGCTCCGAATCAGAAAAATTAAATAAGTGGTATATGTTATATTGCCCAACGTCTGACTGTAAACACGGTGCTATGGTTTTTGTAAAAATAAAATACTGTGTTATGTGTTGTTTACAATTGGTATAACTAACAACAATTAACAGCATCTAACAATGGCTAACAACAACTGACAACGGCTAAGGACAACCGACAATTTTAAACAACAGCTAACAATGGCTAACAGTAGGCGTCCATCTTGGTTTTGTGACTTGTTTACTGGAGCGCTGTCTACTTGGGTGTAACGGCATTCCCAGCTCCCCCATCTAACTTTCGAGGTAACTGGAATGCAGCATTAGACTCCAAATTTCCAAAAACTCTGCATCTGTAATTTCCATAGTTCACACATGTTTATGTGCATAAATTCCTCTGTCATTGTCAATCATTGCAAGTTTTTTTCCCTTACAGTTGGCAAAAATAGCAGCAAGCGATATGCTGGCTTTATTCTTTAAAGCTTTATGAAACATGTGAACTAACAGCCTCTGTCACTGATTCACGCGGTGACTACATTTTCAACAAAGCAGCAGATTTCAACACAACGCCAGCTGTGTGCTAAAAATGTAACCATTGTAAATTTTCCTGAATATCTCCCACTGCATTCGTAGTGAAAATTCCAGCTGTTTGCATTGACACATGCAGCTCAACCAGAGTTATGTTCACGCATGAATAGTCCTCATGTTGCTTATCAGTACTGCACTCTTCAGGGATTGAGATCTAACCTGCACCCTCTGATCAAAAGCTGCCTCTCTTACACTGCTCGTGAAATTTTTGTTTCCTTCTGGCTCTGTTATTTCAACCTCAATATAAAAAAAAGTGCTTGAAAGTAGTCCATGCTAATGTGATTGGCACCTGTCATTTCTTGAGAATTACAGTTTGTTAGCAAACACTAATAAGCCCTAAAGGGACTCATGCTGACCAATAAAAAGCTTGCAGTCTTCAGCCTTTGACACTAATTGCTCCCTCTGTCTTGTTACGCCAACACACACAGCTGCTGGTCTTGACAAATACTGTAATACTAACACTGGAGGATTTTCTCTTTTGGTCTCAGGCTGTAAGAAATTAGACTCTGAAGGCATGACTTGCTGCAGTAACAAATCTGATGTGGGTTAATGTTTGTGTGTTTAACTCCTTGTGTTTAAATTTAGCACATGAAGCTGTTGAGCACTTGTTTTTTCCAATGGTTAAATTAACTTGTTCTTTAAATAAAATAAAATAAACTTTCCTCCAGACAGGATGAAGCAGCATCAGACTTAAGTACAGTACGTGTAAGAACATGGAGGAGGTAATACCATGAGCATTAACATTAAGTTTGATCATCTCGGCTGCAGTTGGAGTTTTGTTTATCAGTACCACAGGAGCAGACTTGGCTTCTTGTACCCAAACTTCGAGAATAAATTAGCTGAAGTTGTTTGGGTTTTATGATAAATATCTTTTCTCAGGTTGTCATGGAAACAGGCCTGCCCACATCTGCAGCACCCTGCTACACTGAAATGTTTTCTACATCTAATTATCTCTGCAGTTACTCTGTAAATTAGTGTTACTGTTATTCAGCACAACTTGCATTCAGCAAATAAATTGACACTAGAAAAGTTTCTTTTTGCAGGATTCATGCTGCGCTCTCTAAAGTCTGAAAATTAACCTGAACTCTGTGAACGAGTGAAGGACAGAGAGAGTGAAATATTGTCCTTTAGTTGACCAGGCACTTTGGTTATGCCATCAGATTTACTGTTTTAGCTAAACTAGCGTATTTGTTCAGTTACCCGTTGGCCTGTATCTCTCTCTGCTCCACAGAGAGAAAGCAAGAAAACTCCAGACAATTTACTTGCAGCACTAATGAGTTATTTTGCCTCAAATAATAAGAGAGCACATTTTGGGGAGGACAGCGAGGGTAAGCAAAGGAGAGCTCCTCCTGTTCGGCTGTAGGATGAATCACTCCAGCAGGTTGAGACCTGTGGGAGGAGAGTCTTTCTGGCCATATGGCCTGAGTGCTGAGACAAGAACGCCTGCTGACATATTTTATTTTAAGTTGTTTTATCTCTTTACTAACAGCACACAAGGGAGCACTGGAGTTTTAAAAGTGGAACACATCTTTTGAATTAACCTCTCAACCACCAGCCTTAGTCATCATAGAGCCTGTTTCACTGCAGAAACTCAGAGCATCAGTGTCTCTGGCTGGTTCTTGGTACTTCACTTGGTACCACTTTGATTGGCGTTTTGATCAGTCAGACATGTCTTGTCATGTTTCAAGTAGAGATTCACTGATCCATTATTTTCCGATCCAATCTGATACCTGGGCTGAGCGTATCGGCCGATATCCGATACCGATCCAATGATACTGTTGAATGGATTACCTATATATCTTGCCCTGTGAGCGAAGGCCTCAGGCTTGACATTAGTCTTGTTAAAAAAAAAAAGGTTACAAATAAACACAGATATAAATTTACTTAATATTATTTATTAACAAATAACAAATTGCACATTAGCACACAGCAAAAAGAAGTAAGACGTCCATGTCAACATTTAGTGCAAAAAGGATAGACATACAATTTGTCAATATCAGAGCCGATATCCAATCCAAATATCTGATCTGATCATCCCTAGCTTCAAGTGAAAGTTGTTAAAGTCAGGGTTTGGTATCTTTTAACAACCTCTGCAGGAGTTTCCAGGTGGTTCTTGCCATGTCATATGAGATATTCTTGGCTCCAGAACCAGAGGCTTTCCTGTGCTACTGGCCCAGTAAAGACGGTTCTGTGTTAGTGTGCTGGTGGAACCTCCACCGGGCTGTCCTGTCCCCCTTCCCAGTCCCGCAGGGGATCTCTTCAGCAGCCAGACACACTGGCCCATTTTACTTCCCTTTCTGCCCTCCCGCCTTCTCTGCTTCTCTTACTGGGTCTCCCTGCACCTCCTCCTGCTGCCGCCAAACTCTTTATCTCCAGCTCCTCTAATAGCGCGAGAACCACACTTTGATCAGTTGTTTCTGTTTTGGCTCTCAGGTCCAACCCTAGTATCTGTCTCTGTTGACTGACTTTTCCATTTTTGCCCAAGTGATTACAAATGCATTAGCAGTTGGTGGCTAAAAGTCGTCATACAAACTAGCTTCTGTGGGTGTTTTAGACTGTAAGTGTTGCTAAATAGAGGATTGCAACAATTAAGTAATTACCGGCGGGTTGCTGATGCAAGTCTACTCACAAGAACTTAATAGATAATTACATAGAAGTGCAACTAAGGGCTTGATAAGTGTAAGACGTGTCCTTGGCTTTAAAAGGTAGAATCAGATTTAGAGACTAGGAGAAGATAAGGGCAGAGGGAGCAAGATAGCAAGCCAAAAAGGGGGAACACACTCCCCTCCCCAGCTCCTCCTGCATGTCATCCAAACGTGTCACTGAGCCGAGCCGCTCACGTTTTGCTCCAGTTTCTGTGTGGCTCTTATTCCTCTGAGTTTTACCAGTCCTTTTAAACTGTTCTGAAAGGCAGATGAGGTTTTTTAATTACACATTCGCTGACTCTGTGCCTTGCCGTGCAAAGTTTTTCACAAAGTCTGCATCATTTTTCATCATACTGCATCAGAAACAGAAAACAGAAAGCCTGACTGGTTTTGCATATTTGACTGCAGCAAAACGCTGATTTGTATCTGTCAGTGTTAGAAAGCAATGACCGCGGGGTAAGGCAAATCTTAACTCAATCAAACAGAAGAAATGCTCACACACATGCACATTTGGGGGATGTAAACATGAAAGTTAGCTGTGGGCTCGACAGTGGGCGGATGTTGGTGTCTGCAGTGTGTGTGTGTGTGTGTGTCTGTGTCTCTCTGCCAATGTGAAAAGTAGTTCAGTAATTAAAGCAAACCTCTCTGCAGTCCCTGTTGGAAAGAGAGGAGGCAGAAAAGGGTGAGGAGGTAGTGAGAGGGAGTGGGTGAGATAAAGAAGAAGAAGAAAGGCGAGATAAAAGCCAGGGACGGTTTATTTTTGATGCAGAGGGAAGACAGGGAGGTTTTAATTTTAGCTCGGCGTGCCGGATCGCCACAAGGGGGAATGTGGCAGCTGATTGCAGAGATGCCGATCGGTTAGACAGGGATGCACACGCATTCACGGGCTCAGGATTCACATACACACACATACACCAGCACTGACATTACATCTGGAATGCCCCTGAAGAAGAGAGTTCCCCTCATTTTCAGTCTAATGATGGAGGCACAGCTTTAGAGCGCTTTGTAACACATGTGCAGCGACCCGGTTCAGAGGTTAATTCACTGTCAAAAAACTCAAATTCTCCTTCTTTACTGAACCGCCGTTTTCACCTAAAGTCAACACACTAATTAGGCTGCTGTGCGAGATTCACTGGCACACACTCATGCTTGTCGACAGGCTGAAAAAAGCCTCAAATCCCATTGCAATGTTGCTGCTTCTTCCCCCTGTAAACACTCGGTGCAGTTTTAGCGTGTTGTCGGAGCTTTTTTGTTATTTTTTTTCTGCTCGTTATCCGAAACTTTCTGGCGTTCTCCCCGCCTAACGAAGGCGTGAACTGCACTGCTCTGCCGCCTGTTGTGTTTGTTTTGAGAGGTGTCCCATTCTGACCTACATACATTACCCTGACCAGCGCTAAACTTTGTCTCCATGACAACAGGAGGTGTGAGGGGAGGGATGCGCCCACTTGAAAAAAAAAAGGCAGGATGCTGTTGTCTTCCTACTGTAGCACCAGCCCCTGCAAGCCCACACAGCGTGCACTTGGAGATTTATATCAGAGCAGATATTCAAGAAGAAGAAGGTGTCGGGCCAAGATATCTCCATTTTGAAGCCACTTTTTCTCTATGTTTGCTCAAACACAAACGCACTTTTTTTTTGTTCTAGCATGAGGCATGAGTGGATAGATGTCGAGAGAAAAAGAAGGGAGGTCTTTGATGTATAATTTATCTAGGCAGTGGGTGGGCGGACAACGTGGGGTGTGAAGAGGGTGAGGAGATGGGGGGGGGGGGGGGGGGGAAATCGGTGGGGGAAAGGTGGGCGGCAAGGGAGTTGAAGGGAATCCAACTCGCTCACGTTTTCCCTGTTATCCATTACTTTTTCAGGGCAAGTCAGCCTAATAACTCATTTGGAGGATCATGTATGTGTGTTGTGTGTTTTTGTTCTTTGGCACCTCAACCTAAAAACTGGCTTTGATTTTAATCTAATCAATAATAGAAGTAGTTTTCTGTCCGTTTTAATTGAAACATGTTTTGTAGAGAGACACTTTGCTCTCTAAAGCAAACTTAAACCTGCACATGCACACAACCCAGCTTTCTCAGGTGCCTTATAACATCAGCACTTATAGCTGATGAAGGCAGCAGATTCAAGAAAACAATAAAGAAAGAGAGGGATGAAATGAGGATGGAGGGATGAACTGCAGAGGCTGTTCCACTCCGAGAGGAAAGAGCAAAGGAGCAGATTTGCTTTATTCAGAGAGTGGCATAGAGACCTCATTCCTTCATCCCTCCCTCCCTTTTTTTTTCTCTCCAAGTTCCCCTCCTCTCACCCACTCCTTCTTCCTTTTTTTTCTGTCTCCTCAAGACGTTTCCACGTTTTTGCCATCCACATGCCTGGCTGCAGGCTACGGATGAGGTGAAATGGAAAGGAGGAGAGGTGGTTGATTTCAAACGCACATTCCTTCAGGAATGGGGCGGGCTGCAGGCAGAGGGGGTCTGCAGAGCTACATGAGACCAGTAAACAACCACAGAGGAGATGGGAGCAAATTCATAAAGTATAATCTGAAATATGACCTAAATAAAAAGTACACCACCTCCATGCTTTTCTCTCTGCTCCAGTTCAAGTATGTGTCTGTATGTGCACATTTAGCCGGGGTGAGTGTGCCTGTGTGTGGGTTCTGTTTGTGTACAGTACCTCCACAGAAGACAGTAGGATGTGGTCCATACCAGTCTGCTGACCACTGATAGCACTCTGTTGTTGTTTCTACCCACTGATCAGCTCTGCATCAAACACCGTCAGGTGGGTACACAAACGCACATGGACGGTCCACCTCGGCATGCCTCACATTTAAGCCTCCGCCATGGCTGCAGAACAAACAACAAATCGCTTCTTCTTTGGCAAAGTGAAGTGTTTTCTGTCAGCTTTCGAGTTTAGGGTCAGGATGAAGTCAGCCCTCTGAGATGCTCACACGGTCATAATATTGATTTCTGTTGTTGTTGTTTGTCTTATTTAGGTCAGTTTGGTTAACCGATCATCAGTTACACCTAAAAAAATATCTGTGTAGGTTCTCACTTATCTAGGTCATGGTTGTCATATTCTTCATCGAAAGAGCAACTTTTCTGACCAGGACTGAGCTGATAACCTAGATCTGAAAGATACAGGACATCCCTTTGTGGACAGCAATGTTAGGGAAGACTGCTGGTTTGAAAGAGGTGTGAAGGACGCCATCTTTATCCAACTGGAGAAACCATCCTTTAACCCCTGATTTCCGTCTCATCCGGTACGGCTCCAGTTTTGAACGGCGGTAATTTCAGCCGTCCGCCAATTTTTATAGGATCCGTTTGTGAGGCGAATTTCATGGCGGATTACGGACAGCGGGAATCGAAAGAACTCACAAGACCCTGCAGATTCACATGCAATCACGCGATAACAAGTTGTCTCTATAGCCGCTAACCATATAAGCAGTAGATTGTGTCCTTCTAGAGCAGGAAATATTTCCAGACTTCTAAGATCAGCATCTCCTCATCCATGGTGTCATCGGGGTGAAATGCTGCCTAAAAACCTTTCACGTGTTCGTCCCCGCCTGTTTGCATGGTGTGAAATACAATCCACCTGAAACACAGAGGGTTTTATTTTGAAAAGAAGCAGGATATTTTATTTTGTGTCTGTGCCCGACTTCCTTTCAAGCATGAGTTAATTTGTGCTGAATTTATCCGGCGTGCTCTAGCATCCAGAAAAAATAAAACTCGGAGTCAAGTGATCTGCAGCAGAACAGAAAGAAGCCGGTGGAAATTGACACATTAACTTGAATGGTTACGATCATCTGCGATCGGCGAATACGGCCTTTCTGTAGCCATTGCGGATGTGGTGGAAATATGGGGTAACAGAGGTGGTGGACTATGGCACTTTTTATCCCCCACTGACAATTCAGCCTTGGATTCCTTTTGACAACAATTGAAATGATGCTTTCGTGCTGAATCACAGGCTCCAACATGAACCTCATGAAACTCAGGAGGGCACCCCCCAAAATGAAACCAAGTCAACGACCCTGCTAACAACTTTCAAATGACCACCCACCCCTTTTACAGCTGGAGGACCAACAGAGGCTATAAATTTCCAATTTTGAACTGGAGAAGCCAAATGTCTTTAAGAATCTTAAACAAGTCCAGTTGCCCTTTCAACAAAGAATTGGATACACTTGAAAATCTTCATGAGCCTGCATTACGCACCAACAGTCAGACAGAAAGTGAAATAATCTGCTTTGTCTCAAAGTCCGGTTCACAAAACTTACTGCACTTAGATCTATTCAAGCCCAAATGCCCTTAAAGTTTGGTGAGTTTCCTCTTGTTTTTCTTCAATTTTAGCTGAAATTAACTGCTCTCTCATCTATCGAGCGCAAATCTGTTCACTAATAGATGATGAACTGAACGGGAGGAGGACACTTCTTACCAGAGTATATGAAAGGTGAATACAAATTTGTTACCACCGAAAAACTGTTTCCACCAACTGTCAACAGTCGGCACAAGATTTCCCAGTAACCTTGCCAGTGTTTGTCATGAAGATTTTTGCAATGAAATGCATTTCTTTGTTTCAAATGAATGTGCAAATTGCACTCGTGCATAAAGATGCTGTTTGCTCTGCTGAGCAGTTAAGATTTATTCAACCCTTTGCATGTGCTTTGTGAATTTGTAAGTGCGATTTTGTCTCATTTGCACAAGTTTGGCAGGCACAAAAGCAGCACAAACCTTTGGAAGACTAAACGGCTGTGAGTTTGCTAGCCAAGTAGCCAGAAAACATACCTTTTCAATCTCTGCTAAACCTAGATTATGCAACCTGGAGGTCTTGCAGATTAAATCCACCACCTGTCATTGCGTCCTCATATGACCACTAAAAACAATCTGTTATCTCATGTACAGTACACCTTTAGGCAAACGCAAGCTCCCAGAGGAGGGAATGGAGATAAAAGAGGATGAGTTTGACACAGTCCAGTGAGTGAGGACGAAGACAAAGCAGCGCAAAGGAGAAATTTAGGAAGTACATTTTTAGAGTGAGAGTCTACAGAGAAATGTCATTCTCCTTGGATCGACAGCTTATCTTCTTCCTGAATGAGGCTGAAAGGTCAGGCAGGGACTTGGTATATAAACTAAATGTATCAAAGGTTTTAACAAGGTCTTTCACCCTCAAATACAACACAGTTTGGGGAATGTTTACCAAACCCTAGACCACTAAAGACGAAATGATGTCTTGGCAATAACCTGGTTGTTCTCCACAGGAAAAATAAGTTTAAAATGAAATGTAAGATGTTTGTATAGCTTAGTTCAAAACAATGCTAAAATGCTGTAGAAGCTTGGGTGTCATATTGTAGTTTGGGGTCATAATAAACTCAGTTGACAATGCAAGACTACAACCATGCATGTTAACGTTGCTTCTCAGTCCAATCTGGATGGAACATTTATTGAGTCACCTTTTCATAGAGAGAAGACCGTCATCTCGTCCATCTTTTATGAATCTTTAAAACTCTCAAAAACTTTGTGCTGAAAGCTCAAAAATAGTTTTGACATTTGGATTTAAAGTTTGATGTTGACCATTGTATGACATCAGATATCTTTGTCATACAAGAGATGCTCCAACTTTAAACCAATATAGTATGTAGTTATTAAACAATGGGCGATCACTGAAGTTGAACAAGATGTGGGAGCAAAGTTTGCAGAAAGTTTTCTTTTGGTTGTGAGAACAGTCACAGAAAACAGGCCAGCTGTTTTGGCCGCTTCAACAGGGACTCCTGTAAACAAGCTGAAAGAGCTGGATATGCATCTCAATTACCTGTGAAATCTGGGACTGGGCTTTCCATGAGGCCTTCCAGAAAACCTTGGATTCCCAAGCAGCTATGATAGGGAGCGAGCCTCATACCCTTTTTTTTGCAAAGGTATAATGTTTAAATCAGTCTGTGCTATAGAGCTTTGTAAAAAGTAACACCAACAAACTTTACGTCGCTGTACAAGCAGCTAACAGATTAATAGTGTTACCTGAGGGTTTTCACAAGCACCAGTCCAAGATAAAGCCTTTTTTAGCAGAAATCATGCAAAACTATTCTATAGGTGTCCCAGACTGATAAAGAGACCACACATTCACTGTGAGTAAAGTGGTGAATCAACAGACTATCTAAAATCAGCATGGTCAGTTTACTTAAAAACAGAGTGATGAGCTGTAAAAAGGAAACACAGTCTTAATTCTAGGATCCAGATTCAGCTTTTGGTATTTGCAAAGTATTTAAATGTTCATGAACAAGACCTCAAATGCTCTCCAGCAAAAACTGCACCCATCATGTAGCTGAACTTTATCCCTTGTAGAGCAGAGATTAATTTTTTTGTCCCTGCAGTCATCAGGATGGTTGATGTAAAAGATGTCCTAAATTCTTGGAAACAGGAGTACCAGGGTTACCTGGAAATCCCATGGGAGATCTTGAACTCTTGAACTCTTGCTCTCGTATTGCCTCTTTGTTTCGCCTCACTCAGGACAGGTCAGGTCACTTCGACATTAGCTTCCTCCACCACACTGAATAATTTAGAAGAGGTCATGATGTTATATGTGTGTGCATGCCTGTGCGTGTCCTTTTGTGTCTGGATGTGTATCTCAGCCAGCCATGCTGTATGTACGATTGTTGATGAATTGCATCAGTGAAGTGTAACAGAGAGGTTTCCTCGATCTTCTTGGAGAAGCCCCGTGACCCACGCAGGCTCAGCTTTCAGGTGTGTGACTGAGAAAGGATTGGCTGAAAACTGACTCAGTGTTTTGAGGATGTTGTTTCCGTACTTCAGCGTTTGGATGTTACAGCTACTAAACTCAAGCACCTCAGATGAGGAGAGACTACATAGGAGATTTGGTGCACGTGTCAATTTTAAATACATTGAAGATAATCTGGAGCATAAAATCGAAACTGAACAGACCTGCTGCTGTTGGTACTTGATTATAATACCACCACTCTGGAGTGCGGGAGGATGATTTACATAGTGCCAGAACTGTTGTCGTAGTGCTCGTGCTGGTAAATAAAGAGCATTTATAGATATGACTCACCACACTCAATGCATCATCCTCCTCTTCAAAAGGATTTCCTGTAAATATAGACATCTATACCCATGATCATGAAAATCTGGGTTAGTAATGTATCCTGCAAACACATATAGTAAGATGGGGTATTGAGATGTATGTCAGTATGTTTGAAATTGTGAAAAATGTGATTTGAATTCCCTGTTCAACCTGTCCTGCCCTTGCCTGTCTGGCAGTCGTGCGGTCACGGTTATGGCTGAGGGGTTTGCTTTAGCTCTGTGCGCTCTTGAATTACAGTGACATCAGTCCACCAATCTGCTGTGACATAAGGGTCTGAAGTTACACCGCACCTGTACAGAGAGTGCACCCATACATCTTAGTGTCATGAATAATAACTGAAGAGGTGAAGTCAGCGCGGTTCTCTTTGTTTACTTTGGTTAACTTTACCACCAAAGCCTCTGTGGGGCTCCACCTGTACCTTGCTTTAACAAATAGCACCCCTTTTGTATAACTTAAGACACTGTCCTAATGAATTTTTAATATAGACGGGAAAGATGAGAACTTTTCATTGTTACTTTTACTCTTTTTTTTTTTACTTTTGAAATCAGAAACTCTTAACAGTTTGTATGGTAAAGGGGGTCACACAGCAATTTTTCAGATTAATTGTGTCTACGTTGTGGGGCACTGTGGCTGTAGCGTCAGTTAATGTCTAATGCTATAATGCTATAATGCTGTACTACCTGGATGTAAACAAATAGATAACAGATGGCAACTTATAGCATGATGGGGTATGGCAGCATTATGATCTAGAAGCTGTATGTAGGCTGTGAGCTATGTAATCTTGGTACACCCCTAGGCTTTATCAAGTGTCAGTCATATAAAACATGAACTTCTAAAAACTTTTAAATGGAGCTGCACAGAAAAAAGAGCACTTGAGCACAAACCAGTCTAACAATAACTACATGTCAACATCCAACCGGGGGGGAAGAAAAAATTATATTTTGTGTAATAAATGTCTGAAGTTTGTCCACAGCTCCATCAAAAATGCTGGAGGAGGTGGGATTTATGACCTGTACTGCAGCCCGTCACCAGAGGGTGCTGTTCTCGCCATGGCTTTACCCAGTTCTAGATACAATCTACGGTAAAAACGCTCAACTAGAACAATGCAGAATTAGCACAGGCATTTGGATGTTAAACTGTAAGGTGACATGTACGCTGGTGGTGCTAGCGCTGCTGACAGTAGTCAAACATCTGAGTCTGTGATAATGTGGTGTTACGTTGACTGCGCTCAGTCTCTCTGAATTGTGATATCCCTTTAAACAAGTAAATTTGTAGGCTCAGAACATTCCTACAGCAAACCTGCTAACTGCTAACTGCTAACTCTCTGCTCAGGACCAGTGAGAGGATGACCATAGAATGACCACTGAATTTCCCCTCGGGGATCAATAAAGTTCTTCTGATTTTTATTTTTATTCTTAGATAGTCATCGATAGCTGGATGTGGTTAAAAGGACCATTTGAAACCAAGCCAAAACTAATAGGAGAGTAAATGCCACATGCAGTAGCTTCAAATTTTTGGAGTCATCTCTTTATTTCTGGTTCCTTGTGATCAGAAGTTGATGACTGCAGCATGAAGTGTTGCTAGAGTCTTTTTCTTACTGTTTTGTCTAGTCATGTTGGAAATTCAGCAAAAGATTCAGCACTTGTTGAGGCGAAATTTGAGATGGGTGACCTTATTTCAGGTTACCATAGGATAGGAAGAAATCACTGCGTTGACTCACTGTATCCATGATATTTTGAGGACCAGGACTATTGTGAAGTAAAGGACAGGTTTCAAAAGTTTGAAATCCTTTGACTGTCCTTGCTTCAACTCTAACTGACGTTCCCCCTCCACCGTGTTTTTGTCGAGTGCTCCCTCTTGTACATCACTCTACCCTTTTATCTCCTATTTCTGTGCATTATATTACTCATTTTATCCCATATTCAGAGACCCTTCCACCCTTCCTCCCGCTTTTTGCTCCATGTCACAGTGGAGAGTGAATAATTCATGTTCGGGCTGCTTGCTGGTGGAGATGAATCATGTGAGCAGAGCAGGATACACGTGCTCTTCTCTGAGTGACTCTTCTCTCCAAAGACCTCGGGACAGCGTAGGGGGAGCCACTGTGCTTCTCCACAGCTCTCTGCAGAGACCACTACTACAACTCCATCCTGGCTGCATAACAGGATCATCTTAGCTTTATGACAGTCACACGTGAGCTCTGCCTTCAAAGCCATGCGTGAGCCTCCCCAGAGACCAGGCAGTAGCTTCTCACTGTATATTTACACTCTGCATTTAGTGTCTCTGTCATTAGAGCTACATATATTATCTCATAAATTATGTCTCTGAAATGATTCTACATGTCAGCATTTAGATAATAGATCTCTTGGAAGAATAGATGTCTCTGTAGGGTCCATTACAACAATCTCAGCTTTGATTTATTGACTCCACTATTTATGTATCATGTTGGCAGTAACGATGCCGAAGACGCCAATCTCTAAATCTTTTGTTTTTAAATGTTGCAATGTTGGCGATTCAGATTGGAGTTGGAGACAATTTTCATGATGCTGGACAAAATAAAGTTTTGTTGTATTCTACTTTCATTCTTTTACACATATTGCATTTCAAAAACACAAGACTTCTCCACCCTGTCTCTCGCTGTGTCAACCCCTATCTCACACATTTTCAGTACTTGACAATTAAGGTGTTTTTCAAAATGATAGAAGAGTAGTCATTACCGATTGATGCGTAGGTTTGTTAACTTTTAATTGTGGGCTTCTTGCCGAGAAACCCCTCTAGTACTTTGGCTCCCAACACTCTTTGTGGCACTGTTGCCTCATCCTAGTCTTAGTGCCATTTGACTTTTTTCAGTGTTATTTTTCCTGACTTTATTACCTTTATTTGGAGAGCATAGGGCAGGCGACTGTGAGAGAAAGAGGGGAGTGATGTGTAATCTGAAAACACTTGATATATGACTCCATTCTTAAACAAGTCCATTTCTGTTGTCCATAGCCGGGTGGGGAAATTGCTACTCAGCAGCTGGTTTATGGCCTCTTGTTGCAGTTGAATTTGTGGCTGGTAATAGAACAATATGTCGACCCCATTTACATGTCTGCCATTTGAATACTAAAAGTCTCGTGTTCTGCAGATTCTGTCCTTTCACTCCTACACACACTTCTTTCTCTGGAGAAACTCCCAGCCTGAGCCGAGCTTACTGTGTCTCTGCACGCATGTATTCGTGACAGTTTGTTTATATCTGTGTGTGTGTGTGTGTGTGTGTGTGTGTGTGTGTGTGTGTGTGTGTGTGTGTGTGTGTGTGTGTGTGTGTGTTTGTGTGTGTGTACTATTGTTTGCCTGAACTCTGCTGTCCTCTGAAGCTTGCTGTGTCCTGATGCACACGTGTTCTCGCTTGAAGTATTGACATACTGCAGTGTTGATGGACCCAGGACAACAATTATTCATATGGAGGGACCCTCTTGGTTTTTGTGCTGTCACGCTGCATTATCGGTCTGCTTGGCTGCTTGACTTGCAGTTGTATATCAGTTTACTGGAGTTGTAGAAAATAAACCAAGTTGCATAAAAAATGTGTTTTTAAAATCTGCGTGTGCTTATTCAAAAAATATTTGTTAGTGTTGCCATGTTACCTGCTGTGTTGAAAAGACATTACTATTTAATAATAGACAGAAGGGTATTTGACTGATCTCAAGCCACAGCCAGAGAGGGAGAAGGATTCCCAGTTTTGGAGCCTCAGGTTTCCATCTTCCATCCATCAATCCTTCTGCACATGATGTGGTTCTGGTTCTATCAGGCAAAAGTGCAAAGTGATATGGATGAAGGCCAGAACCTCCAAGTAGGAGGCCATGATTCTCTTCCAGAAAAGGTTGGTTCGCTTTCTCTCAGTGGGGAGTGAGTCCTGTCCCCGAGTGACTGAGTTGAAGTTTTGCTATGTGGGCATTGTACTGAATCATTGTGATGAAAAGGGAGGTGGGCTTTTAGGAAAAGCTTTTGGTTTTCCAACAGTCATCTTTGGAGGTTTTACCTTGCCACTGTTCCCTACTAAACAACACTATCCATCTGATTGTTCTATGAATCAGAACTGAACTGGGCAAAAAAGCGTTCAGTTTTGCTGCCACTTCGGCATGGAATTCTCTGCAGACTGACCTGAAATTGTCGTAATCAATTTCGCTCAAAGCATTTCGTTCAATCTTACATGACAGACTTTGAGAGACCATGGAACAGTGCCTGTGTTTTTAATTATGTCTCTGGAAGTCATTTTTTTCTTCTTTATTATTGTTTATTGTTGTCATGTGTGTTGCCGACCTCTTGGCCAGGTCACTCTTGTAAATAAGATCTCGATCTCAATGGGTTCTTACCTGGTTAAATAGAAAAATTGATAAATAAAAAAACAAAGTGTTACTCTCATGTGGATGATAGGAAGATAGGAGTGGGTCTGAACTTACAAGATGGAGCTCAATCTTATCCCATCTGTCTTTATTGGATGGCATTTGCTGTAAATTGCCCTGGGTTAGGGTTGAGGTTATAAATAAAAATTGATTAATTAATCACAAGCTTTCACCAAAAGAATGACATCATAAATACAAGTGGCAAAAATAAGTTTCCTTTATAGTGTGGCTGGACATCTATAGGGAGCACTGAGCTGCTAGAAAGGAGTGAGCTGAGGCAGTTAAAGTATCAGATGAGGATGCGTCCTGGGCATATCCCTTGAGGTTTTCCACGCATGTTCAACTGAGAGGAAAACTCGGATCAGATTCAAAAGCAATGAAGGGATTACATACATATCCCATCCTGCCTTGTAATGCCTGGGGATCCCCCTGAAGGAGCTGGGACAGGGCGACTTGCTAAGCTCCATTGCCTACGGCGCTGGATGGATGGATGGATGAGTGGGTGAATGGATGGATGAACTACTAAGAGAGCAGTAGAGATAGTTGGTATTGGTAGAAAAAATCTGTTTTGGCGATAACATCTCAAAATGCTCTTGTCTATCTTTGTTTCTCCAGGTCAGCCGCTGCTTGAAACCAGGAGGACGATTCGTTTCTGTGACCTTTGCTGACCCCTTCTTCAGGAAACGCCTCTATGCTAAAACGGAGTATGACTGGTCCATTAAGAAGTACAGTTATGGGGAAGGCCTGGAGTATTTTGTGTATGTAATGACCAAAGGAGAGGAGCTCAGCCCTGAAGATGCAGCTTTGGAGAAAAAACTGCTTGAAGACACCGAACCCAAACCACCAACGGTTTCCTCAGCTCAGAGTGAGGATGAGGAGGACTTCATCGCTAACATTGACATTTAGGATAAAACTGCATCATTTTAAGCAATCTTTGGGTGTCCAGGATTTTTAACCTAACCTGTGTTGTAAATATGGAATATACAAAATTGTGAACTAAATTATGCAATGACTTTTCTAAACAGAACTGAATGGATGCCCAAAGTCTCCTCCTACAAAGTCTTATTCTGGAGGTGTATTGTTACGAACATGAATTTAACAATTTTTATGGTATTTTTTATACAGTCAGTTTAATTTTAATTACCAGGGACTGATTTGCACTCATGTTATCTGAGTCATTTTGCATTTTTTTCTGCCTGTTATGATATTCTGAGGCAGTCTCTATCAGCTTCTGTTCTGATGTGCTTCTTAATTGAATCTTTTATCTTTCATAAAGCAATTTTACATCTCACAGTCTTCATCTTTTCTGTCTTTTCATCAAATAGATTCACCAGTCTGATTTCTGTGGTGCTGGTCAAGACATGCCAGTGTTAAACAATTTGTAAGACGAACTGGCATGGCTAGACACAGTACATAAGAGCGCCATCAGCCTGCATGTGAAAATCAGCGTTGAGGCTTGTTAATATGTCAGTCAGAGTCGAATATTCTTAAGGGGTCAGTCCCACGCCTGTTTTAGATTCCGGACAAAAGCTGCTAATGGAGATTTGCAGTGTTTGACACAGCTGTCAAGCACACAGGAATTGAGCATGTATACACACACCCACACCCTGACATACAAGTGGTAGCCTTCCCTGCACGTTATTTGTTGAGGAAACATGAGATGAGTCTCAGGTCCTGTGCTTTTGGCTGCTTAAATATAGACTAGAGAGAGAGAGAGAGAGAGAGAGAGAGAGAGAGAGAGAGAGGCGTGCAGACAGGCAGGAAGCCTGGTGGCTGGAGGGGAGGGGAAGGGGGGGCACATTGATAAAGTAGAAATCATTTATTTTTAATTTCTTCACTGAGATGTAATTACCGCCTATTTTTAAGACCTGAAAAAATGTATGTGATTTTTCAGATGGCTCTTCTTTGCTTCTCTGGTTTTTCTGTGGGTGTAACTTGATAATTTTGACATTGTTATAAGCAAAAAGTTCTCCCACAAGTCCAGTTTAGCAGCTTTCTCACAGTGCTAGTCTTTCTGGTACTTTTTATTATGAAACACTCTTCCTGAGCAAAAAGGAGTGCACCAAGCAAGAGACTGATATTCAGCCCCTCATCAGCAAATGTTACCTGTCTTGTCAAAAGTCGGTTGGTTTTATAACATTAACCCTGCTAAGTTTGTGTTACTTACTAACCGAGTCTGAAGCTACACATCCCAGGATAAGAGTCCACATTCTCTCCAAGTGCTTCTCCATGAAGAAGACAGTTTGACTAACAGTGTGGATTGTCTTTTGCAGGTATGTAGAGCTAGTATGTTCTGGTTTCATAAGTACAAGGAGGAGGAAAAAAAACAGAAGACAAAGGTGTTAATTTGCCAGCTGGTTGCTTTGTTGTAGTTAATTTCTTCAGATCCAAAAAAAAGCCTCCTACAGTTACTAATGTGACTGTGGCAGCCAAAAGAAATTGTCAAAACTTCAAGTAGCACAAAATAAAGCTGCAAGACTGGCTGTGGCCTGTCCATCAGGCGTGAGGTTCAGCACAGAGAGTCCACATGCCAGTTTTTCATGACTTAGAGTAGACGAGCAGTTGGAATGCAACCTGATTAATTTCTTAAGGAATGTCTGTTTTTCAGCGAACAGCCAAACTGTCTGCTCTCTTGAGTAGAGATACTCACAGTCATGAAGGGATCTGATAGGCTGCTCTGGGTAACATGGTCAAGCACAAGCCCAGGACTGATGCAGTGTGTAGATCTGTGATATATAGATATATAACACTGTGGTAAAATTTACCTAGAGTCCTAAATGAAGTGCCTAGGCGTGCCAGCTTTAAAAGACTGATAAAAAAAACATTTTAACAGCCTTTGACATGTTTGTTGTATTTAAAATAGTGTTTTATGTTGTTTTTGCATATATTCTTGTTGTATCTTATGTTTTTAGTATGTTGTACTTGATGTTTGTTATGTTTGTTGGATTTAGACCCCAGGATCAGTAGCAGCTAATATTGATCTGAATAAAGGAATAATCTGTAAGTAAACATTTTGAGTTTTCTGCGGAGGAAAAATGCACGTTAATTTTTTGTTTAAAAGTTAGGAATTATTTTATGATGAGCCGTACTTTACCAACAAGTTAACTGGCTGTAAACATGTTCACTTTTTTCTGAAAAAGGGGTTTTCGACTGGTTGTGTATGCGACTTCTGTTTTTTTGTTTTTGTTTTTTTGCAGCCAGCCCCAAGTGGACAGTTAAGGAACTGCATTTTTAGCATCCGCATCAGCTGCATTTCTCCAGACTGGAAGTTGCTGCTTGGTGCTGATAAGTGGATGGAGTGCTGTGCCTATTTGTGACAAGAAGGTTAAAAGAACCTTGCACCTATTTGATGCAGCAGGGTGCTTATGTAAGTGTCCTGGGGTTTGATATTGACAACAGCGGCTTAGGGGTGCAGATCAGTCACACTGCAGGATTGTGATATATAAAACATTTGATAGATTCAACACTCAGTGCGGATGGATGGAGGCTGGTGTGACGGTGAAAATGCAGACATGGTTTATCTGACGCATTCTCTTTTTGTTCTTCAAAGCATGTTGCATTCTGCCCTTTTCTCATCTGGACTAAGTTTAGTCTCACTGCTGTTTCTGCTGTTGCAAAATTTAGAAATATTGAAATTCAGCGCTCTTTACATATGGTTTTCTGCTCCCTTAGCTTGACTGAGTGATGAGCAATGGCAGAGACCTCAACAGTGAGATTTAACTTGACTGGACTTTAGTTATATAATCACAGAGCAGGGCACAGGCCTCATGCAGGAGAGGTTTAGTCATCATTTTTCTCTTAAGCACAGGCCGTTTTTCATCTCGTGCATTTTTTTTGTTCCCTCAGCTGATCACCTGAGTCATCCAGGTGTCTTAAGGCCATGATTTAATATAGTGTGCTGTGTCTTTATATACGAAAGCAGAGCCAGAGTTTTCTCTCCTGCTGCTAATTGTCCTCCATGCTTTGTTGCTCAAGGGCAGCAACATCACTAATCTACCGCATGCTCAATATTTTTTCCCTCTCACTTTGTCTCTGTGTTTCTGCCTCTGTTTAACTCTCTTCTTACCACCAGCAGCTCCACCTTGTCCTCTGTGTCTGCATCGATCGGCCCTGAGTGCTCGGATGTGTGGGTGTTATGTGAGGACTTGTACAAGTCAAAAGGTTGACTGCATACTTTAACAAATCTCTGAGTAATAGTTACCACATTGTGTTACTTTGTATTCAAACTTCATCTTGACAGCACTATAGCATAGCCTATTTGTATTCCCTAAATATACCCGCTCTGATTTGTTGCTGCACCCAGTGTATCCTTCAATATCCTTTAGGGACATTTTCTTTTCTTCTTACAACCAAGGTCCTGCGTCATGAAGAAATTCTCCAGCTGTTCATTTCTGAGGTCTGGGCATGCAGCAGCAGATATTGAAAAGTGTGATTATTTTACCAGCCAGTATGCGGGGTAGAGCCTCTTTGGAATTTTTTTCATGGATTATTTCAAGGAGATGTGTCGTTTTAGTGTTCTGTTGTGTCAGAACCAGGGATTGACAGATCAGGGCTGAAGTTCTGGTCCAAAATTGTGGTATTAATTAATTGAGATTGCATGCTATTCGGAGACACTGGTTAAGCTGCTGCTGTTGCTTGGATGGTCACTGGAGCTCCTAAAAAGAGTTGTGTGAAAAACAGTCGTATTAACAAAGATATTAGATGTCGGAGTGGAATCATGATTATCTTGGAATGACTGCACACCATATTGGCTCCAGTTGGACATTGTGCGTATGTACATCTGCATGTGAAACAGTCTTATTATTTAAAAGAAATGCAACTCATGAAAGAGGCAGATAGAGCAGACTGAGGAGATGTGAGTTCAAAGTTAGCACTGAGATGCAAACAACACAATGTTGTATCAGTTTTAATCATCAATTGAAAATGCAAAATTTGTTCAGCTCTTTGCAGTTGGAGTGTAAAGGAACAGGAACTGCAGATTTCTAATGTGGCGTTGTTGCAGATTGGAAAAGTTAAAACTGCTTAAATTTTGACAGTAGAAAAGGATCAAGTAACAATGAAATCAAGTAGTTTTTCTCATGTTTGCTGTTGAGTCACTCCAATCAACAGGGAGTTAACTTTGACATTTTTTGTGCTTCATTTGCTGAGGTTCACTTGCAAAGCATATGCAAGGACACATCATCATTAGCAGGCTCATTTTCAGTTGTTTTGTCAGCTTGGATTGTTCCATAAGGTGAATGGAACAAAGAAAGCAAAATTGTTTTCATAGAATGATTGAAAATCTCTACTGTACTTTAGTCTGTTTGTTAAAAATAAATGTCAAATGCAAAAGAAAATACAAAACAATGTGACAGTATGACCATTATTAGAAGAAAACTTGTAAAAATAGCAATGATAACTCTTAAGAGTGGAAAGTATTTTTTATGGTCCAATCATCATAAAAGTACTAAAAATGGTCAGTAGCTGAGCCGAACTTGAGTTCTTCATTAACCTACAGCTGTAAACCAGAGTGATTGTGATGAGGAATCATCAGTTCTCTTTGCGAGTGTATTGCAGTGTGCTGTAGTCGATGTAGTAAGGACGAAGAGAAAGCTCTGCCTCTGCTTTCAGCAGCTCTGTATATCGGCCTGTCTCCCTTGGGGCAGTATAATGGCATGGTATACTGTATGTCAGGCTTATGTAACTCTGGAGGAATATTAATGGATGTCCACTCAGGATGGGACAAAAGTGGAATCAGATCAAAGCTGTTTGTCCTCTCTGCACATGCTCAGTTTGAGCTTACAACTGAGTGTTTTTGTTCGCTGTGTGTGTGCTCATGTATTTAGTAAAGATAGCAGGAAAAAAAACACACAACAATAACACTCAACATGCGGCTTTGGCATTTGGTCTGTTTGTCAGTCATGATTATAGATCCATCTATTTTATTTCTGCATCAACAGTTTGGACATTTGGGGGATGTGTTAACTTTTCTGCGATGGCCCAGAACATTTTGAACTCCCATCCAAAAAGGATTTTTATGGAGGCTTGACTACATTTTCAGCTCAAGCTACCAGTCACCTGACCTCTGACCTTAAAGCCGCAGACAGACAGATGCAATGTCACAGGGCAAATCAATGGATTATAATCATTCTCAAAGGAGAGTAGAAAATCCAGCCTAGATTAGCATGATGGATGTGCAGCAGTGTTGTTTGACCATTCCCACTGACTCTATTTCCATAGAAACAACTTGACCTCAACTTTATGCTAATAGATCTGTCTAGAGCAGCACACTATGCTTGGCTTACTCAGATCCAACTTTGAACTAAGCTGTGCTAATCAAATATAAATCTAGATAATGTTCCTGTGTCAACAGTTTTGCATCTCAGGGGGTCACCAGAAACATAACAGATGTCTGTTTAGCCATAAAAAGAGAACATTTGTTCCTCAATTGTACTTTTTTCTGCTTTGCACAACAGCCAAAATCAAGAAATTCAATATTTATGTCTGCATATATTGTTATTAGAATATCTTCTTTGAATCAGAACTATAGCTCCAAGACTTTGTTTGGACATCTCTGTTATCCATTGTTTGGATAACAAAGAGTGATTTTTTAAAGAACTTAATTATTTCTTTACATTTATAAAAGAAAATGTGACAAACTGGCCCAATGTAATATTTACAAAATAGAAACTAAATTTATGTTTGCTTGTGTGGGGTCAATGAATCAAATTGTAAATCCTACACGGCAATAAACAAGATATTTTGCAAACCAGCATTACAGTACTTTTAAGTTTTGTGATAAAATCACAAACATGTTAACAAAAATATTTATTTAAAGATGATTTCATTGATCTAAAATTGACATACGGTGTGTACAGCTGATGACTTTTCACTGTCGGCGACAATATGGCCAAGAACCCCCCCAAGCTGCCCTTGTGTCTGTTCCCAGTCCCTTTTTTGCCACATTGTCAACAGGCAGAAAGGAAATGTATTAGTTTGATACGACATCTTTCGGTCCCGACTTGTGCTTTTGTTGTTGAGAATGAATCACCATAGTGACGGGGATTAGACCAATCAGAACTGAGTATTTAACACTGTCTGGTAGTAACTCTTGCACTTGCCACACGACTTTATTTGACTGTGTGAAGTTAGCCTTGTTTACAAATGCACTTTGTACTCTTTGTTAGTGCAGGGTGGAGATATAGGACCAGACACAATCTGATTTTTTGTTAATTGTGACATTTAAAGGCACAGAGCCTTTTAGACTACATAGACTTTTTCACTCATACATAGAAATGTTCTGATTTAAAGATATTTGATGGGATACTCCAGTCTCAAGTTAAATTATAAGGTTACAAGTCAGCATCAAACCAGTAATGGGTTAGTAGAAGCAGTCTTGATAGTGAGACAGCGTAAATTAACAGTCACAACCACAGTCACAAACATCACAGGGAGAGAGGTAGAGTGGCGCTAACATGGTTCAATATTTGCCCAAATATGTCCATCCTCTTCCGGGCTTCCAGGGCTGCCCATTACTGTGAAAAGTGTAATCGACCATGACCGCGCGCACTCAGACACACACACACACACACACACAGCATTAACAGCAACAACAAAAACATGATCGATAGCACTATGTGTTCATTCAGCACAGAGCTGATTTTATCAGGACAGTCAATAATCTGTGTTATGGGAATGTGCTCTGCTCTACTGGGGAGGCTTTGTTGATGTCCTGTTATTAGACTGAAGATCTGTGCTCATATATTGTTGACATGGAGCCTTGATGGTGTGGCTGTGTTTTTAAAGAAATGATGAACACCAAGAGTGATATCTGCAGGGTGATTTCCAGGAAAACTCCATCATCTGATTACTAGGAACTTTGTATTTATTGAGTTTTAATTGCTGCTGTGCAGAGTTTGTGTACTGCAAGTGGAAAACAGATGCTAGCGAAAACTCTTGATTCTTCAACTCGCCTAAAGTCACAGACTGATTAAAAAAGGAACTAAAATAGATGGTTTCCAAACTCTTCTTCAACTGGTTAGGTAGCCCTCCGAAAAGATATTGGGAGAATTGGTAAAGGTATCCCCCATAGTAAAAAAAAACAAAGGTTCACAAACACAAGTGTTGGTATGTTATATTGACTGTTTGGAGGTATTTGGGTGTTTTTCAGTTGAATTAACAAAGAAGATGGTCAACAGGGAAGCAAACAAAACTTTGTCATATTTTTAGTTCATATAATCACAGGTACTATTCAATATCCCTTCTTTCCACATCAAATATAAAGAGATTATATTTGGCTACTTCGTGTTTGTCTATTACAAAATGTCTTTTTAATTTGCAGTTGTAACACAACAACTTTAAAGAACATAGATCAGTTTGTTATAGATCCACCAATGTCACTGAGATTTCTCTTCAGTTCATCTTTGACCTCTATTATCAAGATCACATCTTTCTAAAAGACTGACATAAAGAGGTACTTGAACCTTTCAGACAAGACTGTGTGAGGTCCTTGGACCACAAATGATGGAAACCAACACAAGAAACTAAAGAATACATTGTTTTTTAGAGGTATTTGAACAATGATACAGATTTTCCTTGGTGAGTCAAAGTAGGTCCACCATCCAGGCCTGCTGTAGTCTCTTTGTACAAGCTGCTGTATGAGGACACTGAACATGTGGATCATGATAGATGATCATGTGGCCAGTGGTGGCTCCCTTAGGGGTCTGTGCTTTAATGGATTCACTGGTGTAGACCAGCACTGAGCTGTTTAAGAGCTTAACAGATTGATCACTCTTCTTTCCCTGCTCTTTAATTAAGGCTCAGAATTTACTGCCACTGAGCTCATGGCCACTGAGTCCAAGGGCTAAGAAGAAATGAAGACTTTGGTTCTCCAATGCTGAAACCATGTCTGTGTTCAGGATCTTCATTTGGAAGTTATCACTGTTAGATGTGCTTTTCTGCTTGACTTTAAGCACTCTTATGTTTCTTACTTACCACTGGAGTTACTGATGGTGTTGGGACAAAAGTCATGCCAAAGAGCCACTTGAACATTTTCTTTCACCATTTATTAATTCACCAAATACAGTGAAAATGGCATCATAATATACAATGACTCATTCTTAGAATGTCATGACATTTTTGTTGCTTTTTTGCTTCATAAAACAATGTTTCATTATTGAAAATATTAAGGTTTCATGCACAACAAACCATATCCAGTTTCTTTAAAATAATGGTACAAAATAAACAAAATAAAATAAAATAAAAAAACAACAAAAAAAACTGTAATGTCCAAAATCGATCAAATAACAACGTGTTATTTGAGGATACTCGTAAACAGTGCAATATACTCTAAAACTGCCATTTTCTAACAAATTCATCAACGAAGCTCAAGTCACAGTATACGATTTCTTAATAATAGTTTAACATTGATGTGTGCAAAAACCCCAGACACATTCAGTAAGTCTTTAAAAAACTCGACCTCTGATATAGAACGAGACCAGTCCACCGAAATCTCAGATTCACCTCCATGAAGGCCAGTCTCATTCAGTATATCCGCTCTGAAGTAGTAGAAATATTTTTGTTGATGAATTGTAAGACGATAGACTAGCATATCATTTAAATAACAAATATTTAGATATAAAAATACAAATATGACTTTTGTTAAAAAGAAGCGTGCCAGGGTAAGAGTAGTGGCACCTGCATTGGCACCGGAGTGAAAGTTCATGCAAATAGATGGAGAAAAAACTCATAGAGGACAAAACACGAATAATAGCTAAATCAAAAGAACCAAATTATCTTTTTCCCATCAATTTCATGACTAATATTTTAAACATTGACTATAATCTCCATGTCTTTGCTGGCCTCTGTAGATATTTGAGCATCTTAGAAATAAGTAACAAAACGAGAGAGGGAAATTAAAGATATGTGACGTGTAAATCAGCTACATGGAGGTGCCATCATGCACCTTAAACCACTGATGGGTGATTGAAGAGGAAGAAGATTGTAGCCTGTGTAGTTCAGTTTTTAACTGTGGCCTAATGCTCTTTAAAGGGCCAGAAACAAACAGGGCTGCTCTACTACAGAAAATATTAACATTGCACCATCCTCGGATATATGTTTTTACATACAATAGATCTCCTCTATTTAGCAGACTAGAGAGTTTGGTTGGTCTGTTTTCTTTTTTTAAAGCGTTAGCAGCAACAGGAATGCATTGGACCAGTGCTGAAAGGACAGCTCCCTTGAATGCACCGCCGCTGACTGAATCAACAAAGCAAAGCCTAAGAGAGGGGGGAGGAAGAGGAAGAGGAGGGGGTGTCTGAGAGCTTAGCCTACCTACTGTACAACTTATTGAAATAGGGCTGGGATTTTTAGCTTCAGCCTCCAGTTGCAGTATTAAGTTGCTTACAGCGCGTTTGGAAAGGAGAAACAAGAGATGGTCGTGAAGTAATGACAAGTTCATCCATCTTTTAAGTCAGCAGAGGTTGAGATACAGAGCAGGGTCCGCCATCTCAACATCGTGCTGCGCAGTAGTAGTTTTAAAATCGGGATTCGTTTGGAGAATTGCCAGCAATCCCATGATAAATCTTGGTCTTTTCCAGAGTCTCCCTCTCCTTATCATTCTTCATCACTTTTTCCTTCTTCAGTTCTCTTCCTTTTAGCCTTCTCCATTTTCCTTCATTTGCCCCCTTTTTTTTTCTTCCCGTTTTTTCCTTCGCGTCAAGCCATCCTCGCTTCGTGCCGTCGTTTTCTCCCGCAATCCTCGAACATGCACAGCCGACAAGTGCTTCAAATCGGTGATCAAAATTAAAAAAGTCTGCAAGGCATCGTTCATGTTTAAACGCCGGGTGAAGACTTGTCCGTCATTCCCTTCAGGACCTCGTCTATTCGGTCGTCCTCGATCACCACTGTTGGGGGGGAGAAAATGAGGGGGGGAAAGCATGTTTACTCACACTAGGACTGTGAAGATTTCTCAGAACATAGAAGAGCATCGTGCTTGTGCATTGTGTGTCACTACAGGTCAAAATTTTCCCTCATAATGGCTTCATGTTAATGGCCTTGAGTAAAGGGGGGGAATATGGCGCACCAGAAAAGCAAGTGTAGCGCGTCTGCAGGTGAATAAATAAATAAATTAACGCACTGTTGCAAATCCCTGACATCGTGTGCGCGCATTTGCTGCTAAAAAAAACAACTCAACCTCGACACAGACGATGGGAGAGTCTTTTATCCTCTGTTATTAAAGCCTATTGTTTGGTGGGGTGTGTCCGTGCATGAAGAGATAATTTCTCGCTCGTGCGTAAATGTAAACAGTCTGATGATTGCGGTCCACAGACTCGCGTGATCATGATGCATTCAGCTTTTTCATACAAGAAAGATAGAATAAACAAAATTTGAGAATATCGCATGTTTTAATGTTAATGCAAACTTTCCAAAAGCCCCTGACTTCTCTCTAGACTGTGCCATAGAAGTCACAGATTTTCCTCACTTTCTATTTGAAATCAAATTTGAGGTTCTAATCGAGTGACAGTGTTTGAAAATGTGAATCTTTTATTTAACCATCATTTACCTCGCTTAGCTCTGCCGATCTGTCCAAGCTTCGGGGGTCTTTTCGCCTGCGACGCGGCGAAAAAGGCGTTTGTGTCCTGCAGTCCGCAGCTAAAGGACATCTGGCTGACCTCGCTGTCCGCCCCATAGCCGCTCATCTTCCCCTCGTTGTATGGCAGCACCTCGGACATTGTGGCACGGCGTAGAAGGATCACCAGCGAAGGTATAAAGTTGACAACAAGGCTTCCTTAAACAGCTATAAGCTTAACGCTGTAGATCCGTTTTTTGCAGCTGAGGTCTCCTGTTTGGATCCGTTCTGTGCGCAACGAGATGTGGATCAGGGGAGCTTGAGGTCTGAAGTCCCGGTGTTGTGTTGTGTTGTGGTGTCTCGGTGGTCTCTTGTTTGAGTTGCAGATTCAGGCAGAGACAGCTCGCGTGTGTATGTGAGTGAATAGGAGAGCTGTGTTCGCCTCTGATGCTGGCTGATGTCTGCTGAGGGAAGTGGGAGATCCCGGGATCATAAAGGAAACCCAGGCAGAACGGTGAAGTCATCCATCCGGGTTTGAAGCGCGCGTGTGTGTGTGTGTTTGTGTGTGGTTGGTGACACCGAGTGGTGGAGGTACAAGAGGGACACCAACAGGCGAGAAGGAAAACTGCAGGAGGAAGATCAACACTGAAGCAGTTTGGAGCTTGGAAACATCTCCACTGGATTTTTGAGAAAAAGTGCTCTATCATATGGACCTAATTCAAGCTCAGTGGGTCTCAGTGGCATAAGTGGCATTTCCACATCCAGAAATACTCAGATGACACTGCTAACGTGGCATGTATCAGACATGGACAAGAAAAAATGCCTCTTCCTCAACACCTTAAAGACAAAGGAGATGGTCATAGACTTCCATAGATCCAAACCCCCTCTTCAGCCAGTGAACACCCGTGGAGTGGACATCGAAATGGTGACATCATATAAATACCTAGGTGTACATCTGGATAATAAGTTGGACTGGTCTAAGAATATAGACTTCATCTACAGAAAGGGGCAGAGCCGCCTGTTTTGCCTGAGAAGACTCCGATCAATAAACATCTGTAGTAAGATGCTGAAGATGTTTTATCAGTCTGTGGTGTCTACAGTGTTCTGTTCTACGCTGCAGTCTGCTGGGGAGGAAGCATCAAACACAAAGATGCAAGACGTCTTAACAAACTGGTGAAAAAGGCTGGCTCTGTGGTAGGACTCAAGCTGGACTCAGTGGAGGATGTGGTGGAGAGATCTACACTGAGGAAGGTGGAGACTATTCTAAAGAACATGGATCACCCACTTCACAACACCTTGATGGACCAAAGGGGCAATGATGGTGGACGGCTCCTCTCTCTTCGCTGCAGGACAGAAAGATTCAGAAGATCTTTTGTACCAACAGCCATCAGGCTTTATAACTCTTGTGTAGATAATAGATAACTTTTAGAGACATATTATGTGAGACAACAGACAATGGAATTAATAATGTTCTTATTCTTAATCTTCTGTGGTCGGAAGTGATAAAATGTGCGTATTCAACTTCATTTTAAAGATCTTTTGTCCGCTAATACTAATCATTTCCAAAACCTGTTTACTCCTTTCACAGTTTCCGAGTTAAATCATATTTATCAAACTTTGTTAAATTTCACAGTCATTCTTTAAAAATAAATGTATTGTTTCAGACACAAAAGGCAAAGTGCAAAAATATGAAAAAAACAGGGTCCCTTTTCACCAACTTCCACCGCATAACAGTATGATTCATTTAGAGAATCGTCATTTAATAATGGTTTTTGATTGTCGGGTATCTTTTTTTCTAATTTACAGACTCAAGGGTCTTGGAGCATTGTACTCAGACTTAAATGTCAGCCTTTACCTACTTTTATTATAACAGTGACTTCCTAAAGTCTGAAATCCCTGTGCCAAATGAACCAATCTGATGCAGGAAAGCAAACAAAAGAAAAAACAACAAATTACCCCCCAAAAATGGAAAAATCTTAAGTACAGTCCAACAGGTCTAAGTGTCACGACCATCTGTTCATATAATAGGAATAAAGAAAAAATAACAGATCTTACATGAGTTCATTCAAGATACTCTATGAGAAGTAATCAGATTTTAAAACTAGGTCACAAACAACTCTGTCCTTGGTATGATTCATCAGTAAACTCATGAATGGCTCGTTTCAGCACCACGGACAGAGCCATTAAAATTCATAAATTGGCTGCATTTGAAATTACATCACTCCACCCTGTTTTCTTTTTAAAGATATTGCTTCATCATCTTGTTCTCACAACATATGGTACCTCACAGTGAAGCAAAAGTCAGAAAGCCTATTATTGGACCAAACCTGTTTTAACAACTCGGGCCCAGCTGACCCCACTTATAAACATGCGATAACCTTTCCATTGAAGCAGCGTTCCTCTCTTTTGGCGGCCAGCTTGCATAGCTGACCGGTGAAAATGACCAGCTGACAGTCCTGAGATCAGTGCTGCTGGAAGACTTTCAGGTTTCCTCCCCTGCAGGGATAAGATGCGGGGAGGCTGTAGAGTCAAAATAAAGCAGGCTCTTTTCTGCTGGCTGCCTTCCCATTGAAACATGGCCCATATACCCCCTGTGAATCATGTAACTGAGTTCAGAGAGCTTATCATCTAGTTAGAATACATTCAGCTAACACCAAGTTTCAACCCCCGAGTCTGTTCTCCATGAGACAGGAGGATGTTGTGAGTTGGCTGGTTACAACGCACTCTTGTTAACCTTCCTCCTGTGTTAGCTTTCACTACGCACCCATTATGTTAAGGGTCAGTTTCAACCCGTGTCTTAAATCAGCTGTAACTTACACTAAAAACAATTCTCTATCATCCAATTTGGTTCGCATCTCTAGGATAACTTGTGAGGCTTCATTATCTATGAGAATATTGCTTATGATATTTTTTGTTGTGGTCCTCTGGGCCTTTTTTTACAGACATCTATACAGAATTGATCTCACATGTCTGGACATGCCCAACATTGTTTTTTGTGCAGGGAAAAACATGGCATGATGAGAATTTTCTAAATCTCACATGATTGGAAGAGGATCTGACTGTCAGTGTGCTGCCTGACAGTGCACATATGATTGTAGTTTTTGTTCTAATTTCTAGATATTAATGTAAACCCTAACAAGACAAGCGCCATAATTTTAATAAGAGCATTTGATAATTGAGAAACTGTATTTTTTGTTTTGTTTTTATTTTGTTGAAATAGAGGTTCCTGACAAAGTCAAAAAGTCTGGATGCAAAAAAGCTAATTTAAGTGGTTCTTTTAAGTATTAAAAAACAAAAACGGGTTGGTACAGACCCTAACACAGGAGGAGGGTTAAGAACTGCAAGTAAACATCTGACAATTAATGTATCAGGCTATAAATCTCTGAAGGTAGTAAAGGAGGTAGCGCCATCAATTGTCAGACCCTCTTCGCTTTCAAGAAAACGCTTCAAACTTTCATTCATTAGAAAGTTTCCAGTTAAGACTGGTTCAGGTTTTCCTTAAGTCAGCTCCTGCTAAGCTTGGATTGATGGATTATATTGAGCTGATTTAAAATGCATCAAGAGAAATCATAAATGCTCCACTTTCTCGGAGTGGAAGTCCCAAAGAATGACTCACAACTCTCCTCCCGCCCGATAAACTGCATCCTCCTGCTGTCACCAAGCAGAGTTGTTGATTCATTCAGGGATTTCACATGATGTCATCAGTCAGCGACATTATTGGAGGCTGACTGTGAGGAAAACCTGACCTGCTGCCCTACATGAGACTAGATACTGCAATATTTCTGTTAACAAAATATGCATACATTACAGCACTTGGAATCTCTACAGTAAAAAACATGGTTTGCTCTGTCTGTTTCATTTTGTTGATCTTTCTAAATCCACATACAATGATTTCTCCTCCTCGCACCCTCATTTTTCTCCATCTCCTTCTCTGTCTCCTTGGCAGGCAACAATTCATAATGATCAGTGTTTAAAGAAATACAGATACCTTAAAGAAATAAAAGTGTGTGCATGTGTGTGCTATCGAAGCACTGCTACCAATTTCAAGTGAATCACCCTGCTGAGTCACTCCCCTCCCCATCTCTGCCTTTGAGCAGCCTGGGCAATGCTGAAATGACACACACACACACCACACACACACACACACACACACACACACACACACACACACACACACACACACACACACACACACACACACACACACACTGTATATTTACACCATGTTTCTCATTGAGAGAAAAAGAAAACACAAGCAGAGCCAAGACTAAGAGCCAGGATCAACTCACTCCCTGACCATCAGCTTTTAAGGTGTGTGTGTGTGTGTGTGTGTGTGTGTGTGTGTGTGTGTGTGTGTGTGTGTGTGTGTGTGTGTGTGTGTGTGTGTGTGTGTGTGTGTGTGCTTTGAGAGAAACTAAAAATTAAAGACAACAAAGATCCAGCAAAGATACGTGCCATCTGCAGTTACACAAGGTGCAGGCAGGGTATATCTGATTTCCTCGTCATCATGAAGAATAATGCTGTTTGTCTTTCTGCAAAAACATCCTCTGTAGATGGTGGGAACATTGGCAGAGATCCTGCCCTTGGATCAGTGAACACACAGCTGTAGTCTGCAGCATGTAGAAGCTACTCCCAGGCAGCTGCACACTCTTCTCTCTGCATCTCATATACAGAAGGGCCAAAAATGATGATTCAAGGTGAGTGTGTCGTGTTGTATTACCATGTTCTGCTTTATTTGTAATGTTTGAAAGAAAGGTCATATATAGCAATGGCCACTATGACGTACTTTCAGAAAGAAATATCAGAGTTGTTCATTTTATCATTTTTAAAACTATAACATTTTATACAGATTGGATCAGAATGATGTAATGTGATGCATTGTTATGTTTAAGTTACTACAAATGTTACTGATTCCATAAGTAAAGACTCAATGATGTTAGGATAATAGTGTCCATTAAGCATAATCTGAACCCTTTTGTGTCAACAATTGTAAAAATTTCAGTCACATGACTTAATTTCAGTTAAATTTTAGTGTCAGTTATTGTATTGGTAAAATGTTGTTTTATGGTCTTTGCATTTTTCAGAAACTGGCTGTAATTTCCAACAGTTTGAATCCTTAAATCACTACTTTGTGATACATGGCAGGTGTTACTAGAACTGACAGATCAGGGTTCAGTTCCCCTCCTCTCCACTGAGTATTTTGACACCTTACAGCTAGTGTCTTGGTTTAGTCACCAACAAAAGTATTCCTTCATGTTCAGGGGCAATAGTTGCAGAATTGCTGCAGCTGTTTTTAAAGGATACAATTGTAAAAAAAGTGAGCTATCCTCCCAGCACTGACACAGTTTGGGGTTAGTTTTCTGGACTAGTTAACCGTTAAACAGCTGTGTTATACTCTCAGATGGTAGGTCATGTGAGTGGAAGGAAAAAAAAGACGTGAATTCTCAAAAATGAGGAGAACATTTATTAGGCCATATCGAAATAAGAAAAAAAAAGTCAAATTAATTAAATACTTGGCAAAAATCTCCCCTGCAGAGGAAGACAAAAATGAAACATTAGTCCAACATAAGTCCAACAAACTGGCTCTCCTCACAGCCTCACATCTAATGTGCCACACATCACCCAGACTGCTGAATTCACTCAGCTCATATACTCTGCTACCTGCAGCTTTAATCACAGCCTCACAGAATTCAGGTGTGTCCACTCTTACCTGCAAACAATCCAAGTGAGAGAAGCTGCAGCAATAACAAAAGGGAAAACAGATCTGAAAACAGAATTCCCCCAAAGGGAAAAAAACTTCACACTCTATATTTAGAATGAAATGTAAACATCATATGCATTTAATATATGCTTCAAACCAACATTGCTGGGGTGCTAGAGGAATGTGCACCCTCCTTTAGCCTTAACAATAATTGGTGAGGACTCTATGGCTTCATTACTAACTGGTTATTATTATTCTTATCATTGTCATTATTATTACTCAGGAGGGGAGGCTTGAAACAAAACTAAAAGAGAGTGCGTCAGGAAAAGAGATTAACAAATCCTAGTTCAAACTTTTTCTTCGTATCTATTTGATCAACAGCAACTATTTGATTCCAATGAGACATTGTCCATCTCTATGTTGCACCGAAGTGGCCTATACATCACAGCAGAGCAGGTTGATGCAGTTCTGATCATTTTAGAGGTCTCCAGAGCTGAAATTATCACAGCACAAGATCGAATCCACAACAGAAGTTAAAAATTTAACACTAATTTTTGATATTAACATCCTGTCAACTGTCTGACAACAACTTAGTAGTTAGAAGACACTGCTGTAGTGGTATCTTGCTATGCAGTTGGGTTTATCTATTCAGATTGTTTGGGAATCTGCCTTTGTGATTTCTGATTCAATGCTAATCAACTAAAATGTATTAATATATGAAAACAAGATTCAAAGCAACATCTCCAACAAAATGATCCTGTGTCCTGATTAGTCTTCATGATCCAGACGGTGACTAAAACGAGCTTTTTTTTGTGTGGAAATGGTCCAAATAGAAACTGATGACTGTTTCTTAAAAGATGTTTCTCTGTTTACTTTTTTCTTATTCGTGTGGAGCAAAAATCTCCATGCAACATAGTGAACAGTCATGCAAAGCTACCACTCACCATAAATGCTCAAATGTAGGGTGGGGGGATCTTCTGTCTGACCTGTCTGCCCAGTGTGTGTGTCCCTTTAATATTATCCCTGACTCCCTCTCCTCAGGGAGGGAGCGCTTGGTTTGTTGACGAGAGAGGAGGCACTGCAGTCACACCAATGTTACAAAGTAGGTCACTTATCCCACGTTTCACTGCGTGCCCAAAGCAGATGGGTGACAGCGGTAATTGGCATCAGGGGCCGACAGCACGCTGTGATGGCTCTCTCTCCTGAGAGACCGCATCCACCTTTTCTCCTGCTGTCTGCCAGAACCAAAGTTAAAAAAGACCCAATCCACCTCACTGCTCTTTGTCACGAACACAAGAACAAAAGGTCACAATGTGTCACAGATTAAATGTTTTAAGCTTCCTCAGCAGGACTCGAGGTATGCCATTTAAAGCCTGCGTCATCTTTTTAAAATAGCATTTCATTTTAAAAAAGTTTATCTGGACAGAGAATAGATAAGGACTTGATGACACAAAAGGATGCTTGACAATTTACGAATGATAACATGAAGAAATGCTGAAAATGATACAATAATATGGCTCAACCAGATGCTATTTTTCACAAGAGCTTAAAAACCTGCATGCTTATGGAGGAAGTACTAATATGCTCACCATGTCAATGTAACATGCAGAAGTTTTATAGGTATGTAAATGGTGTTTTACTCATTAGTTTATTATGTTAGCATGTTTAAATCATGAACACAACATGGTAATTGATGTATTACAGATGTCTCTGATTATAGCTCAGTGTGTTGAAATGCTGAAGTCACTCACTAACATAAAAAAAGATCAAATGAAGTTGATGGGAATGTTATAAATAGAGGTGATTTTTTTAACAGAAAGAAAGAAAATGGTTAACACGTCCCCTGAAAGTGAAGGTCACTATTCATGGAAAATATCTGTGCCACGTTTCATTGTATGCCATCAAATAGTTGAGTCATCGCAGCCTGGGCTTAAGTGCCGAAAGTAGGTCAACCATCAGATATCGGACATCCCTCGAACCTCTGGATTATTTTGATAACACTTTACATCATGGTGAATATGGACCAACCTAATGCTGCCATCACCTTTCTGTCTCCACCGAATAATCCTTAAAAGTAGATGGATTTAGCTCCCTTTCTGCATCCTCATCATCACAAATCAAGGTCTAACAGAGCTAACACAGAAGAACCACGTCACATTAAGTGTTCGTCAGCGATCAGAAGGGATTAAAAAGGATGTGTCAGTGTATGCTAATGGCACATGACTTGGAAACCATCCACTTCAATCAGTCTCCCTTCACCTTCAGCCAGTTTTAGTCCAAACTGAGTGTCTCACTACCTCACATAAGGAAAGATGGACACCTAGTGGCAGAACTAGTTATTATGATGCGTATGGTTTTGTGGAAGAGGCCTAAATTTGTGGCAAAAGATTTAGGGGCAAGCAGAGAGGGAGGAATCGTTCCTAGACCTGAACCATGCATGATGATAATAAATTAATTAATAAATTATAATAAATTAATAAATTACTCATTTTCATTTTTTTTTTATTCTACAGGCAAATAATAGATTATTTCATCATTATTCTTTTGCAGTAATCTTGTTATTCTTCCAAACCTGCTCTAATAACTCACACACCATTGTTTCTTTCCCATGCCCTCAGGGGTCAGCGGGCGCTACAGTTATAGTCCGTGCCCTCCAGAGCCACAGCTGCTGTTCTGCTGAGAGAGCTCATGAAGAATTTGTCAAAGTGAACCCTTATGACCGCTCAGCCAGATTTATGGGATCCAGTGTCTCCACCTGCTCCCTTTTTACCCACACTCAGACTCAAGCCCCCCACCCCAACACATGCCTATTAACTTTACCCTTTCTTTGCTATAAAAGAAAACCTGGAGGTGGCTTTTATTTATGTGCCCTTCTCCCCAGCTTTGCTGCTTGTGACAGCAGACTGAAATACTGATCGTGATGAGTGAAGTGATGACTCACTTCACTCAAGGCTTTTCAGACACCAGGTGCTGTTAACAAGGATGTGTGCTTATGGAGAGATTAAAAAAAGCACCATGAATCGATATCATCTCAAGTCTTGAGAGATACGTGGATCCATTTAGATGTGAACTACTCTCCTGATATTTAAGAGACGCAGCCAGTTGATGTGACAGCTGCTGTTCAGGTGTCTGCGGATCATTTAAAAACACAGGCAGGCAGAACACTAAGTCCTAACTCTTTTTATGATCTGTATAAAATAGGAATGATCCAATATTACTCAGGAACCTCACATAGATCAGTCCATGTGTGCATTTCTACAATGAATTTTAAATGTAGATACTGAGGTGTGCATGTTGACAGTAACTTAACATTACCACACAAAGTTTACACATTTATGTTTTATTGAGTTTTGTTTAAAAAAAACAGTATTTTACACTCATTCCCGGCCTGTAGTGCTTAATCACACTTGACACTAAGCATATTTGTGTTCCTTTTAGGTTTAGGTATGCATAAATAAAGTCTCATATAAAATACAATTCCATCAATGGTCACTTTTGTTTTATTGAATTTTGTTTAAAAAAACAAAACAGTATTTTACACTCACTTCCCGGCCTGTAGTGCTTGATCACACTTGACACTAAGCATATTTGTGTTTGTGTTTAACATTTAGCTTCATGTCACCAAACTTATGATATTCAGACGCACAGTGCAAACACTGTTGGCAGCAGCTATATAAATTAAGAATAAGGCACTAAATAAACCTGTAGGAAAATACACATATTTTTCACAGATTTGTACGCTCCTTCTTTCACATTTACTTCATTGTACTGTATTTTCCATGTACTAGTACAAATAAATGCCCCTCCCCCGTTAAAACACTATGGTGATCAACACAATCACACAATATTATGATTGACATTTTTTAATACACACAGTATGTTCGCAAAATTGAACAGTTTTAAAGTTGTAAGTGCAGCAGTTTTAACCTCTGAGGTATAAAGCTGGTATGGTTTTGTGAGGTCACATGGTCACACGGGTGCCTCAGGCGTAATATAAAGGCACCACCCTCATGATGTGCTGTCTACACATTGGGCATCTGCGTTGTGGAAGCGCCTCGTAGCAGCTGTGGCAACAGCACACATGTCCACACTCCAACAGAACACAATCACGTGGCTGAGTCAGGCATATCACACAGGTATCCTCATCTTGATTGGGGTTTGCCACTCCACCGTGTGCTCTGGGGAGTTCAGCCCGAAATCTCTCAAATTCCCTCCTCTCCTCTTCCCGTTCCCAACGAATTTTCAGTTGGTTGTAGTAACGTCGACCCACCCAGAGGAGCGCTGCTGCTCCAGCCAAAGCAGAAACGATGGCTAGAGCCTTCCACAACCCAACTGTGCTCTCCTGGTCTCCTCTCAGAGTCTCAAAGTCTGCATTACTTAAGATATATGGAGAACCATTAGCAGGGGGTCGGAGATTCAGGCTGCCGTCCGTGTCCAGAACCAATTCCCCTATACCTGTTAGAGCTGTTCCAACCTAGAAACAGAAATATTTAAAAAATGAGTTCTGCATTCATTTAAATGGCTAGCAAAAAACTTTAAGGAGTAATAATTTTAATAAATGCTCTAGTGTTTGAACCATAAACTGACTTTTAACATTTCCTCTGTCTCCAGTTGCCCTTTAATCTTCTCTCCACTGAGGTACTGTCCAACTATGTCACCCAGGCCATAATTGACTTGGTGGAACCTCTCATAAGTGATCTCCATGTGATCTCCTGAGGCCTGCACAGGACACAGGACTCTGACGGTGGTCTCATCAGATCCCACTAACAGGAAGGGCACTGAATTCACTTTTTGATGTAACAATCGTTCGCTGTCTGTCCTGTAGCAGGTAAAAGAAAAAACAAATTGTCTCCCAAATCTTAAATATGACAGCGAAGTGAAAATATTATACAGCTGAACTCTTGTGTTGTGTTTTAGGTTTGGGTATGCATAAATAAAGTCTCATATAAAATACAAATAACATCAATGGTCACTGAAAGCTTTTTCATGTTCGTTAGCTATCTTCACAAAATCCAAAAGTTGTCTGTTCAAAGTATTAGCATGATGTGTCAGGACTTTACGATACCACTCTAAACAGCTCGCTGTAAGAGACTTATTCATGTCACAGAGGCTTCTAAATCTAGAGACGACAGACTTTGAAGGGCTCAAACAAAAACAAACTGAGTTTCCAATTCCAACCCAGAAACCTTTGACACTGAAATAAAGACTATGGTGCTAACTTTTCTGAGCACTCACCATGTCCGTGAAAGGCTGTTCCACACCAGCCTGTGTTCTCTCAACATGAATTTCTGTAACACTCCTACAAATTCTTTCTGGAAGTGACTCGTCAGAGGCTCTCCAACTGGTTGCACAGCACCTTGAGTGTAAATACAGCACAGTATAAATTCATACAAAGACCATTTTTATTCCAGTGCAACAAACTTTTGTATGTAAGAAAAATGGAGGGACCTTGATTACCTTCAATAACAGCATACTGAAGACATGCTCCTGGGGTAACTTTCAAAATGTCCCGGAGTTTTCCATCTATATTGAAGTGTGGCGCGTCCTGAACACACGAGACACAGACTGTTTCATGCAGTGTATGAACAGTAGCAAATGGACTTTATATTTGACTCATTTGAACAGTCTCGGAGACAAACTGTCATGTAGTGTATGGGAAAGAAAACAGGCACGTCTGTCTCATTAAATTTGCCTTGTATCTGCTTTTCTTGTTTTTACTCTAATTTTTTTACACATTAACCTTATTGAAACCATGTGCCAGTGGAGTTGAAAGTCTGCAATCCTTCAGTCAAAAGCTTTACTATTCAGCATGGCCTATTTTGTGGATTTTCCTCCTTTATTAACACTAATCAGGAGCACTGGCAAAGTGCTTGACTGCCAAAAGAGGATTTCAAGAAGTATGTGAAAACTGAAGCAACTAATCCTATTTTTTTCTGTTGACTACACAGCATGAAAAAGTATATGTCATGTAAAATTAGATGTTGTACATAGTAACCTCAACTCACATCAAGTTTATTAAGTGTTTTCCGACTCTTTCTGTAGACGTAATAGCAGATACAAGAGAAGCCGAGGCTCGCCCCAAGACACACTGCCTCCGAAACCTTCAAAGAAAATCCATCCATTCTTCCTGGATGTTCTATCACTTCTCTGGGAGTAGACCTGCAAAAAAATAAAACAAAAATTGAGAAAAAGAAGCAAATAAATACAGCTTATCTTATTTCACTTTAAACCTACAGAAACAGGAGTTATTGTAACTTATCCATGACAGGCTGTGATGAATTTGATGTGGCAAACATTCAATCAATCAGGATATACTGATTCATAGATGAACATAGGGCTGGGCGATATGGCCTCAAATCAATATCACCATATATTGAGCAGTTCACCTCGATAATGATAAATGGACGATAACTACTCCACAAGCTGCTCACCCCCTCCCACATTAACTTCGTCTTCTACAGCCGCCGCTACAACTTTTGAACCGTCCTCCGTCTCCTCACCTGTCTTTCCCTCTTTGTTAAGGACTGGATGGGGTGGAGTCACATCTCTGATGTAGAACTGTGTCTTAAAAGGACATGAGACTACAGCCTACCTACACACATCCAAAACCAACTTTTATTCATTTATATTTTTGACACCGAATATATTGACATGGGAATATGACATCGGTTATTATCGTAAATTTCGGTATCAGTAAAATTTCGGTTTATTGCCCAGCCCTAGATGAACATCAGGCCATAGATTTCTGCAGAACATGATACATTTTTAGACACCAGCCCATAACTGTAACCTTGTTATAATTTAGGGAGGATGTTAACATTGCTGAATCACAGCCACACTGACCAGGCATCAAGATGACATACTTACAGTGCCTTGAAAAAATATTCATACCCCATGAACTTTTTCACATTTTGTCTCTCTACAACCACAAACTTAAAAGTATTTTATTGAGATTTTTTGTATAGACCAACACAAAGTAGCACATAATTGTGAAGTGGAATGAAAATGATACATGGTTTTCAAGGTTTACCTAAATCCCATTGAGCATCTGTGGCAAGACTTGAAAACTGCTGTTCACCGATGCTCTCCATCTGATCTTCAGCTATTTTGCAAAGAAGAATGGGCAAAAATTTCAGTCTCAATAAGTGCAAAGCTTGTAGAGACATACCCCAAAAGACTTGCAGCTGCAATGCAGCGAAAAGCGACTCTACTAAGTATTGACACTGGGGGGCTGAATACAGATGCACACCACACTTTTCAGATTCATATTTGTTTAAATCTTTGAAAACCATGTATCATTTTCGTTCCACTTCACAATTATGTGCTACTTATTAGTACTACTAGTGGATAACCCACTTTTTTTCGTATGTCACTTTTTTCTCTTAGGATGTTTAGTATATTTAGTCTGTATTTATTGTATATATTTAGTATATTTAGTCTGTATTGTACATAGTTCTTATATTCAGTTTTATTTTGTGATTGTATTGCTGCTGTAACAGGGGAATTTTCCAGTTTGGGATCAATAAAGTCTGTCTATCTATCTATCTATCTATCTATCTTATGATGGTCTATGAAAAAAAATCTCAATAAAATACTTTGAAGTTTGTGGTTGTAGAGTGACAAAATGTGTTAGAGCTAAAGGGGTAAAAAAGGCACCATATTTCAATACACTTTCACTTACACTTTTTTTTTTAATGCTTGGTTTCGCAAAAATAGGAAATCTTGGCCCTGTATCTTCACTAGTTTGCCAATATAAAAAGCAAAACAGGGTAAAAGTACAACTCACAACACTGAAGTCAAACTTCCAAAGCTTACTCCAACTTTGCATTTGAGCCCTTAGTAAAGCAGCAGTCGCACCTAAAAGGTAACGATACTGTCCTTGGTGCGAGTGTTATCATAAGATCGGTAACAATATAACAACTAAACAAAGCACTTTTGTTTACATGTGGTTTTAGACTGTTATTATTTTATGGATAAAGTCAGTTGCTGTTATGCTAACGTTGCTAAGGCAGCAGAAATGACCTCTAAACGTTTCTTTTCTATCACCTCACGTTCACCGTCATCAAACATAACAATAAACCCTTCACAGAAATCATTTTCCCTCTAATATACAAAGTAAATTCATGAAAAATCTGTCATTACCTCTGAGGAGAGAAGTCTCAAGTGCATACCTTGGGGTAGAACAAGTGTCAATCGTGTCACGTGACGTTTGTCATAAAACTGTAGTGTCACGTGACAGTACAGCGCATGCCTGCTGCGACCTCTCTCCACGTCTGTGCGGCACCGACATGGCAGGGGGTTTAAGGAAAAAGTCTCCGGGATCCCCTTCTCCTCTGTGGGGGAAACTTCAGACGCTCTGGCAGGACAAACACCTGGTCCTGTTCAAAACGGAGTACACGTTACTGGTTGTTTCGATCCTGTGGTTTCTGGAGATCGGCATCAATGTGTGGGTCATACAGAAAGTAGCATGTAAGTAGCTGCGCGGCTAGTTAGCATGCTCCTGTGTTTTGAATTCACCTCAGCGTGTCTCGATGCTAAGTTGTTAGCATCGGCTACCTCAATAACTTCTGCAGCCACCTGTCAGAGGGAATTTACTGCCCTTGCATGACATTTTTAGTCGCATGTCTTGTCCTGGTGTTCAGCGAGATTATTTATTTGCAGCACCGGCTCGCCTGAAAACTTTGTAATGTTTAAGATGTGGTTTTACTTTTACACACTGTACAGGTCCAACTTGTCAAATTAATAACAGCTCACTGAGGAGACGTAATGCATATATTTTAGGCATCAGTGTGTCATCCACACATTAGTAACTTGTACTTCTAATCAACTGCAGAAGGTGTAATAATTAACTTCAATTATAATAATAACTTTATTTGTATAACACTTTTATTTTTCATATTGTTTTTATTTCCATTTGCCACAGAGTACAACAATTTCATTTTATGTATAAACATAAATTACACAAAATAATATACACAAAATCAGAGTCACACCAGGAGAAAAAAGAAGAAAAATACAAAAAAAACAAAACAAAATAAATATATAGCACCCAATGAGCACAGTATTGTGGCAGACTTGTGGGTGTCCTCCATCTCAAACCATTTTCACACAATTTTTCTAATAATTTTTCTAATTCCTTTTTCAGTTCATTAAAAAACAGTAAAAAAATATGTATACTGGACAATCTTGTTGGTATGGGTAGAGAAAGTTGAGGTCAGAATCGAAGGTTACTCCCAGATTTCTGGCTGTTTTCATGATTGCTGAATGTGAACCAAGACAAGACTGTACGAGGGGGGGAATTTTGTATGTTACGGAGAATTATTTCAGATTTTGAATAATTTAGCTGAAGGAAATTTTGTGCCATCCAACGATCATTAATCATTACTTATCCTCTGTGATTACTTCAAATAACATTGAATTATTGTTTATTCAGATAATTTATAAAAATAATAGAAAGAAACTGTGGTCACAGAAATTATTTTAAAACAGGCCATTGTGGATCTACAGTAGTTGTAATGGACATGTGGCAAAACAATAAAAGAAAGTCCGATATAAAAGGGACATTGACAGTGGCATCCCGTTTATGATCACTAAGTTGTGTTTTGTTCCACAGACACTGAGATTGATTGGAAAGCCTACATGGATGAAGTAGAGGGAGTCATCAACGGCACCTATGACTACACTCAGCTTAAAGGGGACACTGGTCCTTTGGTGTGAGTTTCAGAAGCTTCCAGCGATGTATGTCACTCCACCCTGTACAAAGCTTTCAGTTCAAGTATGTGAAATCAATCAGCCCCATGTTGTTGCAGGTATCCAGCTGGCTTTGTCTACATCTTCTCAGCTCTTTACTACATCACCAGTCACGGGGTCAACATCCGTCTGGGCCAGTACATTTTTGCCATTTTCTACCTCATCACGCTGCTGCTTGTATTCAGGATATATCACCGCACTAAGAAGGTCAGTCTGTCTAACAGATTGCTGAATTTAATATGAAAAAAACGTGGAACAACACACAGTAATTATGTCTATTCATTTCTCTGAACTTTCCAGGTTCCTCCTTATGTGTTCTTCTTTGTATGCTGTGCCTCTTATCGGATTCACTCTATTTTTGTGCTGCGTCTCTTTAATGACCCTGTGGCCATGATGCTGTTGTTCGCAGCCATCAACCTCTTCATGGATGGATACTGGACTCTAGGCTGTGGCTTTTACAGGCAAGTGTGCATTCATTTTTAGCTAAATGGATCTTTTCAAAAATGTTCGTTTTAGGCGATTAAACTGATTTCTTTTTGTTTTTGAAACTCTGTTGAATCATTGTACTATTTTTTTTTATGATACAGGATAAAATTACAATTCAATCTTCCTCTCTTTCTGACAGTTTAGCAGTGTCTGTGAAAATGAATGTACTGCTCTTTGCTCCGGGGCTACTTTTCCTCCTCCTGTCTGAGTTTGGTCTTATCAAGACTATCCCCAAACTTTCTCTGTGTGCAGTCATCCAGGTAAAATTTTTCATATATTAACAAATGAGGCGTACATTTACCCACAAGCCCAATCTCTAAATAAACCTCTTATGGTGTTGCAGCTTCTGCTGGGCTTGCCTTTCCTTTTGGAGAATCCTATTGGTTATCTGAGTCGGGCGTTCGATCTCGGTCGGCAGTTTATGTTCAAGTGGACTGTGAACTGGCGCTTCTTGCCAGAGTGGCTCTTCTTGAATCGTTACTTCCACTTACTCCTGCTGACTGTCCATCTGCTCACCCTGCTGCTCTTTGCACTACGCCGTTGGAAGAGGTGAGACCGACTTTTGTACTGCTGGCATAAAATATGGTTGAAGGTAGGCCTGAATAAACAAGGACTTGAAATGTCAATTTTTCTTCCATCATGCTCATTCATGGCATAGAGGTTGAATTATTATGAATGGTAACTTTCTCCTCTCTCCCCAGGCCAGGTGAAAGCATCTTTGAACTACTCAAGGAGCCAGGCAAGAGGAAAAGCCCTGCTCAGAAGCTCACTGTAGATCATATCCTTTCGATCCTCTTAAATTAGCTCTCATTTGTAGATCATTTTCTTATTTTCAGCAGCGCTATTGAACTCAAAGGCTCAAATAAAGAGAGTCTGTACTCGTACTCCCTGATGTTTATCATAGTCTTGTGCTGGTTACTCACCATCTGTTGTGACAAACCTTAACAGACAATCACAGATAGTGTTGATCCTGTTCACCTCTAACTTCATAGGTATGTGCTTCAGTCGTTCTTTGCACTACCAGTTTTACGTCTGGTACTTCCACACGCTGCCATACCTGCTCTGGAGCGGTGGAGTTAAGAAGTTGGCTCATCTGCTCAGGTAAGATGAGTTAAAAGATATACCTATCCTAATCTTGAACCATCTGTCCCTTTTTTTAATCGTGTATTTGTTTCTCCTGGTGGTCAGGGTCCTAATCCTGGGTCTGATCGAGCTCTCGTGGAACACCTACCCCTCTACCAACAGCAGCTCGGCTGCCCTCCATGTCTGCCACCTCATCATCCTCCTCTGTCTGTGGCTAGCCCCGCCCCTTTTGTCAACACCAGAAGGATCACAAGAAGCTGCACCTGTAAAAGACAAACGCCAGTGAGCTACAACCAAATTTGACTGATTTTTGTATCCGGTGGAATCGCCTGCAAAACAGCCTCCATCCTCCTCCATCCCTTGATCTTAACAACACAAAGAGGGAGCTCACAGGGGTAGACTGTTTCCTAAAGTGAATTCAAAGCCATTGTGGCTCCTCATCTCAGTGAAGGAAGCAAAACTGTTGGTGCCGTCTGCAGACTGATACCCATGTGATGAAATGACATGAAGTCGTCACTTGCAGCTAAAGAGATGAAAAGATTTCAAAAAGTGGATTCTCAGGTTTAATTTTCATAAGTAACAAGAGTGGATTCAGTGCTAGAAGGACAGTGAGAATGCTGTGCCACTGGGTACAAATGTGATACACCGGTTATTTCTACCTGATATAATCAGGTTGTATAGGCAGTAAATTGGAGAACATTGCTGATCCAACACGAGACTCGGCACATTTAGCTTTAAATCAGTTGGATTCATGGCGTTTTCAGCTGCTACAGTAGTTAAAGTATTCTCAAATATAATGTGAATAAAACTTGTGCAGTAGCAATAAAATTCAAGGTCAAATTAATGTGAAAAATCTGAAAATTTACATTAGAGTTACTGAGACAGCAGAAGCAACATATTAAACAGATGCCACTCAATCTTAATGCTGTAATGTATCTACTCTTTTTCTAATTTATGTTGTTTTACACGAAACACAACATGTAGAAAATTACCCGTTTTACTCTCCTATCACTGATGTCTGTATACGGTATAGCCTACTGTGAATAGGTTTTATGTTGTTGTGAAACAGTCTTGCCCACAGGACAGGATCGACAATGAAAGAAAACCTGCAACTCCACAGAGGCTGTCAAAAAAACACAAAAGGAGAATCTGTCAAAGCCGCCTTAAACTAACATTTTATTGTTTTTTTCATACAATCATTCACTTTCAACACTGACTGATTACACATTTGACAAGTTGATACACAATACTCACTACAGACAGACTACAAAAGCCCACGCAGATAGTCATTCTTGTGATTGCATATAGCATGTCTATTATAAAGGCCACTTGGTTTTCATCGTGTAAAGGGCAGTCTTGTTGCATAAATATAAATTTTCTTGTGTATAACTGAATGTTAGACTGAACTTGGCACTGATTTGATGTAGACAATCATTCAGAAAAAATACAGAAACTTCATCAGTCTGACTTTATGTTTTGAATCTACACACCACACCTTTTAAACACTAGGTGGCATCATAAATGTCTGAATGAGCTGAATTGTGACCATTCTGTAACTTAATGTCTGATGCAGCAGCGGTTGTGATTGCTCAGATAAGATAAAAAGAACTTTATTGATCCCTGAATGGAAATTCAATAATAAGCTCGGTAGCCTTGCACCAATGAGGACAGACACTACTTGATTGTGGTTTGTCTACAGAATTTGTTTTCCTCTACATGAAGCAAGAGCTTGAGGAGCGAACATGTTTGAAAATCTGAAGACGAGGTCAGAAATCAAGAGAAAGCAGAAAAAAAAACTAGCATAACAGTGCTATACCTCAAGAACCTGAAAGTACATATGCTCTGCCACTTTTAAAAACTCTCCTGTCACCATCTGTTTTCAGAGGGTGGTTTCTTCTAAGTATGTAACTTTGCAAGGCTGCAAGCTTAAATCTCATTTAATGTGGGCTTCTGTGTCAAGTGATGCAGAACAGCTGAATGTGTCAGGACTGCTGTGACAAGTTGTAAAAGTTAAATAGCTTTAAAACTACTTTTAAAGATCAATTTAAAATGAGTATTTGAAAACTACTCCTGTTGGTATAATTGGGTCCTACCAGCCAAAGACTATAGACATCCACAATGCCTTGGGCCCCTCACAAAGGTTCTGCATAGATTCAACACATAAGTATTAATCAGACTTAAGAAGTTACATCATTGGTAAGCAGTGGATCCGTAGATCTGGCTCAGTGTCCTCAGAGACCGTAGCCTCACATGTTATTTGGGTTGTAACACAGCATGTTCAGCTTGATGTTCTCGTCCCAGTGGCGCAGCAACAAGAACAGCTGTCTGGCAGCACCCTTCAACCCTGCCAGGTCCACTCCCTCAGGCAGCTCCTGACAGCGCAGCCAGAAATCTGCTTTTGCTGCCACCAGCTCCCACTCCATGAAGAAGCCGGCACAGCGGTGCTCCAGCCAGGCTAGAGCCACAGCAGTGGCCCAGCTCGAGCCCTCCAGGTCTTCTTGAGCCAACTGGCTGCTTCCTTGGAGGTCAACAGGCTCTAATGGAGAACCCTCGCAAACATCTGTCTCTGATCCACGACCACTATCTGCCTGACCGTGATTCTGACTCTGGTAGGGGCCGACAGATAACTCTACAGAGCCCTCCTCTGAGCTGGGGAGGTCAGGTGGTGAGGTGACAGGGTCTCGGTCAGACAGGTGTCTGCGGCGAAGCCTCGGTTCCAGCATCAGGGGAGTGTCATCTGGAGTGTGGTGGAAAGGAGGTGCAGTTGGTTTGGAGAGGCAGTAGGAAGAAGGAGAAAAGGTAACATGGTGGCTGGTGGGAGGCTTGGTGGAGGTGGATAAAGATGGAGCACTCGGGGACGTACAACGGAAGGGTGGGCTGAGACTGCGTCGGTGGAGGCTGTAAGGTGACGCTCTTTTCAGGCGGTCCAGGGGAATCTGAATACATTCAGAGTAGATCTCTGTCAGAAGAAAAGCTCCAGATGCCAGCTGTAGACGCACCTGATGAAAAAAAATCAACAAAAGAGATTGCAAACCTGTGTACTGTCAATATATACTGTATGTTGGAAGTATTTTTGCAGCTTACCAGGGGCAGGTAGTCAGGGGCTTCAGTTTCAGGTTGTTTCTCGTTCTCCGCAGACAGACAGTGCGACTTCAGTGGAACCTGCTTCCCTGACGAAATAGAGGACCTGAGTCTGCCCAGAGGAAACCTGAAATAAACACAGGTGGGCCTTATGCAGTTGGAATATCTGTGCATAACTTTTTTGTTTTTTTAAAAACTGTGATACACTTTCACATGAAGAGTCATTTAACCTGAAGGAATTACCTGTTGCCAAAAAAGCTCTCCATTGACTTGCTCTCGATAGATCGTTGTGAACGAGTGCATGGGGTTCCTGCTAATGTCGGGGCTGTGGCGGAGTACAAACTGCCTCCAACACCTGAAGAAGCAGCAACAGTCTTATTGTCTTTGCATAGTGTTACAGCAACATCTCATTACTATGTTAACAGGCTCAACTCACCCAGAAGAAAAATCACAAGCTGTATCTGCTCTTTTTACAAACTGTCTTAGGGTAGCTTTTGTTTTGAACTGGCGCTTAACAGAAATTGACTGACTGATTGATCGTTTTCAACCTCTAAAAATGTCCAGTGCTGTTTATGATATTTGCAAGTCTAGACGCTGTAGATGAAAGAAAGATTTTAAAAAGTATAAATGGAGTAACTTTTATTTAACTTGGGATTAATGATCAATAACACTTTATTTGACGTCTATCTCTAAAACGCATTACGAGTATATGTATAATGTGTTATAATCACACTTATATAGCACTGTTTAACTGTAGTTATAAACACTCATAAATGATCGTAATGTTTCATAGCAATAATCATAACACATTATAAAGCATTTTATCATGACTTACAAGGTCGGGTATTATAATGTGTTATAACTGTTAACAACTGTTGCATTGCATTATCTATGGGGGCATTGTCAGTGAGTTGTTAACAGTAATAACACATTATAATACCTGACCTTGTTAGTCATGATAAAATGCTTTATAACGTGTTGTGATTATTGCTATGAAGCATTATGATCATTTATGAGTGTTTATAATCATAGTTATACAGTGCTATCACATGATTACAATGCATCATACAAATATTTATAATACGTTATAGAGATAGGTGTCAAATAAAGTGTTACCAAATGAGCCTTATTACCTCATGTGACATGAATGTGTATAGTCTGGAGACCCCCTCTCCTTTTCCATCCACATTAACTCACCTTTAGATTTGAACTAACGATCTGGTCAGAGGTCTCTCTCTTCCTCCACCACACTACACTGACACTTCCAAAATTGAAAGTATTGAGTTGACAGCAATACTTACTAGAATCCCAGGATGTAAGGCTACAGGGTGAGGCAGGAGTGTCATCTTTGTCTAAAAGATGCAAAGATTAATGATGGTGATGAAATGATGTTAGCAGACATGAGTGATGGTAGGATATTTAAGTGTGGTTACCTGTAGAGTTCCAAGTGTCCTCGAGTTCCTCACCATCTCTACTCCTGCGCCGTCTACCCAAACCGACAGAATAAGCTTTCTGTCTGCGACTACCAGACTGAGAATTCCGCCTCTCCTCCAAATGCATCCCTACACATAGAAACATAAGCAGAAAATGAGCACAAAAACACAACATGTCATGCCAATTAAATGGTATACTGATCAAAATAACTCCAAATAACTTGACCTATGTTTGTGATAATGAGAACAGGTTTTTACTAGCTATTTCATTTTATAAACAAATATTAGATTAGTACAAAGTTCGTAAGATACATTATTCGTTACGCTGTTAAGCAGAGGGAGTCTCAAAAACATTATTTAACTAACAGATTTTTAAATATCTCTTACAGATGGTACTAGCAACAGCAATTAAATGCATTACAGTAAGGTGTTTGAAGCCCGACCCTCCAACACACAATATGTGGACTGAAAAAACAAAGGAAATATATCTGATTGAACAAATAACATATCCCCCGAGACTTCAAAAACATGTATTCACTAAAAGGTGGAGCCCTGCTATGGGCATACTGATATAAATCTATTTCCTTTACTCTATTTTATTCTATATTTTTCTTTATCATTGTAGTCTCCGTCTCCTTTGATGTACCAAAACTGTTACCTTGTGTGCGAAACAGCAGATATGAAAAAAAAAAAAAAAAAATAAGGACTATTTATTCTAACATTACGCTTGATGCAGGACATTGTTTTCAAACCTGTTGTGAGTAACAGTAGTAGTGAGCCACACCTGTGTTTTGGGTGTCCATATTTTCTTGCAGGCTTTTGCTGGGGCTACTGTCAATGGCAGTAAAGGCTGTGTACATGCAGATGATGTTGCAGTGCTTACTGGTCTGGATAGCCTTTGTACGGTATCGCTTTGCTGAACCTAAGAAAACAGTGAGTTAGCTTGTGTTTGCTAACCCTAACTCAGTAAAACAGATGTTTGGAGGAGTTCAAACTCACCTTGTTTGGCATCGCCCTCCTTTTCTGCCATCTTCTCAAAGTCTCGTATAACCGAGCGAGCAGTCAGCTGGTGAACGATCTCCTCCCATGGTTTTTCTTCTCTCCTGTCTTCCCCTCCTCCTCCTCCACCCTCCTCAGACTCTGGTGTCTCCTGATCATCAGAGATCCAGAGGTGCCCCAGGTCTACAGAAACCTCCCAGGACACAGGCCTGCCACTCAGCATGCCGTGAATAAGTGACCGGCACTGGCCTGGTGGGGGATCCTCTGGTGGGGCAGCAGTGAAGAGGTACTCCGCCTCTGTGAAGCTGTCCCAGTCCAGAGGAGAGGCTGGGAACAGGAGACCATCTGAGTGTCCAAGAAAGAGAGAGACAGATTGATTCTTTGTAGGTGAAGTAAAAAGTTTAACTCTGATGTACTCAGAGCTGGAGCTTACTGGAGTCAGTGAGACTTCTGCGGGACAGTGTGCCCCTTGACGGGGGTTTTGTCTCTCCATCGCTTTCCTCCAGCCTCCCACCCAGGGTCTGATCAAAGGACACCCTCTCCAAAGCTCTCCTCAGGCGATGCATCTCCAGCTCCCCCTGAGGGGATGAGAAACTTCGTGCTGCCATGGTGGAACGAACCAGTGCTTTGTGTCTTCTACGGGACTCTTCACCTTCATCTAGACGCCCACTCTGGTTGCACAAAAGGGGAAAAGTGACTTTAATTTTCCTCTGCAAAACCATTTCAGGTAGAAATTCAGATACATCAGACAGTACTTCTATGTGAAGTATTATTCAGGGCCAGGGGCGCTGCCAGGGGTTTTCAGCTTTCTGTAAAAATGTAAAATATTCTATTTCTTTGACCTTTTTTGCACTGTTATCAGATGTTTCCTCCGAGAGGTTTTGTTGCCATGCAGAGTCAGCCCAGCGAGACAGGGAAGATCTCTGTTCTGGAGGGGGCATTTTTTCGAGGCCTTGAGGTAAGGACCCTGTATCCAGCACTGAACCGGAGGAGTGAGGGTCAGGCAGAAAGACGCCGCCTGTAGAGTCTGAGTTGGATGAAGCATGTATGTGTGAGTGTGATTGTGTCTGAAGACTCGCGGCTGAGATGGTAGGTTCAGTGCTGAGGGAGCAGCGAGTGAGGACATACTGCTCCTGTATGTAGGAGCTCTGCTGGATCCTCTTCCTCACGTCACTAGACCAGTCCAGCTCTACACCTGAAACAGATTATGGCTAAATGTTAGCCACTAGGTGTGCAGTATGGGACTCTGCATAAATATATCTGCTAAATAAAAACTACAATATCCACTGACCCAGTGACTGACCTGGGCTGGTGCCAGGGTCTGTGTCTCTGGCACAGGAGAACTCAGAGGAGATTTCTCTGGATATCTCCCTCAGTGCCTCCTCCAAGTCAGTGCCATCTTCACACGTCACCACAGGCATTAACTCAGAGGCAGGAGGAGATGAAAGCTCATCATTTGACTGACCAAAAACTGAGCCTGTGGAGCCTCGATGTACTCCTTTATAGCCCCGTCCTTGAGCCTACAAAAAAAAGAGCAGCTGTATGAAATATTTTTCCCTTTGCAGGAAAACACAGAAGTAGTACTTTGAAGGACGGTGACAATATACACCTCTGTCTTTTTCGCTTTAAAGTTTGTCACATCATATAGTGTGCAGTATCCAATGAGACGATTCCCAGGATAGAGTGGAGGGATTTCATTTGGTGAAAGGAAAGCCTCCATGTTTTCTGGCAGATACCAGTCAATCCGCACGTCAGTCAGCACAGGTTCGAAGGCCTTTTTCAGAGACTTGATTAACTGCAGAGACAGAGTGGGCACAGTATTTCCAATCTTAATGCAAAAGTTTTCGCTTTTTTTTTTTTCTCTTGAACTTTTTTATGACCAGGGTCTGATTTTATTTCAATATAATGTACAATTTCACACCAGAATTATTCAGACTTAACAAACTGTCCCACTGAGGTTTAAAAGAGGTCTAACAGACATCTAAATGTAGCCGAGTTGACTGGTCTAAAATCAGGCTACCACAGGTCTAAAAATGAAAGTTTTTTTTTTTTAATTCAGCTCTAAAAAAAACTAGATGTCTAATAGCTGTGTATTGTTCAGTGGGGGTGTCAAGCTAAGTAAGTAAGTCTCTTCAAAATGAAACTTCTGACAACCTGTGAGATGAAGAGCATCAACAAGACAGAAAGCACAGCACCCACTATTGTACTATAACCTGTATGCTAGACGGCAATCCATACAAAGTACACCTATAAGTACATAAATGCCAATTCATGAGCTTAGAAAATACTAAGAGTGAAGTTATGAAGCTGAATTGTGATATCATTTGTGAAAAGAAAACCACCAAAAGTTAAGCCTGTGTCTGACGTCACGTCAACAGTAATTTATATTGTTAAGAAAGAGGCAGGTACTGAAAGTTTTGTTTATACCTGTTCCTGTTTTTTCATAGACTGTGTATAAGTACTTTAAGAAAAAGTACATCATAAAAGTTGTGAAACTCAGAAGCGAGTAAATAAGATTAATATGAATGAATGAATGAATGAATGAATATGATTTTTTTCCCCTCTCTAACACAGCAAGTGTTTTGCAATTTCTACCTTTCTCCAATAGATGGCAGTGCTTCCTCCCTACCTTAGGCTGGAGTCTCTCCTCGTCATCCAAAAACTCTGTCGTTCCTCCTGTCAGTTTGGCAACGCCCTGCAGGAGTCTCCTGCAGGCTCGAGGACCAAGTCCCAGACCAAAGCATCTGCAGAGGTGATACAATTAGTGTGTCAAATTTTTCCTCATATTTCCCAAAAAATTACCACTTTGCATGAAAAATAGTCTCTCTGACAAGTCACTTGGTCTAACTGTCTGAAAACCAAGAATAGCCCTGGAATTGTGCATGTATCCTTGAAACCCTAATGGTGAACAAAGGCATCAATTTGTCTCAGGAAAGAGCAAATTAGGAGTCATCAAACTGAAAGAACTGTTATTTGGGCGCTCAGAGGTTTACACGCTGTTTGGCTAATTGAGAGTTTGAAAAGAGCAGAGGACAGAATAATTGATCAAGGGTGTTTTTAAATCAGTAGGCCTGTTTGGTTGAGACTGAAATTTAAAAAAAAGCACATTTTCTAATATTAGACTGATATTTAGTTCCCATTCAATGCAATGGGATACATTCAAAATTAACCAAGAACAATCATGTAAACAGTGTGGAGAAGGACAGACAGAATACAGTGGAGAAAGTCACTCCAACAGGGGAATACTAATGAGACATAAATGGAGTTATTGTGCATTGCTGAAGGGTCTGAGGAAAACTAGAGGGGCGTGGTTCATACTGCAGAGGAGAGCACTTAACAGGATTACTGGGCGAGGCCGTAAAATACCCCGACCCGTTATTCTCCTCATTTCTTCCTTGAAGACTGCAGTTTGCTTGTGTGTCTCTCTTCCTGTCTTTTCCTGTTTCTGTTGTAGCAGTCATCTTATCTCCTCGACTCCCCTTTAGTGATTTAGTGTTTGATCACACACTGGGCAGATTATAAATGAGTGACATCAGCTACAATTTTTTCCCCCTTATGGTTTTTTATATTCATACAGGATATCCACTTTGTCTTACCTTTGAATACCACCTCCTAATTCACAATCAGCAAGTTACTTTTTCTCAGTACCTGCCAGCGCATGTGTTTCTCCGAACCAGCTCCAGCACTTTAGCCACATTGCTGATTGATCCGTCTGTAATGATGAAAACCTGACGAGGGTATGAACGCTGCATTGGCTGTTGGTACACCCAGGAGAGTGCCCCCAGCAGGTTGGTACCCCTCATGTCAGCTCTCATCCTCTGCACATACTCGTGAGCCTGCATTTGAGTGACCTGCATGAACGCACAAAGGGATATCCAGAGTGGGAAAGGTGCTATGAGATAAAAATGAGAGAAGCAGACATCAAACAACAACACCTGTCCAACTGCATGATGCTGCCTGTTCAAACATTACCCGTGTTATCACGATCAATTCACTGTTTGATATCATATATGCCCCAATTACCCTGTGAGGGTGGCAAAGAATTGAACGGCCAAGTTTCCAATAAAGACTGAGTAAACATACACACAATAGCAGCTGCTCTAACTACCTCAAATCACATGGTTGACAAACACGCCCGACACAGGAGAGGATGAAAGGACCTCTCCTGCCCTAGTGAAAATGCTTGAAAGGTCACCATATGGTCTGGACTGTGAGTAGAGGCTGTTTGTCCTTGCAGGCCCTGGTGTGGATAAAACCTGATACTCCGCTACTAAGGCAACCCACAAGACTGACCTATTGCCTGAGCGGAGAGTAGTTAGCATAGAACAGAGGGCCCCGCATGGTTGAAAAACAGCAGCTTCCAGGAAACATGACCCAAATGCACCACGACTCCATGTGATTATAAATAACACATGATTTGTTTCATTTGAAATCCAATAAGCTAGACAAATTGGGATAACTATCTGTACTCAGCAAGTCAATGTCCAAAGCTCACATCAGTGCAGAGTTTACTGGAGGAGAACAATGGCTTGATGGTGGTGCCGAAGCCCACGATATTCAGCATGGTGCCAGCAGGGATGCTTTTCAATGCCACCACCATGGCTTCCTGGAGTTAAAAAAGGAATAGATCAATAGGTGACAGATCTAAACATTATGTAATGTGTTTTGCTGTGTTTTTCTTTTACCTTTACACGCTGGATGTTGGTTCCACTCATGCTTCCACTGCGATCCACAAGAAACAACACTTCTCTTGTAGCTTTGTGAAGCTCGAGAGGCTCACGCAGTAAGTCAGGGCAGAAGTTGAGCATCAAAACGGGGCTGTTTAGGATATCTTTGTGATATCGCTTCCTAACAAACTCCAGCTGAAGGCCAAAACAGCACCAGCAGGTCAGCTTTTTATGCAGCAACCAACTTTGACACACTTAAGGAGAAGTTAAAGTGAAGCCGATTCTACCTACCTTCCTCTCAGGTTCAGAATCTTTGCGAGTAAAACGGATGTAATCCCGGCGGGAGAAGATCTGCTGTTCATACTGACTAAAAGAGAGCCGGCCTCTTTCCAGTATGACCAAAGGGCTGTGAGGTTCTGGGGAAGAAGTTTCACATCAAGTCAAAATATCAGAAAACAGGACAAACTGAAAATGGAGACAGGCTTCGGTGTCTTACCACTGAGGTGCAGAATGATCTCTATGTGTCTGTCATACGGATGTTCCTGTGCTAAGGTGATGTATGTGGCGGAGGCACTTTGGGCGCTGGGGTCTGCATCTGCTCTCAGAGCATGAGTGGGGCTTTCCAGGCCTAACAGTCAGTTCAACAAGAAAGAAATGAAGACAGATAAAGGTTATTTTATTTGAACTTTTGTTTTTCTTATGAGTGGTGCTGTTTTATTTAAAGATGTAGAGATAAACAGAGACGAACTCTACTTACCATCCTCCCTTTGGATTTTCTGTTCTAGCTGTTTCAATTATTAACCTCTCCTATTTTTGATGCACTAGCCCACTTTTCAAATACTTTACAATGGCTAAGTCAAGCATCACTCAGGTATAATATGTAAAGAGGAAGGCAGTACCAGCCAGTAAGCAGGCTCCTCTGACCAGCAGCTGGAAGTTGAGTTCATAAGGTGCCAGGTTCGCAGCTGGACTGGTAAAAATGGCGTGGGCACATTGCTGCTCAGAGTCCAGGGCCCGGTCCTGTTTCCCTGAGGTTGCACCAAAACAGCTGGTTGGTCTAAGAAGGAGAGCAATGTGGAGTTTTTACATGAATAATGTGAAGCAGTCCATCTTGATCACATCAAATGAATTTCAATGTTAAGTAATATAGTGTTGCCACATTTTTTTAGACATAGATACCCTGTTTCTTCAGATTTTCCCCCATTTTCACTCTTAGTTTGACTCATCTGGCCAGTTACAATAGGAGTTAGTAAATTGGGGTAGACGATGCGTATTGCTCCATTTTCTAAAGTGGGGAGTTCGAGTGTGGTGCTTATGATAACAGACACTATATCCATGGGACCGATGACGCCTGTGCCCACGATGAAAGTGGTTCTTTCAAGGTCTTCATCCAGGATGAGATGTCCTAGAGCAGAAATACAACAGTGTTGACAACCTCTCTGTAGAAACTTAAAATTTAACAATTTCCACAAAGAAATCAAAACACTTAAGGAGTCAAAAGCCAACCTATAATCTATACAGAAATACCAATATTTTTATTGATTATTGTGCACTTGATTTCTGCTCAACAACTAGGACAAAGCTGGGTTAGCCTCTAAAGCAGCAGAGGCATATTAATACTCAACATAACACCATAGTTTATTTCTTACTTCTTGAAACTGATGAAACTCTTTTGAAGAATTTATATGCTCTTCATCATGAGACTTTTTTTTTCTTTTCCAGCCTTCCTCCATGCTGTCTACTCACCATTGGTACATTGCATGTCCAGGCTGGAGCTCCCACAGCATCCCCACTCACGGCCATTCCCACAGTGGCCTTCAAGACCAGAACCAGGGCAACAATCCAAACAGCAGTCTTTCAGCTTCCCTCGGCTCTGGATCTGGACCCCCACCAACCGTCCTGCAGTCACAGCTTCAAAGCTCACCACCACCTCCTTTTCTCCCAGAGGGTACACAAACACACCTAAATAACAAAATTATTAAACAAAGAGGAAAATGATTTTTTACTTTTCCTTCAACTGAGAAAACAGTCAAATTACAAAACTCAATGCATCTTTCAGAGCAGCCTAAACCATGAGGAACTGTAAAGACTGTGCCTACCCACAATAATCTCAATTTACAACTTTATTAATAGCTTTGGACAAAAAGGTTCTCTACAGTATTATTTTTTGATAAATTATTATTATTATTATTATTATTATTATTATTATCATTATTATAATTATTATTATTATTATTATTATTATTATTATTATTATTATTATTATTATTATTATTGCTTGCCTAATGCAAAGGTTTTTCAGTTGATTTAGTTGGCACTGCTGGAGAAAACTGTATCCCCGCAAGTTTAAATTTTCTCTGGTGTTCCTCAGGGTTCAATACTTATCCCTCTAACACTTCTAACTTATAGCTCAGTTCTCTCTTACTCAATTCAGTTGTTTACAATACATTTGGTTAATACATATCAAATAAATAAAGACATCAAAAAGTTTTATGATTGGAAATCTTAGTACAAGCTTTTTGTTTTAAGTGATTAACTCTTTTTGGAATTATTTTGGTGTAATTTAACTTCAGTAGCTTATTTGGTAAAAGTAGCTGCCTGTTATTTTTTTCTTTCAACAATAAAATAAAATAAAAAATCTTTACTTTTTATAGTATGAAAATATGGTTGCTATGATTATTACTTTATCTGATCCAGATATCCACTTACCTTCTACTGACTCTATGTCTGCATTTGCATAGGTAAGGTGTGCGGTGATGCCCAGGGAGCAGCCATTGGCACAGGACTTGATGCTGGAAGCCTTTAGTAACAATGGTTCCCATGTAGAGCAGTTTCTCAGTCCCACCATCTTTTTAAGGCAGCAGCAAGTCTCTACTCTGGTGGTTAAATGAGAACACAGGGGCACAACGGGAAAACGGACTGAGAGGACAAGGAGAGCGATGTGTGAGTGTGCATTTAAATTCTCTCATTTCTATTCACAGCCCAATCAACGTGATCTTTTTAAGCAGACCTATTTTTTTGCTACATTGATTAAAAGTATCCTAAATGTCCACAGGTTACACATCTTTTGTATAAAACATGCCTGCTATTTATTATGGAGTTAACATCAGCCCTTGAACACGCAACCGAGCTATGTGTGCTCCTCAGGCTCTTAGCAACCAACTGGGCAAGAGGTTTTGTCAATCATTAACATCGTAGGTCAGCTTTTGAAACCCTGGGCATCATGTCTAATATATGGAACCAGTAGCCAACTTGTATGTAAATTTGCATGGACTTACTACCACAGTCTTACTCTTGACATCACTCTTTGTCAACTGCAAAGAGCTGCATGGCAAAAATGAAAGATTTTCTGTTTTTGGTTTGGGACGTGGTTAGAAACAAGCAACTTATCCCAGCTTCCTTCCCTGTTCCTATTTCTGAACTTCAATCTATACACAATAACTCTTCATGACTGACTACTTAATTACTTCAAGTGCATCAGGTTCAGAGGCCAGTTTGCAAGCCCCAGTTTAGTAAACGTTAGACTACACAAAACTCTACGTGTGTGTGTGTGTGTGTGTGTGTGTGTGTGTGTGTGTGTGTGTGTGAACACACAAGTGTGCATTTGTGTGCATGTCTGTGTTTGCTGTGGTCCAGGTAATGGTTTTCACATCTACCTTTCTAACAAGATCAACAGCCTCCATCTGGCTACCGTGCTCTCCGGTCATAACAGGCAAATAAATGCCTGGTTTGTTAAAGTGGGGTGCTGTCAGGATACAAACAAATGGAAAAGTACAACATGAAACTCCACTGCATACTGTGATAAACCTGATGTATAAGCTTGACATTTTTACCAATGAAAAGAAATAGACACATTTTGAGCTAGCCACATGTGCATGTGAACATGTGTGGCTCTCTTACAGCGACATGAAGACATAGACATGAATGAATGATTTACACATGCAGATACCAGCCTATAAAACTTAGTCTGAAATTCAGAAGCAGATGTAAAAAAAATCAACAGTTTAATGTAAAGCACTAGTTTAAACTTACAGAGGGAAGATTCTGCATTTTCATCAGGAAGGAGAATTTACTCTGCTGGGTGTTTGCAGTGGTGAAGCTGGCCAGGAGTCAGCACCAGCCAATACTGCAGTCCCCTTGTGTCAGTTACAAGCTCAAGATAACAAGCAAAATAATAGTCCTGGAACACTTACTGTACTGTTCAGTGCAGCGTCAGATAATCTGCGTCTATGTCCAGCCTCTGTATCACTCCAGCATCACATCTGCTTGTGGGTTTCCTCACTGATACACCAGTAGGAGTTTTCCTGGCAACAGACTCTCCTCTCTCTCCTTTCTCTCTCTCTCTCTCTCTGACAGTCCTTCTCTTTCTACACAAATTAAACAGTTTTCCTGCGAAGAAATTATTCAAAGTGGAGACAAATATTCAGAGAATAATAACAGAGTTCATAAAAGTACTTTAGAAGAATAAACATAGACATTTATATTAATGCTGGTACAAGACATTCAACTAATATCTTAAATAGCTCCATAAAATGTGTTTCGATTATTAGGATATCTGGGCATACCAATAAAAAGGTCATCCTCTGCAAAAACCTATTGTTTAAATGAAATGTCATTTGCTTACCTGCTTGACCTGAACCACAGAGCTGATCAGTAACTGGGATCTAAACCTGCTGGTTCAGAGTAAGCTAACACACAGCAGTAAGTGAAGCAGTGCCTGCTTTTCATCCAGACAATTGGCTGTGATGGTAGCAGCACCATAATTCATGGCTAATGGCTCGGCCAGAGAGACGAGGGAGGGTGAAGTGTTCTGCCTCTCCCCACAGGTCAGTCAGACGGCAGAAGCAGCAGCAGGCAAGGGTGATACCGAAAGCTGCTGCAGCTTTTTTAGTGTTTTCTTCATTTTCAGAGGTTCAATCTTACAAACAAAAACTAAAAATAATGAGAATATCCTGAATGAATATCCAATCATCTCATTCTGTATGGCAGTAAATCAAAAATCTTCACATTTTAAAATGATGTTATTGATAAAATAAACTGTTATGTTCATCCGTGAAGTTCTCTTTTTGTTTACTTTCCATCTCATGTCTTGTGTTCCTGTTTGTTTTATTATGAAATCACTAACCTCTGTCTGAGGTTGAAATAAACCAGATTTTTGCCATAGAGGACTGGTCATTTGTGTGTTCTGCCATTGAGTTCCCTTTTGTAAGCCTGTTCAAAATTGTTGTACAAAAAATTTACAGTGATTTATATGAAGGTGTCCTTGTCTTTAATATACAATATCCAAGGGGTACAGTATAACACAGATATACACAAAGCTATTGTGCTTACAGGTGTGTGTAGTGGACAGAAAGAGCCAGAGGTAGCGAGGGAAAGGGCTCCGAGAGGTTAGAAAAGTGGAATACCTCCTTTTATTATCTCAGCATGAGGCACTCCACTGTTTGTTTTGATGTTCATGTTGTGCCATCTATAAAATATGAAACCCCATTTGGCTTAGCAAGTACGTTTCACTTTTGAAATAGCAAGATAGAAAATATTGAGTTCAAGTAAACAAACAAGCATTTTTTTTTTTTTTTTTTGTTTGGTAACAATGAAATTGATCATATCCTCAGTCTTCCTCAAAATGTGTGTATGTGTGTATATGTGTTTAGATAAACTGTGATGGGGAGACGGAGAGAGCTTAATACTGCCTCCATGTGGCCTCTAGGGTTTTACTTATATTTACAGAGAATCATACTGTTGCTCGGTTTTAATACTATTTCACAATTGACAACACTTACTGTCTTCATATTACATTCATAATAATTTGAAAAGATATATACACACTCAAAATGCCATGTTAAAATCCATTTGAAACGAATTTTATTTTATTTTATTTATGTATTTTTATTATTATTATTTTTATTTATTTAAATATTATTATTATTTATTTATTTATGTTTTTATTTATTTTTTATTTATTTAATTTTTTTTTTTTTTTTTTTTTAAGCTAAGTTTTTCGCTATGTAACACTTTGGTGATGGTTTAAACTTTTACATGTAGCCAAATTAGCGCTTTAGCTTTGAGTAGACAGACCACATTCAATTTACATAAACATTAAAAAATAGACTGACAGAGCAACACGGTTTACAGAAGTGTATTGCGGCCAAGTAGACAATGGATCAATTCTAACTCGCATCACCGTTATTGACTTTAGTTTAACATCCATGGATTCAGTGGGCTGAGGTCAGTCTGGATGATTCAGTTCCCGATACAGTGGTAAAGTGTTGTAGTGAGTTTATGCTAAAAAATAGTTTTCATTTTGTGACACTAGATGTCAGCCTTTTCAAGTTAGCTGTCCAAGACTGAGTAAATGAATGCAGTCTCATCTCTTTTGGATCACTCCAGGAACATAAAGACATTTTCATCTATCTAATACACTGTTTCTTAAATTTGTTCCTCAGCCTCCCCATTGAGCCCTTACTCCACCTTGCAATGAAAGTTACATTTTCCTGGGTTTCCTATTTTGATACTCTCTGTAGAAAACATTGCGCTGATGTTTGTTCTGAAGCTTAATATTTACCCACTGGTGCTGGAGAAGTGAAAACACCTGGATGTACTGTTTAAGCAGGGATAATGCACCACAATCAAAAAAAGGATTTGCATGGAATAATTTAATTTAACCTTAAATTTTACTTTGTTACAATGAGCTGATTGGTTTGTAACAGATAAACTCATCTGGCAGTTCACCAGTGTGAATTTGTAAACCTTAATATAAAAAAGTGAGACCATATTACTGCCCTGCACCTCTGCCGAAACAGTGCTTTACTGCTGATAAATGCCTGTCTCATTTCCTCCATTCTTGTCTTTATCTATCTTTACAGCTTTAGGGTAGAAGACTGTGGGTTTTTGTCATGGCCATCAGCAAGCGGTCAGAGAGTACAAGTGCAAGAAATGAAATATTTTCTGCATGGTCTTCCTTCCTGCGGGTAAGTTTCATCCACCTTCTAGTTAAACATAAAGTTACAGAACATTTTACATCTAATTTCGAAAGAACAACCACAGATGTGGCCAACAAAGGGGTATGATGAGACAAAGGGGCATACATAGTTTACTGTGCGTTGTTAACATGCAAATATATCATCTGAGCTGAGTTTCCACGTGAACCTTATCAGCTATAGCATCATAATGACTGCGTTTAGTAAAAATGGATGTTTCATTATAGAACAGCGAGCATTTAAGAGCAGTTAAAGTGGTTGTTGAGGTCATAATAGATCTAATTAACAGCATGTCAAACAATGACTCAATACAGGCCTGTGTGCAGACGAGCTGCTTGTGCTTGACTATTGTGAGGGGGGTTCAAGTGTCTGTCTGTGCTGAAATGTTGGGAACCTCTTCTCTCTTGCGTACCCCACTGACCTAGATTTCAATTGTTTTCTGCAGGAGACAATAGGAGAAATGGTTTCATAACTGAACACAATACCTGGGTGTTATTCAACACGATTGTTGTTAAGGTTCTCATGATGGTGGTGTGATTTTTGTGCTGAGCATTGTGTGTTTTTCTTTATGTAACCTGCGCAAGCAGCCAGCCAGTGAGGAGCCTGTGCACCCCACAGTAAAATCTCTTCTCGATGGTTCAACAGATGATTGTGCATTCACAACATTTTTGTAGTCCAGCCAGTTCAATCATGGCTGTTCCAAATTCAGGGAGACTTCTCACACCATCTTACCAACTTTCCCTACATTAGAAGTGATCTGATTTTGAATCTACCAGGTCTGAGGTTCGAATGTTATTGAGAAGTTTGTTCTCTGTTAAACAGACAAATCATTTTAGCTGCATGAACCTATCTAGGTTGACATATCTAGAAATTTGTCTTTTCCAGCTCACACAATGCGGAAAGTAGTTCTTTGTGAAATAAACAAATAGACTGGTAGACAGACTTTCAAACAACTAATGCTTGAAATTTGTTTGAAAATGAGGAAATGTCAGTCCTCATCCCTGTTTCTTAGAGTAGGTTACATGTGTGTAAAGTGTGTACAGACCACGCTGGATTTGGAATTAGGGGTAGACAAGCTTAATAATCCTGCAAATTCATGCAAATTTTCACCAAAGGCGGAGCAGTTTTGTTTGCATGAGTTCAATACACTGTTGTTGGTTTGTATTACATATCTTAAACATAAAACAATTCAAATAGCTTAATACAAGGCAACAAAAATTCACCCAACATAAACAGAACAATATTTCAGTTAGAAAAAACACAGAAACAAAAAATCTATTATGGTGAATAGAAAATGTATGAAGGAGTATTAGAGCCACGTTAAGAAAAAATAAAATTAAGACTTTGAGATTTAAGTCGAAAATTTACAAGAATAAAGTCATTATCTACAACAATAAAGTTGTAATTAAGTAATTACTTATGAGAATAAAGTTGTAATAAAATCATTATGATACTTATGATAATGTGGTGCTGATGTGCCAAAAGTTTTAGTATCTCCTTGTTTGAGAAACCTATATTTAAGTACATTTTCACTATCTAAGTACATTTATAAGGACTCTATTCTGACTTTATACCCATAGGTGACTACTTTATTACCACTGTATTCTTGTTAGTAATGACTTCATTCTTGTTAGTTAACAACTTTGATCACAAAGTCAAAATTATCTTTTCTTAATGTGGCCCTAATACTCATAAAAATGAGACATATTGATGAATAAATTTGATTCTAGTTTATTCTGATCTAGACTTAAAACAACACAATATTGATTCATTTGTATTCAGCACAGAAAGTAATGCAGATTTACTCTGAGTGGTTTTGAATCATGGCATCATGACTTCCTGACGATGTATTTATTAATCTGTAATCGACAGTTTTCTGAAAGTTGTCTTTACCCGAGGTTGTAAAGTGATCAAAACAATCTTGACAGGTACACAAGGTAAAAAACTTCAGTAAAAAAGGACCAATGTCTAACTGAATTTCAAAGAAGGTTTTTCTGTCAGTGTTCAGATATGAATCCTCCTCTCATTCTCAAAGTTTGGTTAATTAACAATAGAGTTAAAATTCTGTCATCAAAGAGGTAATTAAAGATAACCAAATACAATGTGCACTTTCTCCTGACTAACAGTGTTCATGTTCAGATGTAGACACTGTTAACAGAGAGGATAAGATGTGTCATTTCTGCTTACAAAGATAGAAACCTGCAGGCAGAGGAGAAAAGAGCGGCAGAGAACTCCATGCTCTGTGGATAGATGAAGGAGAAGTGAGCAGAAGGCAAATTAATCACAGGACATCAAAGGCAAACGGACTGAGGGAGGGAAGGCTTGAAAGAGAGCCGCCCGTTTGTCCCATGCCGTCCCCGCTCCGCTCCGCCTGAGCCTGCTCTCAGATCTCGGGGCCATTGTGCCGCACGGGTGCATTGAGAGGGCTGGGGCACAATGTACACAACAAAACATGCACACACAAAAATGTCTGACAGAAAAACTTAAGGGGGAAAAAATGCACATTTCTATCTTACCTAACATAAACTTTTGCTCCAAATGTGTGCATTCTTAGGCCTTGTTGAATTACTTGTAGCTCTCTTTCCTTTCTTTATCTGTCTGCAGTCATCAGGGCGAGTTGCACAACTTTTGACTGAAACATGAACACTGTCACCCAGGTGGGAACGCAAACTCTGTATGTTGTTAACTCAATGTGGATGTCTCTCTTTGAACATTTGCATCTAGATTCAGCTGCAAGTTTGTTTCTAGTGACTCCAGTTCCTATTATGGTTGACACAAACTCCTTTCTGAGTCAATGTAGACTATATCTATGTCTCTCTTTCACCGGAGTGAGAGTGAACACAGAGAAGATGTGTCATTCAATAGAAAAAATATACTTTTCTCTGCAACAATGAGACCCAAACATTTAGTCTAAAAGTCAGTTTGTCAGTTCAGCTTTTGTTCCAGCAGGCACATCAGGAAAATACAAAGTGCTCGGAGAATGAAAATATATTCCTGTGCTTAAGGGAAAAAAAAGTCTTGTGGACTTAAAAATAAATCATGGTCATAAGAATTTTTTTAACTGTATCTTTATGTAACAAAAGCAGAGTTCAGCAGAGAAAGACAAAAGTGATGTGAACTGACAATATTTTAATGGGGGGGATAAAAGACTGTAAGTGATCAATGGAAGCGGCGGCCAAGTGATGCCCGGGGGATGCCTTTGATGTGGGCATCCTCAGAGGGACGCCGGGGACAATGCCCTCTTTGAGAGGCATGCAGAATGGCAGACACATCCCTCTCCCTCTCTCGCGCTCTCTCACACGCTGTCACTCAACGTCCCCCCCTGTGTCCCGCTCGCTCCGATCATGCTGTTGCTCCTCGGATCAGACACTCGGTGACATCTATCTCTTTGCATTCCTCTACTTCAGTGTCACATCAGCCCATATCCTTATCTGCGTAACTTTCTCCCCCTTACTCTCACATTAATTAATTCAAACAACACCCCCTTCCCTGCCACCCAGCCAATCACTCCGCCTCCCTGTATTCCCCCCACCCTATCTGCATCTCACTCTCCCTCCCCCTGTCTCCTTTCATAGAACCAAACCTCTTTGTAAAGTCCAGCCTTGGCAAGTTGCGCCCGATTTGCTGTCACAGTCTTAATGAATTCATCTGTTTGTGTATTGGCCATGGGAGCATCTCTCCCTCCTCCCTCCCTCTCTCTCTCTCTTTCCTATCCTCTCCCTCCTCCCTCTTGGTGGTGTTCCCCTGGGGACTCTATATATACCAGGGACCACTCCAGGCACCTATTGTTCCTCTGTGTAAACTTACAGACAGATGCTCTGCACCACAGTGTGGGAGAGAGCCCAGAGAGTCAGGAGGAGGGAGACTGTCAGCGATCACAGAGAGAAACCAGACAAGGACCTGGAAACACTGCGGGCAACCCTCGTCTCCAGCTCCTCCGCATCCTCGACTGTCCTCACGAGTGTCTCCTGCCTGTCTGCTTGTTGTCACTTTTGAGTGGAGGTCTGATGTTCTGACACCATGTCACTGCTCATTTCACTGCTGCTTATGGGACTTGACTGCTTGCTGGGAGCCCCCGCAGGTCGAGAGGTGTACAGGATGCCCCAAAGTGCACTCAAAGGTAATTTACCAAACTTGCTGTCTAGCTGTGTTGAATAGTGAGAGCTGCATCTCACCCGTGAACAGATTGAAAATAAGACTGCTGTGCTTTAAACATGAGACATTTGCAGGTGTGGTAGTAACTAGGCTTTTTAAGATTTAGATGAGACAACAAACAGGATTTGATCATTTGTCATTAAACTTATAATGGTGAGAACACTGCAAACAACCACATTGGGGGATGCTGTGATAACTCCAAAGCCTATGAATAAAAAACAACAACATATGATTGGCATTTCTAGACCCAGTCACATTATCCATACACTTAAATTTGCAATGTCACCTTTAGATCTACTGCAGGTTGATATTTTAGTGTAACAGCCGACATACGAAAACCAAAACTAATGATTACTCGCTTGTTTGGATTCACACAGTCAACACTTTCACTTATGTGCAGGAGATACCACATCATAAAGGGCTATGACAACATTTTCAATTACACAGAGCATTTCAACCTTTCTCTAAATTCTCATAGGCTCAGTTTTTACACTTCCTAAATCTTCAGTTTTGTCAGCTACATGAAGATTTGTTGACTCTTTCAGTAGATCTCACAGAAGAGGAACACTTGGATCTCTTTGGTTGCAGCGCTGAGTACATTAGAGGCGTCATAGAAATGGCTGGTGATAGCAGTGTGTGTTTAGAGTGTTCAGAACAAGGGACTTGGGGTCCCAGCCGCCCCGGGGCTGCCAGCCCATGCCCCTTCGGCCTGTCCCTGCCCGCCAGCCTCTGCCAGCTCGGCCCTGGCCCTCTAATTAAGTCTTCAATCAGCATTGTTGTTGTTAGTGGCCTATCCTGTGATGTGGCGCGGCACAGAGGGGGGCTGCAGGGCCGGCGGTCCGATTGATGTGTGTCTGCAGTAGCCTCACCAGCGCGCTGAGCGTGAGCTATCCTCCATAACATGCTGCAAATGAGCTCAAAGAGAAGCATGAGAAAGAAAGGGGGCTGCTCACACACATACCAGAGAGCTGAACCTGTTTAAATGAAAGGATCACATCACGTTTTCGCAGCAAATGACAGTGTCTCGTGTAAATGATCATTAATCCTCCCTAAAAAGTTTGCTAGAAATTTGCTCTGAGCATCTTTAGAAATCTGCCACTCCAAAAAAGTTTTATTTCTCCTGTGTGCCCAACCAACACCCAAGTTCTGAGGTTGTGGCTCACAGAATATTTGATTCACACATAAACATTTAAATAGGACTTACTTAGACTAGTTTATGAAGCAGTAGAGTTGCCAAGTTTTAAAGTACTTGTTTTGATACTTCTTTGAATATTTGGTTGACAAACTTTACAAACCAACAATAAATCTGCTCATCTGCACATTCAAGTATTGCACAGTCAGTCTCAGCATAACTGTTCTGCTCTTTCTCAAGCCTGAGTCACATTTAAATGTCCTTTTCATCCTTTGATTTGCTCCTGTCTCTCCTGCAGCTCTGTCTGATCGAGGCACCGTGGTTCTGGAGGCAGCCATGACCGGTGCCCTGTCTGCTCTCGATCGTGCCTCATCTGAGCGGAGTCGGGCTGAAGCCGGCTGCAGGGGTTGTGTTCCCTGTTTGTTTCAGGACTGTGGTCAGCTGTCTGGCTCTTGCTGTAAGTCAATAACACTGTTTATATGTTGGGTTAAGTATTGAGCATGCTGAGTAAGATCATGTAGTGCTGACTTTCATAGATCTTCAATAAGTGTGGTATCTCTTCTTGTCCACCAGCGTCTCCATCTAACGCCCTATCAGAGCCCAGCTGCGATGTCATCAGTAAAGCCCAGAAACTCCAAGATGAGACTGAGCGGAGTTGGGCTCTGAGTCAGGCCTGTGCGTACTATCAGCATCGCTGCCCGGCAGGCGAGTTTGACAAGGAGAGCTGCATCAGGATCATGGGTGAGAGCTGCAGCGCCCGTGTCCTCCAGTGCAGCCTCCTTAACACAATGCAGAACCTTGAACCCGCCACACAGACGCACGCCCAGGGTACGAGATGTTTCTTCTCCCTCTGTCTTTGAAGTCAGCAAAGAAACTTAGATATTTCATGGGCTGTCTACAAAAAGTTAATTTTCTTACATGTTCTTGACTGTCACTGTCTCTGTGTCCAAGCAGCAGTGTGTGGTCAGAGATCATCCAGGGTTCAAAACATCACACAGCCTCGCTCCAGGATTGTAGGCGGCTCTCCCGCTCCTCCTGGCAGCTGGCCCTGGCTGGTCAATCTCCAGCTAGATGGTGGCCTGATGTGTGGAGGGGTCCTGGTGGACAGCTCCTGGGTCGTCACTGCAGCTCATTGTTTCGCTGGGTGAGTTTAAATCAATGTTTCTATAAGAGCTTTGGTCTTAGTATTGTATGTTTGAATTGCGTTACAGTTGTTCTCCTCTCACCTCTGCTTTATCTTCTAATATCTGGACTGATGCAGCAGCCGCAGCGAGAGCTATTGGACAGCCGTTGTGGGGGAGTTTGACATCACAAAGACTGACCCTGATGAGCAGGTCCTCAAAGTGAACCGTATCATCACTCATCCTAAGGTAACGATCTATCAAGTGGAACATATATTTTAGATTTTGCATGTTTAACATTATACTATCAGCTGTTCAAACCTCAAAATCTTTCATCACAACATTTAATCATTTAAACTGTCTCTACTTCCTACAGTTCAACCCAAAGACATTCAACAACGATATAGCTCTGGTGGAGCTGACGTCTCCTGTGGTTCTATCCGAACATGTCACTCCAGTGTGTCTCCCCTCCAGTATGGACCCTCCTACAGGCAGTCCATGTCTGGTGGCGGGCTGGGGCTCCCTCTATGAAGGTGAGTCGAAGATAACTGAGAAGGATTTTTCAGATTTTTGAAAGTCCAGTTAAAATTCTGCAAATTTGTCTGAAGATTTGATCCTTTCAGTTATCACCTTGTGAAATGGTGCGTTTCTGTGATCCTTTTTCTCAGATGGGCCATCTGCTGACGTGGTGATGGAAGCCAAAGTGCCTCTGCTGCCTCAGAGCACCTGTAAGAGCGCCCTCGGCAAAGAGCTGGTCACCAACACCATGCTGTGCGCTGGCTATCTGTCTGGAGGCATTGACTCCTGTCAGGTGGGCAGAACATCATTTTCTCATTGATTATGAAACTCGAATCAGTTTTACACAAAGTGTTGCTCCTTTTGTTTCAGTTTCATGAGAAAATATATGTTATTTTCTAGACCAAAGATTGACCTTTTTTAATCATTTGTAGGGAGATTCTGGAGGTCCTCTGATCTACCAGGACAGAATCTCAGGTCGGTTTCAGCTCTACGGCATCACCTCCTGGGGAGACGGCTGTGGGGAGAAGGGCAAACCTGGAGTCTACACCCGGGTATCTGCTTTCTCAGACTGGATTCAGGCTGAGATACAAAGTGAGTTTCATGAAGGGAAAAAAACAACAATGACTCAAAAATGTTGAGTTACTTTGTAGTTTCTAAATAATAAAATAAAATCCACAGTACTAAAATCCATACTTTACTTTTCAGAGTCATTTGGAAGCAGGGAGCCAACATGTTCAGAGCTTTTAAAGACAACAGAGATGACGGAGGAGGAACAGAGGGCGGAGTTCAGCTCTCTTTGTCGCTTCTACACATTAACCTGCCCTGCTGGTCAGTCTGTCAGTTCCTGCAACCGAATGGCCGAAGACAAGTGTCTCACCCGCTTCAAGAAATGTCGTAAGTACTTTTATTTTAGCCTCAGCTTCATGAAGGTAGATCAAAAACTACTAAAACTAAAACTTGTGCATACATACCACTTTGAAATCATGCTTTAAAGGTTTCTGATCCATTTCTTGTTCTCTGTTGTCTAGAGTTACGCTCATTTCTGCAGACCCTTTTGGATCTGCTCCAGAGGGCCGAGGACTACATCAGAGACAAAGTTGATTTGACCTTCTTCACTCAGACTCTCCCTCAGCTGGTGGAGCACATCTACAGCACGGCTTTTGCTCACACCAGAGAGAGAAGAGACTTGAGCCATGGTCTTCCTCAGATTAAAGGTACATCACTTACTGATCATGTTCTCATGTATAGATCTTGAAGAGTTGGCTGGTGCATCATTATATTATGAACTGTTTTGTCGATCATTGCAGTAAAAGGTGTTTTATCACTTGCAGAACAGCTAGGTGGAGCTGTGGTGCCAACAGCACAGGGTCCCTCTCCAGCTCTCCCGGCTTTATTCAGAGAAGTGGGACCGTCAGTGGGCGACTGGGAGAAATACCTCAGCAACATTGCTGAAGACCTGGACAATCAACACTCCACAGATATCTCTCTTTTGACGATGAGACAGGAGAACGTCTTTTTTTTACAGGTAAATATCTGTTTGTGGCAGAAGTGCTGAAAGGCCATCACTGGTATCAGAATCAGAATCAGAAATACTTTAATGATCCCCAGGGGGATATTGCTTTTCGTTAGAGTGACTCCAGTGCAAATAAAGTAGAAAGAGGAGACAAAATTATAGATAAAATAAGCAAAAATAAAGAGAAAAATAGATAAAATAAGTAAAAAAGTAAAAAAAGAGATAATATACAAGTATGTACACTATATACAACACAAAATAGTAAAATAGTATGCCTGTATATGGTATAGTACACTGTGTAGGTTTATTATCATTATTATTATTATTATTATTATTGTTGCTAAGTGGTGTGTTTTTTCGTCCAAATTAGAAGAGGTATTTCAATTTTCAACTTCTTCCCATTACCATTTTTTACCCTTTTTTTTCTTTAATCATTTTGTTGTTTAGAAAACCTGCCTATAAAATGCTTGTGAATGAGAATGCTTGTATTTACCTTTATTTGACCATAAACGTCAAATCTAACTCTCTTTTCTGATATCTTCAGGCAGAGGACTCTTCAGTTCATCAGCTCGAAGGAGAATTTCGATCCGTCATTTCAGCTCTGAGCTCCAAATTCAACTCAAGAGCTGCCCCTCCCATCATGCACCTGGACACAGCCTACCTCCAGGAGGAAACTTCCTCTACTGGAGCATCAGTCCCCTCCTCCTCTTCCTCCTCTTCCCGTGATCCCCAGCGGCAGCCGTGGTCACTTCTAACAGCCCTGATGAATGAAATGGACAAATTAAGCACACAGGATGAAACTGCAACACTTCAAACTGACTCCTCCTCCGACAGAGACACTTTCCCTGAGGAGGATTTTACTTTTGCTGAAAATGGAGACCGAGCACAATCAAAATCTTCAGCTTTACCTCTTCATCAGCAGTCCACCACCGTGGCTCAGCCGGTCACTGAGGGTGCTCGCACAGAGATGACCTCCGAGCCCAAACAAACTGCGAATGCTGTAAAAACTTTAAGTCTTCGCAGGAAATACAGGAGCCTTCTGCGCAAGAGACAGATACCTGGGGCCATTGGAAAAAGTATGTGAAACCATAAATTTAAAAACCAGCAGAGAAATAATGCTTTTAATATTTGATTGTTGGTCAATTTATCAAACAAATTGTTTTTGTCTGTTCTTGTAGTTTGTCCTGGAGTAAGAGAGTCCTCCCAGCAAGTCAGCCAAGTCAGAGACTCCTACAGCTGGGTCTTAAACATTCCCAATAAGAACTTACGCATGAACTTCCAAGAGGTAAGTTACTGTTCAGGTTGAGGGCATTAGAAGTTGTAAATTGGTGAGATGACTCACAGTTAGTTGTGTTTATTTATTTTGGATGTCCCCCCTTCTTGCCACTCCAGGTGTTAGTTGATCTGAGCTCCAAGAACGAACGAGGACTCTACCAGGCACGGGTCAGAGCAGTAGTAGGAGGACGACCTCTGACCTTCTACAGTCTTGTAGGCCTGGAGAATGAGTCGTTTTACCGCAGCGTGCCGAGAATCATTGCACTGGCGCTGGATGCCCTCAAGACTTGACTTCAACTGGAAAACAAGTGAGACGAACACCGAAACAAAGACTCAAAAGTGAGATGAAGAGACAAAGACTTGCAAAAACCCGTCTGAAAATCACCAGAAAAACCTTGATCATGTGACTGAGATACACATAAAGCGCACACTCATACAGACTTCATATTCTTCTGTCTCCTTCGAAAGCATCGTTCCCCTTTCTGAGAGCCTGAGTTTGGCTCGAAATGAAAACACAACCATGAATGTATCACTCCAACTATTGACCACCCATCATGCAACAGGATTTTTTTTTTAATGTGGTTGGAGATGCCGCCTTGTCTAACTTATGAATCTGTACAAAAAGATAAGTTATTCATTATGTCTTTTGCAAAGGTTGAGCCTCTTGTGAAGCACACAGACTGTATATTTTATTCATATTCTTACCTTATTATTACCATATTTATTTGTATAGAGAAAAAAACATTTGTATTTTTGTAAGAAAACAAAACAACTTTATATGAATAAAATTGTTATCAATGCTATAACATGTGGTGTTAAATGCTGTGGTAGTTTAGCTTAAGATGTGAGATGATATTCACGTACCACTATGCTGCTAACCCTCAAGTATTTGGCTCCTTGTGCACTAGAGTTCTTTCGAGACTCAAACATGCCCCCATAAGTGAGGTGTTGATGCTGATTGGTTCCCTTTATAACCCCAGATGACCCAAGTCCTTTGACCCTTTAAGGGGTAAGCTCTCCTATCAGCACTGCAGCTGCCGTATGAGACTGCGTTACTTCCCACCAACTCAGAGTGTTTACTCCCTTTTTCCAGGACGGGTCGATGATGCAAGAAAAGACAACTGAGACAACTTAGTCATGACTCTTTTCCATCTCGCTGTAGATGCCAAAACTCCAAAAGTGATTATGATATGCTAAATAATCCTAAATAAAACCAAAACAGCTTCATAAATAATTCCCAGCAGACAGACTATTGTAGTTTACTGTCTAGTCTAAATGAGGGATCTACAGGGGTATGAGTGGAACAGCTGAGTAAACACACACACAAATACTTCTGTTGCAACACATCAACTCCTGTCTCCGGCATGTGTGTTTGTGTGTGTGTGTGTAGAAGTTGCACCAATGCATGGCGGGAAGAAGTATTTTTGACGAACACATACACAAAGTAATGACATGCCCCACACGCACTGTAACTCCCACAGAGCCTGGTCAGTCAGCAAAGAGGGAGGGTATGCTGTATATGGACGAGACTTGGCACCTGTTCTCTCTGTACTGTAAAAAGCTCTTTTAGCGCTCCAAACCTGCAGACACACTCTGTGTTGCTGCCCTTTCTGTCGTCTAATCTCAGCCTGTCATCCTTTAGTCGTACAGAATACATTTCATTAAGTCTGCGGATGGAACAAACTTTGCCAGCTTATTGTGGATCACAGTGGTGCTAATTTTGCCTTCAAAGAATCTCTATTTTTTCCTCTGCTCATGCGGACGCCTGAGTGACAATAGCCAGGTGCAGCCAGGAGATTCAGGATATATTGGTGTTATGGCGGGGGATTTTAACACTGGAGGGCAGCCATGCACAGAGTACAATACCTAAACTAAGTGCACGTCATGTTCTGTGTGTGTGTGTGTGTGTGTGTGTGTGTGTGTGTGTGTGTGTGTGTGTGCGTGAATGTGTGTGTTGTGACAGCTGACTATGCAGTACTGGAAATACACTCTCTGGATCTAACCCTAACAATCATCAACCGCCAACCCCCAACCATTCCCCCAAACCTCAACTCTCCCGTCAGCATTCACTGTGCCTGGAAACTCACACTTACATACACATATACACATCAACACATGCACACACACAAAGACACACACACACACACACTCAGGGCCAGTGCCAGCAGCTCCATCAAGTAGTGTTCATGTGTATCAGATTAGTGAGAACAGCTTTGTGCTGGACAGCCCGGCACAAACACACACACTAATGGATTGTGGACCTGCGCTCGCTCTGTCACTCTTTTTGAGGGTGCTTATGATTTCTGCCGCAGGTAGGTACGCTCACTCATGACACAGATATTATCATACAGTGACTTGTTTATGCCCGGGGATTTGCATGGTAGGCTGTAAATGTCTGAGGTTAGTTTTGTAGGTTTATATTTAATTCAGTACCTTGTTAATTGCTCTGACAGATAAATAAAGAAACAATCCCTTTTAGGTATTGATAAATCGCCTTTTCAACATTTTTCTCTCAGCTCACCAAGTGTTATTACTCTTACTTAGCCATACCAAAACCTATACCTCACTGTGAGTTTACTTTTACCCTTCATTAGAAGGTCTTGACTGGAGCTGCTTTATTAAGCAGAGGAGGATAGCAGAGAGTCACAATAAAGATTATTGTATAGTATTGTATATGATTAGGGGGCATGTGTGGTGTAAACACAAAAAATGAAACATGAAAAAAGGACAGGAAGACACAATAAAGAGACACAAAACACCAACAAACGATGCAATCTCTAGACGTCTAATTATGTAGGGTGATGGTAGGGGCTTTTCCATGTCTCCGTAAAGGGTTAAATTGATTAGAAATATATCCACAAGAATTATAAAGATGATGTACTTGGCTGTGTCTGTGTATACCAAAAGAGGTGATGGATTCTGACCCTTTAAATCAGATATTTCAGTTTTGAATCAACGGGATCCTACAGTGAGGATGGTGCAGCTCGATGACCTTTTTAACAACCTACATGAAACCCAGAGGAAACCATTGAAACATCTCTAGGGTTATTTTTTTCAAATGTAGAAAAGTTCCCTCTGACACCACAACAGACATTGGAGAAGTGTTTTCATAGATTGGTTGTAATGAAAGGCAAATTTGTGAATAAGCTGAAGAGCCATGTCCTGATCCCTGTAGCATCAGCGGTCAACCTCGAAGGGGAACTTTTCAAAGACCTGATGAAAGGCTACAACAAGAATGTGCGTCCCATGGAAAAGAGCGGCAACATCACTCATGTGGAGATCAAGATGACGCTCACCAACCTCATCTCTCTGGTGAGAGTCAGCCTATTATTTCTGACACCTGACTGCCTCAGAGACGACATTTACTAACAAACCGTCTCTCCCCAGAATGAAAAAGAGGAGGCTCTGACAACAAGTGTCTGGATAGAGATGGTAACCTCACACACATCTCATCTGCTGCATTGATTTTACGTTGAATTGTTAAATATTTGCATGAAATTATGCAAAGCTGATCCCACAATGTGAGTTTCTCTGTGCAGCAATGGTGTGACTACAGGCTAAGATGGGATCAGCCCCCCAGGTCAGCTTTGTACAGGAACATCACCTCTCCATTGCGGGTCCCCTCCAAGAGCATCTGGCTGCCGGACATCATCCTGGAGAACAAGTGAGAGGAACAAACTTATTTATGTTTGGGTTATTCTGTATCATGGCTCAGTCAGAAATCTGTTCACTCAGTCACAAAGCATTGACCTCAAACATAGTAGAGCGAGAAACGTCTACATATGGCTGAAACCGACAAAAAAAGTATATATGTCTTTTTTATCTTTTGTTTAACCTTATACTTGATTTTATGAAATGTGATTTTGAGCATTAATCTATCACTTTAAAATTCATAATGATAGCTGGAATGGCTGCAGTGATGTAATTAAATCTCCCGTAAAGTGTTTTAGCTTGTAATAAAACTGCACATGTGACAGAAAGAGGATTTAGATGACTATTCCTATACAGATCATTTGAATACTTGCAAACACTGACAGGGGTCAGTGGCAGACAAGTCAATTATCAGCAAGTAGCTTTAACTGTATATATTCACATTTTCCACAGTAAGGATTATATTCAAATAAAGCAGGGCAGGTTTTTAACATTTGTAAAGGACAAAATCTGCATGAGAGGTTCCACTTTTTCCACATAGTGCACCAAAACTGATCCAACCTTAAAGCTGCTCACTGGCACTTTAAATAATATGTTCTTAACAAATTGAGTTTGCAGGTGCATGCTGAAAAGACCCTGTTTTTGAGAAGTAAAACTAATCAACTGCTCTGGATAGTGTCTTTATTTTTGTCTATGATAATCAGCTTAAAACAGTTTCTTTAAAACTCCAGATCATCAGCAACAATTTTGATCCCTTTTTTTCCCCAGTAGTTCTTAATGTGTGTAACTGCTGCTGCATGGTAGGTTTCAGACACAACTATTTACAGCATGCCAGTGAAGAAACAAACTTGTTCTTTCCATATATCAAAACAAAGATTCACACAGAGTGATAAATTTAATAGCTAAAAGACAGCAGGATTAGAGTAAGTTTGAATCGACGCAAAATGAGAAGTACATCACTGGAGCTTTTGAGACTAAAATTAATAAGAATTTGTTTGTGTATAAATATATATTGGTGTTTTAGTCTATCCCTGTTCTGACCTGTTTACAGTGTGGACGGACAGTTCGAAGTAGCGTATTACTGCAATGCTCTGGTGTCTCCTGATGGCTGCGTGTACTGGCTGCCTCCCGCCATCTACCGCAGCGCTTGTCCCATCACTGTCAACTACTTCCCCTTCGACTGGCAGAACTGCACCATGATCTTCCGGTGAGTAGGAATTTGTTGGGTTTTGATTTTAATATTAAAGGGTTTTTTGTTGAACACATGCCCTTCATACTGCTGTCATCTCATGCAGTCCTGTTCAGAACGGATGTTTTACTCATCAACCAAATATGGTTTTGGTGTAAACAGTTACATTTGTGAATAACAGACAGGAATATAGCATTGAATGTGTTGCAGTGTCGTATATATGTTACAATTTCTAACACTTAGAAAGTGTAGGTGTACTGATGTACTGAAAATATACCAGGTATCTTTTTACATTTTAAATCTTCAGATACTATAAAAGTTATTTGAAAAACTTACACAGGGTCTCACTTGAAGGACTCATTAGAGATATAATTTTTGAAGACAAAACAAAAACACTGACACGCTGAGTTAGAGGGATTTTCCTCCCATTTGAAACAACAGAATCTGAAGCAGGGACAGTGCTGCCTTTTTCAAGCCCTCCCTTTTTTTGTGCTGTCTTCCAAGAGTGGATAGATGGTTGTGTTTGTTGTGGTGACAGACCGTCTCCCTGTGTTCAGCTCTCAGACTTACAGTGCCAATGAGATCGAAATGGTTCTCAAACAGGAAGATAACCACACGCTGGAGTGGGTAGATATCGACCCGGAGGCTTTCACAGGTAGAAAGGATTTGTTGTTGTGTCACCATGGATACCTTTATAGCTTTCTAAAAATCTAAATTTAACAATCTGTGCTCATTTTGTTGCAAGAAAATGGAGAATGGGCCATTAAACACCGACCAGCTAAGAAAGTGATCAACAATCAGTACACTAAGGATGAGCTGGAGTACCAGGAAGTGGTCTTCTTCCTCATCATACAGAGGAAACCCCTCTTCTACATCATCAACATCATCGCTCCCTGTGTGCTCTTCTCCTCCCTCTGTCTCCTCGTCTTCTACCTACCTGCCAAAGGTCTTTATCCAACTGTATCTAGAAGCATTTTTGTACAAAATCCATCAGGTGAACTTTACCAAAGTCTGAGAGAATCAAAGAAAGGAAAAAACTAATTGATACATCGTTTTAAAAGAGAGCTAAGTTAGAGTTATTTTCTCCATTCTTCCATGTGTTTGAAGAGGCAGAGGTTGAGCTCCATAAGGTCTAAATAAGCCATGAAAGTCTGTTTTCATCTGCACAAATCCCTCACCACTCTCCTAAATCTTGGTCTGGCTTTTGCAGCTGGCGGTCAGAAGTGCACCATGTCTATAGCTACACTCCTGGGCCAGACTGTGTTTCTCTTTCTTATCGCTAAGAAGGTTCCAGAGACATCGAAGGCCGTACCTCTTATTGGAAAGTAAGATCATATAATTTCTTTATTTAAGATATAAACCCAGGGATTTATAGTTATTTCCTTAAAAAAACTGTTGATTAGGATTCATATCTGGACCTCTGACTGCAGGTATTTGATGTTTGTGATGTCAGTGACGACGATGGTGGTGATGAACTGTGTGATTGTCCTCAATGTCTCCTTGAGAACACCAAACACTCACATACTGACAGACAAAGTCCGAAAGGTGAGAAAGTTTCCTTAAGAATGAATGAAATGTGAATGTTGGTCAATTTGCTGATAGTTTTATCTCGTGTCTTCATCAGATCCTCCTGAACATCCTGCCTCAGCTGCTGAGGATGCAGATGAAACCCTGGACACCAAACAATGACCAAACTTCTCAAACCACTGGAAACGGTGACACTGTAGAAAAAAATGGCATGTTTCTGGTCCCATGCAGACGTCGCAGCTCCATGACTCTGATCACTAAGTCGGAGGAATACATGATGAAAACAGCTCGCACTGAGCTCATGTTCGCAAGACTCAAAGAAAGAAACGGGTTAATAAAAACTGTGCTGGAGAAGCTGCGTAAGTATTTCAATCAGTTCATTTATGTCAAAAGCAACTAGAAGCGGGTTTTCACCATGTTACCATGGAAGTGTCTGGTGTGTTTTACAAACAGATGACGGGTTAGAAGAGGGCACAGCCGAGCAGCTCAGTGCCAGCCTGGCATTAGTGTCTCCACAGCTGAGGCAGTGTGTGACCTCCTGCAAACACATCGCTGAGACTATGAGACATCAGAATGACTTCCAGAATGTAAGCAGCTGTTTTTCTTCTGCGTTTGAGATGTGAGTCACATTAATGACAAATGATATACCCGAGGTTACAAACCAAACCTGGAAGAAGAAAAAAACAACAGTCAGACACTTATTTGGCTCAGTTGAAGAAGTGGATAATGCATATACAAATAAAGAATAAATGAGATCCTCTTCATTTTGTCATCCCCACAGGAGAATGAGGAGTGGTTCCTGGTTGCCCGGGTGATTGACAGGGCCTGTTTCATCGTCATGGCATCTGTGTTTTTTATCGGCACCATCGGGATCTTCTTGATGGGTCACTTTAACCAACCTCCTCTCTCTCCATTCCCTGGGGACCCAAAGATGTATCTCCCTCTCGTGAACAATCTCACAAATCTAACCCATAATGGGACTGCAGCAGAGTTAGTCGGGTGAACAGGAGTAAAATCTTCAGGTTTCATTCTTTGAGGGGAAGCCTGACTCCAAAGATCAGAGATCTTCTACTGATGACTGTGGCACAGAGAAGGTGACAGCTGTGCTTTCTTGAGTGATCTTTGGACTATGACAGAAGTGCTTGTCCTGATAAAGGATTTGCTGCACGGTGTGAAAACCACATTTGTTATAAGAGGGCACATCTTTGAACCAGGCAGACTTGATTTCAAGGTTAAGAATATTTCACATCAACAGAAGAGAGATTTCTAAGGCTCTCTCTGTTAGCAGCTCACTTTTTGCTCCAAGTTCACTGTTGATTTTTTTATTTACCAATTTTATCTTTATCTATATTTATCCACTTTGTTGTGGTTACCATGATTGATGAAGCATCAGATAATCACAGTCGTTTTGAGATAAAGGTAATCTTGTGATTTCACACTTTCAAAAATGTCTTAATCCTCTTGTGTTCCATTAAAGCAGGGATCAATACATGAAGATGTACTGTATTATCATATGTTTTTATGGAAAACTTGCATACATGACATTAGGAAAGCTGAAAGGATGGCAGGTTTTGGAAAATATCCGAGCAAGTTTTATGTTGTTTTTTTGTTTTTGTTTTTTGATACAATAGCATTTTTAAAATTTTCTCTTTATTCTGTATCACTAGCAGTTTAATTGTTATAATTTTATTCACATGCTCACTCAGTCAATTGTTTTTTATTTTTTTCTTTCAGACTGAACACTGAGTTACCATGTCTAGAAAAAAGCAATAAAATTTGTATTGAAAAAAAGGGGCTCCTCTGTCAGACACTGTCTTAATAAACACAGAGGGAGCATAGACACCCTCTCAGACTCCTACCAAAACACACAGACCTGCTGCATGGACCCCCACCTCTACAAGCAGGATTTCAATTACATGGCTGAGCGCTGCCTTTCTGACCCAACAAAAGGCAGATCCGGCTGGTTGGGATGGAAACAGAGTCAAGGGCTGAGCAGGCACACACATACACACAAGAACACAGCCAAACATTGTAGTGTGAATCTTCCCTCAAACACACAGAGGTGTTACGAGTGTTTGCGTCTTACTCCTTCTTATCATGAAGACCTGAAGATGTTGGTGAGCTCCACACTTCCTCACAGACAGATTGTTGGAGTCTGAAGGTAGGGTTCCTGGAGGTTGTCCGCTGATGGTAAGACACACTAAATATCCTGTTTTTATGTCTTTATACTGCTGTTTAAATGTAAGATGGGATAAATGATTAAAAAACATGTTTGGGAACCTGCATCCACTAACGTATCTCTATCGTGGATCTGGACTGTGTTTGCAGTGAAGAGCAGGGTAGTTAACTGTATTAGTTAAGTGTGAGCTGAGTACAGAGAGCCAGGTTGGCTGTTGTGAAGAACTCACTCAGTTTTAAGAAGAAAATATTTGTTTTGTTGCCATGGACCTGTCTTAACCTGTTTAGGGAACACTGTGTGGTGGGACAAGGACTGATTTCTTGAAGAGACAGCTCCAAACCAAGCACTTTCACTTTATTAAGAAACAATATTGCGGGAACAGCTGTTACTAGCTTCAAATTAAGAATAATGTTCCTCTTTTCCCTCCTTTTGGTGCCAATTCTGGGGATTTTGTCTGGCCTAAAGGACGAGGAGATCATCTCAAAAGATTATAGGGCGATATTGAGATTTCTCTCTTCATAATCCAAGGGTGGAACTAGAGGGTGACAGAGAGGTGCCACTGCCCCAACCCCTACCTCAGTGGCCACCCAAAAATCCTAAACTCTTATTAGGTGTTTGTCTAACTTACTTTTATTAAAATAATTTATATTGGCTGCATGAGAAAAGTTGCTAGTTGCTTTCTTTGAACAAGAACAATGCAGAATTTCATTTGATCATACTTCTTGTTTAGATATTGCACACAAAAAATAATTGTTAAGTCCTTAAAGATGTATATGTTACAGTTGTGTTGCTTTCAAGGAGAAGAGAACAACAACACAGAAATATAACATCCTCTGATAATTTGGTGTCAATGGAGACAGTTTGGGGTTTGGCCACCCCAGTCAAAAAAATCTCTCCTTGTGTTGTTCTTACATGTACATGCAGTGTTTTTACTACTAGTTCCTAGTTACTACTACTCGCCTTTTATAGACAGGCAGTCTCATTTAGACTCAGATTCTCTGTCTCAAGACAAATTTGGATGAACAATACTGCAAGTAAATCTTTTCTGACTCTCTGATTTGTGATGTGATTTCTAAATTTTAAATATAATTCCAGTTTTGCATCATGTCAGCTGTGACCAATCAGCCTCTTCCCTTTGGTGGACTGGAGCGAGAAAAGCACATCCAGATGATTTTCAGAGCTTTTCAAAATCGCTGTGGGCCTTCATGTGACTGCCATACTCGCTTAGCTGGAACCAAACCACACCAGCATCCTCCTGACTGGGGGTCCGATGGGCAGATGTCAGCTCTGACACCTGGAAAGAAGATGGAGAATATCTTCTTAATTCAGCCTCCTGGAAAAGTGAACAGACCAGGAGTGGAGGAGCAGCAGCTAGGAGGTGCGGCTGGATTAAACTTAATGTCTGTGCTGGAAACAGTCAGTCAGTTACATATAACTGCCAGACCAGAGCTGCAAGGTAAGTGGAAAGGATTATTTTGTTGTTGTTTGTTCTTTTATTTTGTTAGAGTGCAGAGATTTCTATAGTTTAAAAAAATGAAAGCCTCATTATCGTAGGTCCACAGTGTGTTCCCAGAAGGATCTACAGCATCTCAACAGGAGCCAGCAGGTCCCCGTTATTTGTGGCTGTAGAAGGTACTGATGATCCCTGTCTACCCCCTTTTTTCCATCTGATTCTCATGGGATACTGTAGTGACAAAGTCCTCTGCGTATTCTCAGTCTCTCCTCATCTCTCTTTTGTTAGAGAGTTCTTGTATGTGCCTCCAGTGTTGTGGTCCTGCTCGAGCCTGTACCCTGCAGGGCTTTGATTGCCAGGGCCACCAGGTCTTTTATTTTGAAAGGCCCTTTAGGGTGGATGCCTGCTGCTTTGGCTGTTGCCTGATGGAAATGAGGGTCTATGCACCTCAAACACATCTCATTGGCTCTGTTTACCAGAGGTAAGATGAACTAAGTCTGTGCCCATTGTTATTCTTACACAGTACTGTAATGGAAGACCATGTTAGATTTGGTTATGGACTTTAATCTGGGTTGGTCTTGGGTTTAGTTAAAAAAAAAAAAAAAAACGCCTTTTCCCAAGTGACTAAAATCGTCATATTAAAAATTCACAGGACCTAAAACTGAACCCTGAGGAACACCACAACCAGTGTTACATTAAGATGAGTTATCTTGAAACTTTTGTAGGAGATTAGCATTAGTTAAATAGTTGCAAAAGTTTAGAAAATCAAGTTATGCCTCTGCCTCATTTGACTTTATCCAAACACAGATGCACTGAACAGACTTTTTATATGTTGTTCACAGAATTGATTCATAAAATCTCCCTTTGCTGTATTCAGTGTTTGGTCACGTGTTTTTTCAACAGAAGTGGTGCCAGCATCATGGAGCAGAATTCTAGTTTTAATTTTATGTGTAATTTTCATGACTTTATGTTTTTAGGTGAGTGAAAGCTTATAACCTGTGGACTCTCTACAACAAATACAGTATGAGTAATTTCAATGCTTTTCATGCACCAACAGAATGATCTTTTTTCATGTCAACCCAGCCTCTGTTAGTCTGTCTGTGGCAGCAAGAACCTCTACTGCCCCATCCAGCCAGGTGTAGTTTGGTAGAGTTCGAAGATCCAAAATAGCCGCCTGCACGGAGAGCCCCTGACAAAACTGCCCTGGGCTCAACATGGAGGAATGTGGCATCTTAGCTGATAGGAACATTGGCTCATAGTAGAAAACCAAAATACTCCCTTCTCTCTAAATTTGACTCCAGGGTTAGCTGGTGTGTCTTTGTGTTTCATATTTAGAGTTCTCCATGAAGCCCAATCATGGCTGTCCTAGCAGAAGTTTGGGTGGCCAGAGATGTACTTGGTATAAATATTCTCTCAGTTGTGCTAGAATAAAGCGTGCCCCAGTTTGAACTCCTCCAACACCAAACTAACAATGGTTTTGGTGCTGCAGAATCATGACAGCTGAAAATGTGATCAACCAAGCAGCAAGACTGTGCTGCGTGAGTGTGTAAAGAACTGGCCAGTTTATCTGATAGGTTGTTTATTGCACGATTATGTAAGGAACTACTATATTGAGCTGTTGTGTGTTGGCTGAAAAGGTGGAGCATGTTCACTCCTCTGCTGGAGGTGTGTGATTCAAATGGAGCATCCAGCCTCGGGATCCAGGGCTCCTGCTGTCCGAACCGCTGCTTCTCCAACCAGCAGTTCCAGGTGAGGATATACATGCATAATGAGAGTAAAGTAACAATAATAAAACCACTTCATTCACATGACTATTTAATCAGTATCTTCGGTTTATAATCACACTAGATTGTCTCCAACGTTGGTGAGAAAATAGGAACAATATGGAAGAAGTGGCTGGGCTTCGATGAGGAGCAGAACATGGACCATGAGTATTTTGGGTTGGAAGGTGAGAAAGCCTACAAGAGAACCCACAGAGAATCTGCAGGAATTTTGGTGAGAGAGAAAACCTGGTCCAAAAATAGAAACCAGCTGAGGGAAGACATCAAAGTAACTTCAATAATGTCTCAGCAGTACCATTAGTTGACAGCAACCACGTCATACCGGAAGGATGCAAAAATTCAAACTGAAGGTCCCCAATCTAGTACTGAGTGTATAAATGAATATACTTTCCATTAGTTGGATTTTTATGTATTTTTAATATTATTTATCGGTCTTGGGCAACATCCTAAAAATATGAGATGCTTTCGTTCTCATTTGCATGAGCTTAAACCAAAATAATCAAAATCCAAGCAAAAAGGGGCATGACATACTTAACTGTACACGCAATGAATAAAAAAATATGAGAAAGCTTACCTTGTTTAATTAAATTAGAAAAAAAAAAGTTTTCACAATATCCTGATTTATTGAGTTGCACCTGTACAGTAAAATTTGGGCTTTATTATAGTTTCTTTTTGTATTGTACTTCATTTCTATTAATTTATGGTACTGCACTAACTCTTGATGGACTGTCTAGACTCAGAGTGCTTACTTCCTTTTCATCAATTAGATTTGCAGACCTATCTCACAGGACATTTTGACTCTCAAAGTAATAAAACACAACCTTTCAAACACCAATTAAGGTTTCTTGCCAGCAATAATGTAGTTTCATTTGCAGTTCAAAATATCTGCTGAAAAAAACAGGTCTAAACTCTGAGCTTCATTTTCCCTAGGATCCACTGTCATTGTGTATTTTTTATTTCAGTACCAGACTGTTCCACCTAAATCACATTTAAAATGATTATTTTTACTCTTCCAGTGCCACTGACCATGGAATCACACACCAAACTGTTGATGCTGGCTGCTGCTTTCTTGTTGGTAAGCTTTGACCTCTCTAACCCTTTTTTAACCCACCTGTCTACAATGCTAACAGGCCTAAATCACTGACAAAATGAACTGTTTTCAATGTTTTCTCTACAGAACCACATGTTCTTTGAAATGAGCTGATCAATGAGAAGGATTGGTCATGAGTGAATGGATATCGTTCAAATACTAATGAAGCCAACCAACTGGGTCACGACCACCGACTGTGGCATTTAAGGAGTCAGTTTCAACCGATCTGTAATTTCTTGAACTAAAAACAAAACCAATGCTGATTTTTTTGGAAAACTGCAGTTCTACTTTTGGCCATGTGGGGCTACCTCCAAAACTGCCTCAATACCCATAGACCTTATGTAAAAATGTGAAACCCTTTAGCTTATTCATAAGTAAAGCCTGATGTTAAGGTACAAAGAAAAACATGGTTTCTTGCTGCCTGTATTTTTTTTTTATCTGAGCTGATTTGAGCCTCAGACTCTTTGACCACAGTAATGGATTCTTTTCAGATCAGTTATCCTCACTGTCCATTTAGCCTCCAGCCATTACCACATTTAGCTCGTCTGCTCTTGAAATAGTTTACCACATAATTGATCATCCATTAGCATAACTGCACAACTTCAATACTCTTCCTTAAACACCACTACTGACATTGAGACATATTTTGGATCCATCCACTTTTTTCTACAGTCTGGCTTTAATGTACATTCAATTCAAAAAAGACACAACTGGGTTTAGCAGCAGATGCATATTTGACATTTATTGCTATAATCCATCAGGTGTACATCCAGCAATGTTGCTTCTTTTCATACACCTGCACCCATCGCCACACCTTAAAATAGGGGTAGCATTACAGTTTTTCAAACTATGTATTCTCTCTCAATTTGGTTCCAAAAAAATGCTCCGAGGAATTGGTAAAAACTGTAACAGAGCCTGACCCTGAACCCAGTTTCATTTCTGAAAAATGGAAAAGGAGTGAAGGTCAGTGTTTCAGGACTTCTGTACAGCTTCATTGAAAACATTAAAAGAAAAGCCCATCTACTGGATGCTTCAAAGTTAGGAGATAAAGATACAACGAAGAGGAAAAACTGGTTGGGGTCAGGCTCTTGGCCAGGCACAGTGATTTAGGCAGCTTGGCAGTCCATTCTGAAGATGCCGATTCCAAAAAACCCTCTGCACAACACAGGATGATCTTCATCCTTTGGAATTCAAATTCCAGGTCAAAGATGGAGAATCACAGTTGATTCAGATGAGTGATCTTTGAAGTGGTCTGTATTTACAAATATATCATACACAATAATAGTAATCTTTCTAGTTGGAAATGTCCAGAGAAACTGTAGTTAAAATACAGCACTGTAATAAAATACCATCTACCTGCAACCCTGTTTGAGTCCCAATGAAACAGATAAACACAAACACGTTTCAACAGCAGAAAGTGAGATTTTTTTGTTTTTTGTTAAGCAATGAAAACTAGTTTTATAGCAGAGAGTTGAATTTTTGTCAAGTACTCTTTGTTAACAGCTAATGACCAGATGAGCAAACACCAGCCACGTGACCCCCTCTGGGCGGCCAGGTAACAGTATGTTACAAACTTGCATTAAAAATAAAATAAAATGAAAATTTGAGGCTTTGTCCATCTCTGGTTGATTAAAAGTAACGCATGTTTCTGTCTTCGGCTTGGTTCAGTGTTCTGTTGACAGGCTTCTTCAGTTTTTTTCCAATTTCACACAGAGGACGAATGGTCTTCTGATCCTGTCATCATGTTACACAGTGCCAGTCCACACAGAGGTATCCTTTCCTGGATACGTCAGACCCTGGCACATCACGTTTACACACACCTAAGCACCATGAGCAGAGACAAATAACATTAGTATCTGATGAAGGACCGAAGCAAAATTAATTTGCAAGCTAATGTAGCAACAGTTCTTACTTTCGCAAAGCTTCTCTGTGCAAGGGGCTAACGTCCGCCGCTAGCATTCACCAGACCATGGAAGTCTTCCCAGGCTCTGCGAACAAAGAAGGACGCAGTATTTCACAGTAAAATAAACTAATTTTTTCAGATACCTCAGCCTTTTCAATGGGGGAAACAAAACACCATAAAAACTTGTTAAACATGGGCACAGATTTGATTTTTCATTCAATGGGAAAGATTTTTATAACACAACTGTATTTCCCCCAAAAACATGGCTTTTTACACTTGAGGAAAAGGAACTTTCATTTCTATTTTACTTTTTGTTTTGATGACAAATAGGAAAAAAACATGACTATAACTTTGACTAGAAACTGTAATGAAAAAAGTTGTGTTTCAAAAAGGGATTTGCATTTTCAAACAACACTTCAACATGATAGTTAACCTTACAAATTTTCACAAGTGACATAATTCTAAATTTGTGTGATCATGCATATATTTCTATGAGAGAAAGATAGAGGAAGGGAAAAATAAACAAAACGAAGAGACATACATACTTAATGCTGTCTGTGTGTGTCTTGTACTCCATGATGGTGTTGGGGGGCAGGTTAAGGACTCTACGCAAGGTATCTCTGATGCGGGCAGTGGTCGCCTGGTCACTTGCTGTCTTATTCCATATAGAGATGATGTCCTCCTGGATAAGTCAAATAAAAAACAAGCATGTCTGAGAATAACAAAGACAGCAGTGCATGGCTGTGGTAAAAAAAAAATAAATAAATAAAAATAAAAATAAAAAGTGTATGTGGTATTACCTGAAAACGTACAGATACCACAGCCCCGCAGATCTCCTCCCCAACCATGAACTGCTCCCCAAGCATGGCCAGGATCAGGTTCTCCCAGCACCGAGATGCTAGGCCTTTCCTCAGACGTATGATCCACTTCCCACCCATCTTATTGGCATCATCCTGAAATAACAATTTTAGGGTTTCAGAGTAAGATTTTTTTGTTTTTTTTAAGAGGAGTAAACAGGTCCAATGACACAAGAGTACCCACCTCCCACATGGGTTTAATACCCTCTTTGAAAAGGTGGAAGTCACTATGGCCTGTAAGGTCGCCTGGCCGTATCATGTGGCTATAGAAACGCCAGAACTGTTCCACCTTAAAAAAAAAAAAGACAAGAAAAGTTTAAATAACAACAGCGACAGGATCAGACATGGACATAGATTATAGGTGTGTCTGGCTGAGGTGAGTGAGCAAGTACCCCTCCTTTTCTACTATACACCAGTACAAACATCATGTAGATCAACATACTGAGGCGAAGCTGCCAATTTGTTTAATATTCTGCTCATAGCTCTGAGTGCTGGCTGGTCTTCCTGGGGTGCGTCTTGAGTACCAGAAGGTGTAGTTGTATTGAAGAGGGTGCTCTCCTGCCCCTGGCACCACCATCTGCAGAAAACAAGACAATGACTAAGTCTTATAATTGAGTTTCACCCTTCAAACATGAGTCACTCTTCAATAAGCTTGCCTTCTTCTTGGATGTGTTCTGTTCCTTGTCCTCGTCTTCAATTTTTTCCTTCTCACTGTCTTTCGGTGAGCCTTGGTCCTGGTCATGGTCTCCACTGTCATCATCTTTCAGACTGGATTGTAAGAAAACAAGTAGTGAAACATCCATGTTATGCAGTGACACCAAATACACTTACATTGGACTTTTGACAGTTAGGTTAATCTTTGTGATGGCTGATATAACGCAATAATTACATACTTTTTAAAAGTAAAGGTGTAATAAGGATCTTAGTCAACTTCAAGAACTTTTTGGCGATTTTAGTTTTCTTTATCAGGTTTTCCTTACTATATAAGGGCGTAAATGGGTTAGAGGATGTATGTTTGAGCAAATTTCCACATGAAAACTTTAATGGCGATTAGATGAGTGGCTGTATTTCCTTATAGCTCACGCGAGGAAAACCTGGAAAATATCAACTATTTTACTATGTAAGAGGCTAATACAAAACCTTTTAATGATGCACATATGAAAACCTCCACGTCAACAACTTTAGCCGTAAAAATACCACAGGACACCCCGGGGTATCCGCCTCTACTTTAGGGCCATGGTTTTCCAGTTAAAGCCCAGATAGGACACACCTCCCTCGGCCTCTCGAAAACTAACACACCGAGGATTCTGGGCCTGTCAGCCTGTCCGCTAAGCTAAGCTACATCCTGCAACACAGCATTTTCTCGTAATGAAATACTATGCAGTCTGTGGTTCTACACCCTTTCGGTTCACATGCAAAGATATTTGTAGACCTTGCTCCCATGTGGGTTTATAATAGTACACAGAGCATGCAGGACCATGCAATAGAGCTGACACACCTCTCTTCTAACACGCAACAGTCTTCATTAATGCTAACGCCCCCCGTGTATATGCAGTCACGGCGAGAAGTCCACTCTCGGGTTGATAATCCACAGAAACTTTTAATTACTCACGCGTCAAATTTGTTGTTCATTATTTTCTAGGTAGGAGCCTTTCGGAGTCCAACCTCTGCCTCCTGAATTCCGCAGGAACGGCGGCGCGCACTCCACGTGTACGCGCACGCTGTGTTCTTAGTCATGTTGAATGAGCGTGCAGGAGCAGATTGGTGACACAGCTTTATTCACCTGACCTACTGTTTATTAGCCACACTTTGAGAAGAAGTACACACTTCAAGATTAAAAATACACAAAGGCAGAAACCACAGGTTGTGTTTAAACATTTTATTCAACATATCTGATCCTCATACATACTTAATGCAATACAGTACAGCTGTAAAGTTAATTATAGCTTAGTAAGAGTCTCTGTTAACACTGGCTCCAATGAATAACCAGAAACCCCGTGACTTCCCCCCATAGACATGAGTGCTAGTGGGCAGACACACACCACCAACACAAAAAGGACTGGCAGCTCCTTCATATGAACCGACCTCCTCTGATGTGCCGCATCCCTTGTTTCATCCCTTTATCTACCCGCTTGTTATCTGTTCGTGCGGCAAGATCAAACCGCAGCGCTGTTCAGGTCCAAATGGAGTTGTGGACCAAGCCGGGGGGACAAGAAGGGAGCTGTGAGGCGAGGATGGAGTCAGGAACTGATTGGACTACTTAGGTATGAGCTTGGTTTCAGAGTAACTGTTATAAGGGATGAGGAGCAGACAAATACTGCAAGCTAGGTTAAGAGCAGAGAGTCTGCAGGATGGTTGATGAGGGACAGGAGGACAGCTCTGGCATGGTATGGCACGGTATGGTGTTGTGTGGTTTGGTTGGCTCTGCCATCGGGGGACCAACCCCTCGCCCCTTGCCCCCTGTGCCTCTGTGAGGACCTTCATGAGAGGGCCCTTTGTTCCAGGCCGGCAGGCGCACCAGTGAGTGAATGAGCAAGAGCAGCAGCGGCCCTCTTCAATGGCGGCTGTTTGTTTACACCAGCCAGTCCCGTCATACTTCATTAGCAGCCCAGCCCACCGACAACCTCTGATGTCCTAATCGCTGATGAGTGTGTGGCTGCCCATCAGCCCTGAGCCTCAGCGGTTCAGGATAAAGGGATTTCAAGGATTCCTAACACACAGATTCCCACTAAATCTGCCCGTCTGTCTCCTTCACCTCTGACAGTGCGCATACAGTACACACACATACATGTGCGCATACATGGCTTCTGGGGTGCGGGTGGACAGGGGAACCGGTTCTTTCATCATCGGCCAAGAGGCACCGGGAGGTGAGCCGACGTCAGTGGAGCAGCAACAGTCCCAGAGAACTAGCTCTGCATCAGAGAGATGTGAGAGATCTGCCGCCCGGAGACACACAAGAGACAGACAGACAGAACCAAAAGATTACTCAGAGCTGCCATCTTCTGACCACAATCACAGACTTACAAATTAATTTGAAATATGTTCATGAAGGCTTTTTTTTGCCCTCATCTCACCAACAATCTTTGAAATATTGTCACACTTAGAGGCCCAAGGTTACCTGAAAACTTAGAAAAGTAGCTAATCCCCTTTACAGTTCCTAAACATCTCTTTCCCACAATCAATAAAACTAGAAAAAATACACATTTACATTTATGTGTCAGTCTAAAAGTCCTCGTAAGACTCAACATACTGCTAAGTTACTCCAATAAACTCACCTCCTGAATGGCTCTTCCCAGCATCTCCTGGCTTTTCACCACTTTCCTGATATAAAGACAGCAATAGTGAATACAAAACAAAGACGTTCAGAAACCTGAGGCTACTGCAAATCAAAGAACTGAAACAGAGGATAAGAGTCTACCTGTGTATCTTGCGAGCAAGGCTGAGGGTGAAGTCTGCTGAGCAGTCAGGCTGATAGGTGGACGGCACTATGGTGTAAGCTCCAGATGACAGGCAGCACGTCAGACTAACATCCTGGGTGTAGCAGTGAGGGACACAGCTGGCTACAGGGTCTTTGTCTCTGGGTAATGTCTGCTCAGGCTCAGCTTCATGGATCTGGATACAGAATGAAGAATCACAATGCACACTGTCTAAGACACCTCTTGTTGTAACAGCAGAGGTAATGTTTGAATATCCCTAACATGGGGGTTGTGTACATCTGATAACGCTCTGTATTATTTCTCAATCATAATATTTCTGATAGTTTTTTTAATTTATTGTATAATTAATCTGATACGATTAATTATGACTGAGAACATACACAGAGGTAAACAGCCCATACTTTCAACTAATGTGCAATTCCCCATCGTGTTCGACTGACCTTGTAAATGTGAAAGCCAATAGGGTGCAGACCAGTGTCAGGGCGGCTCTGGTGCAGAGTTATCCTGACATTAACCCCTGATGACTCTGTTGACTCAGCACATACAGTGAAGGGGAAGCACGGGTTCTGCCAGTAAGACGGGAAGTTCCTGCTTCCTCCAGCTGTGCTTCCCTCCACCCACGATCCCCGGAAGTAGCTGGTCTCCCACTCTCCATCGATAGATAAGGGCAGTGAAGATGCTGGGCTTTTCAGGGCACTGAGGAGGGGTACCAGCATTGATATGTCATAAATCATTTCATTTGGTGCACTACAAACTTTAAAATAACCAAACACTTTCTATGGTGAGATGCTGAAACAGGACAATCCATCTATGTGGAATAAAAAAGGAAAGGGTTAACAGCAAAAGTGATGTTGCAACAGTAAGAAGAGATAAAAAGTTTAATATAGTGATTACACTTTGAAGCTGTTCTTTAAAATGACCAGCAGGTGTCACTAAAGATTTATTGCCAAACACGTCCATTGGAAAACATATACTACCTGCTCCAGTTCACTGAGTTCAAATTATATTGCGTATTTTTAACAGCCTCTTTGAATGCCTGTTAGGGGCTCGTCTTGTCTTGTGTTTTCTGATTCTCATACTATTGCTCACCAGAGTGAAGTGGAAGAAGAAGCAAAGACCCTGATAAGAAAGCGGGCCTCAGCTCCGGGCTGGTAGGTGCTGGGGATCAGCAGGTAGTACCCTGGCTCCAGCTGCTCGTGCAGTACCACCTCTCTCTCGTAGGCATGGCAGTGAGTAGAAGCACAAGGAGGTTTGTTTAACAATCGGCTCAGATTAAAACGCTTCTTCTCCACCTGGAAACAATAAAAACATTTAATGACAAGATCAAAAAAAAATACATACACAAAAACATCTTGTCTACTTTGATTGATAGCACAAACCTTCCACATGTGCAGAGCGATAGCCTGGTAATGCTGGTGCTTTGTGTTCTCGCCATTCTCCAGTGGCGTTTGTGCGTATTTCTGTGTATGTCTCCATTTTCTATGCTGGAGCAGGGATACTATTACCTCTCCTCTCTCACACACTTTGAGCCAATACTTAGGGTTGCTGCTGTAGCTGCTACTGTTTCGGCTGCCACCTGTAGAGTGACCTTTCACCCACCGGCCAGCTATCTGATGGTTGTGGGTCAGCAGATCTCCTGTCAGAGAGGAGAGGATTAGAAAATGGAGCTCCAATGAAGTCACAGTCTAAGCTTTTGAGTATGTAAAGACAGCCTCCAGGACTTACCAGTATAGATACTTTTAAGGTGGCCCTCTTCACTGATGGGGTAGCCCATGGTGACATCATCAAACTGGGACATGAATTCAGTCTCATCCAACCAAAACTCGCCTTCAGCCACCCTGGACTGTAGCTCCGAAGCAGTGACACAGCTGATAGAACTCCAACCAGAACCACTGCAGAGAAATAGGAAAAAAAAGTGGGAGGGGCCTGAATCCTGGTGTCAGAATTTATCTGGGTGTGGACGTTGCTCTCAATCTGCACATTTAATCATAGTCCTGGTGGTAAAATCAATTACACTTAACAATTCATTTTCGATCATCCTTTTTAGGGATATTTCTTGGCTCTTTTGAAGAGTGAAAACTGTAGAAACAAGTGTCAGGGAGCAGAGGGAATAAGATCTTAAGACTCTTGTGTCTCTATCGCTATAAAGGTTGAACAATTTTGTCAGATGAGCCACCAGGGTGTCCTATTTTATCTTATGATGCATTTCAACAGCTCCATTTTAATTCGATTTCAGGCCTAGGCAATACCATGTTTTACCCAATACATGTTCTAAAAAGGACTTTGTACATATGCACACATTTAAAGTATAAACCTAAGAGCATGAAGAGTGACCCACATTCCTACCTTTCTATCCAAGCTCCTCCCCAGCAGCACCTTCCCCAGGGGTTTCTGATCCTGAGCAGCAGCACTTCACTCCCTGATAATGTCTTCACATCCAACCACTCCATGACAGTCATTGCATGGTACTGATCCAGCTCACTGGCACCTAAAACAGTCAAGTAGTCGTCATGTCATGTAGTGCCTGATCCTACGTACTTAAATCTGCTCATTATGACCTTATTTTCATCATTTTAACTTTCTTACCTCCTGGGCTGCTGTGAGTAGAGCAGCTGATCGCACACTCATCTTTCACTGAGTGCAGAAGGTTCAGGTCCAGCCTTCTCCTTCTGACCTGGTCGCTGTCCTCCACTGGTCTTTCTTCCTCCTCTGATCCCAAGTTTCCCAGACTCCAGTGCTCTGCTAAGCCCCCGGTCAAATCCACCAGAGCCTCAGACACCTGCCCTGCCCACAGTCGCTCATAGGAGCCATGAAGCCTCAAGAGGAAAAGGGGACAACAAAGGGTATTTCCAAATATCACTTGGAATATTTAATGCAATGTCATGTCTGTAAAACTTTCGGGAAGCATCTTAAAACTCCAGAAAAGCAAAGTTCATCTGATTAACTAAAGGGGAATTTTTTCATGCTGCTTACTTGGCATAGGCTTTCTCTAATAGGGCAACCCAGAAGGTAGAGGGTGAGTGACAGCGTGAGAAGCAGAGAGTGGAATTGATACAGGGCAACCGATCGTCAATGGTGACATCTGTCCAGTACCCCCGCTGCCAAAAATGAAAGTGGAAGGAGCCTCTGTACCTGCTGTCACCCCACTGAGGCTGGTCAGGGGGAAATACCTACAGAACACCACAGTGTAAGTTAGTTGAGTAGTATGGGATATACACTTTGTAACATGCTTGTGAGTTCTTAAGATTCTGTAGAAAGCTCGAGCTGTTACCTTATCCAGTAGATGCTTGTTTTTCAGTAAGAAGGTGCAGGCACAGAGAAACCAGCAGTCTCCTAATAAACCTTGTTTGGCATGGCCCAGGTGAATGATGTCCGGGAAGAGAGTTGGAGTCTGGCAGATCTCCTGGAGGTTAGAAAAAGACAGAGGGGACAATTAAAAGGGATATTCCGGCATGAATTTGATTTAGGGTCAAACACACTGTAACACAGAGTTAGACACCCCCTCGAGAGATGAATGTTGCCAAGCATTATTTGTGGCTATAGAGTGGCGTTTTGGTTGAGGTTTGTTTATGGCTCCTAAGACCGCTGTGTATCGCTATCTTGCGGTTGTTGGTAAAGTTGGTATAACTAGAGAAGCAAGCGGTTGGCAACATTCATCTGTGGGGGGGGGTATCTAACTTGGTATTACGGTGTGTTTGACCCTAAATTAATCTTACGATAGATAAACTGACTTCAGTATGATGTTGAAATCACTCTTGTTGTGGGTTTTGGAAACAGTGAAAAACAGAAGCTTTTCTGACACTAAAATAAATAAATCTTAAGATAAAGGATAATATGAGATTTATTTGTTAATTCACAGATCTGGGTACCCTGTTACACAATTTTGTATGTCACAAAATAGTTACGAGAGGAAAAAAAAATTTGGGGGGGGGGGGGGTACTGACCATGTTTTCACCTGTAATACAATACTCTTAAAATAAAATTCACCTGCTGATCAAGGAAATCTCTCTACAGTCTTGCAGGTGATGAAATTAAGTTGGCTCTGTGCCAAAAAGTCAGCAATCTTGACAGCACTGTAAAAATCTACAATCTCCAACCAAAACAAACACACCACATGGAAATCACCGTGGCATTTCCCAGTCACCTTTGGCACTGATTACCTGCGGGCGACGCCACGTGATGCCTCCCTGCAACCTGGCGATGGGTGTAGATCTGTCACAGAACAGGGAAGCGTCCTCAGGGGGGAAGTCCTGGTCCTCGAACAGAGTCTCCCCTTCACTCTCTGCTCTGTTCTCTTCTTTCATCACTCCTGCTGCTTATGTACCTTGAATGTACCTGCTTGGTCAGTCACCCTTGGCCGACTGTGACATCCTTGCAGCTTCCTTAAAATTTCACACAGCTGCAACACCTAAAATATGACAAAACTGTTACATAACAATCATTAGGGTTAATGGACTGGTGGTTTTGACTTTGAGTCACAGATGCCAAAGGACAGCTGCATATTGATGTACATCTATGTAGCTTTGTTATTACATTGTTTTCATTACACTTCATATGTTGTGTTTTTTCTAAATAACTGTGTAATGTGGTTATCAATTAAAGCAAGATTAATTATTTTAATTCTTCTCTTCTCGATGTTTAAATTGATGGTTTACCTCACATCACTATGGGAATCTAGATAATGTTGTATTATATTTTTGGGTGTAAAGATACATAGTGGTTACTCGGCTGAATAATCAAGAACATAAATGCACCACACCTTGAACAGCCACAATAACACGTTAGTACACGTAAAGTTTTATACAGTGCAGTGAGTAATGGTTGTTATAAATCTTCCTATGTATATATCTTACCCCTCTCTGTTTTCCAGCATCTCTGCCCTCGTTGTTCTCCGTGATAAAAACACACAAACATGCTAACCATTAGCTTCACTTAGCTTGTAATGCTCGAAAACAGCATCTCCGCGCCGCGACATCATATCATGATTTAGGATCAATCACAGTTATAGAGAAACCCTATAATTCCAGAAATTGTCAAGATTTTTGTCCTGACTTACAGTTACACATATCAAACATATCGCTGCTGCCATGGTAAACACAGGTGAAAGTCTCTTCCGTTCTGACATCCAGCAGCTCATTCAAAAAGTGAATCCTTCCTGTGCTGCTGAACACTCCCGCACCCTACTGTCGCTACACTGAACTACACAGACGACACCATCACTTGCAGAGTACTTTACCATGGCATGTTAATACACAAAAATATAATATAATATAATATAATATAATATAATATAATATAATATAATATAATATAATATAATATAATATAATATAATATAATATAATCATAAACTATATCACAGCATAAGCTCTTAAATGATCATGTTTCCGTTTTCTTTTGATTTATCATTAAGGTTTTTATGTAGAAGGAGGCTAGAAATAAAAAGTTAGAGCAGACTGCTTCAATGTTTATTGCTGTGCAAATAAAACCATAAAACACTGCGTCAGCTTGAGAGGAAGCTTCTTACTTGTAATGTATAGTCTCTTGTCTACTTTTGGTAAGGCTCTAATATCCACTAAAGGAATAATATTGAACTGGCTCAAAATTTTACATCAAAGCCAGTTGCTGAATAGACATACACCTCTACATTGGAAATTAATGCATAATTTAGCTCGAAAATGAAAATCAAGTTGAAGTCAGAGCTCGACTTTGATTTGAAATCAACTTCAAATATTGAACTTGGGTTTAGTTTAATCAAAAATACAAATGTGGTCAATATAATTTCCTGAACTGACTTGATCACAAGAAAGGTTGAATTATAGGTTAGATTTGAAAACCAGCTTGATGTTTGAACCCAACTTATGATAAGATGAGGTAAGATATTCCTTTAATAGTCCCACAGGGGGGAAATTCCAAATTACAGCGGCATAAATACAGATACACTTCAGCTGGATCGCAACCTTCAGAACTGTACAGACTTAAACTTTCTGTAAGATCATAAAAAAGCTAGACTTCAGAGACAAACTTTACATCACACTGGTGAAAATGAAATAAAGCTGATTCTAAAAACAGACATTTTCCAGTGCCAACTTCCTACACTGAGCGCACACTGAGTTCTTTTGGAAAGTTAAAAAAAAGGTTTAATGTTGAAATCCAATATATTGGACCTTAATCATCCACTGATAGACAAACTTTGGTTTGTTGCTATAAATGTAAATCATATGAACAGTCAAATTTGGGTTATCATTAACTACAAACATCAACTTTAAAGTAAATCACTAAAGACTAAATAGACTTTAGGCTCAAGGCGTGTTAATGAAGTGATTTTAACAGCTGTAACCCAGGACCACCAGCAGCACCAGTATTATTAAAGCACACTGCAAGTTCAGTCGTCATCAGTTTCTCCTCTGTAGTCAAACAGTTTACTGATGTGGACTGCCACAAGGGAGGAAATTATAAAGTTTGACTTTGCAGTGCAGTTTAATTAGTCTTTAAATGGAAAGGTAATGTCCCACCACAGACCAAAGAAGCCTGCCAGCCTGTGAAACACTTGATGTATTTGGGTCAAGCAGGAAATGAGACATTGAACGTAACGTTACCCACTGCAGTGGCACAAAACCCCCTCACTGTGGTAAGAATATTGGAATGGAGAGACGTGATGTAAAGACATATGAAACTCTTCTAAAAATAGAATTTGGTATGGGAATATGCAATTGGTTACCTTTATTTGAATTTATAAAATCAGCAGAGATGGAACAAAAAAACGAGGTATTTTTACTTCACTTGATAACTTTAAAATGTGCCACACTTTGCTTTCACTTTACTACATAAGAAGGTTCTGTCACACTCAAACTTTAAACACATCATTACTATTTTGTTGTAAGCTGAAAAGTTAAATAGATACACCCCACGTCATTCCCTACTCCCTCTTCCACTTTCTTACTCTATTCACAGTCCTATATTTTCTAAATAAAAAAAAGACAAACAAGCAAAAATACAAACTTAAAAACTTCATATAAGTTAGTTAATTAATACTTTCTGAAACTGCGTAGTTAAGATGGTCTTGCTGAGATCAGCAACCCTTGAGATACCTGAGAACACAATGCGAGGTATAATGTGTGGTAATGTGTTGACAGCATCCCCTAACCATTGTGACATCCTGCTGACCTGATTGCTTTATTCACACATTATGAGAGACAAGAAGAAAAATAAAGTGTACAATGTTTCATAGCACTAAATCATCTTGTGCTCTGGTTCACAATTGCACATTATTATTGCACCAAAAAATTGTAAACACTTCACTGAAATGAAAATTATCCAACACTAATATTGCAGGTAATAATAATAATAATGCATCAGGTTTCATTTATCAGAGACCCTCAAAGCGCTTTACATTGGATACATCATTCATTCGCTCACACAGTCACACTTTGGTGGTGGTAAACTACCTTAGTAGTCACAGCTGCCCTGGGGCAGACTGACGGAAACGTAGCTGCCATTTTGCGCCATTCACAATGATACAACAGTGGAGGACACACACTGGGAGCAAGGTGGGTTAAGTGTCTTGCCCAAGGACACAATGGACAGACTTGGGATAGGGGGGAATCGAACCGCCAACCTTCCAGTAATTGGACGACCTCCTGAGCTACTGCCGCCCAGTACAACCTGTGCAACCTGTTAGTAAGAGTAAGCAAGCATGAGTAATCCCACCAAAGTTTTTAAAGGTTTTCCTTTTCATAAATTCATTGAATTTATTTATAAGCAGAAAAAAACATGACTTTCTAGAGTCAATGGAGTGTTTGAAAGCCTTAGAAGAAATCCTGAGAAGGAGGTTGAAAAAGATTAGTTTAATCACAAATTGTGTCTCAGGGTCAACACACGGTCACACTGGCATGACCCTGAGCAGAAGAGAAAAGAACTGTCATTACTGCTATGAGTGTTATAATGTGCTTCCTTTATGACAATCAAAGAGTAAAAATGGTACTACAGGTCTGACTCATGGACAGTTATGAGCTGTCAATACGTAGGAGCTGTTTGAAAGGTTAGAATATATGGCCTTTGCCACATAATCAGTTCACTTTGAAAATGATTTTAGTATTTTAAATTATTTTTTTGTGAATATATATATATACGTATATATATATTTTTTTTGGATGGATATTTCAGAGGAAAATTTCAGACTATTACTTAAGAATAGGTTCAAATTATAATGTTGACTCATTTACATTAAATAAATGTTTCATATCATTAAACAGCATTTAACAAATTTAACAAAATCCAAACATGACCTGCCTATCCAGTTTGCAACATCGTTTTGAATGCATATGTTTTAAAATGGGAGTCAGCTTAAGTCAATATTAACAACCCCTGCCATTCAAAGTCCAACTAAAGTTGTGCTGAGTTAGGCTCTTTTAGTAACCAACTCCAGTAGAAAACTTGACAATACTAAGAAGAGACCTTCGTTTTAATTTATTTTTCAAAGTAGATACAATGCTTATACTAGCTTATGTTTCAAAATACTGTCTTTGATAACATAAGCAAAATAATTCAGATTCGTTAGGAGGGACGTAGCTCACCAGGTTTTTGGCCCTTTGAATGCACAATCTCTCTCCTAACACAAGGGCCTTGTAATTCTATAGTCTCTTTCGTCCCCACTTTGTTCCCGTCACCTTAACGGAGATAGTGAAAAAATGGCTAGCTTGCTGTTTATAAATTTTCTTGTTAGCCAACATTATGCAGCAACCAACACTGTGTTGATGCAGGTCAGCTAATCTAAAGCTATCTTGTTAAAATTGATTTACTTGAAAAACACTTCTCAGTTCACTTGTAAGATGCTAGGCAAAGATAAATTAGCAATATAATGTGCACAGTTGAAACTACTCCCACTCATGTTAAGGCTTATGTGTGTTTTGTCACTACACAGAAAATGATTAAGTAAAATTTCTTTGATCAAGACTTTATGAGCCGAACACGTTACAGGAAATCAGAGTGGAGGGGAGATCACACAGTGCGGCTTTGGTGAAACATTTCATTATGCAGTTTAAGGACATTTTAAAATATTGTGACCTACTTCATCGCTTACCATGCACTTCTTTCCTTTGCTGCACGGTTCTTAAGAACGAGAGAAGTGTTCCTCTGACCTAGAAAGAAAACCTCTGTACAACCTCAAAGCAACCTACTTGAAGAGGCTGACGACAAGTCAAAGCTTGGTGAGGTCTTCAGTGAAACTTAACCTTCTCTCAGTTAATTTTAGTTCATTTTATTGATTGAATTTACTCTTCATTTATGATCAAGTAGAGAGGAGAGAGCCCCACCCCTGGAACTTCCCATATATCACTGCCTCTGGGACCTCCTGATGTATGAAGGTCAGGTGATAGGACAATCAAATGAGTGACCCTGCTCTTGGAGTTTTTGAACTGATATAATCAGTTAAACATTAAAGCACACCCAAAAGTTATTAGCACTTTGATACAGTTCTGCGACTCACATGTGACATGCAGTTTCTTTACATTCCTTTTTTTCTATGGGAAAGTGAGTGGGGGTTTTTGTATTTGTGTAATACCTCTGTGGGCAGAGCTCATCTCAGGTGGAAGTTTCCTGCTTCTCAGAGGAATATATAAGGGCTGCTTTGAACAGCAGCTTGTCATCACAACCTCTCTCTCTCTCCACCTGAAGACAGACGGGTCAACAGCACAGCTCGGAGTCACTGCAGCCAACACAGAAGAAGACATGGTGTCAGTCAAAGCTTTGCTGATGGTGACTGCGCTCCTCACCCTTTGTCTGCTGACCACAAACACATCTGCAGGTATGTACATGGTTTTCTTTAATAAGTCTGCCTCAATCTGCTTCTTGTATTCTTAATTACTTTCTGTAAGTTTTGTAAATTCAATAACTATAGATGTCTATTTTTTAACAATGCCATTTTTTTTTAAGCTTACGCAGGTAAAGGATGTTGTCACAGTTACTCAAAAATCAAACCACCATTTCATCTAATCAGGGGGTACTCGGTCCAGTCTGAAATAGAGATATGTCCTATCAGTGCCATCATGTAAGTGTCAATAAAGCCACCTCCATCTGCCTTTAAAACAGAAAAACATGAGAGAGAGTAAGAAAGAAAGAAATGAAGTTTGTAATTGATTCTCTTTTGCTTCCGATCTATAGTTTCCACACAAAGAACGGCAGATATTGCTCCAATCCTGCTCAGAACTGGGTGATGGACTATGTTGAGCGTTTGAGGTAAATATGTTTAAGCAAACGCATTGCGCATAATAATTAACAGACAGTTTATGTGTTAAAAACAGAACTGATAGATTTTAAATTGGTTTCTTCTCATTGCAGGAATAAAGCACGACTTGTTCACAACAACTCACTGAAGAAGTAGGAGTTATTTTCTATTTGGAGGGCAACAGCGTCCCAGCAAAATCAGACTGTCTCATCTCCAACCTGCAACAAATGGTGTTATAGAATTTAACACCTGAAAAAAAAAAAAATCAGTTTTTATTTGTTTGTTGAATTAAACTGCTGTTCATCACAAGTATTTTTTTATGCCTTCAGCTCAGCTGTACAGTCAAAGTTGTGCATTATATTTTTATATTTTTGTCAAAAAAAGATGTATTTTTTGTATATGCTATTAAAAAATAAAGTTTTGTTTTTTAAATAACACATATGAATGTCTTTTATGTGACTCTGTAACATGCTGGTTAGGGTTATTGTTATCATGCAGGCAATAGCTGTCATAATAAAAACACATGTGGGCCTCACCTCCCCGCCTGCATAGCGCCTTTATCTTTACTTCCTTGTTTACCTTTACTCGTGAAAAACTCCAGCTCGGGAAGTTTTTGGACCCATGACGAAGTTTTGGCAAACAGTTTACCACTAAATAACAGAAGTCATCAGGTGGAACTAAGTCATGGGCAGTTTACCTGACACATGATGAAAAAATACAACCTGTGCACAGAGGCTGTAAAATGTAAGAGAGAGTGGATTCACTGGGAGGATAAGTTCTCTGTGACACTGAAACTATGCAGAAACGGGAAAAGTATAACGCGCACTAAGTACATTTGCAGGTGTTGCTTGTTTTAAGTTGTCTGTTGAATATGTATGGAAATGAAGATAAACAGCCTGAGGACTAAGTGAAGATAAAAACCTCTGACAAGCCTCAATCAGGGAACACTTCTTATCTACTTGATGCACTGTTTGTGCTCCATTCTTGCAGGAATAAATTTACTTTCATTATATGTGCTGGACTCTGGTGTCTGCCTCTTGTCATTTAACAAAGATTTTTCTATCAATGTGGCAGGACAGGCATTTCATAGTGACACAGATATCTGCTGCAGGGCTCTGTTTACATTGCTGCAGAGTGTAATAGGTCATAAAAATTATCAAAGAACTACAGTAGATTTTCTTCAGTTTACCTGAAATGATCATATAATATTGTACGAGGTGAGGCTGAGAAATTTTCTTTGACACAAACATTTTTACAATTTCACTAGAAAGTAAGGTCTGTAAGGTCCTTTGGATGTTGTTGAGGGGTCTTTAGTGATCTCTTGGGTGAGTCGTTGCTGCACTCTTTTGGTAGTTTTGGTTGGCTGTTCACCACTGTTTCATGTTTACACCATTTCTGGATGATGGCTCTCACTGTGGTCTGCTGGAGTCCCAAATCTTTACAAATGGCTTTGTAAACTTTTCCAGACTATTAGATCTCAATTACTTCCTTTCTCATTTGTTCCTGAATTTCTTCACATCTTGGCATGATGTCTAAATTTTGAGGATCTTTTGGTCTACTTCACTTCTTCTTTTTTCTTCTTCTTGTTTTTCTTTTGGCGATTGGCAAACCAGCATATAGGTGCATTACCGCCACCTACTGACATGGAGTGTGGTTCTGGGTTTAGGCTGTTGCCCTTAAATTCTGTTACTTAGATTAGTCTCTTTAAGAAATAAGAGGATCAATGTGTAGGCCTATGCCTGTTGTACTTTTGCTCTAAGAATGCTTTCTAGGGTAAAGCTTTTATTCTTCAGTTTGAGTGAATCCCTAAACCTCTCTCTTTCCTGTAAATCTAATCCATAATACAATATTGTACTGTTTCTGGTTTATTGCAGTGAGAATAGAGTCCTGTTGGGTGTTTGCCTATTATATAGAGTGTGCTGTTTAATCCTGTGTGTCCTATTCTGAGTCGTGTGATTATGCGTTCTTCTCTTCGAGTAGTGAATGTTTTCCTTCCATATTGACTCGTTGCTGAATATTATAAAGATGTTCTTCCTGTGTCACTGATATTCCAATGGTCCTGCCATGTAGATTGTGTATATTTGGTAATAGATGATTTGGCTTCACTTTTTCTGAGTGGAATTTGCATTTCTACCTGTGTTATTCTGAGTGTTTGTTTAGCCAGAATATCTACCTGCTCATTACCTTCCACGCCCACATGAGCAGGGACCCAAATAAACCATGGAGCTATTCCCTTAATTTGAATTCTATACATTAATAGAAAAAAATCGTTTATTATGTCCATTCTGAATACTGATCTGCCTGATTTTATGCTTGACAATCCTAAAATCTGTCAGATGCAATAAATGTGTTTTGTTTTTCTTTCTCTTCTATCCACTGTAATGCCAGTATTACTGCCAACAGTTTGGTGGTGTTTACCACCAGATGGTCTGATACCCTCCTCTTAATACATGTCATTCACCGGTATATATATACTGCTGCATCTGCAATCCCTGTATCTGGATCTTTGGATCCATCTGTAAAAATAAACACAGAATCCAAGTAATGTTAGTCAAAATAACTCTGAACTATGTGCCATACTGGAATCAGCTCTGACTTTCCCTGCAATTCTTGTTGTTGAGGTCTACCTTTGGCAAAAGGAATAACCAAGGAGGAATAGAAGAAATTGGGACTAAGGGGCTGTATTGTAATTCACTCAATCCTATGTTTTGAGCTTTCAGGTCACTAATCCAACCAAAACTCATGAATTTTTTTTTGTTGTGTTCCAAGCAGTTTGTTGAAATACTCTCAAGGCTAACAATAATGCCAGGAACATGCAGTGATGAGCCCATGGGGTGGGTCACCCCTGTAGTTTTATGTTTTTGTGAACAAAACATTTCTACATAAGCAAAACTTTTAGACACATGCACAAACATTTCTACCATTACAGAAATTCCTTAAGTTTAAAACATACAGTATATGCCTGTTTATTGACTTCTTACAAGTAAACCAATGCTGTGGCTTTAAACCTCTGAGTGAATTAAACTTGGCAAAGTTTCCTTTTACTGCCAATAAAGTGAGCTAATCATTTTTAAAACATAGTGATATTTATGTGTCAGGGGGCTGAATGGTAGATTTTTATTTGATGCTTTTCAAAGTTTGGTGTGAAGTTTTGGTCATTTTCAAAGGAGGGCCTCTATAGCAGGGGGATAAATACAATTCATGTCTGATTAATTCTAACAGGATACTGTAGTTTAAATAGTACACATGTAGACTCTAAGCTACTTTTCTCCTTGTATCCTATACTTGTGAGACACAATAAAGGTACTGCTCTTTATGTGTAATCGAGACACAAAGAAAGGCTTATTCTTACGTCAACATAATCAGTTTTAATCCTTTTAGTTTATGCCAATGGTTACTGATAAATTGTTTAAATATGAACAAAGTATCAGTATAATTATGATTGTGAAGTTTGTGTTCGGCCACGTTGAAAAAATATCAATTTCTAAAAAATGATGAACGATAAAACAAATATTTCATATCATCTCCACACACATTGTCCTCTTCATTAACAAACGTATAAAAATCCCTGGACACTAGATGGCAGTGTTCGCCTCAGAGATTCACTGTGAAAGAATGTTTCGGCAAAACTTGAAATTAGTTTTGCTGGTTCAGCGCTGATTAATGAGCATCATGTTTTCTCACGGTGTTTCATGTTCAAGGCTAGATCACAGAATGATGTGGATATTAAGTTTCAGCTAAACAATTTACCTCTACATTTTTATTTCTTTTTTTGCATGAAAATAGGAATCAGGGTTTGATATTAAGAACCTCAAATTGGGATTTTCATATTTAATAGTAAATAATCACTTTTATCAGAAATGTGCATCATGTATGATCTCTGCTCTGTGTCTTACAATGGAGTCAAAGCTGACAAACAAATGAGTGTTTTTTTCTTGTCACATGAATTCATCCTAAATGACAGAGTGGAGCCACGCTCGCAGCCATGATTACATCACCTCCACTGTTCTGCACCACTGTACAAAGTGCTTTTCTATGAATAATACAGAGAGACTGGGGACATGGACATGGGGCTTGGTTACTAAATGACTGAAGAAGTGCATAATGTGTAAAAAGAGAGACATGAGGCCTTGTTTAAAGGAAATCAGAGGGGTATTCAGAATCAGAACATCAAATTTCATGCATAGCTCCAGCCTGTAAATGATCACATGAGACAGTGAAGGATAGATTCTGTCTAAACTTTATTGAATTAATGACTGAATCAGCAAAAAAGATAAATAACTCTAAACTGTGATATGGATTACAGACACGGAGTTCATTTAACACATTTTTTTCTTTACACATATTTTACACACAAACACAATGAGAAATGGCAGCAGCAAGGCCGGACCCAGACTGAAAGCAGACAAGGATGTAGACTTCCCATGAGGGGGGAGTCTGTTTCAGTACAGAAAGAAAATAACATATTGCATCCTGAGATCAGCAGACAGGCCCTCTGTCATGGTGTACGTGCACAAACACACACACACACATACATAGAGAGGAAGAGTCTCTCACACTGTCTCTTATGAGGCTCACACACAGATAATGAGACGGTGTCAGAAAGGTGAATCTCTTTTCTGCATATGAAAACAACTTACTTCCTGGGACAAATACGGCGACACGAAGGTGATATTTTAGAAAATACTGTTAAGGCTATAGATCATCTTTCCACTGGTAATTTCATCCCTACATCTTTTTCCTTCCCCTCATCTGCCCTGATTTTGCTGCTCACGGATTCTTGCCAGCGTAGTTAACACAGAGTTAACCGATCTCGGTATATAATTAGACAAACAAAAAAGAGAGGGATGAAACATCTAAAGGAGAAGAGACTCCAAATGATTACACATTCACTCCGCTTCCTTCCCCCTTGCTGCACACATAACCACCAATTAGAGGAGAAAAGAGGAGGATGAGGACAAGCAAAGCAGCCAGAAGTCTATTTGTGTCTCTCTCTATTTCTCCCTCTCTTCCCCTGAAGACTCCCAGCACCAGGGAGGGAGGAAGAAAGGAGAAAATAGAAGTGAAAAACAAGAAGTACATAAATAAAGAAATCAGAGTGCTTCACATCCGGTCGGCTGATTGGCTGAGACAAGAGTCAGGCAGATCTGGGCCACAGTTGCACTCATTGTTCAGTGAGCTTTTCTACACAGTCCAACCCAGCGACAGCAATGAATGTTGATTGTGACCTTTGGTCTTTTTGGGTACAGTGGAAACAGACTGTCACTTTTTCTGCATGTGAGCGCCTTTGGATTTGCATGCTCCTACTTGCCCTTTTGTTCCTTTTTTTTTGGTTCATTTTTGACGTCGATGGCACGGGCGAGCCGCGGGGCACAGTCAACGGTCGATGGTTTTTATGTGATCCATACCAAACTCACCGACAGCGTTGAATGTTCGCCGAGGCTAGCAGGACAGCGGCTGTGACCAGGAGTTGAACTGATGGGGAAGGGGAGGCAAGGCGAAGGAGGAGGGAGGGGGACAGTGGAGGTCGGCACTCAGACCACTGGGGCATAATGACATAAGACAGTGGAAGAAAGGCTCCACTGTCCACAAGGAAAACATGACTGCGGTTACGCTTGACACCATCATATTGTGTGTTTAAACCGGGAACTTAAACTTAGAGGATCTGCTTTATTTCATTACCACCACCTCATTAATCAGAGGAAACTCGAGCCTTTCATGTTCAGGGCAGAATCCTCCACAACAGCATCTGAAACACAGATGAAGAGGAAGTAGTTAGCATTGATATTGTACAGTATTTCTGTCCTTAAAAAAGGGACAGAGCACCTAAAATAACAAAAAAAAAAAAACATTTCCTCCTTTTCCAGACATGCAGCTAAATTTATGTTCCTCTACACAGACTGTCAAATATCTCTCTTTGTGGTTTCTGCTGTTACATAAATCTAAAAACTCTGTTGTGGTGAAAGCAGCAGAAAAACAACATTAAAAGTATTTAACAGCAACTTGACTTGTAAGGACTTGATCTGAGCTCTTTCGACAGAGAGTTTACCTCCAATATCTTTGAGTAAAGGGAAAGTAATGGACAAATGTGGGCGCAAAACAAGCAACAGATATATGAAACAGGGTTAAAAATCGATTCAAGTTGTGTCGCGAGAATAAACAATATGAACGTTTCGAGTTGTCGGTTTAAATTCTCCCTGTTTTGATGAAGCGCAGAAGATGTTTCAGATGTTTCTTTAAGTCTTCCACACTTCTTACGAACATCCAGCCAACAGAACAATGCTGCAATGTCCCGCCGTGCAACCTAGCCTTTCAGACCCGAGCACATCGCAGGGCCACGGGCTGAGAGCTCCCATTGTCAGAATAGCTGGGGAACAACTGTGGACAGTGTCTCTACACCGCTGCACAGACAGAGAGGGCTGACGTCATGATGGCAGTCGCTGATCTACGGTCATTCATTGCCTTGTTTCATCGACTCAGGCTGCTGATGTCACTGAGCAGACCAGACCTGCATCCATTACCCCGCCGAGGGGAGGCCGACATCAGACTAGCATGATAACACGCCTGCGACAATAGATGAGTAATGCATCACGTTATTATTGAGGCTATAATTCAAAAGGGGTAGAAAGCAGACAATTTGGTCTTTGTCTGGCAAGTATGTGGAGCATTTGAATTATTGCTCTTGCATTCTTTCATGGCGTGCTTTATGAATATGCAAAAAAAAAGCATAAATTATCTTGTGTGGTCAAAGAGAAGAAGTCAGAAAATACAGTGAAATATTTACAGCCACTCGGTAAGTAACGTCAAACCGCCCGCATGATGGAGAACAGTTTTTTTTAAAGCTTTTCTGGTGCTTTTTTCCTGGTGTCTGAACCGCAGCATGTGAACCAGAAGTCTCTTTTCTCTCAGGGTGAAGCAGAACAGATAAGAGACTAAATTCATAAGCCGAATTACATCTTCCCCACTCCTTCACACACTCACACACTCACACACACCTCACCCCACAGTGAGACCTAAAATGAAAAATAGGCGCAGGGTCGACGGAGAGGAGCAAAAGAAGGTTAGGTTGGGGTGGGGAGATGGGGGAGATGGGGGAGTCTTTACCATGGCAACCTTAGTGTCAGCCAGCCATTTCTTCTTAATCCCCCCCTAGTTCAATGTCGCGCCCTCAGAGGGACCCCCGCTCTCTCCAGCTGAATATTTCTTTTGTGTTGAGAGACTCTGTATATATGTGCGTGCGTTTGTGTGAGTGCGTGTGGGTAAGGGAGGGATCATGGCAGGGGGAGGGGATAGGGTTAGAAGGGGGGAGATCATAGCTAACCCCAGCTTAAATGGGGGGCCAAGCTGCAGGCCACAGAGTCTCAGCATTACACTTGGGGTACAACCCAGAGATCAAATCTCTCTCTCACACACACACACACACGCATACAGTATATACACACACATTTAAACACTATATTGATGGAGCGAGATAATCTTCTGAAATAGCAGATAATTACATCGTATGGCAAACAGCCGGGGCCGTTTCTCCTCCCCTAGCCCATCAACGACAAACCCACACTTTTTTCCTCCTTCCTGCTATGAAACTCTCATGGTTTGCTCGCTCTACTTTCCTGACAAAAGCGGTTTTTGGAGTAGTGGGTGGGGAAAGGCGTCAGCTGCTAGACAAAATTAAAAGGCCTCTATTTGTTCCTGACAATAAACGTCCCCATCCTTCGTAGCCACTCCACAGCTGCAGCAGGATAGGCTTTCATTTTTTCCTCCTTTTTTTTTTATACTGCAGAGTGACGTCTCCTTCCATCTAACCGTAAGCCGATTTAGCATGCGGGAGGAAATATAGGAGGTTTATAGTCGACTTTCTGTGATGCTTCAGCTCCGAGAAAGAGGAGAAGGAGTGTGACACACCGAGAATAACCAGTGAAGGAGAAAGTTTGAGTGTTATGTGGAGATGTTTTAATGATGTTGTGGGGTATACCTGATGGGAATGATCTTCAGGGGGTCACATCAGACGGCACAAAGGGAAACCTGAAGACAGAAGACAAAAGCAGATCACAAAACAGTTAAAAAAACCACACTCGCGTTCGGATTTTACAACCTTACATACACTCTGTCTATCAGACTTTCACATGAAACTTCCTAATCAACCAGCGATTAATATCAGGCACATCCTCCGGAAATCCCCAAACCCTCTGCCCCTTACACCCACCAGCCTCGACCCCAAAGGCAGAGCGACAGAGGCGGTTGGAGGAGGAAGTGCCAGCGGTGTGTCTCTGGGGTGGTCTGATGTGGCCGTGGGCGAGGCTTTAATGTAGCTGCATGTCCACTCCAGTGTATACTGTACATTCAGACGTAATGACTAACAGACCTGCTGTCTGCCTGCCTGCAGGGGCCTCACACGCCACTCACATGCCTACACATGCATATGCTCCACTTTAATGGCAGCCTTCAGACTTTATTTGAAGTACGCTGTGGTGTTCATGAGAATAAGGAAAAAATGAATCTAGATTTTCATAAGGAAGGAAAAATATGACTTTGAGGACCCTCTGTGTAATATTTGACCCTCATGGGTTCATTTTTATAAAGTGGCCATTTAAATAAAAATATGGGTAATTATAGTTTGGGCTGCTTTTGCTAGTATATGGGTCTGCCAAACATCTGGCAGGGATATTATATGAGACATCGGCTACAGACATAAAAAAGGTTTATTGTCTAACCAAAGAGTCTAATTTAATTTGAAAGGCTCTGCAGCTTCTAATTGTAGACTCTCTGTTGAAATTATATAACAATGAAAGAAAACAGTTCATTTTTCTCCATTGAAAACCCAGAACAAACTGATTTAGAAGATGTAATAGAATAGTGAAAGCGCTTCATGCATGTCCAGTCTATTAGAGAGCAAAGGGCAGATTGTAACACAAGGTGCAGAGTCTGTTCAACAAGTGCGAAGACATAAAGCAAAAACAAAAGTGCAGAGGTAGAGCCTTGGGCCTGATTGGCAGGGTGGGGTCGTTAGGTGACCCCTGACCTTTCTAACCCCCAGGAATGTTGTCGTGCTGGTGCGTGTATTGTTCCAGCCTCCCTGAGGAGACCCAGCCGTGCATCAGATGAATGTGAGCGTTGAAGGTTCCTGAGGGCTTCTCTTTACGCCCCCACAACCCTCCACCTAAAAAAAATCTCTCCTTTCTTCCCTAATCCTTTTTTTCTGCTCCTCATCCTCAGACTTCAACAAACAAAAGGTATCAACAGGTCTGAGGGCTGGTTGTTTCTGGTCTGAAGTGCATACGCACGCAGAAAGTCCACTAGCGTGGGTGTCAGGGCTGGCTCTCCTCACCGGCCTAAATGACCAACAAAGATTCAGTAAAAGGCGTCTAAGAAAAACCACACTCCAGAAAAGCCCTCTCTGTCCTGTCGGTCATCAAATAAACTGAAGTTTTTATTGGTCCTCAGTACAGATCTGCGAGAGGAGAGTATCTTCAGGCAGTCTGAGAGTCTCTGGAGGAAGTCACCAGCAGCCGAAAGGAGACTGACAGATGAGAGGGCCAGACAGACAATTACTGGCCAGGTATGTCCTTTATACCCACCTAGGGCTGGTCAGAGGAAATGGAGGAATTTATGATGTCATAAAAAAGTGCCAGAAGAGAGGTGCCTGAGAACAGGTTGTCTCTGGAGCAGGAGCCATAAAAGACTCCTGCGGCTTCTGCTCCCTCCCCCTGGCTACCACCACAGAAGATAACACAAGACTAAGCGCCACTGGGTCAGAGGAGACAGACACACAAAACTACACAAGTGTGCGTGGCTTAAATCATCTGGAAAAAGGTTGGAGTGACACTGAATTAAATCCATGTGACTGGAAAATCCTTGATAAGACAGAACACTCTCTACCAGTAGTTTGTCTAATGGTTATGTTGTACGAGTGTGTGAATACATGATATTTTTCAATGATACCAACTCACTAAAATTCAATGTCATGATACATGCCGCCTTGCAAATTTTTTTATTTAATTTTTCCTTACGTTTTAGAGAACTTTATAGAATCTATAAAATGTGGTGCCTTCACTGATTTCTAACCCAGCAGATTTATGTATTAAACAGTTTGAGTTACAGCTAAATGTTTTACATACTGAAGAAAACATCTAAAATCAAGAACTTAAAAAAAAAAAAAAAAGAAAAAAGAAAAAATTGTTTTCACTTGTTATTTTAAGGGCTCAGTCTCCAAATTTTGTTGTTATTTTATAATTCTAAGCGGAATAATTCTTCTTTTTTTTTTTTTTACATCCACATAGGAAAGAATAATACTTAAGTTATTAGTTTTTTGAAAATGTGCAAAATTAAAATTTTGAAAAATGTGTATCATTATCTTAACAACAAAAACCACCACAGAAAAAAATTAAGTCTAAATCCAGAAGGCTTATTTAACAAGAGAGGCACCATCTGTCTGCTCAAGCAGGTGTAGGAAACAGAAAGCGTAAAATCATTTCATGTAAACACACCGGTCACCCTTTCTTCTGCGTACGCACACACAAACTCACATCTATACACACACACACACGACAGCGCCTCCCGTCCCACAACAAAAAGAAGAGACACACTGTCACAGACTCAGTGCTTGTTAAAAAAAGGAAGAGAAGAGGTTGTTATTTGCTCTACAACCCAACTGAGGAGGTTTCCCATTGTAAAAAGGAGTGGCTGCACAGCCCCGTTTCCTTTCATCCTTCTCCTTCAGGCATGCTGCCTTTGTCTCACACAGGACAGAGCAGCCAGCCTCCCAGCTACACTACACTGGTCAAATACCTGAGAACTACTGCTGGCCTGGTGGGAAAAACGACAAGAGGAGGAGGAGGAGGAAGAAGAGAGACGGAAAGAGCAGAGGGGGGGTAAGGTGTTGGTTTTGGACTAAAGGTACAGCTGGACTGACCAGCTAAAACTGAAGAGCTGATTGAATTAAACCTGTTATTAAACCTCACAAGAAGGAAGAAGGAAGTTGTAGAGAGCAGCAGAAATGTGAACACCTGGTACCAAACTTTCTTTGGAAAAAAAAAAGGTTGGTTTAAAGAAAAGATTGATGTAATATTAGAGTTTAGAAACCTGAAATCAACCTTCTGTCCGGACTTTTCTTGAAGCATAAGTCCTTTTACTTCCTCCTTATTGAAATGGCTTTAAAAAAAAACTGCTCATATGCAATTAGAATTAAAAAAATTCAAGGTTAAAAAAGGCCCATCTGACTTTTTTTCCTGCCTACAATTCTGCACTTTCATGCCAGCTCAGCAGAAAGAAGGCACTTTCTGTACACGAGGTACTGTATAGGGGTGAAGTGAGTTTAAGTCCACCCCAAACCTGACCGCAGCCGGCTGAATGTAAAGCTTTTAGGTTCCAGCCTCGGCCTCCAGACCTCGCTGTCACACTTCATAAAGCCAAGCTTAAGCAGCGGCCTTGTGCTTAAAGCCAGGGGGGGAGAGATAAGGCAAAATAAGGACAAATATAGAGGAAAATAAGAAGGCGGCCATTCAAGGAAGCAGTTGGAAAAAAAAAAGGCCTGGACAAAAGCTTTTTCCTTTTTCTCTTTTATTTTGCTGAAACTATCATTGCACATCTACACTGCGCTGAATAAGAAAACATACTTTTGAGACAAATTGCAAGAAATGTAAGAAAGTAAAAACAGCAGTGAGGAATTCTTAATCCTCTAGTCTTATTTCTACTTTCTGCTTAGCTGTTCGAGAGGGAAGCGAGGGGTTTATTTTCAAATAGTGCAAAGAATGCCTGTCATTTCCTGGCGTTCCCCACTTCCATATGAAAGCCCCCCTTTCCTTTAGGAACAATGGGAAAGATTCCAAAATTTCCATGGGGAGTTTCTTGCACGGCGATACAATAGAGAGCATGTTGGGACAGAATTGAGACAGGCTGTTTTCTCTCAGCTGGGACAAGATCAGGACTAATGCAATGTTTTTGTCTTACACCGTTTCTTTACGTTGAAATTAAAGTGGACTCACAACAGCTGGAACATCTCCTGAACAAGCTGAGACCGAGCGCTGATGGTGGACCTGGATCTTTGTCTGACAGCTTACCAGAATAACTGTTATTTCTACATCTTAATTGTTGAGAAGGTATGACAACTTCCTGATCAAAGGAGCGTACAAAGCATCTAACTGTTCGGATAAATGTCCGATGTTATTCTAGAAAGCAGAGATCCTTAATTTAAATGGTTTCAAAAGGTTTCCCTACCCTCTTTCATTTTTTTTTAAACTTCTAACTCCCCCTAACACAAAACACACACACACACACACATACACACGCCTACACCCAAGAGTTCCTTAATTAACCAAAAGACCGCCTTTCCTCCTGAAGTGAAAAGAGTTCAAGTGTCATGTGCTCCCTATAGCAGGCCAATACGTTCTTGAAAGCCACCTGGTTTGACCCGAGCAGACCTGAGCCTTTGGCTAGACAAGAGGTCGGAGGTCATCCACTCATTTAGATGGGCAGTATGCTGCTGTGCCTGGGGCAGCGTGCATTACCTCACGCTCTCCACTTACCCAACACACACTCACACACACAGAAGTTCAAACATGCACATATGGACACAGGTTCCTCCTGCTGCTGTGAACTCGTTCACCCTGAATCCATTCACCTGTAAAGCATGAACACATCGCACTAGTATGTGAAGTGCAGCTGCTTTGAGAGGAGCTGCATAGTTGTATAGATGTGCAATTTAAAAACAAGAAAAGATTAAAAGCTTCTTGTTTTGTCTCCAATGATAATGTATGAAACTTTACAAATGTTTAATCGATAAGAATTAAGCCAAAGAACATGTGGGGGCATTTTTGTTCCTCTTCGTTTCAACCTCGCCTGAGAGAATTAGTCGGGCCTCTGCTGGGAGTCATGTGACGGTGGGAGAAGTATGATGAGACTCCCTGCTGCTAACATTAACATCACATTTCCACTGACTAACAAAAGCTACAGGAACTCTATTTTCCAATTTGTAGTGTTCTCTGTTGAGAAAGACACAACAAGTCACTGTAACTGTGGATCCACGGATGTGCATCTGCGGTTGGAGAGCCTCTCCGCTGTGAAAGCAGGTTGCAGCTCAGTGTAATGGCAGGGTGCAGCTGATGAAACCCTCACATGTGATAATGAGCTGCACAGGAGTGATGATCATAGTTCCAGCAAGGAGATAAGATACGCCAGCATCCAAACTAACCCTGTGCCTAGAGGACAGACTCAGGGTGACAGTGGCCCGAACGTTCACTGTGTGTTCACTGTGTGAGAGTGAATAGAAAATGTAACAGCGCCCTACAGGAGACGAGGACTTGGAGAAATGTTGCTCTTTGCTGAGAGAGAGCAGAAGGTTGCTGGGGGGGGACTGAAGTGACAGAAGTGAGGCTATCAGAGCATCAAGACCTATCAGCACTGTTCATTCGCTATGCATCTTTGAGTCTATGCGTTTGAACATCTGAAAGCTTGAAAACATTTTATTTTATTATTCAAGAGCCATCACGTCCTTAACACACTCTGAACAGCCAACAGCCAGCAAAAAGTAGTGCAGTACAAGGCGTCTAGACCTCCTATATCCAAATGGTACAACAATTTATGTAGTCTCCCTCATTAACCTGAAGGTATATTAGTGCTTGGCTCTGCACGCTGCAGCTGAAGTCTCTTTAAAGAAAGCCTGTCTCAGCTGCATTTAACTACCTGCAGGTTCTGAACTGAGTGCCACATCAGGCCATCGTTGCCTCAAACTGAGCATGCACAGAAAATGATCAAGTGTAAGTATGTGGCTAGCGTGCATCCCCCTCAGACTGCCCATCCTAAAAATGGCAGTCTGGCTGATTTTGCCATGTGCTGGAGGCCCTAATTCCGGGAGGAAGTCAGATGCGCAAAGACTGTTTCCGAGAATTCAGGATGCGTAAAGCAATGCGTGCAACCTGCGTTCATAAATGCACATCCATGTCTACATATTAAGAACTAAACACATACATCCATTCATAGTGATTGTTGTACGTGAAACATTAAACATTTTAATGTTACCGGCTTGATTTGTTCATTTTCCGGTTGCATTACGCACTCATCATCCACACACACAGACGGATCTCATCATGAGTCACGGCGCGAGGAGAGACGGGTGGCGGCTCTAAATGGTCGCTGTCTCTTTTCTTTTTTTCTTTTTTTTTTCTTTACTCTTCAGGTGTCTTGCTTGGATTCTTCCAGGGCAGGAGAGCTGCTGTAATATCGATACAATGACAGATGGTCCGCACAAAGGCGGTGCGCATTGTTCAGCTGAAAAATAATAGCCACCATTTATCAAGTGTTTCAGAGCCGAAAGAAACAGGAGACTGTGTGCTGAGTGAAATGAATCAAAGTTATATTGTTTGGGAGGCTCCTCGCTGGATTCCTCTGGGCTGTACCGGCTGTTCAAACTTTCCAAACGACGGAACCAAACGTTTGTCTGTACACTGTGTACCATCGATGCGTCTCGCTAAACAGAATAAAAGTTGCTGTGTGCGTAAAAAGGTTGAACACGCCATTCGGGAATCACGTTTTTCCCTCGAGACACACGGATGGCCTTCTGAAAAGCGCGATGAAGGAGACGCTTTTTTGATCCACATGCGCTCATTTTTAGCAACGCATTACTGGTAGCCACACAGAGCGCCACAGTCTAACATTAAATCCACGTGCAAATTCACCAAAGACTGAAAAAAACTGCTTCAGTTAACTCATAATAATAAAGAAGTACATTTGTGTTCACTATTCAGCACCAGATTGCACAGATTTAACACTTTCCCCGATTGAAGCGCATATTTGATATTACTTTTAGGTATACTTACATCATTTTCTCCGCCCTCCTGCTTGTCCTACAGCAGCATTCACTCTCCCCTTGATTCCGGACTGATGCGATTTCTTCAAAGTGTGCCCCACTGCCTTATTTTCACTGTCATCACTTCCGTCCGAGTCCAACTCTCCACCGACTGTGCGTCTGCCTCTCTCTGATCCACACATTACGTCTGAGAGGCAGGAGGGAGGGCCTCCGGTTTACAGGGATCACCGGGAGTACCGGGATTGGCTCCGAAGAGATAGCTTGATAAAAACGCGCATCTGCCATTGGACGAGATGGCGAACGGGGAGGGGGCGCTGTCGTGTATTATTCAGGAGAAACCGGGTGGGGAGTGGAGGAAGAGGAGGATACTCAGGGTAAAGCAAGCGGCATATGCAGACAATACCCTGTGTTAGAGAAATTCAGATTTATTCATTAATGTCTTTATATGGACTAACAGTCAAGTTGGAGCACTTGTGTTAACGCAAGAGTGTCTGTGGTGGCTGGTGTTTGTAAGAATCCCAGTGTGCTTAATATAGACTCTGGGATCACTTTAATAACCTAAAATGGCAGTTTCCTATTGGAACAAAATGATATGATACAGGAAATACCTTCTAGTTTCCACCACTGCAGAAAAACAGTTCACATTTAAGGTTTTCTTGCTGGAGTTGTTCTATTTTTTAATCTCAAATTTGTTAAACTAAACATGATTAAGGCGAATAAAAAAGGAAAGGACAGCTATAAGATTTCAAACCTCAGAGAAGTCTGTGTATGTCACTGCACGTGTGTCTCTCCGTGGAGGAGAGTCCATGTCATCCAGTGTGAATGTGTTTTAGCTGTATGTAGGCTACGAGAAAGCTGGAACTGCAGAATTTTCCACACAGGAGTAAGGGAGGAAATGGTGCATGGATAATTCTCCCTTCAGATCCTCTGGTACTCGCTGAGAGTACTCGGCTGAATCAATACCGCTCAAAGCTTTCTCATGTTCCCTTTCTCACATCAGTGCTGCTGTTAGGAGGCCGCAAAGTCCATCGCAGTCCATTTTAGGTGCTATGTGGAGTTGATGCTGTAAAACCAAAACTCAAATATTCCTTCTGTTGTGAGCTAATTAAGACTAAATCACCCTTGACCTATAGGCCTCCTGATAAACACACAGTTTCACCTCGACAGTGCAGACTGCGAGTTGTTAACCTTCATACTGAGGCAGTGTGTGAGCAGACAGAGAAATCCTAATAACCACAGCAGGGGCTCTTCTCTGTCCGGTAGCCATGGTGATTGAACACATTTCTCCACACAGCAGAAAGGAGGTCCGTCTGTGCTGCACCACACAGGCCTTTATTAGGCCCAGACCCTCGGACTGTGAGGAAGGAAGCACCAAGTGGAGGATCACGCCCATTTCATTGTGACTCTACAATTTTACGACAGTCAAGTGGCCGTCGACCGCAAATAAGCTCTATTTTGGAAGACTCTCAGCTCTTGTCTCTGTTAAACCGATAAAACAGCACGCTTAAATCTCAACAAAGTAGCCGATCATCTGATTATTGAGCTGATTTGAAGGCTAATTTGCATAGCTGGTGGGAATGATGCTCTCAGAAGTATGGTGTACCTAAAGTTATTCAGTATTGAGTCTAATTTCAAACATCCAAATGAGAGCAACAGCCTTGGCTTGATTTCCTTTAAGCTTCTAATCTCTCTTTCCTCTTAATTTAGCTGCAGCTTCAATCACAGCTCTTTCACAAATCTAACCGTGTGGGAGTTTGTGTGTGACTGCTATCATGTGAAAACCTTATAATTCCATATTCGCTGTTTTCATTTTAATTGAAGCATGATGTGGTTCTCCACGGGTTTAAAGATTATGGTTCAAGTTTCTGATAAGGAGGTCTTTACGACAGATCTTGAAGTTATAACTTTTCGATAATTTACCACTTCTAAAAAGGCCTCAAAATGAACTACTTTTAGGCCAGGTTGTGAAAGAGATTATATTTGTTTTATGGACTTTTTCTGTAATTTAACACCACAGAGCCCTCATTTCTGAGCTTCTTTAATGCTAGACTTAAGCTGTTTTAGCGGAAAAGTCATGACCTCTACTTACTTGGCTTAAAATCTCTAGAGAGCGACACCCTGCATGGACTCGTTAGAAGATTAATAATTTAAACGGCATTGTTAGTGCGAGCAAAGGACCTACAAGAGTAAATAGAAATTTCCACAATAATCAAAAGTGGTTCTCATAAACTTACCCCCCATCTATAAATGAAGTTAGAAAGTATAAGACTATCATGTAAAAGAAATTACAGCAAAACTATTTCATTTTAAATAATGATCATAAGGAGTGAGAGTCTAACATGGTTTTGCTGCTAAAGCCTTAACTCGCTTATCCTGGTGTGATTCTGAGCGTGTGTTTAAAGCTCCTGTGAGCACCTTCCAGTTTTTGCAGGTTTTGGTGCTCCCTGTCATCAAAGTAGTCCTCACTTATTTTGTCCTCTACTAGCTTTAGTTGTGACTTCTGACAAAAGTCCCTTCTTACTGACTGTTGATGGTCAGTTGTATCATTAATTGTAAAAATATTGAAGTGGGGAAATAGAAAACAAGACTGTTTCTTCAGCTGTTCTGCTGACTCCTCACATCAGTTGAAAATTACAAATAAAAATCACTGTTCTTGTTGCTTATGAGCGTGTTTGATTTTGGATATAATGAAAAACAACAAGAAACTTTTAGTCTATCTAATTACAGCCAAAAAAATCCTTATAGGAGCTTTGATGTTGGCAAACTTTTTGATCCTGTTACCTACCGAATAAGTTCACAAAAAAATTTTCAACTATGTGCAACCTTAGACTCTGTATTTAAACAAATTATGGATGAATAATTAGAGTTTTACACCAAAGTCCCACAAGAATGAAATGAAAGGAATTTTTGAAAATTCTGAATGTGTGTTTTTTAAATTGTAAAGTAATGAAAGTAAGTAATAAAAGTCCTGTTGATCAAAGCTGCTGTTTCCACAATAAGTCTTAAGTTGTAGCTTCAGCCTATGTAACCAAGTCTGTGTGTGATCCACATAGGAGCCAGTCCTGGACTCAACACAAGTGGAAAGTGTCCGATGTGCTACTGTTGATTTCCATGACAACGTATTAAGCTGAGGCTTAAAATCATGGCTGTGCCATACTGTGCTTAGTAAGAGTGACATCTCCAACTGCTTCAGTAATGAGCTGTCTAACATGCTGCCATCCTCCACACATAGAGTACACACTACAGAGGCCATCCAAGTATAATCCAGTCAAAAATATTAACAGATACTTAGACATTTTCTGAAATGTGCTTGTTCACTTTCTTTTTAAGAATTAAAAGCTACAATGATCTCTACAGAGACTGGAAACAGCTGTCCAAACCAAATCCACCTCACATACCTCCAATGAGCATTGCGTAAGATGGATCTTGTCTACTTTAGTAACACCAAGAATAAAAACTTTAAAATGGTGGTCTCTTCTGAAAAGGGATACTCTCCTTAAATGAGAGGAGTTGGGAGGATTATTTTCTTTTTTCAAGAGTCTTAATTATACTTTCAAACAAGCCAACAATAACTTGATTGTAAACTAGCATATCGTCACAGCAAGGAGGACAGAAAAAGGCCCGTAAAGAACTCGCTAGTGCCAAGACTTTGTAGGAGTCTGTCTTGACGGTGAAATTATGTTTTATCAATGTTTAGTCCATTGTTACATCACCAAAGATGATGAAAAAGTGGAAGGCTATAACAAAACAACACAGACTAGGTGACAAGATACCGACCAATATTTAAGGAGCTGACCTCACCTGGCCATCAGTGTTTCTGTTCTTTTCCAGATAGCCCGAAAAATGTATGACAATAAACCTGTTTGCAAATTTTGTTGTATTAATGATGGTTTGGACTTTTCTATTTTCTTAAAATGGAAAGATGTTTTAAACACTTAAAAGTGTGTGTTCACAGAGCGGATGGTTCATACATGCAATGAAGTGTGAAAACAACACCGTTTCACAATAGTTTAATGAGGTTTAATTTTTTACTTTCTACAAGAAAAACAGTCAAAGCATTTGGCAATCTGAAAAGTTTTAGACATGGCTCTTCAATTCAGATAAATAACTTCAGCTTAAATGGCTTTCCATTAAGTTAAATTAATGTGCACAGAGCCTGCAGTTTCAGATTTCCATTAATCAAGTGTTGCAGAAAGAGAGAAAGCCAAGTTAGCGCTGCTGATCATCGAGTGAAGGAAGCCATAAAATCCAGACAATCATTAGATACACACAGACTTTGTTTATTTGATGGGTCAGAAAATCTTTGGGTGCTGTTTGGAGACTGTTGTGATATGATGCTGGATGCGAAGCCAAAGAGGGAGCATCTGATCTCACATTGTTAACACCATGGCAGGGTCTACGGCAACTCTGGATCAACCAGCTCTACCATCGTGGATGCCTCCTGTTGGTTTTCATTCTCGCTGGATGCCAGGAGCAAATTCTCCGTCTCAATTAATCACTGAGTTTCTAATGGAATGCTTCCCTTCAGGATGAGGCCCATCACAGAGGGGGCTGCAGTCAGTGCTGTCGGTGAAGCCGCTCTGATTGCCTGAATACACTCCCAGCTTTGGAGTCACTGCAGATGTCTGCTAATTGTGGTGATTATGGTGAACGGAGGGGGGTAGGAATATGTAATGAATTTCCCATTGCTTTCATGCCTCACATCCTTTGGTTATGTGCATCTGCTACACAAGCGGAGCATCCGCAGGGTTTGGAGACGGACAAAAGTGACATGGGGGATTGGGCACAGGCTTTTGGATGGGCAGCTATCTTAATGCCAAGTGCTGCCAGATTGGGTCCATTAATTTTTCTTAGTTTAGCACAATGCTGGTTTTAATTTCTCTCCTCTCATTCCTTGTTCCTCGCTCTTCTACCTTAACTATTTTATCTTTTCTTTACAAAATAATGAATGGCTGGATGACTTTGTAAACCTTTATTGACCCTTTGAGCTAACCAAAATAAGACAAATTTAACTATGTAAATTATGTAAGAGAGAAAAAGACAAAAAAGTCAGGAAGAAAGATATAAAGGAGCAAGGAGAAACAGTAAACTGTGGTATGGGAAGACAAAAAGGCATAAATAATTGTTAAGCATATGGGAAAACTGCTAATTTGCTCACTCTTTCAAATCTATGCCACTGGTTCACTGGTTCAGCTCAGCAGCTGAAGTGCGTGCCCCTATATCCAGAAGCTAATGACCCCTGACATTTGCTGCATGTCATCCCCCACTCACTTCTTCCACCGTTGAATAGATGTTATATAAGAAAAAAGAAGAGGTCAAAAACTAATTCTGAAATATTGTATCTCCATTATCTCTGTATGTGAAGCTTCAACTATAATACTTAGGACACGTTAGCTTAATTCACCACAGAGGATGAAAACAGCAGAAAACAGCTACAGCTAGTCTGCCACTGTTGAAAGGTGATTTATTATCTATGCTAGAAGTACCCCTTACATTAACTTATTAATAGTTGTGGTTATGTGTAATAAGGTCTTATATTTCAGAGTAAAAGGTAAGGCTGGCTGTCCTGTTGCCGGTGTCCTTTTTTAAAGCTATGCTAACCAAGTAGCTAACTGGCTGACTCCATATTGACAGTCTGAGCATAACGGTGATGTTCTCATTTTCCTATCAGCAGGGATGAAAATTATCAATCTTCACATGTTGAATTATTCATTGAAAGAGAAAAAAAACACTTGTGTTGTACAACATACATTAACTATACTTAATTGAAGAAGATTCAAGCACAGTGTGAACTGGTTTTATGGAGAATTACTCAATAGAAATATTCAAGCTGCCTTGTATTTGTACATAAAAAATATATATGACACAAATCGACAACAATGTCTAATCATGAGTCCATTACGCAGCCCTTAACCTGCCCCCCCAAAAAATAGTGTTTTTTTTTTTTTTTTTTTTGTGCTTCAACAGTGGTGCTTGTGCTAATTTAAAAGCCATATGTAAATTTCTTCTGCAGCTTAACAACCTATTAAATTGAGAGGATTATACAAGCAACTTGAATTTCTGCACATTCTTCTCTTTAGGGTTATCATGCCACTCTTGGACATGCTACTCTGGACACTGAACTGGAACAAATCATATTCATACATTTAGCATATTAATGAAGTTAAATATCAGACGCTCTCTCCCCTCCGATGCAAATGCAAACATGCCTGATTTATTGTGGATGCGCTTTTGCAAGGCATGAGTTAGCTGATTCCTTTAGGGCGAGTGCCCTTCCTGTCACACTGATCAAAGACTTTCTTTTGATATGAGCATAAACTGCTCCATGCCCCATCACCACCAATGTCTGTGCATGAGTGTGAGTTTGTGTGTGAGTGAGTGTGTTTATATAAAGTGAAGTGGGGGTGTTGTGTGCGTGTGCATATGCATCCCCCATCACCAGAGGCTGTATTATGCATTGTTGTTGGCATGGCCTACATGCTCAGCCAAGCATGGGCCAGTGTGGTACAGTACACACGTCTTCCCATCCACACTGCATCCCCCTTTGTGTCCGCAGGCCCGCTTCATTTACCTTTGCTCCTGAATTAATGCTAGTTAACTGTCACATTAACTCAGATCTGTTGGCCTGCTTGTCAAAAGCATAAACTAGCCTCAGTGTGTGATAGCAAGGGTTATTTTTGCTCTGATACACAGCACACACATGGAGCGAGCTGGACTCAATATACGTATGTGGGTTACCTAAAGCTGCAACCATCCATATATAATATCTGTTGGAACAAACCGCACTGTTGCGTAAGATTTTAAAGCTATATGCTGCTTTATGTGTCGCTCAGCAAAACTGTAAAGAATGCAGGAAAATGCTAAACTTCCCCACAGAGCAGTGCAGTAGTAACTATAGTGCAGGTGTTTCATTCAGTGCTTCAATAGAGGCCAAACTGTGGGCGTGGACATTCGATTGAATGAGTGTATGGCCTTGTATCTGTGTATCTCTTCACATGTACATGTGTGTGAAGCGTATATTTGCTTGCCAGAAGCGGGTGTGTTAAATTCTCTTAGCATGTGTGACGAATCGAGTGGCTGGGAAAAGAGCAGCGCATTGCGTGGCCTCTCTCGGCCTCTTGCAAACTGAATTCTAAAGAGGCGATCGATCTGTCAGGGTCTCGGTTCATATTTTTGCTCTGCCCCCAACAAACTATCTTATCTGTTTATCTTTGTTGAATCCCTCTCTGTATCTCTAAATGTGTCTGTCTTTGTGTCCTCTTCTTTATTTATTGCATATTCTGTATGGGGATGATGCAGAAGATGCAGTGAGCGTGTGAGTTAGATAAAAAACTGAGAGCATCCCCCACTCATACGTCTTTCATCCTAATCCGTAGTCTCTGTCCAAGAAAGGGCCTCCTTTTCACTTGCCTGCCCTAAAGCCTCTTATATGTGACCCCTCTGTGTCTCTCTCAAGGCTCTCTCCCACGGCCAGAAAATACACGCACCCACATCTGTGCATTTTATTGATAGCAACACAGCACGAAAAGAAAGAGCCCCATGTGTTTGTGTGGAGACAACATAATATTTCAGATTTGAAAAACAAGCAGGGGTCAGAATGCATTCACTCCAAACACCACCGCTACGAGGCCAGACAGAGCCACGATTTGTCGAACTGACAGCTCCCCTTACTATATGTTTCCCCTGAAGGTGAGGGCGAATTTACCGCCAGGCTGACTAACACAGCTGCTGGGAGAGCGTGTCTCTTGTTAAAAGAACTGACCTCAATAAAGATGGACGTTTGGCAGCCCGTTATGTAACCAACTGAGGATGATCCTGAGGCTGTGTGGCTCTCTTTGTGCGCATGTTGCCTTTTTTTGAGCAAGTTCTTTCATGTGTGCATCTGCTCGCATGTTTGTGTGTCTTGGGGAGGTATACTTAGGAAAATTAACGTGCATACTAGGTCGCCTGTTTGGGGATTTGACCAAAATTGCTGGTCTGAATCTCTTGGTTTACTTTATTCTGAGCAAAGTTGAATGGATACAAAATATCAAAATATACTAAAAAAGGCTTAAACGTTTAAATGTTCATGAAACGATAGAAGAGTGAATGCATGAACAAAGAATGCGTAACAAATGTAAGTTTAGCAGACACTTAAACATAGATAAAATATATTTTTAATAAACAATATTCATGAGATGATGGTGTTACACATGAGTGAGCAAAGCTGTTGTTCCGATTAACTATTCTCACTATGCTTTTTTTTTTTAAGTTTTCCACAGGTTGGTAATATATCCAAATTTATTAAGATCCATGCCAAACAATCATACGACAAAACTTTAACCACTCTTTATTAAATGGCCTCATTTGTTCTGCATATTAACACAGGAGTCAGTAAGACTGATAGACTAAAATGATCTCAATTAAACATGTGAACACACTTAGTCTGTGGCGAGGCAGCCAAATTAATTCATGATACAGTTCTGCAGACAAAATGATGAAGTTATGTGCTACTATCTTTCATATTGAAGTAAAAATGTTTTCATGATGGAAAATTCTTGATACACTGATGGTTTACTGGTTAGTTTACTGTGATAGTATGAGATTTTAAATATACACCATGCAATTTTTTTTTACTTTGGCTTCTGTCTCTCCTGTGGCCATAGCTCAGCCCCCCAGTAAGGAGCGAACACTGTTTATTTTTTTCTTTTATTTTTTTGCTGCAGCTAAAAGAAAAATGAGTCAGGACAGGGTTGGCAAATGTCACAGAGCACTGACGAAATATGTAGCGATGTGTATTCATGTGTTGTGTGTGTACATTCTTCCAGCCCACCAGGATCTGCATAGATCAAGATTGATTTCGTGTATAGAAACAAATTTTAAACTGACATTTTCAACACACATACCACCTCCAAAAGATAAGTAGTTCAAATTAAATCTGAGACAATAAAATGGTATCAAACACAATTTGGGTTCATCTTCCAGCTATTAAATCCTAAACCCTAAAGGAGCCTGTCTTAATGATTTTAGTTACAGATTTACTGTATTCATACAGCAGCAGTTTTCCTCTGCCATCATACTCTCTGCAGGAAGCTCTGAAACTGTCATACTGCTGAGCTGCAGGTTGTAACTTGCACAAATTTGGGAAATCATCAGAGTTCTTAATGTCACCACATTAGGATTAATCAGTAAGTGAAAAAGACATTAACAGTTAAAACACAGTTTGATCATTTTTAACATTATTGTGGCATAACTCATCAGTCATGAGCTCTGACAAATGCAAGTATGGCACAAAGTACTGTATGTGCATGCACACAAATGAGTTACATTTCCTTCTGACAAGGCGAATAGCCAATCAAGACTCAGTGCGGCACCAGGGGTGTCCAATCAGATTTCAAGGGGAGCTAGTGCCATCCCTGGCTGCTCTTCTCAACATGTCCCTGTCATAAGCCATAATGTCCAGCAGCAGCCAGTCATCAACATTGAATCAAGCTAGTTTACCGCTATCAATATCAGCTGAAGTGTTAAAAGGCCAATACTACTTTGTTGCAGCATCGTAGTCAAGCCACTGAGCTGGTCTCCAAGGCCCTGAGTGGAATCTGAGTGAATACAGAAGAATTTGGGATGAGTTCAGTCCTAGTTAAGTCCCCTTAACTGGGACTTTGGAGATTTTAAACTATTAATGAAGTTTCAGCGCTGTGTTGTGTGTAAATGTGCACCGCTTGATGGGGGCACAGACTCATTGGTTCTGATACACTGCCAATCACTGCAGGTGTCAAATAAAATTTTCTTCTCTTTTTCTCCATCATGTTGTAATGTTTTTGTTTGCATTCACTCTTAAATCACTGGAAGATAAATAAATAGTTCATGACAAATTTTCAAGTTTCTGGGAGGAGCCACTGCAGATAGATAGATGCACATGCAGGTGAACACAACATGCCAGCTATTGCTCCAAACTGGATCAGGACCTTATATGAAAACAAAGCAAAACTGTAAAACAGTCTTCATAAATCAGAGTCCTCCACTTATGTTTGGGTTTAAATGGAGTCCATGCTCAAGTCTGAGTTCAGAAAATCAGGGACTCAAATCAAACCTTAGTCTAAGTGTCTGGACTTGGGAACTCCAACACTGCTTTAAAGCTGTCATCAGCTCTTGTCCATTAAGTGCTATCAGAGCTACCAAATATTCTGATATGCCTCTGGATATACATTGTCAATTAATACTTTAAATCTACATATATCGTGAAAAAACGAAAGTGAAACAAACCAGCACATCACTTACCAGCACTTGAGTTGTGCAATCTGAGTGTGGTGACAACGAAAAATAAACTTTAAGATAATTTTCTTACAGTCTGTTAGTTACCTTCTCTGAACTGAGGCAGATAAATGAGATTCATGCTTCATGAAGAAAACAGTTCTTCCACATGCTCTTTAGCTCAGCTAGATGGTGATGTTTTTACTCACACATTGATACATACACAGAAATGCTAATACAGACACAGAGACCACTCTTCCCATAGAGTTACTGTAAGTCTTCAGAAGTGGTCGTACAGCAAACATATCACACTGAACTCTGCACTAAGAACACAGAGGCTCTCTGTCTGCAGCGCATTGAAAGATTTGACGCTGGCCTGCACTCTGCCTGCTGTGACCCCACCCCTGGTAAATACAGGGTTGGAGGTTTCCTCTGAGGATAAAAATACACTTGGTCCTCAGCAGAGAGGAAGAAAAAACAGAATTTTTCTCTCCTCTGTGCCTATTGTGCCCTGAATCGAAACTCTTTCATACTATTTCATGTTGTTGGGTTTTGTTGTTTGTTTAACAATTTTAAAAGTTTCATGAGATACTTAAAAGTCTAATTTTCAGAGTGGTTTGCATTAATTGTGATGAGTGTCTTATGTGAAACATCTATTCAGAAGAAGGAAATTCATTTCTATGGCACTGTGGAGATCTTTGCTTTCATTCTTCCTCAATTCCTCCCCTTACTTTTGTCTTTTGTCCCTCCTCAGCTCCCTTACTGCACTACTTGTTACGTCATCATTATGCTGTGCAAAAGTTCAGTCAAGCTGGCAGAGGCCTACAGCAGAAGCAGGTACGGTAGCAGATAAACTAACTTGATACAGGAAGTTTAATAAGACTCTGCACCTTCAGTTGTGCTGAGGTGGATCTCAAGAGTGCATAAAGAACTTCCTGATTGGAACAACGTGTTTTCTGCTGCCTGAAGTGGCTGGAAAAAGAAACTCTGGGTGACTTCCTTGTTAGAGCTGAACTACGTTGAATGTTATGGCGCCTAAAAACTCATATCGGTGAGTAATTGCCTGGAGGTCTTCATTGTTTTAATGTCAAAAATGAGTTTAAAGGTCAGTTTGTTAATGTTGAAATGTTCCAAAGAGGGTTAATCTACTATGGGGTTATTTTGGTGGCTTAATACAAACAATTCTCCTTTTTCTAACATGTAGACAAAGTTCAAGAGATCCCTCATACTGTGAGTGCATATTTCAGTGACATAATTTCTGTCTGTTGTTGGTTTTCTCTTTACAGACATAACAGGGCTCATGAAGATCTTCACATTTCTCTTCTGTATCTGAAGTGTGTGACGAAATGAAGAATATGCTGGAAAATCAAATGCGATCTATCTGCACCTGTCACAAACCTGACGTAGACTAGCAAGTAGAACTGTGATAATGAGTCACGAGGGAGAAAAGGAGAATCCAGGGACAGGACTGAGAGACGTCCTTGACATACTGGTTAAAGCACCTTCAGAGCGTCTGCTGAGCCTGACATTCCAGCTGGGTGAGTCTCCTGAAGATAGAATCATACACGCCTTATGTCTGATCATTCTCCAAAGAGAGGCACAGGCCCTGGAAAACCTCCAGGCTCTAAAGGAAAACCACCTCGCTAGCCATCTGGCGGAAAAATGGCGGCTGAGTGGAGGCAAATTAGAAGAATTCAGTGTCCATTGTGGTCATATGGGAGAATCTTCAGCAGCGTTGGCTCGTATTTTTAAAGTTTTGTCACAACAAAAGTTGTGTGATCATCAACTGAGAAATCTGGCTTATAAGAGGGCAGTTTCAAGTGATGACCAACAAACCAGCAACGGTGGGGATCTGGAGTATTTTCAGCTCAGGGAGGAAGCTAAAGAGGTTTGTGGGCCGGAGTTTGCAGAGTGGATGTGCTCCAGCGTGGATTCCAGGTCGGGGTCTTACAGTGATCCTCTTAAAAGTCAAAGTGAAGGAAGCACAGCTTTAAAAGTGAGTTTGACTCCAGATCAGTCAGTAAGGAGGCAAAATCTGCCCAGCCCACTGCAGGCTAGTTGTTCAATGCCCTCATACCCCACTCATTTAGAGATCAGTATGCCTGCAACGGTCCCATTTCAAGATGACAAAAGGACTTTAGAAACATCACAGCAATCAAAAATTAGCACCCCATCCCTGCTTGCTGGTAAATCTGTAAGTGTTCCTCAGATTCCCGAGGGGCTTGTATCTGTTAATCCTTCTTTATTTGGAGGAAAGGAAAAGTCAATGAGGTGTGAAACGCCTACAGAGAGCAGGAAGTTGGACAGTCTTATCCAACCCACTCAAAACCAAACCATCAAACCAACCACAGAACCCAAACCTGCTGCAACAAACATTTTCCTCCCCAGCATGCCGACCGTGAATGAAATGAAAAGAAGTGATAGTGTAGATGAGGAGGACGAAGAAACATTTTATGCATTTGTTATCTTGCATGCACCAGAGGACTTAGAAATGGCCGAGAGCATAAGGGAAAAACTGGAACAAGTCACTGGTTGTGATGGAGCAATTTTCTCTGACGAGTTTGCCATCCCTGGAAGGAGCACTCTGCGCTGTGTGGAGGATGCTATCAACAACTCAGCCTTTACCCTTTTGCTGCTCACTCGCAACTTTAACACTCCTATGCAGGAGGTTGAGGCAGACTCAGCCCTGATTAACTCCATCAACAGGAAACACAAATACAACACAGTAATCCCTCTTCTGCCAAGTGAGAACCGCATGCCGAGAGAGGACATCCCTTTAGTTCTTCGGACAAAAAATTTCCTAGAGGAGAATAAAAACTTTGAGAGAAAAGTATCAAGGGCGATGACCCCAACAGTGATTAAAAAACAGAGGAAGATATGGACAGAGGAGCAAACACTGAAGATGCAGAAGAAGAGACAGGAGAGGCTAAAGCAAACAAATATGCACCAAAAACAGCTGCTCAAAGAAAGTAAAGTAACAGAGATGCTGGAAAAGGAGAACCTTAACCTGCTACTGGCACAAAAACTTCTTACTGGCCCCGGACTGCATCTGGAGCAGGATGGAGGTGACGTTAGGGCTGTGTGGCCACAACAGTCAAATATTCATATTGAAAATGCAAACTACGTTATGATTGGGAATGACTCTCGAATGACTGTGGGTATGCCTATAGGTGCGGACCAGGATGATTCCATTTACAGGGGAGAGGAAGAGGAGGAGGAGGAATAAGTATTGGCAATTGTCTTGTAGAAAATTAAGGACAATTGTATTTTATTAACACTAACATGTAGATGGTGTCATTTTGTTCAAACCAAAACAAAACTTGATGAGGCAGTCAAAAAAGGCCATATTAGCGACATTTTAATGATTTGAAGTCATTTGAGAGTCGACCAAGCAGAACTTAGACCTATCACATATGAATATTCAGCATAGGACTGCCACCTATTGACCAAGTCGTGAAACACACTTACTTCTCAAATCATTTGTAGTAGCTTATTTTCAACAATAGGGGGCACTGCAGTTAAACTTTTTCTCATTCCTTGTAGAGGAATTTAAGTGCACACAAAGCAGAAGCACTATTTTAACTTGTTTGGTGGGAGAACAACTTTATCTTTTCAAGAACTATTTCATGTATTTGTAGCTTTTTAGTTTTTGTCTTTAGAGGTCCTTGATGACTGTTTTAGATAAGGTGCTATATCAATTTATTTTCATTCATATGTATTTTATAATCCACAATCCACATGGTAAGTCATTTTTAAACCAATGCCTTAGACCAGAACCAATATATGGATGGTTTCTTCTGCAATGTTACAGTGTTACAATGTCATTTAGCAGACACTTTTATCTAAAGTGACGTACATTCAAGAGCAAGAACAACACAAGCAAAGATCTAGACAAGAAGAAACATGATCAGAAAGAGCCATAAAGTGCTTCAAGTCCACTTGGATGAAAAGACAATGCACAAAGTGTATGAAAGTTTTTTTGTTTGTTTTTGATGAACATCATCATCGATTAAATTGTCTTCACCACTGTAATGACAAAAGTACCAAGTGCTGGGTCACTCAGAAAGAGCTGGGCACAAAATACCAGATACCATCTACTGCTCCATTGCAGATAAGTCTGTCCAAACGTATGACAAAACCAAAATGGAAAATAGTTTTTATCGAGGGATCCCCTTCTTTCACACATTTTTACACAAGTTAAGAGCAGCACCTGAGTAAATTGTTCTCAAAATTATTTCCCAGGAAGTCGATTTTTAATTATTGGATTTTCAAACGCATTTTTTTTTATTTTTGAAATTTCAAATGAACCAGATTCTGGCAAATCACACAGACTTTTCAGGCAAATAAAGAATTATGTGAAACAAAATCACTGGTTATTTTCTTTTCTTATATCTTACACATAAATAACAGTTATCATTTCTTATCTGTTGTTTGATTTTATATCAGAACAGGTAAAAATAAACAAACAATTACTTTATGAATCTTCCCTCTTGATAGAGTGAAAGTTTGAGAGTAAAATTTTACCCTATTCTTGCCTGATTTGAGATTTCAGCTACTTAACAGTTAGAGTCTCCATTGAAATCATTTGTGTGCGTGCGTGTGTGTGTGCATGTGTGTGTGCCTGTGTGTGCCCGTGTGTGCGTGCGTGTGTGTGTGTGTGTGTGTGTGTGTGTGCGTGTGTGTTTACAACGGGTGATAAATCAGGACTGCAGGTGCTATACTGGCCTGTATTTCAGCAGCTTCATTTTGTATTATTCTTGGTCTTCTCTAAAAATAGTACTTTCTGGATGGCTATGTTGCTCAAAAACCAGTTTATATAGTTCAGCATTGGTTTCTCTGTGTGTTAATTAGCCATGCCATTGACATAACAGACTCTGGCTTTTAAATAGTGCGCTGATAACAAGCTGCATGCTTCCTCCCCTCTTAAGAGCAGAGGATGCAGAGTCTGTGGTTTCCAAAACAAATGACAGTATTTGAGTTGTTAGAGCACAGGATTTTTTCCACTTTCGGTTCACCTGAAATGGACTTGGGCCATACGAAAGCTAGCAGCAATATAATGTTAATGTAACGTCCTCCTCATTGCATGGTACTGTTTTAACCTGCATTCGTGGATGAAGCTCCAAACTTTGTTCACAGACAGTGGCTTTTGGATGTGATTTTTAGGCCTTGAAGAGATCTCCACTATTGAGTCAAGTCCATTTTTAATGCAATGCTGCAATAAGGCCTGAAGATGACAGCCACCCAGTATCAGTTGTCCACATTTGTATAGAGATTTAGCCGAATTCTCTGAATCTTCAAATGAGCCAAACATGACAAGATCCTTAAAATCTTCTTTCTTTACAGTTCTATGCTTAGTATCATTATTCAGGAATTGCTATACAGTTTACAAAGGAGTTGAACACCATCTCATCTTTGCTTCTTAGAGTCTCAGCCTCTCCAAAGTACCTTTTTTTGTTATAAATATGCACTTTTACGATATTTAGTAAACTTAATAACATGTTGCATGGATAGGGGATATTCTTCTGGGTGTTTTTTGTGAATCACACAACTGTTAATGTGTTTTGTATTCAAATGATTTGATGGCATTAAATTAGCTTACTGAGTGTTTTTCATGAAACGAATGCATCTGGAGCATTTGATATGTTGTCTTTTTACAACTTTAAATTAAATGTAGGTTTAAAATGATTGGCACAACATCAAAATCTGTTTTTATCTACATTTACACAGCATCCAACTTTTTATAGAACTGAAGCTGTAATACGGGGCAAAGGCCTAGACAAGTAGACTGTCCAAAACAGTTACTAATCAAGATATAATTTTTTTTTTTTTTTTTTTTGGGGGGGTTGTTATATATATCAATATTGAATTAAAAAAAGATGTTTAGGGGAAAAAAAAAAGTTATTGGAAGCCACTTTTAGTACACTGTGTTTTCCAGAAAGTGGAGGCCATAAACGTACTGCGATCTTTGGTGGCATGACAACTCAGATTTCATGAAGGACTGAGTAAGAGTGTATTTTGTTCTCAGTTTCTCCATGGAAACAACATCTGGGACTTCACAGTCCTCCTCCTGCTGCCAGTTAACTCCACCTTTGCGTGTGTGCTGACTTCTGTCAGGACTGAAAAGACTGGGTGGGTGGTTCGCGCATGCGCAGTGCGCTCTATCCTCCGAATAGTGCGGCAGGAAAAACGCAGGGAAGACGCCGCGGAGAGAGAGAGAGAGAGGGGAGAGAGATAGAGGGAGGGAGGAAAACAGTTAGAAAAGAAAAGGAAGAACAATATGGAGGCGAACAGCGTCTTTGAGTAGTTCCAGAGTGAGACTGCCGTTTGGTGTCGGACTCCAGCTGTCCCTCTCTGCCGCTCAGCTGCTCCGTTATGTCGGATAAACATGTCAGGGAATGGAAGAAAGCTTCAGAAATACCACTCCTGCTAAACTGCGCTGTGCTGTCAGGGTTTGAAGACATCTATGGAACATTAAGGGTAAAACAACTAAGGATGATGCTCATGTAAGCTTAAGGGGTCTTTTTCTGAACCCAGCTCGTCGTGCTCTCCCTCCAACCAGGCCACGCTCAAAGTTTTCCTTTTTTTTTTTTTTTTGGAGAAGGGGAAATTTTGCTGCATTGAATTCCTCAGGACGGGATGTCATCCGCAGTCAGGAGGAATTCCTCAGGCTGACTGATCCTCCGGCTGCACTGAAGCGAGAGAGAGAGAGAAGAGAGTGAGGGAGAAGGAGGAAAGATGGGAGATGCTGTAGATGACAGAGGGATGAGACAGACCTTCATCGTCCCTGCCATCAAGAGCTTCGATCACTACGACTTCACCAGGGCCAAGATATCATGCAGTCTGACGTGGCTCGTGGCCAAGGCTTTCGGCTCGGGTAGGTGGTGGCGCCTCATAATCGTCTCATCTCTAGATCAGATTCAGTGCAAAATACTTGAAAGATTGTAGTTTCATATGTCTCTTAATGTAGACTGAAGGTGAATCGGACATCAGGGGTTAAAAGTGGGTCTGTCGTGTAAACATGAGCCTGTGATCACAGGGATCACAGTACTATTACTGTAATCTGGAATGGTGAAATAGTCATCCAAAATAGCTTTATATCCCTAAAATTGAGCAGGTGTAAATGTGTTCTCATTAAGGTGACTTTTCTGTATAATTCATTGATTTAAATTTGACTACTTTTCTCTAACTTGAGAGCTGAAGTCAACCATTGCCTCAGTCATGTTAATGGATTAAACTTGTTGCTAATGCTGATTCTCCCTCACTGCAGAAGTCAGGACAAACCTATTATGTAACACTCAGACTGCTGATCTTTGCGAACAGGCTTCACTGACTGATGACTGATCACAGATATGTGCTCAAAGTTTGTGTTGTAGCTTAAGTTTAATAAGCAGGATGTGAAGTTTGTTTTTTTAAACTTACTGTACCTGTCTCACTTACTAACACAGAGTGCTAATGCTTTTTAAACTCAATAGGAACAGTAAGCTGGCCAGCTACTGTGGTCTGTCTCTTTCATAAAAACAGCCTTTTATTTATCTGATTCATATGTGAACTAACAATCATCATTCTTTACTAAAACTTTGTACAGATGTCAAAGATATTTAGTAAAACACTATCAAAATTTCATGATAAGAAAGCATAAAACAGAACCTCTCTGGCTTATTTGCTTATAATTTTACTTAAACGGTTTATTTTTACAGTAATTAATGCACAGCATACTGTATTTAAGCTTAAACTAAAAGCTTTAAATGTCTACTGTGCTTAAAGACAATCCTTGCTAATGAGAAACTGTAACCAGGGAATATGGCACATTTGACAATGACTTAAGCGATCCATATGTTGGTGCTTAGTCTTTTGAAATGTAGCAATAAATAGCTATTAGTCATGAAGCTCAACATGGCCTTAAAACTCAAACTAAAAACTGTTATGTTCAATATCAATCATCGCAAACAACTTCGCAAGCAACTTCTCAACTCACTTCTCAACTCAATCCCTTTGCCTTTACTCAAGTCCTTCCTCTATAATCTGATTTTCATATTATGTGTGTTTTGTGCACATGTGTCTGAGCTTTAGCCTGTCTCCTGCACAGCACTCATGGAGAGTAATTCCTGCCTCTCCTCAGCCCCAAAAGGTTTACTCGTGCTCCTAATGAACGCTTTAGCCCAAGCCCACAGTACTCAGTCTCTAAGCAGACACCACACAGACGGACAGAGGTGGAGATCAAACGACAGACCTCTGAATCACACCCATCGATCCCACAGTGAGTGCCAAACAGAGCTGTGCACCATCCACATGTAATGTTAGAGAGAGGCGCACAAAAAGAGGACAGCAACATGTGAGAGAGCTGGTCTTGGTACATAAGACTTGTGGCTGTTAGCATACTGTATAGCCATCATGTTGATTCCTATCCCTTCAGTGACACAGTTTCAGAACTGTGGCCCAATTCATAACTGCTCCTCAGAGCCGCGTTTGGCCTAGTTTGGACGGATGAGCGACGGTTTAAATCTGGGGATGTTCACCAATCTCCTATCAGCTGAAAAATTTGTACTGAAATTTTGGAGAGAAAATAAAAGCCTTTAACGAACATCTGATTACTAAGTCTTATTAGTCTCTGATTAATAAGTCAGAGTCCATGGTTTATTCTCCTCTCAGCGCTTGGATGATAACCAGATGGCGGTCTACTCTAGAACTGGTTTATTGTGTTTTATGATGAGATTATTTGTAATTGTGAGCTTTTGCGTTGTGATGTTGATGCAAAAACTTAGTATTTTTTATAGATACCTGAATCGAAACTCTCATATCTGTTAGGCTGGTCTTTGAGGATACTGTGCAAGGCTGTGGGCAGATGAATGTGAATATTGAGTTTTTGGGTAGGCTTGTTATGATCAAGTGTTGTTTAAGATCCCAAAAAATGTGCTTTTAAACATAAAAACAGCTTATACTTTAACTAAGGATCTGTTTCTTATGTGGTCTTTCCATAAAGATCAATTAATATGTCAATCAGTGCATAAGCAGCATTGATTTTGACCCCATCTGGTGTTTCTGAACGTAATACTTCGTTTTCTTCAATGTCACTTAAGTTTAATGTTAAACTCCTAGATAGCAAATTTAAAACTTGATACAAGTGGATGATTTAACTTTTAATGGATGGGAGAGATTTTTCTATTGAGGCAAAATTGTGTAATTACACCAGTCATGTAACAGCCTTTTAAACAGAAATCTGAATTATCGCTTCAGCATGATTTATAGTGCATTATTATCTGCAACACCATGATGATATTTGCGGCATCACAGCAGTGATGTAAGCAGCCTCAACCACAGCTCACCACCACTTTCTCTTCATTCCCCTTATGCAGAACATGTGTAGAAATGCACTATGCAGCATCACTTAAAATGAGGGGTTCAGTTATGGTAGCAGAAACACTGTTCTGCCTCTAAAGCTGTGAGGGGACTGCTCAGTGGAATCAGAGGGTCGTGACTGGCTTGAAGGAAAACATGCGTATTCCTCTCAAACCTGCAGTGAAGCAGGTTGAGGCTTTGATCAGCGAACAGCAGTGCAGTGGTTTTCTGCTTCATGTTTTCTGCTAACTTAGCTATAAAAAAGAGAGATTGAATATCCACTTCATGGGTACATTGAAGTCTATCAGTTTGATGCATTGCATGTCCTTTTATGCCATCAGGAAAGACACTGAAATGTTTATTGACAGCCAAACAAACTGAAGCATACTCAATGTTTAAAGGGATATTCCGGTGTAAAATTAATTTAGGGTCAAACACACTGTATCACCGAGTTAGACACCCCCTTGAGAGATGAATGTTGCCGACCGCTTGCTTCTCTAGGTATACTAACTTTAGTAACAACCGCAGGATAGCAATACACAGCGGTCTGAGGAGGCATAAACAAACCTCAACCAAAACACCACTCTATAGCCGCAAATAATTCTCAGAACAGCACCTAACTTCATTAACAGTACATATAGGGTCCCAGCCATAGCACTAGCCACCAAACAGCTTTTTAACTTTGCCCAATTTCTTTAGCAAAGAGAATAAACACAACTCACCTACTCTCTTCCAGCAGCCGCTTGTTTGTAGAGACCTCAGGCTAGGACTGGGCGATTTTATGATCGTGATCGATGATCGCGATAAATTTCAGTTCGATCACGGTGATCAGCTGTGAGCATATTTACTCGATCAAACATGGCAGAAACGTGCGTCACAACAGCCAATCAGAGTCAAGCTTTTCCTGCTCACTTCTGTAAGTTACCGGAGAAGCAAACAGGAGAAGTGAACAGAATGACCGAACATGGAGCTATGGAGCTAAACGCGGAGCTGATGGCAGCAAAATAGATGTGAGCAGTGACTTTGAGTCATCCTCAGAAGATGGTATTGTTAAGAAGTTATTCAACGTCTCTCCAAAGTGACGTCGAGCAATTAAGACGATAAACCGGTAACTTAACAGATCTGTTCTTCCCGAGTGATTATGCGGTAAGCATGAAAATGCGAGCGGAGTCTGCACAGCCTGTCACTGCTGACGGCACAAGTAGCATTAGCAGTTTAGCCACAACTAGCGGTGCAGCCACCAGACCAAAACAGCCATCAATTATATACATACCAGCCAACACTCCCGTTTTTCACTCTCCCGTGTTTCAGACCGATCTCCCGCCCACCCCCCGTATTGTCATTTCTCCCGGGAAATTCTCGTAGCATGGTCCGCACTCATTCATGAATCGGATCACTATGTTTGTCCAAAGTTTCCAGACAACCGGAGATAGTCCTTTGTTTCTGCTGAGCCTTACAGACAGTGGACTTTACAGTTTTGGATGATTCAGGTCGGTTTCAGCTGTAAACTATATTTAAGCAGTGTTTGTTGCTAAATGAACACTTCAATGGAAGGAAAACAAACGCGAGAAATGCGAGAGTGATGCGTTCAGGGCAGCCCCGGATAAAAGAGTGCTGTATTTCATGCACAGATGTTCTGAGAGCCTCATACGGGAGAGCATGTAGAACATGTAGTACTGATGAGCTAAAATATTTTTTAGATTTTTCTAATTGTATCTTTTTCCATTTGCTTTGTTATTTACTTCGTATGTTAATAAAATGTTGAACTAAACTCTAGTTTTTAGTACAGATACTTTAAAACTGGCACTTAAAAAAAATCGTGATATTCATCGAGATCGGACGATATGACAAAATAAATCGTGATCATTTTTTTTGCCAAATCGCCCAGGCCTACCTCAGGCCAGTCCATTTCGGACTGCTGCGGGGTGACACAGCTCAAGGAAGAACATTTTTGATCATTTCTTCATGGAAATGCAATCAGACCGAGATGCTAAGGCAGAAGAACACGGTGATACGGTGTGTTTGACCCTAAATTAATTTTGTGCCGGAAAATGCCTTTAAGCACTTACAAAGTGAGTACAAGTATTTAGTGATTTGTTTATATGACACTCATCATAAACAAGAAGAAGCGCCCCACTCTTGCTTTAAACTGTTTCAGCACATTGTTTTGGTTTTAAACACACAGATCTACAGTTTTCCATTGTCCAAACAATAGACTGTGTAAAACGGTGTAAAAGTAGCTTATGTGATTTCACTCGGGGGAGACATTTTAAAGCCAAACAAAGCCAGTCAAGAAAGAAAGGGCTCAATGAAGTAGAGCTGAGGTGGTAAATGGTTATGATGTGCCTACCTGTTGGTCCACTCAGTCCTGCCCCTAGTTTGACATATATCAAGCATTTGAAGCCAGCCTCAAGTGGACTTTTAAGGAACTGGGTTTTTTTTAGTCCATCAGTAGCTGTCATTTTCAAAACCTGAGACTGGTCTGAACATTCTTATAAAGAAGTATTTTCAGCAGTAAACAGCTATTTTCAGTAAAATTGACTTCACACTACCTTCATGCGCCTGCAGTTAGCTGTTTAATGTAGGACAGCATCTACCTGCAAAAATGGCTGATATATACATGATGACCTTGTAGAAATCGTTAATAGAGTTAAAAGATAACTTAATATGGACTTATATATCTCAGGTGTGTAGAGCTAGGGCTTGATATAATGTTCGATGTAGTAAAGTTGGCTGACATGACTTAAACTGGAAAATATCTCAGTACTGTGTTTAGTAGAAGCTGACAAAAGTGCTGTTGTGACTCTCTTTTTCAACAGTGACCACTTAGCCAGCAGGGACAAACCTCACTGAGCGTGATGTTGTGTATGCTGAGCTATGATCCTCAGGGTCTCCAGGGGAGCAGACCTCTCCATGCCTGGACTTCCTGTAGCAGCAACTTCCTGTCTGTTTCCTCTTTGATGGCAAACACAAAGGAGAGGAGAGACGATTTTACTTGACGAGGCAGATTTTTAACGTACTCTAGAAAAATTTGCCTCTCATGCTGTTTTAGCCCATTGTTCATTTTTACTTGATTGACTTCAAAGCTTAAAGTTAATCTGATGAAACTTTAAGATAACTTTGATACGCAAACTGAAAGCTTCTGACTGTTCTTAAAGGAGCCCGCTGGAAGGAAAAAAAAAAACTCTTCTCACAATGGTAGCATAATTGCTCACTCTTATACCTCTCAAATAAATGTGGATTCTCACAAGCTGAATCCTTTGAGTACAGCTCCATTAGCCATTCAAGATTTTTAAAAGTCTGGTTTAATAGTTTCATTAGATGAATTTGGTTTAACATCTGCCTGTCTCTTTAAATTTCTTTTCATCGCCCAGTGTGGGGTTGTTTGGGGGGCGGTGCACTAACCATAGCCACTGGAAAACTGCTGAGGTTTGATCACATGCTAAATGGATTTGTTCGGTACAAGCTTTAAATGTTTGATTTTATGATGCTGTGTGGTTGAGCTCTTTACTTGCACAGTGTTGATGTTTTGAAGGATTAAAGTACAGAAAGCTGCTCCTTTAAAGTAGATTCCTTTAGTGTCCTTTTGTTTTCCTCAGTGTGATTCAGAGCACAGCCAGAGAGGAAATGACCCCACACACCAGGAATACACACTCAAACTGGAGCACACAGTGTTTAAAAAGTGTGTCACACACACGTCGTCCTATACAAGGAGAGTGGTGCAGAGACACAGTGTGTCATTCAGTGTTGAACTGATGACTAGAGTAGTATAACTTTGAGTCACAGCATGTGGTATTCAAGTCTTTCTTGAACTCTGTGTGTGTGTGTGTGTGTGTGTGTGTGTGTGTGTGTGTGTGTGTGTGTGTGTGTGTGTGTGTGTGTGTGTGTGTGTGAGAGAGAGAGAGAGAGAGAGAGAGAGAGATGTGTGAAGCTATTTTCTTCAAATCAGATTTGCTGAATGAGGTAACAGGATTACAGGGTAGTCCTGCTTTGTAACATACACCAACTCAGGCCACACACACACACACACACACACACGTGCGCGCACACACACACACACACACACACACACACACACGCACACGCAGAGCTTGGCTCTATGCTTAGCCTTGGCTTACACTGCAAACGGACCTGATGGCATTGACCAGCGATTGCCAACCTGGGGAAATTGAGGCCTTAAGGGATACACAAGTATTGAGAACAATTACAGTGACACTGTGCTGTGACACCTGAACACCACTTACTGCTATCCGTGGTAAGTGTTGATTAACTAATGAGCACAGAAGTCTTAATATCTATCAAAATGATTGAATTCACAGGTTAAATCTCATGATTAATAGCGGGAATAATAAGTTACAAGTAAAACACAAGTGGTGTAAATGATAAGCTCAAACACCAGATCGATGGCTAAGTGGACAAACTGTTAAAAAGATTAGCCAAATGTTTGGTTAAACGGTTGTTAGCTAGCTAAACAGCTTAAACAGTTGACTCACAGCTGTAATAGTTCTGTGATTGACAAAAACATTCAAATGCCGGATAATGAGAAATAGAGGAATGGCTGAGCTGAAACTGACTGTCATTACTAAAAGTGCAGTTAGCTAGCTATGGTTTGAAGTAATAAGGTCAAAATGAATGAATAAAAGATTAAATGGTTATGTTTCAGTATGAATGAGTCAAATATTTAGCAAAATTGAAAAATTGATGGTGGGATTAAATTTTTCTTTTTTTATAATTAAGGGATGAAACAGCCAAAGTGATAGATGAATGTTTGAAATAACTATCCTCATGCCTCTGCTGGTTATGCATTATAATGGTTAGATTGGTTTATTCCTGTTTAACCTGGCACAATCAACATACAACTTATTCTCCATCTTATGAAATCAGAACGATACCAAAATGCGCTGCTGAAAGAGAAACCATCTCTCATTTATGTTTGTTTACATCCAGGTAGTAGGACATTATTGCTCTTTGGATACTAACATGGCCACTAACTACTGTGCCACCTAGTGGAAGTTGGGAGCCCTACAGTTTAAACACAACAAAACAGTGAGACATTTTAGGCCCACATTGACCAAAATGTTAATATTTTGTCTTATAAGGTGGAGCCAGCTAGTAAGTGTGAAGACATTTAATTAGGGTGGTTAAACCCCTATTAGAAAATCAGTCTTTAGACCAACACACTCTGCTCCAGTGATGTTTTTCTACACATGTTCATGGTCTTTACCATGTTCTCTGTTTGTGTGTTTGTAGTGCAACAAGCTTTGAGCTGGTTGTGGTCATGAAGGTGAAACTCTAAGCAACAAAATGTTGGGATTGCCATAGCAACAACAACACAGGGAATATAGAAATAGTAGCAGCGTAGCTTTTTCAGTTGCCTGCGAGAATTCACCATAAATGATGGTGTCACAGCAGAGATAGAGGTAGAGGGCAAGGGGTGAACTCAAATCATAATCTTGCTTTTCTGTGTCTCCCTTTCTCCGCTCAGATGCAGTACCAGAGGAGCTGGTTGAGCCTTTCTACAGGGACCAGTACAACCAGGAGCACCTGAAGCCCCCGGTGGCATGCCTGCTTCAGTCTGCAGAGCTTTACTGCAGGGCAGGAAGCCTGATCCTCCGCAGTGATGCTGTCAAACCTTTACTTGGACATAATGCTGTCATCCAGGCTCTGGCACAGAAAGGCCTGTATGTCACAGACCAGGACAGACTGGTGACTGAGAGAGATCTGACCAGCACGCCCATACACATGGTAAGTTACGTACTGGATGGAAAATATACACAATATACAGAATAAAAATATACATTGTTTTGTAAACTTTGAAAAATTGGGCATCAAACTGGGAACAATCCAATCTGGTTATTTCAGACCCACTTTAACACCTGTCGTAGTATGTCTGCAAACCAGCCAAGATTTTAACTAAGGATAAATTTACTTAGATCATCTGTAAGATTTCAAATCCTAGCAAAAAAAAAGTCTATCAGGATTTAACAGACTTTATACTAACATCTTAAAATCCCTTTTTTTGTTTTTTGAGTGGTGACCCAAATCCCTAGCCTAAAAAAACTTAAAATATTCAATCCAGTAATTGTTTCAGGATGGTGAAAACTCTGGATAAAGTTTCAGGTTTTGCATTTTTACTCCCCCATAGGAATTATTAATAAGTGAGTTATTTGATAGTGTGTTTGTGTGAACAGCTCCATGTGTAGTACTGCTAGACTGTCCTCCAAGATCTGTCCTATTGAGAGAAAAACACACACTAATGATGGGTTTCCTATAGCAACCCATTACCCACTGTTCAGCCTCAGTGTCATTATACAGCACAGGGCAAACATGACATGCCTAAGCCCACACCACCAAGAGAAGTTCTTGTACTGTGTTGTTAATATGCGCCATGAAAGACTGAATAAGGGGGTGAAGCACAACTGCTTTCATTACTGATTGATAATAACTACAATATTCATTATAGAGCCTCTGGGATATCAGAGAAGACAACCACTGGCTCTGACTGATCAATCTGATTTGAGACATTTTATAAGTGCTGATCTGGAGTGTAACAACATCACCAGGACTTTTAACTACAATATAAGCATCCCTCCATCTCAACCCAATGATCCAGATACAATTAATTTAACAATATTGCATTATATGAGGCGATCTACTGCTGTGATTTAGGCAAACGTATGAGGCTGCAGTGCTGAAAATAATGAAGGTGCTGATATTGAGTACAACAGCTCAACCCTGTGTACAACATGGTTTTAATACGCCAGCTCTCTAAGTGGAATTAAGATGTGGAAACAATAGTGATGGATTGCTTTTTTAATGACCCAGGCATTACCCTGCCTACACTCTTGCTACTTCATGTGATTGATATGTATTGTACAGGCTGAGGCAGAATTATACACACGTGGGGAAAATCAGCACTCACAAAAGGCTCTTGTCCAATCAGATGATTGGTTGGACCAAACAGTCGTTTAATTGATATTAAGGGTCTTTTTCTTTGTTGAATAAGTCTACACTCCAGGATTACAGAGACCACCAAAGCATGACTGAGGGTTAAACTGATACATACAGCTAAATGCTGCATTCAAGTTACTTTGGAAGTCAGATATCAGAGCGGGGAAAGACGTCACACCCTAGTTCCCAACGTTTCAGTTACCAAGTCGGAAAATAGCAAAATTGGAGGACTAAAACAAGATGGCTACATCTACGAAAGTTATTTTAACGCTTGCCTTGTCCAAATAGAAGGCAAGCACTAAAATAACATAGATGTAGCCATCTTGTTTCTGCCTCAGATTTAGCTTTTTTTTCGACTTGGTAACTGAAACACTGGTAACTCAGGTATGACATCAATCCCAGCTTGGACATCTGACTTCCGAGGTAACTCGAACGCAGCAAAAGTGTACAGTATAGAAAGAGTGCAAAAAGCATTGTGGTTGCTTGGCAACAGCAATTTTTTTGGTGAAAGTTCTGGAGTTCTTGAACTGTTTGCACTGATAAAGTTTGAATTTAGCCATAATGTCACAAATTTGTCATAACTACTTTCACTGTATCATGTAGCTGTGCTGATTTTCAGTGTAACGTTTTTCCAGTGCATGTGATGGAAAGAAGTTTTGGTCTCACTAAAATCAAATCACTAAAAAAAATCTAAGGCTGTTTTGTTTGGCATTAAACAGTGAGCAGCAGAAGAATCTTGAAATGAGTCAGACTTTCTTAACAGAAGTCTGGATCATTTTCTGTGGAGATGTAAAACAAAAACACTGTCACTGTCGGAGGAGAGTAGACTGTAAACCGTAAAACGCTTCATTTATGGCTTTTTAGTTTTGAAAGGAGGGCGAGTCTGTGACAGCATGATCCAGACGCACTGCTACCACACGCATGGCTGGAGACCAGGCACTTTTGCTGACGCCAAAAGGTGTCTGCATTGCAGTGCACCCCCCTTTTCTCTCTCCCTCCCTCCCTCTCTTTATCTGTTTCACTGTTTCGTTTCTCCTCTGTCGCATCCCCTCATCTCTCTCTCTCTTTTTCTGTCATGGTCAATGCTAGTTCTCTACCACAGTTTCATCCTACCTCTATCTTTGGGGATTAAACAGGACTGGGACCCTGCTATCTCCTGAATTTTTAATTTAAGCTTAAGCAGGTTTCATCAAGCACACATTTCTTTCCTTATTATAGGTTTTAACACTTACTTTAATCTTTCGTCAGCTTGTGCTCTCTCTTCTTTGCAGCTCTAGATGACATTTCAAAGACACTAGTTGTGGATGTTTTTATGTTTACAGCCAAGTGTGCGCACTACAGAACTCATCCAGTAAAGTAGTGATGTACAGTGTCCGCTTTATAATTTAACTTCCTTTTACACATGCACAAATGTATATTTGAGTCTATACTTATAACTCCTCGTCTTTTTGATCCTGTGATTTAGTAGACAACTGCAGTGACAGTGTTTAGTCGACTAAATAGAGCCTCCCTTTGACTGTTGACCTTCATTTGTGTTACACACAGCCAGGCAATTTGTAAGCTGTCCATCCTAATTCTTCATTTCAGTTTTAGTTAACAGTTCTTCGTGCAGAGGCGTGTGAGTGTATTTGTGGAATCAGCAGGGCTCTTTCAGTTACCCTGAAGTCGAAGCTTTTCATTTTGGGTTATGGTATATCCGCAGAGAAAATGATGACCTCATGGTTTTTCCTAAGGAATAAGTCATGTCAGCGCGGAGAAAGAGGATAGAGGAGGAGGAGCGTGGCAGTTTGTCACAGGACAAATGGATTTGGAAAGAGAAGGAGGGAAAAGGGGGGAAAGATGGAGTATAGGGGGCTGCCATTTGGCTGCAATCCAGGTGAAGGAAAGTAGACCAAGAGAGGAGAGGAAAGGGTGAGTGTGAGAGTCTCGATATGGACGAATGGAAAGGGCTGTGGAAGGCGGGAAGGAAACTTAGAGAAGAGAAGGGAAGAAGAAGAATAAGGTCTCGCCTTTCTTGCTGCAAGAGAGATGACATGTGTGCGCCAGAAAAAGAGTCCAATGTTAACATGGCCATCTGGAAAGAAGAGCAGAGGAGGGGGAGTAAAGCAGGGGAGGAGAAGAGAGGCGAGGGTTTAGTAGAGGAGAGGAGGACGGAGGAGGACGTGATGTGCACTACTGCAGCACTGTGAAGGAGGGTGGGGTCTCACACTGAGTCAAAGCACGTCTGGCACACAATTGAGAGCCCCCCCTCCTCCCTAACACACACAAATGAATACACACAACTCTTGTCAGACCTCCAGCAGTGTGCACGAGACCCTCGTGTCCACCATGTCTAGCTCTACCTTCCTCTCTCTCTTTGAATCTTTCTCACACATGCCCACATGCACTGTCCTCTAACTGCTGAAACACTGAGACAGCAAAGTGACAGATGAGGGAGAGGCATAGCAGTAATTGAAGCTTTCTGCAGAGGGGCGTGTACCCTCATCCAAGAGCAGAACAACGCTGAGATTTGGAGGTTTTCATGGATGCATGTGCGAGAAAGATGGCCAAAGCACTCCTTACTATATGCTGCAGTTTGGAAAATTGCACAATAATGTAAGCGACATCTGAATAGAGACAAACATGCGTACAAAGTTGCACCACAAAGCATTTGTGCAGCTCAGATGTAGGTCATTTTCCAGTGTGTTCCTATGTTAAAGGACACTTGTGATGTTTGTGAAGAGGTTACTTTGATTAGCTGTTTGCTCAGCTGTAAAGTTCCTTCCTATGGATGCCTTTGATCAAGGACACACACACGCACACACACATGGTCACACAACGGTGCTGGGCTTGAATACTGATGCTGGTGTGGGATAGTGTGCCTGAGTTCACTGCAGCTCTTTATGACCAGTCTCTGCCATTTCCACAGCCTTATAAGGCGTGTCTGTAACCATCAGTGTTTTGAATTGTGTCTGTGCACACACACACACGCACGCACACACACACACACACACACAGGCACACACACGCACAGTCACGCTCAGCACAAAGGTCTCAGTGAAGGGATAATAGACAGCACATGGCTTTGAAATCCATGCTGTGGTGTAAACAATAGTGGACTGAAGAGTCTGTAGATATGTAAGCGTGATCCCATGGTCTGTGTGCCCTCTACGCTTTCGCTGTGTTCACTTTGGTAAAGTCACATGAACATACATATGCACACTAACTATGAAACATACAAATCTTCACAGCACACTGAGGAAGAGCATCAAGAGACATATGGAGGTCAGCATATAATCCAAGTCCCTAAGATGCGCCAATAATCTTTCATTTATAATCATAAATTTCTCTCTAGAACTCCAGGAGGATTTTTAGGATCACATGACAAGCATCATTGGACTCCCTGAAAAAGTAAACCCTCCTCTGATCTACTTAAAGGGATACTTTAATCAGACCATTACTCGTGATGTGTGTTTAAATTACAGGGTCCATTTGGCTTGGCAGTCAACACAGAAACAGCTGGTGTGGCTCGAGCCGAAACGTAGTCACCAATTGACACGTTAAATCTGTAGAGTTTATCAGTGTACAGGCTGAAATATTTGACAATACTCTAAAATAGGTATATACACTGTGTAAAATAAAGTCTCCCAACATCTGAGCAGGGCCTGTTAGTAGCCACAGGAATATCACCTAATCTTTTTTGTATACTGGACAATGTGCATATTATAGAAAATTCAAGATAATTTGGTCTTACTTAGTGTACATGTAACAGACTAATGTTGTAAATTCATAAGAAAAAAAATCATGATCTCAGTCTCTAATTAGCCATTATATATTATTTTAAAGAGAAAGCTCAATAGAGCAGCCAGCTGCCCAAGCAGCATAAGAAATACAGACCATCTTGTAAAGTTATACTGTAGTAGAAGTTTCATTAATTACTAAATATCCAGTCTTCTTTATTAGAACCATATTGTTGTAAGTGTAGGGACTCTTGAGGAGCTTGTGCAAAATAGAGTCTGCTCTGTACACATTACTCCAACCACTGTTTGTCCTCACATGTTTGATATAACTTCAGGAAATTATCTACGGTCCTCATTTTAAAGCAGATATACTGTAGATTATTGGTGTCAAAGCCTGTAGTTGTCACTTCCTTCTCATTAAAATAGCTATATTCTTCAAGTCTCAATTCTTTTTCATCCTTCGCACAACCTCTCTCCACTGTTGTATTATTGCAACCCCAGTCACTTTGAAAATATACAAGGCAAACACTTTTGTCGAGTGAATGGTTTTGTTTTTACATCCTACAACATGTGTAAAAATCGACACAAAAAAGCAGCCCATGAATTGAAAACTAACCATCACTCTGAACAAATGCATATTCATGCGCAGACACTTAAATGAGATTTTGACTGATTTTAAGATTAAAGGGTTTAATGCAAAGGAATCCAAAAAATCTCAGTCAAAGGAAAAGTGAGTGGAGTTTTCACAAAAATAAGGTCTTGCTGACCTCTCCAGTGTTTTATTTTCTCTACTGTTCATCCAGCTGTCAGCCAGACTGGATACTGTACTTCTTGAGGGGAATGCATGCAATGTCAAAAATCTAGTAATATCCTGAAATGAAGGAATGTGAAGAAGTGTCATCTGCAAACACAAACAAAAGTTAAATATCAGACTCCTTTTGTTCAAGAGCCAACCCAAACTATACCGCGCCCCTCTTTAATACGCTACAGATGGAACCCCAATAACAACATAATGTATATTCTTCGTCACATCAGGATTGAATCAACACAGGAAAAAAAGCTGGCCCTCAGATCTTATTGCCCTCCTCTCTATTTTGTAAGATTTCATTATAATGGTTTATTTAATCATAAGATAGGTTCATTTATTGGTATATTTATCTTTGTTTAATGTGATCTCACTCAGATCAGAGGCATTAAGAAGTGAGCAATGTGACTTACCTATTAAGGCTGTCTTATTTCTTTAAATGGTCAGATCACTGATGAATAGGTTTAGGATCAGGTAAGGATACAAGGACATAAGGTCACACTGTAGTCTCAGCACTTATTTTCCATGATATATTATTATTTCTCTTGTACATGCTGCGTCTTCGCTCTGGCAGTACAGTGACGTTTCGCACTGAAGTTGTAGCGCTGGATCAGATGTTATGTTTTTCAGGGAAACACTTGGTCACACTGGCAGTTACACGAGGCTCTGCGGTTATGAATAGAGGCCTGTGCTTGACAGCAGAGGCTCCGCTGGGATGTGGATCATGGAGCGCCTGACTTTAGGTGTTTGTTCAGTTAGGTTGGAAACACAGACAGATGCTTGGGTAAACACACACAGAAAGTGATTTTTTGGGGTAGAACTGTGGTGTAACAGGAAAGGGAAGGGAAGGTCTGCTGGTCTGACCAGGCTGGTATGGGATTAGAAAAGGCCAGCAGAATGTCAAGCTTTGTGTAGGTGTTGATGGCTGCTGGAACCACTCATATAAAGTGAATGCCTAAAGAGTGGGCTGTGTGTGCAATAAAAATAGAGTAGTTCTACATGAAGAGGTGTTAGAGAGTGAGTAGTAGTTTCATTTCATTAAATAAGAAAGGTCGATCTCTGGAGCTCAACTTAATGTGATAGGGAGCGTATGAAAATTAAAAACAGGAACTCTACAAATGAGCCAAATAAAAATGTACTAGCATGGGAAACTCTGCATTGTCATTTACCTTGTCATCAGGAAAAGTGTAAGATGTGACATGATGCCTAAAAGTGTGCAAAAAAAGTTTTCATTTGCTGTCCTTCACATGCCATTGAAGAAGCCTTTCTGTGCTTAATCTAAAGAGTTCATCTTTTCACATCTTTTCTTTTCCTAGATAAGAAATGTTTCAATCATCTCAAGGTTTAGCTGAATCCAAATACCTGTTTTTCAGTTTTTTGTCGGGATGTCCTAATCCAATATTGATATCGGATATTGGTCCGATATCAGTAAAATAAATCTAATATCTGATTATATCAGCCTGCATCTAGATTCTCCGATATCAGCAATCTGATACAAGCAATCCATTCCTGACTACCCTGTAGCACCTCTATCCAGCAGCACCTGGATCCAGCATGCAGAGCCCACGTGATCACAACAACAGTCAGTGCGTTTACATGACACTCGAGAAAACCAAATTATTGTCTTACTCCGATTAAGACCGGACAACTGAAGTGCATGTAAACACCTTAGTCTGGCTATAACCAGAGTTTGAAAACTCTGATTGGAGTTGGAGAACTCCCAGATAAGACACCCAGATGATGCAATTGGAATTCGATTTTCTCTACCATGTAACCAGCGTAGTCAGAGTATGATAGGAGAATGAATGTGCACATGCGCCATGCCCTGTAACTCCGGAACAAAAACACCGGAGAAGAGGAGTAGCGTGCACCTCATCTGCAGAAAAAGTAGCACGTACATCAACAATGCTGTACGATGCTCCATCTTCTTGCTCGAAAATGCCCAGCAGCAGTTGTAGCCACTGGCACAGACCTGCTGTTGTTGTTGGGTAAACCGGACACAGCTCCTCTGAAAAGACCCATATTGCCCCCTAGTTTTGGGGAGGAGGACCCTTTCCCATCCATAATTCAATTTTCTCAGCTGCATGTATATGTTGACAAGGAGGGAGGTCCAATTGAGTAAGAAAACCGAATTATGAGCTTAGGCCGATTAAGCTGTGCATGTAAACACACTGAGTGTGTACTAAGGTACCTACCAAGTAGCAAGGAGTAGGAGTGATGTCGGCCGTGTGCCAGTATTTTTCGTCTAATTCCGAAAAAGATGTTGCAGCTGAGTGCAAAACTTGTCATGCACAAGTTTATGCCAATATTGGATTAATATCGGTATCGGCCAATACTGAAGGCTAACATATCGGTATTGTATCAGAAGTAAAAAAGCAGTATCAAACACCCCTAGTTTTGGCTACTTTTTTCTTCAGAAATACCCAGAAAGTTTCACTTTTAAGTGGAGAAGAAAATGGGAGGCAAAGTTGAGCCTGAAGGTATTGGTTTTGTGTTTGTGGAAAGTAGCTGAATCATTAAAGCTAATCCTGGCGATGCTGCTGTTTGTCTCCACAGAGTTCCCACCTCGCACTCATAGACACCCTGATGATGGCGTACACTGTGGAGATGGTGAGCGTGGAGCGCGTGATGTCCTGCATCAACAGGTACTCTTCTGCTGATCCCTCGCATAGCGAGAGGCACGTCCAGGAGCTGCCTTATGACACAGAGGACGCTATCACCACCTGGATCAACAAGGTACACAGACACACTGAGGCATATTCGGGTGAACACAAAAACCACAAGGACATGTGCTTTTTATTTGAGAGGATAACCGCTGAACAAACCCTCCAGTCTTTTTCAAAAGCAGACACACTGTGCTTTCTTTCACTCCAGAAATAGAAGACACACAAGAGGGAAGATTGTCACGCTCAATCCCCCCACTGCTGCTTCTCAATCCAATAAGCTTCCAAGACAAACTAGATGGAGAGCTGGTATCAACAACATTTAATCATGTTGATGAGATTACCCCGAGATAACTGACTTAACCTCACCTTCTGGTCTATAAAGCTGGGTAGGGATGTGAAAGCCTGACAAAGATTTAAAATGGCAGAAATTTGCATCTTTTGTGTATTTAATGATCTGAAAGACTATTAACTTACTAGAAGCGACTTTGACTGAGCTTGCGTTCATTTTTTTAAAGGAATTTTGGCACTTAACATAATGTGCTGACCTATATTACCCATGTCGGGGAAAAAATGAAACGAGTTCTATAATAGCATTGGTTAAACATAATTACCATAGATCAGGGCTCACACTCCAAATTAAATAAGCTGTTCATGTGCTTACGTTTTATCTTTCTATCCAAAAAGGCAGAGAGGTGAACATGTAGATTTGATTCACAGACACAAACAGAAAAAACGAGCACGCGGGAGCTCTCTGTGTGGCTCAGTGATGAAGCACAACAAAGTTGTTGTTGGCCGATGCGACCTTGTGCGTCCTCAGGCCAAAATGTTACATCACTGTTTGTACAGACCCTTTGGAGACAGAAAGGTAGTAACTGTAAAAAGAGGGGGCTTTCAGAGGGAAATGCTATAATTAGAGTCATCTTTGAAGTTCTTTGCAGAGTTTGTTTGACCAGGAACTCGACTGAGCTCTGTGTATAAAGTTCCAGTCAAATGTAACGTCGGTGGCTCATGGTCAGTGGTGGTGGTGAAAAGTTTACTTTGATGTGTGCTCGTTTTTTGTTCTCATGTTCAGGTTTCTCTTCTCTCTGACACAGACTCACCATTCAGTGTCTGCGTGCACAAAATGCTTGTCTGAAATCTGACCTTGATCTCTCTCTCTCTCTCTCTCTCTCTCTCTCTGTGCCTGACTGTCTCTCCCTCCAGGTGAATGAACACCTGAAGGACATCCTTGTGGAGGAGCAGAAGCTGAGAGAGGCTTCAAACCAGGAGTCAAACTCAACAACACACAAAGTGAGAATACTTACAAGCTTTCCTTTTTTTTGTGAAGACAATGGTGAAAAAGGAGAGACAAAATCTTTCTACCTTCACACACACCGGAATAAACAACATTTTCAAACAACATCAGTTTCTCTTTTTGCTAAACCTAGAGTAACCATATTCTGAATCCCCAAATAGAGGACATGGTTACGCAGAGGGTCGGGTTTAGTGTTTTTTATGTGCTTCTAACTCAGGAAGTCCACACGACACAAACTCAAAACTTCTATATAAAACCTCCGACATTTGAAGGATTTATAAACTCCAGCCCCCAAAAAAGAGGACATGTCCGGGTAAAAGAGGATGTATGGTCACCCTACTAAACTTTGACAAACACAGAACTGATTGTAGATAGAGTTAGCTCATCTGTTAGCATAGCTTAAACTCCCAGAAAGAACGCAAGTATCATTTAAAAAAAACATTGAGTTTTTCCTAATTATTTTTTTATAGGTAAAAAAAGGAAAGACAAAATCTTTCTACCTTTACACACAATATCTCTTTTTGCTTAACATGGACATAAACAGAACTGATTTAAGCTAGAGTTAGCTCATCTGTTAGCATAGCTTGTACTGCACTCCCAGCAAGAAAGCAAGTACCACTGAAAAAAAAAGAGTTTTTCCAGTTTCTTTTTTATAGGTGAAAAAAGGGAGAGACAAAATCTTTTTACCTTAACACACACCGGAATAAACAATATTCAGTATGTCTTTTTTGCTAAACTTGGACAGAAACAGAATTGATTTAAGCTAGAGTTAGCTAATTTGTTAGCATAGTTTATACTCCAAGCAAGAACGCAAGTATTATCGAAAAAACATTGACTTTTTCCTGTTTTTTTTATATATCTCAATATTTTGATAAGGCTACTACTACTACTTTTGCTATCAAGCGCTGGCACATGTCTGTGTCCACACTAGGCACATGCAGAAACACATGATATGAACGCATTAGCCTACAGCACAGTGCACACAGGGCTCAGTGAATCAGAGGAACAGATGAGCTCAGTCTCAGACCAGCTGCAGAGAAATGTTGGCAAGAGTCACAACACTGCTGTTAGAGGAGAAAGGAAAAGAAATGTGAGGGGTGGAGAAGAAATGGGGAGAAAGAGTGACACACAGAGCGGGAGAGAGAGAGAAAAAAAAATGAGGAGGAATAATCGGGGAGAAATAAGAGGGTGGAGGACACAGAGGGGGGGCTCTCAGGAACTTTGTCAGCTGTAGCAGAAGACAGTCAGTGACAGACAGAGGCAGCGTTGTCATCCTGCAGGCCTCGTGGTTATGTAACAAGTTGATCCACTGGGATGAACACATGCAGCAGTCTGCTACCATCCTCTTCTACTCACTTAACCATAGAGTGCTGTAACTTAACAGGTCTTAACAGGTCACGACCCCACCTCTGGTCGGTGCTTGAAAAAACATTCAAGAGCGTGAAGTTTAAAAACTGGAAAAGAAACATCACTGCACAGTGAGTGTGTACACATGGGCAGCAACACAACTGAACTGAGCTAAATGAATAGCTGGATAGATTCACTTACTGCAATTCAACACCAACTCAAAGATCTAAACACTGACTGAATGTGTAAGTACTACTAGACTATCATTGCTGCCATGAGTCTACAGCCATGTTAGCTGCTCTGTAAGGCTCTGCTTAAACCATGGTCTGTTTAGAGCATGGACATGGTCTCAGTGATGCCACCCACTGGTTTCTGAAGAGGTCTAGAGGCCCAAACATGGCAGCCACCACATACTGTACATTGAAAACTCAGACTTTGACTATCTTCAGCTGCTTTTTTCATTTTCTGTGCAAATTTTAGATGTTATTTATCAGCTTGAGTAACATTTTCCTCATCAGCTGTTGAGTTTCATTGTTGCAGAACCACATATATACTAGGGTGTCCATATTCCGACTTCCCTAAAAGAGGACACGACTACGTGGGGGCGGAGTCACAGAGTCGCATGAAGTTAATTTTGAGAGTTTTTTGGTTGGATCGATGTCCTTTACGCTCCTCTTACTCAGTGAGTCCATGTGGCACAAAATCGAAACATACGTACGAAACCGCAGACATTTGAAGGATTTTATAAACTCCCCCGGACAAAGCCGGACAAACCCGGACAGCCCCCAAAAAAAGGACATGTCTGGGTAAAAGAGGACATATGGTCATCCTAACATATACAAGATTATTAACCCTTACCTTTAAGTCCAGATAAAAGGTCCAAATTTGTGTTTTAGATGCATCCTTGTAGTTTAGGGGTTGACATGGTCAGTAGCATTAATTCTGCAGGAAACACAATATCAGAGTTTTTGAAGCAAAGGGGTGGACTGACTGACAGATTCACACAAAGCCAGGACACAAACAAGCCTGTAAATAGACTGTAACAACCCAAAATGTTTATGTGAAACTGCTGTTTTGTGTCACATAATGACAGTGTCCCTAGTCCCTCAATTAGAGCAAAATTTCCTCCGTCTTCAGAGAGCTTCAGGGAGTCTCAAGTGGCTGAATCCGTTTAAAAGGCACTTTTATCTACTGTGGGAGCGTCTCGGTGAAGATTTTCTCTCTCTAAGTCTATTTCAGAATAGTGCTAGTGATTATTCCCTCACTGTGACTGCCCTGAGTACTGGTGATACACTCGGTGAATGTAACCCATCCCAGACTGACTCTCATAGACACTCCAGGCTTTATCAAAGACAACAAGTTACAACGAGAGAGAGGAGGAATACGCAGAGCTCTCATTGTCAGTCAGCTGCTTTCTTACTCCATGCTCCATCACTGAGCTCCCTCTTTGCTTTATCAACCTGAACAGAAGTCTATTCAGCGAACAGGACAAACTCAGAGCAGATAATTTCACACATGCACACGCACGTATTCCTGCACGAACGCACACACAGTTATGATCGAGCACAAGACACTTCTCAGAGAGTCTCCTCTATTTTAGGACGGTGTGAAAAATCTTTCACTCCGGTCTTATGACTAGGATCTCAGCATTTTTTCTGCAGGGATACTTTATGAATGTTGGTGCTTTGCATTATAATCAGTCAAATAATAGACAAGTTGGATGATTGTAAGTGATTCTGAAGCTTCTCTATTTATAAGCATATATTTTTAGGTTTTTGCACGGTTGAGATTTAAGGTTGAGATTTTATTTTTAATTTTTCACTGATTTGCAACATACCTCAACATAAGGCCCTTACATATTTTCAGAGGTTTTTAACAGTGAAGGGCAAGTTTTAAAGTTAACACTTTAATAGCCAAAAATAGACTTTTGTTTAAAAAAAAAAACAAGAAAAAAAAAACACTGGCTGTGGTGAAGATACCTGAACAGTGAGTCACCGCAGAAATTAAGTCTTAAACTGGATCTCAGATTGGCTTTATTTCCCACTACTTTGCTTCTATATGACAAACTACTCTATTTTATTAAATTATTAGTACTCTTTGTTTGTTATCTGCATTTATCATTCAGTTTTTTTCAGAAAATGACAAACAAGCAGGATGAAAACTCAAGTTGTGTCCCATTGACTTACAGCTCTAGAGTTGCAAAGCGTTTTGCTTGCTGTTGGCCTAACACTTCTCCCACTCTCTCTTGTTGTTGTCCACTCATCTTCCTACATCAAGTCTCCTAGCAAATGGTACTGGAGATTAGTACCTGTAAGTCCATCCATTCTGAAGAACTTCATTAACTACTTCCACAGCATCAAACCCCCAACCTGCAAGATTACGCCCGTTTACATCCTCATCTTGTATTCTCTTGTCATTGCATGTGGTCCTGAGCCCCATCATGCATTGGTCCCCCACCTCCCATCCTATACCACCCCAGCCCTCCCTGTCAGATCCCTATATAGTCCTTCAAAGTTCCCTCTGGAAAAGCGCTTATCGATCCATTTCATCAAAAATACTGTATGTTTGTCATATGAAGGCTGTCTACTTTGAGAAACTGATACCACTACTGGTATCAATGGCTTCACATTTCCTTTTCTTGTTTCATCTGTGATGCCTTTTGTCTCCGTTTTGGTTTGAAACAAGGGCCAGGTTGCTGTTTTCCCTCTCCATCTTTTTTGAGTTGAAACTTACTGCCGCAAAAAAGTTTAACTGTTTCTTTTAAACCAAAAAGAAAGGACGACATTTCTCCTTTCAGAGGTTGATGCACATCCAGAGTGGCTGTAAAACAGTGATAGCTGCTGGCTGAAACTGGACTGTTAGATCCCTGAAGACAAATGTAGAGTTACTCCTGTGAGTTTTACAGCTCCAGTGAGGTGCGCAGAAAACCTGGAGGCAGAAAGAACCTTTTTACTAAGATGATTAACTTTTAACTCATGTTTGGAGCAGCATTTTCTGCCACAGCACCCACCACTGTAGAAGCAAAGACCCTCAATGCTAACCAGATGTATGGAGCTAAGAAGAATTGATTAGTTACATGCATTTGTCCCCCTCCCCTCTGTCTGGAGTACTAACCCAATCCTCATGAGCAATCATAGATAGCATCAAGGGGCTGCGGTGTTATGATTGCCTTTTTTCAGATGCATCTTAAAGTAAGATGTCAGAAAGTGTCTCATAATTGCATGATATATTTATTCTGCACTCGATAAGAAAAGCCTGAGCCCACTTTTTTGCCTGGAATACCTTTAATTATCACCTGTCTGCGAGTGTGTGGGTGTGAATGAGGTGTTTGTTTCCTGGTGCATGTGGATAAAAGTGTGACTGCACCAACAACCTTATACATCTACCCTGATGACACATAAAGGTGATGTCTTTGTGCCGTTGCCATGGTTTCAGGCTCGCTACAGGAAGGAGCATGCTCAGCAGAAGAGTGCTCCATCACTCCCCCTGGTGGAGAACCTGCTGAAGGATAATACAGACGGCTGTGCCCTGACCACCCTTCTTCACTTCTACTGCCCACAAGCCGTCAGATTGGAAGGTGGGACTGCACCCACAGTGACCTCACCCACTTGATATTATCAGACACGCCCTCTTTTATTGTAATTGTTCCTAAAAGTAAACAAGACTACAGTCGGAGCAGTCACTCCATTAGAAATAGGAAAGAAAAGGCGTACAATGAACAGACCACAATGATTTTCAGTCATAAGCGGGGCACACAAAGGGCTCTTTCTGCTCTTCAACTGTACATTTTAACAAGGGCTTGGAGCACAGATCAGATTTTATAAAGATTTTATAAAGGCTCATGTGTGTTTTGAAAACCTTAGTTAGTGAATCTTTATTATAACCCAGTTGGCTTTTGATGTAAACGTTTAAATCTCAGAGAACAACATGATATAGAAACTAGCAACCCTGTTTTGACCCGTTGTGGTCACAGTAAACAAAGAAGTAACTATAGAGACATAAAGAGAGAGTTTGAACCTCTCAGCACGCCCGCGTTCTCATCTCTAAAAACGTTCTGGGTTGGGTTGTGATTGGTCATGAGGGCCTTGTGACGGAGAACCGTTAGAGGAGTAGCTGGCTGCTATTTCAAAGATAAACAGCTCTTGTGTGGGAGACTCATGGGATTAGATGCAGTTCACAGGGAGCTCTGACACATGTGGACCAGATGTGGGGGCAAATGAAACTTCATTTAGGTTTTCTTACTTGCCGCCTGATTTAATGTGGTAAATGAGAGTGACATCATGTTTAGTTGTGTGTTCCTGCTTCCTCCTCATACAAACATGCAGGCTGTACTTAAAATTAGTCAGGGGGTAAAAATGCTGATGATTCAGCCATAAAGAGTTTGAGATGGTTTGAAAATTGTAACATTGATTGTGAGCGTTTCAAGTCAGCCACTGCATAATAGTACAAGACAAGTGGGAAAAGTTTGGTAATTTTCTTCTCATCTGTTCTTTTTTTTTAAACACAAACTATGCCTTATCTTTCCCTCCTCTTCCTGCCTGGCCTTTGCTATCACCTCCTCCCTTTTGTGCGTGTGTCTGTGCTGGTCTGGTGTGCTTGTGTGTCTGACCCCTCCCCTGGCTGAGCAGATATCTGCCTAAAGGAAACCATGTCTCTGGCTGACAGTCTCTACAACCTCCAGCTGGTGCAGGAGTTCTGCAGGAACAACCTCAACCACTGCTGCCACTTTAGCCTGGAGGATATGCTCTACGCACATGCATCCATAAAGGTAGGTCAGAGTGAAAACAGATTCTTTAAACAGGGCATAAGGAGGTGTTATGTTCTGATTTTGTCGTGTGGATTCAGTCGAAGAAAGAGAAGAGGAAAAGTTGTTCTGGGAAATAAAGAGAATTGGGGCGGGAAATTACAAAAAGGGATAAATGAGTCATGCAGGGAAAGTTTCATAATGAATGTGTGTGCGGGTCTGACAGAGGTTGTTACTGGGTGTACTGTGTGTATTGTCGCCTTTTAGTACAACCACTGCATCCCAAACAACAGCATTTTTTTTTCTGTCAGACAGAGACCGATTCTGCTCCGAGGAGATTCACAGTCCTGACCCGTCTCTGCCTGCCTCTCTTGTCTGTTTCCCCCCTCCCCTTTGTTTTTATCCAACAACAAAATCTGTGAACTCTTAGATAACACAACAGCTGATTCACTCTGCCCTCAAGCTCAGATCTTCCCTATTTCTCACCCATTTGCTTCTGATAATGAAAGAGTGTAGTGTAAAAGTTTATGAGCGTCTCTGTTGTCTCTATTTAGACTTCACAGCAGCAGCAGCAGCAGAGCTCATGTGGGTAAATAGTATGCAGAACAAGTGGGTAGAAACATTCAAGAATCAAGTCACGGTCCAAGCTGATGGGGAGTTTCCATTCTTTAAAACAGCACAACATCGCTTTCCCAGTTTGGCACTATTTTCTCTGTGTTTCTCCCATTTAGTTAAACTCACTACTTTGTTTGTTTTGCAGATGTAGGTAAGTAAAGAAGGGGTGATAAGGTCAATGAAGGTCATTTTAAGAGACTGGCAGACTGCCTTTTTAACACAGGCTCAATGCTCTTTGAATCTCAAACAGGCCATGCATGTGTTCATCACACTCACAAGGAAATTTTGTTATTGACTCTTTAGACGTACTGAAAAGTATGTTTACATTTTAGATACATTTAAATTTTTTACATTTACATCTACTTTTTAACAAAATGTGTTTATTTGACAGGGACAATATATGTCTGCATCGTTACATCTAATAATAGAGCAATCAATGCTGTATATAAAGGACCTATGGCCATGGTTAATTTGCAGTCTTTGTCCCTGCTAAGACAGCTTTTACTTTTCACTGCTTTGTCAAGTTTTGTGGATGGTTCCCTTTAATTTCAGGGTTATTTACTGAATTGTTTCCAAAAATTACAATAATGTTTATATCCCAATAGAAACTTTCTGTTTGTAACTTGAGATAGGGCCAGGCAATATGGCCTCAAATCAAAATCACGATATATTGAGCAGTTCACCTTGATAACGATAAAAGGACGATAACTGCTCCACAAGCTGCTCACCACCTCCACATTACTTCAGCCGCTACAACTTTTGAACCGTCCTCCATCTCCTCACCTGTCTTTCCCTCTTTGTTATGGACTGGATGGGGTGGAGTCACGTCTCGGACATAGGACAGCATCATAAAGGGACATGAGACCATAGCCTACCAACACACATCCAAAAACAACTTTTATTAATTTGATTTTTGACACAGAATATACCAACATGGGCAAAATGACGTCGGTTATTGTAAATTTCGGTATCTGTAAATTTTCAGTTTATTGCCCAGCCCTAAATTGAGAGCATTTCTCATTGCCTGATCCCTACTGTGTCGTCTCAAAATGACACATTTACATTAAACTCTAGGGAGTGTTTAAATGTTGTTATGACACATATGGTTTTGGCATTAAACCACACTCACACTATGTGGAACATACTGATATTCAACAACGCACACACACCTGTGCCTGTTACCTAGCAACAGTTGGTGGGCATGAACTCCTTCATCTATCACTATTGCTGTTGTGTCAAATAAGAGACAGCGAGAGAGAGCTGTATCTGCACGGACATAAATGTTTTTGTTATTGACATAAATAAAAAATGACCAACAGGCTGTAAGATTAATCACAAATGTGTGTGTCTGTGTGTGTATTGTTGTTTGTTTGTGTGTGTTGTCTTGCAGAGTAACTACCTGGTGTTTATGGCTGAGCTCTTCTGGTGGTTTGAAGTGGTGAAGCCGTCGTTTGTGCAGCCCAGAGTTTTTGATCCTAACGGTGCAGTACATCCTTATCCAATTCAATATCAGCTTTTTCTCATTAAATCGGACGATAATGATTGTTTCATTATAATATGCATGCTAATTTTGAACTCCAGTAACACCCAGTTAAAGATAATTATCGTGTGGTTCCTTCTGCAGCCTGTGAGCCTGTATTAAACTGTAGAAATATGGCTCCAGTGTCCAGTCCGGTCAAACAGAGTTATGCAGAGAGAGCTGACAGACCAGAGGACATCCCTGCAGAGGGTAAATATCTGATATTAACCGGAGATCATCCATCTCCAACTATCATTTATTGATTGATCAAAGTGTGTTAGAGAAGTTAAATAGAGGAACAGTAATTCTCTGTGGAGATATATTCATAGTTGTGATATCAAGAACATGTTGGCGAATTATTGCACTGATTTGTTCTACAGTCCTTATCCTACTGAATGTACCTTTTCTTTCTACTGTGATTTGTTTTTGTTATGAATATTTCCCCTTATGAACTACAGATCAGTGTAATAGAGTGTGGCTGTGGGCCCTCTAGTGGCTGATTCACAGAAATGCACCAGCGTTCAGGCTCTCCCACTGCAGTTGAGCTTTATGTTTGTTTTTTATAATGTAGTATCTTACATTCAGTAATATTTTACCTGAAAAATAACCCAAAGCTGGAGTGTGGGGAGAATAGTTCAGATCTTTTCAGATCAGCTTGAAAATATTGGATAAAGGGCCCTCACTCAGAAAAGTACACTTTGTTCTAACAGTATATGAATCTTTGTCTGCCTGAATCCAAAGCACTCAACCACAGATTTTGTTTTCAAACAGTGAAACAAGGATTTAAAACTTTCAAATAAACTCCTGTGTGACTTTTACAGGTGGGATGAAGAGATCTACCTCCATGTCGTACGTGGATGGCTGTGTCGGGACATGGCCCAAAGAAAAACGGTTCATACCTAAACTCTACTACTAGAGCAGATGAAATTTGTTACTTCAGCATGTTTTACTTATTTAACTGACATTGTTTTTCCGTCCTCCTGCAGCTCCTCCTCACGGGGAATCTCCTTTGAGATCCCTCTGGATGGAGACCCGACCTTGCCGCCCTGCGAGGTTCCTTCCCCCCGTGGTATGACGCGCTCCGCCAGCAGTGACGGTCTTGGGTTCAAGGTTCACTTTGCATCTCGAGGGGGCATGAAACGCCACCTGTCTCTCATGCCCGTCAGTGTAAATGGCCAGGGTAAACACATACCAGAGGAGGATGAGGACTTCATCCCCCACAAGCCCCTTGGGCGGAACAACACATTCTCGATCAAGAACCAAAGCAGGTACAGCAAAGACAGCAAAGACTTATGGGTCATTATTTTGAGTACTAGAATCTTCTGCTTCAGAACACAGTTAATTTATGATAAAAGCTGAAAAAATGAAAGTGGTTTGCTTTTGTGGTTTTTGTTTACACCTTCAAAAGTCTGCAGTACAGTGTGTACAGTTCAGCACTCTAGTATATCATCATTTATGCCTAAAGGCTCATTTATGCTCAACATATAGATCCATATACAGATGGAGCTCTCCGTTCGTGCTTCGTGTTCTTTTCGTCTGTAATTCTGCACGTATCCTTGAAGTTTATGGACTTGTACCAACGAAAACCGCGGGGACAGTTTTGCTGCTGTCACTACCTAGCAGACATCCTGAAGTACTGAAAATGATGATCGTCGGCAATTTTCCTCATTGGTACTACCAGAGAAAAGAATTCTCTGTCCTCCAACTGTAAAGCATTTAGTGGCCTGACCATAGACTGTACGGACAACTTTTATTCCGCCCTCCGCCAGCATACGGATTTGAAGCCAAAAAGCTCTCGATATTTCCGCATTTTGTCTCCACTTCCAGAATCCAACATTGCGCAGTAGTGTTGTACGCATTTGGCGGGAGAGTCGTTGAGAGTCGCTGTTATGCGATCTGCTCAAACACAGTATCTTCCGGGTGAGCTACACCATCTTGGTATGCCCATAGGCTGTATCAAGTGTCAATCATAGAAAACATGAACCCCCTAATAACTTTTAAAAATTGAGCTGTACAGAATAAAGAGGACTTGAACACAAACCAGTCTTACAATAACTACATGTCAACATCGCAAGCAGGAGGGAGAAAAAATTATGTTCTGTGTAATACATTTCTAAAGTTTGTCCACAGCTCCATAAGCTTTGCTGGCGGAGGCGGGATTTATGACCTATACTGCAGCCCGTCACCAGGGTGTGCTGTTCTCAGAGTGGCTTCACCCAGCGAGGAGGCAGACGGTGTCCATTCTATATACAGTCTATGGGCCTGACCGACCACCGCCTCCTCCAATGCTGCCTCTGTTTCTGTCTCTTATGCATAATATACATTATCACGAGCTCCTCCACACTCGCCATGTTACATTTTTTTGTTTGTCGTTGTCAGTAACTTTTGACTCTGGCCTGCCCCCTGCTGGATGTAATGGCTAACATTCATGCCAACGTAAAGGACGCATGGAAGTATGTGGGCAGTGACGGAACCATCATTTGAAACGGACCTATACATTTTCATACGTATTGCGAGCATAAATGAGCCTTTAGATAATAAACTAAGACATGAAAAGCCTGCAGAAATGTCAGCTTAGTTTTCCTTTTTACATTGACATTGAATAGTCTGAGACCCCTTTCAGATGTCATATCTTGCTTCCTGTTAACATAAAGCTTCGTTCATCCTTATAAACTCATCAAGATTTTTCTGAGGTTTTATTTTTGTTTAATCTGCGTAAATAAACAGTAAACAAACAATCAGATGATTTACTCTGACCTTTCCACAGGTACTCTAATGGAGTCCTCCCAGAAAGCAGCCTCAGCCCCAGCAATCACCTTGGCAACAACGGTGGCCACATCAGCCCGTCAACTCCTCCGAGTATTGAGGAGGCTCTGAAGATTATCCACGACACGGAGAGACCCCATGCCAGCCTGGGTGTCGGGGATGGAGACAACGCCTTCTTCCTTCATGGTGCAGACCCTCCAGGGGCTGCAGGTCAAGGTGACGACCCGGGTTCAGCCAAAGCTCAACTTAATGACCACGACCCCAACTCTTTGTCCACAGATGAAGTGGACACAGGAATCCACGTGAGGACAGAGGACATCCAGAGCCTGGATGAGGACTCCTCCTCTCTTAGAGACTACTCAGATATGGACCCTGACTGTGAGGCCATGACCCGGTCATGCCCTCTGCCAGACCAGCAGGAGAGAGAGAAGAGCAGAGGAGGAGGACAGAAAGGCCCCCGGGATTCTGACCCTGAGGGCGAGAGGAGGGGGGATGGAGGGGACAGGAGCAGCCCCTGTACCAGTTCAGCACCCACATTCCCCAGGTCTCACACAGCCAGTCCAGCCTCATCCTCTGGGGGCTCTGCAGGCGGGATAGTCCGAATGACAAGTTTTGCTGAGCAGAAGTTCAGAAAGCTGGAGGGAAGGAGCAGCGGAGGAACTACGCCAGAGAGTTCAGACCTCAATGTGCCGTACACACAACAGACAAGGAACATTTCACCTCAGGTCTGAGCCCCTCTTTATTTCAAATCTGCTTTTTCACAGAGGAAGAAATGCGATCTGTAGTCAAGTGGGTTGGCATAGAACTAATGTCAATAATCTTTGCACCTATTTCTAGATCTCTACACCACCTTTGCCGATCACATCACCCTCTCCGATCACGTCTTCACCAAGAGACCCCTCCCACCTGATCGCCTCAGAGATGATTCAACTGAGGATGAAACTGGAAGAAAAACGAAGAGCCATTGAGGCCCAGAAGAAGAAGGTAAACCCATATAGACCCCAAACTTTGGCAGGTCACATGGCATTGAATGTAAACGTTCACACATTTTGTACTTTTGAATCTCAGGTAGAGGCAGCTTTCACCCGCCATCGTCAGAAAATGGGTAGGACTGCTTTTCTGAATGTAGTCAGAAGAAAAGGAGTCACTGCTCCCCTCAGTCCCAGTTCAGGGGGAGCAGGAACGCCTTCTTCAGAGCCCGTCACATCCTCAAAGGAGAGCAGCCAGAGCAGCATGGAGAGAGCAGAGAGATGTAAACCAGACGGAGCAGCTCCAAAATCCCCCTGTGAGGACGGTGGAGGTGAGTTACAGTTAAGAGTCTGCTTCCACTCCTGAAGATTGTTTTATTTTGTTCTCACTTGACTTATGATCAAGAAGATGCTCTTATTGTAATCCACTCACTTTCTACTCACAGTGGAAACACTGGTAAATGTATCAATACAAAGCCTTGAGCAGCTGTTTTTAGGCAGTTTTTGGTACAGTAGTTAAATCTATAGAAAAAGACTTCAAGCTTTGATGCCAGAAAAAGTTGGCCAAATTTGAAACCTGGCAAATTTATTTAAAAGAACTTTGAGTATTTGTGAAACTATACAAACATTGCTGTTCTAACTATCTGGCTATTTCATCTATAAAATATTAAATTAGCTCATAATTTGTCATTTTCTGTAAGAAGAAAAGCATCAATCCTCACCTGACATTTCTGTAGCTGAAGCTAAAATAAACACTTAGATGGAAAAATTGTTGTACAGGGTATCTGTGGGGTCTTAAAAGTCTTAAAACATCTAAAATCCAATTAAGTAATTAATCTGCTGCTATCAGACTCTACAACCAAGCCTGCTCCTGTCAGACCAACAACAATAGAAGTTCAGTTTCTCCATACACCCCTAATTTATTTATTAATCATGTGCAATATCATCCAGTGTATTATCCAGCAACTACACTTCAGTCTACCTACACGCATCCATACCTGTGTTTGTTGGCACTGGTCCTTTTATATATTTTTTTATTTTTTGTACTACTCTTTTGTACACTGTATGTGTGAATGTGTATAGTGTGTATACCTGCTGCTGTCAACAATTTTGATTTCCCCACTGAGGGATCAATAAAGGAATATCTAACCTAATCAAATCTAATCTAATTAAAATTAAGGCCTTAAAATATCTAAAATTGTCCTAAAAGCTCATAAAGTGTCTTAAATACGATTTTGAAAGGTCTTAAAAATGTATAACCTTACTTACAAATGAATAACGTGCCATAGAAATCAAGATAGATTTAAAGTAATGTAAAATGTTCTGATTTCCCTTCATGTCTTTTGTACTTTGTTGCCATTGTGGATGTAAAATGGGTCTTAAATAGTATTCACTATGGTCTTAAAAAGTCTTATAAAGTCTCAAATTTGACTTGTTGAAACCTGCAGAGACCCTGTTGTATTTCAGTGGTATTGCTAACACTTTTAAGACTTGTTAAAAAAACTTAACTGAAGTGGCTGTCTGGTCTTTGTGTTTACTCTGGTGATACAGGTGTGACTCCAGGTGAAATAGATCTTGCGGAGTACACACGCTCCATCGAGAGGCTGAATACATCGCTGAGTTTCCTGCAGACAGAGATGCAGCGTTTGGCTCAGCAGCAGGAGAAGATCATGGCCATGAGAGAGCAGCAGCAACAAGCCTGGGTCATCCCTCCTCCTGCTCCGTCTCCACACAGGTATCATCGAATCAAAGATATTAGAAAGTTACCAGGAAAAGAAAATCATCACACTATCAACCTGTTTTCACTAACACGGCCATGTGCGTGTTGTTTTCTCTCTGTAGGCAGCTGCGTGAGTTGCGTAGCAGCAGTGTGACAGGTCGGGGATCAGGTCGAGGCTCGGTCGGTTCTCTGTCCCCCATCCTTTCCTCATCCGGTTCTCCTCACGCCCCTAATCGTTCCCCTGCCGGCATTAAGCGTCGGCCAGCCTCCTTCCATGCAAGGACACCTCGAACTCCAAGACCAAATGACCTAAAAGTCACACCCTTCAGTCGAATGCTCAACACCCCGACCTCAGTGGACAGCCTGCCCAGACTGAGACGTTTCACCTCAAGCCAATCCCAGATCTGCGCGTTTTCCTACCTTGGTAACGATGACTCAACGGGGGAAAGCAGCAACCATAAGGAAAAGGGCAACAAAGAAAAGGACAAAGACAAAGCAGAGGAAAAGACGAGCGCTGGCGCTCATCAGCCATCTGCTGAAGAAGCAGCCAAAGAGAAAGAAGAGGAGAAGCAGGAGGAGGAGAGGAAACAGACAGAGCAGGTTCAGTCGCACGGGAAAGTCAAACAAACGAGATCATCAGAGGTGTTGTGTCAGCCTGTGTCTGACATCCCTGCACCAACGGGCAGCCGGGTAACAAAGGACCCTCAGGACAGAAGAGACCTAGTTGAGGTTCCTCTGTCTGGGCTGAAAGCTCCCCAAGGATCCCAGAGTCAGGAGACAACAGGAGAGGGAGAAGCAGGAGGAGACGCTTATGGAGAAGACGGGAAGATGTGCTGTGGATTTTTCTTCAAGGTGAGCCAGATCCACCTGAGAGGAATCTCTTTATTTTCACTTTATTTTTTTAATCTTGTCAAGGAAAGTCCATGTAATAGTTTATCCCAACCAGGACCCTTACACTTATCTAAATAAGTGAGCGCTCTACTTCTTATCTAAAAACACATAAAAAAGATGAGACAAAAGAACAAAAGATGAGTGATAAACTTTAGCCATAAATAATAAACTAAATATGATGTATTTGGTTTGCTGTTTGATTGGGTCAAAATGAAAATTTTAAGACTTGAGGGCAAAGTCCAAGCAGTATTTTGCCTTTTTGAATACATAAGTGTTTTGTATGTAATTTCTGAATCATGCCATTACTTGTCAGTGGTACTGCTAGGTCCCCATTGAGGTTTCAAAGATGCAGGGCACATTTTTCTACTGGTAATCTGATTTATTTCATGTATTATCCCTCTCATCAAACACCAGGATGATGTTAAAGGAGAGGAGGACATGGCAGCAAAGAAAGCAGCTCTACTGGAGAAGAGGCTGAGGAGGGAGAAGGAGACGCAGGAGAGGAAGCAACAGCAGGAGTTGGACCAGGAGCAGAAGAAGGAAGCTGCACGGTTAGTCAGATTTTTATACTTCACGCCCAATCAAATCAAAATCTTCAGTTGTATAGTATCAAATAATACTTCAGATCTTTGCCGTAATGCTGTAAATCTGTCTGTTCTCCTGCAGGTTGAAAGCTGAGGAGGAGCAGCAGAAAAAGGACGATGAGAAAGCGAGGAGGGAATACATCAGGAACGAGTATTTGAGGAAGAAGCAGCTCAAGCTCATGGTGGATATGGACGAAGTTATAAAGCCTCGATCTGGAAGTCTCAAGAAAAAGCCACGACCCAAGTCTATCCACAGAGACGTCATGGAGTCGTCCACTCCCCCTGTGAGAGTAACAGGTGAGAAACACACAAGCCCTGAGAACCAACACAAACAAAGCACTTTCCACAAATGGACACATGACCTTTTCTGGGTCTTGTCTAGACCTGTGTGCAGGACCAGAAGACGTCCTCCATAATTGTGACTGTCTCTGTATTTTTATTATAATGTCATGTGTCAGACAAAACAAACACATGAGTAGAAACATAATACAAACAAAAAGCAAGCAGAAAAACTCTGACCATGTAAACTAAGTCAGAACTCCTGCAATTGTTGGATTTTCCAGACTTTCACCTGCTGCGTTTTATCAGCTCACCCAGACTTCTTGTAAAAATGTTACAAAGACCTGGCAAAAGCTGAAAAATCTAGCAAAAATATGGGTGTTTGCAGCCCACCTTGACAAAGTGAATAAGGTTCAAATATTCCCATTAGTTTGGTGCATGTGTAAAAGGGGAATCGCACATGTATGCCAGCCACTAATTCTGGTCTTTTTTGTTACAGGAGTGCGCCCTCGAGGCTTCTCAGTATCAAGTGTTTCTCTGGCATCCCTAAATCTGGCTGATAACGACAGAGAGCAGCCAAATAACAAGAAGAACTACAGGTGAGACTCAAATAAATATCTTTTAGAAATCAAAAGCACGGCTGAGTTAAGAAGATATTTATAATGAAAAAAATTGAAGCTGGAAACTAGACTTAGAAGGACCCCTCTAGAAATCTGAGCGGACATGTTGGTACAGTTTCAGATTTTATAAATATGCCGAACGCCTAAATTTTAACTAAAGTGAAATGTGTTTTTTTCCTCAAAGCAAACTGTGTGCTCTTTTCACACTCTTCCAGTGGATTTGGTTCCATTTGATAATTCTGAACATGACATTATCTTGTTTGGTTTCAAAGGAAATCGTTTTGATAACATAAATGACACCTTGATTCAATCACTCACGTCTCCACTCTTAACCCAAAATCAAATTTCTTAGTTATGCTGATCACTTGTAGTGTTGAAAACCGGCTTTACGATTACAGTGTTCAATTTCATGCATGTTTCTGAACAAGTGAGTAAAATACAATCTTATTTCACTTTAAAAAAACAGGTGTTTGAAATCCTATATGAAAAAGTTCTCCAGAAGACTGTTTCTAGTCAAAGCTAGTCAAACTTTTAAAGCTTTACAACTCTTGTTTCAATTTTTTTATTTTCCTCACATCCAATAAGACTCGATACCCTCAAGTGTTTTTTTGATACGGTTGACTATGTCGAGGCTGAAACTCTGCATCTTGACTCTCTTGAATCCCTCTCTCCTTTTCTCTTTATTCTGCATGCATCCCTCAGAGGCAATAAAATAGCTTCTGCAAATATCCCGTTCTTTCTAAGCTCTCCCAAAGAAAGAAAGGGAAGGTCAGTAACACCCCGACTGAGGCTGCTTCAAGTTGTTCTAGATGCTTCATGTAGAAACAGCTCCATGAAAAGCTTCATTAGACATCGTTTACATGTAGACAGTAGGCGGATGTTTCAACAGTGAATAAGCTCAGCATTATCCATGACAGTGTTTGCTTCTGCATTAAGGTATATATGGGACCTGTGGAGTTCAGATGTTTCCGCCTCAGCTCTCTCACTCTGCTCCCTCTCTCTGTCTCTGGCAGTATTGCTCTCAGGCTGTTGTTTGTTCTCCTCTTTATGTCTGCTGCTCTGCACTTCACTACTGTGTGTGCTTTCTCTTCCACGAGTACTCGATCCCATCTCTCACAACGGCCATAAAGGCGGTTGTGTTTCTTTGCTTTGCTCGGCTGAACATGACTTTCTGTCCCCTCACTGCACAGCTCAGTCTGTGAGACAACAGGCAGGGTTTGGAGAATTGTGCCATCGTGTCTGACTCTGTTTTACTCCCATCTCTCTGTGTGTGTTTCATATCTGTGTGTGTCTGCATGTCTCTCTGTGTGCTCTTTGTTTACTCGTCTGCCATTGTCATGCTTGTGTGTATCAACCTTTTTTTCTGTTAATTGTGGGTTTCGTCATGTCTTTGTGGGTTATTTGTTGGTTTAAATGTGATTCTCTCCAGGCCGGACTCTGCTGAAGGTTTCTCCTCGTGTCCTTCGACTGGCAGCCGTAACGGTGAGAAGGATTGGGAAAATGAATCCGCCACATCATCTACCCCCTCCAACGCTGAGTACACAGGTAAGATACACACCTGCATGAGTAACTACAAATACACAACCTCTCTAGTTTTTGTGATCATATCCTTATTCTTTCTTCTTACAGGACCCAAACTTTATAAGGAGCCAAGTGCTAAATCCAACAAGCACATCATCCAGAACGCTTTGGCTCACTGCTGCCTGGCTGGCAAAGTCAACGAAGGACAGAAGAATAAGATACTAGATGTACGTTCTGTTGTTATGTTTGTTCTTCTGCTCAATACTGAAGCAAAGGATCATGTTTAGTGAGCAGGTAGTTTGAAGCAGATTATAAACGCACAAGATGAATAGGGCCATGACGGGAAGCTGGGGTCGCCGTCTCAGTCTGTTGGCATTTTCATTTCATTCATCTAAAAACTGCTGCATCCAGTACCATAGCGTCTTTTATATCAAGTGCTGTCTACAGTTTCTTAAATTCTGAAGCTTTTGTGTCTTTCATGTTAAATTTTTAGAGGTTTTTTTTTACCCTGGGACTACAGAAGGGCAGCGAGCAATGCTGGCATTAACATTAGCTTAGTGCGTTGGTAGAGAGTCTCTGTAGAGTTTCAATACACTGATCCAGGCCAAACAACAGCTGTAGTAAACACTCAGGGTTTGTTTTGCTAACAGCTCTTAAATAATGCTGTAAATTTGTAAATGTTGTCTCATTTTTTTAATCATATTTTGGGAAGGGGTAGTTTTTATCAGTCATCAGGGGTTTTCATCCCCCTATCCTAACCCCTAACCCTTAACCCTAACCCTAACCCTAATCCAAAGTTATTAAACAACAAAGTCTTGTCAGGGGGTTACATCAGGGGTTTTCATCCCCTTATCCTCTCCCAACCCTAACCCTAACACGTAGAAAATTTTGACATTTTTCCACAGTTTTTTCTCCACCTATTGACCTTTCCTCCAAATGGTCTGAAGCGTGTTCCCCAAAAGGTCCTGGACAGTGATTTTAACCCTATCCCCTTACCCTGGCCCTCACCCTAACCCTAACCACTTAGAACCACTTAGATGTATCCAATGTAAAGCGCTTTGAGGGTCTCTGATAAAGCGCTATATGAAATCTGATGCATTATTATTATTATTATTAAAATCTGTGTCCGATCTTACATCAATTCATCTGATAGATATGAGGAATGAAAATACGGTATCAAGGATAGTTATTTTGTGTGTTTCTCTGCAGGAAATGGAGAAATCTGAAGCCAATAACTTTCTGGTGTTGTTCCGTGATGCTGGGTGCCAGTTTCGGTCTGTGTACACATACTGCCCTGAGACGGAAGAGATCACCAAACTGGCGGGCATAGGGCCAAAGAGCATCACCGCCAAGATGATCGACGGCCTGTACAAATACAACTCAGACAGGAAGCAGTTTAGCCTGATCCCTGCTAAAACCATGTCTGCAAGCGTGGATGCCATCACCATCGCCAGCCATCTGTGGCAAACAAAGAAGCAGGGGACACCCAAAAAACTGCACCCTAAGTAGATCTGGAGAGAAAATGTGTTGTATCATTAAACGTCCCACTGTAAGAAACCACAACTGGAATGTAGAACACTAACAGGCCTCACAGACACTGTCAGGAAACAGAGGTGACTGTCACACTCTGGACTTCTTCAACGGGGCACACGTGTGTACTTGTCAGCATGTGTATCAATGTTCTCTCATGTGCCAAAAAAGAGCTGAAAACAGAAGGCGGACCCATGCCTTACCTAGTTGAACCACTGAAGCAGTGAATGTCACGCCTCTAACAGAGGCAGTTTGGTTTCTCTGAGTTTATCATGTGTGGCCTTATGCTTGTTTTGTGTCATACAGATGCCCTGTGAGCATTGGTGTCATTTTGTTTGCACCTATGGATAAAGTCTGTTGTGCTTCAGGTGAGGTTGTGTGTACTTACTACAGGTCTCAGATAAGATAACGCCCATTATAGAATCCAGGGTGTTCATCTCTTGGGGTGGTCTGTCTGATCTGTGATCAGGTAGAGGCAGCATTTTTATGGAGAGTTTTGCTGCTATACAGGCATGGTTTCTGTTTTTTAACATGTGACTGAAAAAGTTCAAATTTGTGTGTATGTGCGTGCGTGTGTGTGTGTGAATTGTGAAGTGCCAATAAGACTGAGGACAGTACCTCAGCTGGTGATTGCAAACACTTTCCAAAAGAAATGAAGATTTTGTGGAGCATATTGAGTGCCATTGGATGGTTCTGGAAAGCACTTGCAATAGACTCTTAATTTATTTCATTTTGATAATGCTTTGGAGATACTTTTAAAGGTCATCTTAGATTTTATTCAGAGAAACAGACTATACTACAGGTATACTATAAGTTAAATTAGTTTGTATATTATGGCAGATCCATTCAAAATGAACAAGTCAGCTTGTAGTAGCTTTTTTGAGTAGCTTTTATAATTTATCATGTGTGTGTACCAGTGTGTGTGTCCTCTGGGGCCTTTTATTGTGCTAAAAATGCAAAGAGTGCTATCACTCAAACTTGTTACTGATAAGACTATCATCAGTCGTAGAATAGAAGAAAATCCAACACTTTGTCATCAGTCTGTGCAATTTTAAGAGTCACCATCGACCGTGTTGGGACTAACAGAAACTCAATACCACTTGAAGGAGGTTTTTGTCTTAAATATAACACCCTGATTACTCTTGCAGTCGTCCACAATTGTAAATAGAAGAATTCACCGATGATAGCACTTCGGGACCCTGTACACTGTTGTTTCCACTCCAGGTTGTTCCTATTTGGACTTTACTTTTACCTTCCTGTCACATAATTTTCACTACATGTTTCCTCAGTATGTGTTTGACACTGTACAGATATATTTTGGCATATAGAAGTATTTTTTGTAATGACATTTACCTGTTGAAGGAGTGTGTGAATGAAGCAGTACAGCTGTTGAAGGAAGTGTGTTGAAAGAAAACTGTAACTGATGATGCAAGGTATGTAAAGTCTTACTGAGGCTTTATTATGGTATTGTATGAACTCCACTCAGTAAACTGATAAGAGCATAGTATTTTTTTTCCAACTCTGAATTCATTTTATAATTTTCATTTTACTAAACCGGCTCAACTCTTCATGTTTTTGTTGTTTTTCTATTCCTTTGAGCTTTATTAAAATGCCAGCTATCAACAGTACTCATGGTGTCTCCTTTGATTGACGTGCCGCGTTCCCACCAACGATTTCACATTATCAGTGCTGTCTCACGTTTCACTCTGTCACATTTCTCTGTCTTTTCAAAGATAAATAACAGGTAAATATCATACAAATAAGATCTTTAGTTGTATCCTCAACAATAATTTATGTGCAAACACATTCAGGAGACAGTAAGTAAAGTGACTCTGCAACAAGTCATTATCTATATAGCACAGCTGTGTATTTCTGTCCAGCCTAGTGAGGCTGACAGACACTAATAACAGAGGGTTTCAGACTGTTAAATAATACATGGAGTTATTCAGAAAATCTGCTTTAGCAGCATAATTTCGTATTGTTGGGTGAGCTGAGTGTCTAAATCTGCTGGGTATATTTATTTTTGGGTCAATAAAAGCATCCACTTAAATCAGGTATAATCATTTAGAGAGTGTGTCCAATCTGTAGTTAGAAAACGTTAGACCTTTAATTTCTATGCTACTGTTGTTTTTAAACTGTGAAGTTTGAGAAGCCTCACATATTTTTAGGGACATTTTCCTAATAAATGCATTTTAAGGGTTCCCTTTTTCAAAATTCTGTATACCAGCTGAAATTCAGTTCTTTTATTCAGTGATATTTAAACAGTGTGTGCCTTATCCATTTCAGCCTCCTAAAGTAAGCTTTTTGTAAGCAGTACCTTTTCTACCCCTTCTTCTCCTATTTATTCAATAAAAAAGGAAGCTCCAAAGGTAACTGTCTTTCTGATGTCTGCTGAGACAGCTCCAGTTAAAAAAATCTGACTTGATTTGTCAAAATAAAAAAGACATTTTTTTTAAGGGGTCAGACACTATCTGAGTCATTTTGAAGTCACAGTATGATAATTTTGACTATCCTGACCCCATTTACAGCATAACAGACAATAAAGCAGGGTCTGTTATTTGAGGGTGTGGCTTCAACTGACTTTGCTTCCTTCCTTCCAGTTCTGCCTTCTTGTCCTAATGTCAGGACAGGAAGGAAAATGGCAAAAATCCAAACAACAAAGTTTGAGTTACATGTGGGAAATGTTACAACAGCTGTACATCCATCTCTCACAGTGTGTACTTTGAAAAAGGAGGGTTTTGTTAATTGTTTGTTGTTGCACAGTCTCTTTCTTTCTCTCAGTCCAGTGTCCTCTGGCTGCAAGGATGGTAATCACTATTTTCTGAAATGAATAGTAACAACAACAAAAACAATAATAATAATAATAATAACTTTAATTTTATCGCAATTTTAAAAACAGAAGTTTACAAAGTGCTTTGACAACAGTTGCAAGCACAGAACATCAGCACATGAAAATAAAAACAAATAAAAAACAAAAGCTCAGTTAAAAACAAGGCCTCCGAATTGAAGGCCAATTTTATTTGTCGTAAGGAACCCAGACAATACAAGAACCCTACAACATAAAATGAGACCATGAGGAACAGAGCCAGCCCAAGGCATAAGCTTAGGGCCCTGTGGCCAATAGGGGGCCCACAAAGAGAAAAAAAATATATATATATATATATATATATATATATATATATATATATATATATATATTATGTATGAGTGATGCTTTCTGTATGATCAAATATATATTATTGTAAAAATAAAATAAAGTAAAAACATTTTCGTGCTGCTGCTGATGTAGGCCTGTGATTCTTACTACCATTATGTCAAAGCTCCGCTACCGTTATGGGTCTTCTGCAGTGCAATATGCACTGAGCATCCAAAGCGCAGGTAGTTGTGGGGCAAAACAATGTCACAAAAAAGGACATATCCTTCAGGAGCAGAGTAAAGAAAGAGGGAGAAGAGAAAAAACACCACGATAAAGGTATGTTTGCATGTCATGTAATGTTAATCAAAGAGACTTGTGAAGGTGTGTGAATGATCAACAATCAATATTATTGGCAGAAATAGAGGGCCCCAGAATCAAATTTAGCTTAGGGCCCCATCGAGACTTGGGCCGGCTCTGATGAGGACCAAAATAAAAAACACAAAATAGCTAAGAAGTTGTTGGCCTATTGCTCAAAATTTGAATAATCAATGGCAGATTATAATACACAGGGCAACATGAGGGTGAAATTAAAGTTAAAGCTTTGCAAGGGTTGTTTGGACGTAGGGTGTGTGAAGACCCCCTCACCCTTATGATTTTTGTGCACGCCTCTGTTTTTATCAGTTTATAGGTGAAAATTTCACATATTTATCAATCTGCCAAAATTAACTAGGCTTCTTTGTGGTTGTCATGTAAGATTCATGCTGCTCCTGACGTGAGGAGTCTGGGGGATGAACGGAGGAGGCGGTGCTCCTGCAGGCAGCAGGCGGCAGGCAGCAGGCAGGCAGGCAGGGCTGGGTAGCAGCAGCAGCAGCAGCAGACCGCAGAGGAGCGGCGCAGAAAGATCCAGTAAGGAGACAGACTGTGAACACTACCAGCCCTCAGGACAGCGAGCGGTACCGTCGTGGCAGCGTCTGTCTGCGGCTTGGAAACACCTGGAGGACTGCGTTTTCATGCATTTTTAGAAAAAGGTGAGCGTTATTAGCAGCATATTTGTGTTGTTGTTTGGAAAGCTGTCAGTGCGTACCCCGCCCGGACAGCAGCTAACTAGCGGATGATGCCTCACTCCCCCGGCCTGGCGAGCTAACAGTCCCCCCTCGATTCACTGACCGCTGAATTAGCCAGCTTCGTATAAGCCCTTATGTTTACTAGCTGTATATTTCTTTTCCTGTAATCCGCTCTCTGTATTCAGATGCTTTTTACTGCCTAATCTTCTTACACTGTTTGACTTAGTGCCAGTGTTATTAGCTAACCATCTATCCGTGCTAGCTTAGCAGGACCGCAGTGCCCCTGTGCCTGTCTCTGTTGTTAGAAAGGATAAAAAAAGCTTTCTTCCTCGATTAACACCTTCGTGTGAGAGTGTTTTAAGCTCACGCCTCTGTGGATAACTATGTTTACACATAGGTCTCCCATCTGCCATGATAATAAAGATAAGATGAGCTTTCTCCTCAGTCAACACATGTGTAAGATTGTGCATCCTGTCAAAGTTACACACCTTAGTGATCCAACTACATTTGTATGCTTTGTTTACTCATGATTTGTCATGAAAAACGAGTTAAACACCAGAGACACTGCTCTCTCTAAGACAGGTTTAGTGGGAGGATGTTTAACTCCCAGTATGATGTAGATAGTGGCGTAAATGCTGTAATTACATCAAATGATAAAACGTATTCATGTGTCAGTGTGGACTAACTGGCTAACATCACTATATCCCTGAGTGGCCTGGAGATTAGTTTAACATGGAAACAAGGTTTTGCTTAAAGTCACAACAAACTGCTGTGTTGTCAGTTTATACACCTGTGATCCTCAGCAGTTAAGATTTAAAGGGATATTCCGGCGTAAAATTAAGTTAGGGTCAAATACACTGTAACACTGAGTTAGACATCTCCTCAAGAGATGAATGTTGCTGACCGCTTGCTTCTCTAGTTATACCAACTTTAGTAATGACCGCACGCCTGATCAAACTTCAATACAAGAACATTCAAGCTCATGATGCACTCTAGATGATCTCTATGAATGTGCATTCAGTTTCACTCATGCATATTGAAGCATCTGCATTTTACAGACTTTCTGCAACTTGCTAGTACAGCTGAGCAGTATCTCTGACTGTTATCCAATCTGATTTTCTCATTCTTATTTTACATGAAAATCAAGTTCAATCTCAAGACTTAACCTGGTAACCAGTATCCTGGTCTTTGGCTCATGTCACAATTTTGATCTTAAACAAAAAATAATTAAATGATACATTATGGAACATCAGTTTAAGTCACCAGTATAAAACTTGAATTTGTTTCTATCCCCCTTGACGAATTATTTTCATCCAAAAACTTCCAAAAATTTAGTACGCTGTAAAAGTGACATTTACGTCACTCATGCTGATCTTTGCTTTAAACTTTGGATGTAACAAAAAATAAAATATAACAGTTACTTGGATGGGATTACTTCTGCAGCTGACAGATTTATTAAACAACATCTAGGGTCATATAACCAGTGTGGACTTGCCTGTAATTACTCAGTCGGGTCCTACTTGTTACCAACTTTCTAATTCTGGTCCAGATGTCTGTGCCTCAGTCTGCTATAGTTTTGTTGTGCCTTCAGCGTAGAGCAACACAAAACTGTTTGTTTTCCATGCGTACACACTAACATCAGTAATTTACTCACATGTGATTGTCATGCAGCCCGTCGTCACCATGACAGCGGAGGAAACCATCAATGTGAAGGAGGTGGAGATCATCAAGGTGATTCTGGACTTTCTGAACGCCAGGAAGTTGCACATTAGTATGCTGGCTCTGGAAAAGGAGAGTGGCGTCATCAATGGGCTGTACTCTGACGACATGCTCTTCCTCAGGTAGAGACATACCGTACATCTCACTACGTATTTTCAACCTGCTCTGTTCTAGAAAGTTTCAACAACAGGCAGCTGACCCAATTTGAAGTTAAGTGTTTTTTGTATTGTCCTCTATGGATATAGTACCACACTGCACCTCTGCGGTAGATGTGAGCGCACTTCTAATTCTTCTCCTCAGCCAGTGATGCATGTGTTTTAGACTGTCTTACCTTGATTTTCTGCACCGTTTTGAAGAACATATCACTGCCATATGAAAATGTTTTATTAAAATCATACAGGCTCACAATTTTTTCTTTACATTTGAAAATAGTGACATGCTTCCATTTATAATCTGTTTAAATTAACTGTTTCTGGTTCAGGCAACTGGTTCTTGATGGCCAGTGGGATGAAGTCCTGCAGTTCATTCAGCCTTTGGAGTGCATGGATAAGTTTGACAGAAAAAGGTATGTTTGTTTTGAGTTTATTCAAGTTCAGATTCATTTGTTATTTTAAAAAATTGTGCAGTTAATGCAGTTTTCAGCTTGCACTTTAAGATAACTTGCATTGACACTAAAATGTGTTTGTATGATAGTTTCTAACACTGACTGTGATGTCTCAGGTTTCGTTACATCATCCTCAAGCAGAAGTTTCTGGAGGCGCTGTGTGTGAATAATGCCATGTCTGCAGAGGATGAGCCACAGCATGTAAGCCACCTCTCCAACTTGTTGTAAATCATTCATTGCTGTTGACAGGGGAAATATCAGTGCATACCAATATTCAGGTGTTACATCTGTGCTTTTGTTTTGACATCTCCCTTTTATGAATGGATTTTGCAACAAAGCTGTTTTTCTCTTCACACTGACTATCACTGGTTCTTGTGACAGTAAACAGAAAAGTCCATCTGAAAGACTAGACTAGACTAGAAAAGCAAACGGTCTGTTCATTCATGTTAGTTCAAATCAAAACTCTGCGTTTTATCTGAACAAACCTCACAACCACTCTGTAAATAAGGAGAAATGGAGGCGGGTGATTGTGTGAGCATGTCATTTGCATGCAAGGAGTGCTGTTGGTATTGGCTACTCTGCAGTCTGAGACAGATCTGGACTGAGATTTTTCTGTGTTTCTCTGTTACATTCTCTTTTAAGAGAGTCTGTTCACCACCTGTGATCAGGCTACAGATGAAATGGTCACAAAAAAAAGGTGTGACCATCTGCTGCTTGCTTGCTTTTTGGCAGAGTGATAAAATGGATCAGATCAGTCTTTCTGGGATTGCATCGATTCAGAATGTTCATGCTGAGAGTAACACATGCATGAATAAGCTGCCTTTCCAAGATGAACATGTAATACTGGAGCTTCTCATGTTTGAAATCAGCTGAAGAGTTTCCACTGCTTTAGGAAACATGATGGATTATCTCAACTTCTGAACAAACGTTTGTGTTTGTATTAAAGGGATACTCCGACATAAAATTAATTTAGGGTCAAACACACTGTAACACCAAGTCAGACATCTCCTCGAGAGATGAATGTTGCAGATCGCTTGCTCCTCTAGTCATACCAACTTTAGTAACGACCGCACAATAGCAACACAGCGGTCTGAGGAGCCATAAACAAACCTCAACCAAAAATCCACTCTATAGCCGCAAATAATGCTCAGAACAGCACCTAACTTCATCAACAGTACATATAGGGTCAGAGCCATAGCACTAGCCACCAAACATCTTTTTAACTTTGCCTGATTTCTTTAGCAAACAGACTCACCCACTCTCCTCCAGCAGCCACTTGTTTGTAGGAAGAGCTTGAATGAGTACATCACCGACTGCAGCGGGGTGACGCAGCTCAAGGAAGAACATTTATGATCATTACTTTATCGTTTCCTTGAAGTAGTAATCACCATACTTATCATTTTGCACTGCAGACGCGGTAGTTCTTCTGCCTAAGCGTCTCGGTCTGATTGTATTTCCATGAAGAAATAATCATAAATGTTCTTCCTTGAGCTGCGTCACCCCGCTGCAGTCGGTGATGGACTTGTTTGAGGTCTCCCTACAAACAAGCGGCTGCTGTGTATAACTCGGTGTTACAGTATGTTTGACCCTAACTTAATTTTATGCCAGAACATCCCTTTAAATGGCAAAAAGTCCCCATCAAAATGCATAATAACACATTTAATAATGTACTGACTGGAGTTTCTGCCTTCTCAGAAACCCTTGCAGGGACTTCACAACTCTGACTTGATTATGATTCCTCTTTTCTTTTCAAAAACTTTAAGACTGAGAACACAAAGCTGTTGTCTTTTCTGCTTAACTTCCTGATTCTGTTCATTGCTCATGATGTCTTGGAGCTGGTCCTTTATAGTCTGTCATTTGAAAGTTATCTTGGTTACCTCCTGTGTGCAGCTGGATATAAAAGTCTTTTAAGGAGAGCAATGTTTTCCACCTCTGCTGCACCAGGAGAAATGTCTACTCGGTCATCTGTGACAATCTAAAATCTTTTCTATGTCTTCTTTCGCAGCTGGAGTTCACCATGCAGGAAGCAGTCAAGTGTCTTCATGCCCTGGAGGAGTTCTGTCCTTCTAAAGAGGACTACAGCAAACTGTGTCTGCTCCTGACGCTGCCTCGCCTCACAAACCACGCCGAGTTCAAGGCAAGACATTTGAAAGTTGAGGAAAACAGAGACGCTTTAGAAGTAGAGACAGCTTAACAAGATTCACCAGTTCTCAAGAAAAAAAAACAACAGCGGGATATGTTGAAATATTTATATTCATGATGTGTTTGATCATTTCTCTGCTTGTGACCCTCAGGATTGGAACCCGAGCACAGCAAGGGTACAGTGCTTTGAGGAGGCCTGCACGATGGTTGCAGAGTTCATCCCCGCGGACAGGAAGTTGAGCGAGGCTGGATTTAAGGCCAGCAGGGATCGACTCTTCCAGCTGCTCCTTAAGGGGGTCCTCTATGAATGCTGTGTGGAGTTCTGCCAGGTTAGCACTCCTAAATCTGTTCATATTAATGTGGTTTTATTAAGAGTATAAACTACAAATTATATCTAAATTGCGTCTTATGTGCAGAGTAAGGCGACGGGTGAAGAGATCACAGAGAGTGAGGTGCTCCTGGGTGTTGACATGCTGTGTGGAAACGGCTGTGACGACCTGGACCTGTCCCTGCTCTCCTGGATGCAGAACCTCAGCCACACCGTCTTCTCCTGCGCCTTCGAACAAAAACAACTCAACATCCACGTGGACCGCTTGGTAAAGCCTGCAAAGACCGGCTACGCTGACCTCCTCACCCCCCTTATCAGCAAACTGTCTCCATACCCCTCCTCCCCACTGCGTCGCCCACAGTCCGCAGACACCTACATGTCTCGCTCCTTGAACCCGGCGCTGGATGGGTTGTCTTACGGGCTGTCAGGTCAGGATAAAAGAGCGAGTGCCGGGGAGGCTGCGCCGGGTAAAGGCATCTCACCCATGTCTCACTCCTTTGCAAACTTTCACTACCCTGGAGCGGGAGGACAGAGCCTGAGCAGGAGTCTGATGATGGAGAGCTCAGACTGCCACAGCATTTTTGAGGAATCCCCTGAAACGTACGTGTTTGTTTGTCTCACAGCTCTTCACTCATATCAAGCTTAGATCATGTTTTGACTCTTTGGTGGTAAAAAAAAAATCCTGTTGCTCTCTTTTTTTCTCTCTCCCAAGATCAAGGACAGACACACCTGTGGATAAAATGATGAGTTCAGGTGGAGCTCAGACTCTCCGTCCTGCCTCAGCCCCGGGTGAGGACGCTCCACCTGCAGGAACTGCTGACAGGAATGAGGTGAGAATCTCCTTTTAACTGGTCAGACCTGTTTTATATCGCACATCGCTCAACCAGTGCTTTAATATGTTATGCCTCTGTATTGTTTTCTCCTCCTGCTGGGTGTTGTCTGCAGCGGCGGTCTAAATATAGGCCAGTTGTGATTAATCTGTTTCAGCACACTATGAGTCTGACTCATCCTCCTCCTGTAGGTCTGAGGTATAGAGTCTGGTCCCTGTCAGGTCTGATTGGGTTTTTACTGGAGTTTGCTCTGGTTTTGATTTGTTTGATTTTGTCACTTCCTCTGCTGTAGTTGTGTCACAACACTCAAACTTTCGAGCGTGAAGGAGAGGAGTGTATGAATTTGTTTACTTAAACAAATTGTTGTTTGTACTACTCGCTCCACCTGCAGATACACGGTGTTATCTACATTTATACCCCTTTTACGCATCATTTCTGTAAACACACATGCATGATATTAATATAAATTCTTTGTTCATTGCAAGTCACAACCTTATGTTTATATATCAGCTTATAAATCAAAGAATTAGGATCCTCCTTGTTACTAAAGATAGAATTTGCCTAAGAATAATCATGTTTCGGATTTTCAGTGTTACAGAAATTAGGGCTGGGCGATATGGCCTTAAATCAGTATCACAATATATTAATTATATATCACACACATCCAAAACCAACTTTTATAAAAAAAAATTTTGACACCAAATATATTGACATGGGCAAAATGAGGTCAGTTATTGTCGTTAATTTCGGTATTGGTAAATTTTCATTTTATCGCCCTACCAGAAATGTTTTTTTTGGGTGAATGCAGTGCTAACAGTAGCTGCTAAAAGCTTATTTTGTGCGCTTTTTAGAGGCTACTTAAGTTGGTATGAAAAAATTTAAGCTAGAGTGGTTGCAGACAGTGTTTTCAGCAAAAACCACAGGAACAAGATGAGGGATGTCAGGTGTTGTATGGAGTAGTTTAAAATAAAAAAAGGAATTTGTTTTTCTTTATTTCTTAGAACATTTTTCCAGACACATTTTTCAACTAATGCTTGCAGCACTTGTCAAACTATCCAGCCAGTAATAAAGGAAACAGGCGAACAGAAACAAAAGAGGGGGAATCTAGGGGGATTTGGTCTGTAGGGACACGTGATCCAAGATCCCAGGAGTGAAAAATGACTCATTACGGCCCTCATGTTGTCTGTAAACACAGTGTTAACACAGTATCTGTTCCTGTCTGTCTCATGCTTTCTATTCTGGGCCCCCCTGTGCAGCTCACCATGAAGTTAGTGCTTCGTCCTGCCTCTCTTGTCACCCTGGAGACACATAAAGAGGCCAGAAACAGAGACAGACTTTGGGTCAGCTCTGATCTCACTGTCACGCTCCTGCCCTCTCTTTTTTGTTTTTCTTCTGGGCCCTCCATATTTTTTTTTTTTTATACAGAGCTGGCACAGTGCCAATGTCCCTCCTTTTCTCCAAAAATACAGTAGAGCCTTCATGTCTGTAATTCCACACAGGAAGCCAAAGACAGAGAGAGGAAATGACCTGTCGTCAATTCTCAGCCTCATACTCCTCCCTCCTCTAATACCTGAACTGAAAGAATGAGGAGGAGCAGGGTTCATGTGATCACAATGCTCTCTTTATTAAGGGATTAATAAAAGCTGCCAGTGATTTTCTTTTAATTCTTACCACTCCTAAAACACATTTCGTTGTGTTGTTTTTGTTTCTTGTTCACTCCCCAGCTCCGTGACTCCACAGAGAAGTATGAAGAGTTTTACCGGCAGCGTCTCCGAGTGCAGCAGCACCTGGAGCAGAAGCAGCAGCAGAGACAAATGTACCAGCAGATGTTGTTGGAGGGCGGGGTCCAGCAGGAGCCTCCCCCAAGTGACATGCAGCACAGCCTGACGGAGAAGTTTCTCAACAGGTACGCACAAACAATGGTTTTCTCAATTATTAAGAAGGCCGCACCTGTCAAACTGTACCTCAGATCATGGAATCTGCCTGCTGTGTGAGGGTGGAAGCGGTGCAGCTCACCAATTAGGATTCTGGTTTTTCATATCTGCACACAAAAGAGGAGCAGCTGTCTGACAAGTAGACATGTTAAGGTCTCGATAATTATGAGTCCCAGGTGGTTTTTGTCCTGCATCACAAACACCTCCCCCTCAACCCTGCCTCCAGTCCACTCTGCACCATCTGTGGTGAAAAACTACAGCACCACAGTCACATGTTGGGAGCTTAGACTCATATGTGAGTCAGACACTAATGTTACACTCAGTGTCAACGAGGAGGCAGCGTCCATTATTGAGTATGTGACAAAAATAAGATGGGAAATGTTCATTTCTGCTTTGTCAGAGGGACAAAGGCGCTTTGATCATTACCCCTGCAGCCCTCTTCTCCCCTCTCTCTCTCTCTCTCTCTCTCTCTCCCTGTCTCTGTATGTCCTGCATTATTCACAAGGGAAGCTGTGCATAATGACATCATTGCTTAAGTTTTCTTTGTCCCATGCCCTTTGTTGTGACCAGATTTAACAGGCCTACAAACCAGGGAACAGACGGTGTGTTTGCAAATCAAAATTTAGAGTGTCCCTTTCCTTTAAAGATGGTGCAACTACAAGAAGGCCCTCTGAAAAGAAAAAGAGGTGCAACAGAAAGCTAAATAAAAACAGAGAAAGTGTGGATTAAGTGATCTAGTGTGTCTCCTCAGATCTATCCAGAAGCTGGAGGAGCTCAACGTGGGCATGGAGAATTTAGGGGAGGAGGTGAAGTCTCTGGCCCAGCAGTGTAATGGAAACGGGAACCCGCCCGCCTCCGAGGACAACAACAACCCTCCATCTGTGAGCCCCGAGCTGAGCAAGAACCGAGGGGGAGGGGTGCTCTGCAGCACCCCACAACACACAGTAGGGGGCCGTGCAGTCCCACCCCCTGAGGAGTCCCCCGTCATTTCCCAGAGGTGCTGTATGAATCCTTAAGTCGCTCTGTTGATGTTCATTGTACAATGAAATGAGATTATCACTGTGTCTGTGTGTTTTCAACAGTGGGCAGAAAAACAAAGGTCAACCTGAAGACTCTCCTGGCTCTTTAACGAGAAGCAAAGAGGTAAACAAAAAAACCAAACATGGAAACTCAGCAAAAATTAAGCCACTCGCTGCTAATGAGATTGTTTTGGTCGAAATAATTCCAGGATACTAAATCGGCATTTAGCTGATCAGAGATTAAAGTAGATTAAACTTCTAATTATACCACACACTTGCAGAGATCGTGTTAAATGTGTGTGCGTGTGTATGTGCGTGCCTGTGTGTGTGTGTGTGTTACAGGGTGAGAAGGGCGAGAAGGGCAAAGACCTCTTTGTACCCGTGCATACGCTGGAGGACACTCAGGCTGTTCGAGCTGTGGCCTTTCACCCGTCTGGATCGCTGTACGCTGTGGGATCCAACTCCAAAACTCTGCGTGTTTGTGCTTATCCAGAGACATTAGACCCGAGGTAACAAAGCCGTCAATTAAGTTATGTGTAATATATAAGGGCAAGCAATGAAGGCACCTTTCACTTAAAAACCTCAGTGATAATAAAAACAGAAGGTAAGGATTGGAGGTTAATTCTAGACCTTTCAAAAACACTGTGAGGAGTTTTTTTTATAATATAGGTTATGAAAGAGAGTGAAATAAATAGTGATGTTGTGCCTGTAACAGCTGTTAGGGGGGTAGAAAACAGCCTTTGTTACTTTTCCCAACACAGTTATTAAAAGTTAGTGACACATTTCACTGTAAAAAGAAACAGGAGGGGATTTTTTCATCAATTCACACTGCTTTCACAAGAAAAAGACAAAAACCTCAACAATACAGATTACAACTTTGTCCACTGGGAGTGCTCAAGTCAACACAGACAGAAAGTTCCTCCAGTGAGTGCTGGAAAAATTCAGAGTCCATCATTTACCAATATTGTTTAAAAAGTTAATTCTGAAAATCTTTTAAGAACAGAGTAAAACTTGAAACATACTGGTCACATTCAGATATTTCCTGTACAGACTGTCATTCTTAATTTTCTGTCATTTATGTGTGCTTTTGCTTTACTCTCCTTTCTGTTTTTCCCCTGCTATTCTCACCAGCAGTTCGAGTCCAACAAAGCAGCCTGTAGTTCGCTTTAAAAGAAACAAACACCACAAAGGATCCATCTACTGTGTAGCCTGGAGTCACTGTGGACAGCTCTTGGCGACAGGCTCCAATGACAAATATGTCAAAGTCCTTCCTTTTAGTGCAGAGACATGTAACGCCACAGGTCAGCCTAAAGACAGTCTTTTCTGTTGGTGTAAAGTACCACATGAATAAAAGTACAGACAGAGTCCTCACAGGCTTTTTGTCTGTCTCTTTGTGTCCCTCAGGCCCAGACCTGGAGTTCAGCATGCATGACGGCACCATTAGAGACCTAGCCTTCATGGAGGGTCCAGAAAGTGGTGGAGCCATCCTGATCAGCGCCGGGGCAGGAGACTGTAACATCTACACTACAGACTGTCAGAGAGGGCAGGGTCTACACGCCCTGAGTGGACACACAGGTACGCACAGCTGTCCTCGAAAGATTTCCACTGAAGATTTTTGTGTTGTTTTTATAGATGGAAAAAAATGAATAAACAAATCATGATACGAATTTGTCTTCCAGGTCACATCCTGTCTCTGTACACATGGGGAGGGTGGATGATTGCCTCAGGCTCACAGGACAAGACGGTGCGTTTCTGGGACCTTCGGGTGCCCAGCTGTGTCCGAGTAGTTGGAACTGCTTTCCATGGCTCAGGTATGGAAAATGTCATATCATTACAAATCGATTTTCTGCGTCAGAGACTCTAAATAAAGCGTAATAATAATAATCCACTTAGTCTCTACAAGTTGGTGTTACTGGTAATGGAGAGCTGTTTACTCCCTTTTATTCTTCACAGGAAGTCCTGTCGCCTCGGTAGCAGTAGATCCTAGTGGCCGTCTCCTAGCAACAGGACAGGAAGACAGTGCCTGCATGTTGTATGACATCAGAGGAGGTCGAATCGTCCAGGTGTACCGTCCTCACAGCAGCGATGTACGATCTGTGAGGTTTTCCCCCGGAGCACATTACCTGCTCACAGGCTCCTACGACACAAAGGTCATGGTCACCAACCTCCAAGGTAAACATGTTAGTGACGCAACTCACAGCTTATTTAGTTTATTTGATGGGAATTATGCTATTTGCATGATATAACTTCTGTTATTAACAAGCTGTAGAACCTCATGTTAGGCTAAATGAATGAGATAAATGACAAGGAAAGTTTGATATAAAAAAAAATATAAAAATCTGCTCCTTTTCTGTAATAATGAGATAAAAGTCCAAGTGGGCATGTTAGAGCCCAATACTTAACAATGACTTGAAATGTAATAAATAAATGTAATAACTGGTCGATAATGTAACAAGATGCTGAGCCCAAAACATAATAACTCTTTACCCAAAATGTAGCAACTTGTTACATTTTGGGTGGTATTAAATTTTTTTAATTACATTTTGGGCTCACAGTTTTGTTACATTATTGAAGAATTATTACATTTCGGGCTTAATTACATTGAGCTCTAACAGCTCTAACAGGGCGCTCTCATTTAGGCCTCAATTAGGAAAGTAACATGCGCTGATTGATCACATTTCAGTCCAGTGTTTTTTCAGTTTGGGTTTGAGGCCTTATCTTTGAGTTTTATATTGTTCATGTTTGTTACTGGCATGAGTTTGTGGATGCTGCACTGGTGCATTATGGCTCTGCAGTTTGTTGTCTGCTGGATATAGCAGCAGTGTTTCTCCAGGATCAGTGAGCTGGTAAAGCTACTTCATGGATATGAGAGAGAGCATCTGAAACACTTCCTGCGTGGGGATTTAATAGACAATTTGGCAAATACCTTTAAAAAAAACAGAAGCTTTCATATGTTAAGTTTTTTTTTTTTTCATTATTTTTTTTTTCTGTTATCTAGATAATTATTTTGTTAATTCAGGAAAACATCACACTGATGTACACAGCAGCCGTGGGTGAAAATCAATATTCTAATTACACATGGCTCTTTACTTTTTTAGTTTTCTCTCTTTTACTGTGAAGCCACTTAAATCCAAGAATGGACCAAGACCAAAAACAGTGTTTAAACCTCTGTGAGATCAGGTTTATTTTCAAGTGTGTCATGATGTCTAACCTGCCTGTCTGTCTGTCTGTGTGGTTTCCAAGGTGACTTGACCAAGCAGCTGCCTCTGACTGTGGTAGGAGAGCATGGTGATAAGGTGATCCAGTGTCGATGGCACACGCAGGACCTGTCCTTCCTTTCATCCTCAGCTGACCGCACTGTCACACTCTGGACACACAACCCATAACAGACACACATGCATGCACACACACACACATGCACACACTCACATAAACATGGAGAACAATCTCCATAACCCAAAAAACACACATTTCCCCTAACAGAACACTCCCCCTGCACTATCAACACTGTCACACCCTTTTAACACACTTACTGCTAAAACACACACATACACACACACACACACACACATGGATACACAAACAGGTGAATGAGCCTCTCCTTTCTGTCTGTAGGAAACCAAATGGATACAAATCTGTGACGCATCAAAAGCACACACGTTGCATGTTGTCCTTCTTCTTAGCATCTCTCACATCCCTCACCTCCTCCGTTCACAGACGGGTCATTAATTACTCCTCCTGTCATGTGAAGCCATCAACCTGCATCCTCACTCCTCTACTCACCTTTCCGTCACTGCATGTCCTTTTTACAGGGTTGTTGAGGTTAGACAGGACAGAGTGCTTTGTTCATGATGGTGCCTTCCTTGAGTTTCCATTAAAAATAACAAAAAATATTTAAAAAAATAATAGTTTTTGGAAAAGATAACATGACCATTTTTAGATCAAATTTTGTGAACTCATTTTGAAAAGTCCAACATTCCTTCTTGTTTTTTTTGCATATCATTTTCTTACATCGGATGTTATGCTGCTATTTTTTGGGAAACTAAAGTCTACTCTCTGGTGTAAAATGTAAATTCTCGGTGTGTCAGTGGTGAATTTCCCCCATCAGGAGGCTGAATTTGTGGAAGTCATGCTATCTGTCAATCAGTCAGCTATCGCCTTCCTGTGGGATAATGTACTCATGTCTAAAGTTAACTGCATTACTGCAACTCAAAAATGTGTAAATGAGCTTGTGCATTTATTTCAATTGGAGATCAGTGTTGCTGCGCTGGAGCTGTTCATGTCTTGCGGTGGCTTGCTTGCAGTGGAAGGTCGTGATTATGCCAGCATCAAAGGGAAAAACTAAGTGTAATCTGTGGTGAAGTGCCCTGGCATTTTTCAGTGTTCATAAAGCTTTTGGTTCGTACTGCTGCAGTAGGGGGCAGTCTTTACACGTTTGAAGGACTATATGCACAACAGAACCCGAGAGGAAGAACGATGTTTGGATATTTACTCAGAAACAGTATTTCAGGCATATGCATTGAATTCTTTTCTTGTATTTTACATCTGCACTTTGTCTTCTAACATTGATTTACTTTAAAAAAATTTATATTTAAGTTTTTATGTTAATGTATAGTGTATATTGTTTTAAGAAATAAGGCCAAACTAATGCGTATATAGATGTATTTATTTGAGTTGTGTTCATGTATGTACAGTTATTAGTATGTTTTTTGAAATGCTAGTGGCTCTTGTATTTAGCCTTTCTATTTCCTGTTTTAAAAGTGACTTAAATTAATTCAAGCTAACTCAAGTCTGACTGCTGGTACGTTCAATAAAGTGTCTTTTACACAAACTGTATCCTGAATGTTTTGTTCAAAAGCATAGACTGTATATAGAATGGACAGCGTCTGCCTCCTTGCTGGGTAAAGCCACTCCGAGAAGCCGGAGTGTTATCACAGACTCTCTGTGACTCTCCCGCTGAATGTGCACAACGCTACTGCGCAATGCTGGTTTCAGGAGATGAAGAAAATCGCGGAAATACGAAATATAAAAATACGGAAATACTGAAGTTGTCCATAGTATATACAGTCTATGTTCAAAAGTCAGAAAAACAAATCCCACTTTTACAAATGAGGCTTTATTCCTCATCAAAGAGCTTTGTACAAAATAGTGTATGAGCTGTACACGGGTTAAATTCATTCTTTTATCAAACACTTTGCTTAAAATACCTCTTCCCTTTCCCGGGCATAGTGCCTCTAAAATACAAAAAAGACCCTCACATATGAACAAAATACATGGACCCAGTACTTTTCCTGTGTGTCCCCACAGACTCTAACACCACAGAAGCACAACCACATTCAGTGGTTGGATGGCAGTTGACAGATCAATCAAAACAATCATAAAAAGTACAATAAATACAAACATGACGGCAGTTGTGCATTGAAAAATACACAAAACATGAAATGCAGTTAGCGGGATGAGGACTTCTGACAAACATGAGCTTTAAAAACACTTACGTCCCTGAAACTACTGAGAGTTTGTTGTTGTGCAAGTTGTGCGAAACAAGTCCTTGAATAAATTGAGATTTTTTTTCCATACTGTTTACTACATACAATGCTGACAGTGCTTTTTTTTTGTCCAGAACGACAAAGGCAAAGAGACACAAGGCTTTCCTCTACATGATCACCCACAGGTCATCTCTGCTGTCCACACCTTCATGAGGTTAAAAAACCACCAGTCTCTCTCTATAGTGCTACACTCAGTTGGGGTCGGGCCTTGCTGTAGTGTTTGATGCTGAAGGTAGGGTGACACGCTGCTCGTCCATCCGTTTGGCCTGAGAGCGCATGATGAGGCTGAAGAAGTCCTCATCTGGAACTGTCGGTCCTCGCACTGGAGGAGGAGGAGGGGCGCAGCGTTGGTCGTCCAGACGGGACCCCTGGTGGAGGGAGAGAAAGGACATAAGTTTAGTACGGGTCCTGCAACCATTGGCCTTTTCCATGATGGTGTCTGGAGTTATGGGGTACCTGGCACTTGACAAGCATATCAAAGAAGTCATCGTCAGGCTCAGCATTGTCAGCGTTGGCCATCAGGTGACTGAGCACTGCCTGGTTGCTGCTTTGATTGAGCCTGAGACCCGGCAGGCTCCCCCCAGCTGCTGAGGACTCCTCTAACCGCCGGCCAGGGGCTCCAGAGACGTTTGCAGACTCTGAGACAGCTACAGAGAGAAAAAGAATCAAGTAAGTGTCAAAACAAGTTATACCACAGATGTTTATTTTGAGTAACTTTGAGTGTGAATTCACCGACTTACATTTCCTGATGGCTCTTGGAGGCGACTCTGGACCACTACTCAAAGATAACCTGCTGCCCTTATCTTGTATTGAACAGCGTTGGTCATCCATACGGTTGCTCTGGAAACGGCTCAGAAGGTCAAAGAAGCCCTCGTCCCCAAGCACCTCTGGACTGAGTCGCTAACAAAGCACAAAAACAGGAGCATGAGAAACATCAGTTCTAGTTCTACTATGACATCTGTAAGAGTCTAAATAAAAGGCATGGCAAGTGTGTATGTTGTATACCTTCTGAGGTCCCTGTGTGGGGGTCTGGCTGCTGTCCAGGGTGTTGCTGGTGTCTTGGAGGACTTTACTGGAGCCACTAGTCTTGTATTTCTTCCCACGCAGACGGCTGACGAAGAAGAGTTTGGAGGAGGCCTTAGCCATGGAGGGTTTGGACTGTTTGGTTAGGATGTCACTGTTCCACTTCTGACCCTTCAACACACACAGAAGTAAAGATTATTTATCACAGTCCAGAGAAAATAAAAGACGAGAGAATAGAGATTGACATTCAGTTGTCTGTGGCCTGATCTTGCCAACATGGTTCATAATCTTCACTTTGTGTGACATGAGAGACCCTCTTACATTCATTTTGTCTGGAGTGAGTTTCATCAGCTCCAGATTCTCCATGCTGTGTCTCCTGCTCATCCTGGGTCTCGCTCCTAAACGCATTAAAAAGAGTTAGACCAGCTACACTTTAAGAACAAGACTTGTAGATTTTAACTCATCAACTATAATCTGACCAACACACCATGCAGGTTGTAGTCAATCTCTTGATTCTCAGACAGCGTGGAGTTATTTGTGCTGTAACTCAGACCCAGGACTGTCTGAAGATCAGATACATTCATACGAGCTGTCAGCTCGCCGCTCCTGTCCCCAGTCTAGAAAAACAAAACACACAAAAGGAAACTGATTTTACAACTAATTGATTCTTTTTTTTTCTTTATTGCTTTCAAATTAAAACAGCGTACAACAGTGTCTGCACTGCCATCATTTACTTTACATACCTCTTTGCAGATCTCCAGGTGTTTCTCAGCAAAGTGCATGGCCTGATCGTGGTTCCCCAGTGCAGTGTGGGCATTTCCAAGACTCCAGCATGCACGGCCCTCTCCAATCCTGCAGCCAAAACATGAGGGGAAAATAGTTTAAAGTACAGCAAACATTGGTGTAAATACTTTTTTCCCTCTAACACTTCACGTGTTTGTTTACCTGTCATTAAGGTCCTGGGCTATGATGAGGTGTTTCAGGTGGTAGTCTATGGCTCTCTCGTAATCCTGGAGGAGTGTGTAGGTGTTGCCCAGACTGTAGCAGGCCTGAGCCTCCACAGCTCGGTCCTTCAGCTGCCTCGCCAGCTGCAGGGTCCTCCTGAAAAACAAACAGGCGGACGTGCTTCATCAAAACACTGCAAAGACAAACTGCTGTTTTATCAGTTTGCCCGGCCTCTCTTAATGCCACAGGCTAACATTTTCAGAAGAAGCACCTAGGATCAACGTTTGTGTGAAGGAGGATATTTTGCATTTTATTGTTATTAACATGCTGATAAAAGAGGAAGTGAATCTGAGCTGAAGTGATTGAGCAACTCCCTCAAAAACGATCCTTCACTGGAGATAATCGCCTCACTCCACACCCTTTATTTGGGTCTTGTGGGCAGTATGGAGAAACACAGAGAGATGTATTTGCCCAGTCAATCCTGTCTCCACCCTGTCATATTTTTTAATACAGTAAATGATATCAAAAGATTAAAATGTTGAATGTGACGTACTTATAATGCTCAGCTGCCACTTCAAACTCTCCTAAAAAAATATAGGCGTTTCCCAGGTTGCAGTAAGCTCGTCTCTCTGCTGAGCGGTCACCAAACTCCTTGGCAATAAGCAAACGCTGCATAAAAAAGAGACAGAGGAAAATATTTGATGAGTTATAAGACTATGGGAGCTTCACTTGTGTCGATATATTACAATTTGTAATACCACACCTGTTCATGCGAAGCCACAGCTTTGCGAAAGTTTCCCAACAAGTAGTGTGTGTTGCCAAGGTTGCCGTACGTTCGGCCCTGTGCGGCGCGATCCCCGAGCTCTTTCACCAGAGCCAGGTTAGCCCTAAAAATACACAACACAGTCACATGTCAAAAGACAGGATAACAATTCATCACATGTCAACAAGTAGCTCACTGAACAGTCACTTACTCATAGTACTCAGCTGCCTTCCTCAGTGCTGTCATGACCTCTTCGGGGAAGTCTCCAGGCTCCGCTCCGCTCCAGCAGATACTTTTTCCTTTGGCATGGTAGACGTTTCCAAAGTTGTACAGAGCTCGTGCCTGACCCACCTGACAGATATCCAGGAAAAACATAGAAGTAGCAAAGATTAACACTCCCCTCTCCACTACATTTCACTGTATTCATCAATCTGTTTGCACACCTTTCCGTCTCACCTTGTCGTTAATGTCTCTTGCTATATCCAAGTGCCTCTGGCAGCAAACCACAGCCTCATCAAACCTCCCCAGCACCTTTAGTGTGTTACCAAGGTTTCCACTGGCTTTGGCCTCTCCGAGCAGGTCACCAATTGTCCTAAGAAATAAACCAAAGAATTAGTTTTACATTTTGATACAATCATGATCTGTTTTAGGGGTCTCTGTGTCCGACCTGGTAAGTGTGAGGTCATGCCGGTGGAACTCCAAAGCCTTTGCATAGTCATGCAGGTGAAAGTAGGCGTTCCCCAGCTGGCTGTAGATGGCGCTGAGCACCTGCAGGTCCTCTGTGCCCACCTGGATGGCAGCTTCAAAGAAGGAAACCCCCGCCCTGTAGTCCCCAACCTTACAGAGCCTCTCACCCTCCAACGCCAGCTCCAGGCAAGACACCTCCATCCTGCAGCGAAAACAAAAACACAGATCTGAAAGTGTTCAACCAGCTGCTGTTTACACTCCCAAGAAAAACTCAAAGGGCAGCGCCAATGTTGTGGAGAAGTAGATCTACTCTGGCTGAAATCTGCGGCCAACTGAGCAGACTCGACTCACAACAAGGGAACAAAACCCAAATCCTCTTTCTAAGCAAAGGCTTTCAACTGGGAATGTTGTTTAGCTGCTTCCTTCCTCCCACTGAGAACAATGGCTCCAACTGGGGGTTGTTTGTTATGGTCACATCCTTTAGACATGCCTCAGAAAAAGTGAAGGGGGTTATTTTTGCTGTGAGATACAGAGAGGAAAGACTGGGTATATGTTAGTATACCAATATTTGGGATAATGTTTAGTTGCTGTAGAGAAAGAAAAAACTTTTTGAAATGTTTTTTGTCCTGCCTTAAACGAGTCACAGAGAGGGGGCCCCAGAGTAGATTTTAGATCCACACAAGCATTTTAAAACATCTGCTTTAATTTTTGTCTCCATGTTCAGAGGTGCTCCAAAGACTGAGATTTGCAGGTTGGTTTTAAAAGTAAAATTAGAAACCATCAAATTTACTGTACAAATAAACAGCTGTTCAGAGCTGAGCCCTGTGCAGTTACAAGGAAGGTTAGGATCAGACACCTGAAAGCTAGATGAAAGGAGTGTCAAACAATGAGCAGTGGTTTATCTGCTGATGGATCATCTCCAGATTAGGCTGCGTATGTAAACCGAGCGCACCTCAGTATAAACGTGCAAGTTTGCCAACTTTTGTTTTACAGGAAGCGGTATTGTTGGATAGAAATCAGCTTCACACAAAGTCCATTCTGTAGGTTTATCTCAAGATTTCCTCCTTTAGCCGCTCAGGTTAGTGCCAGAGAGTTTAAAAATGACCCAGAAACACTGATACAAAACACACTCAGGTCCACAATTCATCACGAGAAGAAGAAATGTTTACAAAGTCTATAGAGAGCTAAAAATATGACACAAAAACACGGAACAGAGTAGAGCGTTTAACCTACCAGAGGGCTGTAATTTGTGAACAATAGCAAACATAGTGTTCTGAATACGGGATAAAGCTCATGTAATCAGCAGGGATGAATGAGGGAAGCCTACTCTTTGTTTACTACCGAGCTAAGAACACCAACTCACACAATAGCAAATACCCGATTACCTGCTTGCTTTTGGTGTCTCAGAACAACAACAGCAGCACGTGGACCATGTGAGAGACATCTGGCAGGTCAAATGACATCCATACACTGTGATATTCAAACATTTTCTCATTTGACGTCATTAACACCAGTTTGCAAACTTTCAATGAGACCCCAGTAATGTTCTTACAGTGTAAACCTCCCAGACAAGCAGGAAAAGTGCTCTGTCAGCGTTTTCTGCACTAATCCGATTTTTTTTCAAGCTCTCCGTTCTGACCTGGTCACTTAAGATTATGCTTATAGAGTGTGTGTACTTCACAGATTACAGCACCTGGGAGTGCTAAGGAGCTTTGTTAAATGTATAAGACACAGGCAGACTTCAGGGTGAGGGCTACTGAAATTTAGTGATAATGATAACCGCTCTGACAGTGCAGTCATGTTCATTTTGAAGAAGAGACATCCTAAAGCAGACACCGACTCTATCCGAATAAGTTGGACGCACAAGTGCAGAAAAACAAAGTGTGCAGTGATGAATTTTTTAGGGCTTGTTAAATATTGAAGCCAAATGGAGCAGGGCTTTCCATGTTTGGCAGGTCACACCTGCTGCCCGAGCTCTTTTACCTCCGTATATATATGGACAGCTGGCTGATGTCTTTTTTTTATTCTTTTGTTCCAGATATTCACCTCCCTTTAGTCAACAAAGCCACAATAAGCCTCATACTCAAAGTAGCTCCTACTCAAAAACTCAATTTCAGCTTCAATTTCCAGTCAATTATTCAACATACTCCATCACCTCTTTAAAATGGTAACACTGTGTAATTCCATTCTGGATCTATTAAGATCACACTTAAACTTTAGATATTCAAAGCAACAAAACAGTACAGACTTTCTGCTTTTAACCTACAACTATATTCTATTCAAAAACTAACAAAGAAAACTAAGAAGCTAAGTTATCCGAGTTGAGAGGAGAGTTTCCTACCTGTAGCGGACATGAAATGACTGCTCCTCAGCTCCTGTGCTAACCACTGAGCCATTTGTATCCATTGATGTGCATAATATGAGGGAAAACCCCAGTCTGGATCCAGAAAAAATGGTTGCGTTTCAAACCGAGAGCCAAAATTAAATCGAGAAAAAAAAAAAAAAGTCTTTCGTCCAGAGGTGGCAAAACTAAACAAAGAGATGACGTGTGTCTCACAGAAGAAGGTAGCCCTGTGAGAGTCAGACTGAGCTGGAGAGTCCTGAGCCTCAGTCCACAAGGCCGCTTTCGTATACTGTATGTTTTGCATCACATGACCTCGCTCTCGTCAGCCGCCCTCTGTGAAGAGAACACAAGATGCTGTATGTGAAGCCTCATTCTGGCCACATGTTGCCAGGGCAACGCCAACCAAACAGCAGCGTGCACAAGCAGGGCAGGCAGGGCGAGAGAGAGAAAGAGAGAGAGAGAGAGCAGGAATGGATGGGGTCAGCACAGGCATGCTGTCCATCTTAAACACAGACTCAGCGATTTGTGTGCGTGTGAGCTGTTCGATCAGAGATGGTAGGAAAAGTCTCCAAGAAAAGAGGAAGTCACTAAAAAAGAACTGCAACCAGCAACCTGTTGCACAAGTTACAAGAGACATGAGAACACAGCAAAACAGAGGAATATGCTGAGAGTTTGCAACCTTAGCAAACGGAAAAAAGAGTGATAAGCAAGCTATATGGATAAGATAGACAGTCACAGGACCAAATAAAGACCAGAGCCAACCATGAGCTCATTTCTCCATGAGATCACTCTCACCACACCCATTCATCCCCCAAGTTTAACCAGCAGCCCCTTCTCACAGACACATGTGAAAAACTGGAAATGAGGCTCAGCAGTTTGAAGCAAACTGGGTTAATTCTTCATTTAAGTATTATGGAATAACAAAGACATAGTTATTAACCATATACTTTAAGTAAGCATATCAGATGGTTGTAACAGCTTATATTTTACTTTCTTTACAGAATAAAAGCAGAGAAGACAAACTGTCATGTCATAATAAAAAAAGTCATCATGTTAGATACATCCCAAATTAGGAGAATATTCATAGTTAAGTTTGTTTTCTGAAAACACACTTAAAGGAATTGTTAGTTTTAAAAGATATGACTTGCCATCTTTGCCTTTCTATGTGCATGTTCCTCTAATTTATTCTACTAAAGCATTAATCATTATGTCCAAGAAATAAACAAAGGTACAAGTGTATTAAAATCTTCTCTCCTCACCCTAATCTCCCTGCAGCTGCCTGAATGTGAGCAGCTCAAACACAAATCAAAGGCCAGAGCTTTGGGAATCCGTGCAGTGCATGTTTCTGCAGATTATTATAATCACTCATTTATGCGTGCCAGCATTGGTGCAGCCTTTTCCACCATTATATGCCAACAGGGTGTGTTTAAGAGAAACTGTCTGTCTGCGCTCACAAAGCTACAGTGAGCAATGATCAAGAGTCGAGCAGGAAGAAATGATTCATGACTAAAGATGCATCGCAGGAAACAAGAAGTTGTTTCATAATAACAGAGTCACTGCAGGCAGTCAGTGACTCTTTGAGTCCCAAACAGGACATGATTTCATCTTAAACACACAAGAGTTGATTTGTTTTCTTTGTACTTAAAGCCCATTGATGCCCTGAAATAAGTACTACTACTGAGAGCAAAATCTAATTCTGGAAACACAACTCGCTATTACAGCATGAGCCAGCATAGGTCTGCTCCAAAACACAAGACTGACACAACTACATGAGTAGTGAGTTACTCACCGATAACTCTTCCTCACAGGAATAGGATATCTTGAAAGCCTGAGGGGAAAAACACCATGCCAGTGAATATTGAGGTTTTTTCAGTTCATCTGTCTACTTTGCTTACCACATATATAGGGATGGGAATTGATAAGATTTTATTGATATCGATGCCATTATCAATTCTTCTAATCGATTTAATTCTTTAACGATATCAATGCCTCTCTTTGATTTAAAAAAAAGTACACTATAGGTTTTCACCGTTAACTCAAAATTTTATTGAGTCTCTCATAACAGAAAAAGATGTACGCCACCTTCAGTGAGAGTCTAAAAATAATCAAACAAAAATGTGTTTTTGCAGCATTTCTGGCATACATTGTGTTAATGTTCACACAGGACACGCGTTAGCGTGACCATATTCTGAATCCCCAAAGAGTGGACACTACTGCGCAGGGCGGACTTGTGTGCGAAACCTTTGGGATTTTTTTGGTCGGGTCGAGTGTTTTTTATGCACTTCTTACTCCGTTAAACGTCTAACTCAGTGTAACTCAGTTTTTTTCCTCTGTTTCTGTTCCCGTTCGTTAAGATAAATCGTTCAGATAAAATGTAAATGATGTAGATGGATTGAACTATTTGGAACCAGTTCTCAACAAGAACCGATTCCCGATTCCCATCCCTACATATCTATAGACACACTGTTTTAAAGATTTGACACTATATTACACTCAGTACACTGAGAAAAACAGATGATTTATACACATCAAGCAGCCAGTTTGATGAGTAAATCTACATAGGTTTACATAATGAACATGCTATATCCATTGTATAGAAACTTCACTTCACAGTGCAGAAAAGTACAGTACTTCAAATAGACAATATAACATCTGTTGTGAATTAACACCTTACTATAACTAGGCAAAAATGGAGCCTAGTATTTGAAGGCCTATTGCAGAGGGACATTTTTCTGAAATATAATTTATCAAGGGACACATACAATGACAAGCCAAAATATTATGAACACCAGGGCCATTTAATGCAACTCTACACAGCAGATCTATCATAAAACTCTAATTTCAGGAAGGCATTGCATCAGATTTTCTTTTGGCTCGATTTGACAGGTGATTATTGGACTTTGTATCTTATTTATTATTGGCATAGTGAATGGTGTCCCTTAAATTTTGTCCACTTTAGTAACAAACACGAAGGAAAGCAAATACAGGAACACATTGTAATGCAGTCATGTACATCCACTCCAACTTTTACAGTTCATGCTGTTAAAATACATGTGTAAGTAAGAAGATATAAAAGGCTCGTTAAAACCTATGGTTTAAGTGAAAGTAGGACGACATCTGTATGAGGGTGGCCATAATCACACACATAAAGTTACTGACATGAACTACGAGACTTTCTATATTGAGAAGAAAGTATTTTATAAACTATAATTCAAGGTGCATTTGTGTTTTTGTAAATATTTTAAATAAGCATCAACAAATCGTAAAACATGCGATCATATGATTTCCGAGCCATCGAGTATGATCGATTTCTATCCTTAAAATCTCCATTTAGAAATATCTGCACCACACTGCTTTGTACAGGATAATGCAATACCGTAAATTAAACACAGCATTTTAATGAATGATACTGCTGTCAATAGTTTAACCCTCTCATCCTGTGCAACAACAACCTCCAGCAGTGTGTGTATTCAGCCCCTAAGTTTAGACTCACGTTCGGCTAAAGATTAGCTTGTTAGCATGCTGCCTTCAAAACTTACGTTAGAGAATCCAGTTCGAACAATGGTGTCTTTTCTTCTCTTCTTTAAATCCACTAGTAAAATAAATAGTACAAAAACATAAGTCCGTAGTTAATGTAACAGCGCAGAGTTTTGGGATTATCTATAGTACGTCAAAGTCCTGAGCTACATTATCCATAAAATACTTTTAAACTTTTTAACTTCGATGAAAACGATAAAGCCCTAAGGCTGCTCAAAGCGTATTGTGTTTTTCGACAAGGAGCCAATCAGAGGGTGGCATTCAAATAGTGGCCGCGCCCACAATAACAGTCATTGGACCAAGAATTTTGAATAGAGAGGACATGACGTATCATGGTGAGCTGTCAGGCCTGACTGATAGACACAAGTTTAAACTCGATGATGTTTTGACAGTTATTTTGACCGCAAGCACTAAAGAGTTTTGTGTCAATATTGTGAAGAGTGATATTGTCCTTGTATAGTCACAATCTAACTTACGGTGTAATAGATATGGCCTCAAAGTTGAAGGTTAATTAAATTCCTCATTAGTAGCCCTTTTCAGTGGAGGTTTCTCCACCGTCACCTAGCAACCATTCGTCGCCAGTGCAGCTGCTGGACGCTCGGTGAAGTCTACATTATTAATGATGGCAGAGAAACTAAACCTGTCCGAGAAACCATATGTCAAGACTGAAGGAGGTAGAAATACTGAAGCCGGTTACAAGGTGGTGTCAGGAGCGAGAGCATGGCCCTGTGGTGTGTGGACTTGATGTCGCAGAGTCGAATGAAGGGTTCAACATCTAGGTGAGTCACCTCCAACATAACCACCATCTTTTCACAATGTCAGACTGAAACTTAAGTTCAAGATAGAAGCCGAGCTAGAGACAGAAAAATATTATTTCCATCCTAGAAACACTCACACTCAGAAGGAAGTTGTCTTTGTTGTGATGTCTTACAATGCTCATGTCCTTATTCGCATATGTTGAACCCAGAGCTGAAGGAGTACATGCATTAACTCAGGATAATAATCTAATATGAATGAAGAGCAATTTCAAATTTTATGAGATAAAATTCTGACTGATGATTGGAATGACTTGATCCTAATGTTTTCTGTCTTTAAAACCTGGATGTTTATACCCACTTGAACATATGAACTGCAGACATTTTCTGCATAATTTCAGGACATTCAGGGCCTGAAATTATCCCAAATTAGGTTTCTCACAGTTTAACTGCATTACTTTGCCAAATAATAAAACATTTTACACCTTGTGCACAGAGGAGTGAGTCAAAACTTCGTTCAGACCCTCTCATGATCAAGATTAAAGTATTAACAAGTATTAAAATGCATGAACTTGAAAAGGGCTCGATTTCATAAAAAGTGGAAAGTGCGCACTGATGAAATGCTGTTTTAAAATTCTAGATAAGGAAACACTTGGGGTTAGGTTAAAATCTAAAAACAAAGTAACATAATATGAAATTTAAGAAATAATAAATAAAATGAAATAAAAACAGCAGTAAAAGATATTATCATAAGAGCACCAAAATAGCTCAATAAAAGACGATCCTGTCATTAAAACTAGAAAAGATAAATGCTACATCACTTACGATATCTTACCATTTGTCACATTTATCACTCTATGTATGCTGTAATTTCTGTGCTTGTTTTCCAATTGTCACGATTGTATTGTATTGCTTTTCAGGAAAATGCTGACAACACTTTCAACTTTACTTTTAAGATTTAAAATGAAGGACTTGAGTTAGATATTGCATACCTACTACTTTAGCATTTGCTGCAGACTGATGCCACTTATCCTCTTTGCACATTTCTGTCACACCATTCTCTGCCCACACAATGTTTTAAGTGTTAAATAATTGACACCTTTACACATTTGGACCCCATGTTGTCAACTCACAAGTTGCGTTGCTAAGTGATGAACAGGTGCGCCCTGTTCTTTCTTAACTCAGGTGAAGAGAGGTTGGCACTTCACAGAGAAAGTGTTCATGGAGGGAGAACCAGCTGAATCAGATGAGGATGTTCAAGAGGAGGACAAGCCCACTGTGCTGTGGGAGAAGTGCATTCAGCAGAGCATCTTTGTGGATCTCAGCGAGGATGAAAGTCTCCATTTAAGTGATCTGGAAAATTCTTTTGCCTTACATCTGTCCCAGGCAGAGTCTGTTGCCTCTGAGGCCAGCATCCATTTCAGTGGTGAGTGCTGGAGCCACACAGGATTATTCTTGTTTATTTAAATATTTGTTGGATGTTGTATCTGCCCTAACTATATAGCACACTGTTTAAAAACACGAAGCAGTGTTACAGTACACATTTAATGCAGCAAAGGAACAAGCTGCAGTTTTCTCACAGAATGATACTAACACATTAGAGGTGTTAGTAGCCTATATTTGAATTTTTGCTTTAAAAAAAGACAGACTGTTTTAGTGTCTTATGAGGACAGTTTAGCTGAGTTGACAGAACAGGCACTCCACTATTTGACTCTACTCTCATCTCCCAACATTGTCTTTGTCAAATAAGACAAAAAGTCTACAAATGTATCGCAAAAAGTGCTCTGTGACAGCTTGGACAAGTGATAGAATGAAGTTTTGTTGTTGTGGTTTTTGTTCATCTCTGTCCATCTCTCTCTTTTTCTGCACCTCCTTCTGCACCAATGTAATCTCGACAGATGACTGTCTGACATGAGTCTGGTTCTGTTTAAGATTTCTACCTATTAAAGGAAGTTTTTTCCTGCCATTGCTTGTGACACTCATGTAGATAAAGATGGGATAACAGTGGGTCTGATCTTAAAAGATGGAATTCAATCTTGTCCCATCTTTGTGTTGGGTCTTTGTTAATATCATGAATTGTATTATCTGGACCAGGTTTTTTGTCAAGTATCTTGAGATAACATTTGTTGTGAATTGGCACGATATAAACAAAGATTTATTCATTTTCGTGCAGGGAGTGCAGAGCTGTCAGACTTGGATGTCTCCTCTTCAGAGCCCAGCACTGCCAGCAGTCAGAGTGAGAGACCAGGAGAGACCAGGAACCAGAGCGGTGTATTTCACATGTCTGCTCAAAGACCAAACACCATGCAAGATAAACTCCCTATAAAGCGGGGGAGGGAAGATGAAGGGCAAAATACTAGTGATGAGGATCAGGATGACCTACCTTACGATGGGGATTTTGGAAACCAGTATTTCAACCAGACGGCTGACTCTGAGGGAGAAAGGAGCGCAGATGAACGAGAAAGTGTTCATACAAGCCCTGATGCTCTACATATGCCTGAAATGAATCAAATACAAATAGATCATTTGACTGATCATGTGGTTTCCGTAGCGTGTAATGGTGAGGAACCACTAACTTCGACAAAAGAGGATGCCAACACCAAACAGGATGACAATGTGGGTCCTTCTAAGCAGACTGGGTTTGCCCCATCATGCCCTGCAGACATTAACCAAGTGTTGCTGCAACATTTCACCCAAGAGGAACTGCTGCGGCCAGGTAGACTGATTGAGGCGGAGACCCTGCCCGAGGTGTCCCTGCTGGAGAGCATGGATGACTCAGTACTAAGCTTCCATCCAGCACACAATCAGAGCTCCTGCTCTGAGAGCACTGTTGAAAAGAGTGATAATTCATCACACCACTTCAGTTTCAAGGAGGAAGCTGGATGGATAGTCCATAATGAAAGTATAATATCCAGCTCTGAGAGGATTAACTCTAAACAGGACACTTTGGATACAAGTGCTGAAGATGTAGTAAATCCAGAAAAGACAGAACAGGATAACCCAGCTCCAGCTGTGCACACCAGGTCCTTTACTGACATCAAATATGGCCAAGGAAAAGTCCATTACCCACTCCCTGACTTCTCCAAGGTTGCCCCCAAAGTGAAAATCCCCAAAGCTCCAAGTGGACTAGTTAGACCTTTTTCCCAGGGACCAGGTACCATGCACAGAACACAGTCCTCTCCAGGAATGTTAGACGTGATCACCAGGGTCCTGGAGGACTCAGTCCTGACACCGGAGGAGCCCTACATGTTCAAAGAGGAAGAAAAACAGGCTGCTCCTACACTGGTGCATCATCTGCAGGTGAGATACTCAGAGTGCATCTGTGTATTAGACAAAAGCAAAATGAATGGTGCAAAGTACTAACATCTGTCTTAATCCATGTTTTAGACTGAGTATGATAAACTTCTGGCCAAATATGCAGAGGCAGAGAACCTTATTGACCAAATGAGAACTGGAACCAACGTAAGTAACAAGTTGTTCCTTTTTGACAGATACAGATACTGTCAGGGTGTGAAGAGTCTTCATTTTGATGAAATTCAAATCATGTCAGTATAAAATAATTGATGTATTTTCACAGGCTCAGCCCTCCTCAGACCTGATGCTTGATCTAGATTGTGAAGAAGATCATCCCAAAAATATACCTGGAGTCAAGGGACGCCATATTGGATCCTTGGCCCTTAATCTTCCCCTATCACATTCGTCTCTGTGTCTGACATCTGATATTACAACATGTCAACGCTTTGCTTCACTACCTGCAAGTAATGCATTTAAGTGCACCTGGTTTCCATAGCTACAATCAGGGTCAGATGACAGCCTTCCAGCAACACAGAAATTGTTTCTGCTTCTGATGCACTTACTTTAACTGATTACGAAAGCAGAGAGCTGGATTAACATTTTCCATAATTTATTCCTATGTCTTATTTTCAACTACAAAAATCATCTGTATATTTTGTAATTTGGTTAATTTTTCATGTTCACAAAACATAGATTAGCAAGTTCTTTGCATGAGAGTTAAAAATGTGTGTTGAATGTGAATGTCCAGGGAAAAAAAGTATCAGTAACAAAGAAGGTGCCTACTGTACTTCTTGCTTCTCCTTGTTTCCAGATAACTTTGATAGGAAAGAAGAAAAAACCTTTAAAAGCAACACTGAGGTTGTGAGCACAGATCCCCTCAACCAGCCTGAAGAGGGCCCCAGTGATGGGGACAGAATGACTGCAGAGCTGAGGGACATCATCAGCCAGTTCATGCAAAAGGTAACTTTGAAAATGCACAATCTTACAGGGTTATTGACAGACAAACTACTAATGAAATTTCTGTGGTTTAGGTGGAATTGTTCAAACTTAGTGTAACCAACATGTCAGTGAGCACAGCAGAGCAGCAAATGGTAAGTGTTATTCTTTTACTTCGCTGTTAAATGCGGGCCATTTTGAGTTTATGTCTCTCAGTGTTATACTTTCTCTCTATTTGAGCATACCTGTAAAATATGTCTCTGGCCAGATGCTGAGGAGCCTCATGGAGGCTCAGGACCAGCTGGAGAGAAAATACATCAGTAAGAAGGAAGAGCACAGAACTCTGGAGATGCAAAACTACATAGGTCTGGCTAGGAACACCGGTGCCTTTGACCCAAACAGGTTACAGAGAGTGTGGTGTTACAAATGGGGGGGTCGTTACATATGTGCCAACGTGCCAGCATCATCTTAATACATCTACTCATAGGTGTGCCTTTTTTGTGTTAAAACATGTGCAGGATGGTTGAGGGAGACATCTTCAGGATAGGGATGCACATTGAGGACATTAAGGAGATAATAGACAGAAACGTGTGTGAGCAGATTTCTCCACCTCACTTATCCTCCACTCCCACACCCACAAGAGACATACAGCATGTGATGGCCAGTCCTGTCTGCATGGCCTCACCTTCACCTCCACCATCACTGCATGAGGTAATCACAGCACTGACCCACATCATCTTACTAGCACTTATGCATCTTTGCCAAATACAGTACTGCATGTATTTCTACTGTACTGAATAAAATAGAATATAGTAAAATAGAACAGAATAGAATAGAATCAGACAGAATAAAATAAAATATAGAAAAACAGAACAGAATAGAATCAGACAGAATAAAATAGAATATAGTAAAATAGAACAGAACAGAATCAGACAAAATATAATAAAATAGAACAGAACAGAATAGAAATAGACAGAATAGAATCAGACAGAATAGAATAGAATCGGCCTGAATAGAATATCGTAAAACAGAACAGAATAGAATTGGACAGAATAGAATAGAATAGGACAGACTAAAATAGAATCGGACAGAATAGAATAAAATTTAGATTTGTTATTGTTGATTTTACACACAACAATACTCTGTTGCAGGGCCTGAAAGGAGCACAATGAAATAGATAAACAACACAATAAACCTAAGTCTTAAAGAACATGTACATGTGTTAACACTCGCACATGTACTCACGAGTTCAAAGCATGCATGTACCAGTGCATTCATGTCTTGGGAGACAAAGTGGGTGTTTGTGAAAGATGACTCTAACTGCAAATCATCTGACTTGGTCTCACGTTTCAGGGCCCAAGTTCATCATTTTCCACTGCCGGGTTTTTGAAGATTGAGAACAAGGAGGATAAAGAGAGGGAAGGGAAAGAGGCTACTGAGGTCCATGATGGAGTTCAGCAAAGTGATGAACTCATACCAGATGACCCTTTAATGAGAAACAGTGGCCACAGCTGCGACCTGTCAAGGTACTTTTTTTTTTTAAAGTTTTCCCGAGCTCAAATTATACAACTTTGTTTCCCATTAGGTCGAATCTGTACTTCCAAAACATATATATCATCTTCTATTTATAAATGAGAAACGTTTTAGTTTGAAAATTCTGGATTTGCAAGTTGATCTGCTCATTAATGCAGCCAAATAATGTGACAGTATTTATTCATCTGCTAAAATGTGGTGGTTCTGCAGGAACATTTTTATCATTGTTGTGCATGTTGCGTGTTTTGATCGGTGCTTGCATTTGTGTGTGTTAAAATAACAGGCACGTTCTCAGCGCTCCAGTGGATAGATAGAGTTTCACCTGCAGTGCCGGTGTTGTGTTCCACCAAGTGTTTGACTTCCCGTGTTCGGGTTATTTTGTTTGCCCTGTTTCAGGAGCACACAGCGCTCTTTAGAGGGACTGAAAATCCTCGCTGCTGAGACTGAGGAGGAGAGGAGTTCTGTCTTTTCTGATGTTATCAGCCACAGTGACATTTTAGCGTACTTGGATGGAGCCAGGTCATCTGCAGGACAGAGGCTGGGGACACCAGACAGGTCAGTGTTTTCACACAGAAACGAGCAGACTACTTCAATTGTTCTTCTTTCATTGATGCTGAGTGGTTACTCTTGAATAATGCACAGAGCACGAGTATACCTCTTGGAATCCTGTTCAGGTTTAAGTGAGCTGTAGCACAGTCTATATATTGTATAGTCAACCCCACAGACTCTGAGCGTGTTACTTTTCTGTGCAGCTGTGGCACCCTCAATAGTGTCCCTGCAGTGGGTGAGTGCGATCCAGGAGACTGTATGAGTCTAGCTGTGGAGGTCTCCTTTTCTTCTAATGCACCCAGAGACTCGAGCACCCACAACCTCTCAGAGCCTCCTCTCGACTCCTCATCTTCATCACAGGTCAGCCACAGATCATGACTTCTTCAGTTGATTATCTCTGTGTGTATTTTGTGGAGTCTGCAAAGGCTCCATACACTCACAATGTTTCTGGGTTAATTGTACGACGTGAGTAAGTTTTCGTTGTGTTGGGTTTTCTGGGGTGCAGAGGATTGTGAGCCCAGAGACAGACAGCGGATTTGGAAGTTCATATTTGAATCAATCAGCTTCAGGCTCATTCCAACCAAATCTGCAAACAGACAGGTAAAAATGTACATCAAATGAAACCATAGAACATATCAAACTTAATAATGTATCACTAAAGTCTGACCCATCTATCTCCAGTGCTCAGTCCCAGAATGATGGTATGAATAGCACAGACAGTGAGGGCTCCTGCTCCAACCTACAGACAGCCATCCATTCAGCCAGCCTCACCAGCCAGCAGTGGACTAACCTGTCAAGACAACCACAGTCCTGTGGTGGAGCAGGGGCTGTGGAGAGGTGGGTGGAGAGCACAACTAAGGAGTCTTCAGTCCATCTGCAGGGTGAGTGATCCCTTTTACAAAGGGTAAAGTCATTTTCTATAGTAAGAGGCAAAGTTTCCATGTGTTAGTTTTGTTATAGTTTATTATAAATGATCTGATGTCATCCTTATTTGATGGGGTAAGGACCTGAGTGCAGTCTGCCTGCTCAGCTCCATCACCACGTCTCTGAACCTGTACTCAGCATCAGCATGAATACAGAAGATCGAGGCAGCCCACAGTACTCCTGCTCCTGTAACAGGTAACTCTACACTAAAGGGAAGCCATAATTAAGTCAATCATCTGCTAGGATTTCTTTGCCTCTACACAGAGTGAATATCTTTGTCTGAGTATGTGTGTTTTTCATGTGTGTGTTCAGTGAAGCCATTCTGGCCTTACAGTCAGAAGTATCCAGGCTAAAGAAAGATTTAGAAGAGGGCTTGGTCCAGCTGCCTCACCTGGCCCAGAAGATGGACTTTCTCACTTCCAGGTACAGACAGGATCTTCAGGAGAGCAAGTCTAAAAACAGACCTCGAACCCCGCTTAGACCAGCAAGCAACAGGTAGTAACTGGCCTGTTTAGGGAGGAATAAAATAATTATGAACATTCATGGGTGTTGATTTTTCACATTCTATTTTTTATCACTAACTGATTTATTGTAACTCCTAGTGTGTTGAAACCATCGAGTTGCAGACAGAGCAATCCCAGTTCCAGTCAGGTGAAGATTGAGGATTGGATCTCTTCAGACTTTGATCCTAGCAAAAGCAAAAGTATGTCAACATTACAGTACGCAAAAAAAAACAAGAATACAAGAAAACTGTGGTGCATCTGTATCCATATGTGTGTGTTCATATCATTTACTTCAGTCTTCCACAATAATCTGGATGATTTCCTTTCTAGGTATAGACAGTAGTGTCAGAGGCAGCCCTGAGATCATGTTGCAATTCCAAAAGCCATCTCCAGGGAGCAGGAGAGGGTCTCAAAGTAAACTGCAGTCCAACAAAGGTCAGACCAAGAGCAAAAGACTGACCCTCTGAATAATTTTTATGCATATCAATAACCAGAGGTGAATTGTATTAGAAATTAAATCACATTTTTACACTCCATCAGGATCAGACAGATAGATATCAGTAAAAAAATGTGATCTAACTAGTACTACTTAAAAAGGAGGGAAAGAGGAGGTCTCTGACAGCCATGCACAGACCCCAAACTGAAAAATGTTTTTGGAGTCAGCAGTTTTTTGCCATAAGTACAAAAAAATCAATGTATTTTCAGGTTTCTACTTGATTTTTAATTAATAAAATTATTGGTGTTATCCTGACTGACATATCCAAGGAGGGCACAAGAAAAGTAACTGGTCACAATCACCATGATACATTTCTTAGTTTAACTTTAGTCTGAGCTGTATATGCAGGATGTGAACTGTTTAGTTGTAATAATGTTCTCATAATAGTGCTTGTCATGTCAGCAGCAGACCTGGAGAGTTTCCATCCCAAAGAAATATGGCCTCTTTGCTCCTCTTCACCTCTACAGAAGCCCCTTCTCCAGGTCAGCTACGGCTCCTCCTGCAGCCTGCCTGCAAGGTCATCACACACACACACAAGTAACATTAAACATCACACAACAGGTTGCAGATATTTATAATTTCTTTCAGATCATGAGTTCAGCTCAAGTAAAACCCTTTTCATATTGTCTCTGTATCCAGCTATAAAGTGAGGGAGCCACTTTTGGAGTCCACATCCCACTACAGAAAACGCTCCACTCAGTCAGACACAGCACTTCTGCCCAGTAATGTGTTTTTCCAGCGCACACCGACCCCAGCAACAGCATCTGCAAAGACTAGCAGCAGGGCAGGCAGACGTAGAAGGAGTAAGGTGAGATGACTTGTGTTCACATTTATGCCTGCTGAGACCTGCTTTGAAAAAAAAGATAATTTGATTGCTTTGAAATTTGTCACGCTTGGGTTATTGAAAATTGTATTTCCTCCATGTAGGAAGAAGAGATAAACAGGACTCTCGACCAGGCTATCGAGATGGCACGCAGCATGAAGAGGACCACAGACAGAATGGCAAAAAGACTGTCAGCTGATTTGACTGAGGCTAAACTACACAGGACACTGTACAACTTGCAGCCACTAGGGGGCAGGAAACACCATGCATTGTAAGGAGCAGGACACAGTTAAGGTTGCTCTGAGATCATTAGCCTGCCAGTCCCAGTGACACCTGATACCTGCAGAGAAAACAGTGTACTGTGTCTTTGCTCTTAGCTGAGGGGATTATATAAGTGTGTTAAATTATTGAGTTTATTTTTTACAAGTTTGTATGTTTATAATGCATAGAGTGGAATCACACGGAAAAGATACCTTAAACCACCTTACCCTGATATTATAACCCTTTTGGGATCATTTGTTTTCTTGATGAGCTACAGCTTTTATCAGGACTGTGTTAAGATTTGATCACTTTTTAGGCTCATTTGGGGAAAAAAGCATCTCAATTTAAATCACATCAGTCAGCAAATGATACAAACATGTATATATACTGTGAAAAAAAGACACACCTGTCAGGATATTTATGTGTAAGGCAGATATTTGATAATTTCTGTTTCACATGCCAGTCCTGGTGTGTATCACCAAATGAAGAAACTGTGACTCTTTTTAGTGAGAACAACATATTACAACATCCCTGAGTAAAAACTGTTAACACACGAGTTGTGTTTTTCACAATAGTCCATGTCAATAAACTTGTTTTCTTTATTTTTAAACTTTTTCTTAACTGAAGAAGGTAAACAGCCACAGGCTAAAGAGATTGTTAATTCCAGATAAAACCAGGTCAGATTATTAACATTTCATCTTAGGAAAACCCCTCTCTGTCTTGTGGGTATCAGCTTTGTTCTGTTTACGAAAATCTTCCTTTGACTCCTGTATTGCCCATCCTTGCTGGCCTGTGGGTGCTTGGACCACAGTGTCTTCTTACAGAGTTACAGTTGGGTGTCTTTGTCGCCTTATCGCCTGCTGGTGCCGGGCTGTATTGAGTTTTTGTTGTGGGATATCGACTTTCTCTGTTGTTCTGAGGGGGTATCAGGAAAGAAGAAGTGTCCAAACAGCATTCCTGGACTGTTCCTTCTGATTGTTTGAGGAGCTCAAGATGTTCTCGTAGTTCACTTCCCTGCAGGCCACCTATAGAAAAGACTGCTCATATTTAAGCGAAATAACACAACAGTCACTTGTACCGAATCAACTGTTGCACCTCATATCAGTTTTTGACTGACTGCTCAGTCATAATCTTGAAGCTAAAACATTCTCTTGGATTTGTTGTCAACCCGTCATCAGGTTGTAATTATTTGGGGTATTATGTTTGTGTTTGTATTTATTCTCATGTTTGCACATTTGAAAACAGGACACAGCATCTATAGGATCTGCTGTGATGAAGTCTGATAAATTCCTGCAGGGAGGAGACGATAAAAGAAAAGAAAAGAATACAGCTCCTCCTGCTAGGAATGAAAACACAAAAACATTAGGGTGTCTTTCTTGTGGTAACCAGATCTTTTGATATGAAATCTTATCTGAGGCAGTAGTTCAAGATCTGTATGAAAAAGTTCTTCACATAGAAAAAGGGTAGAGAAAAAAACAGCCTGTCACCAGCTTTGGCAGGTGCTAGGCCTGCAGGAGTTGCAGAAGTTTCTCTCTGTGGTGGCCCTTCCCAAAATCGCTTCAATTTCTCGCTTCAAAAGATTTAATTGGCAGTTGCAACATTACGATATTATTTAGACTATTCCTGGTTTAATAATATTGTCTGTCTTTACATTCGCTAGTCAACTAAATTTTCTCTCCTTTTGTGGCACATCACTTTGCTGAAACACCTCTTAGATCAGCCAAGCACTTGGTCTTCTCAGTCATGCAGCTCCTCTTGTGTTTGTACTTGTAGTTTCAACGTCAACATTGTGATCTTGTTGTCTCCCACTTGCTTCATACCACACCATCACTTCCCTCAAAAGGAAAAAGGTAGCAAATAATAAAGAAAGCATTTAGTAAGAAAAAAAAAGGATGGAGCACAAAGCAAAAACTTTTGGTTAAAAACTGGTGGTGGCAAACTTCCAATTCAAGTATTGAACTTAACACACCGATGGAAGAACCAAACTCATCACAGGCCATTAAAAACTTGGACAATCATTGACAGTGTTTCATGTTAATTTGGTGAATCGGATCTGTCATCATCACACAATCAAAGGGATTTTCTGTTCTTCGATCTTGGATTCTGCTTTGGAGAAGCTGCAGTTTAGTGCGCTAACCCTCACAAAGGATGCTGTCCTTACAACTGTTCCCACATTCCTCACCACAGTCGCCTGATCTGTTTCTGGTCATCACTGACTAAGCCAGATAAAAATGCTTAAACACAAACCCAACTTAGACATTTCATCATCAATGTTTCCTGAGGTTGTCAGTTATTTCCCAAAGCATGACAGCTTGATGTTGAAGGACCAGACTAAAGACACCCTGAGGCCTGATACTCTGTGTCCCAACAGCTTGTGTAATCCATATTCTGCTCTCTATACATCATTGTTGGTTTGAATGACAGTTTTTCTGCTGTACACTTCCATAGCCTGATAACTGCTGAGCAAAACCAACACATCCAAACTCAATAGTTCCATATTCCTTCGTTGCTGCCAGTCGTCAGCATTTATCTCAATGGTGAAATCTGCCACGCCTCAAGTATCTGGTTATGGTGCAGTGGATACCCCTGCCCACTGCCTTGAGACATCAGCTTAGGATACTCTCCAGGGAAGAGTTGGAGTACTCTGCAGATCAGATTGGATGGGCAGTGGAGGACATCATAGACTAATTAGATAATTCAATAGATCTTTTGCAGCCCAGCCTCTCAGAGCTCTGTCCAAAGATCATCCGGCCCAATGAGCCTCAGAACCCCTGCTACCTAATCTTCACAGCCTTGCTGAAGAGAACTTTTCACCTATACACAGGAGTCTGGTCAAAGCAAGGTCATAGCAAGGTTTCCAATTTGCCCATCCTCTACCTATTACGACCACAGCACTTATGCCTGCTGATGAGACTTTGGTTTTGTTTGAATTTTTAATGTTCTTGTGGTTAGCGGTAGTCTCAGACACTAGATTGAATCGAATTTCCCTTCAGTGATCAATAAAATGCTTTCTTTCTTTCTTTCTTTCTTTCTTTCTTTCTTTCATTCATTCCTGAGAGAGTAGGATTTTCTCTGCTTTTGCAACACTCCACGGTGTCGCTGTTTTAAACTTCCACAGTCAAACATTTGAGGTAACAACAATCTAAAAAAGCAAGCAGGCAGCCTAAGATTGAACCTCTAGTTTAGTTTTAGTTTTTTCCTTGTTCCTTATATTTAATATCAATGCCTTTGATTATTTTACCTGCACTTATTAGATATGAGATTAAGGATATGGTCTACTCTCTGGTCACACTGGCACCACTCTCTCTCCTTGCTGACAGAGGACCCCTCAATGAGACAAGGCGGATTTCCATGAAGTTCTTGGCAATGTATGCCAACTTCAAGCCTTTTCTTCCATGTCCCATCAGGTCCTGTAACATGTTCCTTGCACCGATGGTTTCACTCCCTTCTATATAGGTGATATTGTACTTTTTTCACGACTCTGAGTCACTGCTAATATGATCACTGTACAGGATTGCTCTACAGAGAGAGAGAGAAAAAACTGTAACTCAAATGTGTCCATTTCAGTATTATTCTAAGACAGAAAACGTGAAGCTCTTTCAAGGATTATCAATACTCACACAAGCCTGTGTAAAATAAATTATGTGTAGATAATGGGTTTGTAAGTTGTCAAGATTTTGGACTTTTTTAAATTACTTTATTAAGTTGGAGGATCTATACTGTGAACAAAACCATCAGACCTGTAATCTTAGAAATCCGAAACTCTTGCTTTTTAAGCTCTTTAAATGCTGTGCTTATCTTGCGTGTGAAGTCAGATCAGATTGGCTTTTCACTTTTGGCTTTAAACACAAAAGAGTTTGTTCATAGCTGGTCCTTGGGGATCCTCCCAGCTCGTCTTCATAGTACATCTGACGCAGACGCTCAGTCACTTGGGAGAAACAGTTATACTAATCTTACCACGCCTTTGTCACCTTAACAGGAGCTATTAGCACATGCAGTCCTGTAGATACAATAACTATACACTGTGTGGTACAGTTCCCTGTAGTAAAGCTTAATGTATGAGATTACAGTTATCAGAAGGTATGTGGTTACATAAGTCAGGTGGCTTTTTCCAGTTGTTTTTCTTGGTGTTATGTGAAATAACCCCAGCTGACTTTAGGGGAATATACACTGGATCAGATTATGTGCGGTGATAACTCAGTCACATGCAGGTATAGCGTGCGTTGTGTAATGTGGATGTAAAACATTACCAGCACCAGATCCACACAAGTTAAGTCACTTGCAAATGATTATTAAAGGGCTGTTTCTATATTTTATTTTGTTTCCTCAAGTTTTGACAAATATGCTAAAGTTTATAGGGGTTTTTAAGGGGTTAAGTTTTGTTTTTATATTCAAAGAGCAAGGCTGCTCATCTTTTAACCCAACAAAATATTTCAGATGACAAGACAAGACAGAAATTAATTCATTTGTGCAAGTTAAAGAGAAAGCTGTAAAACCAAAAAGCTTGACAAGTATCATTCATAATGGTTTTATGAAACATCTTTTTCTTACAAAGATGAGCTTTCTCCTCACCCCCGATAGGCCACCCAGGTATCCCTCAGGGAGGAGTTACAGCCTTTGGGCTCTCTTTGGTATTTTGCTGAAACAAAAAAGGGCCTGTCCTTTCATCTGAGCAAGAGGGGGAGGGAGGGAGGGAGAGTGAGAGAAAGGAAAGTCAAATTTAAGCTTGAGCTGTCTGTCTAGAGTCACTTTGAGAAGTAGCATCACGCATCTTGCCTCCAGGCAGCAGACCGACACCCGCAGCGATGGAAATCACAAGATTAAAGATGCTGAAACTTCTGCTTTTGTGGGCCTTCACAGAGGTAAGAGATGCTCGCTGATTTTTATGACATTTATAACAAATAATACAGGGACTATTGCTATTTTACATCCCTAGTGTAGAGTTCATCTTTGATTTAGTGCATAGTTTACATACTCAGATAAATGATCACATATAGAGGGAGGACTCTAGAAACACAGGGGCTCTTTGGGAGTGTCACCGCTGTCAACAGGTGCATGTGGCATGCCCAACTGTAGCTCAATAGACAAATTCATTCAGGCCTGAAAGAAATACCTGCACTGACCAGTCCTGAAATCTGTGTTGAGTGAAGGTAATGTGCAGCCTGCTGCCTCTCATGCTCCCAGAATACAATACGGGTCATAATTTGCCTCAGGATATAATGTGAAATACCACTGGCCTGCTACTCTTGGAATGATGTCCTTGTCTTCAAAATATCAGATTTCCAGTAATTTATCTGAAAGTCATGTCCTTTTTCTCTCATTCACGTGTCATCTGTTGTCATTTTCAGATTCGTGCTGCTGATAATGGTAAAAAAAACAAAACATTCTTCTACATATTTAATGATGATATAAATTCTAATAATGTAAAGTCTGTTTTTATTCAAAAGGCAAACTCAGTAAATAAATATATTTGAATGCATGAATCATCTATCTTCTTCAGACATCACCGTGTTGGTGTTCACGGTCACGTCCAAGAGTATCACAGCGCAGTGGAGCTGTCAATGTGAAGCTAGCTCCTTCAAGATCACAGCAACACCCAAGAACTCTCCAGGACGACCCGTTTTTGCTCAGTTCAGCGGCAACACAGTGGTGGGCTCAGTCAACTCCCTGTTCCCAAACACAGTGTACACCATACAGCTAGAAGCCATGGACAACACATTCAACGTCCTCTGCAGTGCAGAGACGGAGGAGACCACTGGTGATTATGCAGATTTGGATACTTTAACTTAATAGAGATAGAAATGTGGCTTCAATCTGACCAAACATAACATACATGTCTTTCTGTTCTCCTTAAGTTTCTTATTTCTGTGAAGAAACTTTGCCTAACTTTTGATATAACTCCACTTTAACAAACTTACATTCTGAGTGTTTCTTAAAAATAAAGGATTAAGGAATTGAGAGTATGATCTGTAAGAGGACATTTAATTATTGCATTTCATTTTATTTTAGTGTATCACTTTTTAAACTTTAATCAAATTTCCCCTCAGGAATTAAATAAGTTTTTCGTATTTTATAATCTCTGCTGACAAACAAAAAAAAAGGCCCATGAGTATTTATGTGATTAAATCTGCAGGATTTTGGTATGAATGATGTATCCAATGTAAAGCACTTTGAGGGTCTCTGATAAAGCACTGTATGAAATCTGATGCATTATTATTATACAAGGCTGTCAGGTTCTCCACAGTGAAGATTTGTTTTTTAATTCATCAGTTTTAATTCAACACTAGTCACTTTTGGACTGTAGTACAGACAAAGCAAGGAATTTGTAAACATAATATTGAGCTCTGGAGAACTTTTCTTTTTAACAATCATTTCATCAAAATTGTTCTTAGAAGGTTATTCGACAAAGAATAATGTGGAGGGGAAATGCCCAAGTTCCAGCTGATGTGTGTTTTTTAACTGACATATGAAATATAATCTGTAAGAAGATGGTCGCCATAAAATTTAAATTACAGAAGTAAAACCTTTTGTAAAAATAAAATCTTCTTTTACATTGAGAAACAAACTCAAAAATATCGTTAACCCATACTGTTTTTTGGAGTAAAATATTTTTACTGCAGTCTAATCAGCTGTTTTCACTTCTGTTTCTGTTCAAAAGCCCCTGAAGTCCCAAGCATCGATAAGGCGTACTCCAAACGCAGTGACAGCATCAGTGTGGAGTTTACAGAGGTTCCTGGGGCGACCAGCTACGTCCTGAGGGCGGAGTCAGTTGTTGGCCATTTTTTCTCTGAAACTGTGGTAAGAGGCTCTCCTGGCACTGTGGTTCAGCTTCAGCCTCACACAGAATACAAGCTGAGTGTCAAGTCCGTCAACTCCGGGGGGCAGAGCCAGCCATCAGAACCCGTCGAGGCCCGGACAGGTGGGAACATAACCTTCAACAGTAGAGTCCTAAATACACCTTACTCTGTGGTCTAAGTGTTTCAAAGTGGAAATGTGGTTTGAAAGTTTTTATTTATAGCTAATATTTTTAATTTTCTCCACAAGTATCAGCAAAAATAATCATATAAGTGAAATAATAATTAACTTTTCTATGAAGCTTTCACTTGTCCAGACATTACACATAGGAAGCAGTTTACATTTGATGCAAATAAGTATATGAAGAGTGAAATGCAGCCCTGCTGTTGTTCTTTTACAACAAAAGCTGGTTATCTCACTCCGCCGGCCATACCGGCTCGTCATTTCACTGCCCATTGTCACTGAGTCTCTACTCTTTGCAGCCATTGCAGGAGGGTGGTAATAGTATCCATGTCTCTGCACTCTGCTTTTCTCTTAATATGAAAAGCTAAACCATGAGAACTGGGTTGTCTCCCTTCCCGAAGGAGAAATCAATGTAACATAATCACAGGATTTTTTTTTTTTCATTTAACACTTATTACTAAACAAATGCAAGTGAGAGAGTCAAACTGAGGCGTTCATGTGTTTCTCCACATAAATCTATTCTTATAACCCCTCATTAATCTCTGCCTGTATCTATTTTAGTGGTGATGGCACCCAAGTTGAACACAAGCTCACCTGACAATGAAACCATCCTCGTGACGTGGACCCCAGTGGAGCACGCTGTCCTCTATACGCTCTGCATCATCCGACAAGGCTCCAGCTCCCGCCATAAAATGAACATCACTGACACCATGGTGATTTTTGATGATCTCGAAGCTGGGACCACTTACTGCATCAAGGGAACAGCCTGGGACTCCGAGGGTCGAGTCGGAGACGACCTCACTGTCTGTCAAATCACACGTAAGAGCTAAAAGAAAACGTTTTTTTTAAAGATGTGAAAGAAGAAATACATAATTCCTGAAAGTCATACACTATAGACAAAGATGGACAACATGACAGATCCCCAACAGTGAAGTCAAAACATCCCAAACGCCCCCTGTGATTGGCTGCAGGATGTCATAAAGTCCATGTTGAATCAAACTTTAAATAGCAATACATGACCAGTCATTTCTTACTATCATAATAGATAGTTCTTATGATGCTGATTCATGTCTGAGTGTTTCAATTTTTCTGAAAAGTTTAAAGTTAGAGGAATGTTTAAGGAAAACAAAACATACACAAAGTCATGGAACTTTCTGTGATTAAGATTTTCTGCTTTAAACTGACTTAAGAAACCGTAACACTGTAGACTCTGCAGACCTACATCTGTTCTGTAGATCAGTTTAATGTTTTGGTTTGTGTCAGGGGTAGGACAATATAACCTAGCTCCTCCACTCAAAACCACTTGGAGAATTCAACTCCAAACGCCATCTACATCACCAGAATGCTAGTGCTCGTTGAAGGTGTATTTTGGCCTTATTTATATGGCCTTATACTAAATAGTTGATATGTAGTCACTACTTACAGAACACAACCCAGAGATGCTGGTAAATATTGATTATCCTGTTTCTTATTTTCCTTCTAATTTTTAGGTCCTTCAAGACCAGTTGTGATCCACGTCCAGGTGACCCCTGGTCGGAGTCCTGGGATCATGGCATACTGGGAGCCAGTGCAAGGAGCTGAAAGTTACACAGCCTGGACCACTAGCGGCCAAAACTGCTCTTCGACAGGCAGTAGTAGTCACTGTTTTATCCTACCTGTGGAATGTGGACAGAACCAATCTGTCTATGTTACAGCCCAAAATGGAGGTGGTTCCAGTGCTCCCTCACACCCTGAGGACTACATGACATGTGAGTATGTCACACAGAACCACACGAAGTGCTAGCATGCATTCTCAAAAGAACAATTTGACAGTGAACGCTAAGAATTAGTGAGGAAGACTGCAGTTGTTCAGCTAAGCCTTGTAGATTCCATCTGAATAATCCAGAGTGTTTTTTTTTTTTAAACAGCTTGTTGTATGATTCTGTTTAATTCTTAAGAAAGCAGAAAGAACACAATAATATATATCATAATATTGGTCATTACAGCATTACACTTTCTCTTGAAAATAGAAGGAGAATAGAAATAGAAATGATAAGAATAACTAAGGTATTGCAATAATACATAATACAAATAATACATCACTTTAAAACCACAGAAACAAAGTATAAAGTGTCTTTATAAGAATGTTATTTGTCTCTTCCACTGTTAGATCCGTGTCCACCAGAGAACATCTGGGTGGAGGAGCCCACAGCTGGAAACTGTGTAGTGGTGTGGGATGAGGTGCCCTTGGTGGAGTACTACATGGCTTTCATAAAGAGAGACGATGGGACGGAGGAGCCGTGTAACACCACTGAAACCTTGTGTCCATTTTTCTGCATGTGTGGGTACACCTACCTCACCACTGTCTTCCCCTACAACAGTGCTGGCTCGAGCCCCTACGCACCAGTCCGCAACTACACTACCAGTAAGAACACCAGCACTTACATTCAGTAAAGTTAACTATACATACTTCAGTTTTTAAGCCGCAGGAATTTTACCATAGTTTTGTATAACCTGAGCACATTGAAGTTACTTGTGTGTACAAGGGGTGGGAATCACTAGTGGCCCCAGGATACGATATTATCACGATACTTGGGCCATGATACAATATTATTGTTATTTTTAACATTTCGCAATACAGTGAGTATTGCAAGACAATACATTGTGATTTTTTTTAAAATTAAAATGTTGAGCTAATTTATCATTTGTCTTTCCTTCATGTTTGTCTTATTTACGCTGTATTTTATTTTCATGTAGCACATCTTGCAAACCTAATATATATATATTTGTTGTACTAACTTTCTCCTGCTCTCTGATGTCACCTCTGCCAACCTCACTGAACAAACAATTGAGTTTATTTTTCCATTATCATAGATTTGACTTCATATTAGCAATTAATTTGAAAAATCGATATTTGGTAAATGACACGATACAATATATCACCAGACAAAATATTGCGATTCCATGCTGTATCAATTTTTTCTCCCACCCCTAGTGTGTACCTCATCTTACAACCTGCAGTTCTCGAAAGTAACGTCATATATATCCCAACTATCAAGGTATTACTTTACAATTTAAATATAAGACATCACTACAGGGCTTTTTGGCAGCTGAATGTTACTGAAACCAGATGACGTTGTAAACCTGAATACCCCACAAAGTCAGTGTTGTCAGAATAAAGTTGTGCCAGAGCAGATATTTTGAGATACCAGGCAGAAAAAGATAGGAGTGTATTAATATCACTTAACTGGCTATTCTCTATCTGGGCATGCCACCTCTTCAACAACACCATCCCCTTCTCATTTAACACACTGGCATGACTTTACTTGGCATGAACCAGTTATACCGGTATACTCTGTAAAATGATCAATATTCATATTAGAAAAAGTAACTGCTGCTCACAACCTTACGTAACCAAAGTGATATTTATTTCTGGAAAAATAGCTGTGAAACGGACTAACTATGTTTCAAATACCTGCAGGTTAATGTGATGTAAAAATAGGATCCCTGAGAGGTTGAAGATAAGCTTTGGTGTAGTTTTACACAATAGTTATGATTCTCTTCAACATTTTTGTTTTCATTTCTCCTTCCCTTCTCTCCACCAGTTCCATGCTGTCCAGAAGGTGTTGACGTACAGCTTGTTGCTACGGAGACTCTAGAGGTCATGTGGTCACCGGTCAAAGGGGCTGAGCTGTATGAGACAACAGCAGCACACACCAACAATACTATCCAGTGTAACGACACAGCACCTGTGTGTGCACTGTCAGACTTAAGGTGCAACACCGTTTATTCTGTGACCATCACTCCATGCAGCGACTTACGAGGGTGCAACCGCACCTGCAAACCACACACGCACGAAACAGGTGATGAACAATGCACCACACAGTGAAATACACCATTCTCTGCAATGACTTGTGAAATGGAGGGTGGAGATTTCGGTCTTGTTTGTTTAGACCTGATCTCACCTCATTTTTAACCAAATTTCAACACTGAAATACCATCTCCCGTCTGTCCTGCTGCAGCTCCATGTGCTCCAGAGATCAATCAAATGATGCAGATCAGCAGCTCCACATACAGAGTCTTCATCTCTAACCCCAATGACCCCAACACAAATTATACTGTTACTGCTACTGGACGCCGTGACATACACAAATGCCACACAAGAAACGGCTCCTGCGACCTCACACAGCTGCCCTGTGGTTCAACCTACGAGGTCATGGCTGGGGCAGCAACAATGGCTGGAACAAGTCTACCGGGATACACCAAACCTTTAGAAACAGGTATGATGGTACGATCGGGGACCATCATATTACATGTCAAACCAATGTTCTTACTAAGCAATAAACGGCTATTAGACAACTAGTTTTTATTTAAACCTAATTTAACCGTCTAGGTTCTGTATTTTAGACATAATTTAGATGTTGCACTTTAACCGATTATTCGATAACTATTTATTTCAAAAAGCAACGGTTAGTTGCATGACTGATTTCCCAGTACTTATATAATTATGATAGCTGTTGAGCAATATACAGTGTTGTATAAATATAGCCCAGATTTAGACTTAGTCTAAATTTGGTCTAAATTTAGACGTCTGAAAAACTTTCATTTTTAGACCTGTAGTAGCCTGGTTTTAGACCAGTCGTCTGGGTTACATTTAGACATCTATTAAACCTCTTCAAGGCCAAAAAATGCTCAGTGGGTTATAACTGTAGCTGTCTGTAGTGTCCATATAAGATATTTCATTCTCAATCTAGTTATCTTCAGAAAGATTTTGATTTCTTTATTAACTTGTGATTAAATATCTTCATCATAAATACAACATTGCAGTATTGATGGTTGTTTTCTCTTCTTCTTCCTGAGGTCCTTGTTGCCCCACCTTTGTGAATGTCACTCAGGTCACTCAGGCTATGACCAACGTGACCTGGTCACCTGGCAGTGGAGCCCGCTCCTACGTCACCTCACTGACTTCCTCACGAGGATACGCAAAGTGTCACACACTTGACACCCACTGCCTGATGGGATGCATCACCTGCAGCACCAACTACAGCGTCACTCTGGAGGCCATCAGCAGCTCAGGACACAAGTCAGAGTGCAAATATCATGGATTCTCATCAAGTGAGGACAAAATCACACAATTTTTTCACAACTGATTTGTCATTAGACATTATTCATGCTACTTCATGAAGTGATTAATTATTTTAATTGTAAATTAAGGTACTTCTGCTCTTGAGAAAATGATAAGCAGAAAAAAAGACCAAACCAAATTGAGAGTAACATTTTTAATTGCCCCATTAAGAGACGAATAAAATCAAACTGCTGTCTTGAAAGTTGGACTTTTGTGGAGAAAAAGGAGAAAAAAACATTCACGATAACTAAACCATTCATTGATATTTTTCCTATAGGTGCCTGTTGTCCTACAAGCCTCAAGCTCTACCGCAGAGCACCTCAAACCCTCAGAGTCTACTGGCGCATCACAGGCCTTCTGATCCTGAACCACACAGTAGAACTTTACGGTACGGGAGCCAACTACACCTGTATCGCAGCAACTGGCAGCAAGTACTGTGACATACAGGAGGAAACATGTGGAGACGTGTACACAGTGGTCGCAGCCCCGGTGGGACAGGACGGGATGAAAGTAAACTTCTGTCAGCCCAGGACATACTCAGGTGAGTCTTAAGCTGTATGGAGGGTGTTATCTATGAAAACATGGATGGAACAATGGATGTTTTTTTCTTGTGATTTATGTTGGAATTGTGTGAAAAGCAGTATATTTTTTTCATCTACAGTTCCCTGTCCTGGAAGTAATGCTGGAATGAGTAAGTGTCCTCTTTATCTTTGTCAAGTTTTATTAAATTTGTGTCTGACTCTGTGTTTAGTGAAAAGACACCGTGTCCCCTTGTTTGAAGTTTCTATATTTACTCAATCAATCTGATAAAGTACCAATTCACAACAAATGTTATCTCAAGATGCTTAACAAAAAGAGCTGGTCCAGACCAAACACATCATGATATTTGCCAAACATAAAAATGGGATAAAACTGAGTCCCATCTTGTAAGATCAGACCCACTCAGATCTTTAACGGCGAGTGTCACACTTTGCAGCATTTAGCAAGTTACAGTGGAGAGTAAATACATTGAAATTAGCTTTCTAGTAGTGACAAAAGTAGAAAGACTGTTGTTAATAGATCAACATTAGCTCTGTATCAGTGTTGTAGTTGAAGGAGCTGAAGAGCAGACATGTTTACAGCAGCAGCAACCTAGAGGAACCTGCAGCATGAGGGAGCTCAGGAACTCCAGGAAAAGACTGTCTGTTTGTGATTTTAATGGGACATGATGGTTCAAAGTTAACGACACAGACAGAGGTTAGAGAAGAAGAGAAAGGTGGTCAGTGTGCCAGTCCCCCCAGCTGTCTAAACCTGTATCAGCATAACTAAAAGCTGGACCAAACCTGAACCAGCCCCATCTATAAGCTTTATCAAAGAGGAAGTTTTTAACCCTACTCTTAGACGTAGAGAGTGTCTGCCTCACTTGCTTGACTTAGTTTAACAAACACCTTCACCTGAGAACATTTTCAATCTTTTGTAGATAAAAAGTAAAACACTGCTATAGCGAAGTAATCTAGAACTCTAACTCCAAAATAATGACGCACTGATGTTTATCTGTTGTTTTCAGTGATCTCTCGGGGAAGACGCAGTGGGCATTAATCATGGTAAGTTTGTTGTTATCCATCTTCCCATGGCTTACAGTGCTTTGCCCTCGAAACACGTGTTATGCAACCTCCTGAGAACAGCAACGTGCATCTGCATTTGTTTTGTTATTGCGAACATGTGAAAGACACTGATAGAGGCTTGTTTCACAGGAAAAATCTGTTGTGCTACTTAACGGCTTCAAGAGTATAACGTTACAGCACCATACGCGGGCTTAAATTGACAGCATTTTGATAGATATCAGTGTTTAGTTGAACAAAAGGGGAACAAACACGCAGCTCAAGTGAGATCGATTTCTATCAGCTGTTACTTGTGGGACTTTTCAAACACTGTCTTTAAAACATGGAAAAGAACAAAGAGGAACGTGACTGAGGTAAATGACGATGGAAAGCTGCTGCGGGAACGTGACACAGATGTCTTATTGGGAATGTGATAGGTGGATGTAATATGATAGAAATGTATCGGCCGTTGACTCATTATGACAAAGCTGAATTTGTCTTTTCCCTTAAAAAAAACAACAACAAATCTTCCAACACAAAACGCCCACACACTGAGCAATCTGTACTGATGCTATGATGAGACAACAGTTCTGTTTTTCCCTCCCAGTTATGTTGATAACTTCTGTTTTGTATCTTTCTTGCCTTCGCAGTGAACCTGTCTTCTCTGCCCACTACCACCACCAACCACCGAACATGGACAAAGGAATGTGTTTACACCACCAGCAACTTGAAGACTTGATTTACTGAAATTAAATATCGCTCCTGTTTAGAGAAACCTCTGTGGTTACTGCTGTTTGCATGTACAGGAATAGCTATGAAACACTCACAACTATATTGTAAAGCTATAATGTAACCAAGGGGGGCACATAAAGATCTGGGGGAACATAAATATTCGCTATACTGCTACTGAAATGTCTAATATTTTGTATGTAGAGCTGCCCTCTTATTATGACATATTGTAGCCACTGTAACATAAAATGCCTCGATAAAGAAACTTGACAGCGAAACGCCCACAAAAATATGGAAATGATGAGTTAAATATGTTAAACAAAGATCTTAGGACTTCTCCAAGTAGAAGACCTCCATACGGCGGCCTGATGACATGTCTGTGGGTTGTGGGTTGGTGATTCAGAATGGGGTCAGAGCTAAAAAGTGGGGCAGGAGGTATCCACCTGTTAGCCTGGAGTCATGCCTGGTGAGTCCTGTGGATGATACGTCTGATCAAATTGCTGGAGATAGATTCAATGTTTTCTCTGCTTTCATTGGATTTTATCCTCAATTGACAGTCGAAAACAATAAAACACATTGATCACATTCCTGTGTGTTGTGTCATCAATCATCTTGTCTGTGTCTTTGTGATGCTGTATGATGGATTTCATCCACAGATGTATCCCGGAAGTATAGGTCTATCAGGGAGACTCTGTAAAGTAGGTCTCCTCCTTTCAGGGGAACTGTCACAGAATACCTGAGTAACTTACTTTGACTGACCTTAAAAGTTGTATAACTGACCCTTAACTTCACATTTATCCCACATGTAATACAGGGGTAATAACCCGACTGGAAGGATGATGATACATTTGTACAGCAGGGCAAGCACACAGAGAAAGCTGCTTATCCACATTTATCAAACACAGAGGAATTTTTTGTATAATTTAATGTTGGATCTTTTGTTCTGAATGACTGAAAAAAAGGGCTTTAGTATCACCAACACTTCTATTATATCATAGGTGAGTGATTTCCAGAGAGTAAACGAATAAGAAGGATTAACTGGATAGTTTTGAATTTTCAATAACTGAAAAACCATATCTATGTGCACTCCCACCGTTTATCCCCCTAACCCATATGGAAATTAACAGACAGAGCAGCAGAATGTAATAACAGAGAGTGAACTTTTTAGACCGACTTTCTGAATAGACACTTTTATAAATCTTCTTTACTGCTAACACCCTACAAAAGATTTATTCGTAAAAACACATTTGGATACGACATAGATGAAGCCCTGTATGAAACCATAATTTGTCAAACAATTTATTGAATTAAAAAAAAAAAGTTCTTCTTATCTTATCTTATAAGAAATTACACTGAATCCATTGTAAAACATATACAAGTTACCTCTAATTCAGGGTAACTTCTCATTAAATGTAAACTACAAACAGTTCATGAGGTTATAGAGCCAACAGCAAATCAGAGTCTGTGCAGACTCGGGATAAATGCTAACAAACGTGTCGCCGGAAAGCGCTTGAGACTTTTCACGCCATTTGTTGCCTCAATTGACATTTTTCCAAATCCATTACTAGCCTTATGCACTATTTTTTTTTTCATTACAGCATAATGTAGCTGCAGTTTGTTAGTCTTTGTAAACCCATTTAAAGTAAATCACGTGATATAGCAGGGTATGCATAAGCGCATTGTTAGTCATTGACGAATTTATCACACTAGACAGTCAACAAGGTTTGAGGTGTCAGACCATCTTTTCACTTTCTCGGTCACATCCAAAAGAACAGGAGTAACAGCCAAAATGGCAGAATTTTGGTTAAAGACAAGTTTGTAGAAGAATGGGAGAGATTATATTGGGTTAAAAGGTTTTTTTTTCCAATTTGTGTCATGTGGACTTGATTCCACTTTGATGAGCTGTTTCTTTATCATCATTTTGTCATTGTATTACCTTTTTCTCATTTTAGCTCAACCAACCTGTAGCATTTTTTCAGTGTGAAGTTTCCATATCCTGTTGGGTAAATTGCACAACTTCCTGCCATTTATCTAGCTTTGTATTCACACTTAGATCTCCCAAAATTAAAAATGTACTCTAATAAATTGTTTGTTGTAACCTAGATGGAAAAAGTATTCTGATTAAGCTCATTTCCCATCCTAAAAGCATGGTGACCAGGAATCCTAGAGTCAAGCAATAACAAAAGATAAAAAATAAATGAATAAAAAAAAAAAAAACATTTTGAGTAATGTACATTTATCCCAGAACATCTTGGTCTTACATGCGGAGGAGCTATATGACACTCAAGAGAATACATTTCAACGTGACGGTCTGCATGTACACAATAGACCTGAAGACAAAAACAGGCGGCAGGGTAGAGCTGGAAACACAAAAGTGTGGATCTATTGTCAGAGGATCTTTGTCACACACTGCAACATACAACAAGCTATCACATTCTTTTACATAACCCCCATCAGCAGAATACGCTGAGCTTTAACTGGAGTGTCGAACATATAACAAAGTGAAACTCCTTCCAGCCATACATCGAGATTCAACCAGGACATATATGAGACTGTGAAAGTTTGTAGTTTGAAAATCCTGAGTAACAAAAATTATCGATTTGAAGGATCTGTTTCAAGGTGCTTTTGAAGAAAAAAAACTCTTCAATGTTTAATCATTGACCAAAACTTTAATAAGAGGTAAAGCAGCTTTTTAATTAGCTTTTATATCAGGTAATCTTTGAAAACTGTTTCAAAGTTTTAAATTACTTCTCGTCAAGTATGGGGTCACAGGTCTTTTAACATGCAGGACATCAAAACAAAACATCTTATCAATTGTCTAATCTATATCAGCTATTTCCACCTTGTGCACAGTTTCTCCTGGCGTGCCTCAGAGATCAAGCGCAGGACCACTTTGATTCTCTTTCATTGCGATCAGAGTCACATTCAATGTGAAGTTATACAATTTGCAGATGACACGTTTATAAGAATCCTGCTGCAAAAATAAATGTGTTCGAGCTTGATTTTAGTAATGCTTGTAATTAGCTGTTTAATATTTTTTAAAGTTTTGTCTAAGAGTAATCTGTTGGAATTTTTGGGAATGTAATTGCAGAAATATTCCTGTGTATTTGAATTTCCTGAATCTATGCCTTAGACGGAACCTGTTATATCTGCAGTGGGACTGAGACTTATTTGATGGATCCAACCCATATTTTACCTCTATGATGTAAGAGCAGAATTAAGTACAAAAAACAAACACTAGCAAGAAAGGAACCATTGCATTTTTTGTTTTACAGCCACTGTGGGCCTATCCTCACACCCAGAAAGACGAAAATGATTTGGGATTTTGTGATCAATCTGAAGTGCTGTGAGTGGAAAAAGTTTTGAACAAACTTGCTTTGAAAAGAAAAATGCACAAAGTAAGTCTAAGAGAATCAAATTTAATACTGTGGGACAAATGAAGAGTAGCTATTATACAATAATGCATAATGACAGAGCATTCTCGAAGATATATGACATCAATCCAGGAAGGATGTGGCAGGGGGAACTTAATTCCCTTGGCCACTCAGAGTGAGATACAATGGAGATCACATTACCTTACAGAAGGCCAATCCTGTTTCTACAAGGAAGTCCAGTTTTTTAGAGAAATATTGATAATGTGAACGTAATAAATATCTATTGTTGTATCTCATTTAACCCTAAATGGCATGTCTTTGAATGTGAAAGGGTCTCCAGTGGGATGAATTGAAACAGGATGTAAATATTCCAGTAACATAGAGGAAATGCAGGTTGACTGTAAGGGGATGGGGGATGCACCCCCACCTCCACCCAACAAACATACTTTGTTTCCTTCTCATGATGACAGGTAGCCCACAGGCACCTACTTGTCCTAATTTGGAACGATGTGATTGGTTCTCGTGAAGTTGATCTACAGCACTCGGCCTCCAAAGGTTTCAGAATATGAGCTTTTTGGTGCAGACCCTCTTATGGATGTAACGCTCTGAACTCTGGCTTTCATAATGGATAAGATCAGGACTTTTTATTTATCGGTCTTCCTGTTGTCTGTCATACAGGTACTTTTCTAAATATTTAACTTTTTTGATTTTATTTTGTAATAACATTGTGCATTGTAAATTTCTAATTTATTCATTTTATCTTTTTTTTAGATTCAAAATGTTTTCATGTCAGGTGAGTGTTGCTGGAACTTTTGATGAGGATTTCTGAAATTTCTATCTGCTTGCAAGTGATTTTAAGTCCACTGATATTGTAATAGCAGTTAAAAAAGGCAGTAGTAATGACTTAGGTGTTATTAGATAAGTGTTTCATTCAAATTTTAATAATTCGGTTGAATCATGTAGGAGCACAGATCATTTTAGACTTATAACAGGTGATAAAACTAATAATTTATTGTTAAGCTGATATACTATCATTAAGAAAAACCCAAATTGACTCAGAATGACCTAAATGAAACATTACAGAATAGAGGCACAGCTGACCAAAATCTAATACAAAGCTAGTATTGGGATAAATTAAGTAAAAAAAGAAAACAGGAAGCTTGCTAACAGTGCTGAATCTTGATGAACCATCTCCTCTGTGGTTAACCTCTAACATAAAGACACACTGCTTGAGGTTTAAGGTGGGTTAGAGTAAGAGATCAAATTTACTTCATCCCAAGAGGGCCAACACCTCACAGACAAAAAACATAATGGTCTAACAATCAATGTGATGCACGTAAATCTAAAATTACCTGTGTGACTACTTACACGTTACTGTCCTCCAGGGAATCTGTTGTCTGTCTTTCTTTCATCCTTTCTTTCTCTCTCTTTCTTTTTATACAAATACATTGAAGAAAAAAAAAACTTTTGTGTAAAAATAAGTCAGTCTGAAATTTTAGACTCAATAGCCAATTTCTTGGCTATTGAGTCACTAGGCAAGTGAAAGTATTGTATTAAATATAAGTATTAAGTACTGTGTTAAATTTTAAAAAAAGTTGAATTTATACAAGATGTTTTTCAAAATACAAAATATGCTTCACTCTTGACACTAGTGTTCAATGATTAGTGAACACAAATTAATGCTTTTTTTTCTTTCTTTATTACTTTTGTTTTATACAACATATATATTCTGAAAGTTCCCTCAGGATCAATAAAGTATCTCTAGACACTACTGCAAGTTATTCAATATGCAGATGACACATTTATAAGAAACCTGTTACAAAAATAAATGTGGTGGAGCTTGATTTTAGTAATGCTTGTAATCAGCTGTTTAATATTTTTTAAAGTTCTGTCTAAGAGTAATTTGTTGGAATTTTTGGGAATATAATTGCAGAAATATTCTGGTGCATTTCTTTTTTCTTTATTACTTTTGTTCTTTACACCATATATATTCTGAAAGTTCCCTCAGGATCAGTAAAGTATCTCTTGACACTACTGCAGATGACACATTTATAAGAACCATTCCAATGGTTGAACATAAAGTATCCCTAGACACTACTGCATTGTGTTTCAACATGAGTGTCCTGTTTTCCTTTTTTTTCAGGGTGTGATATTACTTCGGTGACATCTCCCTCAGCATCCACACTGCAGCTACACTGGAGTAGCTACCCTGGAGCTTCAGTCTATTTACTGAACTTAAAAGTTGTGAACTCTACCAGTATCGCCCCTGTGGTGGTGACGCAGTCAGCACCCATCACACAGAGGCTGATTCAGGGGCTAAGACCTGGACATGTCTATGAAGTCACACTCAAGGTCTTAGAGTACTACTCTGTTAGGTGCACAGACGCTGTAATAACCATGACAGGTGAAAGACCAGTCTTTTTAAGTATTCAGTAACATAAATGATGATCCATTTGTCTAATAATGCATTCATCTTTAATTCCCACAGTGCCAGCCACCACTCAGATCACTTTTTCCAAAGCCATTTCGAGTACATCTATAAGATTCGAGTGGTCCAATGTGACAGGAGCAGACAGCTACATCTTATTTGTGGAAGAGTTGTTTAGTGTCCCCACAAGAAGAGTCAACCAGACCTTCACAACTCTGAGTGGGCTAGTTGATGGCCTGACTCCATCTACCACCTACAACTGTTATGTTTACGCCTCCAACAGTGCTGGAAGAGGTGCCAGGAGTGGTATAAAGACCGTCATGACATGTAAGTTTACAAATGTTTACGTTGGTTGTGTTGATTTTTATTCAGACAGAGTTTTATTTTTGGATGAAACATTGCAGATGATTTGTAAAAGCATCTTGATTTTCCTTCAAAGTGGTGCAGCCACCGACAGGCGTGACTGTAGTGAAGACAGGAAAGAGTACAATCCGAGTGACGTGGAACTCAGTAAACAAAGTCCTGCTGTATCAAGTGAAGGTGAGCGACACTGACACCAGCAATGACCCAGTCTACAGGAATACTTCCTCCACATCCATGAACGTCGGTAATCTGGAGCCCTGCTCCACCTACACCATCGGAGTATCTTCAGTCAATACCTTCTTAGTTCCTGGAGAAGCTGCGAATGTTTCATACACTACTTCCAGTGAGTATCTTAGAGATGGGTTTTTAGATTAGTGATATGTTCATCAAAACTACTGTGCTTGCATGGACATGGAAATTAATATCAAGTACTGTTCACACACAAATGTCGTAAATATGGGCAATACATATACTTAGCAGACTTCTGAAACATATTTAACATTCTTTCAATTACTAAAATCTATGAAGTGGGCCAAGTAGGTCATTACCTTTGATTTTTCAAAGGCAATGACCGGTCAGAATGGTGTGTTTAAGTCTTTTGACTTTTAAAATAACAATACAGGGTGTCTGACATTTCAGTAGGTAATGAAACACAAGGCCTCAGGCAGAGCTAGCTGCCTCTTTACTGAAAATGATAATGTAAAGAGAGGCCCAAACCATTCGCGAGCAAGCAAAGGTAAGCTTAGAATGTGAGGTAAAAAATCTTATAAAATCAGATTCAGCCACTAATGGAAGCTGGTGGGCTAAAACAGATCAGGTGTTGCACTGAAATCAAGAATAGATAAAAACTGTGGCCTAGTTTAGCAAAGTCTAAAAAACACAGTATGTATATCATAATACTCTCTAAGGCATGACAATGGAGAAACAAATGGCTCTATTTACAACATTGACAAAATGTCTGAATGTTTTTCTCTAGCTATAAATCCAGTGACGACCATCTCTGTGGAGTACAGCTGCTCCAGCAGCATGGTGATTGTAACTTGGGACTTGGTGTTTGGGGCTAACTGGTACAGGGCCACGGCTGTTGACGGCACAGGAGAGTCCCTTAACTGTACATCACCCAACAGCAGCTGCCAGATCACTTCACTCAAATGTGGTGAGAAGTATGTAGTCCACGTTACAGCCATCTCTGACGACTGCGAGAGCACCTCCAATACCTCCAACTTGTTTGAGACAGGTGAGTGGAGCACATGCGCATGAGGGAACTTTAGATGTGCTTGTATTCATCTATTGTCTGTACCCCATACTGTATGTCTCTCACATGCATCCACACAGCTTCTCGTTTTACCTCTCACTCTCACACCTCTGGACAAACTCTCATGTCTCTATAACAGACCTTCTATAGGTTTGTCCTGTGGGAAGCTGTATGGATTCCTCCCATGGTGTCCTATGTGCTTTTCTCATGATGAGTGCTGATACACGCCCGCTCATTAGCCACTGAGATCTGCCACCCAACACCAGTCAGTTTGAAGGATCTTTATAGTCTATTGAAGTCAGGGAGTTATCTCAAAGGTCAGCAATGGAGTCAGTCTAGATTAAAAGAAAGAGGAGACACACACACATATACAAACATGCACACACAACCAGCCCAAGGAAATAATCCAGTGACTAGCACACACAACAAGCACTCATGCCTATTCATTCAAATGAAGTGGTGCTTTTATGTAAGAGATACCAACGATGAAGTGTGTATTATTAGAAAAAAAAAGATAATTTTCTATTAACGAAGACTTAAAAGGACAACCTTGCACATACGCTGGTCACTTACAAATTGAGGCGTATTTATTCATAATTTAAACCCTTTTCCATTTAGGTATGAAGTTTTTAATTAGTCATAGGGGTGTTGAGGGTTGAATTTATACCCTAAATGATCACTGCAACCCCTTCTCCTTCATCAACTGTTACACTTTATTCTCTGTCTCATTCCTCCAGTCCCCTGTGCTCCAGCCAACCCTCACACCATTCACGACTGTTCCAGCAATGTGATTGTCTTCAGCTGGCAGCCCACCAACAACACCTTCTACTATGTGGCGACGGCCGTGGACAATGCTGGCAAAGTGACAGAGTGCAGGACACCAGATAACACGTGTTACTTTACAAACACAGGCTGTGGTCAGTTATACAGGTACACCGTCCACGCCATCAGCTCTGAATGCAACAGCGAGGAGAGCCCCCCTGAATTTGTCCAGACCTGTGAGTATTTTTTGATTTGTTGGTGACTTGATTATTATTATAAGAAGATTGCAGAAGTTCATGTTATGTCATTCAATGAAGACTGTTACTGATTTTGCCTAAGTTTAATGCATAATAGGAAAAATTCACCAAAAGAGTGTCCCTTAACTTGTGCACATTATAACCACTTTTAACACTTATTCCTTACATTTCCTCAGCTCCTTGTCTGCCAACAAACATTAAAACAGCAGATGTGTGTGACCCCAACAAGCTCATCACCACCTGGGACTCTGCTGCTGGAGCTCTTTCCTACACAGTAGAAGCACAAGGAAACACTGGAGAAACCTACAACTGCACCTCCAACTCCACAAACAGCTGTGCAGTGACCGGTGTGCCATGTGGTGAACACCTCAGTGTGTATATCGTTGCCTCCAATGACAAATGCACTACCAACAAGGTGCTGGGAGAAGTGGCTCAGACAGGTTTGTACCCGGATATTTCTGTCAGTTCATAATCCTGTTTAAAGTTACTGGATTGCGTGAATGAAGTCTGGCTTTCTCAAGGAGAGACCGTTATTGAACCAAACTTTTTCCCCTCTCTCCAGTTCCATGTTCCCCAAAAAATATTGGAGTGTCAGTCAACTGCAGCCAAGATTCTGCCACAGTAAACTGGACAACGAATATCGGGGCGATATTCTATATTGCCACTGCTACAGATGCATATGGAAACTCAAAGAGCTGTAATTCAATGGGCACCAACTGCCTTATCGAAGGTCTGCAGTGTGAACGCAATTACAACGGCAGCGTAATCGGCACCAATCTGAAGTGCAATAGCACCATCAGTGAGGAGATCGCCTTTACGACAGGTGGGTCAGAGAGGGCATGTTCAGACATGATTTTGCTGTTTAACGATACTGATTTTGATGTGTGAATGTAATGAAAAATAACAACACTGATGGCTAAAATTTGAAATAGGTTACTTTCTACTGAACATCCCAAACAAGTAGACTCTCTGTCTTTCCATCAGGTCCTTGTCCTCCAACTAACATTGAGGCTTACAGAGACTGTGACGCCAACCATGCCGTTATAGTCTGGCAGAACCATCGACCCGGCAGCCTCCACACAGCACTAATAGAAGATCAAAATGGATCTCAGCTCAATTGCACCAGCAACACGTTCAACAACTGCACAATCACCTCTCTACCATGTGGGAGGAGATACAGCGTCACTGTCACCTACAATGATGGAACGTGTCTGTCCACCTCAACACCCATCAGCATGGACTCAGGTAGGAAAATACAGGAATTAAGCTGTTTCTCTGCAGAAGAAAATGAACCTTTAGAAACCCTTATGGTGTCTTGTTTTCTCCTCTGTCAGTGCCATGTGGTCCTGAAGATGTGAGGGCGAGTGTGGACTGTCAAACCGGTGAGCTGACAGCTACCTGGAACATCTCAGTTCCTGCAGACAACTATACCACCATCATCTCTAGAGGCGTGGGCCAGCCTGTGCCCTGTAACTCCACAACAACACGGTGCACCACAGGAGGTTTGCTGTGTGGAAGCTTATACACGGTGACCGTCTTCTCTGTCACTGGGATGTGCAACAGTCTGCCAAGCTCAGGGGTCACGGTGCAAACATGTGAGAAATACGTTTGTCATCATCATTAGGATTTAGACACAGGAGTAATGATTCCCAAGTAAAGTCTTAAACTTCTCCTTTGTCATCTGCAACCAGTGCCGTGTCCTCCCACCAACATCATGGCTGTACACACCTGTGCTCCGGATCCTGTTCCTGTGTCCTGGGTGGCCAGTGACAGCGCTAAAGACTACACTGTGGTTGCTGTGAGTGGTGGGGGTCATACAACAGGGTGCACGACCAATACAACTTCCTGCAGCCTCTCGAAACTCCAGTGTGGGGAGGTTTACACCATTGGGGTTTCAGGAGTTGATGACAACTGTACAGGTCACCTGAGCGACACTGTCTCTTTATGGACAGGTAACACTACCAACAGTGTCTTAAGAGATTCCTTAAACTGCAGTACTTTTCTCATTAAAGGAATATTCTGGCATAAAATAAATTTAGGGTCAAACACACCGCAACACCAAGTTAGACATCCCCTTGAGAGATGAATGTTGCCGAGCGCTTGCTTCTCTAGTTATACCAACTTTAGTAACAACCGTACGATAGCAATACACATCGGTCTGAGGAGCCATAAACAAACCTAACCCAAAACGCCACTCTATAGCCACAAATAATGCTCAGAACAGCACCTAACTTCATCAACAGTACATATAGGGTCTTAGCCATAGTACTAACCACCAAACATCCTTTTTACTTTGCCTAATTTCTTCAGCAATTTCTTCAGTTGCTGTTCTGAACATTATTTGTGGCTATAGAGTGGCGTTTTGGTTGAGGTTTGTTTATGGCTCGTCAGACCGCTGTGTATTGCTATCGTGCGGTCGTTACTAAAGTTGGTATGACTACTGAAGCAAGCAGTCAGCAATATTCATCTCTCGGGGGGGGGGGGGGGGGGGTGTCTAAATCTGTGTTACGGTGTGTTTGACCCTAAATTAATTTTACACCAGAATATCCCTTTAACAGAGCACTTTTTAAAAACTTTATTAAACTACAAACTTTATTTACAGTAGTTGATGTTTCATTTGTTTCTCTTTCCAGAGCCGTGTCCTCCCTCTAATGTATCCAGTCAGCTGATGTGTAGTGCAGAGGTTGCTCAGGTGCACTGGGCTCCCAGTGCTAATGCAGTGAACTATTCTGTGAAAGCCACCAGTAACGGCCACACACTCACATGCAGCAGCTCGAGCCCAAACTGTACTCTGAGTAACCTCATCTGTGGCCAGGCGTATGACATCACTGTGAAAGCCACTGATGGCACCTGTACCAGCAACTCCAGTGCCCCCTTACGGCAAGACCAAGGTACATTTGTCCTGGCAGGGATTACTGATTTCTTGCTTTATACTCATTTATACTGTCAAGGATAGAAATAAGATATTTATCCAGTTTCCTAAAATGTAAGGCAAGCTAGCTAGCTGTTAGCTTTGGTTATCATATAAAAAGCATGCAGCAAGGGCAAACACTAAATAATATGTTGTTGGAAGTAGTATCACAAATAACTTGGCTTTGATAGTTGAATCACAAACTTCAACTTTGTTACACCTTTTTGATTTCTTCCCTCCTTCTTTCTCTCCATCAGTCCCTTGTGCTCCAGCAAATGTCACTACAAACCTGATCTGTGGCACCAATGACTTGATGGTCAGCTGGTCCACTTCTGATGTGCCCCTCAACTACAGTGCTGTCGCTATGCCATTGGCTGGAAATATCAGTCCAGTCACCTGTGACTCTAGTAGAGCCAACTGTAGTCTGCGAGGCCTTCAGTGTGGACAGACCTATAACGTCTCCGTCAAAGCTTCTTCTGACAGCTGCAGTGGACGGTTTAGCCCCCCACAGACCATTCAGACAGGTAATAAAGAAGTCAAAAAATAAGGGTGGTTATTTTGTGAATCTTGTTTTTTACCTTGACTGATTTTTGTGCTCTGGGCTGATCTTCTCCAGCACCCTGCTCACCACAGAACCTCACAGCAGTGACGGACTGCGGTTCAAACTCACTCCTGGTCAGCTGGAGAGCTTCTCATGGTGCTACCTCCTACACTACAACAGTGACGGGTCCAAACGGCTTCTCTGAATCCTACTCCTCATCAAATCTCACATCGTCTGTCTCTGGTCTTCAGTGCGCCAGTCAGTACAATGTCCAAGTGACGTCACAGGACGGCCAATGTACCAGCTCTGCGAGTCACACTGTCTTGATGACAGGTTGTATTCACTTTTTTCTACACGTCTCACTTAAATTAGAGTTTCCTCAACTTAAACTCCTTCATGTGACACATATCTCCCCTCCTCTCTTCCTTTAGGACCATGCGACCCCATGAATGTGACTAGCGTGCTCCAGTGCGGTTCAGGCACAGCTACAGTGTCCTGGACAGCTGCTCCTGGGGCTGTTGCTTACACTGTGCTCGCTAAAGACCACACCTCACAGCAATCCTGTAGGAATAGTTCAACTTCCTGTCAGCTGAAACAGTTGCAGTGTGGAAAGGTTTACAACCTGACTGTGGTGGCAGAGGGTAACACCTGTAACAGCACGGGAAGCATCAAAACTATGCTGATGACAGGTAGAGAAGAGAAACAGAAGAAGTGAAACAAGAGTTTATAGTCTATTGAGACATAATTTCGCCTTGACTGATCCTTCTCCTTTTTATTTGCCTTGTTCAGCTCCCTGCGCTCCATCAGTCAAAAACAGCAATCTGATCTGTGGCACCAATTCTTCCTCTCTGTCATGGATGCCGATGGCCGACGCCACAGGTTACACTGTTAGTGCAACGTCCACGAGTGGACACACAGTTTGGTGCAACTCAGCCACTGCAAACTGCACCCTAATGGGTTTAACGTGCAGTGAAACTTACACAACTACAATCACTGCAAAGGGAAGCGAGTGTGACAGTGCACCCGGCCCCAGCATCAACATCACAACAGGTGAGTGTGATGTGATGAGTGTGAGTGGTTCATGTGTGCATGCAAAATGTCCCCCCCCCCCCAAGTAAACACACATCTATATCATTTCACGTACTCTTCTTTCAGCACCCTGTCCTCCAACTATCATATCCAAGGAATATACTTGTGACACAAAGAAAGCAGTGTTCAGCTGGACTGCCCCCGCGGGACACAACAGGTTTTTGGCTCAAATAGCAGGAGGAGATTTTATGGCTATCTGCAACACTACGAACTCCAGCTGTGAGTTTAAGCGTCTTCCTTGCGGCTTGGAATTGAATTTAACGGTTCAGGCTGAGGGGGCGCAGTGCAGCAGCAACCCAAGCATCAGTGAAACCATCGAAACAGGTACTACATGCACTTGTATATTACTCATAATTACCCTAAGAAATATTGTAAGTAATATGACAAATGTGTTATATGTGGAAAAACTTGGATTACAGATCTGACACTAGAAACTCTACAATTGTAATCAGCATTTTGTTGGTATAGTGTCACAAACAGAACAATGCTCTTGCTACCTTCAAAGGCCACTAAATTTACCCACTGAGGACTTTTAACTCAATATTCGCCTTTGCCTAAAACCACTAACCATGGTGACCTTTTTTCAATGTGTCAAACATAAATGAGAACTCTGCATTTTAAAGGTCTAGAGGGTGACAAATTTAGCCAGACTAGCTGTTCCCCTCTATTTCCAGTCTTTGCACTAAGCTTTGCTACAGGTACCCAGCTCCTTCCTCAGACTCTAAGACAGCAGGAAAGCGTCCTCACATATTTTCCATGATATGTCCCACAAAATACTCATATTATTCACTTCTCTGTATAATGTTTTCTTCTTCTTTCCACAGTCCCATGTGCCCCAGAGAATGTCAGCACCTCCATGGCCTGTTTTAATCGCTCAGCCCTGATGATGTGGGTAGGAAACCCCAGTGCTACAGGGTACAATGTGACAGCCACAGGCCAGGATGGAAGGACACACCATTGCCAAACTAACACAACCAGCTGCCAGCTACCTGACATCCGCTGCGGTGAAACTTACAACACCACAGTGACGCCGTACTCCAAAACATGCACAGGAAACCCAAGTGCAGCTTACATCTTCAGAACAGGTAAGCAGAGACGAGAGGTTACTCTATCAATCATAACAAAATAAAATCAAAAGCTTTTATTTCAGGGACAAAAAAAAGAGACAACACTTCAACTTTTTTTGTCTTTTCAGCTCTTTGTGCTCCCAGCAACGTCACTGTGTCTCGATCATGCGAGGACAGCACTGTCTCTTGGTCTCATGTACCAGGTGCTGACATGTTCATAGCAACAGCCACTGCAGAGGACGGCCACACACACACATGCAGATCAAACTATTCTAACTCATGCAATTTCACTGACCTCCACTGTGGGGAGACATACAATATTACTGTTGTCACTGTGGACAGAGGCTGCTGGAGTGAGCCGAGCTCAACTGTGGAGCTCAAAACAGGTAAGAAGAAACTGTAATGAGTATATTTTGTTTATTTGTATGGACTAAATTACAAAGATTGACAAATATATCAAACCTAAATGTGGTGATGTTCAGAAAACACTTACTTTTTTAAATTCCTTCAGCTCTGTGTCCACCCACTAATCTGACGGGCCAAGTCGATTGTGATACCAACACACTTGCACTCTCCTGGGACCAGAGTCCAGTGTCTGGAGCCTCCTACACTTTGAAAACTAAGTTGGTAGGAGGTTCACTCCCTCCTGCAGAGCACACAACCTCTAATACCACACACACGATGACCAGTCTGCTGTGTGGACAGAGATATGCTTTCCACATCGCAGCCCAGGAGGGACTGTGTCGCAGCAGCTACAGTCCACCCATAGAAATAAGCACAGGTAGGATGTAGAGACAGCTGTATGGAATATATATATGACATATATACAACAGGAAAGAAATTTGAATATGAAGGTTTACCTCCTCTTTCAGCTCCTTGTCAACCAACCAACTTCTCTGCCCGTGTGGACTGTGGGACTAACAAAGGGAACTTCTCCTGGGTTGAGACTGCAGGAGCAGGCTTCTACACAGTAGAGGTGACGGGAGCACACGGACACGTAGCATCCTGCTCCTCCAATGACACTTCCTGTGCCGTAAAACTTCACTGCGGTCGGTCATACTCAGCTTCACTGGTTGCATCTACAGAGAGCTGCAATAGCACCAAACATGCTGACATTCATTTTGAGTCAGGTAAGAGATATGGACAGGGTTTAAATCTTGTATGTGTAATGGTTGCATATTTGCTTGCACTTTGGGGATGAACCAAACACAAATATTCACTTTGTTTATACTGTTAGTAAACTCGAAGAAAGTGGGGTCTCTCATAATCAATCTTGTAGTTCCAAGCTCCAAGCTTTTAAATATTTTCCCTCTTTATTTTTGTTTTTGTAAGAAGACTATTGATCACCTTAAAGGAACTAGGGATCTTGATAAAGAATAAATAATAGAGAGCTTATTAAAAACCTACCAGAGTCACAGAATGCAAACAGACCAGCCCATTCTGCTGAGGCCTTAATGTCTGTTGTGACCTTAGCAGAGGGTGCACACAACAGACGTGATATACTTTTTTGACAGCTCAAACAAATCATAATACCTGAAATAAATGAAACTCCCTCCCACAGCTCCCTGTCTCCCAGAGGATGTCTTGGCTATCTTAGACTGTAACGCCAACGTGATGGATGTAAGCTGGACAAAGACCCTGGGCTCTGATGATTACACCGCCTGGGCCATCAGCACAGATGGACACAGAGTCTCCTGCAACTCCACCTCCGACTCTTGCTCCATTTATGATCTGCAGTGTGGCAAGGTCTATGAAGTGGCCGTCACCTCGTCCTCCATTTACTGTGACATCATTGCAGGCTCAGACTACAAAATTCAGTCTGGTCAGTGAAGCTCTTTCATCTGCAGACCTCATATTTTTTAAAGTTATTATTCTACTGCACTTGTTTCTTGCAGAATCGTGTGATTTTGATAGAAAGTATGCTCTCCTTTCAATCAACACTAGCTCCATGTAAACCTGAGAACACCTCAGTCATCCAGAACTGCAGCAGCAACGTTGTGACAGTAAAGTGGCAACAAGGCAGCACAGCGCAGAACTACACAGTGGAAGCCTTATCAAATACAGGTGTTAACTCCACCTGTGACTCCATCGGAAGCAGCTGCTCGTTCCTGAACCTGAGCTGTGGTCAACAGTACACCTTCACTGTGATGGGACATACCAATGTGTGCAGGAGTTTGATGAGCACACCCATAGAGAAACTCACTGGTAAAAATAAACCAGTTCTCTTTCAATAAAACTATTGCTTTAAGGAATGAAAAAGAAAAAACATCCCTCTATTTTTTTTTATTTAAGCATATCAGCCACCAATATTTAATTATTAGTCTGAAAAGGGTTGACAACACAGATATGTGTTGCCAATCTACTCATAAAGCTCTTGGCACATAAACAAATGCATGTAGACAACCATCAAATGTCTGAGTATAATTTCAATTTTTTAGCTCTTTTAAGATCTTTTTTCAAACTTTTCTTCTATCTTCTTTCCAGCGCCATGTCCTCCTACCAATGTGTCAGCCATCTTGAACTGTACCTCACAAACAGCTATGGTCAGCTGGAGAAGCGCAGCAGCAGCCTCAGCTTACAGCGTCCAGGCGATCTCTGATGATGGACATAACTCCTCCTGCAGTGAGATGGGTACATCCTGTCACCTCAGAAACCTGCTCTGTGGACAGGAGTACTCGGTTGTCGTAGAGGCAATGCACACTGGGTGTCCTGGCCCCGCTAGTGCCCCTGCTAGACTTCTTACAGGTGAGTACTGTGCTAAATCTTTCACAATAAATTACAGAGTGGCATGAACCAAGTCAACTCACTGAAATTCCCCAAAATAAATCTTTGGCTAAGAAGAAATACAAGATTGCCATACAAAATATATGTTTAAGTCAGTGGTTCTCAAGTCCAGTCTTCGAGCCCCGCCCGTCCTGCATGTTTTGGATGTTTCCCTGCTCCAACACACCTGATTCAAATCATCAGCTCGTTATCAAGCTCTAAAATGGCTTAATAACGAGCTGATCATTTGAATCCGGTGTGGACAGGGGGGCTCGAGGACTGGACTTGAGAACCACTGGTTTAAGTCATAATATTAAACAACAGACCATTGAAATTAATTGTATTGTTTGTATTTATTTTAAAAAATGACAATAGAGACTCCCAGTGAAAGGGATGTGGCCTTCTGGTGGACTCTGAAAACATGAGCTGGACTAGGACTCCACTCTATTTTGTAAATTTCGCATTCACAGTTCATTACTTCGCATTATTTGGTTGTTCAGATACTGAAATAGGCAAAGGATTGTAATAAATAAATTAAAATTATTTGCACAACCTTGTAGGTTTTGCAAAACCTATAGATTTTTTAGTGTATGAGATATTTGGAAAAAAATCGTCCTAGTTTTTATCATTTATCAGAGTTTTTTCAAAGGTCTAGGTGGGACCCACAGTATTTCAACACTTCCAAATGAGCTACTAAAGTATATGTGACTACTAATACTATTATATCTTAATCCCTCCAGAGCCGTGTGCCCCCATGAACCTCTCTGTCCACTACAATATCAGCAAAGCCCAGGTGACGTGGGCAGCAGCAAAAGGTGCCACATCTTATTCTGCCCAGGCCGTGACTGACCAAGGCTCAACACCACCCTGTAACACCAACACCACCAGCTGCCTCCTGAGGGGCCTGCAGTGCAGTCAGATATATAATGTGACTGTGATGGCACGAAACCAAGCCTGTGATAGCAATATTTCTGAAACACATCATCTCATGACAGGTTAGTAACTTTATTTGAGGAGAGGTGTGCTGAAAACTACATTTGTAAATCTGTGATGTATCTTTTAAACTTTTGTTTTCCCGTGATTCAGAACCCTGCCCACCCACTAATGTTCAAGTCAACATGGCATGTGGGCATCAGTCTGCAACAGTCTCCTGGCAGAAGAGCAACCTCGCTGTTGGCTATGTGGCTTACTTTGACAACAGCAAGGGCCACTCCACCTCATGTGAAGCTGCAGAATCAGATGAACAATGTGTTGTCTCAGGACTGATCTGTGGTATAGGGTATAGTGTCTGGGTGAAGGCACTAGGACATCAGTACAACAGCTCTGACAGCCCAGTGGTCTCTTTTGTATCAGGTAAAACACATGTTTGATGTACAAAATGTTGATTTACACATGTTCTATGTAAACATCAATAAAAGTTCACTATGAGGGTAATGAGTAAATGTTCTGCTGCACCATTACAAGGCAGACAAGAAATGCCACCAAAAAAGACCAAATTGTTCCCCACACAGATGCACTTGTTTGTGCTTGGATGAGAAACTTCATGATGAATTAGTTTAAATATCCAATAAATGATGTTTCAAAGGTGCAGGGTAATTTCTCCCTTTTTTCCTAACCCCACAGGACCTTGCCAAACAAGCAATATTGAAGCTATTTTGGACTGCGAAGCCCACTTTGCTACCGTGTCCTGGCTGCCCACTGTTGGGACAGAAAACTATTTTACTGAGGTGATGGCATTATCAGGCCACAGCACCAACTGCACCACCAACTACACCTACTGTGAGCTGCACTCCCTGCAGTGTGGAGAGGAGTACAATGTTACTGTGGAGGCCATTGGAGACACTTGCAACAACACGGCTCAAATGGCAGGATACCTCACCACAGGTACTTAAATATATATAGGTTTCACAATCCGTGCATGATATCAAAGGAAAAAGACGGCCATGTTTCCTTCTGCAGTTTTACACAGAAGGAAACAAAAGAGCAGCACTATAACATTGTTTACATTTAGCATTATACTGACTGTAACCACTTGTTCCCTCCAGAACCCTGTCCCCCCATGAACCTCTCTGTCCACTACAATGTCAGCAAAGCCCAGGTGATGTGGGTGCCAGCAAAAGGTGCCACATCTTATTCTGTCGAGGCCGTGACTGACCAAGGATCAACAGTTATCTGTAACACCAACACCACCAGCTGCCTCCTGAAGGGCTTACATTGCAGTCAGATATATAATGTAACAGTAATGGCGAGAAATAAGGCGTGTAACAACACAGTGACTTCTGAAACCTACTGCCTTATGACAGGTTGGTCACATAATGATGAAGAGGTGTGTCTAATGTTTCACTTCACATGAGTTCTGTGATCCTAAAAATGTTCTTTCATCATTCAGAGCCCTGCCCACCTACCAATGTTCAAGTCAATGTGGCTTGTGAACAGCTTACTGCAACTGTTTCTTGGCAGAAGAGCGACCTCGCCGTGGGTTATGTTGCTTATTTTGACAATCAAAATGGCCACTTCACTTCCTGTGGTGGCTCAGAGACAGATACTGTCTGTACTGTCTCAGGATTGGTGTGTGGCACCATGTACAATGTCTGGATGAAGGCACTGGGACAGCAGTACAACAGCTCTAACAGTGCAGTGGTCCCTTTCACATCAGGTAGAGACAGAATCAGTGTGATACGTACTCATCTCTTCATTGTGGATTTTTAATTCATGAACTTATTCATGCTCTCTCCAGCTCCATGTTTGCCCAATCAGGTGGAGGGAGAGGTCGACTGTAGCTCTGATGGAGCTGCTGTTGTGTCTTGGGACGCCACACACGGTGCTGCAAACTTTTCCCTGACAGCTGTTGTAAGTGGAAGTCTTCGGACTCTTTGTGAGACCCAGCAGAAAAGCTGCAATGTGACAGGTCTAAGCTGTGGGGAGACCTACAACCTCAGCCTCACAGTCAGCAACTCACAGTGCAGCCTCACCGCGCCGATGCACTCCAACCTCACCACACGTGAGTCAGATTACTGAAGTGTAAACAAAGACTACAGGGGTCTAACTTGATCCTGGTTTAACATTCATGCTTCTCCCCCTCTTCTAGGTCCTTGCCCTCCTCAACATGTAGATGTAAATCTTCAGTGTGGCTCCCGTACTGCGGTCCTTTCCTGGGAGGAGAGATCCGATGTTGAACTGTACGAAGCGAGTGCTGTCAAGGCATCAGGAGGGGACGTGCAGAAGTATAACTCAACAAACTCTACCTATGAGTTTTCTGGTCTGGACTGTGGAGAAATGTACAACTTTACTGTGACGGCTCACAGTCAAGGCTGCTGGAGCCAGGCCAGTAGAACTGTGTTTATCCAAACAGGTACTATGGATGCTAAATACTTTTACAAGCCGTAATGACTAACAAAAAGTGACTAGTTTTATAATAATTTCACAAGTCTTTTCAATTCGTCTTTGGATACACTAACGGCTTTTAGTACTATTTATTTACACATTTGTGGTAACTTTTTTTTTTTACAAAGATTTTTCTTACAAAATAGATTCACAAAAAAGAACATCAAGTATTTTAATTTAGCTCCGGGCTCACTATGACGGTAATATGATTAGGAGTAGTTGCCTGGAATAATTTCTTTTCCAGCAGACTATTGAATAATCTGGCTGTTGATTTCTTGATCAAATGATAAATATATTGGTTTTTTGATAATAGAAGAAAGAGAAAGAAATGCCAGTGTCACTTCAGGTTCCGGTTCAGTGGTAAAGAAACGCCTTAAAAAATCGTTGTCTGACTAACAGTCCATGTGTCCATGAGAAGCTTAAAGTCGTCTGATGCAAAACAAGGACAGCAGCTGAGTTTAGTTCTGGTTTGCTTTTGTGTTTGAAGTCACATCAAAACTAGTTGTTCAAATGGCTGAGATTTAAATGTTGATTCCCATCTTAGTCTTTTTACCAATCTTTCCATTACTTCTCTCACAGGATAATGAGGGAATCTCAGTAACTCTATGATTTGCCCATTTCCTCTCTGGTAGACTGACACCCATGTTTTCTTTTCTTTTCTCCTCTCAGAGCCTTGCTCGCCCGTGATCATGTCCGCTCAGGCACTCTGCCAGAGTGAGGAGGTTCAGATGTCCTGGCACCAAGCACGAGGAGTAGAGAACTACTTAATAACAGCAACAGGAAGCCTTGGATACGTTGATATCCACAATACCACCCAGACCCTTCTGTCACTTTCATTACCGTGCGGACAGGAATACAACATCACTGTACGAGGACGAGGCAGCAGGTGTGACAGCGCCCCCAGCAGCCCTGCGCTTGTCAAAACTGGTACGACCTAACGTCTTAAACACCTGATTCCTCCATATACTGGACCTACACTGTTTTCTGAGCGTACATGAACCTCCTCTCTCTCTAGGTCCATGTGCCCCCTCCCATGTGACAACCTATGTGCAGTGCGAGTCAAACATGGGCTCTATCAGCTGGGGGCCAAGTGATGGCGCTGAAACATATGTCGCCATAGCAACAGGGCTTGACGGCCACACCCACCCGTGTGTCACCAACACCACCTCCTGCACCTGGAATGACCTGCACTGTGGAGAGGAGTACACCGTTGTAGTGAGAGCCAAGAGTGATAACTGCACCAGTGGGCCCAGCAACAGCACAGTCATCCACATGGGTATGCTCAGAGCACTTTATTTAGAGGAGAGCTGTAGACAGAGGAAACACTGTATCTTCTTACTGTCCTGGAATTTTCACAGAGTATAACAGATTGAGGATCATAGAAATGTGCTCCAAAATAATAATCTAGTGTTAAATCTCTGTTGTTTTAAAAGCATAATCTATTTTTCTGTCCAGATCCCTGTAGTCCCAAGGATTTGGCTCCCACTGTGGACTGTAATATGAAGGTGGTTTCTCTAATGTGGAACGGTGGTAATGGGACAAAATCATACGAGGTGTCAGCTGAGGGGGGAAACCAAACTATTGGGCTTACCACTAATGTCACCATGGCCCACTTCTCTGAGTTTACCTGTGGACAGAGCTACAGTCTCAAAGTCACACCTCACAGCCAGCACTGTCCTGGCAGCTCCAGTGAAGCAGCATCTGTACAGACATGTAGGTTAAACACATCTGACATTCATTCACTTTCAAAATATAAGAGAAGAATTGAGCTGAAATAGATTCAAAATTCCTTTCTCTGTCTTTTCTCTCAGGGCCTTGTCCACCTGAAGGAATCTCTACTATGCAGGACTGTCTCTCAGGTATCACCATGGTGATGTGGCAGGCTAGTAATGGATCTGTGGACTACTACATAGCCACCATGCAGACGGACAACGGCCTCTCAAAAGTTTGCATGTCTGACTCTAACAACTGCAGCGTCCCCGGTCTCCCCTGTGGGCACAACTTCTCCGTGTCCGTCACAGCTTCCAGCCAGGAGTGTAATGTCACCTCCAGCCAGAGCACAACACTGCAGTCAGGTGAGGTGTAAAAAAGGAATAAATATAGTTAAAATAATGATTTAATGGGATGGTGTGTGAGCAATGCACATTGAGTCTAGATTCGGTACGCACAGATTTGGCCTTGTACACACGTAGCAGGGTATTTTTATAAATGAATATCTAACCCCCTCCATTAAAAAAAAAAAAAGTCACGTACACACATCATCATTTTTAAATAAAGTCCCATCCACACAAAACCACATAAATGTGCTATTGACTGTGGTTATAATCATGCCAGACCAGGAGTTGGTAGTATTTGCCAAAAAGTTAGACCCATTCTATCCAATCAGAGCAAGCTTCCTCAAACATGACACCTAGCACAGTATAGTTTGTTTGTGTTGACCAACAAAGAGGTTTTTAATTACATAATCCTAGGCCAAAACTTTTAAAAATATATTCATTTTAGCAAATACCCGGCTTAGTGTGGACAAGGCCTTATGCTGCCAAAGGAAAGACAGTTAACTGGTGAATGCACGATAAATTCAGCTCTTTAAAGCTTCTGTGAGGTACGTTCAGTTTTGTTCTTGATGCTCTTGTTTGCTTGTTTACTTTGTTGGTGTTTAAAACTCCTTACAGAAGCTTTAAGAGCATCATGCCAACACACTTCTCAGGCATGTTTTCATATATCATACAATTAAATTCAACTAAACTCAACAATACAAAACAATTCTCCAAAAAGAGATGTTGCTTAAAATGTCACAAAAAAATATATTTTTTCATAGTTCAGTGTCAAAAGGGACTATACTGTTCAGTGGAAGCTTATTTTTTGGATTTACATTATTACAAAAACAACTTATTTTAAACATTTTAAGACCTAGACGTTTTTAAACTCTATTTTTTTTACCCATCATGCTCTTCCTTAAATTTGACCAACCTTTTCATTGTTGTCTGTCTGTCTCCTCTCTGCAGTGCCCTGTGTCCCCACTAACGTCTCCGTGCTGATGGACTGCGACCACAACACTGCTTCTGTGTCCTGGTCTCCCAGTAGGGGTGCCGTACAGTACTACGTGACAGCCCACAGTAGTCACGGCAACATAAGCCGCCAGACCTCTGACCACAGCTATTCCCTTAACAACCTCGCATGTGGCAGCCAATACACAGTTCAGGTTGTAGCGATGGATGACAATTGCTCAAGTGTTCCCAGCCAGGCAGTGTTGTTCAACTCAGGTAAGAGGGAACTTTCACTACAATAAACAAATACACTTTAGTCTTCAAAGCATCAGCACTGTAAATAAGCATAGATTTAGTCAATAGGTAGGAAAATGGGGATGACAATCATAGTATTTGGTTCCTTTTAACCATAAATACTATATCAAATTAAAGTGTGAAATCATTGCCACTATATTGTACTGTATATCCTTTCTATTATTTTTTAAAAGCAGCTTTTTAAGACCAAATGTGATATAGATTTAATACATGAAAATGTGCCAAAATATTGAATAAAGCATATAAAATAACAGGCTTTAGAGCTGAAAATTGACATCGAAATGATCAAAGTGTCCCTGTTTTCGCAGCTCCATGCCCACCAGAGAATGTGAGTGCCGAGGTCTGCTGTTGGTCAAACAACATGAATATTTCCTGGGATGCCATGAGAGATGCAGACCACTATTTGGTCTCCGTTATTGGGGGAAATGGAGACAGGGAGTCATGCAACACAACAGACACTGTGTGTTCAATCAGCAATGTGACATGTGGAAACACATTCAGCGTTCAGGTCAGCTCTATTCGAGGCCAATGTCGCAGCCGGCACAGTCAGACACATAACATCATGTCAGGTATGAGTCCACATAAACAGTCCATATATGCACACATGCTTCCACCCACTACTGGTGTGACGTCCTTTTTTTGTTTTGTTTTCTAGCGCCATGCCAGCCCAAAGGAATTAGAGGACACCTCGACTGTGTGACCAATTCTGCCTGGATATCCTGGGACCCTGCTCCAGGGGCGGACGGCTACATAGTGGCAGCTGTGGGCGAAAACGATTATGCAGCCAACTGTACCGCTTCTTCTAACACAACCTGTGAGGTGGAAGACCTAGAATGTGGCGTTCTTTATAACTTCAGTGTAACAGCTAAAAATAGCCGGTGTGAGAGTCAGCCTAGTGCCACCATCGACTTACAAACAGGTAACAGATTTTTGACTCAGCTACACGCTGACAGTCCTGCCTTTCTCTGTAAACTGGAACTCAAGTATGCTTCAGGTTGTTTCAAATGTATCTGTCTCCTCCTTCAGCACCCTGCTCCCTTGCTGGTATCACAGCAGTGGCTCAGTGCCACAATTCCTCCATCCTGGTCATGTGGGAACTGATGGAGGGCAGCGAGGGAAACACTGTGTACACTGCCACAGCAGAAGCAAAGGACCATACCTATCTGTCCTGCAATGACACAGGAACTAGCTGCTACCTTCACGGAGCACGGTGTGACCTCCAGTACACCATCATCGTGTCTGCTTCATCAGATCAGTGCAGCAGTATGAGGAGTCGGCCCTACAGAATCAGCATGGGTACACAGACAGCCTTGTCTAAACTAAATGCAGCTCCATCAAAGAGGGTTTTCCATTTAACCCTTTTAAGATGTTTGATTTCTACTGACTTTAAGTATAATCAACTATTACAAAATTACAGTTTTGTTGAATAAGCATTACATATTTACCTCCAAGTCAACCCTTACTGACTGGTAAACATCTAAATGTTGTCTTTACAGAACCGTGTCCCCCCACAAACCTGGTGGTAAATGGCTCCTGTGAGGATCAGAGTGCATGGGTGTCATGGAGACCCTCTCCTGTTGCTGAAAGTTACCACGTGGTGGCCACTGGTGTTGATGGGCATGTGCGTACTTGCAATGCCACCACCAGTAGTAACTGCAGCTTATCGGACCTCCACTGTGATCAGCTATATACAGTAACTGTGACAGCCAGTCATGAGAACTGCTCCAGCAAAGCCAGTCCGAATGAAACTCTTATCACAGGTAATCTCTGAGGAGATATGAGCATCGACACTGAGATAGACCGAACATGTCTGAATAATTCATGTTTTTCTGTCTGTCCAGGTCCCTGCAAGCCTGATGGTCTCTCAGTCAGTTTCAACTGTAAAAATCAGTCTGCCTGGCTGTCATGGCAACCCAGAGATAATGCTGTCAACTACTATGGCTACGCTCAGGCTGATAATGGAGACATGCTGCACTGTTACAGCTCAGGTCCCTCTTGTATTTTCCACAATCTTGATTGTGGAGCAGTTTATAATTTCTCAGTCCAAGCTTCAGACGGGACATGCAACAGCTCCTCCAGCACTCCGACACAGACTGGGGCAGGTACACAAACACCATCTTGCTCCCTTAAAGATTGCACTGCTTTTGTGCATGGATTAAGACATTAAACTGTCCTCTTTTCTCATCAGCACCTTGCCCTCCCGACTCTGTTGAGGTGGAACTGTTGCCAATGATGATGGAAGTCCAGGTGATGCGCTTCAGTTGGACTCCGATTCCATGCAATAACACAGAGTACTTGCTCAAGTTGACAGGGAATCTGCTGGGAGACAGCCAGGCCCAGTTTGACCTGTCCTCCTACTGGACAAGTGTGACATTCTTTGAGATGCCCCTCCCCTGTGGCTCACAGTACACTGCTGCAGTACAGAGCAGGACTGCTGCTGGTACCAGTGACCTCTCTGTACCTCTGAATGGAACAACAGGTAGACTACAATTAAAACTTCATCCACTGTTAGGCACTTTTTTAAAACTTTGAAACCCTATTTTTTATTGCGTAGTATTGACAGAACTTAAAATGAACATTGTGAACTGACATTGAACTGCCTTACGATCATAGATTTATTGAGAAGGTAAGACATGTACAAAGCCCCCATCAGAATAATTTGCTCCGTGACATTATCTGTGAGCACTTTGATTCTCTTTGAGGACATGGTTGTTGGTTTTGGTCCTTTATCCAGACCCCCTTTAGCCAGGGCACAACAGGGACTTCTAACTGGGACATACACATATTGTGTCAAATCTGCCCAAAGTTATTCAGCCCATTAAGCAATAGACAGCTAGTTTTGTTTTAGACCTGGTTTCAACTGTCTAGATTCTGTATATTTTTAGACAGAATTTAGACGTTGCACTTTAACCCATTATTCGATAACTATTTATTTCAAAAAGCGAATGTGAGTTGCATAACTGATCTCCAAGTACTTAACCAAAATGAGTGTGATAGCCGTTGAGCAATTTACAGTGTTGTATAGATATAGACCAGATTTAGACTTGGTCTAAATTTAGACATCTAAAAAACTTTCATTTTTATACCTGTGGTAGCCTGATTTTAGACCAGCTGTCGAGCATTTTTTTGTATAAAAGACGTCTGTTAGACCTCTTTTAGACCAAAAAATGCTCAGTGGGATGTATGTTCCTTAGTATTCTCTTTATCCCTCGTTGAAGCTTTTTGCCATTTTGTGTCCCTTTGTTTTCCAAGTTTTTTGTTTTATTGTGGTAATGTTGTGTCTTTTCTTTTGGTTGTCTTGAGGTGTCCCTTTGTGGTTGTTTTTGTATCTCTGTCATGTCTCTTAGTTGTCATTAACATCTTTGTTGTTATTTTCCATTACTTTGTAATAATTTTTAGTTTTTTGTTGTTAATGTGTCTCTTTGTGTTCATCTTAAAATCCTTGTAGCAATATCTCTGTCTTTTTTGTCAGTTTTTAAATAATAGTGTAGATTATTTTCTTGTTTAATACTAAGCTCATGTGTTGTTGGACTTTAAAACAGTCATTTTATAAAGTACACATAATATACAAGGAGTCTGAAATCTTGGACAGCCAAACTCACATTGCTACTTTTAAAGCATTTAGGAATGTGTTTCTCTGATGAAGCCACTGGGTCTAAAATGGATCACAGTATTTAGTATATTTAGTAATTTAGATGCAAGTATTTGCAAGTTTCAGATCTTAACATTAACTCCCTCCTCTCTTCTTTCAGCTCCTTGCCCACCATCTGGAGTCACATATAGTGGTAACAGCTCCTTCGCCACTGTTTCGTGGAACGCTTCTGTGTTTGCCAACAGATACACTGTGTATGACAGCAGTGTCACACCAAATGTTCAGCTTTGCAGCACTCCAGGGCTGTCGTGCTCTCTATCATACATCGCTGCCGCCAACCTGGTGATCACAGCAAGTAATGAAGCCGGAGAAAGTGAAGCAACAAATGTCACACATGGTAAGAACTGTGTAATGTGTGTATGATGCATTGGGTGAAAGTTGTACATATACATACATAAGCAGTTGGGGATCAAATGTGTTTTACATTTGTGAGTAATCAGCACATTGTACTGATCTTGGCTTTTTGTCAACAGTTGCAACACACAGCCGCAGAAGGAGAGATCTCAGTGAACAATTGCCTGATAATGGTAAGCTCTTATTTAGGAGAACACGGGATACTTAATTACATCAGTTTGATCAAATCATCTAATTCCCAGCATGTGGCTGAATTTCGAAGTATCGCATGACTATAGCTTTAATAAATCTCAGTGAACAGACAGAAGTGATAAATGTGTGATGTTTTTCTTTGTCTCCAACAGGAGGCCTCTCAGCTCCCCTGCCGCATGTCACACAAGTGACACCAACAGAATATTTCATTGAATGGTCTGAAGTACAAGGTGCTTCCTATTACAGTCTGCAGATCAGGCAACAGGGCAGCACCAGTAAGCCTCAAGAGCTGACCGTGTACGGCGAGCGAGTCCTTGTTGATGATCTAAGTCCAAACTCGGCTTACTGTTTCTCTTTGTCGGCCCAGACCTCAACAATAAGTGGACCAGAGTCAGAGCCTCTGTGTGTTCACACCGGACCAGGGCTTGCACAGTAGGAAAACAAGTCTGCACATATCTCCCGTTAAAATGTGATGTTGAGCGGCAGCACTTTCAACAAACCTTTACCCTTACCCATAAACAGCAACTTAAGAAACTTGTAAAACACGAGGATCACAAGTTGCTGCAAAGTCTATGTTGAAGTTATGCCATCATATAAAAAGTAAGGATGTCTTTAAATTTATCGCCCATGCTCAAAAGTTAAATTGTGTTATGTGTGTAAAAAATCTTTAGTAACTTTAGTTTCTTTGGGAAAAGGTCACATATTTTATCTTGATTCCTCCTGCTTGTGTTCCAGTAAGTCGTGTAAATTATATTTTAGTCATCTAAAATAATATCAGGAAGTGTTGAACATGCCAAAAGTGTGTACTTTTGTGTCATTTCTGAATGTATATTTAATGGATTTTATGGTAAAATATTTTCAGACTATATTCTAATAAAACTTTTTAAAAAAACTGTTGCCATCATTGATCCTTTCATTTCTAAAGACACTGCCATCGTCCATTTCATACAAAATCAGACTGTACTTTGATTGTAAAAGTATTTTATTAGAAAATGCAACAGAGCAATAACCCAAACACAGCACAAGCAGGGCTCAGTGTGTGTGGTAAAAAAAAAAAAAAAAAAAAAAATCACCCTTTGCAGACTGCCCTTTACAGGCTTAAAACATTCTCAGGTTGTCTGCACACAGTGGTGGACAGAACCGCTTCATGCCAGGTTGAATCAACGTTACACGCAACTTTATCCTAGAACCTCTGTCAACCTTCAGAGTGTGTTCAACCAGGAGAAGACTGAGAATGAAGTCAGTCTGGACATGTGAACTGGCTTTGTACTGGCTGAAAAACAGGTATTCTTGAGATATGAGATTAAAAAAGTTTGTTGACAGAGATCTGATGAGTTTTAGTGCCTCAATCCAGCGAAGAGTAAATCTGCCATCTTAATGTGTGCAGACAGCCTCTTAAACGTTATGTACAAACCCACATCTTTCTGGGGGCAAAGAACCATAGAAAATTAAAATGCCTTTTCAGTTTTTTTTTTTTTTAAATCACTTTCATATGAAGACTAACAATGGTCTATACTGGGGATGAAAAAGGCAGAAAAACATAAAGCAACATTACATTGGCCAAAGACAACAAATCCAGATGTCTACAGTGCTGACATTCCTTCTTTTGAACACAAGTGACGGATCAGACAACTGGGCAGGGGAGGGGAGAAAAAAAGGGGGGTAGGAGGAGAAATATTGCTCAAAGGTGACATTTACTCAGTGCTATGACTCCTTCTGCGTTCACTATGTTTACCGTGGTCGTTACTGGATTCCCGCTGATGATGACTCTTCTCTTTGCTACGGCTACGTTTATGAGAACGCTGCTCCCCGTCTCTCTCCCTGTCTCGGTCGTGGCTGCGCTCTCTTTTCCTGCTCTTCTCCTCTCCCCCACTTTTGTGCCTCCTCTCTCGGCTTCGACTCCGGCTCGACCTTTTGGCTTTCCTCTCCTCTCTGTGTCTGTCCCTGTCATCCTTGTGCCTCTTTTCGTCAGTCTCTCCTCTGCTCTTCTTATCCCTGGACCTCTCCCTCTCTGTACCTCTGTCTTTATGGTGCTCCCTGTCCTTCCTCCTGCTTTTGTCTTCCCCGCCGTCTCTCTCTTTTTCTCTACGCTCGCTCCGTCGCTCCCGGCTGCCGCTGCGACTCCTTTTGCGCTCTCGCCGCTCTTGGTTTCTCTCTGCGCTGCGGGACCGCCGCCTCTCCCTGTCCCCTCGGTCTCCTCTGTCCCTATCACCCCTGCCCTCCCTCTCCTTCCTTTGGCGATCCCGCTCCCTCTCTAGCTCTTTGTCAAAGCTGGGTCCATGGCGCTCTCTCTCGCGGTGGTGGCTCCTGCTCCTCGACCGTTTGGGTGACCTTCGGGGGCTTGGCGTTCGTCTGGGCGTCCTGGCAAAAACAACAGTTAGCTTTATGTGGAAACATCTCCTGGTCTACTCAATCACAGATTACATAACTAACAAAAACCATAAACTGAATTCAAGAGGAACTTTGATCCACTGCTCTTATTTACAGAAACAAGGCAGGAATTTTCAAAGACAAATAGGACTATAAGGTTTATCATAAACTGTGTTACCTGGAGCGGCGGCGTTCTCCTTGCCTCCCCGCCTCTGTGTAAGCCGCCGCCGCTTCTTCCTCCTGCGGCTCTTTTTGAGCGACCTTTCGAGGTCTAGCCTTCATCTGCTGGTCTATATTCTTCTGCACAGGCACTGGGATCCGGGGGAACAGAGTAGAGAACCACTCCAGTTTTGTCAAAAAGGAGCGCAGCATCTCTCCGACTGTCATCACACAACCACCTCCTGCCTTCACGTCTAGCTCCTAGAATGAAACATTTGGGGAAATCCGAAGAAAACCCAGTTAACATTCGAAGGCAGGAAAGACGAATTCTGATCACTTATTGAATCTTACTTGAAATTTAACAATTGTGATGACCAAGTACTGAACCTTCACCTCTGTTCATCTAGCTTAATCTCTCATATCAATCCAATGTGTCTGGCTTTACTCAATAACTTTGAAGAGTGGCAACAAAACTATGGGTAACACAAAAAATGCCTCATCTAAACTGGTGGGGCAACTCCTGCTGTCTGTGATTACTGTGTGGGCTTCGATAACATGAGAAAACATCATTGTCTATTGTCAAATCCCCCTCATTTTCTCCTTTTTCACATCATGTGCTATAAAAGACTCTTCAGAGGTTGCATGTGCTGTTTACAGAGCAAAAATGAATGGGAGGAGAGACATTATCTCGAAACACTGAGTCACATCATAATTGAGAAAGAGGGAGAGAGAGAGAGGGGCCTCGGCTCTCTTCTACAGTTTCAGAAGACACAATATGATCTCTTCGGGAGACTGTAGGGGTATAAAAGTAGCCCACAGTGTAAGCACGGACTGAGGCAGGATGTAAGAGCACACCAGTAGAAGAACTGTCACATTGATATGATAAGAACAGCCGCTTTGCACTCACACACGCAAACCAACAGTGCTGAGATACATTTTCCAATTCACCTGCTGCACAATGGACATCTGAAGAAAAAAACAGGGGAATTAACCAGTTGCGTAGGATTTCATATGATCAATTCAAATGCAACAGAACATTAAAAGAGGCCTGGTTGCACAGACTGGGATCATATTTTTAAAAAACATTAGTCTTTGCCAAACTCCACATATATATATATATTTTTTTTAACTTTATTCAAGTATCTCTTAATGTGTGATTCTTTATCAACACTCTTAAATGCTTTTTGTCCCATGTTCAGTTTCGTGCAACAAGTCCTGATAAAAACACAGGCATGCCTTATATTTGACATAAAGATGTACTCAGCATCACGTAAGGTACTTACCCTGATTCAAAAAAAAAATCAGCAGCAGAGCAGTGAGCAAGTAACCTAGCTACTCAGGTTTGGAGGAAGAGACTTTGGGACAATTAAGCCAAATGAAGGCAAAGGTGAAAAATCAGCTATGAGCATCACAAGGGAGGGGGGGGCTGACAACTTTTAGTGCATCATTATAGACTGTGTAATGAGTAGAGAGAAAGAAGCATCAAATTATTACCCGAGGTGACATACCTCCTCATCATCCAGGAAGCCATCGTACCAGTCAATCAAGTCTGCTGGAGGCTGAGTGTATCTGAGGCAAGAGTGAAAAATATGAGCTTTTCGAGTCAAATAAGGATAAGATGTTACACAGATTACATCTACATATTCATAAACCCATTGTATAAGCTAATTAGAGCTAACACACTTCCCATGTGCAAGTCCAATTCCACAACCAGTTGGGAAGCTGGGTACTGTCATGTTGATTAAAATAGATTCTGATGGTTTGAATTCCAATCATTACAAGCATTGCGCTTCAGAACAGTTGGGACAAATCCAACTCAGTGCTGAAGAAGCTGTGTGTGGCCATAAAAAAAGGGGGAAGAGAACAACTGGAGGATTGATTGGTTGGTAACATGACAGGGTGTCAAAGGGGCACACCAAAGAGGCCCAGTCTCCCAGAGCTGATGTTTTCATCTATATTATACACACAGCATTCCAATGTTGTATGGGGTTGTATGCGAACCATATGCTGAGAATATTAATATCTCAAAACTTCAGAAATGTAAAAGTTTTTCAATTGGCACATATCTTGTCTTTAATTTAAATAGTTTTATGTCTTAAAAAATGCAACTTTGATTTCTTACAGAGTCTAATTCCACACTCAAATCTGTCACGATGTATTGTAACAAAAGCAGAACAAGTTTTTTACATAAAAAAAAGATTATAATAAATCATGAAATTATAAAGGCCATATTTGGCAAATTCACACAAACAACTTTACCTTATGTACATGAAGCCGAGAGCTCTGATATATGGAGAGTCTGTGTGAGTGATCAGACCCATCAGCTGTTTGCGAGTAAGCTTGAGGGTAAAAAGTTTGTACAGAAGACAGAAAGCAGTAGACACAATACCACCAGTTCCAACTCCACGCACCTATGATGGATAGAAACGAAAGTGTTCAAACAAAAATAATCATAACATATCATTAGCATATCACCTCATGCTTATAACCCTTGTGTTGAAATTAGCCATCAACAAGTAACCATGGAACACTATCGCTGGGTGGTTTTCACCCGACCTAATACATTTATATGATTTTCATTATGTTGCGTTTGTCTGAGTATGAAAGGTCCCTGGGTAGCTTCAGCATTTCCTTTGACATCTTTGAAGGCATATTTGTTTCTCTGATCCAAAACCCACTTTTTCCTACATGCACGTGTTCAGGTGATTTTCCCTGCCCAGCAATAGTGATAGAGGTTCAGTAGGTTTGAGTGGATTTGATAGCTGCGTGTAGGCGAATAAGGTCAGTAAGAGTGTTCCTAGAATTTGCATGCTATCTTTATTTAGCGCAGTGGTTATGAATAACTATCACACAAAGTTGTGATTTTCAAGGGAATTCATATGGTGATAAGAAATATTTGAGTCAGCTGGTCATTTTTACTCACTTAAAATATGCCAAGGACCCCGAGTCTTCACCAGGGAGGACTCACATGCCCCAGGAATGGATGGAAAAGAAACTAAGTTTACAGTTTCAATTTTTTTTTAAGAATTTTTTGTTCATGAAAGCCAAATTTCAGTTATTTTGTTACATTTTTTTATGGTCCTCTCATGGCACTTTTTTTCCTCCCTTTAAACATTGCACAGTTAAAAGTAAAGGAAAACTACTTTAATTTGTCATGTACTGTCCTATTGTGATATATTTTGATGTCAAGTACTTTTTCTTGGGTATATTATTTTGGGTAAAAATCACCCAGCGATAGTGATGGTGTTACTAATTTTAATGATAGTGTTCTAGAGGGTTAACACTAAATAATAAAATGAACTTTTTCAAGTGTGTAAACTTGTCATACAGCTAAGTCATGCATACATTTTTTTGTAACAGATTTTATTTGCATGTAGCAAGTTAGGGGAATCTGAGGGATGGATGGGGAGTATAAAAAGCACGTACTTCCCACTTACCCCTCCGCACATTCCAGTCTGGCCTGCAGTCTTTCGGCTTCCTTTTTCCCAAGGCTCAATGTGAGTCACCTGTAAGCACACACAGGGTTAAATGCTTAGATACGAACAACAGAAACAAACCTGTATTTATGGGAGTCTCGTTAAACTGACTTTATTAACAGGAAACAACCTGCTAATCCAGAGTCCCTGATGACGTAACATTATAGCAGCGAGAAATACAAAAGCTGACATGGAGGCTTCAATTTACACTGAAAACATAAACTGATTTATATCTAAAAACTAAAGTGATGTTATAATTAGACATGGTGCATATCATTGGCTTGTTACAGACATAAGTCCACAGAAGGCACCATGTTTGATTCAGCTCAGTCGCCGATATTAGGAGGCTGACTTACAAGTTGCTGTTAACGTTTACTTACAAATTACAGAGTTAAGAGCTAACATTTAAGGTTTACCCTTAATATTCCACTAAAAATTAAATTCAAACGACATTTTTCTTTAACTGTAGCTTTGTAAAACCAGTTCCCTCTCGTTATACGACCATTGAAACACACTGCCACCACAATAACGCCAGCTTGGTAACACAGCTAGCATGCGGTTTAGCATTCACCAACGTTACCTTGAAGTAGATTTCGTCCACCACTTCGTGATAGGTCTTGAGTTCATAAAGCTGAACTTTGAAATACGGCGAAGAAAGTACATTTGTAAGAATCATTGGGTTAAGGTTCATAGTCTTTTCGTTACCCCACAGGGGCAAAACATTTCCATGTTTTCCAGTAGCAGGCTTGCTAACGGCCTGTGTTGGTAGCTGGTTTCCGACGTTAGCCATGTTAGCAGGAGCCCACGCCGCTAAACTTGATTTACAATCAACGTATTCTCGATCACAGCTCCATCAATAACAAAATACTCAATGGTCGATCTGTAGCAACTTCGTTCGTCAAGTCGTTACTTCGGTGTCGTTAAAACAATGAAAAAACAAAAACAACTTCCCGCCGTCGTTTGTCGCCGTTGCGAGGTGGAAACGGAGCAATAACGTTAGTGGTGCAGTGTGAACGGGCTGACGTGATCTGACGACAGCGATGTACGTTTCCGTTGAGAAAATAAAAGCATGTGTTTATACATATTTGAAATTCAAGAACATAGCTGCTTTAACATATTTATTTTAAGGCTTCTATTCAAAATATGAAACTAATATGAAGTTTTTCTGTGATACACGATGAAATATACGTCTTTTATAATTTAAAATCATTTTCAGAACAGTGAATTGATTTTTACTTTGAAGTATCTATTCATCTCAACCGGAAGTGGCGATATCTAACTTGCCAATTTTCTTCTCGTGCCAGTGGATTCAAAGTTCATACTCTAAATACTCAAAATAAATGATTTATTCACCATTTCAATAACTTGTTTGTTTTTCAACTTGACTTTTTTTTATGATTGTTTGATTATCCGTACAAGTACATTTATACATGATTAATAACTTTCTCCTTTAATTTTCTTCTTTTGTTTTTGTTTTTAACTCTGGATAGGATTCTTCACATACATTCTACAAATAAAAAAGTGCAATGTGGCAAAAGTTGATAGGAAGTCACCAGGAAAATTTGTTTCATGTTTCATTCTTTTTTTTTTATCAAGGATATTGAATAAACATTTTCAAAAACAAAAATCCATTTAAAATATCTCAAATAACCTAAGACATCCTTAAAATATCATGACATTTGCAGAATTCACTTTCAATACAAACATAGCTTACATGTTGAGTGGCAACAAATATACATTTGACCAAATTTGGCATATTTAAGAAAAACATTGTGTAAAAAAAAAAAAAAGGAAGGAAGGAAAAACTGCTCTTAAGACAATCCATATATATTCTTAATCTCAGACAAAACAGAAACTAAACCAAAGAGCAGAACTTGAACGCAGCCATCGTCTCTCACAACCAGGTGAAAAGAGGTGTATCTTTTATCAAAATTAAGTAGAGGGAACCTTAAATAAACCACACTTGTTATGTTAAACAAACAGAGAATATAAAAAAATGGCAAAGCCCTACTCCAGCCACTCTTGGTATGAACATAAAGGTGAAACAAAGACAAGTACAATATAATAAATATACAGTTTTAAATAATAGGGAAAACAATTCAACAGATCAGATGTCATTTACAGAGGTACACATTGTACAAAGAATTACAGCTGTAACCTCTAGCCTTTAGTTTTCTGTCAGCATAGGAGAACAGAAATGTCAGTACACCAGTTGTCTTGATCTTAAAAATGTTTCAAGTGGCCTTCACCTCCACTTCTTGAACACCAGGGGGCTCCCCTGATCAATAAATACTTGATTTCAGCTTTAAAGTGATTGTGTAAGAGAAATCATATCCTGGGCCGTGGCTGGAGCGAGTTCTGGTGGCACCTTCAGTGCCTCTGTCTTTGCTCCCCCCACCCCGCCTGCATCGGTGTAATCCGGCACCCTTAATCATAGACACATGGTTTCAAAGCTAGCGCTTGAACACCACCTGCTCAAAGGCTCCAGCTGCGACCCTGAAAGAGAAGAGCAACAATGTGATACATGACGGGAAACCAGAGCAGTTATCAGATCTGCCTGTAAAACACTATTCTATGTGCAGAATTAACACTGTGATGTGTTACTTATCAAATATCACATGATAGATACAGACAACATGGTAATCAATCATGTGATCCATGGGGAAATTCCTTACTTGAATCTTGTCATTTTTAAAAAGAATTTGCATGAGTAGCAACTGGCTGCTGTGTTGCACCAACAACAGTTACGTAAGTCACACCCACCTCGTGTGCTGGCTTCCCAAGGCTGTACTCCCACCAGGACCAACAAACAATTTGAGCCCTTCTTCTGCAGCAATACACACATACAAACACACACAGATTAGATTTGAGAATACTGTCAGTAACATTTGGGCCACAAAAGACTCACACCTAGTTAAAAATTCTTAAAATGAATCCATACTCAAGGGGGTTATTTCATAAAAGATGGTAGCAAGGCTTACAACAAACACTTGTGATGTTTCGTAGCTGACAGACTGTCAAAGGTCTTAAAAATAAGTGTAACATCAGTAAGTCAAACGAGGAGACTCATCATTTCCACACAGAATAAAATAGTTTGCTTCACACACAAGAGCTCATAACACTGCAGTAACAACTATCAGCGAGGTTACACTGTCCTTGTGGTATTCATAGATATGGAATTCAGACTCCCTTATTTTATCCTTAATCAAACATATAAAAATACTTTAGAAATTAGGCGCACAGATAAGATGTGCATTTCAGTCCAGTTAAGATTTGACATGAATAACATCTGATCATCTTTTAGCTTTTAAAGATCTCAGAAATGCAGTTCTATTGCAACACGTCATTGTAATTTGATCTCATGAGCAGGATAACAGGCAACCTTCCAAGTGTACCCTCATAAGCACAAGAAGTTTGGGATTAGTTGTACACACCCTCTGCACTAGAGTCCAAGAAGCCATGGCTAAAATCCTGGCTTTGCAGGATTTTCTCTATTATGTCATCAGCATCCACCCTGGTGGCATCGACTCTCTTAAGCTGGTTCTCCATGGAGTTCTGTTTCATTGGGTGTCTAATGGAGGAAAAGAAACAGTTTTGATTTAAGAAGACATGGAGTACTGTAGATCAGACGATCAAAAAGCACTCTGATCTGATCCCCCAGTGTGACTATAATAACCCTATTACACACAAGGGCTACTATCTCTGTAATTATGTAATTATCCTTAGTCAGACCTTGGACATCTAGCAGGGGTAGAGGGTAGTTCAGGAGCATGCTGGCCCACTGCAGAGACCAGGGGAGTCATCCTGCTCTCCTTCCCTCCTCTCTCCCCCTGAGAATCACTTGGATCCATGATGCTGCCAATGCCTGTGGAGGCAGATCCCCCAGACGCGCTTCTGCGATGGCTCAGATCTGTTAAACTGGAGTGATTGGAACTGTAACCTACATTACAGGAGAGACAAACAAAAACAAATGTTATGGCATGGTTTTATGACTGTTTTGGTAACAGTGTTGCTTTTGTCTTAAGGGGACTTGTTTTTGATACCTGAGATTTTTGACCGTTCACTTGCATAGCTGGGCGTTCTTGAATGACCATACAACACCAGCTCCTCTGGAACTGAGACTGACTTTGCTGGAGTGTCTAAATAAAATGTACACACACACACATGTTCAACATTCTGTAAACATGGTCATGCATAGCTATATAACAGTCATAGAGTCTTTAATTCAGCGTTCTACACCTTAAAGGATTGACTGTGTTTCAATCTTTTTAAATGCTTTTTGTTCAGCAGCTATAAAAGAAAATACTGGGGGTGGTGTTGATGTTTTTTATGCAGTGGTGTCTTCTTCACTAATAACAGTAACTTTCTAAAAGATTTCTCTTTCAGGTGCACAACAGAACATTTATCAAACATTGACAATTTAAAATGATGCAGCTGTATAAAACACCAAGTCTTTTAACCCCCTAAATCTTGATTCTTACCAGGAAGTAAAGACGATATGTGCTTGTCGCCTCCCTTTCTGTCCTCTAAGAGACGCTCAGCTTCAGCTTGTGGAATCCCCAGAGTCATAGCTGTAGATGGAGGACTATAGAGGAGACAGGAAAGAGAAGTGTTATTGAGAAGACTGTTTCATAAAGGCTCTTTAAAAAGTGCTCCTTTCTAACATATATCATTTCATGATTACATTTTGTATGCATAAAAGTCAAAGTCAAAGGAAAAATAAGTTCAAAACACTGCTACCCAGAGATTGACAATTTTTTCTATGAGAACAATTTCTGTCAACATCTTCATACTTCTTTTTAGCCCTTGCATTGTTTGTTCTCTGCCTTTTCATCTTCTTCAATCAGCTGTTATGTTGTGTTTTTATTTTTTCCATTATTTTTCTCACAGTGGTCATTTATGTTCTCATCCACTGCAAGTGTTTTTATGTACTTTCTAATGTGTTTTAGTTTTTCTTCTTTCACTGTGAAGAACGTTAGTTTTGTTGTTATTTCTAAAATGTGCTACATAAAGAAGGGGATTGCACTTAAACCAAATGAAAATAAACATTTAATACTAAAACACAGGTTTGTTGTAAATGCAGGCAATAAAAGCATCCCTTCATGACAACTGTACTCTGTAACTATAAAAAAAACTGATATTTTACGCATTAGCAAGCAAACAACCAGACTATAAACAAGTATATTTACACAGTGTGACTGCTACTTCTAGCTAAGCAAATGTATTCTATGGGAACACAGTTTCTTGCTATTGTGATGCTATATTTAACCAAATTGAAGGCAGAGCTGCAGACCAAAACAGACAGACTGCATGTGAAAAAAAAGAGAGCGTCATCTCTGCTGCACTGTTCTAAACCCTACGCACCATGAGTAAGACTGTGTGGGCTGGATGACTGGGTTTGACTGGAGTTTACTCTTTATCTCCTAGGCAGCAGTGAGTGTGTTATTACCCTTAAAGGGTGTGGACATAAAAAGAATAAAGAGAAGGACTCCAGTCAGTAGAAGGAAGCTGTCTGTTGGCACATGGTGAAGGCCTCTAGGCTTCTCATGAGTTTAATGTTACATCACATCTTTTGTGACAGACTGCTGATCACATACGAGGTGCATCAAGCATAATTAGTCAGGTTGAAGTCAGGGTGAGGTGGAGTTCTCTCTCAGATAAAAGAATGATAAAATCTCAGATGTAAAAAAGGAATACACTCTCTACTTTAACTGAGTAGGTGTTCAACTAAACTAGAGCATGTATTATCGGGTAGTGACAAACAGGATGTGATGGAGACATTTTCCTCTGTGGTTACTTGCAGACTTGTCTATGTGGTGAGCACACTTCCCTTGAAACGGAAACTGAAACATCTTGCAGGTGAATAAAATAAAAGACATATTAATATTATTTCAGTTTAAGTTTCAAGTCAAATTATTTTTTTGGACTTGAAGGAGGAAGAGAAGCAAGCGAGCAGACAAATAAGATCAAAACTAAGGCTCTTACGTTTTAAAACAGGGGTCTCCAGACATGAGTTGTGTGGTGATTACGACCTGTAACCAAAGAAAAGACAAGAGGTCGAGTCAGCTGAAGGCAGCTTTAATGCTCAGTAACACTAGTTTGAGTAACACTGAGAAACTGTGACAAATGTGCAAATCAATGCCCCAGGAAAAAAAACAAATATTTCAAATTCATTCCCATGGCTCAGGTAGTTCACAGGTAACAGGCTCTGACATGTATCAGGACATTCAACTTTTCCATGCATGCTGTTGGAAGTACTTTTTTTCCAAATGAAGAGAGTCTATGTCTGGGATAAACTCAAGAACCATTTACGTAAGTATGAGGCTTACTCATGCACTGAGGTAATGCAGCTTATTTGTATAAATGAATTACTGGCCTGCATCTAACTTCTTGTTTTTTTTCCCACAGTATTAAAATGAGGATTGCATTCTCTTGGGTTAAAACATTGACACACCTTCAGGATTGAGTTGTCCTGTCTTGTGTTCTTGGTATTGTATCCCTCCAGGAGACATCGCCTTGTTGTGCTTCCAGATCCAGCAAACTCTGACAGGTTCAAGTCAGCAAAGCCCAGCTGCACAGTGACAAAACAGAAGAACTAGTCAGAACTACTGGACAGTCCATTTTAAATAATGAATGTCACTTGTAAGTCAATTGTATGAGACTGTCTGGCACCATAAAAATGTGTCTGAGATAGAAAACTAGACATAACAGGAGCACCGGTGACCTCGTTATTCATTAATGTTATTGGTTAACATAGTGTTGGCTGTAAAAACAGAGTTTTCAATCAGTAACCCCAGCAGGAAACTGGAAATGAAAATTATTTTGACTTGCATACAGTTAAAGATAGTCTTGTCTACCCACTTGAAGGTCAACTATCATCCCACAGTTTTTGATAAGACTGCTTAAGTGGATGTCTGCTGTGATTTTATATAATAAAAATCGATTAGCTCTTGGATTGAAGTTTTACCTTTGCAAAAGTTTTTCCACCCTTCAGTTCCTAAAGTGATGAAGAAAAAAAACACAGTTTTAGTCAGATTCCCTTTTTTCATTTACATCTCACACTATGTGTTACACTGGCTCCTTCCGGTCCAACCACTGACTAAGAAAAACATTTGTACTATGGTTACAAATTAACACTGTTTTTGAACTTTAACATCATTATTTCCTTGGCACATTTAAGTTTCCTGTTGACCTCCTGGACCAGGCTGTAGAAAGCTGATACAATAGATTTCTGTGTCAACTAAGGAGAGCTGGAAAAAAATGTCCTGTACCTTACGCACAGACACTCGGCACATACAGGGGTCGAGTACACCTGTCCCTGCGTTGGCACTCATCTTACACATGAAGGAGAATCTTCTCCTCCAGTGGACACTATTGGCCTGGACCTGCTCTCTGTAGGAGAAGCATATGCAGAAACATAATGTCATTCAGAAGTCAAAACTCACAGGCATATTAAATACTAAGAGAGCGGATAACAATCAGAAATCTCCACAGTGCGTGTCAGGCAGATGATTGTAAAGGATGATAAAAGATGTTGTTTTCCATTCTTTTATTTATAGATAAAACAAGAAAAACAAATATATTGTTAATTTCTGATTTTACAACAGTTTGGGGTTCTCCCTTTAGTAACTTCCAACAAAGTTCTACAGGAGGTTATCCTTTGCAAACATTGGCAATCTAAATCTGATTGGCAGACACCAAATCTCAGTTTTATTCTGGGCTTAGAGAAAAATAAAAAGGGATATTATTTGTGAATTTTTATTCAACTCACAAACTTTACTACATGCAATATTATACATGGCTTTTTAGGAAGAGTTTTGTGATGTTGAGAATGCTCTTACAATACTTACTTTACAGGTTAACTGCAGCTTTTCATCGCTGCTGATTACAGGCGGCGACAAGGTGTACTTTTACAGTTTATTTCAGATGGGTTGGCGTAAAGTTGAAATATTATGGCTTGACAAAGGAAATATTTTTAAAAAATACAAGCATACTTTGTAAACTCTAAAAGTTGTGGTGTAAGAAAGCCGCAGTGAAACACACTGTTGACAGGGTACTTAAAGTGCAGACTGTTACCATGGCAAAGTGTAGCGGGGTTTCACATTTGCCAGTGTGCATTTTTCCATAGTGACTCATTTACATGCTGTGCAGGCAGTTATAATCACAGGCCTGCAGGAAGACATTTGTATGCTCCTTGCAATGGTATTTTTGCTTAACTCAGATAGAAAAAAAAGAAACAATGATGATAAAATAGAAAACCAGTTGACAAAAGCAAAAGCAAGCTGTGCTGATTTGGTTAAAAGTTTTATCTTCCATTCTTCTTGTTGTTTTTCCTTCTTATTGTTATAATTTATAATAATTTTATGATTACAACTGTTGACTGAAAATGCTCTTGCCTACATACTGTCAGCTGCCTCTACCAACAGTGATGGTCGCCTGGCAACAACTTTGATCAAACTTTTTTTCCCCTAAAATTGAATCTGTCGATTGGTCCGAGCTTTTTCACTCTTTTAAGATCAAGATGAGTTAAGAGTCCTCCTCTCCTCTCTGCTTATAACAGCAGCGATACCCCTGCTTTCATCTTGGTAAGTAAACAAGTGTTAACTTAATCTAAGAGTCAGTTTAAGTTCAATGATCGTTAACTCACTCGGCTGTTGGCCACTGGACTCGCTGTGCTGTAGCTACACTATAACTACACACAGTAATGAAACATTTCAATGCTGATCCGAGACAACAATGTGTCCCGATAAAGCTCAGTGTGAATGTAAATGCTCAAAAACTCTCAGTTTACCCACGCTTAATCAATGCAGTGTGTTCAACAACCAGTAAACTGTTGCTGCTATAAATAGCAAAAATCTTACCGAGACGACTCTCCAGCAAAGCCTCCATCCAGGAGTCGAACTTTACAGAATATAACTCCGTTCACGAAGGGGATTGACGACAACTCCTCCAGGTCAAAGTCGACTTTGAACTTAAATCTCTTTTTCTTCATGAGAATAAACGACATGCTGGACCCTAAATGTGAGAGAGTGGGGCACGGGAAGCCCTGAGTGAAGTGGTGAAACTGACAGACAGCTGTAAACTTTCCTTTCTCTGTCGCTGTTGCTCTCACTCAGCTGCTCAAACTCGTGCTGCTTCAGCCCACAGACACGATTCAAAGTTCAAATCTCCTCCCTTTGGGCAACACAATTCATGACGACAGGGGAATCCCGTCATTTGATTGGACACTGTAGCCGCAAAATAAAACCAAATATACCGGAGGCACAATAAAAACCGTCTGGAGCACATTGAAAAAGACGCCCACCGTAGAGACCACTGTTTTCTGCGTCACCAACACACGCTACACTGAGTGGATGTACTCAAGTAACACCCGTGAACCAGAATGACTGTTTCTAACGGAACTGGGAAAAATGAAGGAAGCTGGTGGTGTGACAAAGACAGGAAATAAAAAGTAAGCAAATAAAGACACCCCCAAACTTGTTACGAAACGAAGTTAAGACCAAATGACTTTCAAACTGCAGAAACTTACAGTCACTCATAAAGTCAGGAGTATGATGTAGAATGTATCATGTCGGCCCCTGAGGTAAAAAAGTGTCCATAGGGCTGGGCGATAAAACGATAACGATATATATCGAAAATTAATCTCCCTCGATATCGATATTAATATAAAACATGGACTGTGTCCGAAATTGATCCCTAACCCCTATATAGGCGACTATATGGGGGTTAGCACCATTTTGAGGGGTGTCCGAAACCTGAATAATAAATCCCAACGCCCTATATAGGTGACTCAAAATTTTCCATAGAGCATTGCAAAATGTAGTGACCATCCGATAGTCACTCACTGGTGGTGGGCATCCCATCATGCATTGCGTCTCCAGCGGCAATTCAAAGATGGAGCTGATGTGCACACTATGATACAGCAAACAATATTCAGTACGAAAATATAAGGCCTTTTAAATAAATTATTAATTTTTTTATTATTATTATTTATTTTTATTTCACGAACATCTTGGAAAAACAAATACATCTATACAACATCATAAAATTCAAGAGATGCGGAAAACAACAACTTCAGACGCGGCAGTCTGAGCAATGACGTCACAATGGTGCACCATGTAGTGTCCGAAACCTCCGGTGATTAAGCTCACTATATCGTCAGCTATATAGTGAAACCCCATATGGTGGTTAGGGGACTATAGGATTAGCCAATGAAAAGGGGAGTTGCTCTGGGTCCGCTTTGCACTGAACCAATCATGTGCTGAATTAGAACCAAGTAAAAAACAATTGCGTAGTAGCAGACTACAGCTACACGCAACCAAAGCACTTCAACAGGTGAAGCCCCCGGCAGAAGTGCAGATGAAGGCTCAACACATGATGACATCGTCGCTGGCATGAAAACGTAGGTGGTGTGGAGGTATTTTGGTTATTTGAGGTTGGACTATAGACTGAATGGACAGCCTCTGCCTCTTCCCTGGGTGAAGCCACCCCGAGAATAGCACCCTCTGGTGACAGGCTGCAGTATAGTAATTATAATTGCATATAACTGTTAAAAGTTGTCTTGTAAAAAGCCATTTTATCATGAGAATGCCTTTAAGTGATTCAGAACATTCACAGCTGTATTTTTGAAAAGAAAAAGTAACACATTTCAACAATCTGAACTGAAACTCTGATCCTCTCGTCAGACTCCTTTACTTTCTCAGTTACCCGAGAACTACTATGATGACTTTTTTAGTCCTCTGAACTAAAATGGTGGACTTTTATGCTAGGTTTTTAACCTCATGTTGTAGCTCATAAATACTAAAATTGATGTATAAAACAAATTTAAAATGATCTTTTTGGTCTGAACACAATTCTAATAAAACTTCTGACTGACTAAATTCACGTTCAAGAGTGAAAAATGTTTTTTTGGATACAAATGTCTAACCCCTTCACCCATGTGCTTCTAACCTTCACAGACTCCATGAATTGATGTTCATCTGTTAAATATTTGGTCACATGATCAATTTCTTTTACCATTTCCAAGCAACAGGGGGTGGCTCATCTTACCCCAGTCTCCCCTACTGTTTGTTTTGACGACGCAGTCTGTCACCTCACTGGAATGACTTCTCTTCACAGCTCCCACCTCATGGTGAGGGAATATACCACCCTCTAGTGGTAACTCGTGGCACCATAGGGCTTGAAACATTATACTATTTGTTTCTTTGCCAAATGGCACAATCCAGGAGATGAGGAGATTAAAGTCTCTCTGTAATGCGGCACCTCTTATAACACGGCACACGGTTTAATAAACGGATGGATGAAAACCCGCACCATCTGGACCTTGTACCGGGATATACACACACTTATGCCAGAGGATATGTGACCACTCCACGGTTTTACCGTCTTTACTGCTTTTCCGTATTAAACGTCGCGTGGCTACGTAGCGCTAATAGCCCCGCCCTCAGTCGCTGCAGTTCTCCTGACACGCCAGAGAAAACAGCTCTACACGGGACAGTCTGCAAGATAAAGTCCTCTGAAACCTGCATTATCAACATGAAAGCTGAGCGCCTTGTGGGATTTTAGCTCTGTCTGCGTTTTTTCCCTCCACAATATGGATTGTTGATCCTGATCCTGACTGCTGCAGGAGGAAGACTCACCCGGACGCTGCTTCCACATTAGCGCTGTAATGTATAACACGCTACGGACGTTTTTACTATCAAATGCTCGGTGCTGGGATGCCGACAGTCAGAGGTCATATCAGGACCTGTTTGAGAGGCTGGATACCAATAAAGATGGAAAGGTGGACGTCGCTGAGTTACGCGCAGGTCTCAAAGCTATGGGCATATTCCGCCAGGGTGCTGCACAGGTAAAATCCTCTCGGGGGGCCAAAGCGGGATACTGACAGGAGTCAAGGGCTTGGCCTGCGCGTTTTGCTCTAAATTCCTGTGTTGTATGGTTGTTAAGCTGCATGCGTGTGCGTGTCTGTGTGAGTGGGTCGCGCTGCAGGAGCTATGGAGACAAATGAACCTTCACATGTTTTTCTCTTGTCTGCAGAAAATCGTGTCGTCTGGTGACCAAAACAAAGATGGGTGTCTTGACTTCAACGAGTTCTCCAAGTATCTGAAGGAGCACGAGAAGAAGCTGCGGCTCACATTCAAGAGTCTGGACAGAAACAACGACGGTGAAACACTTGGCATGAGCATATACTTATTTATATGAACAAAACACATATACAATGTCTGTGCTGAAGCCTGGCTTTGTGTGTTTTTTTTTTTCTCTTAATCTTGTTCCAGGGCGCATTGATGCCTCAGAGATCCAGCAGTCCCTTGCAGAGCTGGGAATAGATATCAGTAAAGAGAATGCCCAAAAAATATTACAAAGGTTTGACCTCTTTCTGTCTCCTATGTAATTCTCATATGTATGTCTCATATGTAATTTAAAATGTGACCTGAATTTTCAGGAGGGGGTAACTTGTACACTTAACTGGGTCACAGCCATGCTTGTTAAATTTAAACACATCATAATGAGTGTGAAGGTTAAGAGCTTTCTGTCGTCCCCTAGTATGGACATTGATGGCACCATGATGGTGGACTGGAACGAGTGGCGAGAACACTTCCTGTTTCACCCTGCTCACAACCTGGAAGAGATCATACGCTACTGGAAACACTCCACGGTACAACACACACACACGCCCGCCTATTCCCACATATATCCTTTGGGCAGATTCTGATGAAGCTGCAGTGGGTTGAATCACACATGTCCTTCATTCCTCTTGTTTTGGATTTATGGATTTTGTCTGTGGTCCAGATTTTGGCAGCAGCTTCAAAATACTGGACCATCCAAAATAAATAGGTCATGGTGCACCACTGTTTCCCTTATCTTACTCTTTCACCCTTTTATAGACTATTAATGTCACTTCCAAGAACATTTCTCTATCAGTATTATAAACTGCCTCTCTCATGGCGCACAGGAGTTCAGCTTTACTCTGAGTCCTAGCAGAGACCTCATGACATACAGTGTACTGCATAAGTTATGTTCTCCTGCAGAGTACATTAAATTGCAGCTGCAGCATGTTTGGCACAGACACATTTTTGCTTTTGGGAAAACATGGGTCATGTTTATCTGAAACAGCTACAGCGTGCTGGACAAGGGTCAGCCAGTTGAGTGATTATGATTTCACAGTCTTAAGGATAAGGAGCACAAATCATTGTTTGTTGCAGCAAACAACTCCTGCAGTTTCTTTCCTTTTCTTGTACAAGTTTTACCAAAACTCACAGCAGAAGGGAGTGTGTTTTGATTTTATTGTGACAACTTCCTGGCTGAAATATCTCATGCATGATTTTGTAAACGCTTCTGGCTCTGCAGTGTACGAGTGGTAGTTTTGCAAGATTAAAAGACGTTGATTCATTAAGAACAGAACTGAAAAAGAGAAGTGCTTGTAAGTTTTGAGGTTCTTTGTCACACAGGTGAACACAAAAGCATTTTATGACACTTGCCTTGTGCAGAAATAAAGACAAAATATTCCTGATAAGACATGTATTATATTTGTGGCTATAAACGGACACGCCTGAGTTTATGTGCTTATAGCCCTTGTTTGGCAAGGACAACTATGCAGTTAGAGATACCTCCAATATGAGCAGTGACAATAAACAAGGGGTTTGAGTAAACATGTTTATGTTCCTACTAGGTGCTGGACATAGGCGACAGTCTTGCCATTCCTGATGAGTTTACCGAGGAGGAGAAAAGCACAGGGGGCTGGTGGAAGCAGCTTGTTGCAGGCGCTGTGGCTGGGGCTGTTTCCCGCACTGGTACAGCTCCCTTAGACAGAATGAAAGTCTTCATGCAGGTGATGTAAAAAAAAAAAAAAGGAAAAGGACAAATAATTTTATTTGTCTGTCAGGATGGGTTAATAAATAGATTTTCCATCTTCCTACATTTGCCCTGCAGGTTCATTCTTCAAAAACCAACCGTATAAGCCTCATCGGGGGCTTCAAGCAGATGATTGTAGAGGGCGGTCTAACGTCGCTGTGGAGAGGGAATGGCATCAATGTTTTAAAGATCGCACCTGAGACAGCAATCAAATTCATGGCATATGAACAAGTAAGCTGTTAAATATTCTCTTGGTGTTCCTATTCTCAGAATATAAATGATTTGAATATGTTTTGGTCTCTGTTCTTTGCAGTATAAGAAGTTGTTAACAGCAGAAGGTAAAAAAATTGAGACACACAAGAGGTTCATGGCTGGCTCTCTAGCTGGGGCCACAGCACAGACAGCCATCTACCCGATGGAGGTGAGAAGACTGTTTCATCACACCATCTGAAATTTGTGGTCAGATTGCAGTAAGACAGCAAGAACAACTCAGATGATACTCTCGATCTTTCTCTCTTTAAGGTGTTGAAAACTCGACTAACACTGAGAAAAACTGGCCAGTACTCAGGGATGTTTGACTGTGCCAAAAAGGTCTTGAGGAAGGAAGGAGTCAAGGCCTTCTATAAGGGCTACGTCCCCAATTTGGTGGGCATCATCCCCTATGCTGGGATAGACCTTGCTGTTTATGAGGTATGCAATTTTGTAATTCATAACACCTCTTAAATAATATTTGACAACAGCCTGCACTCTGCTAAATTAATCAAGTTTCTTTGCACGATAAATCAATTGAACTTGGTCTGCAGGGCCCCTTAATGTAATAACAGATATGATGAATGGGGGCAAGTTAAACGCCAGGAGCTGAGCTGTTTCCAATATTCTGTTTCTCTTATAACTTAGAGTCTGAAGAATGCCTGGTTGTCATACCACACCACAGATTCGGCTAACCCTGGAGTTCTGGTGTTGGTAGGCTGTGGGACCATCTCTAGCACTTGTGGTCAGCTGGCCAGCTATCCACTTGCACTTGTACGCACAAGGATGCAGGCACAAGGTAAACTCAGGCCAGTATGACAAAACAAAACATGATGTGATAACACAGTAAATCTGGAGTAATACATGTTTTCGTGATCGGAAAGATATCCTTTTTTTTCACAAAACTTTGAATAAGTATTAGATATTTTTTTAATAAGTGATGTAAGATTTCCTGTTTCAATTAAGTCATCCTCTGAGATTAAACCCTGATTAAAGGTGCTGTCATTTGTCATATATGGACAGCAACTTCTAACATTTTAAGATCTATAATTCTGGGTAGAAAAAAAAAATAATTTTCCATGCAACTTGTGACAGCATTTTAATGATAGTATCCTGATACAGAGCGGTACAGGAATTAACACATCTTCTCTTACTGGTTTCTTCTCTCCAGCATCTTTGAATTCATCAAACCAGCCCTCCATGAGCAGTTTAATGAGGAACATAGTAGCCAAAGATGGCTTTTTTGGACTCTACAGAGGTATTTTACCAAACTTTATGAAAGTTATTCCTGCTGTCAGCATCAGCTACGTCGTTTACGAGTACATGAAGACCGGTCTAGGAATCTCCAAATGATGCTGCAAGCAAATGACAAACGAACACCTGACAGTGTTTGTCAGAAGTGAAAATGGCTGAAGTAACTCTGAGAAATCAGATGGACTTAAAAAACACAGAGCATGACTTCCACCAGCCGGAGCTCTTCGGAATGAAATCTTTATGTATCGCACTGAGGATTTTTGGCAGAAGCCAAGCCATATATCATTTGTGGTGAGCATGCTTTAAGTCTTAAACTACTGTTACAATGAACACTTTCTAAATGTACACACCGTCCGAACCATTACTTGACTCAAAGATGGGATTGTTCATTAAGTGATGCAGAAAAATTAGATTAGATATAGTTCATGACTGATTATTTACTTTCTCATACTGATTTGACCATTTGATGGGACATAAAGATGGACGATGCAAGTCAAACTCACTCCACAGTACAAAAGTGAAACCAAATCACAGAGTTTTGGCTGCACTGATTTTCTCTTGTAGCTGCAGATTTGGTAACCAGCCTCTTCTGCTAAGCAAAACACATTCAACACACTGATAAAACAGCAAAGGTAGCTCACACTGGCATAGTCTAAAGCCGTGTTTATACTTCAGCATTGACTCTATGCTGTTGCCACCCTGTCAAGGTCAACACTCTATTGAGCAGTACTTCCCTGAGTGTCGGCTTGTCTGCTTTGCCCTGCAATACTCCACTAAGAGCTCTCAGTGTGATTTTATTGCCAGTCTCTGGTCCTGCTATGTATCCTGCTTGTTAAAGCACTCTGAGTGTATTATCTGAGTGTATTATGTTGGATAGTATCTTAGTTATCGCAAAGGAGAAAGGAGAGGAGATGGCAAACCAAATGGATTTTACTGTGAAAATAAAGAAAATGCAGGATTTACAAACCACCTGGTGGACCAATCACAGGGTCGGCAGTTTGTATTTTGAAGGGGTGCACATCACACCAGCTAGGCTTCTGCATTGGCAAGGTTTAGCAGACCGACAGTGTGCATTACGGCATACGCTTGAGGCTTCACAGCTTTTTGTGCTGGTGTGAAGCAGACACTCAGGTGTGTTGAAAGCTCAGTGACTCCCATGAAGGTGTTTTACATTTCTTATCATATGTTCGCCAACAAAGAGTCAGTCTTGGTGTTCAGTCTTAATTTTTGCACCAATTTATTAATTGAATAAAACTAGACCTCCAAGAAAAAAATCCACATTTGAACTGAATTAAATCTGTATCAATTATAGTAGCATGAACTATGTCTTAAAAAATGTCATGGACATATATTTTGATTTTAAAGTTTGATGTATGTCCCATCTGTTAACATGGAGGAGGCAGTGTTTATCACCTTTACGTAATGCAGCCAGTCAGTTCTACTTTTCTGCAGCTGCATTGTCAGCCATCTTTTTTTTACTCAGTCCATAGACTTGTATCAAACCAACAGCAGATCAAATGGAACCTTTTTTTGTTGTTATGAAATGAAATGTTGATGCAGATGCAGCTTTTCAAGGAGATACACAGTAGAACTTGTGTTTGTTTGTTTTTTTGCAATTCCGAGTGAGAAAATGTGACACTATACTAGTTTGGAGTTGAGTTTGAGTCCACAACCTTAAGAGGTAGATTAACACTCCATTAGGCTGGAAGCACCTGCTCTAACTCTGATGTCAGCTCCAAACAAACAGTGCTTAGCTCACAGCTAAAAATAACTGGGCCTGAAAAATCAATAACTTGTTAACACTGGAAAACTTTGTGCAACAGACAAGTGCAATGAAAAAAATCACAAACTCCATTGTGTTCTTTTTACCATAACTCAAATGTGCCTTTCAGCCACTTTGTGTGAATTTTCATGATTTCAGCTAATGTGTTTTTTTTTTGTTTCTTTTATACATATATGAATATTGTATTTATGTCCTGCATCTGTATATCTGTTATCAGTTCTGTAATTTATGTGTTTGATTCTGGCTACAGCATGGTAACATGTTGAAGAAAATTTCTGTGAGCATGTTTTTGTCTTGTGTTGCCTCACATCTTAATGCTTTGAGACCTCCACCCTGAACACACACACAGCCAGATACTGTTACATCTGACATTTAGCAAAGACTACTGTCAAACTGCCAGTTGGAAATCCTTATCTTACATGTGAAATGACAATCGACTGTTTGTCGTCATCATAAATTAAATGATGTGTATTTTTAGAAAGTAAAACTGGTCTTAGTTGTTTGTTTTTTAGCCTGATGATTAAGATGTTTAACATGAGGGTTTGCAGGAGAACAATGGTTTAATGGTATCAAGTTAAGCTCCTCAGGGTAAGGTTTAATGCTCTGAATATCACTGTGCGTGGAAATAGCGCTTCTTAGTGGTTAATGAAAATAAAACACCCGGCCATCTCTCAATGCAAAACAAAATGAGACATTTTTTGTCTAATGTGAGTACAACTGCAAGCTTAAATAGACAATCTTATTTATAGGGACAAAGTAACTAATTACAAAAATTAAGGTCTACAAAATTGATACTATCTGACTCCAATATAAGTCAGCTTTAGTTTAAATGGGCAGCAGTAGGTAGCCTTCAGATTTACTGTGATGAGGTCGATCAAATCCAGAACCAGCAGGGGAAAATTCGAGAATTATCCCATGAGTTTTGTCATTTTCAGTTACTGTCATATATTGAATTTTATTGGGTACTGGATTGGAAATTTACCCACATCCCCGTTATATCGCAAATTATCTACCCCTAAATAATTATAATTATTTTATCATATGTTCATCCATTTACTTCAGTCCACGTTGTAGGTTGGTTGGCTTGTTTGATTTGTCTTTTGCTATTATTATTCTACAGGAGCCTTTTGCCATTTGTTTTGTCCCTCTCGGACACCGTAGTTGTGGCTCCGTCCGCTACGCTGCAGTTGTTGGAAGGTAAAAGGGTCTGTCCTCCGCTGAAAACAACACAGATATCAATTTTACCACACGGTACTGGTAAGTGTCATCCATCTATTGTTAGAAACCCCTACAGAAGTCGTTTAGCTGTCGTTACTGACACTTAAGTCTCCACATCTCGCTAATTGTTAGAAAGTGACAGCGAGCAGCTAACTAGCTCACTACAGGCAGCAGCAGCTAAAAATACTCTCCAGCTGAAGTGACCCAAGGTGGGCTCAGCTCAGCTACAGGAGGGCAAACTTTGAGAGGTGAAACGTCGCAAGTGTCGTTCACAAACTGCTTTTACTCGTTGCTTAAAATGCCGTGTAGTCGTTGTAGTAAAAACTTGTTGCTCGCCTGGTGTACAGACGGTGTTTCTGTCTGATTTGATGGTCTTACCCAGTTTAAGCAGTTGTTGTTCCAGTCTGATCTGTTGTTATGTTGAGTCCAGCTTCACATTCAGTCTTCCCCTTGAGCTGTCTAGCCTGTCCGTAAGCCTGTTAGCTTTTCTGAGAAGCTGTTTACCTTCATAGAACAAACAGACAGCGACCGTGATGTGAGAATTCACTGTTAAAGGAAAAGTCTTTGTGTGCCTCTTCACTGTGCTATCATTTTGTTTTCATCACTATACATGATGAAAGGCTAAAACTGTGGCATGAATCATCATAAGGTCATTTCTGACATGAAGACAAACACACCCTTCCAGGATAGTGGCTCACAGAGATTCAGTGATAAGTTTCCTTTTCCTCTCAAAGTGGTTACTCCTTAACGTCCATGTAGCTGAGGTTCAGGAGTGTTTTCCCCTTACAGTTGAGGTCTCATTTTTATATTAAAAGTAGGGCTGGGCAATAAAACGATAAGGATATACATTGACGATGTTGTCATCAACAGATAATAATTATAATAATAATAACTTAATTTATATAGCACTTTTAAGAACAAGAGCTTATAAAGTGCTTTAACATGCAGGAAAACAAAGAAGATAAAAACAATGTATCAACAACAAGAGAACACTTGACAACTTTGTCAACAACATTGGCACAAAAACGTCAGTGGTGTAGAGTTTTTTTTTGTTATTTTTTATTTTGAGGTCAGACATGAAGTAAAGTCAAAAGTATAAACTGATGTAGAGTATAGATGCATCATGTCAGCCTGTGAGGTTAAAAAAGTGTCTATAGGGCTGGGCGATAAAAGATAACTATATATAGCTAAAATTAATTTCCCGCAATATCAATATAAAACATGGTCAATATGCTTTCGATAGTCGGCATTCTGCCATGTTTTGGTAGACTATACAAATTGCGAATGAGAGGGGGAGTTGCTCTGGGTCTACTTTGCGCGAAACCAATCGTGTTGAATTAAAACTAAGTAACAAAAAACTGCATAGTATCAGGCTGCAGCTACATGCAACTATATCACTTTAACATGTGAAGCTGACAGCACTGTCAGTGAGAAAAAAAGGAAAATGAGTGCTACCCCTGCTGAAATGCAGATGAAGGCTCAACAGATAAAGCCATCGTCGACAACACTGGCACTAAAACATCAGTGGTGTGGAGGTATTTTGTTTTTTGAGGTTGGACATGAAGCAGAGAAATGTGCACAGCAAATTATGTCGAGTACATGTTCTTGCAAAGTTGGGGAATACCTCAAATCTTTTTCACCACCTGAAGAGTTGCCACGCGGCAGAGCACACGCAATGCAAAAGGTTACAAACCCTGAGCGGAGCAAGGAGCCCATGGTGCCTGTGCAGCCGAAACAGCCAACCATTCAGTCAGCTTTTGAGAGACAGCAAGCTCAATCTGTGGCAGTGACGCAAGGTGCCACTTAGTGGCATCTGCCAGCACCTAGTGGCACCTCCCGGCATCTGCTGCAGCACTTCGTGGCAACTTCTGGCATCTGCTGTGGTACCTCCCAGCTGGGTGTCAGTGCCACAGATTGAGCCAGCCCCTGCTGCTGCTGTCTGTAGTGCAACGCTTTACGACAAAACATCAATGAGACACAAAGAGCTCACAGATGCAGTAGCTTATTGTATTGCAAAAGACATGTTACCAATAAGCACTGTTAAATTTCATTTAAGAGTAACAGGGAACATTAAAGATTGACAAGTGATTTTTTTATATCGTGACATATATATGTATATACTGATATGTAAAAATATATCGTGATAAACTTTTTCCCATATCACCCAGCCCTAATTAAAAGTTTCCAGATCAAAGTAGAAAAAGAGTCTTTAATTTGTAGCACATAAGAATCTGCTTTTCTTTCCCACTGCTCTCTGAACTCTGAAGCATTATGGGAAACACAAGTGACAGAGTGGCTGGAGATCGCCATGGAGCCAAGGCCCACCGCTCAGACAGCGGCGGCAGTCACAAAGACCATGAGCCCAGCAGCAAGATGGTGGACAGCACAGATGACCCTAATATCTTCAACACCCACGGGCCAGAGTCTAAGGTGCTGCAGAATAATGGAAATAAAAAAATACAGATATTCATACAGAAGGATGTTTGTTCTGGCAGGATAACTCCTTTTCATTTATGCCTTTTTCATTTGAACTGTTTTCAGGCGTTAGGAGAGAAAGAATTCACTCCAGACCTCGATGACTTGGTGAAAACCGGTCCTCAAGCTCGACCCACTGTCATCCGCTGGGCTGGGGGTGGGAAAGAGGTCTACATAGCTGGTTCCTTCAATAATTGGAGCACAAAGATACCACTAAATAAGAGGTAAACACTGATTCTAACTTTAAACATGCTGGCTCCAACAACACGTGACAACCACACAGTTTCCACAGCTTAGTGTTTCACTTAAAATGATTATTTTCTGTGTTCAAAAGCCACAATGACTTTGTAGCCATCCTGGACCTGCCAGAGGGGGAGCACCAGTACAAGTTTTTTGTTGATGGACAGTGGGTTCATGACCCCTCAGAGGTACGTCCTTTAAGTTCTTGATTGATGTTTAGTTTTTTGTTTTTTTTTTCTTTTTTTTTTGCTGTAATAATAATAATAAAGCTCTAGAATGAGCAACTCAGAGCAAATACACTTTTTAAATTTCTTTAGATGCTGACTAATGTTGTTTGTGTTGCTTTTGCAAATGTGAAGTTATGACTGCGCAGATACTGTAGCACTCACAGGATTATCTTCAAAGCTTTCTCTAAAACAAAGGGGGAGAGTATGTGAAGTGTTCAAAGGCATAAATGTAAAAACAAGTGTAAAATTCTCCCTCTGCAGCCTGTCGTCACCAGTCAGCTTGGCACCATCAACAACCTGATCCAGGTGAAGAAGTCAGACTTCGAAGTGTTCGACGCGCTGCACGTTGACTCCTTGGAATGTTCAGACACATCAGGTCAGCCTGTGCTCACAGATTTCTCACCACTGTTTATTTTTCCAATCAAGCAGGTAACAAGACTGGTTATTTTAAAAGTGTATTTCCTTTTTTAAATGATCAGCAAGCCAAACATACCAGGATAGGAACAACAGAGCACTGATGTATACAGTAAATTGTTAAGTTTTGATACAGGTCAGATGGATGGAAATAGATCGTGTGAAATGGTGTTAGTTTAAGGGCAAGAAGTCAGGTTTGGTTTTTGTTCTTTCATTGTATACTGTAAAGTTGAATTTAAAAGTTTGGGTTTAATCTGTTTTTTTACATCAATGAAGTGTGCAGACAAGATGAATAAATATGCAGGTGCATCTCAATAAATTAGAATATCACCAAAAGTCGATTCATTTCAGTAGTTCAGTTCAAAAAGTGAAACTCATATATTATACAGATTCATCACACACAGACTGATGTATTTCAAGTTTTTATTTCTTTTCATTTAAACGATTGTAACTGACAGCTATTGAAAACCCTGAATTCAGTAGCTCAGAAAATCTGAATATTACCTAAGCCCCATTAAAAAAAACGGTAGTTTCAACAGAGAAATGTTGAACTGCTGAAAAGTAAGAACATGTATAGTACTCAATACTTGGTTTTGGCTCCATTTGCATTAATTACTGCTGCAATGTGGTGCACCATCAGTCTGTGGCACTTCTGATTGCTCTCTTATACCTCTTAGATTCTCGAGGGCGTTTAGGTCAAGTGAGTTTGTTGGTCAATCACAGGGATATCACGGTTCTTAAACCAGGTATTGGTACTTTTGGCAGTATGTGCAGGAGCCAAGTCCTGCTGGAAAAAGACTGTTTCAGACTGACAGACCATCAAAAGACCCAGGACACCCTTGCAGGTGTTTTGAGTTAATTATCTGATTAGAGTGTGACACCATGAGTCTCTGATATTGAACTTCCTCTCAATATTTAGATTTTCTGTGAGACTGAATTTGGGGTTTTCATTTGCTGTGAGTTACAATCATTAAAGTAAAAAGAAATAAAACTTGAAATATATCAGTCTGTGTGTGACGAACATATATAATGAGATTTACTTTTTGAACTGAACCACTGAAATAAATGAACTTTTTCTAATATATTGAGATGCATTCGTATACCTACATCTAAAGAAGACTTGTGTTTGTTTGTGACAGTGTGCATCCACACCTGTCATATAAACATGACATAGCCTAATGGCAATCGGCTTTTTTGTTAATTTTTATGTTGTACTCATTTTAATTACAGAGCAGCCATTGCATCCCCGTCAGTAGTTTACTTTTGTCTGTTTATTTTCAGATCTCTCCAGCTCTCCTCCGGGTCCGTATGGACAGGAACAGTACGCCTTCAGACCTGAGGAGCACTTCAAAGCTCCGCCCATCCTCCCCCCTCACCTCCTCCAAGTTATTCTCAACAAGGACACCAATATATCAGTCAGTGCCTCCATCCTGGTTTTAATTGTTTTGTTATTTTCCTCCAGTTTCTCTAAGGTTTGTAAGATTTCTTCTTGTTTTCTCTCGGCAGTGTGATCCTGCCCTGCTGCCTGAACCAAACCACGTGATGCTGAACCATCTTTATGCTCTCTCAATAAAGGTAAAGCATTATAACCTAAGCATGCTTCCAACAAACTACTCTAAATTAATTCCTCTGTCATGTTAGTTGTTGTTTCTTTGAGTGATCCCATCTATGTGTTTCTGTGTTTCTTTGTTCATTTCTAGGATGGAGTGATGGTGCTGAGTGCCACTCACAGATATAAGAAGAAATACGTCACCTCTCTGCTCTACAAGCCGATCTAAACCTCATGTTTTGGTGCTCCACAGTGCTTTCACAGAGCAGCATGTTTGTATCCTGCTGTTTTACTTTGTATCATCACCTTTAGTCTAATCTTGCACTGAATCAAGTTTACAGGCTGAGCTGAGGGCGGGTGGCTGTGTCATGTTTTATTCTTTTTTTTAAAGGTTACACTTTGGTCTACATAGGGCTCTGAACAAAAGTAGCTGTGTGTGAGAGTGAGTGAGTGCGTGTATGTGTGTATGTATGTGTGTGTCAGAGAGAGAAGATCCACAATGTGGCTTTTACCTTTAGACGTCCACAGGCGGAGAAGAGACTCACTGAAACACTGTGTGTATTTTAGTGTTTGCTGCACCTTGTGACTTCACGCATGTCCGTGTGTTGAACATATGATCTGCGTTTATGTTTTTGGATATTCTCCCAAAATGAGGGCTTTTTTTATCAACCGTTTTCTTTTAAAATGCTGTGTTATCATAACCTCCCCCGATAATAACCCCTTCACATGATGTTAGCAAACAGGATAACTCGATGATGTAATCTGGCCTGAGGTCAGGTCAGTGTGTTACACAGAGCAGCAGACTGGTGTTGCTTGATGAAGAAGTGCAATAACCTGTAAAGTTTTCATGTTCACAGTTTCCTCTCCAGCGATTCTCATACATAGACTTGAATATAAGCTGGTCCCAAGTTTTTCATTGATCCCAGTGCAATAAAAACACACAGTTTATTGATATTGATCAGTAACGTCATACTGAGTGGAATGATTATGGTTGAAGTTGTTTTGTTTGGTCTAGTTAGTGCACTGGGAATCCTGTCCTAGAAATCAGCTGGTTACCAAAGTATGAAAGTTTACATAAGCAGCCTCTCCTGAGTTGTCAGCCAAGGAGCAGAGGTGAAACTCTGCTTTTTTAGAATTGACTAGAAATCATTTAGTGTTTATATCTCACTTTTGTTTATATTAATTGAAAAAAAATCAAACAAATTGGATGTATTGTGTGATGGGAAAACAAGGATTAACTGTAGGCGGCCTCTGTTTTAGGGGAGGAAATCTAATAGATGTTTTCAACTGGCCAATTCTGTTGTTGGTCGGGTGCATTAACTATAATATAGTTAATGCAAAGCAACTATAAGCTGCTTTGAAGGCATTTTGTAATGAATCTGCAAAAGGAACTAAATTTAACTCTACATAGACTTCTGCTTTTGTCCTAGTTTTCAGTGAGAACTCATCAGATTGTTTTGAATTTCTCACAGTTCAGCCGTCATTCATTGAAATCCACATGACCTTAAACCGAATCCAAGATTTCAGACATGTAGATGTAAAAATAATATCGACTGAGTATTTATGTCTGAACATATGAGGTCACTTTTACTTCTGCTGTTGCCTTTACGTTGATGTGATTTTGCGAGCACTTTTCCCTCCAGTGAGCTGAGGTGTGTGGATATAAGCTTTGAACTATGCAGCAGACGACAACTCTTGTACTGTAGCTTCTCTGGACTGTAAAACCACAGTTTGTGCTTTTTATTTATTTGTTTTTTTAGCCATTATAAGTTTTGCAGTGCATTATATATTTGTGCGCGTAAAATAAGAATGTCGTTTCCGTCACATGCGTAGTCCACCCTATTGTGTAAACCTGCTGCTTTGCATGTATTGAATGTCCGCAACGTGCGTGGATACGACACATTTACCGAGTGTGAAAAATGACCGCACAAAACTTGAAATGTGATCACACTTTCAGATGAGTTCAAAGGGCTTTGAGAATAGATGGTTGCCAAGAATATCAGAGTTGTACAAAGTTTGCTCATATGTGTTCTTTGCAGTTTTAACAATGTGTATTTTGAGGTTAAGTGACTTTGAAAGTTGTGCTGTTTGAATGTCTCCATTTGAAGTACGGTACAGTATAAACCTGTGGAAGCTTAGAGAGGCTGACTTGCAATTATTTTTTTCTCAAACTTGTAAGCTGTAAGCGCATTTTCTCTACATAGACAATGATTAGGTCAAATTTTGAAACGAGGTCGGTCAAATTAATAACTGCAAGCACGGCTGCTCTCAGCTTTCATGAATATCCATGGTTGACAGGATTGTAAAATGGGCTTGTTTCAGAAGTCCCATTAGTCTTCAACAAGACGCTCTGAAAGTATTCTGTGAATGTTGTGCCTAAATGTGTGTCCAAAGAGTTTTTAATATTTACAGACATGAAAAGGGAGCTTGGACAAACAAAAAGTTTTTAGGCTGAATCCAAAACTTGAATTTCACATCAGTTTCATGAATGTTATAAGATGCTTTGCAAACCCTGCGTGGTGAATTACTGTACAAGGTTTTACTTGTTTGAAAATAAAGAGAGGACACGCTGGTCCCAAATTCTGTCCTTTTTTATTTGTTCAATATAAAAAGTAAAACGCAGGTAATCTCACTTTTTGAATAAAAACACCTTTTACTGTTTTTAACAGACAAAACTTTACTTGAGCCGTAATATTTTTGTTTACTTTTTTTTACAGGTTTCATATCTCTATTGAACAGGTTTAACACCTTTTTTTAGACCTTTTTTCACAGTAGGTATTCTCTATTTTGGGCTTCAGTCACACTTTTGAGATCTATGTATCTTTGACTTTCACATATTGTTTTTCAATCACGTTAAAGGTCCTCGAACAAACACTTGAACTATTGACTGTTTATGAATGGACAGTGACCCCATTGTACAAAAGTATTCTTTATTTTGGGCTTCAGCCAAGAATAAGGGTGTAGATAAGGTGTAGAGTCAACCTTAAAGTAAAAACCATAAGACTTGCAGCAGTGATGTCGAAGTGAACAGCGAGGGTAGAGGCTGATAGAGATCTAAATATAATAATCGAATCAAGAAACCACACAAGCTTTGAAGGTGTTTTATTCCTTCTGTCCTCAATTCTTTCATTGATATCACTTTTGCCAACACAGCAAACCTATTTCATGTCATCAGAGACAGGATCAGCTTTCTAGCTCATTGCGCACAAATTCAGAGAAAAGCTGCTTCCCAAACACATCAAAGAGCACTATATACAAACGCAACTCAAGTTCATCACTACAAACTATTGTTTGATTCCCTTCCTAGTAACAAGTAGCAAAAAGGCTTTGTTTACGCTCATAAAAAGGTGCTTTGTGGATCCAAAGTCTCACAATCTTTCCAGTGACTTTTTTTCTTTACAGTAGGCAATTCTCAAAACTTTTCTTTTTACTTTCTCTTCTTTTAAAGGCAAACTTTTCACATCTACCCAAAAACTTGGCAACCTTTGTCTTTTCAAAAGAGTCGAGCGCAAACAAAACCTAATTTGGCAAATCTCAGGTAGACAAGCGCTAGTTCAAGGCCATTTCTACCTCTGAGGGCCGAGTGTGGAGGCCCCTGAGCTAATTTAAAGGCAAGCGAAGCAACATTTATCAGAGCTTAGTTTTAGGTGGATGATAATGTGATCAGTGGCTTAGATATAATGAAGGCATAGTTTGTGATTTTCTTATCAGACAGCCTATGTGACTAATTCATTTCTTAGTGACACAATCCTTAAGCATACACTGCATATAAATCACACTCTGCAGGAAGTGAATGTGGCAAACATACTTGTAACACCATGATGTTTAACATCAAAATAAAGATATAAAGCTATTGCACAGCTACCCAGAAAATCAACTTTGCAAAAGCAAACGTTGGATGGTTTATCACTCTCACGCGGACACACACATGCGTGAACACTCACTCATATGAAAAGTTCATACAGGAAAAAAAGAAAACGACTATTTACAGCATCAAATGGCAAATGTACAGCAAATAAACACATCAAACCAAAAGTGGATCTGGATAAAGAATGAATTGGAGAACAATGATCCCACCAGTAGCCTGCCAAAGTTTGCATTGTCTATGTGGACTTTATAACCTAAACTGCCATTGCCATGGGAATGTAACGATAGCCTGAACCAAGAGAAAGAACATCAAGACAATAGCATACGGCTTTGTGGTAATAAAAATCCACTCTACTGAGTTTTGGTCCAAAAAAGGAGCTCATCTCGGTCGCAATCAAAAGTTTACGTCTAACGGTTACCGTCTCTGTGGTTCTGGAGGCCCTCTGAAAAAAAGACACCTCTGTGTCCCTGTAGTCTGGTCACACATGGACTACTCATTCGCATGGATAAGGCAAGTCCGAGTAAAGTAAAGAGTTCATAGGTCAAACTTTGGCAAGTATTGGCAATCCCCTGTTCCAAAGCTTCGATTCCACCACTTACAATCTCTGTCATGCATCATTATTCCAGACTAAAGTACAAACACTGATCATGAAAGTGACTAGTAATCCAGTGACAAGCAAAGTAAGAATAATAATCCAGTGCAGCATGATCATTCAAGAAACAACATCATTATTGCACATGCTCGTATGAGAACTCCTTCAGAGGAGCTTGAATACGCGTGTTTAGCCTGGTTCCATTTCAGCACTTTGACCTCTTTTTTTGAACATTTATAGTGTACATTCTTTCTAGAAATCACAACAAATCACACTAATGCGCATTTAAATAACCTCCTTGCATATGTCTCAATCTGTGTTTCAAAATTCAGCAGTAAGACGCCCCCAAAAAGTCTCTTTAGGACCTAAAACAAGGAGGCAGTTTTACTAAAATGGAACCTTTGTCTGGCTTAAGCTTCCTCCACAAATTCAAATATATGTAGCTAGAAGACAACTACTCTACATTCTTCCATAGTGTGTGTTGTAATACTGGTGTAGGTGTTACTGTTTTTTTTTTGTTTTTTGTTTTTTTGCATTGCACTTGCAAAAAAAAGTCCTTGTTCATTTCACTGCCACGAAAAGTAAACTTGCATTTCTGTGGCAGTTAGAGTTAAGGATGTGTTGTCTTTGAGTGAGCTATTCAGACCACACATAGATATAAATCATAAATATGTGTGTGTTCATGTGTGCAAAATTCCTTCCACAAGCCACTATTAAACATGCATGACCGTCTTTACTGTCCACAGGCTCTCAGGAGAAGATGCTCATAGCTACAGATCTCAAATTTGCTTCTTTAAAAATCTCCAATTTCAGTCAGGAACAATTATCCTAGAAGTTTCTGTGATAAACCCCTTAAACTGAATTAAAAGCTTTCCTTAACTTAGGATCTGGGATCAGTGTCTACTAGCATCTTCAACCAGCTCCATCAGTAGGACAAACGTCGCTTAAATCCACCAGAGTCACCTTTCAAACACTTTCTTCAATCACACACATGACAAGGCTGCAAACTGCTGACTGTGTCACTCAAAGACAACACTGCACGTTGCAGGAGGGGGCAAAGAGTGGCAGATAATATGAGAGTAGGGGCTGGAGAGAGTGTGGTAAGGCTAAAGGTGCAGATTATTCTGTGCACAGGTGCCTGGAAGAGGGAGAGGTGGAAGCACTCTCACGGCTTGGGTGGAGGTAAAGGCAGAGGTGAGATGGGGCAGGTGGAAAAGCTGGTGTGGGGGAGGGGTTAATGGGTCTTGGCTGTTTCACAAAAGAGGTCAGAGGTGGTGGCATTGAGGCTGGTTCTTTAAAAAAAAAAAGTCTAAAGCAGGCATTGGCTGCTGCGCTTCCTCGCTGCCGGACGTTGATTGGCTGGAGCTCCTGAGGCACTGCTGGTCTTCAGGACACCGTGATCAGCAGGCTGTTCTCTGGCAGCACCTCCTGAGTCCTCAGCTGGAGGGACGGGGGGAAACAACATGATAGTCAGTATCAGACAACCCTCCTATGGTCTGATGAAGCTGGCATATAGCTGGTGCAGTGAAATGTCAAAGGAATAATTGGACGTGGATCCGTTTTTTTTTTTTCTTCACACTTGCAAATGTTAAAGGTTCAAGGTGTTTAGCTTAGCTGGGAGCCACCCAAGGATCTTATCACCATGGGTCAAACTCATTCCCGCTGAGCAATAGACGGCTATTAGACATCTAGTTTTTTTAGACCTAATTTCAACCGTCTAGATTCTGTATATTTTAGACAGAATTTAGGTGTTGCACTTTAACCTATTATTCAATAACTATTTATTTCAAAAAGCAACTGTGAGTTGCATAACTGATCTCCAAGTACTTAACCAAAATTATTATGATAACTTTTGAGCAATATACAGTGTAGTATAGATATAGCCCAGATTTAGACTTGGTCTAAACTTAATCTAAATTTTGACGGCTGAAAAACCTTCAATTTTAGACCTGAGGTAGCCTGATTTTAGACCAGTCGTCTAGGCTACATTTTGACGTCTATAAGACCTCTTTTAGACCAAAAAAATACTCAGTGGGCTGTTTCCGCCTATACTGCTTCTTCATGTTAAGCTAAGCTAACTGAGCATGAGCGTGAACTAAGTCTTCTCAAAGTTAAACCACAACAAGAGGTAGTTCGTTGTGTTACGTTAGTCACAATAACACTCCCACAGCTGAGTGGCTTGCAGGTGAAAAGTTGAGTCACTCACATGCACACTGTCTGTGTTATTCTGTCTTGTAATGTGAATAAATCCGGTTGTTTATGACAGGAATTAGTCAGGCTATTTTAAAAGCTGTAGCGTGTTTTCGTGTTTGACAACATGCACAGAGTTTGGAAACTATGCAGTGTGCAGTAACTTTAGCTTTTACTGTGGGGGTCTGTGGATATGAATAGACTCAACACCAACAGAATCTGTGACATTTAGAAGTAAACAACACTGAAGTGCAACGGTTCCTATTAGACCATTGTTTATGCAATACAGTGTCAGTGGTGTGTGTTCAGGAGAAATCAAAGACATAAAAACCTGCTTTAACTTTTTAACTCAAAAACACAAATCAGAGCAGTAAGGAGATGACTGTCAGACACGATGGCAAAGCCATGATGTCAGCGTGGTTAGAGTAAAATCCACAGAGAGGTAAACGCTGCCCCAGACCACACAGCCGTTATCACATTTATTTTTACACTTCCAGTTTACCAAGACACATGAACTATATTTCGATTATGGGGCGTCTGGGACAACGTCTACCACTATTCAAGATCACGAGATGTCACACAATTTACCAGTGTAAGGAGAGGAGGAAGAGGAGGAGGAGCTTAGAGAGGAGAGTCTCAGCTCATTCTTCTGGAGGGTTTAAAGGAGGAAGAGGAGGAAACAAATGTAGGACCAAGGGACAAGTGAGACACAGAGGCCATAAAGTGATGAATTTACATCAGAAATATCAAAGAGAAGGTTACCAGGGGTGTCACAACATACAGTACAGATACACATAAAACTGTGACCTATGGAGAATGCACACAGATTATCTATCTTACGAGTCATAACTGTCTGAGGCAGGATTTCAGCTCACCTCGAGGTTTGTTCTTGCTTTCTTTAACACATCACGAGTCCTTGATACTGTCGTGGAACAAGAAAACATGATTATTACAAAACAACAAGTGGAGACAGCATGAAAATAACTCAAATCACTGCATCCCAAAAACTCATTTTCTTATGTTAGATCTGTGGACATTATACTGGCCAGTTTAGGGTTCAAAACCACGCCCAAACTTTGAGATCCTCAACATTTAAGTAAATGATGTGCAAAATTGGCTACAGGGATCTCATTCTTACTGGACTGGATTGCAGTGCCGCTGCATATTAACATCATGTACAAGCATAGAAACGCTCAGAAACACTCACATTGGTTGACTATGAAGTGCTCCATGCTCTCCTTGGTGCGACTGGTGTTCCTCAGCCTTTGAATTGTTCCTCTAAGAACCTCCTCCTGCTCTGATATACGCAGCTTCAGGGACAAGATCTCCTCCTGCATACACTGCTCCTATACACACACACACACACACAGAACATGAAGTGGCATTCATTATGAAGGCATGGTTATCTGATTTCTTTCCAAACATAAACTGGTAAGTATCCAGATACATGTTTCTTTTCCTCTTTTAAACCCCAAAAAATGACAGCGAATGATGGGTCCAGCCTGCTTCGAACCTTTTCTTTTATAGACACTCCATTAAGGAGCACAACCTTTTATAGACTTTTTACATCTTCTTCACCATCAACTTGTTCTTTGATGGGAACATTTCATAATTCAAAGAGGCTGCAGAGGACTCGCACACAGAAAGATGGAAAAGACAAATGTCTTAAAAAGTTGGATCCATTTTATTGCTAGGATCAAACAAATAAGCAGCAAACATTTCAGTCTCAATCGACTATCGTCAGTGCAAAAGTCACTATTGACAATTTGTCTTTGCCATTTTTCTGTGTGTGAGTCCTCTACAGCGTCTTTGAATTATCTTATCTGACCACTGCACCAGAGGCAAGAATACTAGGACTGATGTTTAGCGCGCAGCTCTTTTCTTGTTAATCACAATACTTCACTAAACTCCAGCACTCTGTGTTCAAAATGAGGATATTGTTTCACAAACCCTCTTCAGGTTTTGGACGGAGGGATCAGTACTGGGCAGAGCTGCCCTCCAGAACATCTTCAGAAGAGACATGGCTTCTTCCAGGATCTGCTTCAGAGTCTTTGTGTTGGACAACAGACTCTTCACACAGCCATAGTCCAGGATCTGCAAACATGGCACAATGAGAAGAAACTTATCATCCAGTCACTCTTATATTTAAATAAAGCAACAACCCTTTTTTTTTTTTTTTAGCACCTACCAGTTCACTGCTCTGTTTCTGTTCCCCCTCCAGCATCGCTGGGCCGAGGCAGGCCTGCAGGGTGGTCTCCATGCGCTGCACAAGGCTGCGACCCTCCAGAACCTGCTGCTGAAGAGCAGTGAAATCATCCACATGGCCAATGGCATGACGGCCATTGCGGTTTGCATATGATCCGTCAGGTGCATCCCCTTCCAGCTCAGAGTGAGGATCAAGAGGGTCTGGAAAGAGAGGGATTAAGGATTTATTTTTTTAAAAGAGATCTGGGCGACATTATCAAAAAGAGTTGATTAGTTCTTCATGCAAATTAGCTCAAAGAGGAATTATTACTATAAAAAGATTAAAATTAAATAAAGCTGCAGTCATGCAGATCAGTTTGAGTCACACCATTGGCAGTGCTATGGCTGTCGTCCAGGTCTAAGTAGGGAGGACCAGGGGATCCACAGTTAAACAGACCAATGTCCCTGACAGGTGGAGACGGGGCAGGGTCTGTGGAGCACACAGATGTACAAACCAGGCTTGAACACAGCAAACCACACTGCAGCACACCGAGCCTCACAACCATCTTCACAAGTATTTTGTTAGTATTCAGAGGCCTCTGTCTCACCGTGCAGCAGCTGCCGCCTGTAGAAGTTCTCCCTCTGTGGGCTGGCAGTCAGGGCGGAGAGAGAAGGAGTACGAGGAGAAACCGCACCCAGCTTTTGCTCCAGCTGCTTGTGGAGCTCCAGCTGTTTGAGGGCGCTGTTCTCCTGGACGCTGGTTTGCAGTTGTGCTCGCAGACTCCTCACCTCCCCGAGCAGCTCTCCCAGCTCCACAGGCAGACCAGGCAGCTCACAAAGGTAACCTGAGGACGAAAATACACATCACTGCTGGGTCTGAGGAAGATACACAACACACTATAATACGATCAAACTTGAAGAGACATTTGTGATTGTAGCATCCTGACAGCTTTTTTAAAAGTATCTTTTAGAGAAATTAAACACAGTCCTTAGAGCTACCAGAATGTCTTTCCTGCTTCTCTCATCAAGTAACACTGAAGAACAAAATTACAAAAGAAACCCTGAAGACAAACACTTGAAGAAAAAAATGGTAACACTTTACTTGACACATATCTCTATAACACATTATAAATATATATGCATAATGCGTTATCATCACATTGTAGCACTGTGTAACTATAGTTATAAACACTCATAAATGATCATAATGCTTTATAGCAATAATCATAACACATTATAAAGCATTTTATCATGACTTACAAGGTCAGGTATTATAATGTGTTATAATTTGCTTATAAACTTGTATAACTATCATATAAACACTCATTAATTTATCATAAGGCTTTATAACAACAAGCATAACACATTATAATCCCTGACCTTGTAAGTCATGATAAAATGCTTTATAATGTGTTATGATTATTGCTATAAAGCATTATGATCATTTATGAGTGTTTAGAACTATAGTTATACAGTGATATAACGTGATTATAACACATTATACATATAGTTATAATGCGTTATAGAGATAAGTGTCAAGTAAAGTGTTACCAAAAAACCATAACAAAGCCTGTTTTCCATGATAAGGCTAACCTTTGCTGGACTTAGTGCTGGAGCAGACCCGGTCATACACTTGGAGTTCACTCTGCAGGGAGTGGATGAGCTCTCTGCTCTCACAGAGCTGCTGCTGCAGCAGAGACACCTCATGCTGGAGCCTGTGAACACACAAACACACATCAGAGACCAGAAATTGAAACTCAAAGTTTAAAGGTTAAATGTTTCTGTCACTGTGTGGTTCACAAACACACTGACCTGTTGGTTTTCTCCTGACTGCCCTGTCGCTCCTGCCTCAGCATGTGGATCTGCTGGCCCTGCTCCTGACTGTGAACCTGAAGTCGCCTCAGCTCCTCCTTCCACTGCTCCGCCTCCAGCTCGGCTTGTTTCAGGCGAGTGCGAGCTGTGAACACCGCCTCCCGAAGCTGCACCAGCTCCTCACAGGAGTCTGAGAGAAATGTCCAAACTTTTTTTTATCATTCACATCCTGACAGAAAATCATCAAATCTTTCTTTTACATTTCTCTTTCCAGTGAAGCACCTGTGCTGGCCTGCAGACGTGACTGCAGACTCAAGTTCTCCTCCTTCAGGACTCTGATTTCATTGGACAGTTGGGAGACTGAGTCCAGGCCCTGAATGTAGATGTTCGTTGGTGCTCCTGGATGAAAACAAAACAGAAGAAAATGATTCAATCTAATTTTTAAAGTAAAATAGGACAGCGGCTGTTGTATTTATTGTAGTTTTGAGGGTTTGTTACCTCCTTCACGCCCGGTAGTGGCCAGCCTCTCCTCCAGCTGCTGTCGAAGCCTCTCATTAGTCCTGATGGATTCTTCCAGACGCTGACGCAGACACCTCACCTCCCTCAGGTGTTCCTCTATTAAATTTACTCCTACAGACAATGGATATATAATATTGTCACCTCTTCCTGGAGCAGAGTTTTAATATAAATATCTGAACTCTCTTCCTGAACTCTTGTATTTTTGTAAAAACAGGTCAGTCACTCCGCTCACACCTGCATGGCTGCCTCCCTGCTGATGTCCCGGTGACCCGGAAAAGCCTCCAACCTGCTGAACCATGTTTTCCACGTCCCACAGAGTCCCCCCTGTCATCAGACCGGAATCAGACTTGAGCGAGTGACTTTCAGGAATTCCACCCAGTTGGTACTGTTGAAAGGCATGATGGGAAAGCTGGCTGTAGCTACTGGACAGGTTGTGCTGGTTGTGGGCTCCAGGTGAAAGAGGGTACAACGCCTGGTCATGGGGACCTGTGAAACCTGAAACCACACAGAGAAGAGAGGAGGAGCATGAAAGTTCTGTCTTTGTTTCACACTTGTCAGATTTATGTCCCACATGGCACACGCCCCCTGACCCCTCACCCCTGTTCTGCTCATTCATCTGTTTGTAGAGCGTGTCAAGCTCAGGACGAACAGCGATCACAGAGAGGGCCCGAGGCCAGGGGTCAGAAGGGACTTCTTTACCCCAGACGTCAGGGCCATAGGGGACAGAGAAGGAGAAGGAGACGGGCGGCCTGAGAGGGGCTGGTGGGGAAGGACAGGCAGTAAGAGGGACAGAGTATGAAGTAAGAGAAGAGGAAAGAAAAGTGCCACATGGAGGATATCAAGTCACATCTAGCTTTGAGTCCCCTACCTGTGGATGACTGACAACCCACAGGGGCTGAGCAGTGCATGTTGGGACAGCTGTTGGAGGACTTGAGGGGACCATAAGGAGGAAGGAGAGATGGACGGACTGAAGGAGGGGAATGAAATATGAAGGATACAGAAAGCCTTAAAAGACAAGAAAGTAAAATCTGAACATGAGCAATACCGTCTTGTTCTGATCCGTGTTCCTGCTGCCGCAGACGCTGCTCCTCCTGATACTCTCGAGCATCCAAATCAGAGCACAGCTCCAAGTCCTCATTGGTCCTGTACTCATCAGAGACCAGCGAGGTTCTGTCTGATTGGTCAGTGGTCTCAGAGAGGGCCTGGCAGCTGGATGGGGTCTCTGGACGCTGCTGCAGCTTGGTGTGGAGCGACTCAATGATTTTGTCTTTGTGCTGGAGCTCCTTACTCAGCCTGCAGGAGCAGAGGACAGGATCAGTGTTAACCTCTGAAGAGAAAACTAATGACAGAGTAACATGTTTGTGAAAAGACTCGAACAGCTGATTTTCTCTGAGCTGACAGGAAAATCATGCTGGCCTGCAACAAATAATTATGTTTGCACTTTTATTTTCTAAAGTCTCTTCTTCTACTCCGAACATAAAGATTCATCAGCAACTTTTTAATGACTAAATAAAAAAAAACATGAGCGCATTTTTGAGCAAAAGAGGCAGCAATATCAGGCGCAAGTCTCATGCGAATTGGATGTTTTATTCTACTCTAACATAAAGTACATTGTTATATTTGATTTGACTGAAAAATGTAGAAAAATAAACTGAAATTTAATGTTGATGTTTCAAGAACTGAACACAAACTCAGCAAAACAGGAATCCAACCTGAACCAACTGAATATATCTTAAATTTGATCCATGGCAGAATATATAAATCAATATCATTATTCAACCCTGTCTGTAAAACAAAGCCAGTGCTCACAGTCTCTCATGTGATCATATGACAGAGCTTTAAAGTAAAGAGGTAACAGTCCTGTTCATCTTACTGTTTAAGTTTCTGCAGCATGATCTCCCTGTCCGTCTCTGACAGCACCCTAAAGAGAGCTGTCTCTCTTGTTTGGCCTCGGCCCGCAGAGAAAGACCACAGTGAGTCTCTGTAAACTGAGCTGTTCTTAGAGATCATATGTTTCCACAGAGGAGCCATTGCACCACCAGTCCAGACAAAAAATTACGGTCAAACTCTTGATGGACAGCAGAAATACAAAAAACAACAAAAGGAAAAAAGACAAAATCCAGAGATGTCTCCTTCCTCTCAATGCTAAACCAGGAAACCTTAGATTTGAAACAGAAGAATAAAACATCCAGGTAGGGTCTTACTGAGAGAAGTGACACGAGTGGAGGTTTGTCACACAGTCACAGAGGCTTTAAGCCCATCTGGTGGGACACCTGTAAGTCCATTCAGCTAAAGCAACTTAAGAAGAGGTTCATGCTGTGTCCAGGTCTGTGTGTGCCTGGATTAACAGGAACCGTCTATGTCCTTACACCATAAGGAGCCATGCTCGCGTGCTGCAGTCTGTCACATGACGTAGAAAACTAATCACTGTGGAGTAAATGCTCCACACAGAAAACCCATCACTTCATAGGACGTCCACAAAAAAACACTTGTGCAGGTGTTTTTAATGACTATTGCTGCGGACATATAGAATTACAGCTTTTGGGTTTATCAGCCCGTCTAATGGAATAGAAACAAAGACTTTGCACATACTGATTTCTTCTTTTAAAATGATATTTAGTTTTTGAGTTTTCAGACACAAAACCACAATCCCACCACACTCTTTAGTTTGTCTTTAAACAATTCACAGATGTTGACAGTGACGCTCGTTTTAAGGGAAATGAAACAGAAATTAAAGCCCTCATTCGACCACAATTTTGCCTTGTCGTACGCTAAATGATGCGCTTCTAGCAATCAAGCTAACCCACCTTAGAGCCAGCAACTCATGGCCTGTTTTGTCATCATGGTTCTCCGCTGGATCACCTGGAAAAGAGACAGTAAACGGTCTTCAGAATGGATCATTTGGAAACAAAACACAACAACAGGCCAATAAAAGTGACTCTTAAACTATGAGCGTATGTTCTTGTGGGATTTAGAGGATGAGGAAAGGCTCCTTACGTCCTCTTATCTTAGCGACCACCCTTTGTGCCAGAGCAGAGTTCTGTGCCAGCTGCTCTCTGAAGCTCTGACCCATGTAGTAATCGATGTCATTGGCCCGCAGCAGTTCCTCGAAGGCCTGACAGATACAAAGATTAAACACTCATGGTTGTGGAGTTTGGATTAAGTTAGAATATAATGAAAGCTGAGGGGTTTCTTCTACCTTGGTGGTCTCGCCCAGGTGCTGTGTGAGTATGTGACAGACCCCCTGCCCTTCTCTCATCCTCTGCCTCAGGTGGGACAGTTCACGAGCCTGCGTCTGGATCAGAGAGTTGTACTTCCTGAATGAGCACAAGGAGTCACAGTGTTAATAGAGATGCTTCAGGTCCCTGAGGGAAACAAGTCATGGGAGCAGACATCCTTGTGTTCATGTGTTTACTAAGTTGCCTTTGGAAACAACAGCAAAACCTTTCTTTTAATGCTATCTGCTACATCCACTCCTCCGTCTCTTCCTCTTACCCGGGCCAGGTGGCACACTTCCCCTCCTCTGCTTGATCCTTGCCCTCCAGTTTGGAGCTCTTCAGCTGTGCCTCCAGTGACGCGACTCTTGCCATCAGTTCTTGGAGCTCCCTGCTGGGCTTAGAGCCTGAGCGGATCCCTTGAGAGTCGGACATCCAGCCTTCGTCCTCCTCCACGCCGCTGGGAGCTGGTGACGTCTCAAAAGCCCAGTTTACCTAAAATGTGAGCCATAACATGTCATGACTGATCTGATTCATTTAAATGTTCTCACAAAAAAACAAAAACAAAGAGCAGCTGGTTAATGTTGCTGCACCTTCCGCGGCGTACGCTCCAGGCTGGAGGCGTAGTCGCTGGTGGTGGACAAGGAGCGGACTCGGAGCTGCAGCCCACGGATCACCTTGTGGCAGCGGGTCAGCTGTGAGCGAAGATCCTGAACCAGATTGTGCAGAGATGCTGACTCATCCTCCATTTCATAAGCACCTCTGTTGCTGTTGCAGCTCCCAGTGTACCAGCTACCGCCCACGCCATCATAGTCCTGCTGATGGGATAGGGATGTGCACATCTCCAGGTCATCAAACTCTGAGAAAAGAGAGAGAGAGATTAATGCATGATTGATGAGGGTTAGAGCGAGTGTTTAACAAGAGAGGAGGAAAAATGATGGTTTGCGAGTAATCTATTGTGTTTGTCACCTGGGCTGCTGGCATCCTCTCTCTCTGCCTCGTTTTCACTGCGACCACATGTCTCATAACCCAGATCCTGGAGATCCACCTGCACATGCTTACTGGCCTGCTGGACAGATGTCTCAGCTACAGAGAAGGATCAGGAGGAGTCTAATTTTAGTACACTAAAAAGTACTGGAACATTTTTCAGTTCTTGTATGTTGTCTACTAAAATAGGACTCACTGAGCAGGTCTCTGTAATCCTTCAGCTGTTCAGCCTGAGCGTGCACCGTGGCCTCAGACACCATCAGTCTCTCCTGCAACTCTCGGTTCTCCTGGTGGCTCAGAGCTAGGTCAGACTGGAGTCGAGTTGTCTGCTCACGGAGACCCTCCTCCATGTTCTGCCAGAGCTCTCCCACCTCACCGCTGTCATCCCCGCCCTGCAACGACAATTTAGAAACTACATTACTGATTCAAACAACCACAGTCCCAATAAAACCAAAACACAAACACAGAGCCTTTCAGTGGAGCTGTCAGTGATGACAAGTTGCAAAGAAAAGGAGGACAGGGCCTGGAGACGGTGCAGACATCTGCAACAAAACATTGCTTTGTTCAACGAGGGGAACGATGACTTTAGCCAAATTTATCCACAAACTACAGCTCTCTTTGATCACAATAGAAACAACCTCAACATAAGGCTGCAAAATATTAGAGAAAGAAATATAACAATACTTTTCTGTGATATGAAATGCAATGTCAAAACACTTAACTATTGTACCCAATCCAATCCAATCTGCTTTATTTATACAGCACATTTTAAAAAACATTAAAGTTTACCAAAGTTCTGCACAGTAAAATTAAAAAAAACAATCACTGCAGAAAACATCAAGAGGAAATAAATAAAAGTGAGTAAAAAACATTTAAAATGACATTAAATAAATGAAATAAAAACACAAAAGCAAAAAGAAATAAAAATGATAAAAGGAGCATAAAAGACATAAAAGGATAAAGATCACACAACTCTCATGCTGAGCTGGAAGCCAAGGAATAAAAATGAGTTTTTAGACGTGATTTAAAAGTAGAAAAAGTGGGGGATGTTTAAATCTCCAGTGGCAATTTGTTCCACAGCCAAGAAAACTCGGTTGCCACAGGCTTTTAAATAAGTTAGAGCTGATCAGCAGACCTCAAGGAACATTTAAGAGGTCAGAGATGTACTGTGGTGCCGATCTGTTTAAAGATTCAAAAACAAACAATAAAATTCTAGAATGAATTCTAAAATGGACGAGAAGACAGTAGAGGGACGCTAGAATTGGATTGAACCCAATTGAATTAGACATCAATATTTACTGACAACACGACACTCTGTGTACGCTAAAGGTGTAGAGACTAAGGCTGTGTCCGAAATGGATCCCTAACCCCTATATAGGCGACTATATGGGGGTGTCCGAAACCTGAGTGATCAATTCCAATGCCCCATATAGGTGACTCAAAATTTCCTATAGAGCATTGCAAAATGTAGTGACCATCCGATGGTCACTCACCGGTGGTGGGCATCCCATCATGCATTGCGTTAAAAGAAAAAAAAACTTGGGTGATTGAGCTCACTACATAGTCAGCTATATAGTGGAACCCCATATGAAGGTTAGGGGTTAGGGATCGAGTGATTCATTTCGGACACAGTCAACAGAGTCAACGATTTTTAACTTCTAACCCACACTGTTGACCCTGTAAATCCTGACACGCCTCTTAACAGTTGAAATACTACAAGAGTCCAGGAGATATGATCCCAGAATTGAGGTCCTGAAACTGAAGCCCCCACCTCTGCAGATACATAATATAGGGGGAACACTCATGATCCTGTCACACGACCTAAACCAGCTTCAGAATGTCATGACCCGGCTCAAGTGGGAATACTCTGTTAGAGAAAATGTATAAACTGTCTGAGCTGGCAGGGTTATATTTTACAGTCATGTGACGCACAGATACAGACTCAGCGTGCACAGAGGTCAGGTTTCCATGTGTTCAAGGGAAAACGGAGGTAAAGTGATATTAGACGGGCTTTTACTGAAGATTAATCATAGGAAACAAGAAACTGACAACAGAATGACAGCTCTAAGGATGAACAAGTGTGTGTGATATTGACTGCTGTGCACAGGCAAATTGCAAGTGTGAGGCTTAACAGCTAAAATAGCGGACTCCTTCTTAATATGCTACTATTTAGTTTTTAATCTCCTGTGTACCTGCTATTTAAATCAAAGATAAGATGATCAAGAATCCAAAGCTACAAATGAGAGAAAAAAAGTGCACGTTTCTGTGGTTGATTTAAAAAGACATAATCCCTGTAATCTGTTTAATCATGACTTACCATGTCAGGCTGCTGGGTGTGATGATGTGACATGCACTGCCTCTTCCCTCGCTCTCCACTCAGACTGACACTCGGATGACCTCGTTTTCCCACTGACATTGAAGGGGAAGAAACTTCCTCCTCTTCATCATCCCCCTCCTCAAAACTGTCCTCTTCCTCCTCTTCCTCCTCCTCCTCTTCTTCCCTGTCTTGGTTCAGACTCTCAAATGGGGCTCTTCCCTTGTTTTCCTTCAGAGCCTGGTTCTCCTGCTGCAGCCTCTGGAGATCACTCCTGGAGGGGGGGAGACAAACAGAGACAAACAGCTTAAGAGTACAGCACATCCACAATTCATGTGCCAGTGTCTTCTTAAACACTCAAAATCAAATGTTTCCTGGAGTTCTCAAACAAAGATGCACCTCATCTGAGCCACAGAGCTGTATCCATCCCTCTCCAGCTGGAACTTCATTTCTTCAAGCTGGCTTTCTAGCGTTCTCTTTTCTTCCTCCAGCTGCTGTACATCAGCTCTCTGGTATACTCCCCCTTTTGCTGCTCCAGTCACACACACAGGTCCACCAGCCTGCACAGAAAAGTCAGAGAAAACACATTTGTTTCTCTATTTTAGACTTGGGACCAGGTAGAAAATATCATCTGAGAGAAATCTTTAATAGCTCCATAAATCAGCCGTGAACCAAGAGGAGATTTTTTTACCTGAAAGCTCCTGGATGTCACTTTATCATCCTCTTCTATGCTGTCGGTGAACTCGTCACTGCTGCCTTCTTCATTGTCTCCCTCCTCCTCCCCCTCCTCCTCCTCCTCCTCTTCTTCTTCTTCTGTGCTAAGCTCTGGAAACACAATAACCATAAACAGACTGAGTGTTATCCTCTGTTTATTTCTGAATCCTCTGCTCTTTTCATTTATGTCCTCTCTCTCTCTCTCTCTAGCGTCCTCTCTTTTCTTTAAAGAGTCTGCCCGTACACTGAATCACCACTCTGGAAGTCATGGGACTAAGGGGAAATGTTATGTCATACATTGTAGCAGCCAGCCAAATTCACGCTCAGAGCAGTGCAACCTAGCCAAAAAGCATGGTGTGTGAGTGTGTGTGTACCATTTATGAGAAGGGGAGGAACATCATTTAGACCTAAACCCAAATGTGCTGGAACAGTTTAGATGGTTTATACCGGCTTGCATGAAATGTCAGGGATGATTGTGCGCCAAACGGGGAAACATGAGCAGCAAAACTTAACTTTTCTGCTCTGAAGTATTTTAAACACTCGCACACTTATTGCCTAGAGGCAGAGGCTCGGGGAAAGTGACTGGCCAGTTTTAAAAGGAAAATCGCATTATATAACAGGGTCTAATAATACACAGCTGAGACGTGTGTCTGTATGGGTGTGTTTCTACAGTTCCTTTGTGATTTATTATGGGATTATTTATCCTCAGGAGAAATTCAAACACTGTTTATCACTCTGCAATGTCTTTGTGTGAGTGTATCTGCTGGGTTATTATTGATTCAACAATGTGCTCTGTAAGCACTGAGTGAATGTGGGGCCCTGTTTACACTCACTGCTGCACTACAAACTATTCCCACTCATATAGGGAACTAGTTAAAACTTTGTATATAACTCATATTTCATGGTTTTAAACTTATTCAGTAGTATGGGCTGATATGAAACCCTTTTTGTTTTGTTAATGTTGAATTATATGGTGTGAATATTTGACTTTGCATCACAGCAGAACAGCCATGCAAACATTAAAACACCATGCCACAATGTCATGCATGAGGGCGCAGGGACATGAAGAGAAACACTCAACTGGACATGGGCTTAAACTGATTTTAAACATTTGGATGTATTAACACTTATTCAGGTATCTTGCCAAAATGTTAATATGCATCAATAACAAATTGATCAAATGTGTTCAGGAAAAACTTGGGGGGGAGACTGAGGAGGACATCATTGTGGGGCTGTTTCTGAGATGAGAGGTAAGGTAAATCAGGGACCAAGAGAGGGATTTCAGGGTTGGGATATTCTTAAGATAAATTCCCAATTGTACACAACAAACTTTTCCACAAAAAAGCGGGCACATTTTATTGTTGTTGCATGAAAAATACAAAAAGAAATGTTGACAAGGATTCCATCTCTGAAGTCAGATGAGAGATAAGGGCACAAATCCTGAGAAAATGTTCTCTATCTACGATAAATATTGAGTGTGTGAGTATTATTTCTGGCATTCACATCTTATGTGATTTATACTGAGTACAGAATAAACAGCAAATTGACTTTATATGATGAATTCCTGTTTTCTTGCTACATAGCTGAAGCTACAAATAATGCATATATAAGAATACAGATACTGTGGCTGACCTTATTTTCATGCATCTCTGTCTATCGAACGAGCACTGGATAATGTGTTTTCAATCTAAGGTGAAACTGAAGTGAGGGAAACTACTCGGCCATCTTTTTTGGATTTGTGTCTCGGGCCTTGTTACGCGTTCACATCTTGTTACAAACAGATGATTTAAAACAAATGGAGGATGATGAGACGTTTCACTGTAAGGCATGAGCTTGAGTCTCTCCACAACACGGGACTTCACTGTGACAGTAAGGCTGGAAGAGTAACACCGGTGAGAGACAGTACACAGAAATGGCAATACAGAACAGTCGCACTGCAAAGCAATACGCAGGCAGCTTTCATGAACAATGTAAAAAACAACAAAAAACATATTCACACAGACACTCACGAAGTAGGTCAATAAATAATAAGACTCCAGGTTGCACTTTGCCACATCATACAGCTTAGGTTAATCTCGACAGGCTTCTGCTACTGTGAGTAGTGCTTGTGCTTGTCAGGACAGAGCTGTCTGAAGGCTGACGGTCAGATTGTTATGATTGTTTTAAAGAAGTTTCACTACAAGACTGTGATTTCCAAGATTAGACCATCAGAAGCTGCAGACAGCCCCGTCTCACATCAAGAGTGCCATCGACACACAAACAGTGCTGTGATCAGACAGTGCCCTTTGTCGCCCTGGTGGCTGAACCCCGCCCGTCCCCACCTCCAAAGTCAGGCTGCCTTTTGGCTGCCCGCTCCATCAGCAATGCCATGTTTCGAGTCCTGGCCAAAACCTCCTCCAGCTGTTTGCGGAGAGCTTGAACCGAGTCCAGCTCAGTGTGCAGGGCCTGGATCTTCTCCGAGCTGAAGAGGGGGAGAAAGGGTCATCGAATCGGACAATAAATATGCTGTAACTTCCTGAATTCAAGATCTGCATGCAGCGTCCAACCTACCTGTCACTCTTTGTATGAGTGTGTGCTAAATCTTGGTATAGTCTCTTCTCTACCCTGAGGGCATCATTCAGCTTGTTGTACTCTGACACAAGCTGCTCCAGCACACACTGGATTAGAGTGGAAAAGGAGAGAAAATGCATAATTCTTAAGCAATGAAAAAGCCAAGTACTCTCTAGCTTGACTAAAAATCAAGCAAAAACTTACTTGATGATCAGTGCTGTCTGCTTCTGTGGCCTTCTGGTGAGATAGAGACAGATGCAGAGCAGAGAGCTCCCTCTGCAGAGAGTAAACAAAGTTTTCAACCAGGAGAAGAAAAAAAACAAGATTCAGTTATGACTTATCACCAGGACGGTACACATACCTGAGCCTCCCTCTCCTTCTTCAGCACCAGCTGCAGCTCCTCCTGCAGAGCCTTGATTTCTGCCTCGCTCTCTTTAGAGGACGGCTGCATTGCCGCCTCCTGACTCTGCATCAGGTCCTGGTGGTTAAAGTTTACAGTAAAGTTTAATCAGGTTTAAAGGAGGACAAGCTGGAAAGAAAAGAAAGAAGGGGAGTTGAAGATGATACCTTAATAAACGCTTCTTTCTCTTTGAGCAGACTCCTCAGGTGCTCTGTCTCTCCTCCCAGCATCTCCCTCTCCCGGTCTCGTTTCAGTGCGCACAGCTCCTGGTCTCGTAATGACAGCTGTCTGCGCACCTCCTGCAGCTGACCAGCCTGCTCGCTGATCACAACAGACAGCCTGTACGAGTAGTCCTGTGAGAGCGGATCGAAAAGGTTTCAGACTTAAAGCTTCTTTTTCTCCCTGGTTGCGTTACTAACCTGCCCCAGAAACGTTTTCATACCTGTAGATACTGGTCTTTGGAGCTCAGGGTGTTGAGCATGTCCTGCACCTGGGCCTGGTGCTCATTGGACTGACGGCTGCGGTCTGTTAGCAGCTCTTCAAAGAGTTTCTCCTTCAGTGCCAATCGAGCCTTCAACTCCTCTACAACCTCAGAGGGACCAGCCTGAACTCGGGCAACGAGGGCCGCCGTCAGATCCTACACACACACACACAAAACACACACACACACAGGAACGGCTGTGTCAGCACACCTGCTGCATTTGTCAAAGGAGAAACGAGTAGCACAGGTTCTTCTACGGGGAGTCCAAGCTCTTTAAAAATACGCTGCATACAAATGAGAACCCTGACAATGAAGGCATAGTTTGTGTTTGTGTGTGTGTGAGTGTGTGTGTTACCTGCGTCTCCTGACTGTGTGCCTGTAGGGCAGCCTGTAGCTGAGCGATGATGGTATCTTTCTCTCTCAGAGTGTGCCTCTCCTTCTCTTCACTCTGCTGCTTCAGCCACTGTAGGTTCCTGTAAGCCTCTGCCGCCTGCTCCAGCTCGAGCTCTTTACCGCGCACCAAGCCGTCCAGACTCTGATCGGTAACAAACCAGAAAGAGAATAAATCGTATTTTTCTTACACGGCTATTAAACCTCCAAAAGAAAGTAAGCGTCATGCTCCTTGTCCTTTTTTTCTACTTAATTGTGCATCTAACCACTTGTTGAATAGTTGCTCATCAGTTTTTAAGTTTACCGTGATGGTCTCCTCGTTATTGGACAGGATGCAGCGCAGTCTCTCCAGGTCTCGCTCTTTCTCCCTCAGGGCCAGCTGCAGCCTCCTCACCTGCTCCTCGCGCTCCTCCACGCAGCGAAACTTGTCGTCGATGGAGCGCTACAGCGACGGAGGAGAAGAAAGTCACACTGCTGCTATTCTGGGTACCCTGAGCTGTGATATTCATCATGTTCTGGTGCAGTGTCCAAGTTGGTAGTTCACAGCAAAAATGAGCAGATGGGGAGTATTTATAGCTCCTGTTCCCATAGGTCTGGGTATAAGAGTGAGGTTTTTTTCTAACATCTGATTTGTGGGGGAAAATTTGATCCCTTTTATGAAACTATTTAATGATTAAGTATCACATACTCCTTTTTTGTTGTACGGTTGCAGTGATGGTTTTCCTTCTTATCCCAATCAGTTTACGACAAAGTTTTTTTGTGTTGTGAAATTTGCTGACCCTCTGCGTCAGGAATTCGCATCACGGTATACAGCTCTTTAATCTGCTGCAAGATGCAAGCCTAGCTATTTTCTGATGTAAAGCCCTCCTTTTTTCACTGCAGTGTGCAATAAAGGCTATGGTATGAATCCCACAGTGTACAGTCTAGTGACAGACTATATGAATGTATTTGTAATTGAGTGTCTTACCTCCAGAGCTCGGTCTCTATCTTTAATTCGCTCTTTGAGTTTGTCCAGCAGACCATCTCTTGTTTTGGAGCTTCCTGCCAAGTCCAACATCTCGGAGTACTCCTACAAAGTCAGACAGCATTAAAGGTATGTGCAGGTGTCAGGTTACCAAAGTGCAACCCTGAGGAATATTAACATGACCCTACAAAATTAGACATCACTAAAAAAATATTGAGCATCATTCTGCACTTAATCTATTCTACTGTGGGTCACAATATGCTTGGAGAGTTGTTTTAAACAAGGCTGAGAAAACTGTAAACTTGGGAACAAGCTTTTTAAAATCATATACTCTGGATTATTTAAGGCAAATTCTGTTAAAATCTGTTAAAATGTGAAATATATGATTGATCTTTGATTGGCTGATATCGCCCTGATGATAGATAAAAAGGTAGGACTAACCTGTAACTGTTGCTCTTTGTCCTGCAGAGAGCGTTTGAGCTGGGTGATGCTCCTCTCTTTCTCCTGCAGCACCGTGTGTCTCTCTGCCTCGCTCTCCTTCAGAGCTGCTTCTTTAGCCTGCAGCTCAGAGCAAGATTTCTGGAGGGCGCCGCGCAGATCCTGACGGACAAAAGGTGAGAGGTGATTCAGTGAGGTCAGAGAACTGGTTTTTAATTTGGTTTTCCTGCATTAACGTAAACATACTAACCTGGTTGTGTTTTTCAGTGAGCTCTCTGTGCTGCAGGACCTCCTGCAGATCAGAGTTGAGTCGCTCCTTGAACCTCACAAGGTCCTCTCCTTGTCTCTGGCTTTGCCTCAGACTCCTCTGGCTGGCCTCCAGCTCCAGACCGAGGGAGAACAGGGAGCTCTGCACGCTAACCAGCTCACCCTGCAGCTGGGCGAGTGTCAAGGACTCACTGGCCCCCTCTGGAGCCTGGAAAAGGAGGGACCAAACCAAAGCCCAAAGTCAGCATGTCATAAGCCTTGAGACGAGGTTTCTAATCGCTGATAAGAAAAGATCCAGGATAAGTGTTGCACGACGTCTCACCTTGCATTGAGGGAGCTGGTTGTGGTGGACCATCTCTCTCAGCTTACACAGCGTACTGTTCTGCCCTTCGATCAGCTGGTACAGCTCCTGAGCCTGACAGCAGAGTAAATCACACGTAAAAGCACCTCCTTAAACACTATTTATCTACTGTCCTAAGCACAATAAACACTCACCTCACTGTCTTTGGTGCTGATAGATTCAGTGAGACCCTGAATGGTTCTTTCTTGACCTTGGGCAGCCTGACGGATTGAACGTAACTCACACTCCATCTCGTTCAGTTTCTCTTGAAGTTTCTGTAACACAGAGACGAGAATCAACATCAGGCTGTCACTAGATGTGTACGTATCAAATGTGTTTGACCGTAATGATGATTTTTAATGGGGGCTGTACCATATTGTTCGCCTCACTCTCGTGGATCTTAGCCTGCAAGGACTGAACCTGGAGCTGGGCTTTCTGCAGCTCGCTCACACACTGACCAGCCGCACATTCATACTGGTTCAGTTGGCTCTGCTGCTCCTCGACCAGGCTCTGGAATGAAGATAAAATAACAGTCTCAAGTTAAAGAATAACCCGGTGAAGTCTCGTGACCAAATGGAGCTGCTGAATTATTTCTGACAAAAGGATTTGTTTGTTTTGAATTCATGAAAAATACAGGGCTGCACAACTTTCATAGTGGATTATGTAACATGAGCACAACACTTAAGATGCTCTGCTTATTCATGTGTGCATCTTGTAAAGAGCTACGGGGAGTAGAAAGCCCCCGTAGAGGTTTGAGAGTGTCTGCATGCATGGGTTAACGCGAGAGAACACTTGGAGCCACTATTATCTTTACATAACCAGTATTCAGTACATGAGGAAGGATAAGCTGGTTTATACTTTAAATCACTACAATCTATTTGTGGTTCGATTCAGCCGAGGTCACATTTATTTTAGATTTTTTTGCACTGACATAATTCATTCAACATAAAACACTATATAGCATCATCGTCCCAGCCAACCAGTGCCGAGATGACAGGGTGGTCTGACTCTGTGTGGATCACTTTGCCTCTAGGGTTCTGTGTGAAAATAGGCCAGTAGTGGAGTCACTTTGTCTTAATGTCTCCCCACATCTAACCTACTTCAGACAGTGTGCCCAGGCTCCAAAATCACGCGCTGTTGTTGCTCCAGAAACTATCAGTAAGGGTTATCATCTCAGGGAGGTCATACTTGAAGTCTTTACTTACAGCAGAGATGCAAACCTCAGCGGAAAATGTGCATCAGCATGCAAAGTTTAAAAACAGGAAAAACTAGGAGACTGAACCATCTACAGGCTGTGCTCTTAAACTCCAAACTGGTTCTTCAAGTCTTTATCTAAAACTAGTGAATTAATCGGGTAATTATATAACTGTCCTTGGAGATATTCGCAGTTTTGTTCGATTCACTATCACTGTATTCTCCTTTCACTTCATGCTCTCTGCTTTATTGGCATGGTGGACCTCTCACTCCTTCACATACATTAGGTAATTAGGCCATGTCCTGTGTGTGTTACAGCTTACCTACACACCTGACTGCTCATGTAATAGGTTCCCACACATAGACAACTATCCCCTACACACGCATAAACACACACACACAAACACGCACACAATGAGCATTGGAGCTCAAATCCTCCTGGGTAAAAGCTTGTAGGGGAAGCTGTGGGCAGGATTTAAGTGACTGACAGCGGGATTATAGGGCTAATTACGCTCAAAAAGTAATGAGAATAATCGTTTTGTGGGCAGGCTGCGGTTTGTCAGTTCAATATCAAAGCCCATCGGGGTAGCTCACTTTAAGTGCGACAGAAAATGCGAATCTGCTGTGCATTCGCAAAATTTAGGATTCAAGGGCATCATCTTCCTGCAGTTTCGTTTGTTTTTTTAAAAGCTATGGGCAGCATCATCAACCATCTTTAATTTGCACCTGGTGGGGTGGCGGGCGAGGATATTCTTTGTACAAATCTTCCATTAACTCGTCCATCTCAGCAAAGTTCAGATCTTGATCACCAAAGCGGATCAGGGGAGTCCCTAGCTCAGGGGTTCTTATGTGGTTGTGTCGTTCTCCGTCTGGGGTACTATAGGAGAGTCTCAGATCAGGATCAGGGAGGTTCAGCCTCGCGCCTCCATTACTGGAGCTCCGCCTGAGGAGAATCGGCAGTTTGCTGTCCTTTGAGCGCAGGACGGGCCTGTAGATAGAGTAGCTCTGGAGCAAACACAGGGCCAAAGAGAGGCTGGGTCCAGGTGAAGCCTGGCTATGGGAGGTCCCCATGTGCTCCTCAGAGAGAGAGTCATATAACCGGTCGTCCATTGGGTCCCTTGGGCTGCTGAGGAGTCCATCTGTCAATGCTCCAGGGTGGGCATACTCTTCAGTTGTCTCCAAGGATGCTATGGAGGGGCTGGAGCTGGCTCGTCCGGCCAGGGTGCGATCACTGTCCAAAGTCCTGGAGGTGTCCTGAGACCCAGGGACCAGAGTCAGAGAGGACGGGGCTTCCTCTGAATCCTCCACATGTTTTCTGTCCCCTACTCCTCCTGTCACACTCCCTCCAATAACACTGGCTGAGTATCTTGTTGATGGTCCACAGGAAATGCTGCGTGCCAACTTCCTGGGAACTTTACAGACGGCTTCGTAGTCCGAGTCTGCCACCCGCCAGTACGAACATCCCCTACACCTCCTTGGGGTGCTGGGGACACATTGATGTGACCCTGTGACCTCTGACCCTAGACCTGTAGAACACTGAGGGTGGTGGTGGTGACAGTCCAGGCCATCCTCTGCCCAGGACTCGTACAAAGAGTAGACGAGGTCATCCTGTAGCAGGGCACAGTATTTTGCATGAGTGAGACCTGAAATGTCCACCATCCCATCTCCTGGTCCTTCAGTACCCCCACAGATTGTCACAGCACCCTCTTCTAGATTAGTTTTGCGGTAGAGACCTCCAATGCACTGCCTCAGCCTGTGCTTCTCCTGCAAGAGCCGCTGCAGCCTCTCAATAGACAGCGCCTCCACCCGAGCGATTACTGTGTCAAAGCGGTACATGCGGTCCAGCATGAAGGTGCACTTGGAGCAGGCGAATTCCCCTCTCCCATCCCGGGTCAGCTCTTGCCCGAGGGCGTGAGACAGCAGCACCTGCAGGTTGAGTTTCGCAGTGGGGTGGAAGATCCATCGCCGCTGGTTACCGCAGAGCTCACGTCCACAGATGCGACAGGTCTCCTTCATCTTGAGATCAAGCATTCCACAAGCTTGAAAGGGGAAATTTCCAGTTTACTCAAAGACACCTGGATTCTCCTGATAGATCTGATCAAATGTAAACACAAAATCATAAGGCTTAAGCTGCATCTGAATAAAAGAAATGATGATAAAGGCCTTTTCTTTCTCTATACAGTAAAGCTTCTCATGAGATCAGTCCAATGGAATCAAATTCAATGGCTTCACAATTACTGAGATGAGGTAGGCAAAAAGAGGAAACCGCACATGATTGTTGAGATCTACGGCTCTTGGCAGGACTGAAAATAATGAGCAAAAATAATAGATTGATATGAACTGTAACGATCAATGACAGGTCTCAGCCCAGGCTCCTTATTAATTTCCTGGAGGTGCAGGTGCATCAAGAATATGGCGCACACCCCCACACTGAAAACGTCTCATCAATCAGCTGCAGTATTTATCAGTCTTCCGTCCTCGCGCTGTCACCAAACCGTCGCCTGGCATTTCCCAACAACACCGCACGCGCTACTGCACCATCAATCGGCTACCACAAACACGCGAGCGGCACCGCGACCTGTCAGGTCCGTCCTGACCGGGAGGAAGGTAATTATCCGCCGTCCTTTACACGGACACAGAGCTGTAACAGACGTCCTGGGACGGTCCTCAAAGTCTCTAGCGGGTGTCTGCGTCCGAAGAGACGACTCTTCATTCATTTCAGAGCCGTTAATGACAGCTCGAGAGCCTCACACGCGCTCGCAGGACTCGATACTTCGTGTAGTCGGAGATCCTCCGAGCTGATAATGATGTGGCTGCCTGAACGAGACCTGCAGCAGTGGAGCGAACCATTGTGGGGACGCAGGGGTGGAGAAGCCCGGTGCAGATTCACAGAGATGTTTTATGTTTCTTTTCTTCTCTTATTACGATTTACAAACTGTCGATTCGTTACAGATGACACGTTTAATGTAAAATGAACGAGTATTTGCTTTACTTTTAGTTGTAGCGTTAAAGAGAAACAGTGACTCCTCCCCTGGGAGTCTGTAACTTCCTCTTGCCTGGTTTACTTAGCTGTGTCCGCCTGACTGATCAGGTGAAATGCTCAGTAGCGTGGTAACATTAGTGACGCTCTGTAAAATTAATAAAAACTGAAAGCGAGACAGAGCCTGATATGCTCTTTGAAAACTGATAACATTTAGGGATGGTAGATAAGATTTCTTTTATAAACTAGAACATACATGAATGCAGAAATATATAAATATAGCTATGAGAATATCTTCATCCATTATCTAAAAAATCCAGTATTCAGAGCCACAGTAGAAATTGTGGTATGGAGCCTCTGTCCCACAGATCTGTCTTTGCATTGACTAGAACCTGTTTCCATTACTCTGCTTATCAAACTACACTCTCTTAAAACAGTTAATGAAAACCAAAACCATTGTTGTATAAAGTAAAATTACATTAATCTCATATTAATCAGTACATCTTCAAGTACCCCACACTATTGTGGGAGTGGGTGACTCACCACAGTTAGTTTTAATGATAGAGCAGCAAAATCAATCACATTGTTGTTCTATTTCTGCTGCTATATTCTAACTGACCTTAAGTCATTCTGAATTATTTTCACACGTCTGCAGATTCCAGATAAAAGGATGTTTTTTCCTCAACACACAACGGCCAGTGAACAATAAAGCCAGTTACCAAGACAACACACATGTCGCAGTAAAAAATGGCTGCCATGTGGTGAGGTAAGATACCCAGAGGTTACATGTGAAAAGAGGTCACAATCATACAGGCAGAAAAAATAAGGCAGTGCTGGATAGATAACCATGTTGATCACCAATGCATTGTCTGAGTCAGTTTTAAAGTATAAGACGGTTAACAGCTTCAGGATTGTCCATGCCTGTATATGATCACACATCAATGACAGAGTATGACACTGTAATGGTTTGGCCTTTAATAGCCCCTTTGTCAGACCACAGTTACTTGTACTAAAAAAGCTTTAGCTTCAGGATAAGTACTATTTGTATGTGTTGTTGCCATGGTAGAGGTATTTCAACAATGGTTTCACTGTTTGAACATTTCATGTTCAAACAACCAGGCCTTTTTCCTGCATCTCACTGCAGCATTTCATCTCTGCAGTGACCAGAATTTTGTTTTTCCCGAGGGAGCGCAAACAGATGGTCACACTGTCACGCTGTTACTTCCAAACATATACGTCAGAGAAAAAAATAGCCGGTTGATTTTCAGTGCACATTCCTCACAATTATTCTATAATACCTTTAGAGTAAAGCGCTGATCTTAAACATCTTTATTAAGGCGGGAGTCAGAGTGGTCAGAACTTGTGTCTGCGTCAGGGCTCATGTTGGTCATTTTCTTAAATTCAAATGTTTGCACAAACTGGCCTCCAAGATGTTGACAATGACAGTTACAGGATGTACATATGGCCTGGGTATAAGGCATCTAGATGTTTCTCTCAATGTGATGTCTATAAATACAAACAAGAGTCAAAAGCATGATGAGTGTAGTGTTGAAATTGCTAATAGTAGCATTGAAAGGAGAAACATGCACATAATTGTGCTGAAAGGTTTCAGATGTCATCTCTTACTCTCTGTCCAGACATAGATTTGATCTAAAGGTCCGTGGTGTCTGGGGATCTAATTAAGAGCTCTTATGGTGTGTGTCTGTCTGTCTGAGACAACACAACCTGATCTCACTGTAGGGGTCGCTGAGCTCTAAAAGGTCAACCTGACCTATCGACCACCCTGCTGAAATCAGACCTGCTAAACTGCTAAACTGCAGGATGCCTGTCTTCACACATGCATGCACGCACGCACGCACACAGATATAAAGCATGTGTGAGAAAGCATCTCATGAGGACAGACAAACACATAATCGCACAGACACAGAGATTTGAACCTTACATGATCCCTTTTGAGCTTTTTTCCATAGATTCAAGCATTAAGCTGAACATTTTAACTAAAAATGGATAAAAATTGTAAATGAAGCCCACAGAGTTATAAACATTAAGACATAAAAGCCTAAAACTGATCTTTGGAAAAAAATCAAAATATGTTTATTGATACTTTAAATTATACAAAATATTGTCATACAACCTAACTATCCTACAGGCCCAGATGCTTTCTTGCACTTGTATATACTCCAACCAACAACCGTGTGATCTTCCTAATTTTGCAAAGTCTACTAACCTTGGCAATGACAAAGAAAGCTGCATTTCAACATAACTCCGGGTCATTGCACCACTGTTATGGTGTTATTTTTCCTCTCTAAAAAAAACTCAGACAAGAGATGTTACAAAACATTAAACTGAACTTCTCACATGCGAAGACACTGACCCACGATGACTTAACATTTTGCACAAAGAGAGTGGTATGCTATCAGTGACAAACAAACCCTTTTATGCACACATACATCCAGACTGAAATCTGAGAAGAGAGCCTGCATTTGCATCCCTTCACCACGACTGATTTACAAGTTAAAACAGCTGCACAGGTACCACAAAACAAAGCACTGCTTGTAAAAAACTAACAGCAACAAGAGATGTTTTCAACACACAACATGGCACAAGAATATTAAGAGGTAACCAGAGGGAAGAGAAAGTACTAAAATATTCAACTTGAGTAAAAGATACAGTTAATTTGGTGAGATTTAACTGAAGCAAGAAGAAAACTATCAGTTAATCTACTTAGGTAACAGTCTAAACTGTGTGATTCAAAATGTATTGAAAGAACTGTGAGCTTACTTTTAATCCATGGCTGTTAGGGGTGGGGCTGGAGAGTAAGAAACACCCCCACAAATTATGTATAACTATATTTTTTAAGTGAACTATACTTGTTTAAGTATAACCAACAGCATTAACAAATGAAGTGAATTAGACACTGCACCTATCAAGAGTGGAAGAATTGAACACTTTTGCAGCGTCTTATCAAATATGCACTTTGTAGGTCCCTGCACACTGAAGTCAAAACAAACAAGGACGTCATTGACTGTAATCAGTGAAAATAGCGGCAAATGGGAAAAACAAAACAACGTGGAAAACTTACTTTGTCAAACCTATTAAGAAAGTTTTGGCTTGACGTTTCTTGAAACAAGAATTGTGGGTACACCTGCTGGGTCAATGTAGCTCAAATTTAGTGTAATGAGATACTCGGACTAGAAATGAGATATACTTGCACAGTAAGATTTGAGTTGGTTTTAGGAGAGACATCATCCATCCGCTGGCTGCTAGCAGGTGGTGGAAAGTTTGTGTGTTTGATATTTTTACCCAGTTACTGCTGTAAAATGTGGCCAATTGCAATTCTTTCAAAAGGAAATACCTAAGAAACTAACATTATGGATTTAAAAAAAACACACTAACAGGAGCAAGAGTATATGTAATTAGTAACTTTCCATAGCACAGCTGCAGCCGAATAAAACTAAGGCTTCGTATGCTTACAGTCATTCATCTGTCGAGCTATAAATTTAACTACATACAATAATGATTTCAGCTGAGAAGGAGGAGCAGGCACAGTGTAAGTGCCCTCTTCCATTTGTGTTTAATTATGTATCAGGAGGAAATGTGTCCTCGGGGATATGAGAGCAGCTAAAGCCTGTAAATGTAATGAGATTCAGGCACTTTGTGTGATGAGATAAACCCTCTGTAAGATGGACTTTCTCTAGAGGCGTCACAAGATGCTGCATGATCCATTTCAGTATTACTGTCATAATGTCTTTGGTTCCCACGTCTCTTTGTTTGCTCTTTGACAGGAAAGGTCATCAATACATACAGTACCACTGCTACCATATCTGCTGACCAGATTGATGACCCCTATGACTCATTAAAGCACTTTGGGTTCAAGTGCATTAAGAAAGGCAAAGTCCTCCATAAATACAGGTTGTTTCCTAACTTTCTGCCCAAAACAGATGGCTCATTTATCTGGCGGCACAATGATGCTTTTGTTTTTACTTGGGTTCATTTTATAATGGTGAATTTTTTGCAGACAGTGACTGAATTTGAAAACAAATTTGAGCCTTTTTTTAAAAGTGTTGTGCAGAACTTGTCCATTAGGAGGCAGATTCAGTCAGAGATGAAATGATAAGAACGTTGATGCTGCTCTGACACTTAGTGGAGAACAGTAAAAAGTGCACTTGTGCTTGAATTAATACTGCAGAGCTCCACATACCTGCATCTCTTGTTCGATGCGCAGCCTCTCCTGACCGAGTTCCTCCTGATAATACTGTTACAGAGGAAACAGCCTATAAATCAAACTATACCATCAAAGGATTGATGCACACAAAAACAAGGATACTGAATAAAGACATTAACAAAATTTCTTCTCATTAATAAGATTTCCTATTACTGTTGTGCATTACTGTATGTCTTGACTTTAGCTGTACACCCACAGTGTGTTGATGTTTGTTTCACAGAAGTTTGTGCATGAATGCAGCTCTGGTGACCTACATGAATAGCTGTTAAAATAAGGTTTAGGAATGACATGCATGCTGCTTGAGGAGCCTCTCTCTAGAATAGCTGTCTGACCCGCAGACACATGGTGGTCCAGAGGAATGCAGTAATGTTAGAGAGCTATTATAAATATATGATGGATTTGTAAATTGTCCAGAGTTTGACTGATACCCCCTGGATACAAGTTTAGAAGGAGCAAGACATACTTTTGATGTGAGATGACACTGAAAAAAAAAGAGTTCAATAGTAGTTATACCTCCACATCCTTGTCCTTCTGCAGCAGAGATGAGGACAGCTCCTCGATCTGTCCCTCCAGCTCTCCCACCCTCAATGTGAGAGTCTTCTTCTCTCCACTCAGTTCTGTGATGAGCGCCTCTTTAGAGCACAGCTCTTTAGTGAGCTCTTCTATTAACCTGAACACACACATTGAGTTCATCATCAGTGAAATGTGGGGTTGATTTGGTTGTTTTAATATTGATGTTGTCTGAGGAGATTCTGCACCTGTCTTTGTTGGTGTTGGACGGGGACAGGATGCTTGAAGGCCTCTCATCCTCAGGGATGTCCTCCATGGGAGTGTCAAGGGAGAGGAGGGAGGCATTTGAGTGTGATCCAGCCAGTGAGGCCATGCGACCAGCCTCGCTGCGTGCTAGCTGGGCTTCCTGGATACACACACAGAAATGATACAGAGCAGTTATTATATGTGAATCTGAGACTCCCTTGTGTGTTGGTCTGAACTGGCTAAATTTGTGAGAGATCAAACCTCCTGCAGGAGCTGTATCTTGGTCTCAAGAACTTGCTGCATGTGATCAATTTCCTGCTGTCGCTCTTGGCAACGCCTCTGCAGCTCTGCTTCATTGTGATTGGTCACGCTCTCCGCTGTTGTGCTGTTTAACACAGAAACACAAATTTAATCAGAGAGGACGCCATCAGAACATGACTGAGTGGGTGCCAGTACTGTGATGTCATCACTTCCCTGTCTGCGCTGGTGCCCATGGGATATTCAACACCCCTCTACTTATAGCAGAGATTAAGTAAGCTGCCCCGCCCATGCAGAGGCTGATAATGTGAACATGTCCTCTCTCAGAAGTGATGTTCACACAGTGTAAAAGGGGTGAAAGGTGCGATAAAGCAGTGAAAATATGAGACTGTTATTTCTATCCTCAGTGGTCTGGGCTTCGGCCATTACAGCTGAGTGCGTTTGTGGCTTCTGAGGAAACTATTTCAGCTCAAACATCAGATGTATAATCACCCACAACATCATGCTTCTTTTTTTACATGTTTCGTGACATAAGCATTCCCTCAATCCTACAGACCCCAACTGTGCCAGCATCTGTCTTTATCACTTAGTCAACGACACTATCCCAGAATGGCAGACGCCACTGTGTCGCCACCGGCCCTGCTCTGCACCCTCTCTACATACGTTTTTAACTCAGTCCACCAAATGCAACAGCTCAAATAACTGAGATATTTTGAACCAGTCTGAGTTATGCAAATGTCTGTCTCATAGACAAATGTCTTTTATGAGCAGTGGAGGAGACCTTTCTCCTTAGTGCAAGCTTAGTACAAGAAGACAGGAGGAAAAAGACTTCATAAACTTAGTTTTGTCAACAATACAACCAGCTGAAATTGAAAATCAGTTCTACTGGACTGAGGTTAAAGTCCCATCAGAGTTGAAATGTTTGACCACTTTGTTTCTCTGATCAACAACATGAACATTTTCTGTTTGTTAGTATTTTGAAGTTTGTTGCTGTTGTATGCTTTCTGTGATCTAATGTGTTGAATTGTTTCTCTACCCGGCAGTGACAGACAAGTTCTTAAATTCTGTATTTCTTATGTAACTAAATCCCCCAATTAAAGCTCCTATAAGGATTTTTTTTACATTTATGAAGTCGACTAAAATTCATAGTGACGACTTTTCATAATATCCCAAAGTAATAAAGACCATCAGTGGTAAGACACACAATTTTCAGTACTGAATTTTAAAGTTTGAAACCCCTGTGAGGGGGTAAGTGTCAGCTGAGTAGAAACAGCCTTGTTTGTATAATTAAAGCTTTAAATATTCAGCAGGGTCAGCAGATTTTTGGCCAAAAGATGCGACTTTAGCATGTAGAGGATGCAATGACTACTTTGTTTACAGGAGGCACCAAAGTTGACACAAACTAATAGTTCCTTACAGGAGCTTTAAAGCACTGTTATTAATATTTAAGAAGGAATGCACCGAGTTTGTGGATTGTCATGTATCATTTTTTTCTGAAAGAGTTAAAAGTGACATGCATTTGCACTTGTTCTTTCTTTCTTTATTAATATTGGTTATGTTGCTGTTTGTTTTTACACTTTATTGTATTTCACAAGTTCTATGCACTATGTGCTCTTCATTCATTAACCTGCAATTGTTGCCTACTATGAATGCTTTTTTTACAGTTTAAAAAGAGCCAATAGCAGAGGTTACTCACGATCAGGTTTCAGCGTGAAACACAAGTTACTCAGCAAGTACAAGAACAAACCCAATGAAGTTGGGACAGTAGAAATATCATTAATCCTGAACTTTGATTCTACAAAGCACATTTCTTTGTCATAAAAAAAGTATTGGGCTTATGAAGGCTTGATGCTGGACTACAAAGGGATTTTTTACAGTCTACAAGATCCTGGAGAAACAAACAAGACCGCTGATTATAAAGTAGACATTGCCTTTGGCTTTTTCTTGAGATATTTCACCACTTTCACTTTTGAGCCAACATTTATGAGGAGAGGAAAACAGTGTTAGTCAAGAGAAAAAGCTAGTCACCATTGCCTTCTGAATCGTCTCTGGTAACACAGAGCACAGGTCAACATTATGTTAATTGACAGTAACAATAGCATAAGTGTGTGTGTGTGTGTGTGTGTGTGTGTGTGTGTGGGGGGGGGGGGGGGTATAGAGGCAAGTAATAAGAGACTAGTTATTCTTTCCTGGAACATCTAGAGTTGGCCTATGATGAGCTATTAAAGGTCAACAACTCTGACCTTTAGGCAGCATTTCAGTCAGCAGAAATGTTTCCAGAGCTCATGTCTAACTTGGCTGCAGCCGTAGGGGTGAATCCCCGACCACATTAAGTAACATTTCAAACTTTCTGGACCAGCACATTAGTCTTCAGTTCAGGTGGTAAACTACTTGCTTTAAAAGGACAGTCTGTCTGTGCCATCACATCACATTAACATTGCCACCATTTTCACAGTCTGTTCACGATATCCCACACAAGAATTTTGTAACATGTTTTAACTTCAGGGGTGCTCTTGACATCTAGGTTTGCGTGTGATGCATCGTCTCTATCAGCTGCTGCATGACACATGAGCTGCCAGAGATATGAGGTGTTAGCACAGTTAAGACAGGGCCACGCAGAGGATCATGACTCTGGTAGGGACACAATTACTCCACTCATGCCAACACCCATAGAAGGAGGTGCATCTGCCCACCAGAACACTCTGTACTGTATTCATCAAATCTAAGAAAACATGGGAAATCTGTCCAACATGTTGTTCATTAAAGGTATGTTAAATAAATATACAGTCAATAGCTGCCTGTTGAGCAAAGCAACATACTCTGGTTGTTCTGTAAATATAGGGAAATAAAAAGATTGCAACTCCAATATTTACACTTAAAAAACAGGACACTTAAGATCACTTAACTCATAAGGTTAGACATGATTAATATTCATGGACTTACAGGGCTTTATCCAGAAGCTGCTGTTTCTCTTGGAGCTCCTGCTTCAAGCTCTCTACTTCCACCTTCAGCTCGATGTTCTGCAACAGATAAAAGAAACAAAGGCGTCACGTCACATCTTAATCACACATCTCATCCTCTCTCACCCGTTGTCAGTAAATACAGATGCCATATCTTGTAAATCACTGGCCTAACTGGGAAAGTAAAACAATCAGTCACTTTGACTTTTATATTGACTGCAGAATCACAGACTGTGTAAGAGCGCCCTAAAGTGGGACCAAAACGTTTTAAGCACCTTCTACTAACAGGCTACAGATGAGTTCATAAAGCTGTCATGTAAATAGATGGGACATGGGTCAAAAATGGAAATCTAAGACATGGTGTCTGACACATGAAAACATCAAGTTTTCATATGTCTGAGAATGTCCGTTAGGTAATTGTTCAAGGCTCTAAAAATGGGAGAAACGATTGAAGCTCTGTTGACAAGGGCTGCTCCTGAATAAGCGAAGTCATCGACAGACAATAAGGGAAAGCTAAACAAACACGACTACGATCCCTGAACTTTCCATAACTGAGTGTTTGTTTGAAATTGTCTCAATAATCTGTTATGCTGATGACAGGGATCTTTGCTGTTTTTTAAAGTTAATGTGTGATGAGTGAGCAGAACCGGCAGGGCATCATCACCATGACTCAACCATCCAATCCCTACTTCTAAGACTCTGGCCAAGCCCAGTGCAGGTTTTGGCTTCACTTTTGTGCAGTGGAAGGAGGTGGGGACCTGCATCCACCTTTTATACAGTCAATGGATCAGGCTTTACGTTTATTTTACAGCTGACAGCAGGCTTGTCATTGCACAGACAAAGTCAATAAAAACTACATTGGCTGCAGTCCATTGCTGACTCACCATTATGTGATTGTGATATTTATGTTGTGTATAATCGAGGTACTGAAATCATGTAAACTCAAAAAGGATATAAACTCTCTTCTTCGTACACGTTTCCAGCTAAAGCTGATGATCTGGATCCTTTCGGATTCATCTTGCCAGATCTCTGTGCAGAACCAGTCCTGCTGGGTGTACTCATGTATCATGAGTATTTGACTGAGCTATCGTGGCTGTTATATTTAGCAACAGAGTATTCGGGGCAGCTCAGATACTTGGCCCTGAGGCTAAAGGCTAAACTCCACAGTTTGTTTACCTGCCTGGACCCGTGGGGGGGGCACATTTTGGGGCCATTCCAGGCTCTTATATTGGGACCAGAGGATTAAAAAGTGTGAATTCAGGGGCTTATTTTTTCCATTCTGACCTTAGGGGGAGAAGGAGGATGATTTATCTGTGTGTGTGTCTGTCTCTCTGTCTGTCTGCTAAACTCTGCTCTCTCTGGTTTTATCACCTCTATCATGACGGCTTAGCTCATGTTTATCTCCTCACATTGACTACTTTCTCTGCTGCCATCTTGCTGTAGTCGCCTCTATCTCTGCATCTCTTTCTCTCTTTTCCCTCCCTCCTCCTCTCTCTCCCTTCTTTTTTTCCTTCTAATTTAGAAATCTTGTATTGCCTCTTCGTGTATTCATCCCAGTCTGATGACCTCTCTCTGTCCCAACACTTGGATCTGAGCTGCACGTGCACCAACACTTGCAGGCTGAAATCCACCCATGAGTATATTCATACAAGGCATGAGGGCCACACACACACACACACACACACACACAGACAGACACACACTCCGCTGTTTTCTACACACATTTATTCTGCACGTGTCTGCAGTCTGCATAGTTTATCCACATGTACTTCTCATTTTACAAACTGAGTGCTGCATCTTTACATATTTTAGGATGTGTCCACTTCTTAAGTATTCATGTATGAATTCCATCATAGTTTCCAAGAAATCAAGAATATTCGTTTTATCATAAACTTTTCTGCAAGCTTCAGAAAAGGTGATTTATTTTTCCTGTTTATTCACATTTTCTCTGACATAGATTCCAGCTCATTTAAGATAAGTTTGATGACAAAAAAACCCAGACAAAATGGCTTGTTTCATTTTAACATGATAAAATAAATCCAAGTTTGCGTGGTTATCTAGATGTTCCAGTGTTAAATAATAAAACATATCAGTAGGAGGCACATGTATTCCATTGAGGGTGCATGTATCAACAACTTGGCTTACAGTAAGAGAGATGTTTTACCTTCTCGAAAACAGCACTAAATATAGACCTCCATCACAGTGCACCTGCTATTCTCGCTCTGCTGGCCCGTCCACCCTCAGCAACACAGATCCCCTAATAACCAGTCTAGAGAGACAACAGCACTTCAACCACTGACAGACAGGAGTGTCATCCACAGACCAAACTATGTGTGAGCAGGTATTAACTTCTTATGCATACTTTGAATTATGTAGATCATATTTGTTTGTATTTGCACAAAACATGAAGGCAAATGTTATCAGAGTTGAGGTTTAAACAGAGAGCTATGAGAGTTTTTAGAGTTTTCAGCTCTACATGTGGAAAGTTTCTTTTTGAGATAATCATTTACCTGGGACACAAAAACATTAAAGATTATTGGTTTTGTATGTAATAATATCTCATAACAGTATGATTTCATTTACGATGAAAACTGATTTTATTATTATTATAATTTTTTATTATTATTATTATTATTATTATTACAGCCAGCCATATCAGGGCAAACAATCAGAAGGGTTGGTCTTATCAAACCCTGACCAAATTGGGAAAATATCCTGCGGCATGTTATCTTTCTCCTGGTTAAATAAATTCAAATAAAAAATAAATAAAAATCTATGTTTCAGTGTTTTAATGATTCATTTTTTTCTATTTAAATGTGCACAGAGTCTTCAGAGATATCTGTTTACAAAAGCTCCTGTGAGGAACTGTGGGCTTTTGTTTAATTTGGATACCTTTGCAGTCAAAGTAGTCTTTGTTTTTCTTGTCATGTTTCACAAGAATTTCCTCCTACTGACTTTCAACAGTCAAAGGTATTTTTTATTGTGAATATTTTATGTGGGAAATATACAAACACAGCTGTTTCCTACGCTGCCAAACCTCCTCGCATTACTTTCAGGCAAACAAAAAAATCAGTCTTGTTTGCTTTTGTATATTATAAAAAAGCATCAATATAAATTCAAGTTTAAAGTCATTCAGGAATCCATTTACCACTGAGTAAAACTGAAGCTTTTAACAATATCTGAACAAGGTATTAGTTTTCCACTGATAAGACAGTTTAGCTTATGGACTAATTTATATTTTATGGTGAAATAAATCTCTTTACATGAATAAATACTTCAATATTAGAGGGACTGATGGCCTTACAGTCTAAGCATCCCTCATATACAAAGGCTGCTGTCACAGCTGGTTTGACTCTCCACGACCCTTTGCTGCATGTCCTTCCCTACTCTCTCTTCAGCTGCCCTATTTAATAAAAGCAAAAGTGTCCAAACATGACAAAAAACCCTCTTAAAATTACTTTTAGAAGTGGCCAAATTGGTTTGTTTAATTTTTCTCTTGATCATTTTTTTTATGTATCTTTACATTAAACTGTGCGTTAATGACTTCTCATGTCTGAGTGTGACAGATGAGCCGTGTCACTCATAAATCCATGTGATAAATAAATCAGTGTACCCAGCCTGGACCTATAAATAGAGTCGGGGGAGCTCTGAGTGAGATCGCTATGTGCTAAGGTCCAACACACACCTTGTGAGACTGTGTTACACTGAAGGATCTGGAGAGAGGCCGGGAACACTGACTTTGAGCTACAGACCAACAAGCTGCTCGGGTTAGGAGCAAAGATTTGATCCCCGATAAAAAAAGAGATTAGGCTGATCAACTTTTAGACAATGACAGGGAAGAGATTGTAAAAGACTAAAATCCAGTTAGATTTCTGTGCAACATTAAATCAATTCAGCCAATCACCCCTGGTATGCAAAGACTGTGGAGGATCAGTGACAGGATTCTCCTGTTTAGGTGGATCAAACCGTCAATTTAATCTTCTGATATCAGATAATTGTTGAAGAAGAAGAACTTTATCAATCCCTGAAGGGAAATTCAATTGCTGATTTAAGAAGGAAATTTGCATGAGGGGAGAAAAACAGATTAACGTTAAAAATGCTGAATATCAACAGCTAAAGTGAGTCCCCTTATTCTTGGTGCACACGCGTCAATACCAACTTATACAAAATCACACACTTTATCATAAACAAAGAAAAGGAAATATCCTCAAGTTATACCATCCATTTGATGTTTGTGTAAAAAAAAATAAATAAATTAAAGAAAGCAGAAAATCCTCACAAACGAAAAGCCAGAAAATACAATGCTGACATGAACAACTCAAACAAGCACAGGACTTCTTTCCTCCATAAACCAGGATATTTTCTCTGATGTATGTCAAAGGAGTAACACAAAAGTTAGGGCAGTTTTAGGAAACTTTGTGGGAGAAGCCAATAAATTTGGGACTAAAACCTGGGGCAAGGGGGGCTCGGTTCCATGCCTTGAAAAGGGGTCTGTAGTCCCAGGATTCTGCTAGCATTTAATTTTTCCAGCGCTACATAAAGAAAAAAACACTTTAATCCAAATTCACTTTCAGTTCATTAGCCACTAACTCATCTTGTCAAAGCTCGTACAGAAAAGAAGGTTGATAAAATCTGTGAAATGAATTCATTTAAAGCACAACTAGGGAACTTTCAACTTGTGTCAATTTTGGTGCCTCTGGTGGACCAGGTAGTTTTCGTTTATGCTTCAACAGCGCCTCCTATCCAAAAAAAAATCTCATCCTGCTGACTCTTGACAGTCTGATGATAAATGTTTCTTTTATTGTGAATATTTTATGTGGAAATTGTAAAAACAGGGTTGTTTTTTTAGCTGCTTGGCTGACACCTACCCCCCTTACTCCAGTTTCAGGCATCTTACTGTATATTACAAAACAAAATGTGAATTTCAGTTTGTTTCATAGGTCTCAAACAAATCCTCACAGGAGCTTTAAACATCTGTTGATGTCTGCATCTGTGGGGTCATGAAAAGACATATTGCAACTGCTTGTTAAATCAACAGCAGCAGGAGCAGGGAGGGGACAGAGAGAGTGTATATACAAAGTCCAGAATTTCATGCTATACTGATGACTGTGTGACTGACCATAGGAAAAACAGCATGAAACCATTTTTTTAAAGATCCTGTGAGTAATTTCTTGATAGCTATAAAACTCACTAAGGTCATATTGTGCCTGTTTATGGTATTCAAAGGCAAATAAGACCACCAGTGACATGACAGGTGACTTATATATTGTATAATTTTATAGGTTTCAATCAAGCATCTGAAGAAACAGCCCTGGTTCTACAATTTCAACATGTCATATTTAAACTAAATGATAGATTGACCGTTAAAAGTCAGCAGGATGAGATTTTTTTGTAAACAATCATGAACGACAGGATAAGCAATGACTGCCTTGTCCACGTTGGAGCACCAATATTGACACAAACCTAGAAGTCTTCACTCAAGCTGAATATTAACAAAATGATTTAAAACTTTTAAGGATAACGTTGTGTTAGTGCCAACGGCTGTGATGAAACTCAACCAAACTGAATACAACTTGAAAATAACATTTTCACAGTTTATATCAGAAACTTTAAACATTAGTCCAAATTTTTCTCTCCCAGTGCTCATTTCAGTACTTCCAGTTCTGTCCTTAATTTGTTCCAAACTTAAAGGTTTAACCCCAAATTTTAAATTTCTTTCAACAAACGTGCGAAAATGAGGCCAGACACCCAAGCTACACTGCGGATAATTTCCTTGATGATTTAGCTAATAGCAGAACACTGCTAGGACATACAGTAAACAAAGTTCCGACATTAACTGTGGATCATGTGAGGTCTGACACAGAAAAATGCTGGTGTCAGCAGCAGTATTGTTCTGGAGTATTTGGTTTACAACATGCCGAGATAACAGATACCGGCAATGGATTTTTGCATCAACATTCAGCCCCTTGAAATAGCTGATAATTCGTACTATAGATATATCACAGTCTGTCACATCAAGTTAATGAGGATCAATACAATGCCATCATACTGGCTCTCAAAAAATACCAGAAAAAAATATAAATAATTTTCCAGCAAAAGACTAATTATTTTTATCAGTCTTTCACTGATTTTCTGAGCTGTGTCCTGCTGGTTTCATGCATAGATTTTTTAAAATCTAGTTTCACAGGCTTTAAGTTAAGACCTAAAACACACACCTTTGAGAGCTTGAAAACTAAGTCACAAGTCTTGAGGTAAGAAAGCAAGGCACATCAAAGCAGATAAAGCCGAATACCAACAAACTAAGTCAAGAGGAATTTAGTTAATGAGTAGCCGTTCACGGTGCAACCATTCATGAAACGCACACTTGGTAAAATAAACACATGGCAGGTCACATCACCTCAACCAACAGATCAGCGTGACAGCTGAGCAAACACACAATGGAAGTGGACCAGTGAAGATACTCAAGGATAACATACCTGTGAGCTGTCAAGATTCAGATCTATTTCAAAACCAGGCACAGAGACATTTGTAATGGAGTTCCTCAGACATAAAATCACCATAAAATCCTCTGCACAAACAAGAGTATACACAATAGGGCTGGAGCTTAATAAAAACACCTTAGGTTGCTTTGAGGATGAATAAAAATCCCACATTGTGACTGATAAAGATACAGATGACCTCTTTGATTTTCCAATCAGAACTATAGTAGATCCCTCAACAAAGGAAAATCAATTACTCCTGATCAGGAACTCCACACACCGTCTACAGTCCCCCTCATCTCCTCATTCACTTCCAGCCAGTCAAATGCCCATTCATTTCTTCACACTCAATGAGAGGCGTCTTACTCACCGTGCGGTAGACATCTTCGCTGCTCTCCTCATACTTCTGCTGTATCCTCTCCTCCAGGAAGTAGATACGGAGCTTGAGGCTGAAGTTCTCCTTCTTCAGGTCATTTAGGTGCTGTGACAAAGTACGGTAACCGTTAGACATGACCGTCAGAGAGCACCGACACTGCTCGACATGTCCGTTATAGGTCAGAAAATAAAAGTCGACCGCTCCATATCATCTGGGACCACAGAGTCCATTTTTAGAGGACAGCGACTGTAAAAGTGTGTCCAAGTGTTAGTGTCCGGTAATCATCAGACATGCTAGCTCCTTCTCCAACAGAGCACAGCATCCAGAATGAACACTTATATACAAAGAGGCATCCCAGCCTCTAAAAGACCCCTAGAACACTATCTAATAAACCAAACACACACTAAATCTATCACATACACACACTAAAGCTTTTTATGCAGAGCAGAGGGCAACTCTGCAGCCTGGCGCTCAGGGGTGTAGCCCTGTCAGCTCCATGGTGTGTTCTGGTCAGTCAGGGGATGGGACAGGAGCTTATTTTACAGCAGGAGACATCCCTGGAATCCCAGACTGCCAGGGGAGAAGTGTGGAGGGAGGGGGGAGGAGGGGAGTCAAGAGGCTCAAGGCTCACAGGCACTTGTGATATGAGGGGAAATCTCACCCCACTGCTAAACAGGAGGGCCAAATGTAACAAACAGGGTTAGAGCTGGAGAAAGAGAAAGGACAGGGGGTTGAAAGTCTTTCAATTTCTGTTCATGTCGTCTGTCTCCTTTAAATTAACTTGGGACAAAAAAAAACTTCAACAGAGTAAATAAGAAATGGAAAATGAACCCGAGGATTTAAAAACAAACTTTTCCAAGTAAGAAAGATGTTAGCCAATTATGAGTGAAATGATCTGGCTTAGACAGCTTTTTGGCATTGCACCATATTGGCAAAATAAAAAAGACGCAGCTCGTATTAAGTCAAAGTCCCAGAGACAAACTTGTTTAATATTCCTTTGTCTATTTTCTTTTCAGTTGTTACACATGTGGTCAAAACGGTTAGTGCTCAACACATCTACAACACCCAGTTCAACTTTAAAAAGATAAAAGTTCTTCGAAGCCAGAGTTTCCCCAAGACTAAGGTTAACCAACGTGACCAAACAGAATGGCTAATGAGCAAACAGGAGAGTGAACAAAGTAAGCTGAAATAGGAGAGCTGGTAGCTGTGAACCACAGGGCTATTAATAGAGAGATGTCCTGAATCTCACAGAGCGGTGAATCCCTGAAAGTCCCTTAGGGAGGTAAGTTATCACAAAGGGAATAAGACAAAAGAAGACACTAACCACTTCATTAAAAAAACAACTACATAACAGTTTTTATGAGACATGTCACATCGCTTACATCATTATTACATCTGGATCTGTTCAGGAAGTGCGCACATCAAAGTGTCACACTACATGCTAAATAATTCTGTGCAAAGACGGGACAGGCGCCAGGCGGAGTCCCACGTAACACCAGGAATGACATCATGTGACCTCATGTACATAGGTTGTTTTTAAACTCCACATACGATACACCCGTGATACTCTCACTTCTCAGCTCCTCATCAAAGACTAACAGACAGTCATGACTGTGTGTAGATGTTCACATGCACTGTGCCGTAGTGCAGTTATTTCAGAGTAAAACTGACACATACTGTGTGTCCCGGTGCTGCTATTCCAAGAGTAACTTCAGCTGAAGTGGCTGGTTGGAGACATTCCCTGTTTTAACAGGGCTCAGCAGCTCACCAAGAAACAATGTTTCCGTGATTTTTAATTTTAGTTTTTTTAGTTTTATTTTTTTTATTATTATTATTTATCCACTTGTGACTTTTTTTGCATCTGTTTTAGGATTTCCTCAACAGCCCTCATCTTTATTTTTGGTTTACTGTCGCTAGGGTTACAAAGGTTGGACTATCTAACTGCTAATGTTGACTCTTTTATTCCAAAATATCAAACTATATGTGCATCAATAGAAGAAGTCCACTGATTGAGAATAAAATCAGTATCTTTTTTCATGAATAATTTGTTTCAGCTGCTGTTGTGGCTTTTTAAAACATTTTCTCTTTCATTTTTTAATGTGACTAAAAAGCCTTTTGGGCTTGTTTTGATGGGAGCAATAGGAGACATACTTCAATGTTTTTTGGATTTGGAAGAAAGTTTAAGCCATTCTCACCTTTAATTATTTTTCATTTGATGTTTTATAGATGGAATAAATGATTAATAGATAATGTAAATGATCACCATTGATAATATAAATTGTGGCTACTTATTTTGAAGTTAAATTTTTAAAGAGTTGCATTAGACTTCAAGATTCTCCAGCCTCTTAAAATTTAAATCAAACTACAACATGACTGCTTTATATTAGTTACACTTGGGTGAGTTAAGCTGCTCATTACAACACTTTACTGTAAAAAAAATCGGTGATACGTATAACATACCGTATTTGTTTAGGAAATGCCCTGGTGCAAAGTCAAAAAATAGTTCAGTAAAGCCAGATGAAAAATCTAAAATGAGGCCAAACTGGAGCCAGAGGAGGGTTTAGAGTGTTTCCCTCAGATACTATCAACAGAGTGTGTTCCCCTTTTCTTTATTGAGGCGCAGAAGTCTGGTTCCAGATATTGCTGATAATAGCACTGAGTTTTGTGATGGACCTTCTTTGGCATTTAGTAATTACAAGCACTTTGAATCAAGGAAAACCTTTTAAGCTAATTATTAAACTACACCACAAGAGGGCATCATAGAGCATTTTCCTAGAGCATGATCAATTGAGTAAAGCTCTTTCTGCTGAAGGTTGGTAAGGTATCACTCATATCATGACTCAAATAGATTTCAAAATAAAAACTCTCACCTGTTCAAACTGCTTGAGCGTATGAAGCTGGAGAGGAAGAGAGTTGTCTGTTTCATCGCTGCACAGATCTATGCAGAAAAAAAACCAAGTATTGGAATAAGCAAGCTGAATACATAGGTTATGTTTTTAATAACATTGATTGCCTTAACCATTAAAAAAACATGAGGAAATACCTGTCATGTGATCTGTGATCTTGGATGAAGTCTGCTCTTCTGCAGCACTGCAACAGAGAAACAAAAGAAGTAGCACTGTCAGCAAACACACACTAGAAAAAAGGGGAGCAGGAGAAATGATAATGCCATAAAACTAAGGGAAAAACACAGCAGTATAAGTTACTATGGTGAATTTAATTTATAACCCTGAAAGGAAGAGCACTCCTCTGGAAATAAGAAAAAAATCTATTGTTTCATCTAACTGCATGATCTCATTTGCACCTCTGTGGGGAATTGGGGGTCATCTGGGAGTCCCAGCAGGGGTCAGGGGAGAGATTTGGAGGGAAGGGAGAAGCTGGGGGGTTAGAGTTTGTCATTTGGACCTTTATGGTACCATGTCACCGAGTGGTCCGGTTTGGAACAGTGTGGTACGGTAAACCCTGATCTAGTAAACCCAGTTGTTTGTCCTCTTGCAAAAGAACTGGAAGTACTCGCGTGGCTGAATCACCTCACATCACTTAAGGCTGTAGTACACATAAATCAGTAGGATGCATGGTGCACTGTGTGGGTCTTTGTGTGTGTGTGGGATGTTAGTGAAGCAGTAACCTACATACAATATGACACACATTGAGGAGTGTATGTGTGAGTCTGTCACCACTCTGAATACACTCATTGTTTGTGTTAAATACCGAACGCTGGTTGTGATTAGGTTATCGAAACGCGTTTGATTATTGAAAGTCATGCATTTCGTTTGTGTTCTCGCGATGCCAGTGTGTGTGAAGGTTCTCCTTAGGCAATATATTTGGCTACAGTAAGCGTTGCAATGCAAAATATGGCCCTTTAAACAGCCTACGAGCAGCGAGATCGCAGTGTATGTTCTTTTTGTGCCACTACGATCAAAATTAGCCTCCCGGATTGCACGTTTTCCACATTTCAAGGGTTTTTATTGTGAAATCCGGTGGGAAAATGGCCATCACAGGAAAAATCATCATCGCCAATGGCCTTATTGGTTCTAAACACCGACCCAAGAAACAAACAGATGGCTACTATGAGTGAAACAGCCACGTCCTGTGAGGGGGAAAGGCCTTGAATGCACTGGAGGTACGATCGCTGTGTGAGAAATTGCTTTAAAAACACCCGGAAAAATAACGATATGATGAGTCGAAGGCGTTTTAATGAGCTAAACCTGCGGGCCAGCTCACATCCTAGGACGCTCCATCTTTACGCAGCGGTGTCCCCCCCAAAACACAATCGTCTCAAAGCCTCCTCACCTCTCAGACTCTCTCCAGGTTTGCTCCAGTGGCGATGAGCTCCAATCCATAAATGCTTTTCCTGTGATTTACCAACGGGCACCCATTCCTTCAAATCCCCCGTCCATTATTCCTTTTCAGAGAAATCACGACCACTCAGGGAACATCTTCATGTACGGGGAGGACGCAGCGCACTAACAGCGCTCAGGTTTGGAGGGGGGTGTGTGAGGATGAAAGCGGGGATGTTACAGAGCACCCTCCCATCCCATCCCACACACAAGACCCCCCTGCTGTTCACCCAGCCCACCAGCAAGAGTAAGGAGGAAGATGTTTCTGAGAGTAAAATACTGCTTTCTGAATGTCTCTCCACTGCCTGTATGTTTCCTGAAAGCAGAAGACATTTCCAGGCTCTCCTCAAAAATAGCTTTATCATATCAGTACCTCGACCATCTTTTTATAGCGAGAGCACACTGGTTGTCTATGAAATTATATATTAAGCAGGTATCATATTATAATCCTGCTCTTACACTGCATGTAGGGGAGACCAGGGCTTGTTGTCACATGGGTAAGTTGTCACAATGCAATAATCTTTGCCACCAGGGGGCGCAACTAAAAAGTGGAATACTAGTTTTCTTCCTTTACATGGTCAGGGGTTGTGTCCTGTCTGAGAAGAGAAGAGCACATTGTGAGCTGAGATGAGAGTAAATTAACCATAGCGCACAACCCAAAGTAAAAAAAAATTACTTAATATATTTTAAAATAAGTTTCTTCCAGATAAAAATCCCAGCAGTGATACATGTGGACTTGTTAGAGGAGAGATTAAGGCATCATGTCATACCTCAGTCATTGTTCAGTTTTAAGATAACTTTAAACTAGAGCTGGAATTAGCAGACATGGTAGTTTGGGGCAACATGTCTCAGTCATTTTGGGGGTTCGTTGTCACATGTTTAAAAGAGATTAAAATTAACATAGAGAGTCTGCTTATCAGCAGTTGTCATAATGAAATTTTGACTTTATTTTTACAGAAAAAAGAGTGGTTTAAAGGAGATGAAATTGCGAGAAGACATGGTCAGGAATTACTAAAGAAAAACAGAACATGACAGTGCAGTTCCTGATGTGATTCTGACAGTCAGACAGGTGACCCTAGTTAATAAATCAATCTAGACTACAATAAAGAACTTTAATGTCAACTACCATACCTAAGCTCTGCTGCAAAACATTCACCCCAGCTGAAATACAGTCAGACAGATCTCCAAGCTCCAGAGCATGTTGCAAAATGTTTTATGTTAATGTTTGTTCAATGACTTTTTCTAGCTCAATGATCAACATTTTCTGTGCCTGACTTTGATGTTCACTTTCATGTAAAAAAAAAAAAAAGAGAGAGCAAAAAATTAATTTTGTCCTTGACTTATTAGCTGCAAAATCCACTGACATCTTACCCCATGTAGTGAGACAACTTACCTGATGGTGGGGCAACATGTCACATGTTCACAGTCTCTATTTGATTGCTTATAACTCTGCGTTGACACAAGATATGAAAATGACATGAATACAAAATATATACCTGAGACTTTGGTCTTTTGTATGGTACACATTTTGTTTATATATGATGTATTGATTGCAAGAAATATACAAGAGTGTAAAAAGTGTGACAACAAGCCCCGGTCTCCCCAACAGGCCCTCTGAGTTATATGGTGCCTGTAACGTGCTAATATTTTGAGCTTTTCCTTTTGATTCAGGAAGAGGGATCACCAAGTAGCTAATGCTCCCCACTTCCGATCATTTGCCTCAAACTTGCTGTTTAATTTAACTGTCTGTGGATAATACCATTATTGACTTGGGGGCCCTCATACAAAAGAGTGGGGGTATAAGTGGGACACAGTTAATAAGATTATGTCTCTGTTTGCTTTAGCAGTCAGAAACTGCAAGTGGATGTGAAGAGGGACACAGCCCTGGTAATCTTGTTAGAGGCAGCAGCATTAATGTGAAACTTAATTGTCACAGAAATAACATGAGAGAAGATACAGGTAAGCAAAACCATATGAAAACACAGATAACAGCCTGAAGACTGAAGTTGTGTTTTGATTAAAATAACCAAAAAATAAAAAGTAAAGATGTCTTTTTTCACTGGAAGCTCATGAGGCAGGTCTGTACAGACCAGGGCACAAATACAGTAGATTAACTATAGAAACTTAAAGCTCCTGTGAGGAATTTTTTTGACATTACTGAAACTGGTTAAAATCCATACTGATGTCTTTTTATGATACACAAAAGTAATAAAATTTCCAGGATTTATTATTTTTATTTTGTAGTTTTTTAATATCTGTAAGCGATATGAGGGGGTGTCACACCTGAAACTATTTTTGTAATTTCCACACAAAATATTGACAGTAATTGATGACCTTTGTGACCAGTGTAGGCAACGATTCTTTTAGCTGTGACCTAACAATAAAACTAAAGCTGGACTGTCAATGATCACAGAACTTGAATCCATCTACTACTGAGTTTGTGACACAAATAGAGTATATGCACATGCTCTGTGTAGTGGGGTTTCAAATTAAAGTCCTTGTGTAGGCCTATTTAAAAATGACTTATATTGATATTTGTGTTTAACATTACTTCCAAAAACCATGAAACCACCAGTGTGTGTTACAGCAAAATATTTCTGTTAATTTGTATCATATCAATTCCTTTGCTACTACAACTGGTGGGCTGCTCTACATTTGGCTTGAGAGTTAGATTTAGTTGGAACTCCGGTGTTAAGGTTTCAAAATTGACCATGTTAACTGGTAACTTAAAGCCGAAAGCCTCATAAATGTGTAATTTAGAACATAAGGAGTTGCCTTTCCATTGACAATATAACAAAACAAAAAAGAAAATAAAAAAATCTCATGGCTTGTCTCAACAGAAGCTGTAATACTCCTTTAAGAGTCGCCAGTTAAAAGGGTCACGCTTTGAACCGGAACACCAGGTTAGCTCTGAGCTGGAATAGATACCCTAACCAGCTTAATTTTTCTCCAAAACCCACCGTAGGTTTTAGTAGTTGTCTCAAATCATTATCAACGTAATATCGTTCTACTTGGGAATTTTTGGAGACTCGCTTCATCATAAGAAAACTGTTTTCAAACTAGCAATTTTAGCTAGCTTCGACTCCTCACAACTACTGAATGTTTTTTCTCGTTAGTCATTTGAGCAAAGAAAAAATATAAAACTGTGAAACCAAGATTTCGAAGTAAAATATGGCGAATGAGGCTCTGAATTTCTATATTTTGTTTTGTTAATGTCTTACCAACAAACTCATGCTGACCTTTCTGTGTAGGTGTTGTTTCCCCTGGTTGCTGAGCATCAGGTGTAATAACTTCAACAGACACTAGATGTCCCCCTCAGACCGCTGTGAAGACACCAAGACACGCACCAGATTCCTCCCAGAGGTAAAGCCACAAACAGCATTTTAATTCAACTGTCAGGATACATGTAATTACGGTACTTAAAAAGAGGTTTGAATTCGAATCAGGTCTCTATTTACTGTGATCTTCTTCCTCTGACCTCTGCATTGTCCACACATCTAAGTCCTCTGCTCAAAGACCACACGGGGTCCGGACCTGCTCCCCCGAGGTTCTTTCAAGATGATCCAGATGGCAGGAGCCTTGATGAAGTCCCTGTCAATTATTTTGTTCTCCTCAGCCCTGGCCATTGCTTCCAGTTCAGGGGAGGTTTCCGGGCACCAGTCTGCCATAAACTTATCCTTGGCCTCACAGTAGTTCACCACCACCTCCTCAGGCTGCTCCCCAAACAACCAGTCTGGAGAGTAAAAAGGAAAGAAGGATATACATTGGGGCAAAGAAACACCTTTTGGCCTAGGATGTGCAAGAACAAACCTGCAAAGTCATGGATGAGGTCTGTGATGAGGTGACCAATGATGGCATAGAGGACACCCAGCACGATGAAGACAGCTATGAGCAGGTAGAGGACATATGTAGGCAGGTGAACAGCATCCCGAGAGGGTGGTACATAGCTCTCAAACAGCACAGTCCCATCTTCTTCCTTGTAACGAACGTTCACGCTTTCCAGTGGTACATCCATTACAGTCTGAGAGTCTTTAAAGCCGCTGTCAGCCTGGGAATCCACTTAATACCTCAGAGTCATCGTCTCATTAGATTTAAGTCAGAACATAAGGGTTTCAAATATAGATACTTCAGTCTACTCCACAGAACACCAGAGGGAAACTTACAGTACAAGTTGAGAAGCTAAAACATGGGTAAAACTTTGAAAGGAGAAAAGGGATTAGGCAATGGTTCTGCAATCGACTGATATCTGAAATACTCCTGTCCTGATGCAACTCTTTGTACAAAGACAACTCTCATCAAAAAACATCTGCCTCTCTCTGCCTGATAGATTTCCATTTAGACCCCCTCTCCAAACTCCCAGTCTGCCTGTTTGTGGAGCGAGCAGAGGGAACTAGATTAGCTGCTGCAGCTTGAAGTAGCTTACTGGAAATGTGCTTCAAGCATATTATCCCAACAGGGAGTCTATCTATCTGTCTATCTATCTATCTATCTATCTATCTATCTATCTATCTATCTATCTATCTATCTATCTATCTATATCTATCTATCTATCTATCCCACTGAGCATTTTTGGGTGTGAAAGAGGTCTAATAGACGTCTAAATGTAGCCTAAACAACTGTTCTAAAATCAGGCTACCACAGGTCTAAAAATGAAAGTTTTTTAGATATTTAAATTTGGACCAAGTTTAGACCAAGTCTAAATTTGGGCTATATCTATGATACACTGTGTATTTCTCAACAGTTATCAAATTTATTTTGGTTAAGTACTTGGGGATCAGTTATGCAACTCACAGTTGCTTTTTGAAATAGATAGTTATTGAATAATGGGTTAAAGTGCAACGTCTAAATTCTGTCTAAAAATATACAGAATCTAGACGGTTGAAATTAGGTCTAAAAAAATAGGCGTCTACTACCTGTCTATTGCTTAGTGGTATCTGTCTGTCTGTCTGTCTGTCTGTCTGTCCTGCTTGCTGCTGAGTAAGTGTAAATGTGTGGTGTCGAGGAAAGCAGCTTCCTGGCTGCTACTAAGCTATCCAGTCTATCATTGGTACTTGTAAAAGTACAGTTTTTCAATTACACTGTTAGCTATCTCGTTGACTAGCTAAGTAAAAAACAAATATTTTTGACAAGTCCTATTTATCATATTTGCATATATTCATATATCCATCCACCCATCCATCTATCTGATTAAGACTGCTATGTTGTAACACAGCTTATGTAAAGTAATCCTCAACCTTTAAAGATATAAGGTCACTTTCGCTGATACAGTCAGGTATTAAGGGAGGGTGAGAAGGATTCATGAAAAGATAAGACACAAGAACTTTTTCGTGTAGTCCCGTTATTTACTGGAAAGAAGAAGAGTCCAACATCAATTTAAATGGTCACAACCTTTTCCCAAGTGAACCTTGGAGCAGCATGTGTGATGCATGTGTAAATACATGTTGGCTGTAACAGGCTGAATGGATAGTGAAAAGGATGCATTAAAAATATGTTGAATAAAATTTCTGAAACGTTCCTGGAGGAATTTGATATTTTTATTATGCATGTTTTCATGGTACAAAGTTTTTAGACAAGCAGTTGTTGCTTTTTTTGCACTTTCGTTTGTAGTTTTGATTTCTACATTGTTCTTATTATACTTTATACTCAATGCCTGTGGCCCTTATAATCTTCCGTAATTATACAAAGTGCAATTCATTTTGTAAGGTTGACAATATAGACTTTATTTAGGTACATGTATGATGAGTTGTCAGAACTTGCTTCTGTTTCTTAGCCAAACAGGTTCAGACTATGACAAGTTTTGTGTGTATTCAACATAAACAATAAAGCGTCAGCCTAGCTTAGCTTTGCAACATCACAGCAGGGAGACAGCAGTGACAAAAACAACGTGACAAAAACTAATTAAACCTACGGCAGTGTAGGCGATGTTGCTCCACTTTAAAGGGATGTGACATATGGGGTGAATGGTGAGGAGAAGGACACACTATGAGCTGAGACAGTTTTTTCTTCAGGAAATAACACAGTAATGGTGCTTCTCAGTGGAGGAGGGATGGAAAGACGATGGACAGAGTCTTCCTGGTAAAAACCAGGGAGCTGCCCATCATTTTCTACCTCCTTCATCGCCATCTCAAGCCCGTCTGTCTCTATCATGCAATCACTAAGTCTCTGCTCTTCTATTTCTGCTGTTCCTTCCTCTGACTCATCCTCCGCTGGTTTGGGGCCAAGAATCCAGTCTGTGAGGAGGAAAAAAACACAAGAAATGAATAAAACAATCTGATTTTCTGTCTGTTTTAAAGGGGTAATCCGCTAATTTTAAAGATGTTTAGTCCATTTTACAAAGGGAGAACTGGGGATTGGGAAGCTTTGATGTTTCTTTTTCTTTTTTTGATGGACAGAAACATACTAAGCTGTGGGATAGAGGGTAGTTCTTTGTGGTTTTATTTCATTTCTTTTGTGCAAAGAAATGAAGGATCTAGTATTTAAGAAGCCAAAGTATGGGGTATTTTTTGGCCTTCTATAACCTTGCTGAGGTGCAACCAAAAAATATAAGAGCACTTCATAAAGTCATGACGTTAATGGCGCTCAGTAGTCAAATGTAATCATCGTTTCTGCCATTCATCCTAATGGTGCCACAAGAAAACTGCTGGGAAGAATTATATCTGTACTCATACATCAGGGTGAATGTGAAAAAGGATCATTGAGGAACGTGCTCCCCTGAAAATAGGAGAAAAAAAGGAAAGACAAAACACTGATGCAGCCTTGGCCTGAGATTTAAGAGAGGAAAAAGGACTCAAAAGACACCAAATCACAAGAGCAGCAGGAGAGAACGGGAAGGAGACGACACCAACCAGGGTGTTACCTGCCAAATCATGCATCAGATCTTTAATCAGATGTCCTACTATGGCATAAGTGGCCACTATAACCAGAACAATCCCAACCAGGACATAAATCACATTGTGCGGCAGAGTTATTGCATCTCTGGCTGGAGGTATGTAGTCAACAAAGTAGGCTTCCTCTCCCTTCTTCATTTGGAGGAGCTGTCGGTGTTCAAACATTGGATTTGTGAGATTTGAAAGCTGAGCTCCTCTTGAGGCATTCAGGGACACAAGTGGTTGTTGGTTCATTGTAGAGTTTGACAAGCAGATTTAGTCTTTTAAGCTCTGTGGAAACTTTAAAAAACAGTGATAGAGGTGCAACAGAGACAAGGAAGGAGAATAGTCGAGAATTAGACATTTTACATTTACCGAAGATAGGAGGAAAGGTTAGATGGATGATAGATGGAAATGTTAAGATGGTTAGAAATAAAAGAGCACATTTTCCTTTGAGTGACAGTGACTCAAAAATGTGTTGAATGTGTCGCCATAAGTGTGCCAATTCTCCTAATCTTTAGTCTAGACTCCCAGCATTCCTCCTTCTAGTCCTCTGTAGAGGGGTTCCTGGGTTATATTTCCAGGGGGAGTGAGGTGTGTGAGCCAGTGGAGAGGTGAATATAGGACAGACAGAGTTAATAGGATTGAGTCTGTCACAAAGTAATATCAGCTTTCCATCTACAGGGATTAGAGATATGAGCGAGGAGAGGTGGACAGTAATACACCAAAGAGGCTTATGGTCCTCTGTGACTACATTGCATACATCAATCTATTAATAGAGACATATATTAAAGTGAATCCAGTCTGTTCAAAGTGGCATCACTGTATGGTTATTCATCATAAGCCTGGCAGTTCCAGTGTTCACATCTTAGTACAGTCCTGTCATGTAATTCACTGTTGTGACACTTTGTTCTCATGACTCAGTTCTTACTTTGGAGCTGAGCAGCAATGTTTCCAAATACTACTAAGCCAATAAATAATAAATATCCTTTTGAGTGGGCAAACTCCGTCAAATCGAATGAATAAAACTAACTAAATTATTGAGAAATGCAAAAGATGGAAAGAAACCAATGGAAGTAATATTAAAGATGTCAAGTTTTAGGGCCTTACCTTGTATTCAAAGCTTGAAATTGATCTTCATTTCTCTTCTTAGTACTTGGGAATGAAAGGACTTTCAGACTGGGGTGAGCCATGAACGAATGGTTCTGTGAAAATAACAAAAATATAGCAGAGAGTTGAATCAAAGCCAACAAAATTCCTTGAACGGTGGTTGCTTTGACACAGCGAACCAAAAATCCCACCATTAGCAGGTTTTCCTCCACAAGTTGGCAAGAATAGTAAACAACTTTTCTCATCTGCGCAGATCATCTCAGCTGAGCTTGAAGATGTAAATTTCTTCTAGGGTTTAGGCTCTGCTTCTTGGCTTCTTTTGGCAATTTTGAAAAACTGAGTTAAGAGAAACTGCCACTCAAAGATGGCAACGGCAACATTGGCAAAAAGAATAAACCAAGAGACTGGGTGCAGACCGTAGTAGAAGGCATGCGACATGTTATCGAGGAAAATAAAAAGGTTTAAAAATGAAGGATTTTAGGAAAAAAGGGAGAGTCAGAGATAAGGAAGACGAGTAAGTGTTATGACAGCAGTGTGAGGTCTCTAAATGTATCCCAGCTTCTGGCTATCAGAGGAATTGGTCAGTGTGAAGGTGATCTCTAGTAATCCAGGATTTGGTTTACGCATGACACTTTCACCAGCATCGACACCTTTTATCTGAGTCAGCAGACAGAAAACAGAGAGGGGATTTCATTTTGCAGCGTCTGCAGCACCTGTTGAAACTCACATTTCATGCAGTTTGATAAACTAATTTACACTGTAAGCCTGAAAAGTAATTAAGAGATGTATACCAATGTGTAATCCTGAACAAAATTGTAAGATAAAGTGTGGAGTTACCTGTGAAAGTGGCTCCTCTGTCACTTACATGCAGGATTTTTCCACTTCAGGAATTATTTCAAATGATTGTGTCCAAGTCTTCTCCCCCGATGAAACAAAAAAGGAAATAAGCTGACTTCACAGAAAGCACTACAAGCTAAGCGGCTCTTTCAGACTAGCTCTAAGCAAAAAGTAACAAAAATAAAAACATCATTCAGTCAGTCCATGTCGCCTCCTCAGGCCGGGGTCACCTCCCTCTTGGGTTTGTCTTCTGGCTCCATCACCCACTTGAAGTAGGCATCGCTCAGCAGGAAGGTCCAATACACAACGGTGAGTGAGGTGTTCACAGTCATGATGCCAATGATTAGGGGGTGCAGCATGGTGGCACACTGGAAGGGTAGGATTCTTCTGAAAAAAAAAACTGTGTCACCTTAAAAAACCTGTTTCTCTGCTGGGTGGTTTGCACTGTGTGTCTGGTTGGGTCACCTCTCTGTCTGCTCTTCTCCCTCTCTCCATGGACTCCCCTCCCCTCTCTGCTCTCTCTTCCACTGCCCAAGTTTCTGTGGCAACAGCAGCGTAATCCTCTTCAGCCGCTTTGTTGCAGAAGATAAAGTTGCATTAGGGACCTGCTTTATAAATGTCCATCCATAAGACATTGTTGCGTAATAGACATGTTCATTCTCCACAGCATGGACACTGTGATATAAGCTGTGAGAAACTGCAGCTCCAGTAGTTATTATTTTTGAAACAAGCAGCATGGCAAGAGAGAAAAACACCAGCTTTGCTCTGAAGTTTATGTTCTCCCTCAGATATAATCCAAAATCTAATCAAGACAGAAGACATCAGATGCAGCAGATCTTAATCTTAAACCAAGCAGGACAGATGGCTCCTTAATCGAACCCCTGGGGCCACAGGAGTCCAGACAACACTTCAACATGTGTAGCATAACAGGGTATGATCTCTGGATTTGAAGTCTCATGTACCAGGAATCCCTCAATTCAAGAAAAAAAGTCAAGTTACTGTAAGAACAACCAAAACGACAACACGTGGGGAATAGTTTCTCCACTAGGTGGCGGTGTAAATCTTGTCCTTAGGGTGAACTATACTTAAAAGGTAACTAATTGAAATTAAAAAAGACCAACTTTTTAAAAACTTTTGCCAAACAATTCAAAGTTATATTCTTTTTCAAAGATAGAGGCGAATTGAAAAATTACTCACCATGTATTGGTCAAATATATCGGGACTCTCTCTCTCTTTAAATTTTTACTCATTAGAGAGCTAAATTGAACTTTGACACCTGCCACATAGACGGACTGAATCAGCCTTGGCAGTCTAGGTTTTTATCACCGATCAAAAGGCATCTGGTGACACTCCTTCTCTCCGTGGCTGTGGGGAAGACACGCCGCAGCACCATGCGTGTTTAGAGGGGATATTTGTCTGTGGACGTTTACAACAAACTCAGGTCAAAGAAGAAGCTTTTCAACCATGAGGCCTCCGGTGGAAGTCAGCGTGTTCCTCCTCTCCCTCTTGGCTCCAGCAGTTTTGTACACCTTGAACAACATCCCCGTGCTTCAGGAGTAAGTCTGCTTATCCTCAGAGATCAACTTTCTTTCATTTTGACTCGATGTATGCAAGTGAAGCAGCTGGTTTGAGTACAAGGCTGGAGCATGGACAGTCATGAAGTGAGGGCGTGTGAACCCTGTTTGAAGCCATTGCTGGTCCTCTATTAGCCTTAAAAGTTACTATAGCTACCTTACTTTACATCATGTCAGAATTTGTTAAACTTATTTATTTCACCTTGGAAAGTAGTGTTTTTACATTTACTTTAAAAAGCTGTTTTTAATGTCTGATAAATTATCACCCGTGGAACCAACAGCTGAAAAGTTAAATGGTGTCTGAGTTTTCCCAGCTCTAAAACAAGTTACTTCTTACCTTTCTTTTTACACCTAAAGAATTAAAGTTAATTGTTCAGATTGCACCTGAAATGAGCAACTATTTAATAGATCCTAGAAACAGCTTTCTTTAAATATCAAGATTTCCCAAAGCGAGAGGTGACACCTTAAAATGACTAACTATGTCGGGGTTTAAACCATCAGCTGAAACCTTCACACCTGAGCCACAACCAGTGACTGTTCTGCATCTTGACTTGACTATAAAAATAATCCTCTCTGTTTTTGTTGGAGGTTTTGCTTGGATAAATACTTTAATTAACCTTCTCTTCCTCAGACCTCTGCCCATCCTGGGAGTAGGGCTGGTCGTCTTGGGCTCCGTCCTCATCCTTCTTCTCCTTGCTGTGCATCATAAGACCAAAGTGGACCCTTTGTTTTATGGTACAAGCAGACAAGTACACACATGAACATGTGAAGTAGAAGTAGGAGATTTGTTTTTAATGTTTCTAGCATGTGCGTGTCCAGCATTTGCAGAGTTTTCCTTCACCTGCCTGGTGGGCCTGACTAATGCTTTGGAGCAGGATGGGTTCATCTCTGGCTTCATGGGCTTCTACCTGAAGAGGGTAAGAGGGCCTTAACTCCTCATATACAAACCGCAGCCTTTTTTCCTCTGACGTCACACTGTAATGCTGTTTTAATGTCCTAACACTGTGGGATACATGACAGCTTTTGTTATATCGCCACTTCTTGATAAATGAGCAGCAGAAAAAATAATTGACAGTGAAAATATGGAGGGAAATAGTGACATATTAGAAGTAAACAAACCTGATTTCCCATTAACTTACTTAAAGCCTGTCTGCAAAGGAAAATTCATGTTGTGTGAGTAGAGTCAGTTTTCTCTTAGATTACCTCCTGTGGGATTTTTAAGTGTATATGTGTCAAGAATAAATGTTTAAAATCTTTGTTTGCTGTCCTCTCTTCAGGGTGAACCTCATCTGAGCACCGCCTATGCTGTAATGATGTCTTATTGGGAAGGTGTTTTCCACTACATCCTATTCCTTGTTATCATCCACCGCATGTTCAAAGGGTAAGTGTTACTACAGCAATCTGTCCACCGTGCGCTAAATGAGTCTTCTATGAAATCCTGTTAATTTCCTGTCCACACAGGAGGTCATATCGTAGCCTTGGGCTGCTGTGGGCCGGCTCCTCCATCGCTCATCAGATTGTATTGATTCCAGGAGTGGTCGTAGGTGAGCGCTGTCTGCAGTAACACACTGATGAATTGTATAATCAAAAATGTGTGTTATGTTCCTGATGATGTTTGTTTGCAGGTAAATATGGGTCAAATATTAAACCAGCCTTCTGGAGGAACATTCCCTTCTTTGTGGCTCCTTTCTGGGCGGCCTCTCTGCTCTTTAGCCGACAGAGAGAAATGCCGATCATCAAAGCAGACACGGTGAGTTTAGACTGCTAAAACATCAGCCCCACAATATGATATTATCATGATACTTGGGCCACGATATGATATTATTGCGATTTTAAAATTTTGCATTACAGTGAGTATTGCGATACAATATATTGCGATTTATACAATTTTTTCATCTGTTTAGCTAATTAAGCATTTGGTTCTCCTTTTATGTTTGTCTTATTTTCATGGAGAACATCTTGCAAACCTTTTTAAATATTTGTTGTACTAACTTTCTTTCCTGCTCTATGATGTCACCTCTGCCAACCTCACTTGACAAACAGTTGATTTTATTTTTCCATTATCGTAGATTTGACTTCATAATAACAATTGATTTGAAAAAGTCGATACTTGGTAAATGAGACAATATGATATATCACCAGACAAAATATCGCAATACTATGCTTTATCGATTTTTTCTCCCACCCCTAACATCAACAGTTAGTGGGTATACACAGTGGTGGGGTCAGAGAATTTAACAAAATGTTTATAAGGAAATGTTTGAATACTGTGGTGCAATGTTTCAGTATTTGCTTTGTTTGTCTGTATATGCACTGTTTGTAATCTTTTGACTTTAAAGACCCGGTCCTCACCTACAGGTTTTGAACCTCTGCAATAGAAAACTAACTTATTTGTGTAAGATTACTTACATGATATCCCAGTGTGACAAACGATAAAACTCTGAGGCTTGCTTAAATATTAGCCCATAATTGAGAAATTAAATCCAGTAATCAGCAGATAATCCAATTACTGTTTTAGAAAGGGGGTTGTGGTTTGGTGTATTATTGTAACATGGGCAGATCAGTGTAGAGAAGATGTAAACTTTGTTGTGTAAATCCATAAAATACTGCAGGAGTATTAGAGATACAATTTTATTCTGAATTGGACACAAGTGGTGAAAAGTTATTTTATTTCGCTCTCCAAGTCAAGTTTTTTTTTTTTACTGATATGTCAAAAAACAGGTTTGCAGAATTTCCAATTTTGTGACGCCGGACACAACTAGATCATTTATCCTTTCAGACAAAATCTCTCTGCTTTGCCCGCTAGTCCTGCTGGTCCATTTTGGGATTCTTATTAGCATAACCACCTTCTCACTATGCTTCTTGCCTTTTTTTTAAACGTGCAACAAATACCACACTGTCCAGGCTTGAATGATTTTTGGTAGTGTTTGGAGAGCTTAGCAGCACATTCACACAGATATTTCATCTTTTGACTAGATTTCAGCCGAGCAGAGTAAGAGTCTGCTGCGTCGACCTGTTGACCTTCTCCTGTCACTTCTTCTGCTCGCAGCGATGGCCTTCTGTGTTTTCAGAGGCTTTGTGAGTAAAACAAGAAGTCCTTTCTCTGACTGTTCTCTTTGATACAAAAATAACTTGTCAAGCACAAATAAAACCTTCAGCTCAGCCTTCCTGTCATGTCTTTACCAGGTGGTGCTGGACTGTCCTTTAGATGTCTGTTTCACCTACATCTACCAATATGAGCCCTACCTCAAAGACCCCGTTGGCTTCCCCAGGGTCATGGTCAGTTAGGAGACACACATTATCACACTGAATTGAATCAAACGGACAATTTTATTCAGAATGATAGCTGATCTTTTGTGTACTTTTATCTGCAGATGTTGGCGTATCTGTTTTATGCTGTGCCCTTGCTGACTGTCTGCATCTATGGCCTGCGAACACCTGGATGCAGCTGGATGTTGGACTGGACTATCTTCTTAGCAGGGGCCATGACTCAGGTATCTTTGGTTTTTATCTTTGCTGTTTTATAGTCTCTAAGAAAGTAAAAATAAGAGCAAAAATCTGGATTCCCTCTGCTGTTTCCCTCAGACCCAGTGGTGCCATATCGGAGCATCTCTGCATTCCCGCACTCCCTTCACATACCGAGTCCCGTCAGATAGGTGGTGGCCCGTTTTCGCCCTCAATATGCTGCTGGTCGCTGTACCGATTCTTCTTGCCCTGCGCTGCTACACCAACCCCACTTATTTTATGAAACCAGTTCCCAAAGGACAGACCGACAAGGAGAAGAAGAAAAACTAGACCACACGCAGGCTGCAGAGGACCGTGGAGGAATACTTCACACTGTGACAGGGCTAATGTTTTCTGGGGACTCTTGTTGGCACACAAACTGCATTAAAAACCCAGTTCTTCAACCCAGAGGAAATCTAAAAGTGTTGCTTTGCGAGTCAACTGTTGAAAATCAGTCACCCCGCTCAGCAGCAGCCACCGCCGCCGCAGCAGCACTCCCTGCATAGACTATTGGACCCTGATAAGAACCTCCAGTTGAGGTGAGGACTGTGACTCATGCAAACGAAATTGGTTTCTTCCCAAACTAGGACTTTTGACCTGGAACAGACAGGCTGGCATATTTATACATATTTCAGTGCAGAAATCCTCAGAGAAACTCCAAAGATTGCAGTTTAGTATCGATCTACAGATAACAGTCAGAGCAAACAGCTTTCTGTTTGGAAACTTAACATAATGTTTTGGTGTGATTGCAGCTTAATATCTCAAAGGTTGTTGATGTGGATCTAACTTCTTTAAAGCAGATTGCTTAAAGGAGTAAAATCCTTGTTTTGTGTGTCAAATAATCCTACAAATTGTCCTGGGTGATCCAACTAGATTTTTCTGTCAGTTTTGTTGAGCAGTCAGCCATTATCTGAAGGTTATTTAAAAATATCCACAACAGTTACCAACAATAACACTGAGGGGTAAATCCTCATAGTGTCAAACACAGAAGTGTGAAAGCAGAGGTTTTTTGGTGTATTGGTTTTGTACAATAAAAGCAAGTTGAAGCATTTTCTCTATCTGTTATTTTCATGTTTTTTATCTATAGATGTTGCAGTGATTAGATGTTGTATTTCATCACAAAGAGACAGTCTGCTGGTTCAAGGGGACCTAAATCTTCACCTATCAGTGTTTCCTCTCACTGGTGATGTCACCTGGACCTGCGGGTTGTGAACTGCTGCCCTAGTGAACTTTGCCGTCAAACTGATAAGAGCTGAACTCTGTCATTGAGCTGCCACAACAGAAAAAAAAGAGCACAAATGATCACATGACACAAAGTGTAGATGGCCCAGACAGTGTACGCCACGTATAACTGATAAGTTTTACTCAACATTAACGTAGAACTGTATGAGTCGTACACACGAGGTCAGGTCCTCTGGTTTTTTGTTTATGTGTTCATCAGGGGTCGGTTCATATGCTGTTAGTGCTTATATTGATCCATGTATCACATGGTACAAACTGATAACTGATAGGATGTTTTTCTAGGATGCAGGTTTGACTTTGTGGTTGAGTCAGATGGTCTGTATGCAGAGACTGTGCTCCTTAAGGTGACAGCCTCTTGATGCGTCTTCCCAGCTTCCTGCTTTATTCAATGTCCTGTCACTCTAAATGGAAGCATTTACGGTCAAAACTTAATTCAAGGAAAGTTATTTTATTTCTGAGACGGTAAATTTAACTAAATGGTTCAATAATCTGTCTGATTTTGAAAAACATCACCAAGTGTGTATTAAAAAATATGGGCTGAAGTTAAAGGAATACTTTAACATGCAGTGTGGTATTTAGGAACATTTAGTAGAACAAACTTGGAAAAAAATGGAATATAATATCCATAAAACATTCATGGAGTGTTTAATTGCCAATATGCAAAAATCCCTTTGGTTTTTGTTAATTAGAATGAGCTTTTTATGTGCAAAGGACAACACATATGTCTAAGTGTCACAAAAATCTGTTCGTTTTTTCATATTGACTGATCACAGGAGGCTGAAACCAGCTGGTTAGATTACCATAATAATAATAATAATAATAATAATAAAAAAACAACCTGAAAAAATGTTCTTTTTTCACTTTATTAAGAATGGAATACAACAGCAGGACAAAAAGTCATAAGAACACCAAAAAAGTGGATGACTGATCAAATATCAAAGGGACCAAAGGACAAAAATATCAACATTCTACCAATAGTGTAAATTTCGCCGTGCAAAGATTGACAGAATTTCGCGAATCAGATACAATCAACAGTTTTCTCTAGTCTTGTTAAGTCCCATCCTAACCGCCTACGTCAGTGAAACATCGTCATTAGTTTGAAGTGCTCATGGGCATATGGAAAGTCTATTGGATCGGACAAGGTCCAGCTATTGATCAGCCAATAACAAACACCACAATATTTACAATACAGAGATTAGAGGCAATCAGAGGGTTAATTTTGTTGACTGTTAAGATTTGAATTTTCTTACTGGCGTAGAAAAATGACGTTACATCGGCTCTCTGAAGTATAAGTAAAAAAGAAAGCATATTCACTAGCAAATTTATAATAAATAGTAACATAACACCAAAACATAGCAAATATTAGAAAAAGCATATCAGTAGAATAAAACAGACGAGCTATTCGGGTGCTCTATGGAAAAGTAACAGCTACGGTACACATAGAAAAAGCTCAGGGTTACAGGGACTGTATACTATCTTGCATCAAATACATCTGTGCTTTGTAAACAGAATACTAGGGTGAGAGTCATTTTTCATGTAGAGCGAGCAAACTCTTAGAAAAAAAGAAAGTGACTCAGCACTTCTCTAAGTTTTTCTCTCTTACGTGCATACACACACTCTCACATACACGCTGCTGTCAGTGTGACAGACTGAGGGAGGGGTTTAGTTCATAGACAGGAGGGGATATACTGTACTGAGATGTTAGGGTGAGATTAATAACTGTTAGTGTTAGAGTATTAGTGTTCGCATGGACCTCAGTTAAAGGAAGCAGGGTCAGAAAGAAGCATTAAAACACCCAAACGAGGGGGCTGAGTAGATAAACTGTGTGTTAGAGTAAGAAAACCTTTTTCTTCAAGGGGAGTAAAGCTAAACAGAGCCGGGTTAGAAGCAGGGAGGTGTTGTGATGAACTACTGTCTGTCTTTATGGGCCATGGTCAGCACCTAAACATGGCAGGGTTGGATTATTTGGTTCAGTAGTAGCTCTGTCCGTCCTCGCGGGCCTTGTGTCCCTCTCCGCCATGTCTCCGGTGGCCACGGCGCTCATGGTGCTGGTTGTGGTGGTGGCGTCGATACCGGTGGGACCGCCGGGCTAAAAAAGTAGGGGAAGAAGTTTGTTTTCTGAGATTATTATTTTGTGAGAACAGACAATGAGAGAGGAAACATGGAGGGAAGATAGTGGGGATACCTTAAATCAAAGGGTAGCAGCATGAGTATCTGAGCTAAACCAGTGCAACTGATACTGAAATAAATCTGCGTTTCACGATTTTTAATAAGAACATCTAAAAATACTTTCACACCCACCTATCTAAGAATGCATTTCTTTATCATCTGTGTAAAAATTGCAACCACTAATTAAAGTGACTAACTATGGCACTGTTAAGTTGTTGGAAATGTGACAGACAATATTTATTTCTATCAGGATCTCATATATTTCATATTTATTACATTTCTTTAATACAACCTGCAGCTAGTGGAGTGTCTGGCATCGGGCTCCACTTTGCATATTTTGAGACACATTAGTTGTAGCAGCTGAATTTAACAAGGACCCTCGATAAAAACAGAGCCACCGTAGTTTGCGCTGCTAATTTTGAGTTGACTGTAATTCTCCTAAAATGTAAATAAGATTGTTTTTGATATAAGAATTAAAGGTACAGTGCATAGAAATCAAGAAATGAAGTGATATCTGTAAGTCAGACTCCAGAATGACACACTTCTCTGCTCCTCCCTCTCTCCCTCAGTGAATTGGTGGCCTTCAAACCCAAGAAGCTCCAGTATAATTGGTATGATCCACTATTTATCAAGTTTTTACTATCAAAAACCGTGGTGACAGAAAGCAAAGAAATCCTAGTAAAAGTACTCTTGTACAAGCTCATGATAAAATATAATTTTAAAATGTTTTTTCCACATTTTCATTGTTCCAGTATAGGGTCTAACTAGCCCTTTATGGCCTTTTGTATCAGATACATACTTTTATGATACGTCTATCAAATCAATATGATCAACAAATTACTAAAAAAAACACCTGAATACAGTCAAATAAATGATAAAAATGTCCTCTTGTGGTTTATCCGTTTCCAAAAACATCTAATGTATCAAACCAGATAAATAAATAAATTTGTTAAATTTTAAGGACTTTTTGGTTTTGGAGGTTTTCAGTAGCAGATGAAATAAACATTTCAGCTCAAAAAAAAATTGAATTTTCTGGCCATAATTTGTAGTTTCAGGCATTAAAGGGTTAGACACTGAGCACTCACACTTTGTGCAGATGATTCTTGGTCTTTCCCAGCTCCCGTCAGCCCGGCAGCGAGCAGTGGGGATGTGGCGTTGGAAGAAACCTTCAGCGCATTGATAGCGGACCACAGCATGGATGTCGTAGTGTGACCTCCGCCGTCCTACCAGATGAGCATTTTCCACTGCAGGTGGGGTCCCACACAACACTGAACAGAGAAAAATCCAGATGAAAACTTCTCATAAATATTACAGACAAAAGAGCGTGTGGTTGGTCTGAAAATTCTGTTGTGACTGTCCCAAATTTCACAGGAAATAAACTTTTTTGGTTAAAATGTAAAATGTTAGTGCCATGTTAATGTTGTTTGATCTGGAGGCTCAGTATTGCAGGTGTGTTTGGCCTCAAGATGGCAGTCTTGCGTATCTGTGTAGTGAACTGAGTAAGTGGGTCTCTGCAGCAGACAGAAAGTAGCTAGCCTTTCCACAGAGCCCTGGCTGAGACCCACAGCCACACATACAAACAGCCTCAAACTACTCTATACTTTTCTCCTTGTCCATCTCCATCTTTTTCTAGCTTCCTCTAAGTCCAGATATCACTGCACTCACTTCAAGGTCGGCTGAACCTGGGTCACACAGGGAAGGTCTGGGTAAGGTAACTTAGAAAAATGGCTCAGAGGAATTTCTGATCATATTTGTTGTGAACAAGGCAGTAAAAGGTAATAACCGAAGTACAGTTCTGCTGCTGGGGTAAGTGTAAGTGAGCTCCGGGGAGGCAGAGGAGGCAATAAGAGGAAGATTAAGATTGATATTGCTCTCAAGAATCAATACAGGTTGGAGGCTGAATCGCAGTCTGTTCTCAAGTTAGAGATTTTTTTTGTCGAGTTTTTGGAGTAACTGACCCTTAACTACAAAAAAGTGCAAGCCAAGTGAAAAAAGGCCCTACAGTCAGACCGCTCATGTTTGGAGAGAAAGAAAAGGTTTTCTGTGTGAGGAACATAAGAAGTGATGAAGAGTGCCGATGACTAACAGTTGGCCAGCTGGTCTGAAACAACACCTAGCCGCCAAACTGTATGAGGAAATCTCTCCTCATGAATTAATTACAGCTTTGAATTTGCTGAGGAAGTCTTGTTGGACCTCAATGTGTCAAACTGTTAATTCACACTTGGGGTGTTATGTTCTGTTACAGTCAGTATCAGCTTACCTGTTCCTTTCTTGCAGATGTAGGGCAGATTGTAGTTGCAGGGCACGTCGTTCCACTTGCCGTCCTCGTGGGCTATGGTTACCACGCAATCCTCCCCGCCTGCAAAGAAGTTATCCGGCTGGCTCTCCCTCCAGTTCTCATACACCTAAGTAACACAAACGCAGAGTAGAGGAATTGAGACTGGAAATCCTCTCATACCTCCACTGTCTCTTCTTTAGATTAGTAGATTTCTTTTCATAATAAAAGAAACAATGAAACTGATTAAATTTAAATATTGAGAATAAAGAGCTTTGTGGACTCCAAAGGATTTTTGATATTTTCTGCTAATGTTTAACTTTTATGGCTTTTTTTTTTGACAGTGTTTGATCTGATCAAAGTTAAGACAAGCATCAGGAGCAAGTAAATGTGTGAGTTTATAATTTTTGTACTTGGATATATCTTCCATTTCAGATCATCCACTCCTTGTGTAACCTTTAGATTTACATCCTTTCTTAACGCTCAGTGGCTAAAAACAGCAACTGACTTTGACTGCTGTAAAAACATATCGGATTCATATTTTTTCCAGATTTTTTATCATATATCTCTTAATTAACTTCTGTTGAATCCAATTTTTTACCCTTTAAGGACCCATTTAAAACATAAAGTCACTAATGTTGGGAAAAAAATGGGAGGAAAATGACTGATTTTTATTTTCTACCATATCAGTGATATTATGTTTTGAATGGACCCTCAAAGGGTTAAAAAAATGTTTTTAGATGAAACATTTACTAATTTTGATCAAAGCAGAAGTTAGTTAAGAGATATATGGAAAAAACATTGGAAAAAAATATCAACCATATATGTTTTTACAGCAGTCAAAGTTAGTGGCTTTTTTTAGCCACTGAGCGTTAACAACGGATGAAAATTTGCCCAGCGCGTATTTTTGACCTGGTAAAAATTTTGAAGTCATATTCTCAAAGTGTCCATCAATATAAGCACAAAAAATCTGCCCATTTGCTGCAGTAAAAAAAAAAAGTTACGTGGAAATTAGTGGCTAAATTTTGCCAATAGTGGCAGATTTTAGCCACAGCGTTGCACAAGGGTTAAACCAAATATGTAGCCAAAAAATGTGCAGCTTCCTTCTCCTGGTCAGCTGTAGCATAAGCCATAAAGTCTGCCACCTCCATGTTGACATGTTGAACATGAGCTTAACTTAAAAATCAATCTGTCAATTTGCAGTCTTCTCTTGGATGGTCTAGATTCCTTTAAAATAACATTCAAAGACACTGATATGAAATTTAGTCAGTTTTATAAGCATCAAAAAACTCCCCTCAGGTGTTTGTATTTACAGTTCAGCCACCTTTCACAGTTCATATTTACTTTATCAATAGAAAACTCCACAGTTGCATCAAAGTGTTTTCTTTGAGTACTTCATTTCATTCCTTTATGTACAAACATGCTCTTGAATAACAATTAAATCTCCTTGAGTCCTTGAATGTTGGCACCAGCTCCTCAGCCGAGCAGCCTCGCACTACCTCAGATGTTTCCGTGCTCTTATTGGTTGTAGCGTCCCAAGGCGTTTTGGTCTGCGCCTGATGATAAAGCCCCTCGAAATCAAAAAATGAACTGAGAGGTTCCAGACTAATTAGCATTTGCAAATCGGTCTGGCAATGCCGGGCTATAATTAAGCAACATTTGAATCAAAGTCTGATGACAGCTGAGGGGGTTAGCTTTGATTGTTGTTGCTGATCAGTCAATGATTTGATCAACAACAAATAGAAAATCATGGCAGCAGGATTAAAAACAGATCACTGACTAGATCGTTGCTGTCGGTCCACTGAAAGTCGTCCTCCACTGTGCGGTCATTCAGTCCGATCCAGGCGTTGTCATGACCCAGACCTGTGTGAAACATCAGCAGAGTATGTCAGAATATCTGCAGCATTATTTCAACACTTCTGTAAAACCTCAGGCACACCTCAACCTACAGATATCTGATTTTTTTTTAGTTTTTCAGCGTACCTGTGTTTCATCACAGACTTTCTCTCATCTTAGCTCTCCCTGCATCATACCTAAAATCAAAGTCGCTTCTTTTCCTGCCTCAGTATGACACATAAACACATCACTGTTGCTCATACTTTAATTTTCTGATAAGATTTTTGGTTTCTCCTGTTTTTGTGTGTCAAAACATATCTCAACAAAATGCAGACAGTAAAACACACAAACCGTTGATGAAGTCCTGCTCAGTGGAGGAGATGATGCTGCTCAGGTGTGCACTGTGCTCTCTGCAGTCCTTCTCCGCATCCTCCCAGGTGTGTCTGTGGGTGAAGTACCTTTGAAACAATACAGAGAAGACAAAAATATTTTATTATTATGCAGACAGAATATGACACAGAGCCCTGCAGTAGGTATCTCATGTTAAACTCCACAGCATGAAAGAATAACACTGATAGATGAGGCACCTGTGGTTGCAGGTATATACCAGTTTTTCATACCTATAGCAATGGCCGTGAAACTTCTTCCAGCCGTGCTCGCAGCCTTCTATGTCTGTGAAAATGAAGAGAGAAGAGGAGGGCGCTGAGAGGAGCAAAAATAATTTTTCAAAGACCGTGTGAGTTTAGCCCAGGAGAGCTAAGTAAGATAAAATAGTCTGAGTGAGATTGGAGGAGAGAGGAATCTTTTAACCAAGTCTTTCATCTCATTGAGCAAATCAAGACAAAAATACATGACTTAGTCATCTCCTCAGCCTAAATACATTAACTGTAACTATACAGGCTCACTTTCAATTCACAGCACATGTGGCCCTCTCTCTGCACTATTAGTATTCATTAATAACAGCCAGGCCTGTGGATTCATTTATAACGGAAAAAGGTTAGATATTCATTAATTCTCATTACTGCCAGCACATGACACACAAACTCACACACACACACACAGACACACACTCACACACACATACACCCCTAAGCAGGGCAGATCTGGAGCTGGAGGTGGTTATAACAGTGAAATGATGAATCAGTGTTTTTGTGGGCGCATACATTTTGTTGTGAGTGTGTACTTTGATTGCTGGCAAACACAAGTGGATGTATGTTCTTGGCCACATGCCATCTTTTTGTTGAATTATGTACCAGAGACTGCAGTGTTTTCATGTTGATTGGTCTCTCACACCTCTTTGATTACCTTACACTTATCTCAGTTTGCCCAATTTGATATTGGACCGTCTACAATAAACTATTCCACGTCCATCAGTCCAGCACAGCCTTTGCTTATTCTGCAACAAAGCCAAATCATATATTTTCTCTGCTTCTTTAACCTTGGTTTAGACTGTGATGAATTTATTGATTTATTTCACCTTGCTTAGCATGAAACTGATTACAGAGGAGACAGCAATACCAATAAACTCCTCTTATGCTCTCTAATCAAAAGAACCTCTAGTAAAAGGTAGAGCAGGTGCCCCCATGCACAGAGGCTACAGTCCGAATCACTGGTCTTAGGACTGATTCTTGGCCCTCTCTCGCTCTCCCCCAAAGTGTTCTCTCTCTAGAGCTGTTTTAAAAAATATATTCTTAAAAAAAAGCAAAGAAATAGTCAGTCTTTGTTTCAGATGGCCTTGTTTGTCTCTGCAGCTCATACAAAGGCATCAGTTTAAATTCAAGTCTGTTTCAACACCAGCTAAAAACACCTGAGTTTTAAAGGCATTTGGTCTCATGTATGAAACGTGAGCAGAAGAGAGTTGAGAGAGGGCTGGTATTTCAGGAAAAGTACACCCTGGTTACACCCTTGCATGTTTACCAAGCCTTCAGGTGCAGGATCAAGAGAAAATATCATGTGCAGATTGTGTTTGTATTATATTTCTTTACCTTGGCATGTATTCAAACTAGAGGTCTAACCTATCCACAGCAGACAGGGTTAACCACTGAAGTCAAGGCTTTTGACTCTGCTGACCCACTACACACACAGCGAGAGCTGCCTTTATGACACCCAATAGGTGCTCAGACTGTAAGAGAGTGCCAACAGTGATCTGATGGAGAGCATCACACTACCACTCACAGGAGAAAATGTCTTTTTCTTCATTCCACTACACCCGAAATGACCTCTTTTTTTCTCGCTTCTGAAAGTTTCTTCTTTCTCCATCTCTCGTCCTTCTCTTGTCAGTCCACAGAAAACACATGTCTACACCTTATATGGTGTATATTGTCTAGTCACAGGTGGAAAACTTATACTGATCAGCAGCTGTTGGAAGCGGGAGGTTCCTAAATGATTGATTGTCATTCATGAACTATCATGAACTTATTCACGTGTCTACAATCAAATCAGGGGTTTCAACAGCCTTCATGAATCTGAATTAGTATTTTAGGACCGATGGCATTCACGCATAAATCTACAAATTTCATGAATGAGACCTGCTGTGAGGGGTTTTAACTGGTTAAGCAACAGACTGAAACTAATACTAATGCCTATTTATGACCCAAGAAAGCAGAGATAAACAGCAACAAGTCTGATAATTTCACTCTAGTACTTTTTAATGCTTCAAAACACTGAGATTGTAGGTGTCAGATGGACTGAATGACAGCAGGCTGAAAAAACATGAAGGGGCAACAGTGTCAGTGTTAACACAAACCAGCAACATTACCCAGCTTACCTATATGAGTGACTCTTGAAGTGAATAATCAAACAAACCTTTTCTCAAAATTCACATTATTTCTGATATTTATTTTTATTGAGTAATTTTGTCTCTTTTTCTTGATTTAACACATTTTTTATTGAGCTGATTGTTCAATTATCTCTGCTGTTTCTTCGTCACTTTGGTAGAGAAGCATATTGAATGCACTTGAGAAAGGTTTCCTCCTTTTTCTGTATTAATCTCAGAACTACAAGTGAGGTTCAATGAATACATAAAAGACCTGCTTTGTTTTTTGTAAATTAATTAGATATTTGTACCCTTAAATCTCAGTAAAAGTTCACACGTGGGCCACTGATGGAGGCAAATATGCTCTGACTTTGGTTTAATCCCGTTTTATTGTGGTTTGGGTTTGAGACATTTGGAAATACTCGTCTTTACACAACACAGATGGACCTGTTATTAGCTCGTTGATCTTGCACAGGCACATAAGAGCTTTGAAGTTTTCAGATGTAAAGCTGTTCTGGTCTGCACAGAATCTGCTTCACTGATGTTAAGATGTTGCTGAAATGTATTCCGGTCAGTTTCCTGGTGACCATACGGCAAAACTGACGAGTGTGTTCATTTAGTGTTTTGAAAAGCTCCAGATGAATGATGTTTACTGGCCTACTTACTTTGGATCTGTACAATCTGTTTTTACCCTGGCAGTGTCTGCACAATGAGTCCTTCCCACTTTGTGAAAAAGACATAGATATCGAGTAATGTTAAGCTTAAAAGAACCGTTTGAATTTTCATCTCAGTAGCACCACTATCAGGAAACTACTTTCATGTTTGTATTGCTGTTTTTTTTACCTTGTTCATTCTTTTGGCTCGTGCACCTGCACACAGACAAGCCACAGCGGGCGTTGTGGGTTTTATCCTGTCATGCTGTTTGATAGTTGGTTGTAGTGCTACACAACAAAGTAGACCGGTGCACTCAAAAAGACTGCAAGCGGCCTAAACATCACAGGATTAAAAATATTCAAACATCTGCTTTGGTAGAACGATATTTGTCTAGATACCCCAAAGAAAAATGAATGTTAACACAAGTTTGGATTGTTTGCAAGTTACGCCCAGAAACACATTCAGACTTAACGGAATACATTTCACTGTTTCAGGAATAATCTCTCACTGAGTATTGCTCTCACATCACATATTCAATCTTCGTCATCGATTCTTCTGCCACACAGGGGTCTGAAAACGCTTTCGTGTACGTAGGATCCTGACTGAAAGGTGTGCAAACATCAAGTCAGTGTGTGTTGGTGTGCACGCAGGAGTTACAGTCAGTATCTGTCAGCCTGCAGCCCTGCAGCGACACACTGCCTGCTGAAAAGATGTGTCTTTGTGATATCCTGTTATGACACAAAGCCGCAACAGACGCTGCGCTCTGATCAGGATTATTTCCACCAGCACAGTTTGGAGAAAAAAAATCTTTACTGCTGGCATCATATGATGAGAATCTTAACAAGTTCACCCCTGTGATTCCACACACGACAATGTGCTGAGTTTGTTGGTGCTACAGTAAATCAGAAACATTTCATATCGAGAGTAAATGCATGTGAATGCCTGATCACGCAGCTTTGAGTATTCAGTCTGTGTGTGTGTGTGCGGTTTTCTCACTCTCACCTTTCTCGCATGTGTCTCCTCCATAGCTGGGCAGGCAAAGGCAGAGGAAGGAATCAATCTTGTCGATGCAAGTGCCTCCATTTTCACACGGCTCTGACTGGCAGTCATCAACGTCTGCGAGGGAGAAAAAAAAAAAAAAGCAGCAAGCACAGGCGGGTTGTAGATCTCATTAGAGGGTTCAAATTAAAAGGATGTTTTCTGCTGGAGAGATGTCTGTCAGAGAGAGAGTGAAAAAAACGTGTGGGCGCTTGCTGCCTTTTAAGCACGGACAGTAGATGAGCCGGTCATTAGTCCTAGATGAAACAGTGAAATGTGTCCACGTTGGTGAGTGAGGAATTAAATTCAATCAGGGTGTGAGGAGAATTCAGACGGTCGATCCCCCTGAACATCCCTTATGTTTCTGCAGTCTCTCACTCTGAAAGCTTTCAAGTGTTATTATGTCCCTCTAAATGCATTTAAACAGCTTAATGTCAACTTGATGTATGTCTAATCTCCTCTTTCTGTCTCGTTCATTGTCTCATTTGCAAAAGAGAAAAAGCAGGCTGCGCAATCTGTAGCTCTTCTTTCAAAGCAGTCAAAGTAAAGACATAAATGACTGGAGGATCTGGGACCAAGCCCTCAATTTGGCATTTATCCACCCCGCTGAAGAGGCCTCGAGCAATCACGCACACTCCACCAGCTCCAGAGCTGCTAAGCTAACCGTGCTAACTGCGCTCTTTAACCTCTCTGTGGGCGAGTAAAAGGAACATTTCGCCTCAGGGATCCTTCAAGTATCACTTTATCATCGTAAATGAAGAGCATGTAATCTTCTTTAACCACTGTGGGGCTTTCTGGACCCAGAGTAACAGATGTACCCCAGGACTGAAGAAATCTATTAAAACTCACAGCGAGGGTGCAAAAAGAAAGCTGCTCGCTTGTTCAGACTTAGTCAAAATCTTTCTTAAATGTTCCTCTTTGAGTAAAAAAGTCGATCTATAAAAGGTCAGTGGCTGTGAAGATGTAAATGTTTCTGACAAATCAAACCAAAATGACCTTTTAGCCTCATATGAAACTTTCTCACTTGAAACATTTAAGGTTCGGTGTAATAGCGAGGGTTCATTTCCACTCTCAACTAAGTTCTGGTGTGTTTGTGAACTTTGTTGCCTGCTACTTTTTTTTTAATTTTAATCCAATTTGGGGGCTTTAACGGTGGTTTTTGCAGTGGAGGTTTGATGTAACTTTAATCTGACAGCAGAGGCCGATTATCTGTTCATAAAAATGGCAGCTCTTTTAAGACAAATGCCAGATAAAGGTCTGTTTGAGGACACACACAGAAACTGAAGCTGACATTTAAGCTTATGTTTTCATGCAGGATATAAACTTCTCTAATAGACTCAAAGTTTTGTGTTGAGTCATTTGTGAAGCTGTACTATCAAACAGGGACCGTTGTGTGGAGTTTTTGTTCATGCTACATCCCTCATTAAACACGGGAAGATCATTGACAGTCTGGTCCATTAGCTGAAAACAAAACCAGGTTAGATATCTGCATGTCTGACCTTGGTGTCACATATATTAACACTGAGGCAGAAGGTTTATGATTTAGACTTTTGATCAAAAATGAAGTTTAAAGAGTTTAGAAGTGAACTTTCTTAGTGCAGAACTAGGATTCAAATGTATCTCCAACAGCACAGACATGAGAAAATTCACCGGAAACCACATAATGGTCACTGTGGTCAGACACAAAGATATAATCTACTGAGAATTTTTTTCATTCTTTCTTTTTTGGAGCATTTTAAGCAAAAATAATCAATAGTCATTCAAAAAGTCTCCCCCTTATTGGTGTACGTAACAGACTGCATAGAACATAGACATACTCTCAGTGATATCACCTCGAGAGAGGTGATTTAAGGCCAAAGGATGGTTGTCAAACTGTTCAAGCTGACTCCACTTAATTTTCAGTCCACATAGCAACAGGCAAAGAGCTGAAACAGGTCTGAAGTTTCTGAGCTAGTCGCTGCATAGCACCCACCTGTAAGTCAATTCAGCTTTGCCCCTACATCTATGCATAAGAATATATATGAATATGAAACACCCTCAAATTAATCCTGACTAGTCTGACCCTGAATGACCTCTCAAAGTGCAAGTTAGTGAAACATCAGAACTCCCTCTTTCCTTTAAAATCAGCTCACTTCTTTGTTGTTTGCTTGAAAAACCTCTGATCCACACGTCCCTCTCATCCATTATGCAGAGGGAAGCTGCTCCTCTGAGAGATAATTCTGCAAATTCTGCAAATCCATAACAAAGCCTTCAGCAGGCCCACACCGCGGCTGCTGCCTGTCAGACTGACGGTCTGTCTGTCTGTCCTTTTTCCGCGACAGTGAACAGACAAAACTTGGCACTCGGTAAGTTTTAAAAAGCTAGTAGCCCAAATTGACATGTGTTGAATGTGGGGTTTTGTTTAACCCTTTGTCATAACACGATGAAGTATATATTAAAAAAGAAACAAGGACTCATATGTCACGCCTGTGTGCCCATGTGTTACAGAACCTATGCTTGAGGACATAAAGAATTGAGCAGAAGGTACCATCTCAAAAACCTCTCATTGTTAGTGTCACACATCAGATTTAGAGCTGGTAGCAAGTATGGATAAAAAAAAAAATTGTGTTGGAAAACTCACATTTATGCTCTGCCCTGTTTATCCCAACATCATAATAATATTTGTGTTTGGCGTCCAGGCTCCCACCTCACCACCTGACACGCAGAAAGTGATGAAACAATACCTTAAGCCCCCTGCCAGCTGAAACTTCCAGCACATATAGGCGGGTGCATAATCCTAAGCCTGTCAACTGCTTTAAGCGGATAATAATCACTGTATGATGCTCTCTAACCAGAGATTTATCATATCATATTAATCATTGTGAGCTCTCTAAAAATCATTATTAACAGAAACCATTAAACATTACACCAATGTCAAATTTTTTCACGCTAGCCTGAAATTTAAAACTTAAAAGTCCTGCACATCCATAAAAATAAATATAACAGACCCGTTATTCAAACTTTGCTCTGGAAATAAAATGCCAGTGGTTGGATAAAATGCTGCTTCTCACAGCAATAGAGATGAGGACCTTCATGTAAATAGGGACCAGACCAGGGGTGTCACTGTTCACTGACAGGTGAAGGTGTGTGAAACTCAAATGTCTGAATACAAGGAGAATTGTTTTGAAGGTTATCCTGTCATTATTTCACATGCACTGGATTATGAGAGCTTAGAGAAAACGCAACAAGATCTTTTGAGGCGATATATTTTGTATAATGCTGATAATCTGAAGGCTAAAACTGACATATATCATGATATTACACATGAAGATAAAACATTGTGTAAACAGTTTTAGTAAGTTGAGGGTTAGCAGCTTTGCTCCAGCTGCAGCATCCAAACAAACATGCAGAGGGGCCAAAACTACTGTAAACTCTCTCTACATCAAGAAGACAGACTATTTTTTATTTATCTAGGACTGATACATAGTGCTGGCAGCCCAGGGACATACTGGCTCAAATTTTTTGTCCGATCAAATCTGCAAACTCCACCTTTAATGTGGCAAATTTTATGACCTTTCTTGTTCTTTTTTTGGGGGGTGACAATTGTGGAAATAAGCTGTATCTTTATTTGGTGATTACTTTTGTTTTAAGGTCAAAATAACCATTTACTTGTGCCTCAGCAATCATCAGGAAAAAAAAAACAAATTCAGCGCAGCTCTCGCCTACTTTCTGGCAGACCAAACCTTTGCTTTTTTGTGATGAATGCAGCTTGAGATGTTTCTTGCGAATGTTGACTCATCAGCTTGTCAGAAACACCAAAAAAAGATAAAAGCAAGAGTTCATGAGTGGGCTGACAACAAGAAACCACTATGTTAAGGTAGCCTTTTAAGTGGCTTTTATCTAACTGAAATTTTCAAATAATAACTAAAATTGTATGTTTTTATGACTTTTTTGTTATTTCAAAACCACAACAAGCCATGTCAAAAAGTAAAACTGGCATTTGGATAGCAGAGGTGATTCGGTGCTACGAGTCAAGAATAAATATCTACTGGGACTGTAATTACTGGAAACACACCAAAACTCTGTGGGCACAGCGCCAGTTTGGCGAGATTCCACTCCACTTGTTTTTGGCACAAACAGCAGATGTGCCAAATATAAATGGAGTGGAAATGTTGCCTGACCGACAAAGTGCCCGTCATGTGTCAGTGTGAGCCCAGTGATCACAACTTTAGCGCATATTTATTCCTGACTTGAGGACTCTGGATCACAGCTGGCTCCAAGGTTACACAACAGGAAAACACAGTCACGTTAAAACTCGGGCTGACCGTGTGTCTCAACTCAGACGGAGAAAACAAACAGAGGTCTGCATGAAGACAGAGGGAGAAGAGAGGAAATTACATGGAGATCAAGAGGAATTGATCAGGTAGAGGTTGGATATAAAGACTGTGTTACAGCTCGTACAGGTCAAAGTTGGTTTTGAGCTACATGACAGCTTATCCCTTCTGTAATAAAATGCGTTTTATCTCTCACCTCTACAGCAGGAATCACACACAGCAGAGATTTGTGGCTCTCTGCCGTCTTTTTACCTGCAGTCAAAGGTTATCTTGTTATTTTTGCTTTCTTTTAGTCAGCAGCATTTCAAAGAATCCCATGAATAGATTTCAAGGGTTTCTGCAGGTATAAAAAACCTTCAGGTGAGAAACAATCGATTCAATTTTGTTTCTGATCTAAAATTGAGATCTTTAGACATTTTTTATTGAGCAATGACGAAACAGGGAGGCCTTGATTTGATTCCAAAACCTTAAGGCATTTTTCAAGGGACAGCGAAATCAATTCAGCTTAAAAAGTCTCCCAACTTTGAGTGGATCGTTGTTTCTGCAGAACCCCTCTTCATACAGGAGACTCAGCTGTAAAATCCATCTTCAGTTTGGAAGAATGGGAGTATTATCTTACTACTCTACTTTGACCCCAACCTTTGACCCAGCCTCTTATATCACTTCCTCTCTAAACATGATGGAAAGCTCCACCTTTGACCTTACAACAGGCCCTCTCTTCAGAGCCTTTCATCAATATGGAGGAACTTATGCAGGGCTGACTTCATTGTGGATTCATGCATGCTCTTGTGTTTGTGTGGGATGTGTGAGCTCATGAGTGAGTGAGTGTGTGTTTGTGTTTGTAAGCATCACTTACCAATCTCACAGTTTTCCCCGGCGTATCCTTGTGGGCAGTAGCAGCTGTAGCCTGTTCCCTGAGGAAGGCACTTTCCTCCGTGCAGACACGGGTTTGTCACGCAGGGCTCCACCTCCACTAAAATAAACAGATGAATTTAAGCAGACAGGCAAACTAAGGATTAAAGAAAAGAGAGTAGTGCTGTGGAGATGAAAACTTTCAAATGTGCTTGATTTTGGTGAAGATTAAACGTGTGTTAAAGTTCGTGAAACCAAAGAAGCGTAGAATATTAAAAATGACCTGAATTTTCTTTTGTTTCTGCTCACTTCATCTGACTGTATTTTCATAAGACTATTTGATTATTATTTTTAGTAAGGTAGTTAATGATGATTTTATTTTGAAAGGGTAAGGCTGTAGGAGAACAATTTGAGTTTCAGAAAGCACGAAATAAAACTCCACTTTATATATATATATATATATATATATATATATATTTTATATATAGCGTGTATATGTGTCTTTCAGATTAAGCATGGATGTGTATAAACCAGCAAAGATTTATCTCCATCTTATCACAATTTCCTATTTTTATACAGGAACTTTATTGATCCCCAAAGGGAAATTCATTTATTCATTCATTATCTACTATCCTCTTACTATGCTCCCACTAATAGACGGCTATTAGATGTCTGTTTTTTTTAGACCTCATTTCAACCGTCTAGAGTCTGTATTTTAGACAGAATTTAGACGTTGCACTTCAACCCATCATTTGATAACTATTTATTTCGAAAAGCAACTGGGAGTTACATAATTGATCTCCAAGTACTTAACCAAAATAACTATGAGAGCTGTTGAGCAATAGAAAGTGTACAATGGACGTTTAAAAAACTTTTATTTTTAGACCTGTGGTAGTCTGATTTTAGACCAGTCAAATTTAAATGACTTTCAACCTTAAACAAAGCAGAATAACAGCATTGAGCTCCTGTGAGTGTGACATGAGAGGAAAACCAGTGAACATTTATTAAAGTTGGACTGAGACTGGACTGAGAATTGTTAACAAGTGTTTATTTTTTAGCTTATTATTTAGTTAATGGAAGCAAGGAAATCTTATTGAGAATATTTAAAGGGATGCAGACTATTATAATACAGATACAGGATGCAGTCATGTAAAAGGATGGTAAAAACTTTTGCTGTTCATCTTTTTGCTCCTACAGTTCAACATTTTTATGATATCTTCAGGAGCCTCGGTCAAAGATATCTTTGTGAATCAAGAATTGGAGCACCAGATCATCTTAAAGCTGTACTGGGAAAATATATTGTGTTTGTGAACTCACAAGCTGAAGTATGAGCCATTACTGCATGATATCTGACATGTATTTCCATTAGTGCAATAACAGAGTGAATGTATAGGTGACCAACTGTTTGCTTTGACATGTTCAGTTGAGTGTTTCTATAAAAATAAAGTACAGAAGAAAAAAAATGCTAGGCATGCGATGCTATCTCAGTGACAGCTGTATGAAGCTGCATGGCTCAAACACGATTCCTCTTCACCACCACTCAGACTCTGAACAAAACAAAAAATCATGTTATGACTCAGAGAGAAAAAAAAAACATGTCATCCTTTCTCTGTAATTGCTGCGCAGCCAAAAAAATCCAGCAGTTACAATACACGCATATCCATTTCACACTCGGTCTCTTTTCAAAGGGATCAGAAGCCAGAGAGCCTCAACCCTCACCATCCACTCGCAGCCACAGTTGTCATGGCAACCATATGGAAAGCAAGGCCTTGGCTCTCTTCAGCATGAGCGTAGTGGGCATCGTGAGAACTTCAGACATTAGGGTGTCCTCGACAGAAATGAGCAGACCTCCCGCTGAGCGTATTCACCCCTGAAATGCGTGCGTGTGTGTGGTCTCCTTCCACAATTACACATTTCCATATCAATTGACACACACCACCACGTGTTTCTCCCCTGAGCCGCTCATTAGAGCAACTTAAGGTCTTTGAAAACCACCACTCGTTCATCCTGGACGCTAAAGCCTCGGCTGTGGGAGTCTTTGTTCTCTCTCTCTGACACTGAGCACTGCCTGGGAGGGGGTGGTGTGTGAGACCGATGGTGTGTGTGTGTGTGTGTGTGTGTGTGTCGGTTTGTGTGTTTGTGTTTACACGGTATGATGAGCGAAAATCAATACCCCGACGATGATAAGCCTTGAGGCTGATCCCATCCAATAACTAACAAGGAGCAGACGTCTCAAGCTCACACTCTCTGAATGATCATCATGTCAGTGTTAGAAAAATAAACGTTCAGGGACAAAAAGACATCTTTTTTTTTTGTTTGTTTGTTGTTTTTATTTTTTTTTAATGATTCTTTCACACTTGTCACAAACTTATCCAGATAATGTCAAACAGATTTTTTCTCTGCCAACAACTCAAGAAACCAAACATGTGTCACCAAACATAATGAAGAGAAATCCATTAGAAAGGGTGGTTTGGCGTGGTGGTTAGGTTGTGCGCCTCATATACAAAGGCTGTGGTCCTCAAGAGGGTGGCCCATGTTCGATTCTGACCTGAGACCCCTTTCTGGCATGTTACCCCCACTCACTTACCCACTTTCCCGCTCCATTCAATGTCCTGTCCCTTCAGATTAAAAGCATTAAAGCTTAAAAAAAAATCAACAAAACATTCAAATACCCTTTATTGATTTACTTTTCTTTAAAATCATTTCTCCCATACTCCCTTTCAGACTCATCGCGATCATGCATCATTGCCTCAAAACTTTGCCAAAACAGTCTTTTTTCTATTGTTTGTCCTACGTCTATCAAAGAGACAAAAAGATTGAGAGTTTTCACTCATAAACACAGGGAATTCTCAATAACATCAGCTATATAGATTTATGTAAAGTTTGGTGAAGGAATCTCATCTCGAGGGTTAGAATTCTGCTGAAGTCAGGTGCTAAAACCAGCCATGCATTTCATTAAATGCACATCAGTCCAGGCTGGAGTGAACTTCCACCCTCTTCATCAGTTGAGGTTATGACTCGCTTTGACAAATATCAACTGTTATGACAGCCAGATTTACTGCTGAACGTGTGTGTGTGTGTTTGTAACCGCGGGTGTGTGTGTGTGAAAGATAAACCTGGTGCGATTCATTAAAGCGAGTGGTGCAGAAAAAATCAATAGCGTGTGGAAGAAGCTGACAGAGTGGACGGTCCCTTGCTCTGCACTGCGGCCGACTCTGCCGGCACAAACAACAACAGTAAGCTGGCAACAGCAAAATCCAACTAATAAGTTTACAGAGACAGGACAGTAAAGGGATGAAACTCTGCAGCTGAAAAAGCTACGATGACTGGGAGTATTAATCCGCACATCATAAAGAGCTTCTACTGACTGTAATCACAGCTACAGACAGAGCGGAAATATGGTTTACTTTGGAAATATGATTCTGGGATAAGAGCTGCAGACCTCACAGACGGCTCAGGCATTTCCGTAAAGGCGGGCGAGCACAAGGAGAAAGATAAAACAAAGAAAAATTGGCTCTTATTCAAATGTAAACTACAGATGGTGTGATACGAAGAACAAGCAATGGTAAGAAAGTTGATTGCATTGTGCTTTTGTGCTCTGAATAAGAATACTTGCAACAATGTGGCTCTTACTAAAGGTCCCTGAATACAACCTCAGGCCTCTCTCTTTTTTTCTCACCTCTCCCTCATTGATTGAGCTGACTGATGAAGTGCTCTGTGATCCAGTCAGGAGAGAAAATACTGACCAACACCATGAAACCCAACCACAAGGGACGGAGCTGCAGCAGCCAGCGTGTTTGTGTTGAAGGAGAGAGAGAAGAAAGCTGAAAGTCATTATTCTGCTCCAGTCTCGTGGGACTGCATCCATCTACTTGTGCTGCTTGTATAGCAAAGATATCATTGTGTGTTTGTGTGCTTGTTTATGGCCTTTAGCCCGCATGACTCCAGGGTCTCAGTCAATCAATCAGCCCTCATACTGTACACCAGCAGCCCACATGGTTGCCCTCGGCTCCTTGTCGATACAGTTTACAGCTGTTTTCCATCCGCAGACTCCTCAAACACCCCAGCAGGCAGCTGAGCTGAACCCGTCGCAGACATAAGCCGCTTTCAAAGGGAGCAAAAATAAATCACCACAGAAATGTGTGATAGCATGATGCCCGTGGGGCTTTCAAATGCCTGGTGATAGGATGTTTCCTGTGCGCACTCTCATTATCAAGTGAAGAAATAAGAAGTGAGCCAGGTGGCTGGCCAGGATTTTCACTGAGATATACCGTGTAGCAGACTTAATCAACAGATTATATATGATGGCAGGAGCGTGGCTTCTGGTGGGAATAAAAAAAAAGGTATGCAGTCAGGGAACACGCACTGAATTTTTGAATAAATATGCCCATGGCGAAGGCAGGAGAGGAAATGAAAAGTCAATCTCAAAGGGTGCTTATTTTAGTCGAGCTGTATTTTTTGTTATGTATGATAAGAGTCTACTCACCAAAGTAATTCCTGTGACAAGCAGGGACATTGTTACAAGTGAATGTAGCGGAGCCAGAATCACAAACAGCCACGATCACTTTAGTTTTTGACAATGTTGGGCAAGCTGGCGAGAATTTATCAATCACTCAAGACTTAATTCTCATTTACAAACGTTTACACTGGCAGAAAACACAGAGCAGCGTTGTAAATGTTCTGTTCATTAGGACGGCGGTTGATTTTGACTAATACTTGCTGCTGTGCTCATTACTTAGACGTATTTTTAATGTATTACAGTCATGTATCCTGTGTTATATTTCAATATATGGCTGCTTATTATGCTTATCAGTAGTGTATTTCCTGAAATGTTCTTTTTTTGCTTTATAAGCAGCTAGCTTTTGGAGGTTGAAATTTCTTTTTCTTATTCATTCAGCTTGCACAAATTTCTTTTCCCAGAACAGCTAAAACTTTTAGGAAACTAGATTATAAAATAAACAAGAAGGTCACTTCGAGGACGCTCAGGATTTTCAGCCAAAAAGACCAGAAGTCTGAGTTGAGTTTAGCAAACGTGTTCAGAAAATTCTGGTACAGAAAGCTTTTCAGGTTTAGACGCTTTCACTATGCGAGGCAGGGTTAAGAGGTCACGCTGACTGGAATGAAGAGAGATCATTTTACTCTCTTTGTAAATGTACGGATATTTCATGAGTATTTTGGGAACTGCTGTTAAGTGACACAACTTGAGTACAACTAGGCATGCACTGATCTGATATTTGGATCGGATATCGGCTCCGATATTGACAAATTAAGTGGATCGGATATCTGATGAATGAAGGTGATCCAACGTCTTTTTTTTTCTTTTATTTAATATCATAAACAGCAACAGAGCAATTCTGTTCACTCTATATTCTGTCTGTCTAGCCTTTTGCACTAAATTTTTACATGGAAGTCTTACTTCTTTTTGATGTGTGCTAATGTGCAATTTGTTATTTGTTAATAAAAAATATTAAGTAAATTTACATCTGTGTTTTCTTTTTTTAACAAGGCTAATGTCAAGCCTGATGCCTTCACACACAGGGTGAGGTATACAGCTCATTTATTCAACAGTAGTATTGAATCGGTATCAGATATCGGCTGATACGCTCAGCCCAGGTTTTGGTATCGGAAAAAAATGGATCAGTGCATCTCTAAGTACAACCCTTCTAAGTTTTTCCATTAATGTAATGTATTATTGACCCAAACACTATAACTGCTAAGACTAAGAGCACTATCTCTCTCTCCTTGTGGTTAAAATACTGTATTCACAGATTCTCAGTTTGACTTTGTGAGAAAAATTTCTCTGTTACCAACAGAAATGACTGTCCCACTCCAGGGCTCATATGCAAGTATGGAAATTATGGAAAAGTATGGAAATAAATTTGATCAATTACCAGTGAAAAATAAAGTGTGGAAAAATATTTATGTTTCCAGACTATTACCACAGTTCTAAAATACCGTTTTTTAAAATTAAAAAAGTAGGTATTTCCAAAAAATAATTCTAAAACGTAGGGTATGGAAAAGCATGGAAATTCCAACTGTGTGGGAACCCTGCCGATAACAAATGTTGAAGCTTTTTTTTCATAAATCAGCATTAATCTTTTGTTATAATAATTTCTATATGTAATATCTATTTGGATTTATTTATGAGGTAAATAAAGCAGACTAACAGGACAATACAGCATCTGAAATCAGACATGCAGCACTAACCTGCTGTGCTTAGTGTTATGGTGCTGATGTTGACTCCTCCTCTGCTCTCCTCCTCCATGTTGCCAGGTAACAGGGCCCCTGAGCCCACAGCATGAGACCAAGCTGGCTCCTCCTCATCTGGGGGACCCGTCAGTAATGGAGGATAATCCAGAGAGCTGTTGAGAACTGCTTTGTCCACCGGGACCCATTTCAGAGATGTCTGGGGTTTGCCCTGGTTATTCAAGCGACCAGGTGGAGCCGGCTCTTTTGATCCAGATGATTGAGAGGGAGACAGGGATGGGGTTTGGGGATTGGGGGAGGATTGGGAGGGGGAGGGGGAGGATGATTGAGACAAGGATGGAGATGGAGGTGTGGATGTGGCAGTATTGGATGGAGCCATTGAGGTTGAGGGTTTGGGGGTTTCTCTTGGTGAAGAAGATGGGGACCCAGATGTGGATGTTCGAGCACTTTCTGTCCAAGCTGTGGTCATCTCTGTGGAGTCCAGAGTGGTGGTTGACGTTGTGGTGGTGGTTGACTGCCCCCTCCTGTGCCCTCTCTCTCTGGATCTTTCTCTTGATCTTTCTCTTGGTTTGCTTGTTCCAACAGGTCGACGTGAAACTTGTATCTCCCCCTTTGCTTCAGCACCGGTGATTTCTCCACTCCCCTCATATTCTCCTTTCCCTTTCTCCTCTCCTCTGCTCCTGTCCTCCCCTCTATTCTTCTTCCCCCTTCCTCTCCCTCTTCCACCAGCTCTAGAAGTTGCTGTTTCATCCTTCTTATCTCCTGATCGAGTCGTGGTCTCCGCCTCAACACGGACCCAGGTTTCTGCGCTGGATGAGGTGATTTCAGGCGTAGAACTGGAGGCGGTGGACATCTCTGGATTCTCCAAGCTCTTGGCACTCAGTGTAGTCGTGGACTTACTGGAGGCAGCTGAAGTCGATGCCAGACGAGTGGGTGAGTCTTCAGGGGTGGGTGTAGAGTTTTCCATCGAGGGGCCGCTGAACCATGAACTTCCCCAAGAAAACAAACCTGTGAAAGGCACAAAAAAACAAAGAAAAACAAGGTGAGTCAGGAGTACAACCATGGCCGACTGAGAATAGCCAAAAAAGGCAAAGCAAGGAGTGGTAAAAAGAAGTTTAAGTGACCTTATGCAATCACTTTTTCTGTCAAGAGAGAGAAAACAAACACTTTTAAGCCATCTAAGCTATCCCTCAGCTATTTATCCTTATCACTATATCTCCATCGTCTGGTATTTTATCACCAACAGCGAGCAAGGATCCTCCGAGGAGACTGTGAAGAAAAACATTTGAATGAAAGGTCTGAATAACATTGAACACTCTACTTGCAATATGTTTAACACCTTTTTAACACAAGGATACTACATTTATAAAAGGAGAAGGGCAGCAGAGCTCTGTTAAGTTGTTTCATATCATCTTGAAGGTTCTACTTTGAAAGGTCAAACATAAAGCACCGGGCTCAAGTGTGAGCTTTTCAAACAATGTTACAACTCTTGCTTTATGTCAAAATAGTGTGATATGATAATTACCAGTTTGTGACCTGCAAGTGCCATTCATGTCAGCATTCGTCTTATGATTCATAAATAGCTAATTATATCGCACCAGTCCCCTGTAAGCTCAGTAATTCCACTTTACATTTAACAACATTTAAGTGCATGTAAAGAAAGTCTGAGAGGTCAACCAAAATACTTCAACTATTTTAAATCATGAAACGATGTAAGTGTGCAGTCAACTGCATGCTTGCAATTTCTGCACGACTTTGCCATCCATCTCATGTGAACTGAGTCCAGCATCAGGCAACCGACAGAGCTTCAGAGCAGCTGAACTCAGTGCTGTGTGAAAACATCAATCTTAGGCTGTTAAATTCTCAACGTGGCTTAAAGGTCTGAAATCTTCCTGAACTTTCACACTCACACAGACACACAGACACATATACATCCAGTTCACACTGAATTCAACTGAAGACCACCACAGCCCCACATATTGCTTCTGAATTTAATCAACAGCCCTGAAACACAGTTTCAACGAACTCTTTACCGAGGCGCCTGCAATTTGGAAACCACTTAAATCCACAGCCAGCACATAAAAACCTGTAAAGCTGCTGGGACCTTGAGACACAGACCACAGGAACACAAGTTGTTCAATTTAGCTTTTTTTTTCTCCAATCATCTGCAGGCCTGTGTTTGTTGACTGAAAGAAACCCACATGACCTCTGACTCAATATTGATAATGTGCAAGCGGCTGAAGACAGACACCCAGAGAAACGATTTTTCTGCGTTAATACAACAGTGTCAAAATGTTTGTGTTGAAGGTGAAGAATAATAATTTAACAGCAGCCGTTTATGGAGGAGATTTCAAGAGTTATTCTAACCGAAGCAATTTCCTCTCTTTACTAAATACTCAATCTTACCGACTGACAAACTCAATGTCTTTTACTCTTGCTTGTTTGTCCTTAAGTTCATCAATAGGAAATAAGACCTTTCTGAAACTTGTTTACCTTTTCATCTGGCCTTATACTTAAACCATACTCAACAAGACAAAATGGATACCTTCAATTACCTTTCTGTTGAACTTCTTGTCATCAGTCTAATATCACTTTTAGAGGACCAAAACTATGGAATGATCTGGATGTATCTCTAAAATCAATATTATCCTTCAAATCCTTTAAAATATCATTGAAATCACATCTAATCATGTCTTAAACATGTCATTATCTGTTATGTTCATGTTTCTTTTCTTTTGATATAATTTCTCTATCTCTAGTTGGGCTGGTTGATGATTAGTCTATGGTCTATTTATGGCAATTTGTATATGTTTTGACCTTTCCCTTCTCATTGTATATCTATAACCCATCCATGTCCAAATTACTTTGTTGTTTACACCCTATGTCTTTACTGCCCTGACAGGAGTGGAACTCTATCAGCTAAGCCTATCTGCTTGGTTCCCTCCTTGTACTGTTTTTAATCTGTGCTAAATAAAATGCAATATACAAAAGTTAATGATAACAGATTTATGCCCAGCATGCGTGTTTGTATAGGTCTCAAATAAGGAACACCTCAGATAGACTGGCGATCAGGGCTGAACATCTCCTAACACAGGGTCTTAAATTGTCAGCCTGCACACAGGGAGACATTTATTATTATTCATCTAGTCACACTTGTAGTTCTGGGTGCAATCAAAAATGTTAAATTCAATCAAATAAATGACTAAAAAAATAATAGTCAGTTTATTAAGCTTTAATGAGACTAATTGGGATTGTTTTTATATGCCAAACTAATTACATCAAAACAAAATTAAGCGAGTCGCAGACTTGATAAGAATAGTTTTTGATTACAGGTGGCACTTAAACAAGGAATATGGGTGGAAAATATTGGGGGACAATTCATCTCATCTCATCTCATCTCATGGGTAATTCTTAATGGTTCCATTACACTGGAAACAGTGTGAGCTGCTGCGCAACGATAAACAAGAGGAATAAAAAGAGACATCTTACAGTTAGTATTTTTGGATTACTGGTCACCCAGACTCACAGGAGCACAACCATCTACCAGCGGTCATAAACAAGAGTCTAACACATGTAAACAGGATCTGTTCACGTGTGTTTACATGCTAAAACAAAATGTACTACACTAATCATCATATTTCTGTAGTAAATTCAACAACTTGTGAAGAAAATTAACAATATTAAACCTGAATCTCTGAAGCAGAACAGCTTCCTTTACCTTTTTAACATTGACACCATTCATGTAAAATAATTATGTATATTAATGAAGATGCATGTACTGCACAGTGTGAAAGACGTCATTACCCCCAGCTCACCCACCATCACACCTGATGTCAATCACAGCTCGTTAGCACCTTTACAAAGAGCAGACCTGAATAGCGACAGAGGTCAGACTGCGTTTACTTTGCTTACACACTTAAACTCACATTCCTGTTGTTCTTGCAGAAAAAAAGAGTGAATTTTTGACACTCTCCTGTTAAAACTGACAAACATCTACTCTCCCAGATGTACTTCTTTCTAGTCAGTTTCTGTCATTAACCTTTTTTTCCAGGGTTCGTTTCCCTACCGTGTAATTAGTGTACCATCCTGTCCCAACATCACAGACCTGGGCTAATAAGTGCCTCATGAGCAACATATTCAAAGTACTGTACATGTTCAAACACCACCGTGAGCATTCCTGTTTAATTTTAACTCAGTTCCTGTGGCCTTGCTCCTGCTCCAGCTTGCCATGCAGACAACACACATACTCTGAGATCTAAATACAAGGTCACCTACAGTATTGATAGTAGTAAGTTAAAGGGGATAAGCCTCTAACTAACTAAAGGCTTTAACTAAAACTAGAACGGCTTATCATAACCGTACATCCATTGCTGCCATGTGTGGTGACATAGACTAGGAACCATCAAATGTCAGGCGTAAATGTAAGCTGCTTCGCCGATGGTATAGGTTGGTAAAGACGCCTGATCATGGATTAACAAAAAAGTTATTTAACTGGGAGATATCAAATATGTCTCCTTGGGCCAGTGAGATGATTTTTTTTTCATTGCTGACTTGTCATATATTTTTTATAATAAACTTTGTTGTAATGTTCAAGATGCTAAAAATATATTTTTTGAAAAATATATAAAGAGATGGTCTGTAGAAATAATGAATAAACCCACATTCAGAACTTTTTGTCTTATAAAAATCATATATGCAGTTGAAAATATGTTGAACAAAATATAACTAAAACTCTAAGATCTCTTTGTGCTCATTTGTGTTCAGGCACTTTACCACTGGCCATAGAGACAGGCAGGTTTAGTGGTGTACCAGAGGAACAAAGACTTTGCCTGATCTGTGAATAAGAACAAATAGAAAATGAGATTCATTTTATGTTCCTTTGTCCTTTATATGATGAATTTAGACAAATATTCTTCAAGAAAATGATTTTTTTTTTATCCAATGATTTCTTTTACTTAGACGTGTTACATGCCCTGGGTGTTTGTGTGCTGTTTTTTCTCTGTCTCTCTCTCCCTGCAGGTTTTCTCCTCTGCAGTAGAGGTGTGGCAGGTGTGGCTGATCTGCTGATGAGCAGCAGACTATATAAAGGAGGAGAGTGCTGTGCTCTCTCTCTCCTATTTCCTCCTCTGGCAGCGATCCTGTGTGGACCTGATTGAACGAGTGTGTGACTCTGGTGTGGCTCAGTAGTGGCTGGACTGAGCAGGCCTCTGGTGGCGGTGGAGCCTGCAGTGTATTTGGTGTTTTCTTTTGTTGCCTTAGCTTGTCATTTGTGTTGTATTGGTCTTTTTCTCAGCCTAGTGCTTGTTTTAAGTTGGTTGTTTAACCTCAAAGAATAAACTTTTCTGTGTGATCAATTAACCTGGATGCCGTTACGTAACCATGGTTCTTTTTTTAACCATTGTTACTACCTTCATTCCCTTTTACATCTTTGGAACGTAACAATGATTATAAGAAACTTTAAATGTGTTTTGAAATAAGAGTTTTTTATACAGCTAACTTGATCTGTAAGGCCTGGGAAAAGAGAATTTTTTTTGTTGTATATTTGATTTGAGTTTATGTGGCTTATGGGTGTAGATATAACTATGTATACTTGTATGTTTTTCCTTTTCTTATTTTTTTACAGTTTACACACAATGCAACGCTGTCTGTTGATATCATTTAGTGTCTTATAAACCCATGTGGGTTGGGCACTTTGTGTGCATGACACTTAAAAAAATAAATTAACTAACTAACAAACAAGGAGATGTTAGTCACCAACCTATAAAAAGGAGATTATTAAACTCACCTGGTGCTGGGTTTGACTCCCCCTCTGTCTTCTTCTCAGCCGGCTCCTGTCCCCCTGCCTGGCCACTCGGTGTTTGAGTCCCCTCTTCATCTTCGGTCCCAGCAAGGTAGTTCCAAGGCTTCCAAATGGACTTGACAATCTTTGAGATCACCTTCAATATATAACGTCCATAAAAGAAACTTAGCAGTGATGATAAGGAATTTTGATCTTTATAACTTAAAGGTATATTTGGGCGTAAAATTAATTTAGGGTCAAACACACCAAGTTAGACGCCCCCTCAAGAGATAAATGTTGCCGGCTGCTTGCTTTTCTAGTTATACCAACTTAGTAACGACCGCACAATAGCAATACACAGCGGTCTGAGGAGTCACACACAAACCTCAACCAAAAAGCCACTCTATAGCCACAAATAATGCTCAGAACAGCACCTAACTTCATCAACAGTACATATAGGGTCCAAGCCACAGCACTAACCACCAAACATCTTTTCAACTTTGCCTAATTTCTTTAGCAAAGAGACTAAACACAACTCACCTACTCTCTTCCAGTAGCCGCTTGTTTGTAGCGAGACCTTGGGCAAGTCCATTATGGACTGCTGCGAGGTGACGCAGCTCAAGGAAGAACATTTATGATCATTACTTTATCATTTGCTTGAAGTAATAATCACCATATTAATCATTTTGGACTGCTGCCTTAGCGTCTCGGTCTGATTGCATTTCCATGAGGATATGATTTTTGATTGAGGTATGTGTGGCTCCTCAGAACGCTGTGTATTGCTATGTAGTCGTTACAAAAATTGGTATGACTAGAGAAGCAAGCGGTCAGCAACATTTACGCCAGAATATCCTTTTAAGTTAACTCAGACAAACCTTTTTGTCAGCAGGTGTGGGTTCTACTGGCGGTCGGAGAAACTCCTCAGAGTCTGGTCCAGGCTCGAGCAGCTCCCCCCAGTCTAATAAGGTCTGTCCTGGGATCAGCTGCAGGGTCACAAATGATCCCGAGGGCTCTGAGGACCAGGGATCTGAAGCTGAGGACACAAAGAGATGGGCTATTACCACAGATCCAGTTTCATTTGGAAAGATGTAGATCTTTTTTAGAAATCAAGACTTACGAGCATCAGTGTTATGAAAGGATTCTTCATCTTCAAGGTCAACCAGTCCAGTCCAGTTCGAGGGTGAAACATCACTGCCAGGGAAATCTGCAGGGAAAGGATTAAAACAGTTTCTTTTACAAACTGATGTGGAACAATCCGCCGCCAGATGTTCCTATCATGGAAAAATGTTAAACCTCCAGTAGTTGTAGTCTGTTGTGTAGTTGAGTCAGTATTGCCGGTCTCTGCGGAGTCAGCATCACTTGCGCCCGTAAGGTAGCTCCAGGGCTTCCACAGGGAGGTGTAGATCTGGGAGATGGAGCCTGCATTCTTCACTTTACCTGAGAAACAAACAAACAGGAAGATTTCAGCTGCTCACATGGCAGTCATGAGAGGATTTTACCCAGTTTACCTCCAAATATAGCAGAAACAGTTCAATACAATTAAACTGCTGAATGTTAGCCTAAATGCTCAGGCTTAGCACCTTTTTTCACACATGGATGTACCTGGGATAAACAGCATGAATGAGAAATCACTGTTGTCATAGCTACACCCATGGTAATGATATCTATTGTCATGGTTCCTACAGTTACAGCACTCAAAGCTTTCAAAGCAACTTTAAAATTTCGATTAAAAGTGAAACAACAATAATAATGTATTTACTGATATACGTTTGTTGTCTTTCATGATCCTTATCCTCCAATTTGATATTCATACCAACAATAAAAGGTGTATTTGCCTTATTCATAATTACCACTATCCAATGTATAAACATGAGTCAACTTCCCGTCCATAAACCAGAGTAATCTGTTCACACTATACCTCTGTAGCAGTACGCGTCATATAAAGCTGTGTTATTGTCAGCGGTGGCGTTGGGTGTCACAGTGCGGACACCTGGCTGGCTCCCTCCACAGTCTGGGCGAGGCCAGGTGGCTGGATAGCGAATGCTTCCATCAGACAGCCAGCCTGGGGCACAGCTGTCCAGGCCAGCTTTCCAGGCCAGATAGAGCTGCCCCACAGTGGCCAGCTGTCCCCCAAGAGACACACAGCGGTCTGAAGCTGAGGACAGAGACAGCCGGCCTGGAACTGAGGAGTGAAACACCTCACCTGAAAAAAATAAAACACAAGACTAAGTTTAACCAAAAAGCAGCTTCCAGCAAGAAATTCACACTGAGTGCTGTGTCATTTTCATGGTAATTAGACAACAGGCCAGTGGCTAGCAGTAGGATTATAAAAAAGGCAAGACTCTTTGTTTTCTTGTAAAAGAAAATCCTATTTAAAGACCAGGGCCAATGCCATGTTAGTCAGTGTCTAAATACTTTCTCATTTCCATACCCTGTTTGTGCACTAAGCTCCAGGCCATTTTCCACATTCACAGAGACTCCATTTTGCTCCGGAGTTATGCTGAAGGATGGAAGCTAAAAGGCTGTGATAATGATGTCGGTTCCAGGTTGTAAGTCATAAAAACATCCGTAATCTGAAAGTTTTTTATGATTTTATAGCTTCACCTAAAATAGGCAACTGAACAGACATTTCTAGGGCCACAGGTCAAGTTGAATATTAAAATTTGTTGTTGACTCGTTGTAGCTTACTTGGTTTGTCTGGAAAAAATGAATGGCATATGAATATGTTTAATCAGATGTACTTTTTTTAATGGCTTAGTTAATTTGCTCAGAAGCAAGCACTGTTATGTTTGTCAAGCATAAATCAAAGCGTTGTGGATTGAGTATTTTCGGGGACTTATGCCATGGATCATAACACATTTTGCACAGTTTTTAAAAGAGAAAAAGTTGAAAGCTGCGACAGGCCTCTTGTGTATTTGTGTGTGTCTGTGTGTGTGTGTACCATCCAGTTCTTTTGCAAAACAGTATACATCAAACAGCTCTTTTGGGTCCCTCTTCCCATAATTCCTCACTCCAGCAGAGTACTCCTTGTGTCCATAGCAACCAAGCTCTGGCATCTGGACAGAATATCTGTGGGACACAAATATGTATGAGTCAGAAATGGCAAATTTCTTCTTTTAAACCCTTTTTAAATCTTACATAAATTTTAAAATATACATCCGTAGTCATTAGACATTTAGCTGTATGGTCTTTAATGCTCAGAGATGAACCAGTTCCTGTTCATTAACACTTTAAATGTCAGTTAAAAATAATTACTTATTTGAATTCACTTTTAAAGGGCAGTGGATTAGAATAAATTAAAATTCAATTAACATCATAGAAAGAAAAGAAGTAAAAAAAGAGGAGCAGAATCATGAGCAGAGGAGGTGACAACCGGAAAAGCTGAATATGAACTGAGACCCAAGGAACCACAAAGAAAGAAACTCAGAAGTTCACAAAACAAAGCAAAGGTTCATCGCTTAATGAAAAAACAAAAAGCTGAAACTTGTTGATGGTAGTAATCTTCTTCTTTCAGCTAAAAGTGGACATTTTGGAAAACAGACTTATCTTCTTGAATTGAAATTAGTAGGTAGACTGATGTTGATGTGATATTTTTCAGGTCTGAAAAAGCCTGTTTGATTCGCTCAGTATATAAAAAAAGACTTTTGGCTCAGTCCAAAGGAAGAAGATTTCCCAGAGGCAACTTTCTACAACTCACTGACACACGTTTGTTAAATCAGTACAACAACAGGAGTTCAGAAATCCTAGCTCCTAGCAAGCTGTTTCCACCTTGTACCAAACAAAGCTAAAGAAAACTAGAACAGCTTATCACAAATACCTGAGGCTTGTATCAATATTCTCTTTTCTGTGATGAAATCTTGATGTATTTTTAGAGACAAACATCACTCACCAAAACCAACCAGGTTGAACAGACCATAAGGCAAAACAAAACAAAAGAATAATGATGGTGACAGCCTGCTCTCTCTCTCCCCAGCTGGATCTATAGAAACACTCAGAAATGTATTTCCAGATGGCAAAAGACCTAAATGATAATACTTGAAATACCTTTTAAAAAGCTGATGGGTTACATGTTTAAGTTCAGTGTGATATTTGCCAGTTATATCTTAGATGGACCATGTTTGTGATGAAAAATGACCCATCAGTACATGATAAACAGTTTTAGAAATTCCTGACTGTAAAAGATCATTTAAGAGTCGTTTGGGCTCTTCTTTCACAGTGTGCTAAGTCAACAGAATATGATATTACTGGACCCAGCAAGAAAGCAGATACATCATGCATTCTATGTCACTGTTAAATAAGTATTGTAGCAATTATTTGAGATAACAAATAAGGATATCTGTGAGTGTTATTAAGAGGAGTAGCCTGCACGGCAACTAGCCAGAGACAGCAGCAAGGTGTGACAAGCAGGAGAAAGTTATTGAGCGTCTTCTCACCGTACAGTCTGATCATCCAACCAGCCGGCTGCACAGCTGGCAAAGCCGTCATAGTAGGCTGCCCACAGCTGGGCAGGTGTGGCCATCTGAGCCGAGTTCTCCTGGCAGGCCTTCTGTGCGTCAGTAAATGAGAGGGCGTAGCGAGAGCTGAGAGCCTGGTAGTGAAACACCACACCTACACAGACAGACAAGTGAGAAGAGGAGTTTTTGAGTTTATTTGACGGATTTATCGAAACAAACAAGTTGAGCATCAATTTATCAGTGGGGATGCGATCAATACATATGTTACAAGCAGATCAATCTCACACTGTGTGAGTTTTGGCAGAAATTTTACAGATGAGCTCACAAAATCATCTGTATTCAGTCCAAAGACTTTAATTAAAAGAATTACACAATTACTCGAGTGGAAAACTAGATAACAAAACACAAACACAAAGAGCAACAGGCTGCATTAATTAAGTCAGTCATTAAGATATTGATATGGTGAATCAATGTTATTAATGTTTAATTAATAAAAAAGCTGAAAGGGGCTGGCACTGTTTTCAAGCTGCTGTTATCGTTCCCACATTAACACGACAAGTGTGAAACGAAAACACAAAATCGATTTAGTAGAAAACAAATCTCAGAGTATTTCTGTCACTGTTGCTCAGTGTGTCGGCAGCAGCTCTGCTTATTTTACATGGTTTAGCTTTCTCCCAGACAGTATTTACTGATCTTACCAGAGACCACCAGGGGCACAGTGTCTCTCTGATAGTTGTTGCCCATGACAACCTGACAGCGGTAAGTGCCTGAGTCGTTGGTACGGAGACCAGAGATCTCCATGGTAGCATTCAGAGGGTTGGCAGAGTATCCTGGCAGCATGACCCGGCCGCTGAAAGCCTTATTCACCTTGATTACATCACCTTTGGCAAAGAAAGAAGAGCACTTCATCAAAAGAGTCATGATTTTACATTTCCAAATGAAATGAAGACACAACATCAAGGCTCAGCAAAGCATTACTTCAGTCAGCCTCCAACTAGAACTGAACACACATCATTGTCCTTCAACATTCAGAGTAGTTTTGTAGCTTTGACTTTTTCTTATTTTCTTTTGCTCCTGGTTGAGATTTGGCTAAGACCAACTAAAAAACAAGATTTCTAACATGCCATAAAACAAGAGATTGGCAGTGATTTCAGATATGACCTGCATGGATAAGAGCTGTTCTATGAAGTATCATACATGACTGTCCAGCAACATGAGCTAAAATATGAAAAAAAACCTATGTCTTTAATTGGATTTGTAGTTATAAACTAATAACTACAGTTTTGAACTATAATTGGCCTTCAGTTCAAAGGTTTGTTTGTTTATATTCTCTGACTATCTTTCCTTATGCTCCATTTTCTTGGCTCGTCAACATATGGCAGAAACATTAGTCAACATTAGTCTGTAGTTTCTACCTCTAAGACTAAAGTAACACTTGCTTATATTGCCAAGCTTTTGCTCATGGTGGACAAATCTTGATTCTCTCTCAATATCAGTATTAACTGATTGACTTCCATCATTCAATGCAACTAGAGAGCAACCACTAAATAGTAAATGTAATTATGGTGCATGTCATATAACATATAATATGAACAAGGGTCTCTTGGTTTCAAGGTTTGTGATTTTCTTTAACCTTAAGTGTTCATAAAAAGATGGACAACATGCCAATTTTCCAAAAGTGAAGCCAAGACGTTCTGAGCTTCCCCTACTGACTGGCTGTGCAACAAGTTATAGGCACAACTCCTTGTTAATGAATGGGACGTGTCAAACTTGAAAATTAGAATAAACGCCAACTAATTTATTCTGATTACAGTTTGTTATCATGCTTAATTATATCTTGGTGCTCATCTTACTAGAAACTTTGATTTAATTAATGATTTGATGATAACTAAAAAAGGAGTGTAACAAAAGGAGTGCAGACAAATGCAGCTCCTGAAAGACTGTGTACAGCAGAGTAAAGGAGAAACTGCGACAGCATGACACAAGAGTCTCTGAACTATCTATACACACAGTGACTGAAGAGGACCGCCAAAAACAGAGTGTTACGACTTTATGTTCAGTCTGTGGATAGTTGTTAGCCCCCATAGGGTCACCTTTGATAGCACAGAGGGATCTTTACCTTTGTTCCCATAAGTGTAAGATGTTGTTTGGTTTGTAGGAGTTGCCTGTTATGGTTGGACATTCACTGTGCAATTACAAAAAAACGTGAGAGGTTTTCAGCAGCACCTATATGCCTATTATAACTCCTCTCACACAAGGTAAATTACACAAGGACTCTTGCTTCTCAGTCAGGGTTTAATTACAGCTTAATCAGCCTCAGCGAACCTGGCTGCAATTACGTTTACTCACCAGCCTTAAACTAATAAACTAAAAGAAATAACACAAACATTTTACTCTTCTTGAGAATGCAAAAAGCCTTGCTGTTCCAATATTTATCCTTATAATCCATCCTGTTACTTGTTTTGATATAAATCATTACACATAATAAAGTGGACTGTAAAAACAATGAGTGTCTGGTAGATTTTGGAAGCCTCCAAACACAGTGTCAGGTGGAAAACAAATATATTTACATATGCGAGGATAGGAAATGTAGTCAAGAGAACAAAGAGAGTAGGGAAGACATGCAGTGAAGGGTTCGTGAAACCAGAGACCGCTTCAGTGATGATGTAGCCTGTTCATAGAGAGTGCGCTCCTCACCCGGCCAACCGACGCCTCCACTCTTTCATTTTCAACGGTACATTGACTTGTTGCTTGTAGCCAACATTTTGAAATTGTTGATTACAGACAATGACTCATTTAGTTTAAGTATTGCAGCTTGAAGTAATGAACTGAACGCTGAATAAAGTACCTGAATTCTCACTGCTCATGGCCTTAACTGGATACCCTCTGTTGCTATGCCGGTAATGGCTTGTTTTGTCCATTTTCACTGTAAATAGCTGCATCTAAAAAACAAGGCTGGTGATTGGTGAGACTGAAGACGAAAACAGACAGGTTCTAGGTAGTAAAACCAAAGCATTTAACTGAAATACACCAAGACTTCAGAGCAGCCACGGATAGATTAATTCAATCTGCACAGAGCTTTCACTTTGCTAAAACCCTTTCATTCAGGGAGGTTTGGAGCACTTAGGTTGTACAATGAAAAACTCTCCTTAGAATAATTATCTCATTTTAATTCAGGGAGCTGCTTCTGTCAGCTTGTTGAGCTCTTTGCTTCTGTTTTATGAGATCCCCACACTGATTCATCTAATGGAAAAGGAGATCAGCAGCACCGGGTGATAACAATGTGTGAATGCCTTTTTTTTTAATTCATGTAGTTATTTGATCCGAGGTTGGTATAAAATATTGCAAAACTTGTTCTCAGCTTGTTCTCTCATGTTTTCATTTATGTGGGTCATTTCGATCTGCACCGAGACCAGGTGATTGTTTCTTTGTTTTACCTTTGGCAAAGAGCACAATCTGCTCCTTAGCACCGTGTCCTTTTGGTGCGGGAGGCGTGATATGAGTCCACACAAGGCTAGGGGACTGGCTGGAGGAGCCAGGCTGGAGGGTGAAGACACAGGGGAGGATGGCTTTGCCTGCCAGTGATTGTTGCACTGTTGGATGGGTGATCCTACGCATGTTCACCATGGAGGCGGCTGCACCTACAGGGGACAAGCAAGACAATAGTGCATAATTAGATGATGCAATTAGATATATTAGAGACATTTTGCTAGCGAGTGAGGAAACAGTGATTCAGGCAATGAATCCTTTTCTGGCAAATGAATCTGATGTTCAGTTATAGGGGAGATATAGTATAGTATTCTTAAATAAGCAAGGTAAGTAATAGATAGAGGCTAAAGGTTATAACTCTGAATGAGATTTTCAGGGATTTGTTCGGCTCTTACATCAATTTCTTTAGAGCACAAACTCGTTTTGATCATTTTAGCAAAAAAAAATAAAATCATGAGGATCCCAAGGTCATCCAAGCAATTTTACACAAAGTAACTTACAGGCTCCAATTTACTTTTTTTGATTACGAGCATTGCTTCTATTTCTGATGTTTATTTTCTCTCTCTGCACAAATGATCCCAAATGAATAAAACTAATTAATTTAAATTCATTTCATTCAGGAGAAGCACCAGTGTAAGAGTCCCTGGCTCTTCAGAGTGATATCAGTTATTCACTCTGTCGGGTTGCCGTGAAATACAGGTTCAATGTAACCATGACAACAGGATCACCTGTATAGGCATTATCCTCTAACCAATAGATTCCTGCCTTTCTGTGGCTTTATCCTGTATGCAGCTTTGTGCGGGTTATCGGTGTGAGTGTAGTGAAGGTTGAATTACTTTCTTTAACACAAGAAACTTTACGGCCTGAAATAAAGGTGCATTTCCTGAAAATGCATTAGTGTAGGATAATAAATACTCCAGTACTCAAGCCTTTAAAAAAGATTATGAGATGGGTCTGAAATGTTGAAATCTCTAGAAACAGTGAGTAAAAAGACCTTTGGTTACTTTTATTTTTGTTTTCTTTGACTCAGAGGAGAGCAAAACAAAGACAAAAGGTTTAAAACGGATCTACGTACGCTCATTAATAATTCATGATAAGTTCATGAGCTATTTCTGCTCACAAAATCAAGGACTGTCAACACAGCTCCAAAAAAGGCTGCAGACATCTTTATAAAGCTTTAATAAGCTTAAAATATTTTGCTTAGGGATTTTTTCATTTGTTTCATGCCCTTGCCTCCTCTTTTCAAATCTCCCATTGTTAGTCAGTTTGTAGAAAATTAAATGAGAGTGACAAGAAAGCCGGTGGTAAAGAAAAAATAACAAAGGCTTGTTTGGAAAGCGCACATGCTGGAGTTGAATTGCGGAAAGAAATTTCCATCTGCATTTAGATTGGACAGCTTTCACAGTCTGAACCCCCCGAGAGCATCTCTTGGTGCTGAACAACGCCCCCACTGCCTTCCCCCCAAAAATCAGATGTAATCACAGAATCACAAACACCAGAGAAAGAGGAGAGGGAGGCAGAATGAGGAGAAAGGAAAGGGAGGCAAAAAGGAGGAAAACCAGGGGTTGGGATGTAAAAAAAAAGAAAACCTCCAGAAGAGGTTTCTTGAAATAGAGGAAATTGAGAGAGGGCTTTGTCATTAGATGACAAGTGTACCTTGTAGCGTGTCAGTGACAGATGGGACAAAAGAAAAACAGTCTAAAAAGAGGAAGAGGAGGCTGGGAGTGACATGAAAGGACACTCTCGATCATTAACAGATGCCATCTCTTATTCCTGTCAGTCCTCCTCCACAGTCCAATGAGCTGTTTGGATTACAGATACACTGCAAGGACAGATTCACAGATCATATCCTCAAACTGAATCTGCCAACCCAACTTATTAATTTAAGACCAAAAAATAGTCCTTAAATAAAACAAGAGTACACTAAAAGAAAATTCTAGCCACCAGCGGTGATGTAGCAGCATTTTTATTGTCTCACAAACTTTCTTCAAAGTTACTTTATGAAGCTGGAGGCAGCAGCACATTATCTTGTTTTTCTTTTAGACTTGGAGAACTTAGCCGACTCTGTACAAAGGGAAACCAGATCCACCTACAAGCTCCCGTAGACTCACTAGAATTATATTTTTAACCAGGAGCACTTACAACCTGGGGCCACCATTCATCTCCTGTTGAATGGGTGGCTTATTTGCCTCCTGGATACCGGGCCAAAAGATGGTGCACATGCAGTCAAATAAAAATGCTCACCAAAAGACAGAATCACTAACTAATTTTAAATCATTTTCTGTGTTAGAGGACAGTTTGATAAAAACAAAGTCTCCGAGGATTAAAACTTTACAACAGGAGTTAAAGTTGCCCTTGCCTTTTATATAAGATGTCCTGTCTATATTTTTTGAAAGTGGTGTTTATGTAATGGTCATGGCTTTGATTCATTCAGAGTGGACAGGACAGTGAACAGAGTGAGAAAGAGTGAGGAGTGACCTGCAAGGACAGAACCACAGGCTAGAATTGAACATGGGCTGCCTGCTTGAGGTATAACCTCTGTATATGTTGTACGCACACAGACCTCCATGCAAGCAGCTCTCCAGTGCATGGGATACTTTTTTAAATTTACCATGGGTGATTTATTTTCCTGAAATACAACCAATGGCCACCAGGCAAAACTATGTGAGGTGCATACACTGCATTCATGGCTAGTTTGGAAGTTTTTGACTCAATTAAAATGAACGAGGTACTTTTCTTTCTTCAAACAGAGCCAGACTATCTCTCTCCTCTGTGAGTTTTCACATTGAGCCAAACTCATCAATTGTTTCAGATCCAGAGTGTAGAACGATTCCCTTACAAAATAAAGCTGATAAGATGTCAACTTTTCTGAGTCTCCTGTGAAACTTTTCAATTTAAATCCCATGGCAATTAATTTCCTCAAATCAAATAAGCACCATTTGAAAGGTTTACTGCAAGTGGAAAACTCTTAAGATGAAATTTGAAGCAAGTGTGAAAGTGCAAAAAAATGGTTTAGTTCTCAATACCACATTTTTTTAAATCTTTAAAACGGATTAAATCTCACCTATTTTGATTATGCACAGCTAAGATATTTGCATAAATTTGGGCGACAAACCATGCAGCCGAGTTGACATCATTGTCATTGTTTGCAAGGAGGCCAGAGGCCCACCTGAACTCTACCTCTTCACAAGTTTCTAGACTATTTAAAAGGTTTAAGCGTTTCCTGCTATTTTTGAGATGCTAAACCAACTCTGGGCATGTCAAAATACTGTAGTTTTGTTCTGATTTAATACTTAATACACGAACACTACATACACGTCCTGATCGGATCACTTTATTCAGCATCCATGACCACAATGAAGATGTAATCTCTAATCTGAATAGTTTTAATCAGGTTGAAGAAAAACTGCCCTCGTAAATATAGTTGTTATAACATTGTTATTGCCTCATAAATCTGAAAAATAAAAGAGTGTGTATTTACCAGATGTTTTCCCAGATAAACTATAGAGTCGTGCTGCTATCACTAAATGTCAACAAAGTCATAATTTAACTCCAACAGAGAGAAAGAGAGAGCATTTACTCCGCGCCCTGTAAACAGAGAATGAATCTCAAGTGTACAGTAGACCATTTCAGTTAGTGAACCTTGTTATCCAGCTGTCTTAATTTAGTGCAATATGTCTATGATACTTTGTTGAGTGAATGAAATCAATCAAAATGTAATTTTTCAAACAGACTTTATTCTACATAAATAAAAAATAAATTTATTCACTAATTAAAATGTTTCAAAAAATGTTTTAAATCCTGTGATGAGAAGGTACATGTAGGCAGCGTACAGATATTTTTGTGCTTTTATTCGTGGGTGGATAGGTCCTGGTGCATCAAAAATGGCCATAACATAACTGAATGTAGAGTAAAAACTGTCAAAGTGAAATGGCAAGTAAGATCATGTTTTGATTTTTAAGAGAGCAGAGCTGTGCTCCTCTAAATAAAAATCCAGAATAACATCACGCATACCAATCGCAGAAAACGTAATTAAGGAGATGAACTCATCTTTACAGGCTGCATGTGGCACCTCAAACCTGCGATACTATCCTCAGGGGACCTGCAGCTTGGAGATGTTTTGTCTTTTTGCACCATAATTGTGAATTTTATGCATAGTTGTAATGGAACAGATGGTGGGCTAAACTTGCATAAATGGCTTTGGAAGTTTTCCAGCTCAATCCCACCGTGCATGTCTGCAAACATCCTCAGCATGTCAGCCCTCATTTGCAACACTGAAATTAGCACAGACCTTTCCCGTGGATTTATGTGCGTTGAAAAATTAATGTGGGAACTGATGTTTTTTTTCTGTCCTCTGGTTCAGCTACCCACCCTCCTCCCCCTGCATTCTTTTCCACTGCCCCCTTCCTCACTTTTCCTTCTTTTTTTCCCTCTTTACTCACTTATTACTTCCTCAAAACCAGAAACCAGAAGTCTGACAGTCTTGGAAAAGTAGAAGTTTAGGGAAACAAACTACTGAAGGTGTAGAGCAAAGAACTTACCCGGGCCCACATGGAGCAGCAGCATGAGGGCTAAGAGGATCTGCTGCCCAGCTGCACACAGAGCCAGCACCATCCTGGACCTGCAGCGAGAGGGAGAGGAGGAAAGACGGGAGAGCAGTGAGGTTAGAGCACCAAGAAAAACACAACCATTACATAACAGAAGTGAAGAGGTCTACGGGGTTATTCTATTGTCACACAATAAGAAGGTACAGTTGTTTGTCTATGAGCCTCATAATCTACTTAAAAACAAAATAAAACTCAAAGTATTTATCCAAAAAAAAAGAAATCCATCATCAATACAGAAAACCACAAAGAAGTATTTTAATAGAACCTATAAGCATGTACATAAACAATAAACACGTGTACTCTATCTGATATTGTCTGTAATAATTGTCTGATGCCTGTTGCTTCTTTTCATATATGTCTTAATCTAATCTTATTGAGTTTAAATGTGTATACTCCATCACTGTTTGCTCCCATGGTCTTTGTCTATGGATTGGCATGGCTAGTTTTATAAATTCAATTGTTTTCTAACACCAGCTTCATCATTTGACATAGGAAATCTGCACAGTGCCTCACTTGAAGTTTACAACCTTTGACTTCACTTTAAATGAAAAAATGGCAGCTCAGTATAAGTGAAAAGAGGCTGTTATTGGTGTGGATGGGTTTTTGCGACATGTATCACATAGCAAGCCACAACATTCAGTGAATGAGACACTTATTCTGTGAAGAAACTGGGCTGCAACCATCACTGGTGGTGATGTAGGCTAGTGAATCCCTCTAGTAAACCTGGAAAACAGACCGGATCTGATAAACCCTTCAATCCAGATTTTAAGGTATTTATTTGACCCCAAAAATCCATCATCGTGTTAGCAACATTTACCATCGGCAGCCACTGGATATATAAAATGTAGAGGTATAGGGCTGGGCAATATGGCCTCAGATCAATATCACAATATTTTGAGCTGTTCACCTCGATAATGATAAATGGACAATAACTACTCCACAAGCTGCTCACCCCCTCCCACATTTACTTGGTCTTCTTTAGTCGCCGCTACAACTTTTGAACCGTCCTCCATCTCCTCACCTGTCTTTCCCTCTTTGTTATGGACTGGATGGGGTGGAGTCACGTCGCTGACATAGGACAGCATCTTAAAAGGACATGAGACCATAGCCTACCTACACACATCCAAAAACAACTTTTATTTATTTATTTATTTTGACACCAAATACATTGAAATGGGCAAAATTACATCAGTATTGTCACAATTTTCGGTATCTGTACATTTTTGTTTTTTTCGCTAAGCCCTAGGAGAAACCTAGATTTGTTTCACTGAAGGTGGTGGGAGCATGGCCTAACAGTGTCTTACTGTTGTTTTCATGTTTGTGAGAATGTGAGGCATTTTTTTTAAAGCCCTTTGGATTAAAACAACACGGTTTAGTTGGGTCAACAACTAGACCACAGCAATAACAATCAATCTATCTTCTGCTCTTGTGGTTTGGGTGTGCTTGAAAAGACACTGAAGCCTTATATTAGAGACTCTCAAGCACAGCCTATTTTCTATTAAGTATTTTCTGTTAGAGTTTTTGTTATTTCTATGTATTTTTTTTTCCGTTGAAGGGCAGCTTGCTTCTGTGTGAGCCTGAAAAAAGTGCCACAGCTGTTTGTTTCATTAAACCTTTCGGGGCTAATTAAAACAGCTTCAATTCATGGCAACTGCACAAAATAAGAGCTGTAAATAAGTGACAATAAAATACAAAGGAAGTTGTGACCTGGTGAAAAAAACCTGAAAAAGAGGCAACAAATTGACGTTGACCTTCATATTCGGGTGGACAAAGTGGTCTGACTTTGTTCTCTTTTTTTTCTGTATTTATTGTGGTGCCATTGCCAAAATAAATCAATGCAAATCAAATCAAACTGACCCTGAATACTGTGAATCCTTGGAAAGATTGTCTCGGACATACACAGGGATTTGCCCACTGTTTGTATCCCTTTAATGTATTTTTCCTATTAAGTATAAAACAAACAATGTGTAAGGGCAGCTCAAGAAACAGCCACTGGAGCTTGAACACAATGTTTTCCAGCAGCTGCTTCTGTGAGCTGCTATTTGCATTTCTTTTTAACCCCAAACCCACTCCACCCAAAGAGCTGCAGCTGCCTCTGGCACTATATCCCAACATTTTAATTGAGTACTGACAAAAAAAGGGCATTAGACATTTAGTCAAATGTGATCTTATAACACACACTGAGCTGTGAAAATTATGAGAAAAACTTCACTGAATCCTACAAAAAAGAAAACATCTCACTTTCAGAGAAGGAGTTGGATGGATTTGTAGTTTACTGCAGTGATCCTGGTGCATTCCTGCTGCACAACATAGAGGAAATCCTACCACACATCAGAAATGAGCTGCTGACTTTGCCAGAGGATTTGGCTTGGGGCCTGACGTTTCTAAGCTCAGTGAGAGACGTCTGAAACAGAGCTTTATTGCCCCGCACTGGTATGAAATGAAGATGAGAGAAGAAAAAAGTGTTTGAAGAAAACACAGCTTTGTTTTCTAAAGATAGTTCAAACAGGCGAGGATAAGAAACACCAATAACTGTAAATTATTCATCTCCTTGTGAACGGAGGATAGCTCTTTATGTGTCTGACTACACAGTTATTACCAACCGAGACTTGTTAAAAGCCCATTTTAAGACTCTGAGAAATAAGTTTGGACTCTCCAGATTTCTGTTACATAAAGTAAATAATTTACCCTGCAAAGCAAAAAGACCTCTTTGCATACACCAAGGTAACAGCAACTCATGCCAACAGCATCCCTGATGCCTAGAAAGAAGATTATGCAACGCCAGTTGAACCCTTTATAAATTACAGGAATAATGCCCACTTTCTTCTCAGTGAAAGCTCAGTAAAACCTTCAGCCGAATGAAACTGGAGTGTGTGAGGCAGAGAAAAGGATTCCTCTCTGATGGTAAAGCTCTCAGTCACACCTACGAAACTTAACCATCCTTACGCAACAATTTGTTGGGCGCTTTGAAATGTTGGGGGACCATGTTAAAAAAGAGATTCGGGTCTGGGTGAAGCCATGCTCTGCCACACACTTCGAGGCACCCCATGTCTAAAGGTGGGTTAGGACCTTGTGATGGGCTGTGACAGATTGGGGTCGAGCCGTTCGGCTCTCTGCATGTTGAGGGGTCTGAAACAGTGGGTAAGCAAGCTGGGTGGGAGACAGGAGATTTCTTAGGGCTTGGAGAGGGTCATGACACTGAGGAGTTTGCCCAGTCTTGTAAGCAGAGAGCATTAGAGGGTGTTGTGTTTGAGGGCCTGGGACTGGCTGGAGCCCAACAGACAATATCCACACAAACAGAATACAGAGCGCAGCCTGCAGATATTTCTAAGGATGCTATACAACATGCAACACAGTGGGCTTACAGACAGGCGCCTTTCAAAGTTTTACCAAAAGGGATTTACAACTTACAGTGAGCTGACCATCTTGGGGCTCCAGCTGCATACTAACCAGCAGCACCTTTTGTAAAGGACCAGACATCAGATGTCAGGAGCGCTTCCCTCTAAATCGCCCCTCATCACTCTCACAAGCACAGTTGTGTCTTAAGCAGAAAAGAGCCAGAAGTCTCTAAAATGCTCCAGTGGTCTTCAATGTGAACGTCCATCTGACACAATTTCACGATGTCGCCTGAATAGGACACATTCCTGCCTCATTGTAGGATCTGGCGAGTGGAGTGACAGAGGTCCACTGAGAGCTAACAGATGAGGCTGGCAGAGCTACAGTACAGCTCAGTGCTGAGCTGTCAGTCAGTGGAAATAGGAGACCAAGAGGCCTCATGGTCTTCATGACACAGGCAAGACGGGCCCCTCGACCCAAATCCCCTTTGGTTCTACATTTGGTGGGAAAATAGCTTGAAGAAAATGACATGAAAAGTGTGGAGGACATCATGTCAGCTGCTGTTGTAGTTACAGGATAAATCATGTTTGTGAGCGCAGCACGACAGCTTTACTCTTAGAAAGCCTCCATCATGCTGCACTGTATAGTGTGTGTCTGTGTGTGTTCACACAGACTACAAAGGTTTACTTAATCAGGCCAGGTTCAGTCCCATGTCGATTCTTGGCACACACACACACTTGCTGTAAAGCTACGGTTCCTATAAAGCCCTGAATCAAACCTCAACCACTGCACAAGGTAGGTCACTGAATTTCACCTCCTGCATTCATGTGGACAGAGCACGTACACAAGGCCGAGCACACTTCAACACACACGACACATGAACACACGCTGGCAGCTGGCATCTCTGTTAGACAACAAATAAACCGCATGAATAAATTAAAAGTTAGAGAATCGACCCACATAATACAGTTGAGTCATTGTAAAAACAAAGAATCCTGGATTTCACACAAGCTCAAAACTGACTGCTCAGCTTGAACAGGCAGCTGTCCATTTCCCTGAAGCTAGCCAAACTTTGTAGCTAGCTAGAAAAATTTACACTTACTGAGTTTAACACTTGCTGACTCTTTATTCCATCAAGTTTAACAATGTCATCAGAACATATCATTATTTTTATCACTAAAATCAAAAGACGCTGTAGAAACCGTGTCTTTTGATTTTTCCCTTAGTAAACTACCCCCAGTTTCTGCTGCATCTGGAACGGCTACAAAAAGGCCATATCCACTGATCGCAGCTGATCGTAACCAATTATTCTTTCCATTCCACTGCGGATCGCCAGACTCCACAGCTGATCACAAGAGTTCCATTTTTTTCAGACGCCAGAGCATCCCAGATAAATTCGGCACAAATTAACCTGTGCTGGAACGGAAGTCAGGCACAGCACAAATTAACCTTCAGGCGGATCGTATTTCACACCATGCAAACGGGCGGGGACAAACAAGTGAAAGGATTTTAGGCAGCATTTCACCCCGTTGACACCATGGATGGGGGGATGCGATTCTAAAAGTCTGGAAGTGGATTTCCTCCTCTGAAAGGACACAATCTACTGTTATCTTTCTGTGTGTCTTTATAGAGACAACTCGTTATCGTGCAATTGTACATGAATCCGCAGGTGCTTGTGAGTTCTTGCAATTCCCACTGTCCATAATCCGCCATGAAATTTGCTTCACAAATGGATCCAGTAGGCATTGGGGGACGGCAAACATCACCGCCGTTCCAGATCGGCGCCATTTCGGATGCAGTGAAAATTCAGGGTAATTGGACAACTGTATGATTTTTTTTTAATGCTTTTCACAAGAATTAAGATGTATCACTTTGTCCACAGGGGGCGACAAAACCAATACAAACTAAAAGTTTCTCCCAGAAGCTTTATAATAGTGATAACAAGAATAATAATAATAATCTATAGAGCAATAATTTACAGAGCATTTTTCAAAATCTCAATTGAAAGGTGTTTTACAAGAAATGTTAATTTAACAATAATTTTTTTAACCACCCCTCCCTAAGGTCAGATCATCAAAGCAATTACACATTTGGACATAAAATCACAACATTTCAGTTTAAGCTAAATCAGAAAATCTGTTAAAAGTGAGTTTTAGGAGTGAACTGAGTCAGCTGATCTTCAAGACTGAAACCTCTCTCTCCCCTTTTGTTTTCAGCCAAGTGTCTGGAATAGTTAGAGAGCCTTTGCTTTAATGAGAAACATCTATGTTAAGTGGAAAACACAATTTTTTTATTCTTTTTAGTGAAAACATTGCTCTCCGACTACAATCAGCTGTTTCCTCCCCCTCAGAAAAATACTGTATTTCTGATAATGGGCTTTGCGTTTTTCCTAGAAACTCCTAACCATTTCTTAGCAGCAGCATAAGGACAAGAACAAGCAGCAGAATTATTTAACTATTGTCCATCATGTAGCTGAAGAGGAGAAATGCTTTTAACAGAGAAAGAGACGCTTTACAATAAAGACAAACTGTCAATCATTTTTCCTCTTCAGAGACCTGACAGGAGGGAGTAGGTAATTCATTCGCCTTCCCTTTTTCTTTTAATCATGTCTCACAAAACTATTACCACCAGAGAGCGTGAGGGTGAACAACAGAATAACACCTTCGTATGAGTGACAGACAAAGTGGTGAGACAGGAGAGGAAGAAGAAGATGAGGGGAGAGAGGAATGAGAGGAAGGTCATTCAATCAACACTCTGACATTACCACACATCCATGATGAAAGCTCTTCATGAAAGCTACGTCTAAGCACTACAATTGTTATTAATTTGCTTTTTGGGCGAAAAAAAAGAAAAGGTGGAGCAGACCATCCGTAAAGAAAAATGGCAGAAATTTGATCTCACACTAAAACGATTTTCTATATCAGCTGTTAAGACAAATAAAAGTGGAGTGGCAGAGTTGGTTTGTTCTCATGAATAAGATAATCAACTCGAATGATGAAGCGTTTATTGCCTCAGAAATTAAAAACAGGAAGTGGAGCAGGGCTGAATCAGGTATTCTCTTCTGCTCTCTTCATGCCTCTTCCACACACACACACACACACACACACACACACACACACACACACACACACACACACACACACACACAAACTCACAGCCTCTCTTTGTGCTTGCTGTGTCTGTGTGGTGACTAATCACACTCAAAGCATCTAATGACTCATGCAGCTCTGGACTGGGCTCCGGATGGAGAGGAGACTCTGGAAAGCTGCTAGTGCGTCCAACTCCAGGATTACACACTCGGTCCTCTCTCACACCGACACCATTGATCTGACTGGGCACGGGGACAGGGGTTGCTTAAAAGAGCTTGATAGCATGCAGAGGAGGAGCCAAGCTAGGAATTGGCTGGATGCGTGCAGTAAAGTGCAGAGAGGAGGCAATTTAGATCACTCTGAAGGATCCTCCACCAACAAGTGAAGCAGAAAGGAGACAAAGGAGGGCAACTATTTGAGTCATGACTTCAGTTTATAGGATAGTAATAGGTGGTTGCACCTTTCCTTTCATTTCTTTACTACTCAAAGTTGAACAGACGCCACACAGGAAAGGGACTGAGCTTGTTTAGCACATGTGTTACTGAATGTGCGACAGCTGTTATCACATGCATCTGTTCAATGAACTTGAACTTACAGCAAATAAGCTCAGATTTGCTCATTTTTCCTCTCTCCAGCCTTTTTTTTCTGGCAGAATTGACACGTGTGCTTTTTTTTCTCTGCCTGCAAAAAGAGTAGCTTTGACTGAGAGGCCAACAAGTGCTATTAAATGCATTAGATTAATATAAGAGGGAACGGAGCGAAAGAACACAATATTGTACCCAGCTTTTAGAGGAAAAAGAAACCCAGACAGCAGCTCGGATTGAATCAATCAGCACTCATTTCTGTAATGCATCCGAAAAGATCAAATCAAACCGACATCAATATAGCTGACACAGCTGAACCTTTTAACAAAAAGGACAGATGGCCTTATTTAGCTTAAAGACAGACTCGGTCTCTATGAGTTTTTCCCCTATAAGATCAATCTGGAGGACCTTAGATGGGCTGAGACAAATATATAGCAAGAGACAATTTCAAATTGTTTACTTCTATCTCATCACTCAGACACTCTTAATCAGACTGTTTTATTTTTGGGCTTGTGGTATGAAAAATGACAACGACAACAAATGAAAACATTTAGTGTTAACTTACGATATCTGATAGGGCTGGGATGATATGCTTTTCTCCCGATTTGATTCTTCTACAATTTTTTGGATGCCGATTCAATTCAAATTGCGATTCTACGATATTGTTGATTTTCTTGATTTTTGGTCTGCATTTTTAACACCAGTAAAACAGTTGAATGATTGTGTTTGTCTACACACTATTCCAAGAACCATGTTTTCCCAAAAAATTCACATCACATCTAAGTCAGTTTTTAAGATTTATTCTTAAATTTGAAAAAAAAAAATCGGTTTAGAAATTGTAAAACAAAATATCACAATACTTGTGTGAATCAATTTTTTCTTCCACCCCTAATATCTGATGATATCTGTCAGCCCTGACCAATAATGTGGTCCAAAATCTCGAGATCCTACAGTCTCTGTTATAATCAACTAGATTGACCTCCGGTTTGTGTCGAGGCCGTAGTTCACGATTCAAATCATTTTCATAGACACCAAATCATTCAGCGGCCCACGTGCATTATGGATGGGTAAATTGTCATTTCGAGGAAACCAATCCCATCAGGAAAGAAATGATTTATCCAAGAGTAAAGGTTATCTTGGAATAACATGCATTGATTTGCTGTCACCCTTTCTGTCTGCGGGTTGAAATGGTTTCAAACCATAAACTCATAAAATAACCGTCAACAAAACCAATGGACCCACCCACCTTAGGAGCATTAATTTATGTTTGAGCCTTAAATAGGGATTTATTTTATACATTTAAAGATGGCTATTTGTTAATATGGTGCATGTCTCATCTAGAGTTTGTGCTTGTTTAATTGATATCACATTTAAACATCCTCACCTTCTCTAGCTGGCTCCAGAATCACAAATCCCTGAATGAACTATCACTACATTTTTAACATAGTCGTATGTTTTTCTGAACTATTGCACAAACAGTCAATGGATACTGCTCGACTACCTGGATGTTAACACTAGATGTTAACATCTAGAAAATGATTATCCAGCCAATGGTCTACCAGCAAGCTGATCGGAGTCAACAAGGCATCAGCAGTACTGATGTTTTTCACTGTTTCCAAGGAGCATAAAGCATCAAATCAGACAAATCACCTGAAAAATCTGCCACCTGAAAATGTTGTCAAGGAATATGGAGCGTCAATGGTAGTATTTGTCATTAGCACAGAAGAAAAATAGTCAAGAACTGTCATGCCAATATGTGAGGCTTTTGGAAACTGCACAAAGTTGGCCGGAAACAGTTCAAAGGCAAAAGCAAAAAAGGCAAAATTGCTTGAATTGTTTCACTGGATGATCAACCTTTTCCTCTGGTAGAAGACAAAGATTTCAGTGGCTGATAGCACATTTGGGACCCCAGAATGACCTCCTGAGTCACTGCTGTTCTTCAAATGTGCCTCTGCCTGCCCTCTTTGACACGGTTGCCGCACAAATCTCCACTCTGACTTACAACAACACGAGTGACGTCAGTCTCACCACAGACTCAAAACTACTGACGTTAGCCCAGTGGCGCTCAGTTTGACAGCCCACTGACTGAATGAAGGCTTGACCATAAAGGAAACATGACTGCATGCACAGGAGTGCTCTGGTTCACATATAGTAACACTAATCTGTGCAGCCTTTGAAACCACACTTGGGTGGTGTAACTTTGCAAAGGGAAGGGTGGTGTTAAAACAGTGGGAGAGTTTGTGTTTTAGCCTTTCTTATCCTTTGGAGTGCAAAAATACATATTATGAATTTTTCTTTTTAATGTAGGAGTGTAAAAAACGTGTAATCTTATCATTATCGGCCACCAGGAGCAGGTAATGATGATATCAGATTTAAATCATGTACCATTCATCCCTACTTTTGAGCCATGTTAAATAAATTGTGCTAAATTTGGACTGGTTCTGATTGTTTTTAAGCCTTGTGAAAATAGAGGAGCTCTAATTATAACTACCTTCAGAGCATGAGGTGGAACTGCATTATGAGGTGTTTGTTTAAGTGAAAGGTAATATTGAACCAGATAATGATTTGGTGTCAGAGGATATATATATGGATCTGGAATCCGTCTAAGTAGACACTACACCAGCTGTGTCTTAAAGACACCAGGGGTCAAAGGTGAAGGTTCTGAGGTTGCCCTTGGCAGCAGAGTCAATAAAGGATCAGGTGTGTGAGATGAAGCCATCATTTTGAGTATATGAGTCTGTAGCCGCGTGTATACACACAGGCCAGCATGCACAACACAGGCATGTGTCTGACCACAGGGAGAGGTGGTGAAACAAAATAGAATAAAACACAGATATAAACGCGCTGGTTGGACAACATCCAAGATTTCCTCATCTGTGATGATGTGCTGAGTCTGTGGAATAACAACAAGAGGAGGGGAGAAAAAACAGCTGTGTCCTTCAAGTGTTTATGACTAGTGCCAATGCTGTGAGAGCAGCAGCAGCTATCTCTTTATTCCCATATCAGCAGCTAACAGCTACAAGGAAGAAGCGCTGAGTGTACATATTTCAAACACTGAGACATCAGGATAAAAAAAATATCAAAAAAGTTAGAGAGCTGCAGTGACTAATAATATCTCAGGAGGTTATTAATCATTCTAATCTTCTCTATGTAAGAGAGGATAAGAAAACTTTGGTGCCTCCTCACAATGCTTCTCCTCAGCGACTGTAAAGCCAAACATTTGTCTTCCACCAGTCACCACCTTCGAGGAGAGCCCCCCGGCCAAAGACAAAGAGAGGGACCTTTCTCTTTGTGTGGCTGAGCTGTTCAGCTGTGGTCTCATCTAAGCCTGTAACGATTGGCCTGGTGGGCTGCTCTAGTCCCTCCCAGGCTAAACACTGAAGGTGATTGATGGATTGGTTTGTCCAATCTCTTTGGGGTTTTGGCGGCTGGGGGAATCACCAGGCGAAAGAGGTTTCGAATATTCCATGAAGGTGGCAGAGTTCGACGTTAAGTCCAGATCCTACCGCTCATGATTAGAATATTTAGTGCTCTTTTTTCCGTCCACAAATGTTTGTGGTTTGGAGCTTTGGGCTCTGAGATTTTGGGAGCTGTCCAGTGCTGAAAAGCTGGACAGTTTGAGCTCCAGTTACTGTGAAGTCATTGTTCAAGTAAAGCCTCTCCTCTTTTGACTGAAATGGGACCACAAAGAGCAAAGTGGTCATAAAATTCCCCTTCAGAGTGCAATCCAGTTCAAAGTTGAATTTTCTGTTTATGAAGTACAGCAAAGACAAAAACAAAACTACTCATCATATCCGTATCCAAAAAAGAAATAACATATTTTCAGGCTAGAGTAACCACAAAGCAACAAGCCTGCGGCTGCCTCAGAGGTGAGGCTTATTTTGATTTTAACTTGGTTGCTGAAAGCGCCTGCTGGTTCTGATTTGCATTTATATAGTGCTATTCTATTAGCTATTAGCACAGTATTAGATGGGAATAGACCCTATAATCACAAAAGTGACATATTACGGAGGGCACTTTTCCAACAATTGAAAACAAAATGAAACTCTAGCTGAGAAAATTTTCATTTTTAATGACAATAAACCATCAGAGAGACTTATTTACAGCCACAAACTGGAGACAAACATGCTCACTTATGACTTGAAGGAATAAATCGTTGGTTTTATTGGGAAAACTGGCAAGTGACAATGCTTTTGGGCTCCAGTTAAGAACATTTTTTGTGATTGATTATTCTGATTATCACTCAGCCCTACTCAAGGGTGATGTTTGTGATTTTGTTGTTTGTCAGGCAAAACTTCCCCCATTGTTCTGAGAAAAATTATTCAAGGAAATTAATTTTCTTTCAATCACACTGATCAACTAATGTCTCTGCTCCTGTCTGAAGAAAATCCCCATTAAACTGATTTATAAAACCATGGGAAACTCAGATCTTTTAATCTTGTTGTCTGTTTTGTTGGATAAAAAGTAAAAATACTCAATCTGAAAAAAGAAAAGGATGAAAGCAGTGTTCAGTGGTTCACTCTTTCGTGATTGACCGATCCATAAACAAACTTATCTTGTGACTCTATAGCATTTCATTTGTCTAAAAGCATCTTATATTACTCCTTTTCCATCTCCCACTCATGCAGAGTGACTTCTCAAGTTGCAGATGCCTCGGAGCCACACATGATAAACAAACAGGCAGCTGAAGCTGAAGCAAGCTCCCACTCTGTTTTTAGACTAAGACTGTCTCTCTCCACACAACACTGCTCTATGATCCATTTGAGTGCAGCCATCTACATACACACGCATGAACACACACGGTGACACACATGTTTGCTCCGATGTGGGTCTTTAGAAACACGAACGCACATCCGGACACAATGAAAAATGCATGCTGTAAACTTTCAGCTTGCTTTCTTAGCCTAATTCCTCACGGTTCTCCTCCCCACCCCTCCCCGTTATCTCTTACACACACGTATCCTCTCGTCTGGTACTGCCTGCTTAACCTCATCCTGCTTTATGGCACTGACACACAGCTGGTGGTGGGCGCACTAACAAGGCCAAGGAAGAAAAGCCTTGGACTCCTACAGACCGGAGCGGTGAATAGGAAACAGAACGGGCTTTATGGGGCTACAGGGGCTCTCATATTCTCTGACAATACAGCTCATTTGTCAAGGTGACCCAAACTGTTCTCCCCTTTCACTGTGATTTGTACATGCCAGAGTTTGTTTACAGAGCCCCAAGCCATCAAGAGAAGACTTCCAAGAGGAGTGCACATGCTTGGCACCAGGTGATCACTCATTTCAGTGTTATTCCTCAGTTAAAACTTCCAGGAGAAAAAAGTAACACTTGTTTACAAAGTACAGAGACATGACAAATATAAAATATATACAGCAGCACACTCTGATCACCGAGAAGCCAGTTTGTATCTTTCATGTCATGCCCAGCTGACAGCTCTGGAGGAGGATCAATATCAGATCTGATTTTGGCACATATTCAACACATGCTGTTTGTTCTCCACAGGACTCCCATCGCCATACAGATTTCACCAACACCTGTTCAGCTGTTCAGATCTGCACCAGTCTACTGTAAGCGCACTTGCCTGATTTCTTTTAATTGTGTTATACATCCAAAGACAAATACGTGTGTGTATGCACAGACACAGCCCACTGAAAGTTCTCCTTGCAGACAGCATCTCCTGAGAGGAAACCATGTAAAGGACGCGGTAACAAGGTTACTTGGTGAGTTGATGATTTATGCATGCCTCTACATGGCTCGTAAATATAGACCAATATTAAAAGCTCTGACCTGTAAATAATTAAAGATATCCCAAATGGTGCGATTTATGCGCTTCTGTATAGCTGGGGCTGTGATGGTGCGAGAGGAGAGGCACAGATTGGTCCACGGGAATTACTTATTATCTTTTTCTAGTTGTATTCATAAGTGGGAATTGCATTTATTTTTTTGCTCAGTGCAACCAAGAAAATAAACACTTTAATTTCTCCTCCAGCAGCTGAGCGGTCTCAGGCGCCTCCTGCCAGCCGCTGACTTCAGATTTCACACAGTGACTGAAAATGATAGATTTAATAAAGCTTCCACGCAGAGTGAACGTATTTTTACGCACTCAGTCTTACCGTCTCTGAAGCGTCTCAGCGGTGAGATCCTCAGGAATGTGAGCGGAAACCTTCCCTCCCGCCTGAGTGCAGGTGCTCCCCAAAGCTCCCAGAGGGTGCGGAGACGAAAAACGGCGAAACCAAGGGTGAAACAGCACTTTGCAGAGGCAGAGGAGACCGGGGGGTGGGAGTGTGTGCGTGAGCGCTCCTCGCCCTGGACTTTCCACTCCTTCCCTCTTCTTCTTCTTCTTCTTCTTCTTCTTCTTCTTCTCCTTCTTCTTCCTCTTCTGTGGTATCCTCTTCCTCACTCAGCAGCAGCAGAAGCAGCAGCAGCAGCAGTTTATGCGCCGTTCATCCTCGCACGCCGTTATGACTGTCGGATAGGGATAAATGCGCGCACACTCACACCTCAAGGTGCTCCGTCCTCGCCAGCAGCTCTACGCCGAGGGAGAGAAGCTAGATCCGTTTGAACAAAGAGGCAAGCGGTGACAGGCAGACGGCTCCAGCGCCCCCCATTCAAAGAGGGGGAAACGGGGGGAGGGAGGGCTAGGGTGGGGGGTGTGTCAGTAAAGAGAGGGGGAGAGAGAGAGAGAGAGAGAGATGGAGGGGAGGGGGGGACTTTATATGACCATAATCCGATTCCTACATAAACCTCAAAGGTTGATCCTGGTGTCTGTGACTCAAATTAAAATTTACCCATGAGCTTACAATGACAGTCTGACCACCAGCTGACCCCCCCACACCCTCCTGTCACATTCATCACGTCCACACACCTGCTGTGAATCAACCCAACTTGTGTTCTACTACCCTCCGGTCTTCAGTTGTAATTGGACAAACTAAAAAAATCACTCTGTATTCATCTTATTAAAGTGTGCAAAAACACTTTTGACTGCAGGATTAATTGTAACAACCGCTGGTAGAAAACAGCCCCGTGTGCATCCAAAAAACCTGGCAACAGCCAACAACTCATCACTGCAGCGAGGTCAATACCAACCAGCATCAGTCTTCATTAGCACATTACAAACAAAGAAAAAGCTGCAGGAAGCTGTGAGCGAGGCCAGCTGACCACAGATCAGCTCCGACACTGATTTCTGTCAATGATAATGTGAGAAGAAGAGCAGCAGACTCTTTGTTATTCATCATACTGTAGGTCTGCGGTCTGCTGCTCTGTGCCCAAGATGGTTTTGAATTATGCATCTTCCCCGATGGAGTGGAGGCAGGAGTTGGTTTTAGAATCTTAATCGAGCCACTAATGATGGCAATCACAATAAGTCAGATCCTATCTTGGTAAGAGTCTTTAATTAAGGTAAATAATTGATTTACTCATTTATATCATTATTTTTAGAGAACTGGGGCCTCTTAGAGGGATGACTATATAATGATATGTTTATTTGTGTGTACAAAGACTTCAACTAAGGTTCAAAATGTGAGGGGATACAAATGGTCCAAACCTTCTTGACCCCCAATACGCTTGCAATACCAGAGGTCAGGGTGATTGTCAAACTGTCATCAATAATAGATACCTATTACAGCAATACAATACAACACATTTGTTATATTCACCCACTATGTTGCTACTAACTCAGACACCACTAAACTGAAATACACTGGTGGGTGGAATAACGCTGAGTCAGAGATATTTGATCACTGAACAACTTCAGCCACGCGCAACGAGGCAATAACACTGCCGACAACCAAGGAACAAACTTTTGTCAGATGTCTTTGTTTACACCTACAGCATCAAACTTGACATCCCACCTGACATCCCATAACCTTTCTTTTCATTTTATTTATTTGTCTGATTTATTTAATTAAAAACTCTCTTTTACATGCTAAAAATGTCATCCTGCATGTACAACCATCAGAGATTACTAACTAGATAGCCGTCAAAGATAATAATGTCACTCACATACTTTCAACTTCAGCATTAACAACCCCCACGAGATTTTTCCCAAAGTGACCACTTCCACGACAACACAATTTCTTTAACTCACCGTGATGACGCTTGGCTCAAACAGTGTATCCCCCGGGTGAGCTACGCAATCCCTGAACGCCAATAGGCTGTATCAGGTGTCAATCATAGCAAACATGAACCCCCCAATAACTTTTAAAAACGGAGCTTCACAGAAAAAAAGAGGACTTGAGCACAAACCAGTCTAACAGTAACTACATGTCAACATCGCAAGCAGGGGCGAAAAAATGTTCTGTGTAATAAATTTCTAAAGTTTGTCCACAGCCCCATAAACTTTGCTGACGGAGGCGGGATTTATGACCTATACTGCAGCCCATCAACAGAGGGTGCTGCTCTCAGAGTGGCTTCACCCAGCAAGGAGGCAGATGCTGTCCATTCTATATACAGTCTATGGTTTACACTTGCGTAGCCCAATAGAAACTGGCTAGCTGGTTGAAAGCTAGCATTTTAAAGCTGGCTACAAGGCTAGAAATCTATACCTACAGCTAATTTGTTGTTATTGTAAAATGCAGTACATTGTTCATTTTATGTGGCGGCTGTGGCTCAGAAGTACAGTCACTTGTTTCTCCCTCTAAATGTTGGTGCCAGCATCCATCAGTCAGATCAACAAGTTACAATAACACAGCATTAGTGTTGTGGATACCAATTTTGTATTATTTTTATAAATTTATGTATCATTTAAATCTCATTTTTTAACCGCAGGTTTGATTGATTGGTGTTTTATTTTATCTCCATCTGTTTTTATTTCACCTTTCATTTGGCTTATTGTACCCTGAATTCAAGAGGGGTTATTAAATGTCCTGTCCGGTGTTGTTTAGTTTGTTATCCGATATGTAAAAGGAGGCCGGCTCACTCACTGTAAACTGAATCTACTCACAGGTACAAACAGAACCTGAACCTTAAGCAACAAGATGCTGGACCCTGAATTGGCACAGCCGCTAGCGTGTGAATGGGTGTGGATGTGATTAGTTAATAGTAGGGCTGTCAAGGCATCAGATTTTCTCCTTACAATTATCATGCCCAGAAAATATTGTGAAAGCAATATTATCATAATATTTATCGAAAGCTTGAAAATAAAGCAAAAATATGACTTAAATTGAGGGAAGATAGGACAAGGGTGGAGCTACACATTACTTTATAAACCCAACAAATACATGCTGTTACCTACCCTTGATTTTATTTTGAAGTACTCTACCTCTAGTAGATTGTAGGTTTCTAAAGGAAGCAGTCAAAGGAACAGTTGGAGATATGATGTTTAATTGATCATTGACCTGAAGAGGAACATTTCTTTTAGAGAGGTAAAAACCACTGCTGCAAACCCGTGGTGTCACTGTTAACTTATTTTTAGAACAGTATCACAATTCTAACTCTTGAAACAAGATGGTTACCATCAATACAGCTTTATTTCAATCACCCTTGTTAATATAAATGGGCACTATACATCGCAGCCTCTACTATCAGTGAATGAATGTGGCTTGTATGAATGAATATGACATGGTGTAAACATTCTGGGGGCTCAGAGGACTAGAGAAAGTGCTACACTAGTGCAGTCCTTTGACAATCTGTTTGGGTTTATCTATTGAAGCAAACATCTTGCCTCCTTCTTGTTTCCATGTATACCCTTGAAAATAGTTGACCCTGCACCTGAATGTACTCTGTGAAGTTGTTACTCCATGAAGAATAATGAGAATAAAAGCCGAAGAGAGAACTTTTTTCTGGGCATTGAGGCGAGTAAAGTGTTGGCTTTTAAAACTTTTTCAATCAGTCATTTTAACCTCAGTATCTGATTGCCTGTGGGAGAGTTACAAGAGATCAGCTTGTGGAGAAAAAAAATATCCAATTTGGCAGAACTTTTCTTCAAATTATGGTGCACTTGTGGATGTCTCAAAAAGTATCAGATTTAATTCAAACCACGACTGTTGAAGACATCTTGAGAAGACTAAATACAGGGATGTTTTTACACGTGCAGGAGAGCAGTTCCCTGGGGTCTTTCCGGTAAAACTTTGACTTTACTGTTCCTGCATCTCCCTCCACTCCTCCCTCAGCTGTGCTCTGAGCAGGAGCTGTATGAACCTCCTGCTGCCCTATTTGTCTCTATTTTCTCAATCGCTCTTGCAGCACAGATGAGCTCCCCCGTCAACAGACTTGTCAGTAAATGTGTCTGCTTGTAAAATAAACACACTGACTGGAACAGGAGCATCAGCAGTAGTCTTCAACCATTGCAACTATTTCTGATTCTGAGTTTCTGTGTGTTTTTGTGAGACAAAGCCTGCGATTTGAATACATATTTCATCCTGTTGTCTGACTTGAGTATTACAAAATATGCCATTGTGTTGCAGATGCCAGAAAAACCCAAGCCAAGCTCTAATCTTTGGAACAACATTAGAAGCAAATCCAAATGCAAGTATGTTTACACGCTAAATGTGATTAAGCATGTCTGAAATATGTCCTCTGAGACATCCAATAGCTTTGTTTCATCTGAATTTTGCATTAAAAAAGCATGTTTTTTTTTTTTTTAACAAAGTTAATACAATATGCCAGGAGAACCTGATGAGGTATTGAGATACTGAATAAACCAACAATCGTCTGGAAGACGATTATCTGGCTCAGGCCTTGTTGTCACAGAAAGCGTGTCTTGTCGAGTCACTGAGTACAGCACCCACTCTCCTGTAGATTTATGAGCTGACAAACTGAAAAGGATTTTGGAGCTAACTGAGGTCATTCTTGCATCATATTTGTCCTTCACTGTCACTTCTGCAAACAGCAACAGAGAATCAGGTAATATTTAGGAATCTCAATGACTGTTTACAGCAAAGGACCACAAACTATTAGTCTATATACCATTTAAGACGGAGTGGATCAATACTCATTACTTAACCTGCCATTTCTGCATGTATTAGAAAGAAGCAGGGGTAAACCATCTGCTCTCAGCACCAATTCCAGAGGATCAATCCGTGGCTTTTATTGCAGGGTTTTTTTTCTGGTCCACCTTGTTCATCTGCTCTAGTTCAGTTCATAGTTGGTTTTTACATCCTACAGCTGTACGGTTATAGTTCTACCTCACAGCTCACATCAGCATAATTGCCAGAGAGAGCAGCTACAAATAAACTCCCTGTACACTTGACCAGCATGACGGAGCAGATGGACAAAATAAACCACCTGAAGATTTATACAGCCGAGCATCTGACAGCTAAAGAGAGAGATATTTCTTTTAGGAGATGGCTGAAGCCCAAAGAAAATCAAAAAGACATTTAATAGTCTGTGATCTCACTGGGATGTTGCTTCAATACTAGTTTCGTTTAACATGTCGACTGGATGGGTAGATTTGGCTAAATTATGTCGAACTTATTTCAAAATGTGAAAATATGTTACTGTAGTGTTGACAATTTATTATCGGCCTTAACTGGCAAAAGTTTGAGTTCATATGTTAAGAAGATTAAAGTTCACGTTTTATTGAATGTATCATAATCTAAAAAGAAAGCACAGAAATGTCACGAAAGCTTATTTGTGATATTTTTAAAACCACAGCTGAACTTAGAGAGAGGGCAAGAGGGGTAATGACCCACCTGTTTCCCTCATGTCTGAAAAAATAAACACCTCAGACGTGTAATCTTGGGTGCTGTGCCTTATGATTTAGTTTGGTTGACAGGGT